AACACCCCAACACCCTAACCCCCACCCTACCCCTAACACCCTAACACCCTACCCCCCCACACCCCCCTACACCCAACACCCTAACACCCTAACACCCTAACACCCTAACCACCCTAACCACCCTAACACCCTAACACCCTAACACCCTAACACCCTAACCCCAACACCCTAACACCCTAACACCCTACACCCTACCCCCTAACACCCTACACCAACACCCTAACACCCTAACCACCCCTAACACCCTAACACCCTACACCCTAACACCTAACACCCTAACACCCTAACACCCTAACACCCTAACACCCTACACCCTAACCCACCCTAACACCCTAACACCCTAACACCCTAACACCCTAACACCCTAACACCCTAACACCCTAACACCCTAACACCCTAACACCCTAACACCCTAACACCCTAACACCCTAACACCCTAACACCTAACACCCTAACACCCTACACCCTAACACCCTAACACCCTAACACCCTAAACCCTAACACCCTAACACCTAACACCTAACACCCTAACACCCTAACACCCTAACACCCTAACACCCTAACACCCTAACACCCTAACACCCTAAACCCCTAACACCCTAACACCCTAACACCCTAACACCCTAACACCCTAACACCCTAACACCCTAACACCCTAACACCCTAACACCCTAACACCCTAACCCCTAACACCCTAACACCCTAACACCCTAACACCCCTAACACCCTAACACCCTAACACCCTAACACCCTAACACCCTAAACACCCTAACACCCTAACACCCTAACACCCTAACCCCTACACCTAACACCCTAACACCCTAACACCCTAACACCCTAACACCCTAACACCCTAACACCCTAACACCCTAACACCCTAACACCCTAACACCCTAACACCCTAACACCCTAACACCCTAACACCCTAACACCCTAACACCCTAACACCCCTAACACCCTAACACCCTAACACCCTAACACCCTAACACCCTAACACCCTAACACCTAACACCCTAACACCCTAACACCCTAACACCCTAACACCCTAACACCCTAACACCCTAACACCCTAACACCCTAACACCCTAACACCCTAACACCCTAACACCCTAACACCCTAACACCCTAACACCCTAACACCCTAACACCCTAACACCCTAACACCCTAACACCCCTAACACCCTAACACCCTAACACCCTAACACCCTAACACCCTAACACCCTAACACCCTAACACCCTAACACCCTAACACCCTAACACCCTAACACCCTAACACCCTAACACACCCTAACACCCTAACACCCTAACACCCTAACACCCTAACACCCTAACACCCTAACACCCTAACACCCTAACACCCTAACACCCTAACACCCTAACACCCTAACACCCTAACACCTACCCCTAACACCCTAACACCCTAACACCCTAACACCCTAACACCCTAACACCCTAACACCCTAAACACCCTAACACCCTAACACCCCTAACACCCTAACACCCTAACACCCTACACCCTAACACCTAACACCCTAACACCCTAACACCCCTAACACCCTAACACCCTAACACCCTAACACCCTAACACCCTACACCCTACACCCTAACACCCTAACACCCTAACACCTACACCCTAACACCCTACACCCTAACACCCTAACACCCTAACACCCTAACACCCTAACACCCTAACACCCTAACACCCTAACACCCTAACACCCCTAACACCTAACACCCTAACACCCTAACACCCTAACACCCTAACACCCTAACACCCCTAACACCCTAACACCCTAACACCCTAACACCCTAACACCCTAACACCCTAACACCCTAACACCCTAACACCCTAACACCCTAACACCCTAACACCCTAACACCCTAACACCCTAACACCCTAACACCCTACACCCTAACACCCTAACACCCTAACACCCTAACACCCTAACACCCTAACACCCTAACACCCTAACACCCTAACACCCTACACCCTAACACCCTAACACCCTACACCTAACACCCTAACACCCAATTTAATTATATTTATTTCATAAGTCGGGAATTTAAATAATTGAAGCCAATTTTTATAATTTATTGGAAATTAAAGCTAGGCTAATATTTAATTTTCCTAAAGTCATAGGTTGCAAGCATTGAATTTTAAATAAATTATTCATATAGATTTCACCAGAAATAATAATAAATTAAACTAATGCACATTTTGCATTTTATCTGAAATTTCACAAAAGTAATCATGACTATTTATATTATTTACATTGAATCAAAAATAATAATAAAAAAAGCTTTATATAAATTATAATGAACTCAGTTTCTCAATGAAATAGCTAATATTTGAAAAATATTCTGACATCCATATGCATAAAAGTTTAAATTGATTGCATTTGAAATAACTAATTTACTTATATCACTATTTTGGGTAAGTTCTGAAAAATTTTCTAGAATTGCTTATTAAAGCCTGCTATTATCTATGATAATCATATGGACTTATTACCTTCTGCCACTTTTTGTAAGCACCATATTGTTGAATAAGAATTGAAAAGTTTTTTGATTGCCAATATTAAATTAGTATATATTATCGTTTCCAATCATATTTTCAAATGAAAGATATACTACTGGATATTTTACGAAATGTCTCCCTAAGAAATCACCATTATCAACCTCAGAAATTTTCATAGCCTTAAGAATTTTTGAATTATTATCTATAGAAGTTTCCTATGTTTGGGCGCTGTAAGGCCGATAAATTCTGATCGGAATTTATCGGTTGGTTGCACCAAATCAATGCCTTGGTCGGACCAAAAAGCGATTTGGTCCGACGAACTTGGAAAGCTCCTGGGAAAATGTCTGCGCTTTCAGCGCTAGATAGAGGAAACCTCTATATCTCCTCCCCGCAATTAGCGAACAAAAATGTTTTTAAAAAAATATTTTGATAAATAAGTGATAGTAATTTGCTCTCAAATTTTTACGAATTGGGATTTTTTTAAATTCCGGAAAAAAAAATAATAAATCCCCGAAAGCAAACAAAATTTTTTGTTCACTCACAAAGAGGAGAATAATTTTTCCTCCTTTCATAAATGAAATATAATTATTTATTTTATCTAGTATAGTAATTGCCCGAGGATGGCGCAAGATAGCGCCATCCTCGGGCAATTGCAATATAAAAAAATTAGACTAGCGGCACATAAATAAATTCAGTTCAAGTTCCTAACTAAGAATTGAAGGACCTGAATATTTAAATTTCTTATTTAACTTATTTGGATAATAAAATGCCATTATTTATCATAATCAAATAAAATCCTTAATCTGCATTCCTACATATTTTAATATCATAACTACTCTATCACTATTCCAGATCCATTGGCAGGATTTCTGGAAGAATTGAGAATCGATTAAGATACTTAATTTGCCTGTTCAAATATTGTAAATAATAGCAAAAATATAGCATAAATAGTGCTATAGTATACGCTACTGTTGTATTTATAATAGAATCTATACCCATTTATATTAAAACTCAAAAAATGTTAGCATCCTATTTATATATAAATTAAGCTAGCTTAAGTATAGAGTCTCTTCGGCTGGGTGTAACTTATCATGTATAAGAATTCTTGAGTCACGATTTGCCAATAAGAACTCTCGGCTTATTTCGTCTTGGATTTCTACTATATCTGCAAGCATTGAGATGACATTTGTGCTAGTCAAAACTTGATAAATTCCCTTAGTTTCACAATCTTCTATAATTGAATTAATTGCTGCATCTGTGCCGTAGTTTAAAATTGCATGGCTAGAATCTACCTTCCGATAGATATTTTCCCTCAATTCTTGTGACATTAAATTTTTTAATCCATTTTCTCTGAGTTCTTTGTTTTTCAGTTTTAAAATGCCTGAGGCTGTATTCATTCTCGTCCAAGCATTGGGAAATTGAATATATTGAGGAGAATTTTTTTCGAAATAATGAGAATTGGCTTCTCGAGAAAACATTGAGAGTCATCTGATATTTGATCGTCTCATATTAAAGTTACTAAGAAGCTTTTGACGATTAACCATTAAATCTTCACAATCTGGGTAAAGATAGAGGGAAATCAAAAAATAATAAGAAGCAGCAACAACGAAAAAAATCATAATTCTCGAGATGTATTGCAAATAAAAAGTAGTCCTTACTTTTCTTTTTTTTTGATTTCCTGAAATATGCATATTTAATTCTGAGTTATAATCAATTCCATGAATAAGCATCAGCCTATCTATAGCTGAGCTCTTAAGTTTAGCCAATGCTGATTGCGCAGTATTCAAAATAAAACCCCAAAATTCATCATATTTTCGTGATACCAGAAAGATATAGCCAACAACAACTAAGACCAGCATCCCAAGTGCGAAAAATCCAGAAATTAAAAGGAAATTTATATATGTACCAGTATTTTTTATCCTTTTTATTTCGCAATCAGAAATCCAGTCCATTGTTGAATTTGCACGATCATAAAGATATCCTGCACTATTGGTTTGAATAAATCTAATATATTTGAGATACGATTCATTTTCTGAAATGGCTTTGATCATGCCTTTGCACTGCTTAAAAATTACATTAAAAATAATTTCTGATATCGAATCATATAAATTTGAATATTTTACGCTTGGATTATAAGTATCAAAATATAGTAAAGGGATAATAGCATTTAACACAATTTCTGAGCTTGAGCAGTAGCTTCACTGGCTGAGATCTTCTAAAATAGTGCCTTGGATAGCTTCTAAGTCTAATATTATTTTTTCTAGACCAGCAATATAGCTATTTATTTGTTCATCAGATGCGTTTGTTAGCTTACTAAGATCTATAAGCCTTGCTGAATCTGCAGCTAGCCCAAGATCATATAAAAGATCGCTTAGGTTTTTGAAAGAGCTTAGAGATGTCGTATATGACACATCAGTGATCATATAGCCCAAAATGGCGGAAACTATCACAACTACTGAAGATACCTAAATGTTTCTTACCACGAGGAATAGCGTGACTTGGAGGATTCTGATTTTTCTTTTTGTATCTGAAAGTAGGCTTTTAGCTTTATTAGAAAATTTTGAGCTTGCTGATGATTTTGAATAATCTTCAGTACCTGATTTTTTGTCTTCATTACGCTTCGGAGGAATCTCTTTTACTTGGAATTCTTCATTGTTGCAAACTTCTGTTTCAGCTGAGGACCTTGGTAAGAGAGGAGCATTACTAGCTGAAAGAAATTGAGCTTGAACGCCCCTTCAGTCGTTTTCTTCAATTTGAGATTTTTCTATTTCGAAATTAGCCAATTGCTTTAATTGATCATTATCGAGTCCTTCTTTTCAGTTTTTTACTTCTAAATCGTCATGAATGATTTTAAATTCATTTATTATCTTGGACTTTATATGCTTTTGTGATTTAATAAAAGCAATCTCTTTATCATTAAAAGGTATTATCCAGGGCTCATAGTCTTTCATTTTTGTTATTTCTAAAGAAGGAACTGCACTTGATATGTTTTGACCTTTTAAGTTTTTTAACGTAGAACCAATATATGAATGGAAAAGCTCAGAATGTCCTAAAATAAATCCATCATCTGAGATAATCGCAATTTCGCGTGCAGTTTTTCTTTGCTCAAAAGTAATTAAGAAATATGCAGAGTTGTGAAATGCTGCCAATTTAATTAGAAAATTGCACTCTATTAAGTATCCTTGTACATTTTGGAAACATAAATTTTTATGCGATGATAGTTCAACTGTGCTACTATTAAACACAAATTCTTTAATTGTTGATGTGTGGTAAGCATCAAAAGGTTTAGGAATAAAATTCAGCAATGAAGTGCCAATTATATTTCCTATAGAAGTTTTTAGTATCAGAGAAGCTTTCTCGTTGAGGTACATAATATTATTATCAGAGCAAGATACCAATAATATCGGCACATCTTTTCCATAGTTTTCTAAATTTTTTGCTTCATTATGCTTATTGTAATAATCGAGCCCTTTATTTTTCCTATTGATTAATCCTGCTTCCTCATGATTATTTGTGATATTCTCCAGAAAGCTCCCATATATTTCAAAGCCTTCAACATTTTTATATTTGTCACACAAGTTTTTATAATCTTCGGAAAGGATTTTTATATAATTCGCTGTTCTTTCCGAGTAGTTTATAATTTTATCAATTCTTGGAGCTTTTAGAGATGCCTCTGCCTGAAACTCTATCAGCACATAGCAAAGTTCTTCGTCTTGGGCTCTAATTCTGCTGAACTCTTTTAAAAACTCTAAATAGCTTGTTTCAGGAAAAGCTTTGCATTTCCTCTTAACAAGTCATGCAAAAAGCCTCCATTCTTGGATTTCTCCTTCAAATGAAGTTTGCAAATTAGCGATTTTCGACAATTTTACCCTTGCTAATCTTTCATCTTTTATTATTGAAAGACAATAGTTAAATTCCCATATAGCAAATAGCTTATCTTTATAGAAATTATGTCTTTTTCAGTAAGTTTTAAATAAATCCAGAACTCCAAACTTATTCTCATAATCCTCATCAATTAAAAGGTGTCTGAATTTTTTTTCAAATTCGAACTGGTTATTCAGGCTCGCTGCATTATTTTTAAGCCTTGCATAATTCCTTCTCACCAGCTTAATTACTAATAAAAATAAGGCTGGCTGCAGAAAAATTGTTAATGCAATAATAATTGAAGCACTGTCTAAGAGCTCTCCCAGAATAAAGAACAATAGTGTTGAACAAATCATGCTAAGCTTACAAGCTATTATTATATTCTCTAGAATATTAAAGTACTGCAAAACATAAAACGATTTGTAGCCTATAAAAAGAGAATAAGAAAGCAAAACTGATTGATGGATCAAAACTGCTTGATTTACAAAAACCACAAATGAAACACAAGTCAGAATATAGAAAAGCCTTATTTGAAAGTCTAAAAGAGAGCATGATCTTGATTTTATATTTTTTTTAGGTTGAAAGTGCTTAATGTCACATGAAAAATATTCTGAGTATATGTTAATTGAGAACAAAACTACTATCCCCAAAACCGAAACAAAAAATCCTGGAAGGTTAAAATCAAGCATAGAAGAAGGTAAACCGCCATATTCATCGATTTTTTCAGCATCAATTAATGAGTATTTTGCTACCACTAATAAAATCAAGGTACTTGGAATTAAGCAAAATGTTGTAAGTAGTTTAGCAATTTTGCGGGGTCAAAATGATATATAAACTGGCGGATCTTTGTTAATATATATATAAAATCCAAAAATTGTAAACGATATGAGACATATTCCAAGTAGAGAAATTGTTCCATAAAAGCAAAAATTCATTATCCCGAAATTTGCACAAATGCTGTCATAACTTGCCCATCCCATTAATTGTCAGAGGATCTTATATGAAGTTCAATTATTCACGTTCATATTTGGATATCACGCTAGTGATACTACCTGAAGTGCGAAAACGGTATTGATAAAAATTTCATAACCGAGCTGAGTATTTTTCTTTGTTTTTCTGTTATACCCCACTTTAAAAAGCTGGCCGAAAAATCCATAAAAGTAATTCTTAAAGCTGCTTGAAAATAATGATCGAGCAAAAAAACTTTGAAAATCCTTTACCTCATTCTTTTTTGATTGAGAATTATTTGGCATTTATTAGTAACAGAAATATGCTTTATAAACTTTAAATCAAACAGAAATTGTGGAAAATTCCAGAATTACTGACGAATAGCTTAATCTTCAGAATAATTTAATAAATTTCATATTATAATTCATATTAGAATTTGAATTTTAAAATCAAAAATACTACCTGAAAATTAGTTACAGAATTAGTATATAATAGGGATAAATTAAAAAACTGATAGAATTAGAATTATAAAAAAATTAAGTTTTTAAGAGCAAATAAGATGAAAATCAATTTTTTTAAATTTTTATGATGCCTACTTTGAGAATAGCAAAATCTCGCTTCAGGCTTCTAGGTGATTCTCGATCAAATTTATTAATTAATTTTTTTATTTATTGATATTTATTAAAATATTTTATTTATATTTCCCACTACCGAGCATATTATTCTGAATCCATTGGTAAAATTTCTGGTAAAATCAAGAACCTATTAAGCTGCTTGATCTGCCAATTAAAATATGGTAAATAATAGAAAGTATATAATATAATGAGTGCGATTGAGTATGCTACTGCTGCATTTATTATTGAATCTAGCTCATTGTTTATAAGATTTTTTGAGTCACGATCTGCTAATAGAAACTCTTGGCTTATTTCTTTTTGAATTGCTACTACTTCAGCAAGTATTGCAAGTATCTTTGATGAAGGATTAAATTCATTATATCCCTGATTTTCACAATCGCCAATTATGACATTTATTGCAGCTTCTGTCCCATAATCAAGGATACTTTTATCGGAATCTACCTTATTATAGATTCTTTCTCTTAATTCTTTTGACATTAATTTTTTTAAGCCACTTTCTCTGAGTTCTTTGTTTTTTAATCTTAAAATAGTTGATGCCCTATTAACACTTGTTCATGCATTTGAATATTGAAAATATTGGGGAACTTTTTTTTGAAAGTAATGGGTAAAAGTTTCTCTAGAAAGCATTGATAATCTTCTAAGAGTGGAACGCCTTATATTAAAGTTGCTAAGGAGCTTTGGACGGTTTATCATTAAATCTTCGCATTTTGGATATAAGTATAATGAAATTAAAATGTAGTAAGAAGCAGCAATTATGAAAAAAACCATAAGTCTTCAACTATATTGCATATAAACAGAAGTTTTCACTTTTCTTTTTAATCGATTTCCTGATATTTCCATATTTAAATCTGAACTATAATCAACTCCATGAACGAGGACCAGCCTGTCTACTGCCGAACTCTTCAGTTTAGCAAGTGCCCATTGCGCATTATTTAAAATAAAATTCCAAAATTCGTCCTGCTTTCGTGATACAAAAATTATATATCCTATAATAACCAGAACCAGAACCCCAAGTGCGAAGAATCCAAATATTAAGAGAGCATTTATATACATGCCAGTTTTTTTTACTCTTTCTATTTCGCAATCCACAATCCCATTCATTGTGGAATTTGTGCTTTCAAAAAGATGTCCTGCACCATTAACTAATACAAATCTGATATATTTTAGGTAGGGATCATTATCTGAGATGGCACTAGCCATGCCTTTACACTGAATAAAAAATACATTTAAAATGAGTTCTGATATAGCGTCATATAAATTTGAATATTTTACAGTTGGATCAAAAGCATCAAAATAGATTAAAGGAATCAAAGGATTCGTAACAATTTTTGAGACTGAGCAATAGTTTCATTGGTCAAAATCTTTAAAAATTGTTCCTTGGATAGATTCTGACTCCCCTTTAAAAGCAAGTAAGACTTTATTTGGGCTCAAATTTTCGATTGATTTATTTCAATAGTTTTTCTTACTTTTAAAAGGGAGAGTAAGTCTGATATTAAAATTTGAAAATCTGTAATTGCACTATTTAGCTGTTCATTAGTCTCGCTTGTCTTCTTTAAATTATCAATAAGCCTTGCATAATCTGCGGATAGCCCAAGATTATATAACAGCTGTCCTAAATTTTTGAAAGAGCTTACTCCTCCTTCATTAGCGAATAAAACCATTGGAAATTTCAGTATTTTATATAATGAAATCTCTTAATAATTCTAAATAGATTGCACTTTAACTATAAATTTTATATATTAAATTAATTGGAAATTTCTGAAATGCGCTTTTATAAATATTGGAAAAAATACTGTAAATTTTATAAATTTTATATTAAAAAGCATTGCAATCAACAAATATTTTATATGCTCATGGAAGGGGAATTAAAGACATTGTATATGATATGTCAGTGATCATATACCCCAGAATGGCACCAACAACTACTATAACAGATGACATCTAATTTATTCTTACCACTATAAAAAGCACAATTTCTAGGATCCTAATTTTTCTTTTTGATTCTGAAAGGAGATTTTGAGCTTGTTTTGAAAATTTTGAGCCAACTGAAGATTTTGAAAAATCTTCAGTCCCCGATTTTTTGTCTTCATTTCTTGGAGAAGGCTCGTTTTGCCTCCTGGTACTCATATCTTTAATCCCGAATTCTTCATTAGTATAAACTTCTGTTTCAAATGAAGGCTTTGGCAAAAGTGATATATTGCTGACTGAGAGAAATTGGACTTGGATGCTTTTTCTGCTTTCTTCTTCTATTTGAGATTTATCGAAGTCAAAAGTTATGTCTTGATCTGCAAAATGCATAGATTGGTCATGATAAATTCCTTCTTTTCAGTTTTTTATTTCTTGATCGTCATGAAGAATCATTAAATTACGGATTATGGTGGAGTTTATTTCTTTTTTTGCATTAATAAAAGCAATTTGGCCGCTGTTAAAAGACATTAGCCAGGGCTCAAATTCTCTCATTTTATCTATGTCTAAAATAGGGACTACAGATGATAGGGTTTTGCCTATTAAGAATTTTGATTCAGAGCCAATATAGAAGGGGAAAAGCTCTGAATGTCCCATAATAAACCCATCGTCTGAAATTAATGCAATTTCACGTGTTGCTTTCCTTTGCTCAAAAGAAATCAAAAAATATGCACAGTTGTGAAATGCTGTCAATTTAATTAAAAAATTGCACTCAAATAAATATCCTTGAACATTTTTGAAAAATAAATGTTTGTGCGACGGAAGCTCAATCGTGCTGCTGTCTAACACAAAATCTTTAATATTTGTCATGTGACAAACATCGAAAGGTTGAGGAATAAAATTCAAAAGTGAAGTGCCAAGTATATTTCCAATTGAAGTTTTAAACAATAGTGAAGCTTTTTCATTGATATACATAATATTATTATCAGAGCAAGATACCAATATAATAGGCACATCTTTTCCATAGTCTTCTAATTTTTTAGTATTATTCTGCTTACTCCCCCCCCCCCCACATCCTTGATCGAACGATTGACTGTAAAAATTCCTAAAAATTGGGGAAATTAACCCCCATCCTTGATCGAACGATTTTCATATCATGCAACTTTTATATATATAAAAATATATTAGTTATCAAAAGCTTGGGAAGATGTACCTAATAAAGTTGTTTTCAGGGACTTTGAGACGACAGAAAGCTTCGAAATCAACTATCCGAAGTGATTTAGTCATCAATCTAGGCTTAAAAAATCAATAATCTAATAAAATAGAGATCTTTAAAATTTTAAACAAAAAATTTAATTTAATAAGGAACAAATTAAAATTTATACAGTTTAAAGGGTAACTAATAAATCAAAATATTAAAAATTGGTATTTTTATGAAATTAATTCAATTTTTTGCTCTAAAAATAATTATTAAATACTCTTAACCTTCTTATTTAAAAGTAAATAAATAAATATATATATATATTTTATATATAAAATTTTTTTTTCCAAAAAAAATTTTTTTTAACTCCCATCCTTGATCGAACGATGGCGAGTCGTTCGATCAAGGATGGGGGGGGGAGTTATTTATAATTTTCAAGTCCGTTTTTCTTCCTGATCATTTTTTCTGCTTCTTCACGATTACTTGATATATTCTCTAAAAAGCTTCCATATAATTCATAGCCTTCGACATTCTTATATTTGTCACACAAGTTTTTAAAATCTTCGGAAAGGCTTATTAAATAATTCGTTGTTCTTTTTGCCAAGTTTATAATTTTATCAATTCTTGGGGCTTTTAGAGACGCCTCTGCCTGAAGTTCTATCAGCAAATAGCAAAGTTCTTCATCTTGGATTCTAATTCTGCTGAACTCTTTTAAAAACTCTAAATAGCTTGTTTCAGGAAAAGTTTTGCATTTCTTCTTAACAAGTCACATAAAAAGCCTCCATTCTTGGATTTCTCCTTCAAACGAAGTTTTTGCATTCCCAATTTTCGACAATTTTACCCTGGCTAATCTTTCGTCTTTAACTATTGAAAGACAATAGTTAAATTCCCATATCACAAAAAGCTTGTCTTTTTGAAATTTATTCGCTTTTCAAAAAGTCTTAAATAAATCTAATATCCAAAATTTATCTTCATTATCTTTATCGGTTAATAAATGTCTGAATTTTCTTTCGAACTCAAATTGATTTTTTGGACACTCTTTGCTGTCTTTTAGCTTTGCATAATTACGTCTAACTAGCCTCATTGTCAGAAGAAAAATAATCGGCTGCAGGAAAATTGTAAAAACTATTACAATTGAAGCACTGTCCAAGAGCTCTCCAAAAATAAAAAATAGAATTGTAAAAGAAATTACACTTTGCTTGCATGTTTCAATTATATTTTCAAGCTCATTAAAATAATGCAAAACTGTAATTGATTTATAGCTCAAAGACAGTGAAAAACAAAATAAGATTGATTGATGAATAATTGCTTTTGCATTTACAAAAGTCACGAATGAAATACAAGTGAGGATGTAAAAAAGTCTTTTTTGCACGTCTATAAGAGAATATGATCTGGATTTTAAATTTTTTTCTGGGTGAGAATGCTGAATATCGCAAGAAAAATACTCACAATATAAATTAATTGAAATCAAAACTGCAAGTCCAATGATTGAAAGAAAAGCTCCTTGAAAGCCAAAATCGAGAATAGAGGAAGTCAACCCATCATATTCCTCTATCGTTTTGGTGCTTATTATTGAATATTTTCCTATCATTAATAAAATCATTGTACTAGGAATCAAGCACACTGTTGTGAGTAGCGTAGCAATTTTGCGAGGCCAAATTGATATATAAATTGGAGGGTCTTTTTTAATGTAAATATAAAAACCAAAAACTGAGAATGATACTAAGCACATGCCTAATAGAGAAAAAAATGACGGAAATTTGACTCCGAGATGCATTCCATGTGGAGCAGGTAGGAACCGTCCTGACAGGACCTCTGCATCTTTTTGAAGTATGCCTTTAGGCTTGGTGATGCCTTGCTGAAGAGGGAAGTTTTGATTCTCCCAGAAAGGTTTTACTCTCCCTGCCAGACAGGCTAGACAGATTTTGCCTACCTCTCAGGACCAGCAGGGCACTATCCATTCGGCAGCTCTGCCATAGAGAGTAACCCTTATACAAGATACGGAAGCTTTCCATATTCTCATTTGAAATCCGAGCTTTGTTGAGGCTGACTTTTGGATCCAAGACGAGGTAAAAGCTAGTGGGGTTGCCCTCTTAAGGCCAATTTACAATTTAAATATAATAGAGAAACTGTCCCATAAAAGCAATAATCCATAATCCCTAAATTTGCACAAACACTATCATAGCTTGCCCACCCCATTAGTTGTCATATGAATATGTATGAGCTTCAGCCACTCACACTCATGTTTGGATATCAAGCTAATGATATTACCTGAAGTGTGAAAACGAAATTGGTTAATATTTCGTAGCTGAACTGGACACTTGGCTTTATTTTTCTATTGTACTTTACTTTAAAAAGCTGACAGAAAAATCCATAAAAGTAGTTCTTAAATTTGCTTGAAAAAAGTGACTGAGAAAGAAAGGTGTGGAGGTCCTTGACATCATTTTCGATTGGCCTAAAGGTCTTTGGCATGGTATTAATGACTGAAATGTATAATAACTTATTAAAATCGCACAGAAACTATGGAAAGAAAATTTTTTTTAATAGTTCTAAAATTTATTATAAATTTTATGAAATATTAAATTATGCTTGCCAACGTTCTAATATTAGCTGTATTGAATCTAAATATTTCCAGCAAAAGGAATTATGATTAATAGAAAGTCTTCTTTATTTTTTATCCATATCATAATCCATACAGTTATTCAATTGCTTGAAAATGGCTAATCCATAAAGTATTTTAGTTTTTATGAATTCCTTTGGATTCTTAATAGAATGAATTTTGAATTTTTAACGAAAATCTACTGTAATGTTAAAAATAATGTCATCGGTATTGTTTCTCATTAGTAAAATTTTTTTATAATAAATAATTGAAAGCTGCCAAAAATTATCTCTTATAAAATTACCACAATATCTCTTATATTTATATAAAGACTAGATTCGCACTAAATCACTTTAGACATTATACATAATGAGCAATCCTTCTTGACGCCCAAGGAATTATCTCAATAACCTTAAATAAAGCATCATTAAATTAATAATCACTAAATATATAATTTAGCAATTACAGTTATTACCCAAATTCCCCAAGCTTTAATCCAATTTTAAATTTAAGCTCAAAATCGAAATCAAATTATGATCATTTTTATAACTTTTATTCGAGGATTTTTGATTCGATTATATATCTAAAAATTATTATAATTAAATTACATAATTTAACTGTAATCAAAGAAATTTATTTTGAAAAACTTTCGAAAGATGAGAACTTATCTTTTGTCATTTAGTAGGGAAGGAATTTCTATCCCTGCGTGATATCATCCCACTAGATCCTGGCAGAAATCCTTCCCCTCCCCCGCAGGAAAGTCTTGCAAAGGTGGTTGGGCTTTCTGACTCCGGCTCAATTCCTTGAAGGCAGCTCTCAATATCGCAGTGGTATTTGATGTCTTACAGGCACATAAGGTTTTGCACTGCTCTATTCTCCAAATCTCTGGCTTACCATTAAACCCTAGAAGCAAAAATCATTTCCCAAGGTTCAACGAGAAAACTCCTAGCCGATATATATCAAGTAAACTTTATCTGCTTCTCTGCTTGTTGAAAAAATTGCGCCAAGGTGTCGGTAGTCGTCTTCGCATATTAATTTATATAAGAGTTAAAAATTAATTAATTAAAACATTGGATAGATAGGACATTGGCTTACTTTTATTAAAACCAGATTTATATAAATCCAGAAATATTTGATTAGCTAAAATCAGTGATTGGGTTTTTGTGAAATATTCTAATTATTTCCATGTCCCTCCATGCATACTAATATCATAATCAGGAATTTCTAGAAAAAGATCATCTTATATATAAAGATAGTCACAATTAAATTAATAATGCTAAATTGTATCAAATTCAAATACAATTATTTTTGAGTTATTCTTTATGATCCTTTGCACACCGCATACACCATAAAATTGTTAAGCCTACTTTTGTGGTGAATTTCTGTGATTTTAAAACCATAAGGGAAATAGCCAACTGATATAACTTATTTTAGTGCTATACATAGATTAAAGTCGCATAACATCTAGGCTTTGAAGACAACCATCTAACTCTTATATTAATTTTACTTATAAAAGGCGACTAAATGTTTACTCTCTTAATATTTTTATATACTTATTAAAAATATTCTTTATTTGTATTACTCTCCTTCTCTATATATTAACTTATAGAAAATTGCCCGATGATGGCGCTCAATGCGCCATCATCGGGCAACTTTTTACAGGGTCCACAATGGAAAAGGGTTCCAAGTGTGGAACCCTTTTAACACGTGGAGAATCCTCACTTCCACGCGTCAAAAAGGGTTCCACACGTGGAACCCATTTCACGTGTGAACCCTTAAAAGACGTTGCCCGGTGATGGCGCATTGAGCGCCATCATCGGGCAATCAGTATATATCTTATTCTTTTTAATTCTCAGAAAACCCATAATTTTATCTAAATTATGGATAAATATTCCATAATAAATTTTCTTACTGATAAGTGTTTTGAATTTCTGATGTCTCTTTCGCTATAAAAATAGCCAGATTTTAATCTAATATTTTATAACCATATAAAAAATTCCATGCTTCATACCACAAAAGAAGTGGCTGATCATGAAGACGTCAGCGGGTTTTTAGAGAAGTCTCTTTTCTCTAATAAATTGAAAAATACGGTTTTTGGGTTTTTTGGGCAGCTTTTTGAGGTTAAATATAGCACAAAAATAAGGATCAAGCAGCAGCTATTATATGAAATTACCATAAACATAATCATAACCCTTCAGCTAACTTCTTTGACATGGTACCCCAATTTAGAGGTAGAAGATTGAAAATCCTATATAATCTTCTGGCAAGGCATTGGAATTATAAGCTACGATCAGGTATGTGCCACATTTGGAGTCATGGATTTTTGCTTCTATGGGACGATTTCCCTAATTGGAGCATGCGTTTTATCTTTTGCTACCTTTGGCACATATGTCTATTTAGGCAAGAAAGCGCCTGAATTAGTCATTATTATACCTAGAAAAATAGCTTTAATGCTATCCACGGTTTGCCTAATCCCAAGTTCCATGATTTGTCTTATGATTACAAAATATTCTTTAATTAATGCAAACTACATTGAAGAATATGATGGGAAAACTTCATCAGGCAGCCTAAATTATGGAATTTATGGTGCAGTTTTTGCTTTGTTTTGCATTATAATTTTATTTCCTATAATTTTGCTTTCAGAAGCTTTCACTTGTGATATAAAGCATTCACATGCAAGGAAAAACATAAAAGCCCGATCATCAGCCGAATTAGACATACAGAGACGGTGCTTTTATATGTTTATGTCTGTTTTGTATGTTTCTTTTGGCTCAAAGCACACAATTATTCATCAAATTATTGCGTTAGTATTTGCATTATACTTGCTCTATAAGTGCAACGTATACATGCAGTTTTATAATTATTTAGAAAATTCCATTCAAGCCTGCAAAATGGCCTCGATTTCGTCAACCTTGATAGTTTTTATTTTCGGGCAAATTATGAATAATGCACTTATAATAGTGATTTTTAATTTATTTGTCCAGCCACTGATGATGCTGTTTTGTGTGCATATTGTAATAGTGAATTATAAGAAATTGCAGCATAATCAGAAAATTTCTGAAAATCAGTTTGAGTTTGAGTGCAAAATTCGGCATTTACTTACAGATAAAAAGCTTGAAGATAAATTATCAGTACTCAAATTATTTAAAAAATACTCAAAGTGCAGCCATTTCCAAAAAAATAAGCTTTTTGTGATTTGGGAATTTAATTTTTGTCTTTCAATATTGAAAAATGAAAGACTTGCGAGAATTAAATTATCAAAAATCGGCCACTTTGAGTCTTCATTTGAAGGCGATATACAAGAATGGAGGGTGTTTTGTTGGCTAGTCCAAAGAAAATGCCACTCTTTTCCAGATATACTCATTTATAGTGAACAAATAATTATCTATAATAAATAAAAGAAATTGCAATTTGTTGTAATGAGTTTACTATTTATCTGGAATATCTAAAAGAATTCGCTATAATAAAAAGACAAGACGAAAGATTATGTGATTTTTTAATAGAATTACAAGAAGAATTTTCTTTAAAAATACCCAGAGTAAGAAAGCTTGAATTCATAGTAGGAAAAGCTTGCTGTTCTATAGAAAATGTTAATAAGGGGTATAAAAACCTAATAGAGAAATATAAGAATGTTGAAGCCTATGAAAACTATATCAGCTTCCTCCAAAATATCATGAGTAATCATGAAGACGCAGATAAAATAAATAAAAAGAAAAACGGCCTTGAAGTGACTATCCAAAGAAACGAAAATCAAAATTTAGAAAATTATGGGAAAAATTTAGCCATAATTTTAGTTACTTGTGCTGACAATTCTTTTGGTAAAATTGTCTATATTAATGACAAAGCTAATTTTTTTATTTTAAATTTAAATGAACAGTAGTCAAAAGCTTTCTCAGACTTTTTCAAGCAGCTCAACAGGAAGTTTTTATAAAGACCCAGAAAACCCGAAACCAAATGAGCCCCCGTACTCTTTCCCAATCTGTGCAATTTCATGGGCATAGTGCTTCGCGGCAACATGGAAGAAGAGCGATGGAGGTTGGCGCCAAATTCAGAAGGGCAGAGATAAGCCAACTTGTGGATACGGAGAATGTTTATGACCGTTAATTTAAGAAATGAAGTGACGCGGAGTGTGCTGGGGCCTTCCAAGAGGTCAATCTTTGAAATTCTTAATGATATGGATGTGGAAATGGGAATGATAGAAATAAATGTTTTGGATTTTCTTGGCATGCTCAAGGCTGAATATAGGAAGGACAGGGACTTTGTAAAGGAGGTTAAGGCATGCATCAAAGAGGACTTGGGGTATATTTATAAGAACAAAATCTTGGAGTGGAGAGATAAGGGCGAGAACTTAATCATGATGGTTATCAAAGAAGACGAACTAAATATCCTCTCTGAAAAAGGAAAATGGTTTGTGAGGTGATTCTGCATACTTTAAATATCGACCCCATCTATGTCAATGGATTGCAAGACTTCAGGCACTACAGGCTTAGAATAAAGGTGGATTACAACATTCCTCTGGAGTTAGCGGTTTCCCAGATTGAGAAGAAATGGTGGACTTGGGAAGTTAAGGTGGACACTGAAGCAGGATTGCCAAATGGGGATTTAATAGCATTTGTGTGACTGAAGGATGAAGAAGAAATGATGGAGTTAAGCAACTATGTGGATATCCTAGGATATAGGTGTAGCATGACCCATGCTTTCATGTTTAAATGCAACCTGTGCGGAAATCAAGGACACCGCGAAGAAGATTGTAATGAGGCAAAAGAAGCTATCAGAAGCCTCGAAGCGATTGAGAGAGAAAAGTCGAAGCTTGCGCAGGAGAGATTCAGGACAACGCAGCTCTATTATTGCAGGGTAGAAACTGGGATGGAAAATATCATAACAAATATGCAGGTTGAAGAGAGTAGTCTTAAAATCAAGATGAGAAAAGGAGTTTACGGAGAATTGGAATGCTTTGAGGAGCCTATGTTGGGAAGAAATGTACAAGTGGCTCTTAAGAGCCTGATGATAAAGTTAAGCAAGTACAGTTTTGCACTATGTGTTAATGAGGATGAATGCTACATGGGGTTCATCCAAAGAAGGCGGATACTGGTGTTGAACATTTCAGAGGGTGATGCTAGAGTATGAAAGATGGAGGCAGAAGAACCGAGAAAGATTGAATCTCTGAAAAGAAAGCTTGATTGAACGGAAAGCACAATGAAAAAGCTTAAGACGAGCAATAAGTACATACAGCTGACAGTTGAGGATTGCACCAAAAAAAGGAATGAAGAGTCAGTAGGCCCTAAGAGTTGCATCAAGATAGTGCACTTGAATATATGTGGATTTGAAAGGCAAACTCGATGAAATAGAGCAGATGCTGAGGGAAAAGGACATTGACATTCTGGGAATCTGTGAAACTCATCTGAGTGGAGAAGAATTTATCTCTGTAGCTGGCTATCAGTGAATTGGAAACGGGATAAGTAAAAACAGTAGCGGAGTAGGATTTTTTCTGAAAAGGGACATAAAGTGCAGTGTCATAGAGAACGGAGCTCCGGAAAGTGAAGGCAGATGTATAATGCTGGAAGTAGATAATTTGATAATCATGGAAATCTATGTACCGGTAGAATCCACAGGGAGAGCAATCAGAGACAGTTTTTTTTGATATCTTGAATGAGGAAATTGCGAGCATAAGATTCAGAGGCAAGAATGTGGTAATTTTAGGAGATATAAATGCTCATCTCATTGGATATGCATCGACTAAAACGAATAGAAATGGGAAGAGTCTATTAAGAATAGCAAAAGGATTAGATCTGGAGGTACTCCCTATTAGAGAGCCAACTTTTAAAGGCAGAAATGGTATTCCAACGTGTATAGACTATGCAATGGTAGGCAAAGAAATGCTGGAGGCTGTCATGAAGGTTGGGATTGTGGGCTATCCTATAAGCTCTGACCACAATGCTATAAAAGTCTCTCTTTCCAAAGAAAAGATCAACGGTGAGACGAAAACAATTAGGGCTATACCTCATATTAATGTGCGGAAGCTGTTGCATGAACGAAATAGAGCAAAATACCAGAAGTACCCATGCTGAGATGCATAGGAGAAAATGCGAGTAGAGGGGAGTTAGGCCAAGAATACTATAGACTCAGCGCCACAATAAGGGAATCTGCAATAGATGCTCTAGGGACCCAAATGAGTACAACAGGATACAGAATGAGCAGATATACTAGGGGTTGACTGAAAGAGTCGAGGAATTTGTTCGAGGAAGCATTGATGGACATCCGACGGGGAGATATAAAGTCCTACTTGGAGAATCTCCGGTTTCATAAGGAGGCACAAAGGACCTTCAAAATGTTACTTGAAAGGGAAAAAAGGCAGACGGTTGCAGAGCGGAGGGCAGAAGAGATGGTTTTAGGGATCAATGAAGCTTGGAAGTATATGACATCCATCAAGAAGAGATCAAATAGGGCAATAAGCTTTCAACCTGAGGACAAGAGGAGTGTAATTGAGTGGTGGAGGAAGATGTATAATGGTCCTGAAATTGGGGAACTGATGCTGGCTGAGTCATCGAATAACAATACTATAACGAGAGAGGAAATACTCAAAGAGATTAGCTGAATAAAGAATGGCAAGGCGAATGGACCTGACGGAATCTCTGGAGAGCTCATTAAATATGGTAGTGATGAGTTAAAAAGGGAAAATTGCAGATCTTTTGATGAGGATGTGGGAAGATGAGGAAATACCAAAACATATGAAGTCAGCAAGTGTGATTTTACTGCCAAAAAAAGGAGACGATGTTAGACCTCAGAATCTGAGACCGATCACTCTGGTAAACGCGATTTATAAGTTATTTGATAAAGTGTTCACTAATAGACTGAATCGTGATATTAGCCTTAAGCACATTATGCACTGGACGCAAGGAGGGTTCACAAAAAATCCAGGAGCTGTAGTGATCAAATCTTCATTTTAGGAACAATAATTGAAAGCAGAGAAAGGTTGAACAAGGACACATATTGTGCGTTTTCTAGATCTTATGAAGGCATTTGACTCAGTGGAAAGGAGAATTTTGCTAGAGGTGATGGCTAAAAGAGGGGTTGACAGAAAGTTAATTGCTTTAGCAAGGGCGATGGTAAGTGATGAGGAGAGCATGATCATTATGAATGGAGAGCAACAGAAACCAATTAAAATTAATAGAGGAGTGCGACAAGGAGGATGCTCTTTACCAGTGTGCTTTAATTTCATTCCAAATGAGCTGGCATGGAAAATTGAAGAGCTTGGATTAGGGGTACAACTGGAAGATGGCCTTAAGATTGGGATATTGCTTTATGCTGATGATATAGTTCTGATTGCTGAAAATCCACATATGCTGAGAGAGTTGGTAAGGGCAACTGAGTCATGGGCAGAAGACTACAAGATCGAAATAAATCAGGAAAAATCGGAGATAATGACTTTTGGCAAATCATGTGAGGGTATAAATATAAGGATTAACGGAAATCTAATAAAAGAAGTGAAAGCCTATAAATACCTAGGATATGCGCTAGGAAAGAGAGTAAAAAACACTTACCACCTTGACGAAAGGGTTAGTAAGATGAGAACAGCTATGTGCTTGACCCTTGGCAGATTGAAGTCACTGAAGAATTTGCAAATGCAGAAAAAGCTGACGATACTGAGAGCGTGTATAAACTCAGTAGGGCTATATGGATTAGAGGTAACAGGGAGCACACTGGGGGCTGAAAGGGTACTTGAGCAGTTAGAGGTAATTCAAAGAAGGTGGATCAGATGACTGATGTCAGCTCCTCAGGGAGTAGCAAACGAAACTCTTTATATGGATAGTGGTATCATGAGCATGGAGATGCAGTTGGCTGTGAGAGTCCTTAACTATCGACTGAAGCTTGAAAGAGAACTCAAAAGGGGGACGATGCTGGGTAAAGTGTATGAACTGAATGTGAAACAGGAGCTATCATCATGAGCAAAAATGAGTGCTAAATGATCGAGGTGGTGAAGCTTGATGAGCTGAGGATCTGACGACAAAAGGAAACTAGGAGGGTCATTATGAGCAGGATGATGCCTCATGCTTGGAATACGTATAAGTTTAGAATTGAAAATGAAGTTCGTGCAACAACAAGGCTTTTTGTGACTCTGAATGAGGGTAAAAGTGTCTTAGAGAGAAACCCGTACACTTACTTGAACTCTCATAGGGCTCAGGAAATTGCCTATATCTTTAGGCTCAGGGCTGGTTTTTAACATAACTGCTAAGTCACAGAATACAAGGCACTTGCGACAGAATAGTATTTGTAGAGGGTGTGGATGAATGGTAGAAGATGAAATTCATCTTCTTGATGAATGTTATTTATATGATAGTTATAGGGTGGAGTTATTGATAGATTTAGAAAAGTGTGGGGTACTATATGAAGTTATTGGAGAAAAATTTAAGGTGCATGAAATTGCACTTTATTCGCAGAGGTTTGTGGAGTGGTTTGAAGAAAAGCACAAAGAGAAATTTGAAGAAGTGGATGGCAAAATTAAAAAGTTTATTTATTCAGTGATGAAGTGTCGAGAGAGAAATGCTGAGTTTCAGCGGTAAATTACTAAAAATAAATAAATAAATAATGACAAAGCTATGAATATTTTAGGAATAACTTTGAATCATGCTTTAGATTCTCCAATATGAAATTTTATTCCTCAGCCCTATGACCAGCTCCATGAAAAATGGATGAAAAATTTTTTACACTCATCGAACACGATAGAAGTTTATAACGATTGGCTATTTTTACAAGACTATAAAGGATTTTTAATAGAGTGTAATATCATGATAAAAGCTACAGCATTTCATAATTCTGCATATTATTTAATTTCTTTTGAACAAGTCGCTGCTAAATCTTCTCCATCACTAAGCTAGCAAAAAATTTTGTTCACATAGAGGGGTTTTTTAAAAAACATTATATGCAATTTTTTTTTATTTTTTAAAAAAATCCTAATAGCTTTTATTATGTTTTAAAGTGCAATACAGAATTAGCTAAAGCTTTCATTATAATATATATTAAAATATTTTTTCAAAATATAAGGATTTTTCCAATGATTTTTTTTCTCACTCATTGAGCGGGATTAAGAGAGAAATGGCTCTAATAACAGAGCTTGGAATAATTATTGGCCATACTGAGCATTTTTCTAGCACTATTTTGCATTCCGAAGCCAATTTGAAATGTAAACATATACTAAAATTTCTACCAGGCTTTGACATGCAAAAGGCAAATGAGCCTATAAACTTAAAAATAAAAGACCAGGACCGACTTATAGTGTATATACAAAAAATGCTAAAATCTACAAAACTTCATATTATTTTTATCATTAATGATGAAGCAGAAATAAAAAAAATTAAAGAAAATGATAATAAGCAACAAATTTTTCATTCAGAAACAAATGAATTTGAAAATAAAAACTTTGAAATGATTAAGTTCCAATACCAATTTGATAAGATTTTTGATGGGAACAAAAGAAGTTATTTAAACGAAAGCTCTACACTGGATTTAAGTCCTGCGCTTAACGAAAATTCCTTTTATGGTGATGCTAGTAGCAGCACTTTTTCTATATTAAAAATAAGTACTTTATAATTAGAGCAATCACAAGATTTGGCGCTTCAAACTAAAAAAAAGCTGAGAATTTTACAATTAATATTTTTCCTATTGGTAAAAATTATTTAGATTATTTCAGCCATCAGTTCAATGGCTGCAATATTAGTTTATGTAACAAGTGACATTCCCTTAAGCACCTCTCCGACTATTTTTACACATTTAGGAGAACTTTTATACGATTTAGGGCTTTTAGCTGATTTTTCAAGCGCTTTAGATATAGAAATCCAAGCGAATTCTCAATCTTTGGACACGCAAAAGCTAGAAAATACAATTTTATCATTAATTAATATCCAAAATAGCATCATATCTGATTTTGATGACCGAAAATATTGTAGTGCTTATGATATTGCAACAGATCATAAAATTCCTTTATGAAATTTTGAAGAAAAAAAGCCAAAAATATCGGACGAAAATATTTATAACATGATAGGAGAGTTTATTTATCATGTAAGAATTATTTAGGGACAAAATATGATTAGTGACGTTAAATCAAATAAAGGAAATTATAAAGAACATGCAAAATTTTTAGTAATAAATGGTCTTGGGCTTGCTTATAAATATACTGAAAATGCTATTAAAGATATAGAAGAATGCGAAATAGATAAAATAAAAATGATAGGACTGAATGTCGTGCTATTTTTAACAGCTGGCGTAATTGCTACTTCTATATGAGTTGGGGTAATTTTTTGGTTTATTGTGCTGATGTCGAGAAATTATGATAAATTTTGAAATTTTTTACTAAATAATGCGCAGTTTTCATTGTTATTATTAAAAAGTGCAGTTATCGATAGACTATTAACAATTCATGGCATTGAATATAAAAATGATGAAAATATCAGCAGAAATTTTTATAAAATCAAAAGAAGGGTCGCTACCAAAATTTATATAAAATATACAATAAGGCTTCTGATTTTTTTTGCTATCACACTAAATTATTATTTATTGGTCCAGCTATATTTATACCCCATATGCGAAACATCCTTAATAAACCGTCCTAAGCTACTAAATAATTTCAACTTAAGACGGTCCTTATTATCAAGAGTTTCAATTTTCGCTAGAGAAAAATCATCATTTTACCTAAAAGAAACATTCCCAACCATCTATGACTTCGCAGACCCTAAAATTATGTTAAATAAAACCGCAGCTTCCCTCTTTGACAAAAACGACGAATTAAGACAAAAAGAATTTTCGAATTTAATGTCAAAAGAATTAAGAGATGAAATATATGAACAAATTAAAGGGACTTCAATGCTGAGTTTTGGCTCATTTACAAGCATAGAAATTGCAAAATATGACCTTTATGATATCGCTAATAAAAATTATGTATCAAAAGAGGAAATGGAAGAGCTTTCGTATCATATCACATGCATCGAAAATCAAATAAATTTGGAGTATCAAATGGCTAACCATGACTCCAAAAGCATCATCGATTCACAAGTAAATGTGATTATTTATGCATCTGTTTTTTATTCTGTGGCTCTTCTCGTGCTATTTTGTTTTTATTATTTCCCTTCAATAAATAGTGAAATCAAGCAGCTCAATTTATATTCAATTCTGCCAAGTATTTTGCAAATCGGATCAGATCTATAAAATTTATTTATTTTTAAATAAAAATTAAAAAATATTAATTAGAGACTTAGCCAATTAGTTATTTATGTAGGTTCAGCATTTATCTCTAATATGTTTGGGAGTATTGCAAATCTGCTTACTCCCCCCCTCTGTGAGAGAGCAAAAAATCTTGTTCACTCACGAAGTGGTTAAATTTTTTTTTTTTAAAACATTTATATATAAAATTTTAAAGAAATTTTTTTCTGAATTTAAAAAAACATTCAAGGAAATTTTAATTTTAATTATAAATTTTTTTAATACACAATTTGTTTAAAATTAAACAGAATTAGCTTGAGATTTCATGATACTATTTATCACTTATATATCAAAATTTTTTTCCATAAAAAATTTTTCTATTAAAAACATTTTTGTTCACTCACGGAGGGTGGGTTTTTGCACAAAAAATAGGGATTTTTCTAATGGTTTTGTTCACTCACGGAGGGGGGAGTTAGTTGTTTTATTTGACTATTAAAATATGGCAAGTAATAAATGAAAAACAATAAGCAAACAGTTAGCGAGTAAAATATTGTAGACTCAATAATGGCGTCCAGCTCGCTATTAATAATATTTTTAGAGTCTCGGTCAGCAAGAAAGAATTCCTTTAAAATTTCATTTTGAATATTCTGTAATTTCTCAAAATATTGGCTTAGTTCATCTGTATTAATTAAATTTTTATAGAAAAGGCTATATATTTCATCAATAATATCATCAATAGAAGCATCAGTTCCGTACTCTAATACCTCTTCAGTTGAATTATTGCTTTTATAGATTCTATTTAATAACTCCTGTGACATCAAAACTGAGAAATTTTCTTTTTTTATTTCTTTTCTTTTTGATTTTAATATTTCAAAAGTATTATCAGCCATTATCTGAGAATTTGGAAAATCATAAAAATCTTGGAATTCGGTTATAAAAACAGGGCTTCTCATATCTCTAGCAAAAATATCAAGTCTCGAAAGTAAAGTTCTAAAGAGACTAAAATTGTTAAGCAGCAATGGGCGGTCTATCATAAGTGTTTGGCAGTTTGGATATAAATGAAAATAGACCAAAAAATAGTATGAGCCTGCAATAGCGAAAAAAATGAAGATTCTTGAAATATAAGATATAATAATTGCCAGAGAATGGCGCTATTTGCGCCATTCTCTGGCAATACGGAAAATCGGCCCCACACGGGAACGATTTTTTTCACACGTGGAAATCAGGATTCTCACGTGTGGAAAAATGGCTCCACACGTGGAAAATCGTTTCCCGTGTGGAGCCGATCCTCGGGCTTTTTCTATAGATATATTTTTGATTTTATTTTGCGGGGATGATGGCGGCTTGCAATAAAACCTTGATTTTCTTCTCTTGTATATTCATTTCTATGAATTATCATTAATCTGTCAATTGAGCAAGCTTTTAGATTTGATAAGGATGATTGGATGTTATTCAGCATGAAATTTCAAAATTGATCATATGATTTGGATGCTAAGATTATAAATAAGCATAGAGATAATACTAATAGCCCAATTATTGAAAACCCCATCATAATAAAGGTGTTAATATACTTTCCAGCCAGCTTAATCCTATTTATTTCGCAATCTACGATACCATCTGTCGTCATATTAATATACTCAAATACATATGAAAGTCCATTTAACATTAAAAATTTCATTTCAGGAGAAAAACCATCATCTTCATACAAATTATCAAGCGTTTTAGAACCCTACATAAAGAATACGCTATATATGAACTTCGATAGTGTATCATAAAGGTTGTTATATTCAATATATGGTTTCTCTCCATTAAAAATCCATAGCGGAATTAGTTTTTCATGGATTATTTTTGAGCTTTCACAATAGCTTCAATGATCAAAATCGTCTAATAGGTTATTTTTGATGTTTTGAATCCCAGTTAGCAAGCTTTGGAAATTTTTATAATTCAAATCTTTTTGAGCTTGAGAAACACTGCTACTTCTGGCCTGCCTAGATAGGATTCTGGTGGAGTCTGAAAGCGCTTCTAAATCGTATAAAAGCTGCCCAAGATCTCCAAGAGAACTCATTTTTGATGTATTTGAAGCATCCGATATTATATAAGCTAAAATTGCTATCATCGTGATAACAACAACTAATATCTAAGTTTTTCTTACTTACTTACTTACTTACTTAATTATCTGGTGTTTAAGGTGTCTAGTGCCGCAACCCAAAAGGGCTATGGCAAAACTAGTGACGTAGGCGAGCCATCTTGGCACGGGTCAGCCCCGTCCAAGCCTTCTATCAACTCCTGCTTCACCGGCCTTGCTGGACGTCTCACCCGGCGCGTTGCCATCGCCTTTGTCGCTCGATTCAGCTCCTGCGCGTGTTCCGCCTAAGGGTCATCCTCCCGTGGGGATGTGCTGAGAGGTAAAAGCCCGAAATCTTGAGAGGACTGAGGAGTGGTTCCTTTGGTTATCCCCAAAGTTAAACCGCTATTGCTGTCCAGAAGTTCTCGAGTGAAAACCTAACCCTATAAATAAAATTCCATGAGGGAGAGAAAATTAGCAAAGCTAATTTCTCTCGAACCGAATGCCATTTTATTTATCTAACTCCCCCCCCCCCCCCCCTCCGTGAGCGAACAAAACCATTAGAAAAAATCGCCATTTTTTGACCAAAAACCCACCCTCCGTGAGTGAACAAAAATTTTTTTAATAGAAAAAATTTTAATGGAAAAAAAATTTTGATATATAAGTGATAATTAGTATAATGAAATCTAGAGCTAAATCTGTTTAATTTTAAACAAATTGCGTTTTAAAACATAAATTTTGCAAATTAAATTAATATTTGCTTCCCAATTTTTGCAAATTAGGATTTTTTTAAATTTCGAAAAAAATATTTTTTATAAAATTTATATATAAATTTTTTTTAAAAAAAAAAATTAACCCCCCTCCGTGAGCGAACAAAATTTTTTTGTTCGCTCACGGAGGGGGGGGGGGGAGTAAGTTTTTCTTACAATAATAAATAGAGCTCATTGAAAAATTCTAATTTTTTTCTTCAAATTCAGCAGCAACAATTTACCTATATTCGCCTTTTTACTATTTCTCATTCTTAATGAAGAAAGCTTCGATTCAACACCTGATTGATTTTCAGTTTTATTTTCTTCAATCAAATTATCCGGACTTTCTAATATATTGATCTCTTTAATACGGGACTCTTCACGGTCAATAGAAAAGAGATACCCATTAGAGTCTCTTTTATTAAAAAATCTTCAATTAGGTATCTCATTATTATATACAATAAAAATGGCGGCATGTGCCGCATATCCTCTATGCTCAACAGTAGACCTTAAGGTAAAGGCAGCAGAGATTAATGGTAGATTTTGGTTGCTTAAAATTATTGGAAATGAGGCACATAGCAATTTCTTCAGAATAATGTCCCTAATGAGAAACTGAGGTTTTCGGCCCAAGTTATGAGAGAAGTCTTTTCATGTAGCTGTAAAATGCATTTTGGCACCTGATAGACTCTATGAAGCTGATCCATGAATCAAGCTACTCTCAATCGCCCTTTTGCAGATCGCAGAAATCCATAAGCCCCTCACCCAAGACTGAAGCCTTGACAAGGAAGCAATGATTTTATGGGTAGCTCGTTTTAAGCAGAAAAAATCTTATGCGGGAGTTCCTTGAGGACTAATGTTACCACTAACTAGCTAGTTATCTGATTATTTACGCCTAAATTCTCAAAATTTCCAAGCTGTTCTTGAGCCTCTCCTTGCCTTCACTTTTGGATTTCGTTCCTATCATAGATTATTAGTAAAACATGAAAAGGAGTCGATTTTATAGTTTTTGTGATACGTAAAAGTAAAATTTCTTTACCATTAATGTTGAAAATCAATGAAGCGTTATCTTGAATATTATGAATATTTACCTTAGCCAATATTTCTTGAAGTTGCTTATTATGAGCATATTTTATTGATTTTTGAAAAAATTGCATAAAATTCTCTGACCTGCTCCTTTAAGTAATTATTTTTTTAATTTTAAAATTTAATTAATTGTTTTCAAGTTTTAAAAACTCTAATTTATAGAATTGAAGCTATTAGAAATCTTTAAAAATAAAATTTTTTGCTTTTAAAGGGTAAATTTTCCCAATAGCGTGCTTACTGTTAAAGGAGGAGTGAGTGGCTAAGAACGATATTTTCTTGAGAAATTAATGCAATTTGCCGAGTTGGGGGTCTCGGCTTAAAGGAGATTAAAAAGTATGCAGAGCTATCAAGTGCCGTAAGTTTTATTACCATTTGGCACTCGACTAAAAATCCATCATTTGTTTGCAAAAATAAATTTTCATGACTAAATATTTCAGTCGACTCACATTCCTTGAAAAAAGTTCTCATTAAATTTGTATGTGTTGCATTAAATGGCTGAGGTATAAAATTGCTCAAAGAAGTCCCATAAGCACTTTCTGCTGAAATTTTTAAAATTTGTTCTGCCTTATGGTTTATATACGCAATTGTTCCAAAGTCTGATTCTTCACAAGAAATAAGTAGAATTCCCATATCTCTGCTGCATTTTTCTAGAGATTGATGCTCATTTAATTCACTATGCCGATCTATTCAATTTTTCCCCCTTTTTATTAAATTGGCTTCTTCTGCGTTATTCATAATCCCTTCAAGAAAACTGGCATAATACTCATAAGCTTCCACATTTTTATGCCTTAAGATAATTTTTTGGTATCCTTCTTTTATCTCATCAATACCTAAAGCTGCTCTATTTACCAAATTAATTAATTTTTGTATTCTTGGAGCTCTAGAGCCAAATTCGCCTTGCAGCTCAATTAGAACATTGCAGAGATCTTCATCTTTGAGTTTTATTCGATTAAACTCTTTTAAAAATAGCAAAAATTCATACTCTGGGAACTGTTTAACCTTTCTGTTAAGCCAATTAAATATTCTTCATTCTTGAATAGATTGTTAAAATGATCGTGGAATTAGGCCTTTGATATGCTTCGAGTTAAATAGGATCCTATTGAAATAGATTTTTGGAGGTGTTTTTGTGGGGGGCCTTTTTGCATCGATTACAAATGAATGACCTTGCGTAATATCTTTCTGCACTTTTTAGAAAACAAATTTTAGTCTGCGATAGAGCTGAGGCAGGATAATAAAATGGTCTTTGACAATCAAATAATATTCAAGCCTTTCAAACGATAGATAGTCCTTAATCATTAGTCAAGATCAAGATCTCGTCCCATCGGGCTGCTGACTTTATCATTTTTTGGCGACTCAGGGAGAAAAAGGCCGTTATTTTGAGTTATGCTTAGCACCACCTGAGCTCAAAACTAATATTTGTAGGGTAGGGCTGAAATAAGACCTAGTGATCCACTAACTTAGCCTAATCATTCCTGAATTTCCCCTTCTAATGATGCATTAGCCTTTTTAATTTTTGAAAATTTTATTCTTGCCAATCTTTCATCTTTTACGCCTGATCTACAGAAATTAAATTCTCAAATAATAAAAATTTTATCTTTTTGGAATAGGCTTGATTTTCAAAAATTTTTAAATAAATTTAAAGTGTTGTTTTTTTCTTCATTTCTGCTATTTATTACTCTTCCCTTAAATAAAATAAAGCATACGTAAAATTTTCATTTTTTGGGTAGTTTACTCCTTTAAATTATTACAAAGTTAGGAAGATTGCATAGGTGAAAAATAAAATTAGTTTTGGCCTAATTTAATTAGAGAATAAATGATTTAAATAATTTTCATATCGAATCGATTAATTTTTTGAATTAATTCTTTATAAAAAATAGATTAAATTTATATTTTAAATTTTTTATAAAGAAAATTTAATATAAGTAATGGTCTAAAAACATTTAGCTCCCTCTAAATTTAACAGAATTTTTTATTCCAAGTTCAAGGGAGGGTGGTTAGTAAATTTCTAAATTTTCTTTCAAAATTGAACTGATTTTTTATGATATTTTTGGATTTCGATAAATTTTTGTATTGAGAAAAAACAAACTTAATAGAAATAAACAAAATTAATGGCTGCAAAAAAATACTGAAAACCAATATTATCATGGAATTATCTAAAGCTCTTCCAAAGAGAAAATTAGATAAATTCAAAGAAATCATTGCAAAAGCGGAGGCTTTAATGCTGTTTTCAATCATATTGAAATATGGCAAACAAATTGTGCATTTTGCTAATAAGTATAATGAAATTACCAATGACGAGATTTGGTAGCTAATAGCATAGCTATCTCCAAATGAAAAATAAAAAATGCATAAAATCACATAAAAAAATTTTGTTTGTAAATCTAGCTCAGACGAAGATCTTGCTTTAATATTTTTTTTGTAATGGGAATGCTTCATATCACAAGAAAAAACTTCGGATAAAAAATTGAGAGTAATTAATATCAAAATTGCAAGTATTGGGATTATAATCCCTATATAACCATAATTTATGTCTCCAGTGGCAATTTTTCTATTATACTCAGCAATTTTATCTGCGTTTATAAGGGAATACTTCAATGCCGCAAGCATAATATTCATGCTTGGAATCATGCAAAACGTTGTCAAAAGTAGTGCGATTTTCCTCGTTAAAAAGCTAAAAATAGCTGATGGTTTTTTGTTGAGATACTTAAAATACCCAAAAATGACTATAAATACCATTTCTGCAGCAATGAGAAGCCCGGTTCCAAAGAAGCAGAAATTTATGATATTTAAATCAGCGCACACTGAGTCGTAGCTAATAAAGCCTAAAATTTTCCAAACCTCTTCATAAGCAGCCCAATCAGTGATATTCATTTTTGGGTATCAAGCGAGTGATATGGCTTGCAAAGTAAATATTGTATTGATCAAAATCTCGTAAAATATTTGATGTTTTACATTAATCTTTTGGGAGTATTTTGGCTTGAAAATGCTGCTAAATAAACCATAAAAATTAATTTTCAGTTTGTTTGGAATAGTTGAGTGGGCAAAAAGACTATGGGAACTTGATAGCTCTGTTTCCCAGCCAACTAGGCTGCTTATCATTAATTTATTTGATAAATATGCTTTAAAAACCATGATAAGATTTTATTGGTTCGATAAATCTGCTACCGATCTGAATAAGACAGGAGTTGAATTTATCATGACTTAAAGGCTAGTTATATAGCTTTAAAAAATATAAATTTAGTATCCTCTATTAAACTGCAGTCACTTATACTCTCAGTTATATGGCCAACCCTTTCCTAATGCATCTTAACGATTTCGATGCGTTATATTTAAATCCCATCCTTTTCCTTAAAAGTCGAATAATCAAAAGAATCAACAATATTTACTCTATTAAATTGATTATAAAATAATAGTTCCTAATTGAAATTTATAGAACAATCACCAATTTAAATCACCCAAAAGTAAATAACGTACATAAAACTTTCCATCGTGATCATATAAAATTTTTAACATTTAAATTGCTTTTCTTACGACAATTTTACCTAAAACCAAAGAAATTCTGAAAATAGTTCCCAAAATTGGCTAATCTTTAATTTTATAAAAATTCAACGGTCTAAGGTAGCAGATAGCTAAATTATAAATTGATTGGCATTTATATTTTAATCTTAATATCATTTATCTTGAAAAATATTAAGTTATTAAGAATTCAATTAAATTCACAATTTAGTCGATTAGGTTAGTTTAGGCTATTTAAAGTCGGGCGTTGGCCATATTGGTGACGCAGTCACCAAAGACCTCCCGCACGGTAGCTTTTCGACTCCAGAGAGTCTATTCCCCAAAAAGGGATCCACTTCCTGCAACTTCTGTCTCCTCCTTGCCTTGCAGCTTCAGTATTGAGTGCTTTTGGATTTCTGAGGCCCTGCTATAGGCGATTGGATTAGCTTGATTCTATGGATCCTTGCAGTGTATCAGGCCTTGAAGTGCTTCCTTCGAAAGTGACAGGAAAAAGACTAATCCCCTATGGCCTGAGCTGAAGCCCTAGCTTCTTGGTCGAGGAATGCCCATAGGTCCTCAGAACCAAAGAGCATTGTTGAGCACCTCCATTTTTAACCACAGGAAAGCAGTCAAAGCCTACCTGTATGTACACCTCTTGAGCCTAAGCTTGATAATCGACTTGGAGTCCGTCCCAGTTCGCTCTAGACATAAGGTCTGGACTGTACGCCAAGAGGGCAGGTTGACGCGTGCCGACATTTTAATGTATTTCATAATTTACTAAATTATAAATATTTAATAGATGGATTGCTGTTTAAAATAATAAGGAAATCACATTATAAAGCCAAATCCATCTCTAATGTTTCACAAATTGTTCACCAATTCGTATATTAAGACCTTCAATTGTGCTAATCATTCGGACCAGGCTGAAATTTGTTACTTTAAGTTCGACCAGTGTGGTGCACCACGTCTGGCTATAGTATATATGTCAATGAAAAATCAAAACGTCCGAATGTCAGCAAAGATAAAAACTCGAAGCTCAGGATGCAATGATTGATATGCTTTTATAAGCCAAGAACTTCATGCCCTTTTCCATAAAAAAAAATAGCCCGAAACTGAGCTTCAGTTTATCAGCTCAGCATAACCACTCCATCTGCGCAAGGAAAACGCTCTATATCTATTCTTTTTAGCTTCCTCAAACGCTCCATTCCTATAAGTCACAAATTGCCTTAACTAACAGGGGCTTGCCTCCTTAAGAGATGTCTCTATTGGAAGGAAGGAAACTATCCTGCAAGCTTGCGCCACTACCATTAGCTTTTATGCGCAGGAATATGGCTCAAAAATCATGTCGAAGCCCAAATTAATCACATGGAAAGGATCCAGAGAAGAATGGGTGGTGGCTCCTAGAGCCCCAAATGGCACAGCTAATGCGAAAGATTTGATGGAGTAATGGATATCCATACGTAGGAGAATCGCAGCAAGGGCCCTTAATTTTAGACTGAGACGTCAAAGAAGCAAAAATGGCTGACCAAAGCCCTAATGCTCCTTAACTTTGAAGAAAGCTTGGACTAGCAGACTAGGTGTTCGAAGCAGCTAAGGGGCTATTTTATTGAGGATTGACTATCCTTCAAAGGAGCAGCGACGAAAAACAATGGAGGTCAGAGATCCAGAGCAGGATCAGGATTAAAGAGTACGCAACAACATGCTGGTCATGCAGGAGGAAAAGAAGTTAATCAAGCTATACGCCTGTTTGTAGCAAGATATGGAAATGAAAAGACCTTTCATTTTCGCATAAATAAGAGAGCTGGCACATCGTTAGGGAATACAGGTATAGAGCTGGCTTTAACTCCTGAACTGCTAACATTCATATGCGGAGATTGGCAGTCAGCCCAGACTGCCCCATTTGTGGGATAATTTACGACGAAGCTCATCTAATCGAGGTATGCAAATAGTGCAGAGAGGCGAGGCAGAAACTTTCTGAGGATCTGAATAAAATTCGCTGTCACTCCTGGGTTTTAGGCTATTGGATATCGCATTATACAAATATGAGTTCCTTGTAGAGCTTGAGGAGATGGCCAAGCAAGATGCAACCTAGCCCTCCATGGCGGGCAGAGCGGCTAAGAGGCTCTAGAAGCGGTTCTGGCACAAAGACCTGGAGAGAAACTGGAAGAGCAGACCAACCTAAATCCGCTAATTCAATCAAAGCTTGATAGATAGGCCCAGAGAGAGTCTCTGCATAAAATCGACCTCGGGCCGGTGGCCAATTGACTGGAAAGCGGGCTCTAGCAGGAATAAATTGCTGCGCTTGGTGTAATTTTCAAAGTTCGTAAGAAAGCAAAGAAGCCGACAAAATTGGGCAAGGCTCAGTGGCATGAAGGAAGACCTAGAATAGAATTTTTTTTATTAAAAATCCGCCATAAGGGCGATTCTCAAGTTCAGATTTTAGCCCTTGTAATTAAACACTGTTTACTGGTTAACTAAGCTAAGAGGGTTTATTCGCCACTCTATTTAATATGCATAATATTTAATAGTCAATTTGTGTAGGCAAAATGCTTGGCAATACTGCGAATAGCTTAAGTTGGTTCATTTGTAAGTTCAAATATGGAAAATAATAAAAGAAAAACAAAGCACTTAGAGCTACTGAGTAAATGATTGTGGTGTTTATAATAGTGTTCAGCTGGCTATCTATAATGTTTTTTGAGTCTCTATCTGCTAAATCAAACTCTTCACCAATCTCAACTTTTATTAATGTGACAAGATCTCTTGGTTACCGTAGAGTTGAACTTATTGGAATGCAGGAGGATGCTCATCCTAGGCTAAGCAACCTTTTTTTCCTCGACCTACAGCGTCTTGGGCAACTTCGGCCTGGAATCTTAATTCATACTTAGTACTTAATTTTTTGATCAGAATTCTAGTTTGTATGGCGATTAGAATGATTGAGCTAACCCGAAGATGTCACTAGGACATTTCAGCTACTTACAGACTTTCTGTACGGTTCCCATCCTCCAGGCTGCAGGGTTCTCATTTCCGGTTGTTACCGGTGGACGTGGACTCACCTATAGAGGAAGGCTTTTACCGAGTTCAGTAAGGCATCTCATCAGACCTATTCTAACTAATCTCCTATCTCATCTTGAATTACCTTAACTTTACTCGCAAATTCTAAAACACTGTCTTCGTAAGCATAGCTAGAATTTCCATAATTTTCAATATCTCTAATAATTACATCAATCGCAGCCTGAGTCCCTTCTTTTAATTCTTTAATTGTTGCCTCACTTGTCTCATACAGTCTTCGTTTTAATTCTGAAGAAATTAAATTAAAAAATTTTTGTTCATTTATTTCGGTATTTTTTTCTTTTAATTTTTTTATAGTGAGGTCTTTGATTGTTTCAGAATTTGGAGAGTTATAGAGGTCTGGGAGACAGTAATAATAGAAATCGTGATAATTTCTTTGGGAAAAAATTGATGATCTTGATAGGAGGGATCTTCGAATTATAAAATTGTTAAGCAGTTTTGGACGATTTATCATAGTTTGATCGAGATTTGGGTACAAATAATTGAAAATTAACAAGTAATAAGACGCAGCTATAACGAAAAATATCATAAGTCTTCTTATATACTCTTTATATAAGGTGCCTTTGACTTTTCTTATATAGCTTGGCTTTATTTTATCATCTAAATTTACATCAAAAGTGTTTTCAACTCCATGAGTTGTTGCAAGCCTATCAATTGCTGCACATCTTATCATAATCATTTGCAATTGTGTGTGATTTAAAATAAAATTCCAAAATTCGTCATATTTTTTTGACACAAGTATTATATACCCCACAATTACTAAAACCAAAATCCCTAAAGTGCCAAACCCAAAAAGCAAAAGAATATTAATCATTTCTCCTGTGCTTTTTACTCTGTCGACTTCACAGTCAACTAATTCTGACATTGTAAGATTTGAGTAATGGAACATGTTTCCTAGGCCGTTTACAAATAAAAATTTTGCATATTTTTCGTAATTTTTTTCTCGTCGAACTGAAGAAATTACATTTTTTCCCTATATGATAATTACATTTGTGATGAATCTTGCTATAGCGTCATATAAGTTATTGAATAAAATTTCTGGACGTTTTTCATCAAAAATCCATAGAGGAATTACAGATCTGTCGGTAATTTCATAACTTTTGCAGTAGCTCCATTTCTCAAAGTCTTGAAAAATTGATTCTTGTAAATATTCGAGATCTAAAACAACGCCTTCTAAGCTGTCCGCAACTTTATCAATTTTTGTATAAGAGCTATCAGTTTTTATCAATGTATGCTGCCTTAAACCTGCATTTTATAAAATTAATATAATTAGCCTATTTTTCAGGAAAATAAAGAAATCAGTCATTTTACCATAAAATTAAGAAAATTAATATAGAATATCTAAAGTTAATGATAAGTCTGCTGAAAGGCCAAACTCATAAATTAAATCCCCAAAATGCCTAAACGAGCTCAATGCATTTGTATGTAATACATCATTTTTCATATACGCTAAAATCCCAACAACTGTTATAATAACAGACGACATCTAAATATTTTTTACCACAAGAAACAGTACAATCAGCAATATTTTTATTTTTCGTTTTGTGTTTGACAGCAATTTTTCGGTATGGTTTAATAGTTCTGCAGCTGGGTTTTTAATCGACGATGCTTTTGAGGAATTTGATCTTTTGTCGTTAGGCTGGCTTTCTTCGTATCCTTGGTCAATATAAGTTTCATCTGAGCGAGCAAAAATATCAGTTTCTGTTTTTTCGACTAGTTTTGTGGAAGTGGACTGAGAATTCATTGAGTGGAATTTTACTTCAAAAGGTTTTTGCTTTGGGAAAAATGGAACGACGTTATTGGTTGATTCGTTATCTTCAGTAGGCATTTGGAATGAGCCTAAGTGCCTAATGATGTCTTCTGATTGGCCCTCTTTTCATTTTTTAATTTCGTTTTCGTCGTGTATGCTGAATTTGTATGATAAGGTTCTTTAGTAGAATAATTCCAGATTATTTTTATAGTTTTGTAAATAATCTAGTGAATTGATTCAATATGCTAAATTATATTAGAATGAGGATGTTTAAGGAAATATTTTTTATCTGCTTTTTGGTTTTAACTAAAAGCATCTCACTTAGTCCATATGGAAGAATTCATGGCTCAAAATCATGCAAATTTTCTATATTGCTAAAAGGCAAAAACTCCGATAAGTTTTTGTTTTTTAAGTCTTTTTCTTGATTAGTAAGATAATATGAAAATAACTCGGTATGAGCCATAATAATGCCTTCATCAGTAATTAAAGCTATTTCTCTTATGTTTGGAGCAGGTCTAAATGAAATTATAGTGCATTTCATATTTTTCATTAGTATTTTGCTAGCTATTATTGGATTTTTCATATATATAAGCTTATAAAGAAAAATTTTTTTAAAACAACAATAAAAAATAAGCGCAATTGTGAAAAGCGGTCAATTTTATTAAAAAATTGCACTCAACTATATACCCACCGTGGCTCTGGATAAAAAGCTTTTCATGAGTTGAGAGTGATATTGAGTCGCACTGAAGGATAAAATTCCTCATCAGATTTTCATGCAAAGAATCATAAGGTTGAGGAATATAATTCATAATAGAAGACCCCAATATATTCCCAACTGTTGATTTTAGTACCTGAGCAGCTTTTTCATTGATATATAAGGACCCCCCTCATTTGTCCAATTTTCTAGTCTTTTATCATTTGTCCATTTTTCTAGTTTTTTTTATAGGAAAAAAAAAATGTTTTTAGGACCTCATTTGTCCAATTTTCTAGTCAAAATTTTTGATAGAGAAAAAAAAATTTCAGGATCTCAATTGTCTCATTTTCTAGTATTTTTAAAGTAAAAAACTAGAATTTAGGGCATTCGAAAAAATACAAAAAAAGACTAGAAAATTGGACAAATCGTTTTTGACTAGATTTTGGGACAAATGGGGTCCTGAAAAAAAAAAAATTCTTATAAAAAAAAGACTAGAAAATTCGACAAATGAGGGGGGGGGGGGTCCTTACAATAGTTCCAAAATTTTCATCGGAGCAAGAAACAAGAATTGCAGCGAGATCTTTTCCATAGTTTTCTAAGCTTCTTGCATCACGATTTATATTAAAAAAATTAATTCCGTTTTTCTTTCTTACAATAGCTTTTGCTTCTTCATGATAACTAAATCTCCCTATTAATAGCCTTGAAAATATTTATCAAAAAATATATTTTTTAAAAATGTTGCTAACTCTCCCCACTCTGTGAGAGAACAAAAAAATTTTGCTCACTCATGGAGGGGGGTTAAATTTTTTTTTTTAAAAACCATTTATATGTCAATAATTTAGAAATTTTTTTTTCGAAATTTTTAAAAAAATCCTAATTTGCAAAAAATTGGGAAGCAAATATTAATTTAATTTATAAAATTTATTTTTTAAAACGCATTTGTTTTAAAAATAAGCAGAACTAGCTCGAGATTACATTATACTAATTAGCACTTATATATCAATTTTTTTTTCATAAAAATATTGTTCTATTAAGAAAATTTTTGTGGGTTTTTGGGCAAAAAATAGGGATTTTTCCAATGGTTTTGTTCACTCACGGGGGGGAGTAAGTCTAAGCTAATTTTTCTTTTTCACTAAAATCTCTAAAATTCCATAAAATAATTCACATATTGAAGTAAGTATATCGTCAAGATAGCTCGCATATATTTCAAAAGCTTCTAATTTTTTGTATTTTTCTATCAAATTTTTGTACCCATCTGATACATAAAGAATATGCTGGGCCGACCTCCTCACTAAATTTACCAATTTTTGTATCCTTGGTTTTTTTAATGAAAACTCAGCTTGTAATTCAGTCAAAATCATGCAAAGCTCTTCATCTTGGCTTCTAATCCTACTAAACTCTTTTAAATATTCTAAATAGCTTGTGTCAGGAAATGAAGAGTGCTTTTTCCTGACAAGCCAATTGAATAATCTTCATTCCTGTATACACAAATAAAAATGGTGACTACTCTGACCCGTCCTTCTCCCACTGCCTCGGGCATTGTGGGTCTAAGAGGGATGGGGCCTGGAGAATTTGTGTCCGGGGTAGGTTTTTTCTCCCTGGCCAGGACACCATGGCAGGGTTTTTACCTCGACCTATGACAAGAAGACCAGAGTCGCAAAGGCAACCCCACACTCCTGACAACGAAGGTAATAATGAAGGACAGGAGGAGGCTTCAGAACACCTACCGTCTCCCACCTCCGGACGGACGGGCTGGCCGATAGGAGTTGCCCCAAGAAGTACCTGGGTGTGTCACCTCGAGAGCGCTGACGTCACCATTTTTTGGTGACGTCGACAAAAAGGGCGTAAGTGCTATCCCATGCCTAGGCCGAGAGGCTGAAGTGGGAGAAGGCGGCGAGTGGCTGAAATAAACCGCGAAGACCCTCACGAACTTAATCTAATCTAATCATTCCTGTACATCACCTTCAAATGAAGACTTCGCATAAGCAATTTTTGAGAGCTTAATTCTTGCAAGTCTTTCATCTTTTAGCATATCTAAACAAAAATTAAATTCTCATATAACAAACAACTTGTCCTTAATAAATTGGCTTTCTTTTCAAAATTTTAAGAATAAATTCAAAATTTTGGTTTTATTTGTTGCTTTTTCGCCACTGAGGAGATGCCTGAATTTTCTTTCAAATTCATATTGATTTATAGGGATATTTGGATTTTTCCTTAAATTTTGGTACTTTTTATTTACCATAATTGTAGTAAGATAAACTACAATAGGCAGTATGCAGAAAGTAAATAGCATGATGATTAAAGCATTATCTAAAATCTGTGCAAAAATAAAAAACAGTAGCGTAGAAGAAATCACCGCTAGGTTACAAGCTTGAATAGAGTTTTCAATTACGTTAAAATATTGTGCAGATTTAACGCATATTGTAAAAAGATATAATGAGCCCATAAGTAAAACAATTTGATAAGCAAAGGCGTGATCAGAGTTTCCAAATGAAACATAAACTATTGCAGAAAGGATAGATTATGCCTTAAATATCTTTAAAAACCTAAAAATAAGCTATTTAGTATTAATTTTTCAAAAATAGGGTGATCATTCATATTAGAAAAATATATAAAATGCACATGATCATATAAAACCCTCTTCTTTGCAAGTCAAAACTAGCACATGACCGAGCTTTTAAATTTTTCTGTGAATGGGAATGTTTCATATCACAGCTAAATGACTCGCTAAAAATATTTACAAAAATCAAAGCCCAGAGGCAGAAAAGTCCTAGAAAAACTCCTCATACTCCATAGTTATATACACTGGATGACATCTCTCCTGCGTATTCTTGGATTTTTTCGTATTTTACTATTGAGTATTTTATCATCATAACAAAAATCATCGTGCTTGGAATAATGCAAACTGTAGTTAAAAGAACAGCAATTTTTCGAGGCAAAATGGAAAGTATCAAAGGAATCTCTTTTCCAAAGTAAATATATGCTGAATAGTTTCAATTAAAGCCATTTTTTATATTTTAACTTTAATTTTCACAGGAAATAATAATTAACAATCATGTGAATTAGCATAAAATCCAAATATCAAAAATGACCCAATGCAAGATCCTATCAAAAAAATCGTCCCGTAAAGGCAAAAATTCATAATTGAAAAATAAGCACAAACTTCATCATAGCTGACAAAGGCAATCCCTTGCCAAAATCCTCGATATGAGCTCCATCCTGATGCTTTCATGCTTGGAGACCACCACAAAGGAGAAAGCTGCAAAATAAAGGTAAAATTGATAAGAAGCTCATATACAAGCTGGATTCTGAACTTTACTTTATGGCTGTATTTTGTTTTGAAGAGCTGCCCAAAGAACCCATATAGATATTCTTTAATTCTATTAGAAAATAAAGACTGGGATAAAAATACATGGAAATCGCTGTTTTCTTTTGTTGCAGTGTCTAAATCTCTCGACATGCGGCTGTTATTTATTAATGATAGATTAAATTCATTAATATCTGGTTGAATAAATTAAGTTCCATTTCTAATAAAAAATTCAGGAAAATTTACTAAGCTGCCAATATGATCAGTAATTTTTCTATTAATTTTTATAAGACATTCGGGAAACAGCATTAAATAAAAATTAATGCAAATAAGAGCTAAAGGGTTCATTGAGACTCTATTAATTAAAGCAATTTTTGCATAATCATCAAACTAGTTATTTATTGATTATTTGGCAGGTTTAATAAACAGAAACTATTGAATAAAGCATTAAAAATGTATTTAGGTTATAATCATATTTTTGATTTTCTAAAAAAAGAATTTTTTGTAATTTTTAAGAAAAAGTAGTTATGCTCTAATCTGATTCCATTGATAAAATCGTCGGCAAAGTCCCAAAACTCTCCAATTGTTTAATCTGTTTATTCAAATATAGAAAATAATACAAAAAGAAAAACAAAACAACACCCAGTGAGTAAATAATAGTTGTGTAAATAATTTCATTTAGCTGACTATTTATCACATTTTTTGAGTCTCTATCAGCCAAATCGAATTGTAAGCCAATTTCATCTTCAATTTCTGCCACTTTGCCCAAGAATGGGATCATAACTGAAGGAGCAAAGTTTGTTCAATATAAAATATTATAAATATCATTTTTAATAGAAAGCACTGCAGATCTTACCCCAAAATGAAGCTGATCTAAGGTGCTATCTAATTTTTCGAATATCCTTTCTTTTAGCTCATCAGACATTAATCTTAAAAAGTCATTTCCTCTTATCTCTTTGGTTTTCATGCTTAGTTCATCTCACGTTTCCAGCAATAAGTTAAAAGAGTTTTCGTGTGGATAAGAATAAGGTAGACGATATTTTCAATAAGGTAACGCTGTTTCACGTGCAAAAACAGTTAGTCTTGATAAGAGAGACCTTCGAATATTGAAATTACTAAGCAATTTTGGCCGATTTACCATATTTCTTTCGGTATTTGGATATAAATACCAAAAAATTAATAAATAATAAGAAGTAACAATCGCAAAAAATATCAGTACTCTCCATATATAACGCTTATATAAATTTGATTTGATTTTCTTCCTTCTGCCACCAATGCGCATTTCCCAATTTATTTCCGATTGATAATCAACCCCATGCACATTTAAAAGTCTATCTATAGAAGACCCTTTTAACTGCACTAAAGATGGCTGTGCTTTTTCAATTAAAAAATTCCAAAATTCATCATGTTTTTTTGATACTATAAATACAAAACAAAAAATTATCAGCATTAAAGCTCCAAGAGCCACAAACCCAAACATTAATAAAGCATCTATTTTTTCTCCTGTGGTTTTTATTCTGTTTATTTCACAATTTTCAATTTCCTTCATTGTAATATTTGCATAATCAAAAGAAAATCCCATCCCATTAGCCAAAAGAAATTGAAGATGCCTTGAGTAGTTTTGATGGTTGCCTATATCATCTATATAGTTCGTTGACTAAGTAAAAATTACAGCATATACGAAATCTGTGACCGTGTCATAAAAATTTTTGTATATAATTTTTGGAAAAACTTCTTCAAAATTTCATTGTGGCATAATTGACTCGTCGGCTATGCTTGCATATGAGCAATAGTCTCATCGGCTAAAATCATCTAATATATGAGTTTGAAGATCTATTACTTCAACCGTAAGATTGCCCAATTTGTAAACATAGCTATCTATCAGTTCTTTAGCTCCATTTAAAATAATGGTTTTGTCTAGCGCTCTTGATATATCTGTAAATAGCCCAAAATCATATAAAAGATTGCCAAGACGATTAAAAGAGCTCATTCTAGTGGTATGAGTCACATCGCTTATCATATAAACTAAAATCCCTATAAAAATCGCAATAGTCGAAGACATCTAAATAATTTTTACAATCGCAAAAAGCACCCATTGAAGAATTCTTATTTTTTGCTTGGACTCTAAAAGCAGCCTCTGTGAAAGACCTGAATGAGAAAATGACGAAAAAGTAGAAGAAGGCTTTGAGGGTTCCTCACTTATCAATTTTTCATCTGCTCTCCTGTCTTCAAAGCCATGAGCGCTGGTATTATCCATTGTGTTAGGTAGTAATGTTTTCAATTTTACCGATCTCCTTACCTTAGCAAAACCAGGAACTTTCAAAAAATTAATTTCAACACTATTATGTGTCAAGTCTTGAGATACCGATGCATCGTTTTCATCGATAGCTTGTTTATCATAATTAATTTCTGTTTGATCTCTAATTTTTCTTCCCTTTGATTTTCATTTAGATAATTCTTCAGAGTCATGAATAACCAATAATAAGTTTAATTCTCTATATTTTATTTTTTTTGTAATACTTACAAGTCCTAATTCTTTGCCATTATGGTTAACAATCCATGGTATGCCTTTTTTCATTTTTTGAAAATCTGGGATTATTTCGAAAATCAGACGATTTTTTAAAGATTGTTCGGTGGAGAAATAGCACGGAAAAGAAATTGAATGGGATGCTATTAGTCCTTCAGAAGAAATTAAAGCTATATGTCTTGATGTATTCTTTGGCTTAAATGATAGCAAAAAGTAAGGGGAATTATGAAATGCGGATAGCTTAATTAAGCAGTCGCATTCTAGTAAAAATCCATCAGAGCATTGGAAAATTAAATTTTGATGGGCTGGGATGTGGGTTGATACGCACTCAGAAATAAATTGTTTCATAAATTTTGCGTGTATAAGATCATAAGGAGGAGGTATTAAAGTCATATAGGAAGTCCCACAAATACTTGATATTGAAGATTTCAGTATAGACGCAGCTTTTTCATTGAGATAAATAATAGACCCAAATGAAGCTTTTGAGCAGGAAATTAAGATAACTCCAACTTCTTTTCCATAGTTTTCTAAATAGCCATCATCATTATTTTGACTGTAAAAACTGTTTATTCCAGATTTCTTTCTATTAATTATATTTGCTTCGTCGTGGTTATTTGTGATGTTTTCTAAGAAACTTTGATACAATTCATAGCTCTCAAGATTTTTATGTTTTTCTGTTAATAGTTTATAATTTTCTGTGATCTCGTTAATGTTACTAGATGCTTTATTTGTTAATTTAATAAGCTTTTCGATTTTCGGTGATTTTGATGAAAATTCAGAGCATAACTCTACCAAAATAAAACACAATTTCTCATCCATCTTTTTGGCAACACTAAAATCCTTTAAATAATGCAAATAATTTATATCAGGTAATAGCTTATTTTTTCTCTTTGCAAGCCAATTAAAAATCGTTCAAACTTTTATGTCAACTTCAAATGACGATTTTATTGTTGAGATTTTCGATAACTTGATCCTTGCTAATCTCTCATCTTTTAGAAATAGACAATAGTAAAATTCTCATATCACAAATAACCTATCTTTTTGAAATAGACTTAAATTTCAGTATTTTTTAAACAAATTTAAAACTTTTGCTTTATTTTCTTGATTTTTGTCAGTCAAAAGATCTCTGAATTTTCTTTCAAAATCAAGCTGACTTTTTATTGTTTTTGTAGTATTTGGTAACTTATAATAGATCTTTCTAGTTATTAAAATAGTAAAGATAATTATTATAGGCTGAAGGAATATAGTAACCTTCCGCACTTTAATTTGAATAAAATATTGGTAAATTTTGTTTTTTGGTGTGCTCGAGTGTAATTTAACTTTATGAGGTAAAAATAATAATTTCCATGCTAAAAGATTTGATGCTTAATTTAATGTTGCCAAATCAAAAATTTACTGATAAAGAGTTATATTTTAAATGGGGTAATTAAAGTAGATTAACTTTATAAAAATATTTTTCAGAGAAAAATTTAATTATAAACTCTTTTTCCTAAAAATGCTTTAAACTGGAACATAATTTTTTGTATCAATTTCAAGAGGGGGTAAAGACAACAGTTATAATTGCGTTATCCATTATCTGTCCAAATACAAAAACTAAAATTGTAACTGTGACTGAAGCAAATTCACAAGCAAAAATTGAATTTTCAATAGGATTAAAATATTGCAAAATAATGACACTTTTAATAAACATATATAAAGACCATTCAGCCAAAATAGTTTGATGAATTAATACATATGAATCTCCAAAGCATATATATGTAAAGCACGTAAACCATATAGAGGTTTCCTCTATATAGCGCTAAAAGCGCAGACATTTTCCCAGGAGCTTTCCAAGTTCGTCGGACCAAATCGCTTTTTGGTCCGACCAAGGCATTGATTTGGTGCAACCTACCGATAAATTCCGATCAGAATTTATCGGCCTTACAGCGCCAAACATAGGAAACTTCTATATAAAATCACCTCCTTTGCAAATCAAAACCAGCTGAAGATCTAGCTTTAAGATTTTTTTTACTATGAGAGTGCTTTAAATCACTAGAAAATAGCTCAGAAAAGCTGCTAATTGGTATCAGTAAAGAAATGCAAATGACAGAACAAATTACTCCTGGAATTCCGAAATTCATTGTATTTCCAGAAGAATATTCCTTATTATTTGAAGGAGATAGAGAATATTTAAGAACTGCAAGGAGAATCATAGTGCTTGGGATAAGGCAAACTGTAGTTAGCAAAAATGCAATAGTTTGAAAAAAACCTGCCAAAAACTCAGGTGGGTCTTTTTTTAAATAAATTCCAAAACCTCAAAACGAGCCTACAAAAATTGATATTAAAGCTATGGTTCCATAAAAGCAAAAGCCCATAATATTCCAAGAAGCACAAATCTCATCATAGCTTACAATTCCTAATCGAATTCAAAAAATTTTATAAGTATCTCATTCTTGAATTTCCAAATTTGGATATCATATTAGGCTTGTTAGCTGTAAAGTCATAATTGCGTTTATGCATATTTCATAGATCATCTGCATATTTCACTTTGTTTTTTTATGATACTTGACCTTAAAAAGCTTAGCAAAATTTGTAAAAAAATGAGTTTTAATTTGGCTTGAAAATAGCGACTGCGATAAAAAATCGCGACTTTGGCTGCTTTCTTTATCATCAATAGAAAAATCGAATGACATTATAATTTTTTATCTTAAAATGGGTTCCTGGCTCCGCCCAGTAAAGGAAGATAATAACATAAATCGCCAAAAATCTGAAATTTTTGAAATTAATTATTAATTAAACTATGATATATAAAAATTTAAAGAAGTTTTTCATATCAGAAGCTTTTGCATTTGTATTTAAACTTATAAAGCTTACTCGACAATTCTCAATGAATTTCATCAACATAATAATTTTCAATATTTAATATTCGATTCAACAGCTGCAGTCTCAATTTATTTATTAAGCGGAAAAGATTTATTTATATAAAATACAAAAAATCTTAAAAAACTAATTATTCAGATTCCATACTTAAAATAGTAGGCAAAATCCCAAACCTTTCAAGCTGTTTTATTTGGACATTCAAATATGGCAAATAATATAAAAAGTAAAGTAAAACAACAGCTAGCGAATATATAACTGTTGTGTAAATAATTACACTTAACTGACCGTTTATCACATCTTTCGAATCCCTATCAGCTAGTGTAAATTCTAAGCGTATTTCATTTTGAACTTCTGTAACTTTAAGTAAAAATGGGTATAGTGTGTAAGTGGCTACAAGCTGTCAATATAAAATATTATAAATTTCATCTTTAACTGCAAAAACTGCAGATTGTGACCCAAAATGAAGATAATTCAAAGTGCTGCTTCCTTTTTCAAATATTTTTGTTTTTAACTCATCTGACATTAAATCTAAAAATTTTTTTTTGTTTAACTCACTTGATTTTTTAGTCAATTCATATCAAGTTTCATTTAATGAGTCTTTCGGATTTTTCGAAGGCTGTGAGTAAGGCAAAAGATAGCTTCAGTAAGGAGATGTTGTCTCTCTGGCAAATACAGATAATCTTGATATTAAAGAATTTCTTATGTTGAAATTACTAAATCCCCCCCTCCGTGAGTGAGCAAAACCATTAGAAAAATCGCTATTTTTGCCCAAAAACCCGCCCTCAGTGAGCGAACAAAAATTTTTTATGGAAAAAATTTGGATATATAAGCGATAATGAGTATAATGAAATCTCGAGCTAATTCTGTTTAATTTTAAAACAAATTGCGTTTTAAAACATAAATTTGCAAGTTAAATTAATTCTTGCTACTTAATTTTTACAAATTAGAATTTTTTTAAATTTTGAAAAAAAACAATTCTATAAAATTTTATATAGATTTTTTTAAAAGGAAATTAAACCCATCCGTGAGCAAACAAGATTATTTTGTTCGCTCATGGAGAGGGGGGGAGTAAGAAGTTTAGGTCGATTTATCATATTTTCTTTACAGTTTGGGTATAAATAGCAATAAATCAACAAATAATAAGAAGCTACTATTGCAAAAAATATCATTACTCTCCATATATAGCGTTTATGCAAATTTGATTTTATTTTCTTTCTAGAGCGGCCTGCCTCTACGCCTGCATCAGACTGATAATCAATCCCATGAACTATAAAAAGCCGATCAATAGAAGAACCTTTTAGGTGAGCCAGTGAGAATTGTGCTCTTTCAAGTACAAAATTCCAAAACTCATCATGCTTTTTTGATACCATCATGATGTACCCCGCAATAATAAGAACTGAAATACCAAGTGCGCTGAACCCAAACATTAATAGAGCTTCTATATTATTTCCTGTATGCTTTACTCTATTTACTTCGCACTTTACAATTTCATTCATTGTAAAATTAGCATAAGTAAAAGTATAGCCCAGTCCATTTGAAACAATAAATTTAACGTGATCAGAATAGGTTTGATTATTTTGGACATCATTAAGGAGATTTGTAGCCTAAATAAAAAATACAGCATATATAAAATCAGAGACAGTGTCATAAAAATTTTTATATAGGGGTTTCCTCGAGATAGCCCTGCAAGGGCTGTGGATTCTGGGCGGAATCCTTTGGTTGGTGGAGCAAGCAATAAGTTGGCCGACTAACGTATGAGCTGGTCAGACCAATTGAAAAATTCACCCAGAATCCACAGCCCATATAGGGCTATCTAGGGGAAAAACCCATTATATGATTTTTGGATGGGCACCTTCAAAATTTCATTGAGGCATAATTGGCTCTTTTATTATTTTTGCATATGGACAATAATCTCACTTGTGAAAATCATCAATTAAATACAATTGAATATCTTCCAGCTCAAGAGAGGTATTTCCCAATCGATAGATATAAGTATATAACTGTTCTTTTGCTCCATTTAACATAATATTTTTATCAATTGCTCGTGCTGAGTCTGACATTCATCCTAAATCAAATAAAAGACGCCCATACCGATAAAACGAGCTCATTGAGGTGGTATAAGTTACATCACTTATCATATAAGCTAAAATTCCTACAACAATTACAATAGTCGAGGACATCTAAATAACGTTTACAAGGATAAAAAACACCCATTGAAGAATTTGAATTTTTTGCTTGGATTCCATAAGAAGCTTTTTTGAAAATTTTGCGTTGGAAAAAGACGAAAATGTTGAAGAATATTTTGAAGGATCTTCACTGCTCATTTTTTCTTCGATTTTATTTTCCTCAATCACGAGAGCAGTGTTATCAACAGTTCCAGGTAAAATTGAATTTAATTTCACTTTTTTTCTGGAAATCAATGAAATAGGGAAATTCTTAAGTTTATCAGTATTTTTCAGCATCAAATCTTGAGAGATGTCATTTTCATAAAGGTTTTGGATATCGTTAATTATTTCCATGCTTTCTTGGTCTCCTTTGAGCTTTAATTTAGCTAATTCTTCGTCATCATGCACAATTAATAAATAATTCAATATTTTTCACCTTATTGCTTTGTTTTTTACTAACAACCCAACTTCTTTTCCATTATGCGTAAAAATCCAAGGGACGCCTTTCTTAATATTTTGATAATATGGGATAATATTAGAAATATGCATATCTTTTAAAGATTTTTCGTTAGAAAAATAGCATGGGAATGAAATTGAGTGAGAAATAATAAACCCATCGCCTGATATTAAAGCGACATGTCTTGATGTCTTTTTGGGCTTAAATGACAAAAGAAAATAAGCTGAGTTATGAAATGCTGATAATTTAATTAGGGTGTCACATTCTAATAAAAATCCATCAGTGCATCGGAATACCAAATCATGGTGAGAGCTGACCAAGGTTGATGTGCACTCAAAAATAAATTTTTTCATTATTTTTTCGTGTATCGCTAGTTAGTGCTAGAATTCAAAGTCCTCTACTTCTAAAGATGCCGCATGGAGCTACGAGCTAATTGAGTTTTTTCATCTCTGATAAATCTGAGCCCAAGGCACCCTTGCTTCTCGATAGTGATATCTCCCTATTAGGTTCTAGATCTTTTCCGGAACCACCATTTCTGCCTCCACCCCCCAAACGGTCTCTAGTCAGTTTTGCTCCTGTAAGGAAGCCATTTTTGGTTTGTCTAGATATCTTACCTTTTTCACATAATCCCTGAAAAAATTTCTAGCCAATTCCACCTTAATAGCAGCTTGAGCAGATACGTCTTCTTGCTCTATCTTAAAAGTCCATTGCTTTTAAAAAAGAATCCTTCATATTACCCATTGAATATGGTCACAAAACATCATATTTGCGTTTATTCCCTCACTTTGACAACAGATATGTTTAAGCCAACTTACAGCTCAAAAATCATGACAGAAATGCATGGATAGCAATCACTGAGAAAGTGTTCAGATCTGACTCTCCATTTTATGTATATATTTATTTGTGTATAAGATCATAAGGTGGAGGAATGAAATTCATAACAGATGTACCGCTGATATTTATTATTGAAGATTTTAAAGTGACAGCAGCCTTTTCATTGAGATAAGCAATAGACCCAAAGGAATCTACTGCACAAGAAATTAAAATTACTCCAACGCCTTTTCCATAGTTTTCTAGCCTGTCATCGTCATTTTTTTGGTATTGATTTAGACCATTTTTCTTTCTATTCACTAAATTCGCTTCCTCGTGGTTGCTTATAATGTTGTCTAGAAAGCTTGCATACAGGTCATAGCTTTCAAAATTTTTGTGTTTTTCTGTTATTAATTTGTAATTTTCTGTAGTCACTTTGATACTGTTCGATGTTTTATTGACTAATTTAATAAGTCTATCAATTTTTGGTGACCTTGATGAAAATTCGCTGCACAATTCTACCAAGATAAGGCATAATTTTTCGTCAAATTTTTTTACCCTACTAAGTTCTTTTAAGTAATGCAAATAATTTATGTCAGGGAAAGGTTTATATTTTCTATTTAATAGCCAAGTAAAAATCCTTCATTCTTGAATATCTGCTTCGAATGATGATTTAACTGTCGAAATTTTGGATAATTTTATTCTTGCTAATCTCTCATCTTTTAAATGGAGACAATAATAAAACTCTCACATAACAAAAAACTTATTTTTCTGAAATAGACTCATGTTCCAATATTCTTTAAATAAATCTAAAACTTCATTCTTATTTTCTCTATTTTCATCGATTAAAAAATGACGAAATTTTCTTTCAAAATCAAACTGATTTTTTATATTTTCAATCTTGCATGGTAAGCTGTAATAGTTTTTCCTTGCTAGCAATATAGTAAAAATTAAGACCATCGGTTGGAGAAAGATGCTTACTCCTTCTCTCATGAGAGATAATTCTAATGCCCTCTTAAGGAGCTGCGATATTTTTTCAATTTTATATTAAAATTTCCCAAATGAACAATTTAATTTGCCTATTAATTAATCTTTAAAGCCTATTACTATTAATTATATATTAAATATTATTGATTAATTTCCCATAATTAATTTTTTTTAATTGCCTCAGTCACTGATAAAGCTGGGAGTTAAGATAACAGTAATCATCGCGTTATCCATTATCTGTCCAAAAATAAAAATTAAAAGCGTCACTGAGACCGAAGCTAACCCACAGGCAATAATTGAGTTTTCAAATACATTATAATATTGCATAGAAATAATATTTTTTACCAATAAGTATATAGATCATAAAGCTGAAATAATCTGATGTATTATGCCTAATTATAATGAATGAAAACATTCATTCTATTAGTTGTTGTTTTGCTTATATTTAAAAACAATAATGGTTACCAGTAGACATGTTTTTATTTTTTGTAAATAGTTATATTACATTTGAGTCTCCAAAGCCTATATAGGCAAAACCCATAAAAATATAAAACCATCTTCTATGAATATCTAAGGCAGCTGAAGATCTTGCTCTAAGATTTGCTTTGCTGTGGGAATGCTTAATGTCACAAGTAAAAAACTCAGATCAAACGCTTATAAGTACCAGCAAGACTATACATATTATGGAACAAATTCCCCCTGTAACGCCAAAATTAAGGGCTTCTCCTGATGAAATTCCATCGTATTCATCAACATGCTTTTTAGGCCAAAGCGAGTATTTAAATACCATAAGCGAAATCATGGTACTAGGGATTAGACAAGCTGAAGTTAAAAAAAATGCAATTTTCTGTGGAAAAGTTGCCAAAAATGCTGGAGGATCTTTTTTTAAATATATATAAATCCCAAAGATTCAAAATGACCCTAAACAAATCATTAATAGACTTGCGGTCCCATAAAAGCAAAATTCCATTATATTTAAAGAAGCACAGACTTCATCATAACTTACAATTCCTAGCCTGTTCCAAAAAATTTTATAAGAATCTCATCCTTCAATGTCTAAATATGGATATCATGTCAAACTTGTTAATTGTAAAGTCATAATTGCATTTATTATAACCTCATTTAGCAGTTGCACATTGAATTTTGTTTTTATATCATATTTGATCCTGAAAAGATTTCCAAAAAAGCCATAAAAATACGTTTTAATATGACTTGAGTAAAGAGATTGTGATAAGAAGTCACGATACAGAGAACTCTCTTTGCCATCATTGCGAAAATCTAAGGACATTGACATTAATTATGAAAATGGCATACTCTCTTCTTTCCTTGATTATCAATCTATTGAAAAATTTCCCTATTTTTATTGAAGCCACTGACATATGTAGGCAAGGAAATAATTTTGCATATACAAATTGCCCATGATGGCACATTGAGCGCCATCATCAGGAAATTTCTATATCTAATCATAGGGAGTTAAGCTTTTCTGACTAAATTAAGATTTAAGTATTTTTGTCAATTTAAAAAAAAATCAAGCTTAAATTACATATTGCTTCAATTTTATGTGCATAACAAAAGCCCATGAAAACTTAATTCATCTTTAGACTTTTAATAAAAAAACATTATAAATATTTTAGATTTGCAAAAAAAGAATTTTAAAGCTATTATAAAATCGATAAGAGAGATCAAATCTTTTATTACAAAGAGAAGTATTTTTAGCACTATTATATTTTTGCATTTAAGTTATAGGGCACTGGGCTCTTTGCTTAATATTGGGTTAGCCTACTTTCTCTGCTGGCAAGCAAAGCCATTTAAATAATTAATATTTATTTGAGAACTCTTCGTAAAATCATTAGATTCAGAGACTCAACTATTTAAATAGCATTTTACTTAGCACTTTATGAATTAAAAAGTCTAAGAGAATTTGATGAAAGTTCAAATAATATCTGAAGATGATTATTTAATAGAACTAGATGGAAAGTATGAAATTAATAACCATGCTATTGATAATTTTTCATATGATGAGCTCAGAGTGAAATTTCTAAGAATAAATAAGTTTGAGATTAAAGATGACTGATATTTGTATTTTTTTAAACACATGAGAACTCATGATAAAAATTATTGGATTGCCTATGAGAAATAAAGACCGAGCTTAATCTATTCTAGATTATCCAAGCCTTTTTAATTAATTTTAAAGTATTCAATGATGGCTAATTTGATGATAGTTGGCTATAAAGCAAGAAATAGGATAGATTCTTAAATAAAGTAAAAAACTTCTAATTTCATCAATTGAACAATTCTTAATTTTCCTTTAATATCAAATTTATTATATATTATGTTCGCTCGAGTAGGCAAGCTGCTAAATATTTCTTTACTAATAAAATCGAAAATTTAAATGCTATAGGCTTTGAGAAGACGCTGAGGATAAAGATAATTACTGCAGCTATTCACACTAATCATTATTTATCAAGAAATAAAATTATAATGTAATAGAAATAATTTGATGGATTATGATATTTGTGTCGCCAAGATCCATATAAGCAGAATACAAAAAATATAAATTCTCTCATTTGAAAGTTTATGACAATCTATTCATTTTTTAAAATAAAACTTTCAGTTCGAATAATTAATATTTACAAAATTTATTTTAAAATGAAATCTTAATTGTAAGGATTTATATAAACATGCATTAATAAGTTTTTCTGTTCAAAAATTAAGAAGACTCCATTGTTAAAATCGTTGGTAAAATTTCATACATCTCCAACTGCTTTATTTGCTTCTTTAAATATGGCAAATAATAAAAGAAATAAAGTAAAACAACGGCAAATGAATAAATAGCTGTAGTAAGAATTATAGCATTAAGTTGCCAATTTATAATATTTTTTGAGTCTCTATCAGCTAATTCAAACTCATTTCCAATTTCATTTTCAATCTCTGCTACTTTGTTTAAAAGAGAAACGATTTCAGCTAAATAATATTGAATATTTCAAGATAAAATATTATAAATATCATCTTTAATAATAGTCACTGCAGGCTGAGTTCCAGAGTAAAGCCTATTGATCGTTGAATTTCCTTTTTCAAATACTCTCTCTCTTAATTCTTCAGACATGAGAGCTACAAAATCAGACTCCACAATTTCTTTAGATTTTTTATTTAATTCGTCCAAGGTTGATAGCAATAAACTAGAAGGATTGGGGAAAAGGTAGGGATAAGGCAAAAGTTTAATTAGATAAGGCACATTTATCTCTCTTGCCCATACTGTAAGTCTTGAAAGTAAAGATCTTCTAATATTGAAATTGCTTACTCCCCCGAGCGAGCAAAAAACTTCGCTAGCAAAACCATTAGAAAATCCCTATTTTTTGCCTAAAAATCCACCCTCCGTGAGTGAAAAAAAATATTTTATGAAAAAAAATCGATATACAAGTGATTATTATTAGAATGAAATCATTAGCTAATTCTGCTTATTTTAACCAGCTTGCATTTTAAAACATAAATTTTACAAATTAAATAAATACTTACTTTCCAATTTTTGCGAATTTGGATTTTTTTTAAATTTCGAAAAAAAAATATTTTCTAAAATTTATATATAACTTTTTTAATTAACCCCATGAGCGAATAAAAATTTTCTGTTCACTCACACGATGGGGGTGAGTAAATTTTTTGTAATAAATTTTATAATAATAATTTTTTTTCAATTTAAAAAAATCCAAATTCGCAAAAAAATTGGAAAGCAACATTTATTTAATTTGTAAAATTTATGTTTTAAAATTAAATAGAATTAGATCGAGATTTCATTATACTAATTATCGCTTATATATGAAAGTTTTTTTATAAAAAATTTTCAATGAGGGTGGTTTTGGACAACAAATAGTATGGAGTGGAGTTAGGAATTTTGGCCGATTTATCATATTTTTTTCACAACTTGGATATAAATAGAAATAAATCAATAGATAATACGAAGCAACAATTGTAAAAAATATTGCAACCCTTCATATGTAGCTTTTATACAAATTTGACTGAATTTTTTTTCGAGAGTTTTTAAGTTGAGCATTTGTTTCTGATTGAAAATCCAGCCCATGCACCATTAAAAGCCGATCTATGGAAGATGCTTTTAGTTGAACTAATGAAGACTGAGCTTTTTCAAGCACAAAATTTCAAAATTCATCGTGTTTTTTTGATACTAAAAAAATGAATCCTCCAACGATAAATACCAAAACTCCAACAGTGCAAAATCCAAACATTAATAAAGCTCCTATTTTTTCTCCTGTTTCTTTTACTCTGTCCACTTCGCAATTTACAATCTCACTCATTGTCCTATTTACATAATTAAAAGTATAACCCAGACCATTAGCCATTATAAATTTTACATGATTTGAGTAACTTCTGTTATTTCTTATGTCATCAATTAAATTTGTCCCCTAAATAAAAAATACAGAATATATGAAATCTGTCACCGTATCATAAAAATTTTCAAAAATAATTTCAGGATATGCCCCATCAAAGTTTCATTGAGGTATAATTGGCTTACTGATTACTTTTGCATATGGGCAATAATCTCACTGTCGAAAATCGTCTAGTAAGTATCCTTGAAGATTTTCTAGTTCAAGTGAAAGATTACCTAAAAGATAACCATAATGGTCCTCCAAATATTTTGGAGAGCCTAGCAATTTCCCTTTATCCAATGTTCTAGCTAAATCTGCCATATATACTAAATTGAATAGGAGTTTTCCTTGACGATTAAAAGAGCTCATAGCTGTTGTATGTGATATGTCAGTTATCATATAAGCTAAAATCCCTATAACGCAGGCTAGAGTTGAGGACATCTAAATATTTTGTACCGCTATAAATAACACCAATTGTAAAATTCTTATTTTTTGTTTGGACTCGACAAGCAATAATTTTGAAAATTTTGTGTGTAATTGATTTGCAATTATTGAAGAGCGCCTTGAGGGCTCATCGCTTGGGGCCATTTCAAATTTTTTGCTTTCATCTATTCCAATAGCATTGGTGCTGCCAAGTTTTTGGGGCAGAATTGTTCTTAATCTTACCATTTTTCTTTCAAATAATTGATCCGGAAAATCCTGAAGCTTTTTTTCGTTACTTTGCTTAATCTCTTTAAATATCGAAATATCATTTTCTTCAAGGTTTAGCCTGTCATCAATTGTTTCTGAGTTAAATTCTTCGTTTTCATTTAATTTTCATTTGGCTAGCTCTTCAGCATCATGTATGATTACTAATAAATTCATTGTTTTTGATTTAATTTTCTTTTTTTACATTTACTTACTTACTTACTTAATAATTCGGTCTTTAAGGTGTCCGGTGCCGCAGCCCCTATAAAAGGGCTTTTGGCAAAACTTGTGATGTCACCGAGCCATCTTGGATTAACCTGGTCAGCCCAGGCCCAAAGCCTTGTACCAAAGCTTCGTCGCCAGTCTTGCTGCACTTCTCACCGGCGCGTTGCCGATGCCTCGCCCTGACTCAGCTCCTGCGCGTGTTCCGCCTAAGGGTCATCCTCCCATGGGGATGTGCTGAGAGGTAAAACTCCGAGCCTCTTGATGCACTAAGGAGGCGTTCCTCTAGTTATCCCCAGAGTTAAACGTCTATTGCTGTGCAGAAGTTCTCGAGAGAAAACCTAACCCCATAAATAAAATTCCATGAGAGAGAGAAAATTAGCAAAGCTAATTTCTCTCGAACCGAATGCCATTTTATTTATCTTTTTTTACATTTACAATCCCAATTTCTTTTCCATTGTGAGTTAAAATTTCAAGGAAAGTAGATCAGGGATTATCATTTTCAAAATAGCTATTTTCTATTTTTTTTAAAAAAAAATTATTAAAATCCATTACATGAATAGTTACAATTTTTTTAATAGAGCCAAGGAACATCTTTCTTCAAGTTTCCAAAATTTGGGAAAATTTTCGAAATCGACCAATTATTTAAACATTTTTCATTAGAAAAACAGTATGGAAAAGAAATTGAATGAGAGATGATAAATCCCTCATCCGAAATCAAAGCAATATCTCTTGATGTCTTTTTTGGCTTAAATGATAGCAAATAATAGGCTGAGTTATGAAATGCTGTTAATTTGATTAGCGTATCACATTCAAGAAAAAATCCATCAGTGCATTGGAACATTAGGTCTTGATGAGAACATATATGAGTTGATGTGCAGTCATAAATAAACTTTTTCATTATTTTTTCATGAGAAATATCATAAGGAGCAGGAATAAAATTCAAGATAGAGGCGCCATAAATATTTGATACTGAAGATTTTAGATTGGTAGCAGCTTTTTCATTGAGGTAAACAATAGATCCAAAATTATTATTTGCACAAGAAATTAAGATTACTCCGACGCCTTTACCATATTTTTCTAGTCGCTCATCATTTTTTTGATTGTAATAGTGGCTTATGTTGTTTTTCTTTCTATTGATTAAATTTGCCTCGTCATGATTTCCTGCTATGTTGTCTAAAAAACTTGCATATAGGTCATAGCTTTCGAAATTTTTGTGTTTTTCTGTTAATGATTTATAACTTTCTGCAGTTTGCTTTGCAGTTATTGATGTGCGAATTACCAATTTAATAAGTTTGTCTATTCTTGGTGATCTTGCTAAAAATTCATTATGTAATTCTATTAAGATAAGACATAGTTCTTCATCAATTTTTTTAACCCTGCTTAGTTCTTTCAAATATTGTAAATAATTTATGTCAGGAAATGGCTTGCGCTTTTTATTTTCTAGCCATGTAAAAATTCTTCATTTTTGGATATCTCCTTCGAATGATGATTTTACTGCCGAAATTTTCGATAATTTTATTCTTGCTAATCTCTCATCTTTTAAATATAAACAATAATTAAACTCCCACATAACAAATAGCTTTTCTTTATAAAAAAAGCTTGAATTCCAATATTCCTTACTATCCCCTCCGTGGGCGAGCAAAAAATCTTGTTCGCTCACGGAGGGGGTTAATTTTGTTTTTTTAAAAACAATTATATATAAATTCTAAAAAATTTTTTTAAAAAAAATTTAATTTAATTTGCGAAATTTGTGTGTTTAAAATACAAGCTGTTTTCTAGGCAAAAAATAAGGATTTTTCTAATGGTTTTGTTCACTTAGAGAGTGGGGAGTTAAATAAATTTAGAACTTTATCTTTATTTTCCTTATTTTCATCAATTAAAAAATTTCGAAATTTTCTTTCAAAATCAAATTGATTATTTATTCTGCTTGTTCGGTTCGGCAAATTGCAGTAATATTTTTTGACCAATAAAATAGTAAAAATAAATACTATAGGCTGTAGGAAGATACTGAGAATAACAATAATTACTGCGTTATCCATTATCTGTCCAAAAATAAAAATCAGAAGTGTAACCGAAATCGAAGCTTGCTCACATGCTTGAACTGAGTTTTCGAATACATTATAATACTGTAAAACTATAAAGCTTTTTATCAATAAGTATATAGATCATGCAGCAGAAATAATTTGATGGATTATTACATTTGTGTCACCAAAACCCATATAAGCAGAACACATAAAAATATAAAATCACCTCCTGTGAAAGTCTAAAGAAGCCGAAGATCTTGCCTTTAGATTTTTTTGGCTATGAGAATGCTTAATGTCACAGGTAAAAAGCTCTGAAAAAACGCTTACAAGCACTAGTAGACCTATACTCATAATTGAAAAAACGACCCCAGGCATCCCGAAATTTATGGTCTCTCCAGATGAAATTCCGTCATATTCTTTGACTGTTTCTTTAGGCCAAAGCGAATATTTAAAGACCATAACTTTATTTATATATAAAAAAATTTAATAAAATAAAATAAAAAAAATATATTTTAGAAAATTAGTGATATTTTATAACGAGAGTAAGCGAAATCATTGTACTTGGGATAAGACAAACTGAAGTAAGAAAAAATGCAATTTTTTGAGGAAAACTTGCCAAAAACGTTGGAGGCTCTTTTTTCAAATAAATATATATAGAATTGGATTGTGCTTGAATTCTTAACGTACAATTTTAATTTATAAAAAAAAATTTAAAAAAATTAATTAAAGACGTTTCAATATGCATAAAATTGGACGACGAGGGGCACGTCCTTGTGTCCTTATGTATATCCGAGCATAGTTTTTGGCGCAAAGAGCTGTCGAAAGATTGGGTTAGCCTAGAAACGAGAGGCCAGCACAATTTCGGCTGGCTAGTGGCCTGGCTCGAGCAGCAGTTTTTATATCTTTTTTCATGAAGCGCCCAGGCCCAGGCTTGGTGTCCGAAAGAGGTAGGTTGAGCTTACCTGCCTGGGGTACTTTGTGGACTCTCCCAAATTGCGAAAGCATTGAGCTTCTCCTTTGATTCTGAATCAAGGGAAAAAGGGAAGATATGTTAGCAAGGAATTCAAGTGCAACATCTCTCTTACCTAAGAGAAAATGGCTGGGTAAATTGATTTCTTGTTGAAAAATAGATATCCGCGGCAAAGTTCGTATGACTCAGGTCATGCAGGAAAAATGCCCTCTTCCGAGAAACAGGGATTTTCAGCCTGGGCTCAAGCTAATCGTGGAGTGCACGGGTGTTCAGGAACTAGGGCGAAAAATCCACATCTTAATCTAACCTATCTAAAGACGTTATAAGTTCCAAATACCCAAAATGATCCTAAACAGATCGCTAATAAAGCGACAGTTCCATAAAAGCAAAATCCCATAATATTTCAAGCAGCACAAACCTCATCATAGCTCACAATTCCTAATCGACTTCAAAAAATTTTACAAGAATCCCACATTTCGGCATCTAAATTAGGATACCATGCTAAGCTTGTTAATTGTAAAGTCATAATAGTATTTATTAAAATTTCATTGAGCATTTGCACTTTTTGCTTGGTTTTTTTGTGATATTTGATTTTAAACAGATTCCCAAAAAATCCATAAAAATAAGTTTTTACCTTGTTTGAGAAGAACGACTGTGATAAAAAATCGCTGTAGTAAAGGCTTTCTTTGTCATTTTAATCTTAGTTAGTTATAGTTTTTAAATTTGGCATCACCTAATAAGGCTTTCTCTACTCTCAGGATATATGAAAAATGTTTAAAATCAAACACTTATATATCAGATTTTTTTTCCATAAAAATTTCACGAGGGTGGGCTTTTGGGTCAAAAAATAAGATTTTCCAATTCTGCTCAGGCTAAAACTCGACCACTACTATGAAAAATTCTCTGGATAAAGCCAAATCTAATAACCAAATTTGTTTTAAGGAAGAATTTCTGTTCATGAAGACGGCACTATATTTTGATTATGATTTCTTCGTCATCAATTCGAAAATCTGAAGACATTATTATTTTTTAATAAAAATTCTGAAACTACATAAATATTCAGCAGGAAGTAATTTGTAATCTTTTATTAAAGATGATCACCATTAAGCGGAGAAAAAGTTTATGATATTGTTTAAGCATTCAATGTAAAATTATTAATTCATGATATAAATATGAGGGTTTTAGATTGCTTTTTAGGATATATAATTTGGAAAAGCAAACAATAGTTTTCTGCCTATTTGATTCATACAGATTGAGAGGGAAAGTTCTGAATATTATTTAAATTCTTGCTAAAAATTTATATTATATACTAGTCTAATATGAAATATCCAGATCCAAATGCGAGTCTAGTACCAAATTATTGAATAAACCTAATTTATAGGGTGAATTTGCTATAAAATGGCTGACTCTCATGGGCTATTTATGTATAGCTAGCATAGTAAAGAAAACCATATAATTGATCTAGGCTATTTAAATTTTAAATATATAATTTTGATAATTTTATTATTTTCTCTTTATTTAAATTTAATAACAGCCCTTTAGAGTCTTATATAGCTTAAAAATTTAGTATATGAATAATTGTAGAAAATATATCTCCAATTTTTAAGTTAAATAATTAGAAATGCTAATACGACGTAAAATTAATAAAATATAGCCAATCATTGAAAAAAAGATTAAATTTCTAATTTCTTATATTAAATATGGAATAGCGAACAGATAAAAGATAATTTTATATTAATAATCAAGTAATAGAGCATGCTCATTTATAAAAAATATACTTACTCCCCACTCCAATATTCTGTAAATATTTTTTACTCATAAAGGAGTGATTTGATATACAAAATTTATGGGCAACCTAATAACGCACAATTTTCTCAACTTTATGGTCAAGTAAAACTCGGTTGAAACCAGTCGAGATATTAATTAAATGAAATATTACGTTTAATATATATTTATTAATTTAAAAAAATTAAGCCCTTTTAGGAGTTTTTTTCTTCCATTTGAACAGAGGTAGTATGAATATTTATACTAGACAGCTAATTTCTTACTCAAAATGAGATTTTCGTTGAAATAGGATTTTCAAATGCTCTGTTCACCTCTAAGAGTTGCATTTGTCAGAATTTTTGATTCTTATACATTATCAAGTTAAAATTTTTGTCTCATATACTTCTAATCAGATGAAATAAATGGCATTTTTTAGCATTATGATCTATAGACTAATCATCAAATTTAATAGCTCATTATTTGGAAAGCCACAAATACAATTTCTGATGAAAATTAGCTTATTCTTATGCTAATTATTTATGTTAAAAAGTCTATTTATTAAAGATCATTATTTTAAAAGTTAATAATAAATTGCTTTCCTGCTTTTAATTCAAACTACCCAGACTCCATAGTCAAAATTGTTGGCAAAATCTCAAACATATCCATCTGCTTTATTTGATTCCTCGAATAAGGAAGATAATAAATAAAATACAAAAAAATCACAGCGAACGAGTAAATAACCGTGGTATAAATAATTACACTTAATTGCCCATTTATCACGTCCTTGGAGTCTTTGTCAGCTACTAAAAATTCTTCACCAATCACATTTTCAACTACTGCGACTTTATTCAAAGTTGGGACAAGCTGGCCTGATTGTGTGGATCCTCAATATTTTATATAGTAAATTAGGTCTTTTATAGAAGTAACTGAAGCATCTGTTCCATAAAAAAGCTGATTTAGCAGAGTGCTATTTCCTTTTTCAAACATTTTTTCCTTTAAATCATCAGACATTAAAATTAAAAAATCTTCGTTTTTTAATTCTTCAGTTTTTAAATTTAATTCCTCTAACTCCCCCCCCCTCCGTGAGTGAACAAAAAAATTTTGTTCACTCACGGAGGGGGGGTTAATTTTTTTTTTAAAAAACAATTTATATATATATATAAATTTTATAAAAAATATTTTTTTCGAAATTTAAAAAAATCCTAATTCGCAAAAATTGGAAAGCAAAAATTAATTTAATTTATAAAATTTATGTTTTAAAAAGCAATTCGTTTAAAATCAAACAGAATTAGCTCTCTAGATTTCATTATACTAATTATCATTTATATATCAAATTTTTTTTCCATAAAAAAATTTTTGTTCACTCACGGAGGGTGGGTTTTGGGCAAAAAAATAGGGATTTTTCTAATGGTTTTGTTCACTCACGGAGGGGGGGGAGTAAGGTAAAGTCCAGTAAATGTGAAGGATTCTCGAATGGATAATGTTTGCGCAAAAGATTGGTTAAATAAGGAGTGGATATTTCTCTCGCCCATACAGTCATTCTTGATAGCAAAGACCTTCTAATATTGAAATTATTTAGCAGCTGTGGTCGATTTATCATATTTTTTTCACAACTTGGGTATAAATAGCAATAAATCAATAAATAATAAGATGCAACAATGATAAAAAATAAAGAAAGCCTTCATATGTATTTTTTATGTAATTTTGAATAAATTTTTCTTTTGGAGTTTTTTGGTTGGGATATCGTCTCTGATTGAAAATCAATCCCATGCACAATAAAAAGCCTATCAATGGATGATACTTTTAATTGAACCAAAGAAAACTGAGCTTTTTCAAGCACAAAATTTCAGAATTGATCATGCTGCCTTGATACCAGCATAATATATCCACTTATAATTAGCATTAGAACTCCAAGCGTGCCGAATCCAAAAATTAATAATGCACTTATTTTTAGTCCTGTGCTTTTTACTCTATTTACTTCACAGTTTACAATTTCATTCATTGTCCTATTTACGTAATCAAAAGTGAAGCCAAGCCCATTCGCTGCAATAAATTTAATATGGTTTGAATAGGTTCTGTTTTTTTGCATATCGTCAACTAAGTTTGTTGCCTATATAAAAAATACTGCATAAATAAAATCTGAAATTGTATCATAAAAATTTTTATATAGAATTTCTGGAGAAGCCTTATCAAAGTTCCATTGAGGCATAATTGGTTCACTAATTATTATTGAATATGGACAATAGCTCCACTGTCGAAAATCATCCAATAAGTAGTTTTGAAGATTTTCTATTGTGGCTGTAAGATTTCCAACATAGTTATAATAAACGTTCAATGTAGATGCTCCTGCGTTCAGTAATTTTCCTCTATCAAGTGTTCTGCTTAAATCTGATAGATATCCTAAATCAAATAAAATGTTTCCTTGGCGACTGAAAGCACTCATAGCTGTTGTGTGGGTTATATCGCTTGCCATATAAGCTAAAATCCCTATAACACAAGCGAGCGTTGAAGCCATCTAAATAATATTTACCCCAAAAAATAAAACCCATTGCAAAACTCTGATTTTGCTTTTTGATTCTAAAAGCAATTTTTTTGAAAATCTGGAGTTTATAGAGCTTGAAGTTGTTGAGGAATGCTTTGAGGATTCATTGCTTACCGCTTTTCCTTCTTCTTTAATTTCTTCATTATCTATAACATTTACGCTATCAAGCTTATGAGGTAAAATTGAACTCAATTTTACCATTCTTCTTGAAATTGCCATTTCAGGTAGTTTTAGCTCTTTATCACTTTTTTTGAACTCTTTTGATATTGACAAATCCATTTCATCAGGAATTTTACTAGTATGGTCAATTTCTTGAATTTCTTTATCTCCTGTTAATTTTCACTTAACTAACTCATCAGAGTCATGAATTACTAATAAATAATTCAGCGTTTTTAATTTAATTTCTCGTTTTATGCTCACTAGACCAATTTCTTTTCCATTATAGCTAAAAACCGAAGGAATATCTTGTTTTAAATTAGGAAAATCTGGGATGATTTCTAAAATTAGCCGATTTCTTAAGCTTTTTTCATTAGAAAAATAGTAAGGAAACGAAATTGAATGAGAAATTATAAATCCTTCATCTGATACCAAAGCAATGTGCCTTGATGTCTTTTTCGGCTTAAATGAAATCAAAAAATAAGCTGAATTATGAAATGCTGATAATTTGATTAATGTATCACATTCTAATAAAAATCCATCAGTGCACTGGAACACCAAATCTTGATGGCATGAGACCTGGGTTGATATGCAGTCAAAAATAAACTTCTTCATCAATTTTTCATGAGAAATATCATAAGGAGGAGGAATAAAAGTCATGATAGAAGACCCATGGATCGTTGATATCGAAGTTTTCAAAGTAGTTGCAGCTTTTTCATTAAGGTATACAATAGACCCAAAAGACTCTGCTGCGCAAGAGACAAGAATAACCCCAACCCCTTTTCCGTACTTTTCTAGCCGATTGTCGTCATATTTTTGAGAGTGGCTTATATTGTTTTTTTTCCTATTAATTAAATTGGCTTCTTCATGGTTTCCTGTTATATTGTCTAAAAAGCTTGCATATAGGTCATAGCTTTCAAAATTTTTGTGTTTTTCTATTAGTGATTTATAGCGCTCTGATGTTTCTTTGATACTAGTTGAAGTTTTATTAACTAATTTAATAAGCTTGTCTATTCGTGGTGATCTTAATGAAAATTCTGCTTGCAATTCAACAAGAACGAGGCATAATTCTTCGTCAAACTTTTTAACACTGCCGAGCTCTTTTAAATATTGTAAATAATTTACATCTGGAAATGGCTTATATTTACTTTTTGCCAACCATTTAAAAATTCTTCATACTTGGATATCTCCTTCAATTGAGGAATTTACGCTTGAGATTTTTGATAATTTTATTCTTGCTAATCTTTCGTCTTTTAAATAAAGGCAATAATAAAACTCTCATATAATAAATATTTTGTCTTTAAGGACTAAGCTTAAATTTCAATATTCTTTGAATAAATTTAAAACTTTTTCTTTATTCTCTTGACTATTATCAATTAGCAAATGCCTGAATTTTCGCTCAAAATCGAACTGATTTCTTATATTTGTTGTTCCAATTTCGGGCAAATTTTGGTAATTTTTCTTTGTAATTGTAAATGTAAAGAATAATACTAGAGGCTGCAGAAAGAGGGTGAAGAACACTGTTATCATAGCGTTATCCATTATCTGCCCAAAAATATTCTGGAACGTAAATTTTTTTTGCAGAATAGTTTTTGTCTTAAACTTGTGGCTGAAAAAATATTAAAATTTTTTTAAAATCTAATATAAAAATAAGGGCATCTTTAACAAAATTTCTAAATAAGCATAAAAATCAAAAGAGTCATTGAAATTGAAGCCTGCTCACATGCTTGAATAGAGTTTTCAAATACATTATAATATTGTAAGACAACTATGCTTTTTATGAATAAGTAAATGGAATACATTGCTGAAATAATATGATGAATTATGATATTTGAATCACTAAAAATTGTGTAGGCAAAGCACATAAACACATAAAATCATCTTCTTTGAAAATCCAAAGCAGCTGAAGATCTTGCTTTAAGATTTGTGTTGCTATGGGAATGTTTAATATCACAAGTAAATAGCTCAGAAAAAACACTGATAACCACTAATGAGATTATACAGATAATTGAAAAAATTGCTCCAGGAATTCCAAAATTTATAGTTCCTCCTGATGAAAATCCATCATATTCTTCAACGCCTTCTTTTGGTATAAAAGAATATCTTAATACCATAAGCGAAATCATTGTACTTGGAATAAGACAGACTGATGTTAAAAAAAATGCGATTTTTTGTGGAAAGCCTGCTAAAAACACTGGGGGTTCTTTTTTAAAATATATATAAGTCCCAAAAATCCAAAATGAGCCTATGCAAATTGCTAATAAAACTAAAGTTCCATAAAAGCAAAAACCCATTATGTTTCAAGAAGCACAAACTTGATCATAGCTTACAATTCCTAATCATTTTCAAAATATCTTATATGATGCCCACCCCTCAATACCCAAATCTGGATATCATACTAAGGTTGTTAGTTGCAAAGTCATGACAGAATTTATTATGACTTCATAAAGCATTTGGACTCTCGGCTTGGTTTTTATATGATATTTGATTTTGAAAAGACTTCCTAAGAACCCATAAAAATAAGTTTTAATTTTGCTTGAAAATAGTGATTGTGTCAGGAAATCGCTATATTGGACACTTTCTTTCTGGTCAATATGAAACTCGAAAGACATGATTAATTTTATATAAAATGGGTTGGCTGCTACACCTAGAGATAATTTTGCTATCTAGAAAAGTTTCTAAGATGCAGGATATAGTAAAACATTAATTAATTAGTTTTGAATACGTCAATATGTTTGTGTTAAATGAAAAACTACTTTCTGATATATGTTTTGCAAAATATATTAATTAGCTATTAATCTTTTATTGTTTACTAGGAGATATTTAAAGGACGATTTAAATAGAACTTGCACGAATAAATTTTTTATATCAATTTTAATAAATGTTTCAGTTCTTGAATATTCTGAGCAACTTAGACCTTAAAAGAGCTATTATTTTAAATACTAAATAAATCTATATCAGGAATTAAGCATCGGCTGTGTAGGCTTTAAAATTAAAGTATTATTAGCAAAAAGATCTCGATATTAATTTATTATCTTGGTAAAAATTCCTATATGGGGAACAGAAAATGATTTACTTTTTATACGAACAGTTGCAATAATTGAATTACTATCAAAAATTAAGAATAAAATTTAAATTAGTTAGTAAATTTGCCCTTATAAGGTCAGGGATTGAGAATCCCTGGCCCTCATAAGGATCTAACATACATTCTTCTTTCCTCAGTATGAAAGAGAGCTACAAAGCCTGTCTATGATTTTTGAGTCGGAGAAAATTTTAGTTTCTCATTAAACAGATGCCACATTGAGGTTGGCCTGGGAATTTATAATAGACTCATATCTGTTAAAGCTCATAAACTTATCAATGACTGATTGAATATTATAATTAAAGACTTAAAGCAATTTCTGTCAGCTAAATTCTTATTAGACTAAAATAAATTGAGATACTTTATTTGGAGATTAAATATGGAAAGTTTAACATAAGTGACTTATTCTGGAAATCGATCGACAAATCTTTAACTATATTGCATTTGAATCTGTAATTTGATATATATAAACAATTTTCATTATTTATTAAATCCAAATAATTGTTCCATCTAATAATTATTTAATCAATTTTTTTAACAATTTTCTAATTCACTCAATATTTCTTATTTGAGATATCGATTTTGAAATTAAATTTTTAAATAAATCATATTATCATACAAATAAATTAATTTACCATAATCCTAAACGAGTTAATAAAGTGAATAATGCTATAAAACTTATCATGGACTCAATTTCTCTATAAAATTTTTGCGTTTAATTTATTGTAATAATTTTTGATTAGGGTAATTTTTTGATCGAATTTTGAGGCTTTCTAAAATTTAGCAGAAAAAAATTAATAATTTGCGAATTCAGACTCATTTGACATTAGTCAGCGAAAAATTTTCTTAATTTAATTATATTTATTTAAATATATATAGTTCATTGACATAATTAATGATTCGGCTCCACAGGTGGAGGAACTATTCCACATACAGAACCATGATCCATATTTTGGAGTCATTCTCGTGTGTGTAGAGTTTGGTGCCACACATGGAATAATTTTTTTCCACGTGTAGAACGCAATCCATAATTAATGCAATGTATTATAATAAATTAGAGAAAAAATAGCAGGAAATATATATTTTATAATTTTAATCAATCTCTAACTCTTCCCTTTTTAATTGAAACAAAAAATCCCTATTATAATTTAACGGAGATAATTGTTTTTTAAAAAAAAAAAATATTTAATTTTTTTCTCTATAAACATAGAAATTGAGCAGAATAGTTTGGATTTCAATTTATTTCTATAAAAGAAATAATTAAAAAAAAATAATTATTCAGCGTGAAAACTGTTAAATAGTATCTACTTACATTTTATCTATTAAATTAGGTGAAACTAATTTTATAAAATTAATATTTTCATCTATAAAAATTTCCTATTGAAAACAATTTCGTTCCCACATAAAGTAGCTTAAATTATCGAAACTTTACCAATATTTTATTCCAATTTAAGGGAGAGAGTAAGGTTAAAATTCTTGGCAGAACTGAAAACAGCTGTAATTGCTTGATTTGGAGATTTAAATATGGAAAATAATAAAAGAAAAACAAGGCACATACAGCAATAGAATAAATGATTGTTGTATTTATAATCGTAGCAAGCTGACTGTTTATAATATATTTTGAGTCTCTATCAGCCAAATGAAACTCCTCTCAAATTTGATCCTGGATTGCTTTAACTTTTTTCGAAAAGTCAAAAATATTGTTATTGTCTAAAGCTCCTAAATTTTCATAATTTTCAATATCTGCAATTATAACACCAATCGCCGCTTGAGTCCCTTCGCTTAAAATTTCAATAGTCGAGTTATTTTTTTCATACAATTTTTGCTTTAATTCTGAAGAAATTAAATCAAAATATTTTCCATCCTTAATTTCATTATTTTTGTCTTTTAATAAATTTATAGTTCAATTTTCAATACTTTTCGAGTTCGAGAAACCATATAGTTTTGGGGAAAGGAAATAGGTATATTCATAATAAATTTCTTTAGAGAAAACAGCTGATCTTGATAGAAGGGCTTTTCTTACTATGAAATTATTTACTCTCCCCCCCCCTCCGTGAGTGAACAAAAAAATTTTGTTCACTCACGGAGGGGGTTAATTTTGTTTTTTTTAAAAAAAATTTATATATAAATTTTATAAAAAATATTTTTTTTCGAAATTTAAAAACATCCTAATTCGCAAAAATTGGAAAGCAAATAAAAAGCAATTCGTTTAAAATTAAAAACAGAATTAGCTCTAGATTTCATTATACTAATTATCATTTGTATATCTAAATTTTTTTCAATAAAAATTTTTTCTATTAAAAAAATTTTTGTTCACTTACGAAGGGTGGGTTTTTGGGCAAAAAATAGCGATTTTTCTAATGGTTTTGTTCACTCACGGAGGGAGGGGAGTTAGTAATTCTGGGCGGTTTGTCATAGCAGTATCAAGATTGGGGTATAAGTAATTGAAAATTAATAAATAATAAGAAGCTGCAATACCAAAAAACAGCATCACTTTTCATGTGTATTGTAAATAAATAGTGCTTTTTATTTTTCGAGTAATTCCAGCTATCCTTTTTTCATCTACAGCTGCCTCCATAGTATTTTCTACCCCATGTGTGGTAGCTAATCTATCTATAGCTCTACATCTCAGCCTAAACATTTGCCACTGGGCATGATTTAAAATGAAATTCCAAAATTCGTCATATTTTTTTGACACAAGAATAATATACCCTATAATTACAAAAACCAGCATCCCTAAAGTCAAAAATCCACATATTAAAAGAATATTAATATTATTTCCAGAATCCCTGACTCTTTCAGCTTCACAATCCACTAATCCTTCCATAATAAAAGCTGAACTCCAAAACATATTTCCTAATCCATTAATAAATAAAAATTTTGCGTTATTTTCATAGTTTTCATTAACAGAAGAAATCAGGCTTTTTCCCTAAATATAGATCACATTAGAAATAAAGCCTGTAACAGCGTCATATAAATTTTGATAAGCAATTACCGGCTGTTTTTGATCAAAATTCCAAATCGGGATTATTGATGAATCAGAAATTTTATGAACTTTACAATAATCCCATCGTTTAAAATCGTCAAAAAGGGAATTTTGTAGGTTTTCTAAGTCTTGTACAAGATTTTGCAAATTATCTATTGCAGTATTTATATTTTCTTCAGAACTTTTATTTTTAATTAATGTGTCCAATGTTAATGATAAATCTGCAGAATACCCAAAATCATATACAAGCTGCCCAAAATTCTTAAAAGAGCTTACTCCCCCCCCCCCCCTCCGTGAGCGAACAAAATTTTTTTTGTTCGCTCACGGAGGGGGGTTAATTTTTTTTTTTAAAAACAATTTATATATAAATTTTATAAAAAATATTGTTTTCGAAATTTAAAAAAATCCTAATTTGCAAAAATTGGAAAGCAAATATTAATTTAATTTGCAAAATTTATGTTTTAAAATGCAATTTGTTTAAAATTAAACAGAATTAGCTCTAGATTTCATTATACTAATTATCACTTATATATCAAAATTTTTTTTTCCATTAAAATTTTTTCTATTAAAAAAATTTTTGTTCACTCACGGAGGGTGGGTTTTTGGTCAAAAAATGGCGATTTTTCTAATGGTTTTGTTCGCTCACGGAGGGGGGGGGGGGGGAGTTAATGCATTTGTATGAGACACGTCGTTTTCCATATAGACAAGAATTGCAGCAACTGTGATTATGACTGACGACATCTAAATATTTATTACGACTAAAAACAGAACTAGCTGCAATACTCTTATTTTTCGCTTGGTGTTAAATATGAGCATATTTGCGCGGTTTAATAAATCATTTCCTGTGCTTTTTGATGAGGAATATTTTGATGAATTTGATTTTTTCTCAAAAGCTTCACTTGATTGGAAGGTTTTTTCGTGAAAATCCCCATGTGAGGGGGAGAAAATGTCTGTGTCAGACTTGTCCATGACTTTTGTGGTAATAGGAAAATCGGTAATTGTTTGGAATTTTATGGCAATTTATGTGAATTTTTCAGTAAATAATAAAAAGTATTTTATATAGCAAAAATTAATTGAAAAAGTATACTTCACGTAAAGCTTTTGGATTTATTGGGCTTAGCGTTGGTTTATTAGTTTCGTCATCGTCTTCAAGCATTTGAAATGATTTTAAATGCGTAAGAATATCGTGAGGTTCCCCTTCTTTCCATTTTTTAATTTCATTTGCATCGTGGATCAGGATAATGATATTAAGCGTATCTTCACACGACGATTATTTCATAACGACTATTTTTTTTTGGCCTATTTTTTTTTGGCCTATTTTTTTTTGGCCTATTTTTTTGGCCTTTTTTTTGACAATTTTTTAACTATTTTTTACTAATATTTGGGCATAATTCCATACTAATTGTTTTAAATCTAATTTTTAATGTGTTTTAAACGATTTAACCAACAAAAAATGCACCCTTAACAGATTTCTTACTCCATGAATACTAATTCATTGCTTTTAAAATTTCGAGAATTTTAGGTTTAATTAGGAGTTTTTAACTTAATTTACTCAATATTAATCGCGTAAGGAAAGGTCTCTGTTTTTTTTAATCAGGTTGTAGTCCTCTCAGCAGCTTCATGAATGAGGCTAGGCAAAAAAAATAGGCCAAAAAAAATAGGCCAAAAAAAAATAGGGCCAAAAAAAAAAATAGGCCAAAAAAAAATAGGCCAAAAAAAATAGGCCAAAAAAAATAGGCCAAAAAAAAATAGGCCAAAAAAAAATAGGCCAAAAAAAATAGGCCAAAAAAAAATAGGCCAAAAAAAAATAGGCCAAAAAAAAATAGGCCAAAAAAGAATAGGCCAAAAAAAAAATAGGCCAAAAAAAAAATAGTCGTTATGAAATAGTCGTCGTGTGAAGGAACCGATATTAAGAGATGAGTTTTTTATAGCTTTTTTGATTTTAAGCAGAATCAATTCTCGGTCTTTATATGGGAGCAGCCATGGCTCAAAATCCTTCATTTTTTCTATATCGCCAAGAGGCAAAACTTCTGATAAATTTTTATTTTTTATAATTTTGACTTCATTTGTTAGGTAAAACGAAAACATCTCACTATGCGCAATTATATAGCCTTCGTTAGAAACCAAGGCTATTTCTCTTATATTGGTTCTAGGCTTGAAAGATATTAGGAAATACGAACAATTGTGAAAAGCGGTCAATTTGATTAAAAAACTGCTTTCTACTATAAATCCAGCGTGGCTCTGGAAAAATAGTTTACTGTGAGAGGACAGTTCTATTGAGCTACATTCAAGTATATACTAAGCTATAGTAATTTTTAAGTTATTATGGCTCAAAATTTGTATAGAAAATTAAAAAAAATTTGCGTTGGTAAATTAGTTTAAAAACAGAATAAAATTTCTCATGAAATTTTCATGCATTTTGTCATATGGCTGAGGAATATAGTTCATAATAGAAGATCCCATAATATTTCCTATTGACGCTTTAAGCAGCTGCGCAGCCTTTTCATTGATATATACAATACTCCCAAAAGACTCATCTGAGCAAGACACTAGGATAGTTGCTAAATCTTTGCCATAGCTTTCCAATCCTTTATCTTCACTATGAACATTAAAAAAATTAATCCCGTTTTTCTTTCTGATAATAAATTTTGCTTCTTCTTGGTCACTCAAAATATCACTGAGATAGCTTGAATATATTTCATAAGACTCCAATTTTTTGTATTTTTCTATCAAATTTTTATACCCATCTGACACATATAAAATATGCTGGGCCGATCTCCTTGCCAAATTTACCAATTTCTGGATCCTAGGGACTTTTAATGAGAATTCTGCCTGGAGCTCAGACAAAATCATGCAGAGCTCTTCGTCTTGGCTTCTGGTTCTGCTGAATTCTTTTAAATATTCCAAATAACTTGTATCAGGAAATGATATGTGTTTTTTTCTTACAAGCCAATTAAATAGCCTTCATTCTTGTATATCTCCTTCAAATGAGGGTTTGGCATTGGCAATTTTTGAGAGTTTTATTCTGGCTAGTCTTTCGTCATTCATAATGTCAAGGCAAAAATTGAATTCCCATATCACAAATAGTTTGTCTTTTGTAAACTGACTTTCTCTTCAAAATTTTAAAAATAAATGCAAAACTTCTGATTTTTCACAAATGCTCTTGTCAATCAGCAAGTGGCGATATTTTCTTTCAAATTCATACTGATTTCTTGGAAGATTTTTATTATTTGACATATTTTGATATTTTTTGTGTATGCTTTTGGAGAGTAAATTATTTTGAAGTTTTGTTTTTATTAAGATAGATTAAGGCTCGGGTCATAAATTATCTATAATATACTAATATCAAAATTAAGCCATGATATTATATAATATTCCCCATCAATTAACATAAAGAAAATTAGGTCAATTGCAATTTTTTTTAGATAATTATTTTAAGAAATTACTTTAAATGCCAATTATAAGCCATTATGAATATTATTCTGGCAGTCAAATATATAACAATTGGTTCTATGAACAGTGTAAAATACGTTATTATCAGAGCACTGTCCATAATTTGTGCAAAAATGAAAAATAATAAGATTGAAGCAATTATCGCAAGCTTGCAAGCCTGAATAGAGTTTTCTATTATATTAAAATACTGCCCTGATTGGACGCATATATAGAAAAAGTACAATGCTTCTAAAAATATAACGATTTGATAAGCCAATGAGTGTTCAGAATTCCCAAAAATAATATATACTGACATAAGGATAGTAAAAACTTGAAATATTTTATATTAATAAAGAGTCTTAATAAAGAATTCAAAGTATTATTTAAGATAAAAATTATATAGGATGCTCATTGACATATAAAACCATCTTCTCCATAAGTCAAAACTTGCACAAGACCGAGCTTTTATATTCTTTTTTGAGTGGGAATGCTTCATATCGCAGCTAAAAGACTCGCTAAAAAGTGTATAATCTAGAAACTTATATAGAGTGCCCTGAACTAGGAGAATGCTATGCAACTCCCCTATTTGTTGCTTCAAATAAATTGGCAAGTTTGCAAATACATCCAATATAAAGAATTTCCTGACTGGTTGTCAACTAGAGTTGGAGAACCATCTTAGAGACTTGCGCAGGTCAGGGCTATCTATATGGGTTCTTGAGCTATAACAAAAATTAAACAGGAAAGAAAAAAAAGGCCAATAAAAACGCCTAAATATCCATATTCATAGACGCTGGCGCTTATATCTCCAGCGTATTCTTGGATTTTGCTATATTTAGCTACTGAATATTTTATTATAATTTTGGAAAATCCTTATCTTTATATTTCCTAATTTTTCCTCTTTTTTGGAAATTTTTAATTTTTATCTGAAAAAATCGCGCCTAAAGTAATTGGGCCTAGAATATTAGCATAGCAAAAATCATGGTGCTTGGAATAACTAAAACATTAGTAATTAGCATTGCTATTTTTCTTGGCAAAATGGAAAGTATCATAGGGATTTCTTTTCCTCAGTAAATATAAAATCCAAATATTGCAAATGACCCGATGCAAGATCCTATTAATATAATTGTCCCATAAAGGCAAAAATTCATAATAGAGTAATAAGCGCAAACTTCGTCATAGCTTACATAGGCAATGTCCTGCCAGAAATCTATATATGAGCTTCATCCAGAAGCTTTCATAGATGGAGATCACCATAAAGGAGACAGCTGCAGAATAATGATAAAATTGATAAGAATTTCATAAAACAGCTGTGTTCGGAATTTTACTTTGTGGCTGTATTTTGCCTTGAAAAGCTGTCCAAAGAAGCCATAAAGGTATTCTTTGGTTTTGCTTGCAAATAAAGCTTGAGATAAAAACATATTGAAGTCTGAACTATCTTTTTCAGTCAAGTCTATGTCGCCAATCATGATTTTTTTTATTATTAGTATCAGTAATGCATTTAAAATTGGTCAATTTCAGTTTGCCTCATGAATATTAAAATTATCGATTTTGTTTTGCAAATTTGACTATATAGAAATAAACTGCTAGGTAATAAAAGCTTTCACATATAAAATAATTTATAAAGATGTGATATATTGAAATATGTCATAATTTCAAATTAACTAGAGATCCAGCGAGCTATAGTTGATAAAATAACACTTCTAGCCTTATGTTTCTTAGGCGCTGACTATTGAATCTGCTCAAATACCGTTTAAGCTATTTTAGATATGGAGTCATGCTAAATTTGATTTTTCTTGCTTAAAAATTGCTTGCTCCCAAATATAATTGAAGTTTTAGCCAAAATTATGCTCCTTATTTAATTAATTTTAGCAATATTTTAATTAAAATTATTTACTGAATAGGTTAGTAAATAAGTCATAGTCGCAAAAGGAGGAAAGATTTTTTTTTGTATTGACTGGAATAGCAATTAATACCCAGAAAGCATTAAAATTTAAAATTTTTATAGGCTTTTAATTGATCTAATTCTTTTGCACCCGTATTTGATTTTTTTTTAGATTAATATTAAAGATTTCTTTTTATCAACTTTTATCTTTTATAAAGGACATACCAGCAATTAGATAAGGCAATCTTCTGTATATAGATATCGGATAAATGCTAAATTATGCAGATTATTTTTAAGAGTATAAATATAACTTAGTTCAAATTACTAATAAATAAATGGCGTATTAATTTATAAATTAATTGCATCACAATTAGTAAAATGCTATAACTCAGAATTTCAATATTTCATCTCAGATCTGTTCAATTAAACGCCTTAATTTTTGGTAACTTTAGAAAAGTAGTTTTTAAAGTAATTTTTTAATCCTAAGAAAATAAGCTTTTTCAATTTGTTTATTTATATCTTTAGTTTGATAAAAAATTAATGATTTTTCTTAAATTTGAGTGGATCGCGTTATTAAAAAGAATTAAAAGCATATCAAAACATAGCTTTGTGATAAGGATATTAATGAAATCAATACAATTTTTGCAAAGCCAAGATTTACTAGAAAAATAGAATGCGAGACTAATAAATCTTTGAGTCATTTTTTCAAGTCTGAGTGCATATTGAAATCAACAAAAAATTAAATGCTATACCAGCATTGCAAGCTGTCTCATTAGCTTGATATTCGAATTTAGATATTTCTGGATGGAAAAGCTGGGAAAATTCTGAAAGCTCATAGGCTACTTAAATTATGACCTTTTATGTGAAGAAGAAAGCACAACAGACTTTTTTTTTATGGAACTACATCTATATAATGACTGAGAGTTATTTTTTTAATATTTTGAGCTTTTTCTTTTAGCTATTCCCCTCTCCCTCGATGCTATTTTTATTTTTAAAAAGATTATATATAAATTTTTATATTAATTTTTTCTCCAGAATTTAAAAAAAAATCCCATTTGAGAGAATTCAACAGAAATAGCGCTTGATATCGCATTATAATAATTTTTATTATATATCAAAAATTTTTTGTTCGCTCACAGAGGATAAAATTTTGCTCAAAAAATAGCAATTTTTAATAGTTTTGACGGAGGGAGGGGAGGAGTAAGACTTCCTGAAATATTTTGCTTACTGTCTAGATATATTATTCAAGTTTATCAGCAATTTGTTTTATATAGCTTACACCCAGTTTTGGATCGGCCTTGAGCATCCCCTCCCCATGCCACCCACCCCCAACGGTCCCAAATATTTTAGTATGTTAAATATTAATTTGACAAGTTAAAATATTTGACGGGGACTTGTCAATTAATATTTTAACATTTACAATTTTCAGGACCGTCAGGGGGTGGATGATATGGGGAGGGGGTACTTAATGGTGAGCAGCCAAGAGGGGTGTGCTATATCTAATTTACTGATTTATTTGATTATTTTTAATATTCCATAATTAAAGAGAATAACATAGAGGAATATGGCACAAAAATTGATAATAAAACTTTGCAGAAGAACACCACAGACGCAGCATCTTCAGTAGTTTGGATGTTTGCTATAATTTTTATTAATTTTATCTGGAATATTTTTTTTATGACATGCAAATAAAAAATTTTATATTGTTTTTTATTCTAATTTTGGTAATAAAAACATTATTTATTATGAGATTTTTATTTTTGTGTCCTCATTATTTTTAGTTATTAAATGCATTGTAGTTTTGCAATAGAGATTAGAAGCAATTACAGCTTAAAAATAGGGCAGATTTTATCTTTATCTGAAGAGATTTAGCACTGCTCTGTTCAGTTAGCTGTTCAAAAAATATTATTATCAAATCCTGCTCTGTAATTCAAATAGAGAGAGATCAATGCTTGAAGAAAATTTCACGTTTTCTATAACTCCCCCCCCTCCGTGAGTGAACAAAACCATTAGAAAAATCCCTATTTTTTGCCAAAAAACCCACCCTCCGTGAGTGAACAAAAATTATTTTAATACAAAAAATTCTTACTCCCCCCCCCATCCTTGATCGAACGACTGACTGTAAAAATTCCTAAAAATTGGGGAAATAAACCCCATCCTTGATCGAACGATTTTCATATCATGCAAATTTTTATATATATAAAAATATATTATTTATCAAAAGCTTGGGAAGATGTACATAATGAAGTTGTTTTCAGAGGCTTTGAGACGACAGAAAGCTGCGGAATCAACCATCCGAAGTGATTTTTAGTCATTAACTAGGCTTAAAAACTTAATAATCTAATAAAATACAGATTCTTTAAAATTTTTTTAAAAAACATTTAATTTAATAAGGAAAAAATAAAATTTATACAATTTAAAGGGGTAACTAATAAATCAAAATATTAAAAAATTGGTATTTTATGAAATAATTAAAATTTTTTGTTGTAAAAATAATTATTAAATATTCTTAACCCTCTTATTTAAAAGTAAATAAAAAAAAATATCTATATATTTTTTTATTTTATATAAATTTTTTTTCCGAAAATGTTTTTTTTTAACCCCCATCCTTGATCGAACGATGGCGAGTCGTTCGATCAAGGATGGGGGGGGAGTTATGGGAAAAAATTTTGATATATAAATGACAATTAGCATAATGAAATCTAGAGCTAATTCTGTTTAATTTTAAACGAATTGCTTTTTTAAAACATAAATTTTACAAAAAAAATTAATATTTGCTTTCCAATTTTTGCAAATTAGATTTTTTTAAATTTCGAAAAAAAATATTTTTTATAAAATTTTATATATAAATTTTTTAAAAAAAAAAAAAATAACCCCGTGAGTGAACAAAATTTTTTTTGTTCACTCACGGAGGGGGGGGGAGTAAGGAAAAGTTATAAATTAAATTCATATAAAAATTAAATAAAGAACAGTTATTTTTTCGCTTGTAGAAACCTCTTATTATTAATCATATCTTACCAATTTAAAAATATTCGATAGTAAAGTGTCATTTGTTTTTAGATAATTTTAATATTAGGCAAGCTTTAATATCAAAGCTATTTCACTAACTCCCACTCCGTGAAAGAAAAAAACATTAGAAAAATCCCTATTTTTGCCCAAAAAACTACCCTCCATTCGTGAACATAAATGCTCTAATATAAAAATTTTTGATATTTAAGTGATAATTAGTATAATGAAATCTCTAGCTAATTCTGTTTAATTTTAAACAAAATGCATTTTAAAACATAAATTTTACAATTTAAATAAATATTGATTTCAAATTTTGAGAATTGGGATTTTTTTTAATTTCGAAAAAAAAATTTTACTATAAAATTTCTATATAAATTTTTAAAAAAACCTCCATGAGCTAATAAAATTTTTTGTTCCTCACAGAGTTGGGGAGTAAAGAAATCATAAGCACCTATATGATAAATATTTAATGACTTTTATAATTTCCCCTCATATATCTGCAAATCATACTGCCGAATTATTGGAGTTGAAAATAGAAGTTCTAGAAATGAAAATTTTTCCATATTAATGTCAAAAGAATTATTCCAAAAATTTAAGAAAGTAATAATAATAAATAAATTCAAAACGATATTTTAAATTATGGCAGCTACATTGAACGACATTGCAAATTGGATGCAAGATTTAGCCCTTTCAAATGCATTTAATATAGCTGAGCTATATCAATATACAGCAAAAGTTAAATCAGTTAGAAAGAAGCTTTGTGAAGAGTTTTTACTTGCAGAAGATGACTCTAAAACACTATAAATAGCTGTTTGGGGATATAATCATTATAACAGTGCTTTATTCTTTTACTATATTCCATATTTTAAAATTGCTATGCAAAGAAGGTTAAAGATTTTCTGTTTTGCAAAGGTCTTAGACTTAGATACCCAATATTGCTATAAAAATGAAATAATAGGCAACTTAAAACAATTAAATTGTAAATTTCAAATATATAATGTAAAAATTAAATCAAATTAAAGCGTGGATTTATATTTAAATTATTTTACATAAAGAATTATTATAATTTTTATTAATTTTCAAAAATTGCTGGCCATAAGAAATCCAAAGAGCTTTTCCAGAAATTTCTGAATTTATCTTCTTTATTTATTCAGAAAACATTCCTTGCTGCACTTTTATATAATAGCTCAATTTATGAAACTCTGTGCTTAATCCCACAAAAAAAAGAACATGCAATTTAATTTCTGGTCGCGAAATAATATTAATAAATGTATCAATAGATAAAAATTTTTTGTTGTTGATCTTTTTAACCTTTTCTGACTCTGGAAAAAAGGTGGTCTTTCAATTACAATTTTTCTTATTTCAATAAGCAACTAATTTCTCAATATATTGTGCATTAGCACTTTTTTATCAAAATGCAAGGGCTATAGTTATGGCTAGTTCTGTATCTCAGGCTTGGGAAAATACCGAACTGGTTATCAGAATGGCCTGTGCCTAAAAATTGTAAATGCACAATATAATTTTTTGACCAATTTTTAAATTTATTATTTTAAAAAGTCAGGTTAAATATATTCATTTATAAAAATTTATAAAAAGCTAATGTCTGGTGACCTCAATATTGCAGAAAAAGAAAACATCGATATTCAAGGTTTTTTATCGCAATCATTATTTTCAAACAAAGTAAAAGAGTACCTTTACGGATTTTTTGGACAGCTTTTTAAAACTAAATACAGTGATAAAATAAAATTTACTCCCCCCCCCTCCGTGAGTGAACAAAAAAATTTTGTTCACTCACGGAGGCGGATTAATTTTTTAAAAATTTTTTTTTTTCGAAATTTAAAAAAATCCTAATTCGCAAAATTTTGAAAGCAAATAGTAATTTAATTTATAAAATTTATGTTTTAAAAAGCAATTCGTTTAGAATTAAACAGAATTAGCTCTAGATTTCATTATACTAATTATCATTTATATATAATTTTTTTTTCCTTAAAAAATTTTTCTATTAAAAAAATTTTTGTTCAGTCACGGAAGGTGGGTTTTTGGGCAAAAAATAGGGATTTTTCTAATGGTTTTGTTCACTCACGGAGGGGGGGGAGAGTTAGAATGCAAATTTTTTATGAAGTGGTATTCTACTAGTTTTTAGATTTTAAAGTGTTTCCTTTCTCCAGCAGGGTGATTTCTTTGAAATCCCAGATAGTTTTTAGATTTTAAAGTGCTTCCTTTCTTCAGCAGGGTGATTTAAGTATAGTCCTTTTAAATCCCAAGTGATGGCATTAGCATCCATATTTCCAGAAGACTTGTGACCTTTAAAGAACCTATATTAGCCTCTGCTCTGCCTAAATCGCCTCTTATAATAATAAATCACAGGAGGAATGGTTTCTAAATTTCGTGTGTAGACATTTTATTATGTGATGTGGTAATCAATATAATTATTGTTCTCCAATTATCACCCTTATGGTGATCTCCAGCTATGAAGGCTGCTGGATGAAGCTCTTATATAGATTTCTGACAGATCATTGCGTATGCTAGCTACGACGAAATATGTGCCTATTTTGATATCATGGATTTTTGTTTATATGGAACTATATTTTTGATATGCTCATGCTTGTCCTCTTTTGCAGCCTTTTGACTTTATATTTATATGAGAAAAGACGTCCCATTAATTATTTCTATTTTACCCAGAAAATTTGCAATGCTTTTAACGACAGTTTGTATAATCCCCAGCTCAATGATGTTTGTTATGGTTATAAAATATTCTACAGTTGACATTAGTATTATTCAAGAATATACTGGAGGAATCTCTTCCAGCGTGTATCAATATGGGCCTTTAGGCGTTTTTCTTGGTCTTTTTCATATTTTTGCATTACTTTTTGTTAATTGTTTTGCTGAAGCTTTTACGTGTGATATACGGCACACCCATTCAAAAAAAAATTTAAAAGCAAGGTCGTGTGCCTGATTTGACCTAGAAAGAAGAGTATATTATGTTTCCATGACTATTCTATACGTCATTTTTGGGAATTCAGACTACTCTTTTGCTTTCCAAATTGCTGTGTTTTTTTTATCATTTATCTTATATTTACGTATCATTTATTCTATGCAATATTTCAATACCATTGAAAACTCTATTCAAGCTTGCAAAATGGTTACAGTTTCGTCTTCAATTTTATTTTTTATTTTTGCCATAATTGTGGACAACGCAGAAATTTTGATGTTTTTGACAGTAATTTTAACTCCCGTTTTGCTTTATTTTACTATAAATCTCACCCTTTAAATTAGAACAAAAATCATTTTTCAGTTTCAAGGGGGTTTATTATTAATTTTAAAAAAATTTATATTATATTTTTTTCTATAAAAATATTTTTAAAATTTAAAAATTAAAAAATATATGAATTGAACAGAATATTTCAATTTTTAATTTATTTTATGAAGAATTAATTGATTCAGTGTGAAAGCTGTTTAAGCAATATTCAGATTTACAATTAAATAAGTTCAAAAATAATTTTTTATAAAAATTATTAAAGGGGGGAGGCTAAAGTATCCAAAAAAAAATTTTATTCCAATTTAATTTATATGGGAGTAAGAATAATTAGAAGAAGATATAAAAATTTACCAAATTTACACAAGAATCCTAAAAATCAGTACGAATTTGAAAAAACCTTTAGGCATTTACTAGCAGAAGGGAACCCTGATGACAAATTAGAAGTTTTAAGCCTATTTTTAGGATATTGAAGAGAAAGCCATTTTATTAAAGACAAGCTTTTTGTGACATGGGAATTTAATTTTTGTCTTTATACATTAAAAGATGAGAGATTGGCAAGAGTAAAGCTCTCAAAAATTGCAAATGCAAAATCTTCATTTGAAGGAGATGTGCAAGAATGATTAGATCAAGCTATGTCGAAGCGGACTATTGGGGATTATTTCAGCCCCTGCCTCTACTGCCGGCTTCAGACTTAGGTGGCCCTAAGAGTCGGCTCAACACGTCACTCCCTTTTTGTCGGCGTCACCAAAAAATGGTGAAGTCAGAAATCTCTCAGGGATCATAATTGATCTAGCTCTTCGCATTGGACTCCCTTAACTTCTGGTAGTGCTCAAAGTAAAGGAGAAGCGTGCATGCCTACTTTTGAACTACCTTGCCCTTATTCAGGTGCATAATTGCTTCTTAGAATCTCCAATCGATTTATGCCTTCGGTTTGTTGTCTGTTAGCTGAAGAAAAAGTCCCTCGTGGTGTCCCAAAAAGGAAAAAATCTGACTTCCTAAAAATATGGATCACTTACTTGGGGATCAAATCGTCAGCCACACTGGATTTTTTCTCCAGTCACCATCTTTTAAAATGTTTGACAAGAATGATTAGATTAAACTAGACTAGATTAAAGTTAGAATAGGTCTTTGGGTTTATTTCAGCCCCTCTCCGCCTTGACCAACTTCAAGTTCCCACTTTAAGCATCAGTTTGCGCTTAAGCCTTTTCTGAACACGTCACCAAAAATTGATGACGTCAGCATCTCCCGGGAGATGACCCAGATATTTCCTTGGACAAATTCCTAGCAGTCGGAACTAGTTACTTGGAGAAGGGAGGCAGAATGCGACCCCCAAATCCTCCTTCAGGTCTCCATTACTCTCCGTATCAAGAAGTGTTGTGCGGACTCTCGCCTACTTGTGTCTGAGACGAGATAAAAAGCCTGTGGTGGTGTCCCAGCCAGGGATAAAAAAAACTATCCCAAACACAATTTCCAGGCCCTGTCCCTCTTAAACCCACAAAATTCTGAGGATGCAGGAGAAGAACAATTCGTATAAGTCACAATTATTTGTGTGTATACAAGGATGAAGATTATTTAATTGGCTTGTGAGGAAAAAACACGCACTATTTGCTGATACAGATTATCTGGAATATTTAAAAAATTTTAGCAGAATCAAAAATCAAGATGAAGAGCTTTGCTTTATTTTGGCTGAACTGCAAGGTGAATTTTCATTAAGACTGCCAAGGATAGAGAAATTAGTAAACTTAACGAAAAGGGCAGCGCAGCATATATTTTATATATCAGATGGATACAAAAACTTATTAGAAAAGCATCAAAATCCTGAAGCCTTTGATATTTATTCAAGCTATCTTGATGACATGCTCAATAGTTCCAGTAAAAATAACCTAAATTCCTATGAAATAATTTATTTTTAAAAAAAAAAATTATCCTCTCAATGATAATGAAGAAGCAAATTTTATTTTAAGAAAGAAAAACAGCATAAATTTTTCTAACCGTCATGATGCAAATAACTTAAAAAATTATGGAAAAGACCTAGCAACAATTCTTGTATCATGCTCTGACGATTTTTTTGGGAGAATTGTACATATAAATGATAAAGCTTCCCAATTTTTAAAAACATCAATAGGAAATATCCTGGGCTCGTCAATAATTAATTTTATTCCTCAACCTTTTGATGCAAAGCATGAAAATAATATGAAAAGGTTTATTGCGGAATGTCAATCAATAGATATACCTTGCCATGAAAAATTATTCTTACAGAACTTTGGAGGGTTTTTATTTGAATGCAATATGCTAATCACATTGACTGCATTCCATAACTGCTCTTATTTTTTAGTTTCTTTTAAGCCTAGACCAGTTATAAGAGAATTAGCAATAACTACTCATGAAGGAACTATAATAGCTCACACTGAAATGTTTTCATTTTATTTAGAATATCAAGGCAGGCACTTAAAAAACAAAAACATTTCTGATATTATTCCGATGCTTTCAATAGAAAAAATGCATGATTTTGAACCTTGGCTGATCCCATTCAGAAATACAGAGCTAATTCTTGTCAAAATTAAAAAGCAAATGCTGTCCACAACTCTTACCCGCGAAAAAATATTTTTTAATAGAAAAATATTTTATGGAAAAAAATTTTGATATATAAGTGATAATTAGAATAATGAAATTTCGAGCAAATTCTGTGTTTAATTTTAAACAAATTGCGTTTAAAATATAAATTTTTACAATTAAATTAATATTTGCTTTCCAAGTTTTTCAAAGTGGAATTTGTTTATACTACCAAAAAAATTTTGTTTTTAAAATTTATATATAAATTTTTATAAAAAAAAAATAATCCCCACCGCGAGCGAACAAGAATTTTTTGTTGGGTAGTTAGTATAGTGATGATAATTCACGATGAAAAAGAAATCTTTAAATGAAAAAATGGACAGCATCACGAAGCAATTGCACAATTCGGGACTTTTCAGATGTTCGAAGATGAAGAATCTAGCTTTCTTACTGTAGATAATTTGAAAAAATCAGAAATGAAATTCCATACATTAAGCACCCTTTCTGCAATAGCAAAATCTTTTGATAAAAATGAAACTGAATCTGTTGGGATGCTGAATGTAAATTCTCAGGAAAAAATAGAGGAAGAGAGCGTACAATATGAAAAAAAATCAGAAAATTCTGACAACTTTTCAAAAGTCTCTGTAACAAAAAAAAATAAAAATATCTTGGCAAGCACTGCACAACAGCTAATTTCTGACTCAGTTAAAAAAATTAGAATTTTGCAATGGGTATTATTTTTAATTGTAAGAAATATTTAGGTTTCATCTGTCATTGTCATTGTTGCTGCTATTTTAGTTTATATGAAAAATGATGTGTCTCATACAAATGCATTAAGCTCTTTTAAGAAATTTGGACAGCTAATTTATGATTTTGGGTATTCAGCTGATTTAGCACTTACTATAAACAGATTAATTGCAAAAAATCACTACGATCTTCTCGAAGATGCTTTAGAAAACTTAAAAAATTTAAATCAAGATTTCGAAATAATCCAAGATACCCTATTACTCCCCCTCCGTAAGCGAATAAAACAATTGGAAAAATCCATTTTTTTGGGCTAAAACCCACACTCCGTGAGCGAAAAAAAAAATGTTTTTTATCAAATGAAATCTCAAGCTAATTCTGTTAAATTTTTAACAGCTTGCATTTCAAACATAAATTTTGCAAATTAAATTAATATTTGCTTTAAAATTATTTCGAATATGGATTTTTGTACAATTATATATATATATATATAAATTTTCTTAAAAAAATTGTTCACTCGCGGAGGGGGAGGAGCTAGCTGATTTTAGTCAATGGTCTGACTGTGATAGTCAAAAAATTGTTTATAATTCAATAATTCCAATATGAATTTTTGACCACAAGGAGCCAATTGACTTATATTATAATCTGTATGACGCCATAGGAATATTCATTTATAATGTATTTTTTATTCAGGGGCAAAGTTTATTATCTGAAGTCGAAGGCAAGAGAAATTTTCAAGACCACGCAAAGTTTTTGTTTATGAATGGACTTGGAAGCTTATTTTATTACTCAAATATAACAATAAATGGGCTAGTTACATGTGAAATTGACAGAGTAGCAAGCACTGGGAGCACTATAAACATTCTTTTAATATGTGGAATTTTTGCTCTTGGGATTTTAATATTAGTGATTATGGGGTATATCATACTTATATCCAGAAAATATGACGAATTTTGAAATTATTGCCTAAATAATGCACAGTGACCGATTTTTAAGCTAAAATGTGCAGCATTAGATAGACTAGCCACCATACATGGAGTTGATAAAGCTGTGGAGACAGGATCAGAAAACAAAAGAAAAAGTAGCCATAAAAGAGAAGTTAAAGGAACTTTATATTTACAGTACTTTATTAGATTAATGCTTCTTTTTACTATAGCAGCATCTTATTATTTATTAATTTTCAATTATTTATACCCAAATCTAGACACAATGATGATGCATCGTCCTCATATACTTGATAACTTTATTATCCGAAGATCTTTATTGTCAAGGGCAACTGTTTTTTCTAGAGAAATTTTATTTAATTATACATATAATTATCTGCCAGAACTTTACGCTTTCCCAAATTCAGAGCTAATTTTAGACCAAACATTATGCCAGCTTACACAAAGAAATAATGAAATTCGAGAAGGAAGATATCTAGATTTGCTGTCACATGAATTAAAAGAAAAAATGTTTGCAAAAAATGACTCACCTTATTGGTGGCTTAATAAAGGGACTCAGCCAGCTTTTGACATGGTTATTGGCGACACTGAAAATTTTGAAAATTTAGGTGAAGTGACAGATGATGAATGGATTTTCTTTTCAAAAATGGGGAAAACTATCCAAGATGAAATTGGGGAAGAATTTGACTTGGCTGATAGGGACTCGAAGAATGCTATTCAGGAGCAGCTGAATGTTATTATATATACAACAGTTATTTATTCTGTAGCCTTGGGTGTGCTATATTTCTTTTATTATTTGCCGTACATGAAAAATCAAATTAAACAGCTCAATCTTTTTTCAGTGCTGCCGAAGATTTTGCCAGAAAAATATGATTAAATTATAATAGGTGTTTATAATGAAATTATTTTTAATTTGTATAAATGGAGGAGAATAGGTCTGGTGTGTGAAACAAGAAGGAGCTGCCTTGGCTTACAGCCAAAGATTGTGCATGTCAGGAAGCGACTAGATTATGCTGACTTTGATGATGCATTGCTATTTTATGATGATGAGCTCCTAAAATGAAGTCGATGAGATTCTTGATAGCGGAGAAAATTATGAGAGCGAATGGGAGCTCGAGGAAGATTCTTTAGAGCTAGACTACGAAGAATGGGTGCTAGCAACACTGAGAACTGAAGGGGAGACACTGAATAAAGGGGAAAGTGTTCAGATTCTCGAGAGAGTGAATATGATGCCAATTGAATTGGCTACCTCGAATGAGAGACTAAATCAGAAGGAGATCCAAAAAGACCAACAATGGGGAATAATCAAGAGCTGGAGCAGGATCAGAGGCAGAAAGGGGAGCAGAAATCAGGAAAGAAAGCAGTATTAAAGCAGAACTTGAAGCAAAATCTGAGCTGAAAATGAAGCAGATTTTGATGCTGAAATTGAAGCAGAGGATAAGCAGAAATGGAAGAAGAAGAATTTTAGGCAGAAGCCGAAGCAGGAAATAATGCAGAAATGGAGAAAGTTTTCGAATAGGCGGGAGGCAACTGAGCCAAGACGTTACTATGCAGAGAGGAATTTGAAAGAGAGATGAAAATTTTGAGGGAGGAAAGCAAAATGAACAATTAGTCAGAATAGACCTAGCAGTTAAGGTCTTTCACGAGAAATGGCAGCTGAGAGAGTCAATGAAATAGAAAGGAAATTACAGGTAAAATCAAAGAGAGGATTCAAACAGCCGACACATGGGCAAAAAAGTTCACAGAGGACTGCAATAGGTCAATCCCATTTAATTTAAGTGTAAGTTTTTATAATGAAATTTACATCATTAGGATATTGGAGTATTTAATAGATAGCTTAATATAAAATTTGCAAATATTTATTAGTTATAGTCCTTTAAATTTATAAATTATTGAATAATTTTCATATTTTTTTTCCATTACGATAAAATAAAACAATTATTTTTAAACTTTAAACTAAGTAAATAAAAATATTTTAGTGATAATTTTAATAAAAACTGAATTTAATAAATAAAGGCTTATAATTTTAGTTTTTAACTAAGCAAATTCTACCTTGAAATAATGGATTATTCGCTTCCTAACTTTAGGATCGTTGGCAACATATTAAATCTGTTTAAGTACCTCGCTTGATAAATAAAAAACGGCAAATAATATAGCAAAAACAAGCTGCACAATGCAACTGAATAAACAACAGTAGCAATTATAATTACATGCAATTGATTATTGATGATCTCATAAGAATCGTCATCAGCAATTTGAAATTCCTCTCCTACCTCATTTTCTATTTCCCCAAGAATTCCTAAATATACAATCATAGCTTTACCGGAAATATTGGTCTGGTATGTGATATAAATTCCATCATAAATAGTCAGTTTTATAGCTGTTTCTGAGCCAAAATAAAGCTCTGACCCCATAATGCTACAGCTCTCAAATAATCTTTGCTTAAGCCCCCCTGAAATCATGCTCATAAACTTGTTTTCTCTTATTTCTTTGGTTTTGTCCAAAAGAATTTGTGAAGTAATATTAAACATTTCTTTAGAATTCCGAAAATCATAGGATTTTGGGAATAATTTTATAAATGAAGGATTATAAACATCTCTTGCAAAAATAGAAAGCCTTGATACTAATGATCGCTTTATATTGAAATTATTAAGTAATTTCGGCCTATTCGCCATATAATTTGCGCATTCTGGATATAAATAAAAATAAACCAAATAATAATATGACGCAGAAATCATAAAAAATACCAAAATTCGTCAGGCGTATTTTATCTCGATTTTTGTTCTAACTTTTTTTCTGTTATGCAATTTCCTTATATTGGATTGTTCTTCTGGATTTATTTCGTCATTATGAACAAGAATGAGCCTGTCCATAGCTTCACTTCTCAATTTCATTAAAGGAATTTGTGCATGCTCCAGCATGAAATTTCAAAACTCGTCTTCTTTTTTGGCTGCAAGCAAAATAAATCAAATGATTATTATAACTAAGCCTGTAAATATAGAAAAGCCAGAAACAAGCAGGGTGCTTATTTCATAGCGGAGGGTGTCTATATGATCAACTTCACAATTTTCTAAGCCTGAAATAGTGTGATTTAAAAATTCATAGGTTTTGCCTATACCGTTAGCTATTACAAATTTTGCATGTTGCATATTGGTTTGGTTATTTTTGGCTGAAGAAATGACAAGTTTTAGCTGAATAAAAATTACATGGTAATTAAATAAAGAAATCATGTCGTAAATATTTTCATAAATAATCTGAGGATTTTCATCGTCAAAAGATCATAATGGGATCAAAGGTTTATCAGCAACTTCAGCTGCTGTGCAAAATCGCCAATAATTGAAATCAGAACGAATATTAAGCTGTATAGTTTCTAATTCACTTACTATTGAAGATAACCCTTGGATGCGTGGAGAAATATCAATTGGTATCGTTATTTCTTTGTTCAGATTCCTCACAGTATCAGCAGAAACCCCAAAATAATATAAAATTTCTCCAAGATTGTAAAATATTTTCATAGAAGACGTAAGGTCCACATTATTCATCACATTTAATATAATCGCAATCATCACAACGATAACTGTCAAAATCTATATTTTCCTTACCACAAGAAATAACACCCATTGGAGAACTCTGATTTTTTTCTTGGCCTTATAAATTAATTTTTTTGCTCGTCCTGAATAGTGTTTACTTGACTTTAGCGTTAAAGCACTTGCATGGTCTCCAGCATTTGACTGATTTTCTATTAAATTTTTTTCTTCGTCTTCATAAGATTTTAACGCCGATTCTTTATCTGGCTTTTCAATTTCTTTTTCTATAATTATTGTTGAAACAGTGCAGCTTTTAATTGAATGTTGCCTCATTAAGGCTTTTTGCAGATCTGGCGTGATTTTAAGGCTTTCTAAACATGATAATTGCTCTGGGTCTTTTCCTTCTTTTCACCTGGCTATATCATATTGATCATGTATTAAATACAAATAATGAAGCGTGCTTGAATTAATTTCTTTATTAAGATAAACCAGCGCAATTTCTTTATCACAGAATTTTACCACCCAAGGCTCATATGCTTTCATTTTTTCTATCTCCAGAAAGGGTATTACTTCAGAGACATATAGATTTCTTATATATTTTGTATTTATTCCTAAATATTGTGAAAAATATTCTGAATGGCTTAAAACTATCCCTTCTTTTGAGATTAGTGCAATTTCATATTTTGTTGTTTTTGGCAAAAAAGAGATCAAGCAGTAAATATCGTTATGAAAAGAAGCAAATTTTATCATCAGGTTGCATGCGATTAAAAAGCCATTTTGAGTTTGTAAAAATAAATCGCTATGACTTTGAATTTCTGTTCTATTAGAGTTTTCTAAAAAATTTACAGTCAGGTTTTTATGTGAGTTATTATAAGGAGAAGGTAAAAAATTAAAAATTGATGAGCCAATAATATCTAAGACAGGAGTGCGCAAAATTTCAGCAGCTTTTTCATTGATATAGACAATAGAACCAAAAATATTCATATCACAAGAAACAAGAATAAGCCCAAGATGTCCCCCATATCGATCTAAATTCTGATTTTCATTTCTTAAGCTTGAATAATCAACTCCATTTTTCTTTTTATTTATTAGATCAGCTTCTTCTAAATCACAGGAAATATCTCGCAAAAAGCTCGCATATGCTTCATATAATTCAAAGGCTTTATATTTATTTGCAATTTTTTTATATTTTTCCCGTACTTTATCTAAGCAAACAGAAGTTTTACTTGCCAAATTGACCAAAATTTTCATTCTAGGACTTCTAGAAGAGAATTCTAGCTGTAATTGTATGATTAAGTTGCATAACTTTTTATCTTGCGCTTTAACTTTTCCAAACTCCAATAAATATTCCAAATAAGAAATTTCAGGGAAAAATTCTTTTCGCTTGTTTTTTAGCCAATTATGGATTCTTCACTCATGAATATCATTTTCAAATGAAGATTTGCAGAGCTTTGTTTTTCTTAGAATCATTCTGGCTAGTCTTTCATCTTGCATTATGCAATAGCAAAAATTAAATTCTCACAGCACAAAAAGTTTGTCTTTTTTAAAGCCATCAATTTTTCAATATTTATTGAATATACTGTATAAGTTGGATTTTTTAGATTGTTGACTTAATAATTTCTATTTATAAATAAAATAAGATATTAGTAGATATAGATTTGAGATGGATATTTAAAGTAACCACTTTGCATAGGTGGTATTGTATAGGGTGCTAGTTGTCTGGTGGCATAGCCGAATTGAGTGCTTTTCACCTCTGGTAACTCTAGCCCAGGCCCAAAACCCTGGTTTCTTAGTACGATATTGCCCTATTGGTCGAAAAACTTTTGCTGACACCCACCATTTCCAACTTGGTTCCTTCAATCGCCTAGCTACTCCACCCTGTCTATCACCCCTTACCAGTATCGTATTTCTGGAGCCCTTGAATTGGAGAGACCACCGTTTTATCTAGCCTGCCTTCCCTTTTTTTCAGGTCATACCTGAAAAAGACTCAGTCGTTTCTGCTATTTGAGGCAGACAACTATAGCAGCTTGAGCAGGTAATTCGCTTGATTTATTTCGGCGCTCACTGGCTCAGGTTCTGCTATTAAAAAGCAGTCGCAAGTAACTGCCTATTGGATCAGACCACACAAACCAGCGAATTTGTATTTAATTCCTTCGCTGCAAGACACCAAATATTACTGGGTCAACCCCTGATCATTCCCAGGGTACCGTTACACAAGAGCACGAGTGGACGTCATAACCATTTTATGTATATATTAGTAGATATATATTTTAATATATATTTAATATAAAATATATTTAAAATTTAAAACTTTTGTTTTATCGGCTAGATTTGGATCTGTCAATAAATGTCTAAAATTTCTTTCAAATTCATACTGGCTAGAAAAAACATTTATTGTTTTTTTAAGGTTTTTGTAACTCTGGTTTGTGTAATAGAAAATAAAAAAAAGAAGTGGAGGGTGCAAAATTAAAGCAAAAATTAAGATAGCTTGAGAATTATCCATGGCGTAGCCAAGAATATAGCCCCATCCCTGCTTTGGATTGGGCTTATCTGATGTCTGCACATCAGGTGGGGAGTTGGCAAATCAATATTTGTTGGCAACATTAACTCCCTAGATGAAAAATCCTCTTGTATTGGTGATTTATCATCCAGGAGTTGACTTTACCAACAAATCTTGATTTACCAGCTCCCCATCTGACATCGGGAGATATTAGAAAACCCGATCCGAAGCAGGGATCAGGCTATAAAGCTTAAAAGGGACAAAGATATTGATCCTGCTTTGCAAGCTTGAAGAGCATTTTCAATAGGGTTAAAATATGGTAAAAATGAGATTATTTTTATCCATAAATATATTGTTAATGCAAATCATATAATTTGATGATAAATAGCGTCTTTTTCTCCAAAAGAAACATAAGAAACGCACATAAGAATACTAGCTTCCCAGCAAAAATTTTGATTACAAGTGATAACGTTTATAATAAAATAAAGGCTAATTCTATTGAATTTTGGAACTTAAAAATAATTAAATCCCTCCACAGCGTGCAAAATATCTTGCTCGCTCTTAGACAGCAGAGAGTAAAAACTTTTCTTTCTAAATCCAAAAAAGCACAAGATCTTGCTTTTATATTGTTTTTAGATTTAGAGTGTCTTATATCACAAGTAAAAACCTCTGATAATATAAAAATTGGAATTAAAACAATTAAGCAACATATCGAAAAAAATACTCCAAGGGCGCCATAATTCAAATCGTTCCCACTTGTGTTCCAGAATTCATGAGCAGAATTAGAAATTATTATAGAGTTCTTCAAAACTATAAGCAAAATAATATTTGCAGGAACCAAACAAACTGTGATAATTATTCCTGCAATTTTTCTGGAGAAATTTAATACTAAGCTTGGTGGCTTTTTTTTGAGATAAAAATAAACCCCAAATAAAGCGAAAGAGCTGAGACATACTCCAATTGAAGAAATTGTTCCATAGAAACAAATATCCATAATTTCGAAGTATCCACAAATATTGCTATAATTTACGATGCCAATCATTTTTCAAAAAGCTGAATATGAACTTCAGTCATTTATTCCTAAATTTGGGTACCAAATCAAAGTAGTCAGCTGAAACACAATAATTAAGTTTGAAAAAATTTCATAAAGTAGCTGCTGTTTCACCTTTATTTTTCTGCTGTATTTCATGCCAAACAATTCGCCAAAAAATGCAAAAATATACCTTTTAGCTTTCTTCATGGCTTGAGAAAGTATTCTTTCCCCTACTTGATTCGTGCCACTATAATTATGAAAGAGCATGAAATTTTTATTATTGTTTTTATCTAAGCCAGATCTACCATATATCCGTTCTTATGCATAAATCTTTATAGAAATAAAGGTTTTTTATAAAAAATAAAATTTTTTTAAAGCAGATAAATCTTTATTAGAAAATTATAAAATTCTGTTTTTAAAAAAATATTTGGTAAATTTTGAGAGAAAAGTTTAAAATTTATGGAATCGGTTTTTTATAGTTAAATTATGTAAATTTAGTTAATCCAAGCGCTTTAATATCAAAATACATAATTATTAGATCTAAAAACCATGCATAGCATTAGACTCTTCTAATAATGCATCAGAAACCTCATTATAATGTAAATTATGCTTAGTTACGTTAATATTCCACCAATTATTCCTTCTTCAAAATATTTTCTTCTTCCTAAGTTTAAGATTAAAATAGACTCTATCAATACTTGAAGCAGATTGCTATTGCTATAGGTAATTGTTTAGTTTTAAAATTAGTATGAGGCTCCTCAGCATCTAAAACTATGCACTCTTGGTTTATTATTGGGCACTTCGTTTACGTTAGAATGTTTAATAATATATGAGAGTTTCCTTATGATATAAGCAGTCTATTTTTCATAAAATGAGAGAGATTTACCAAGTGCCATTGTGGTCATTTGGAAATATTTTTGTAACTCCCCCCCCCCCCTCCGTGAGCGAACAAAAACATTAGAAAAATCGCCATTTTTTGACCAAAACCCACCCTCCGTGAGTGAACAAAAATTTTTTTAATAGAAAAAATTTTAATGGAAAAAAATTTTGATATATAAGTGATAATTAGTATAATGAAATCTAGAGCTAATTCTGTTTAATTTTAAAACAAATTGCGTTTTAAAACATAAATTTTGCAAATTAAATTAATATTTGCTTCCCAATTTTTGCAAATTAGGATTTTTTTAAATTTCGAAAAAAATATTTTTTATAAAAATTTATATATAAATTTTTTTTTTAAAAAAAAAAAATTAACCCCCCTCCGTGAGCGAACAAAATTTTTTTGTTCGCTCACGGAGGGGGGGGGGGGAGTAAGTGTCTTATATTTTTATTCCCAGCAATAATAAAACCTGATTTTTCTTGATTGTGAAATATAGACTCTACTCCCTTTTTCTGCTTATTTTTGAATACTTAATCTGAATAGAAAGATCAGGCATGCTTTTCTAGTGTAAAGATAAGATTTATGACCCTGCGGGCTTCTTTTTAGACAGGATATTAGCGATATGCATAGTTTGATTAATAAGACTTGAATGCTGTTATCCTCTGGCTATACGAATTTAATGAAATTAGCCTTATCCTTTTGACATTGCAATAAAATTTTACTTAAATTTTCTTTTTTCAGAAATAGTTTACTTGTCAAAACTGAATTGGGCTATTTGCGATTATTGAGTTGCCAAAAGAGTGATTAGAATTAATAATTATCTGTCTAGAAATCTTATAGGCCCTTCCTATAGATGGCGCGCAATGCGCCATCACCGGGCCATGTCGGGAGAGGGTTCTCCACGAGGAATAGTTCCATGTGTAGAACCCTCTCTTTTCCACGAGCCAAAAAAGAGGGTTCCACACGTGGAATCATTCCTCGTGGAGAACCTCTCCCCGACATGGCCCGATGATGGCGCATTGCGCGCCATCTATAGGAAGGGCCTATAAGATTTATTTAAAAACAAAATCATAAAGATCTATGATGATTATCTGCAATGAAACAGCTTAATAAAAAATATTTAACATTAAGTTAAGACCTCCTAACTCTATTAGTAATTTAGCCTGTTTAATGTTTGTTATAAGAACTAAAAAAAAAATTAAGTTTATATCACCAAGACAGCATCAATTGAAGCTCTACTTGCAGGATTGAAAATCCTAGAGGTTTTTAAATGTATTTGGGAAAATATAATTTACTATTTGGATTAATAATTCTTAAATATCTTTATTAGCAGTAAATTCCAGCAAGGGCTTACTTGCAGCTGAAATACAAAGCAGCCAATAATTGTTGTGCACTCAAAAAATCTAAGTCTTTATTATGCTATTTAAAATTAATAATCATCTAATAAACTATTATAATAGAAATGAGCTTCCAGAACTATTTAAATTATTTTTCCCTTATACCCTCGATATACATCTTTTATTAAATATAAGATGAAATACTCTAATGCACTGAATTTTATGCTAAATTACCTATTTTTTAAAATAAAAATTAAATCTGATTATATTTGAAACATTCATACCATAAGGAAAAATTTAGTAATCTTTAGCATTTTATATAAAATTTTTAAATAATTTCTTTATAAGCTTTAGAAAACTCAATATCCGACCTTTTTCGGCTATTACTGGCACAATTCTAAAATAAATTCATAAAAAATAATTATATTTTATGCTGACAGAATTTGCGGTTGGAGAAAAAGAAAACAACGATTTTCACGAGTTTTTGTCCCATTCAGTTTTCACTAATAAGTGAAAAGAGTATATTTATGGCTTTTTAGGACAAATTTTCAAGGAAAAATACAATCATAAAACGAAGTGGCAAGCCCAACTATTTTTTGAAATTTTGGTTAATTTGATACTGACGCTCCAGCTTACAGCGTTAACATGGTTCCCCAACATGAACCCATCTGGCTGAGACTCATTTGTAGGGTTTTGGCAAGGCATCGCATTTGCTAGCTATGATGAATTTTGCGTTGACTATGCGGTTATGGATTTTTGCTTTTTTGGGACAGTTTCCCTAATCGGAGCTTGTTTAGCATCTTTTAGTGTTTTTGGGCTTTATATTTATTTAGGTAAAGACATTCCAGCAATTGTTTCAATTTTACCTAGAAAAATAGCAATGCTACTAATTATGGAAAAATCAAAAAATTATTTTTATTTTTTTTAATTTTTTTTTGTTGATATTTTTCTTTAATGCTACTAACATCGATATGTATAATTCCAAGCACACTGATACTTCTTCTTATAATAAAATATTCTTCCATCGATGAAACTATTATTGAAGAATACTCTGACTCTGTTTCCTCTAAAATCTGCAATTACGGATCGGCTGGAATTGTTGCTGCAGTCCTTTGTCTTCTAATTTTGATTTTTATAAATTATTTCAGTGAATGTTTCTGCTGCGATATGAAGCACTCTCATTCAAAAACAAATATAAAAGCCAGATCTTGTGCAGAAAATGACTTAAATAGAAGATGATACTATATATTGGCATGCATATAGCACAGAATCCCTTTTAACCGCCCTAGGCTGCAGCTAAAAGTTCAACTCGGGAAGTTAGCTCGAAACCAAAACTTGCCAAACTAGCCTATAGGCACACTTTACAAACTTGTGGAGTTGGCTTGGCAACTGTTGGCTATGAACTAGCCAGATGAGTTGACCTAAATTTGGCAGTCCAAAGCGAGCAATAAGCCTTTCAGGCTATATTATACTTTACATTTAGTGGAAACTATACAATTTATTACCAAATTATTGGGTTTTGCTACACATCCTATCTTTATTACCGTTGCATCATTTCAGCACAATATTATAATCCTATTGAAAATTCAATTCAAGGCTTCAAAATGGGTGGGTGCAGGTCAAATGACTTTGCCTTTTTGATAGTGTCCATTTCACCGTAGTACTTTTGGTCGAAAATTTTTAAATAGTGTATCCATTTGGCCGAAATTTGATGGTTTTTTCGATCAAATGTCTCACTGTCAAAAATGATTCGAACAAAATTTCCCCTATGAGATGTCTCACTATCAAATTTCCGCAGTCATTTGACATGGAGCCAAAATGGGCACAATTGCATCAACCTATTTAATTTTTTTATTTGGGCAAATACTTGACGATGCCTTAACAGTAGTCGTTTTTATGATTTTTATGCAGCCTGCGCTCATGTTTATAACTGTGAAAATTGTATATAAAGTATACGGAAACTTAAAAAATTCTTGCGAGTTCCCAAAAAATCAGTTTGAATTTGAGAGGAAATATCGACATTTGCTGACTGACCCTGACCTTGATAATAAAAATGAGGTAATTTGCCTATTTAAAGGATTTTGGAAGCCTGGATCATTTTATAAAAATAAGCTTTTTGTTATATGAGAATTTAATTTTTGCTTTTTTGTTATGCATGACGAAAGACTGGCAAGAATAAAATTATCAAAAATCGCCTATGCACAATCCACATTTGAAGGAGATGTCCAAGAATGGAAACTATTTAATTGATTTATCAAGCAAAATAACATAGAATCATCAGAAACCAGTTATTTAGACTATTTAAAAGAATTCAGCAGAATCAGAAGCCAAGATGAAGAACTTTGCTTTATTCTCGCAGAGCTTCAAGCTGAATTTTCATCTCGAACACCCAGGGTAGAAAAATTGATCAATTTAGTAAATAGGTCAGCAAATCATATAGCACATGTAGGTGACGGCTACAAAAATTTGGCGGAAAAGCACAAAAGCGTCGAAGTCCTTGAAATTTATGCATCATTCTTAGAAAATATTATAAATAATCATGATTAGAAGGGTTATTTCAGTCCCTATCCGTCCCATGGACAGCTTCAAGTTGGTGCTAAGCGCTATCCTCATACCATTTTTTGCTTCTGTCGTCGCCAAAATGGTGACGTAGAAGGTATATGGGGAGACAACTCTACCAATCGGTACTGCCTTTCTTGATCCCAACAATCAGCTGAAAGGCTCCCTTAACCTCTGACAGGGCTCGAGTATATGGGTGAATCGCCTTGCCTACTCCATGGCCTATCAGAGCCATATCACAAGCTCGAGATTGCTCGCATGGAGTAGCGTAGGACTTTGCGCGGTAGGGTCATCTTAGGTAAGGAAAAAAACCTAGGTCAGCCCCTATGCCAAAAATTCACCCGGAGCATTATCTCCATGTGTCTCGCCTTTTCTGGGCCTGAATCAACTCACGGTTCACCAGGATTCCACGTCAGATCACGCTATTTTAATAATTCTAAATAATCATGAAGAGTCCAACATTATCATAAGAAAGAAAAACGGGATTAATTATTATAATCAGCATACTGATATAAATAATCTTGAAAGCTATGGAAAAGAGCTCGCCACTATCCTCGTCTCCTTATCAGAACATTCATTTGGGACTATTGTCTATTTAAATGAAAAAGCTGCCCAGCTCTTAAAAGCCCCTATCGGGAGTATTCTGGGGTCAACAATTTTAAATTACATTCCTCAGCCTTATGATAGTATTCACGAAAAACTTATGAGAGAGTTTGCATTTGAATGCAATTCAATAGAGCTTCATTCTCACTCAAAACTTTTTTTCCAAAATCATGCAGGATTTCTTGTGGAATGCGATTTTCTTATAAAACTGACTGCGTTTCACAATTCTGCTTACTTTTTGATTTCATTTAAGTTAAAACCTACAGTTAGAGAGCTTGCCTTAATTTCTGAAGAAAACGTTATCATTGCCCACACAGAGACGTTTTCTTATTATGTAGGCTCTGATGAAAAATGTTTAAAAAATAAGCGGCTGTCAGACTTAATCCCGATTTTGAACATAAATAACATGAAAGAATTTGAGCCATGGAGGATTCCGTTTAATGGCTCTGAGCTAGTTTTTGTACATATAAAGAAAAAAATCACCTCTACAGTAGTCCATACACTTGTGGTGATTCATGACTATAGAGAAATTAAAAACTGAAAGGAAGGAAGAGGCCAAGACCAAGTTTCACAAATTCTCCCATTAAAGAAAAATGACAAAGATTCGTCAGAAAACCGGCGAAAATCAATACAGTTATTAAAAGTCAATTTTAATGAATTAAATTTTACATTAACAGCAAAATCATTAGACAAAGTGGACGCAGACATCTCAACTCACCAAGATGCTGACGAGCAATCCCTCTTGAAAACCCATCATGAAATTGTGTCAAATTCCGATAACAACTCACGCGTTTCTTCTTCAACAAGAACTGCTAAATATAAAGTCCCAAACTATGCCAAAAGTTTACTATTGCAATGCAAAAAGAAAATCAGGGTCCTCCAAATAGTCTTATTTATTGTCGTAAAAAATTATTTAGATGTCGTCAGTTATTGTGACTGTTCTTGCTATTATAGGGTATATGAAAACCGATGTATCATATACAAGTAAATTAAGCACGCTTAGTAGGTTTAACCAAATTTTATATGATATTAATTCTATAGCAGATGCAGCAAAAAATCTGCATATGGGCGTGCTAGGAAATGCCTCGGATATAGAAATTCTAGGGGATACTGAAAAATTAGAAAAAATCGTCGAAGATCTGACAATAATGCAGAATTCAATGCTGAAAGATTTTGACCAGTGAAGTTATTGCAAATGCACAGAAATAATCACCAAAAATGAAGTTCCAATGTGGCATTTTAATGGAAATACGCCAGAAATCGGCTATGAAAACTTGTATGACGCTGTTTCCGGACTTATTTTGAATGTAAATTCTATTCAGGCTCAAAAAATGAAAATCGCAATTGTTGCAAGCCAAGAATTCTCTTCAAATGCAAAATTTGTATCATTATTTGCAGATTTTTGAACTTTACCACCTAAGTGTGGAATTTTTTCCGCGTGTGAAAAGGTATTTTTCACGTGTGGAGCCCTTTTGATTTCACATGTGGAATCCTCTTTTCACATGCGGAAAAAAGTTCCACACTTAGGTGGTAAAGTTCAAAAATCTGCAAACAACGATATTTGTGAATGGCTTGGGAAACGCTTTTCACTATGCAAACCTTAGTGTCTCAGGTCTAGTTGACTGCGAAATTGATAGGGTAAAAAACACAGGCACAATCATTAATATCCTTTTAATATTCGGTTTTGGCACCTTGGGGGTGCTAGTTTTAGTTATTATAGGCTATATTTGCCTTGTCTCAGGAAAACATGATGAATTTTGGAATTATATTTTAAATAATGCCCAATGGTTTGTTTTTAAATTAAAGTGTGAAGCTATGGACAGACTGGCGACTGCACATGGAATTGATCAAAATAATAGCAGCGAAGCTGCTATAGATTCACAAAAACATTTTAATTTAACTAGAAAAGTGAAAACAAAGCTCAATTTGCAGTATATATGAAGAATTATGCTATTTTTTTTAATTGCGGCTTCTTATTATTTGCTTATTTATTGCTATTTGTACCCGATTTGTGAAAATTCAATGTTAAACCGCCCTAAGCTTCTCTATAACTTTATTAATAGGCGGCAGTTAATAGTCCGACTTTCTATAGTGTCAAGGGAAATATACCAAAAATATAATTACCAGGAAATCCCAGAACTTTATGCTTTTGAAAATCATGATATTGCCCAAGATGAAATGGTGGACTGGCTAAAGTTCGAGGACAAAGAAATTCGCAAAGGGAAATATTTATCAATAATATCATCTGAGCTTCAAACTAGAATGTATGAAAATATAGACTCGCCTACAAAGTCATTAAGAGAGGGCGTCGAAGTCTCATCAATTGATATCATAAGTGATATTATCTCTTTGCCATTTTATATATAAATTTAGGTTTTTTTGGTTCTTTTTTTATATTTAAAGCCATTTTTGTAGGAATAAATTGTAAAAATTATTTTAAAAATGTAAGGTAAATAGATAATCGACCTAAAATATGATATTGAAAGCTTGATTTATTGGATTTATACATCAATTATTGATATTAATGAATTTTTAAACCAAATTGATATACTGCAAGATGAGATTAGGCAAGAATTTTTATTAGCTGACAGAGACTCAATTGATATAATTAATAAGCAGTTAGATACAATTGTGAATGTCACAGTTATTTATTCAATAGCTGTTTGCGTGCTATTTTTCTTCTATTATTTGCCATACTTTAATTATCAAATCAAAAATTTAAATATGGAGTCTCAGTGCTTCTCGGTGGGCTACTCCAACTTCCTTAAAGTACATATTTACATTATATTCAGCAAGGCTTTCCAGTTCAGAGAATGGGCAGCTATACTAGGTAATTAATCCAGTAATATTTAGAGACTATCCCTAGTCCTTTTTCAGAATTAGATTTTACCTCATGGGCAAAGGAGAATCGAAATTTTGAAAGAGAATGTCTAGCCAAGAAGCCTAGAGGAAATGCCTAGATGAATGGGGTAAATTCTCCAGCGTGAAACCAGGAGTTACAGCTTGGGCTAGAGCTTTCTTTTTTTACCCGATAGTCGACCAGAACCCATTCTTGGATTTTTTGTGGAAGCCCTTAACCCTCAGACTCAAGCAAACTTGCAGAAGTCCGATACTACTCACTCAACACTGAAATCGGAAACACTGTCATACCTAGTGGAAAAATCATAATCATAAGGTAGTTGAATCTCTCGTATGAGAGATCCCGGGCTTGCATTGCAACAAGGTTGCGATATCTATTAAGTTTAAGAATTATCAAATCAAGCAGCTTAAAAGATTTTCGGTTTTGCCTTCAATTTTGCCAGTTGAGTTGGAGTAGATTTATTGCAAATAATTATTAATTAAATATTTATTTTGGCTTATCTTAAATAATATTAATATATCTCAAAATGATGCATTACAAACTTCAACTATCCTTTTATTTGTTTAGTTTAATTTTAATTTATTTATATACTAAGCCCTGCCTTAAATTGAAACAAAAAATCCTGTTCCAATTTAAAGGTGGTTAATTTTTTTTTAAAATTTTTAAAAAAATTATAAATTGAGCACAATACTTTGAATTTTAATTTATCTTATGAAGAAATAATTAAAAAATTAGCAATTCAGTGAAAATGTTTAAATAGCATTCTCTATCTTAAATTAGATCAAAATTAATTTTATAAAAATTATTATCATCTTAAATTTTCTATTTTTTTTAAAATTCTAAATAATATAAATTGAAAATAATACTTTAAATTTATAGAATTAAATAAAAAAATAATTGATTTATTGTGAAAACTGTTTAAATAGCATTCCGTTGCCCTTATCTGTTAAAATAAGCCAAAACTAATTTATAAATTAGTATTTTCATCTTCCATTTGTTTATAAAAAATTCAAGATCTCTTTGCTTGATAACTATAAGATGGATTAAGAAAATTTAAGATAATATAAAAGCATCATAACTCTTAATAGCAATAATAGGAGTCTAACCACAGTCAAAAAATATTATATTTTTTAATTACTAAAAGAATACCTTAAAGATAGTTTTAATTTCATTATTTTCTTGATAAAATTATTTGATGATAAAAATATGAATAGTAGTCTTCTATAAATTATTTGTTAATATTATAATTTATTCTGTGGACAATATCTCAATCAAATACGAAAGCCAATTAAGTTGCTTTATTTGATAATGGAGAAATGGCAAATAATAAATAAAATAAAGCCCACAAAAAATTATTATATAAATCGCAGTGGTAGCTATAATAACATTCAATTGACGTTCTATAGCATCATGGGAATCTCCATCAGCTAATTGAAATTCCATATCAATATTATTTTGTAGTATTTGAAGAACTGCCACATATTGAAAAACACCAAGTGGTGGCAGAGTAGGGTTGGCAGCAATATAATAATTATCATCAATTGATATTTCAATAGCAGTTTCAGAGCCATACTTCAGCAGCGGATGTGTTAAATTGCTGCTCTCAAAAATTTTTTCTTTCAATTCCTTTGACATGATTTTCATGAATTTCTCCTCGCGAAGTTCTTTATTTTTTTCTTTAAGGATTTTAACGTCCACATCTGTCACAGTGTGAGAATTAGCAAAGCCATATAATGATATAAAGTTATTTTTGAAATAAGGAGTATATACATCTCTGGAAAAAATACTTACTCTGGAAACTAAAGATCTCCTTAAATTAAATATATTCACTCCCTCTTCCGTTAGCGAACCATTAGATAAATCTTTATTTTTTGGCCAAAAGCCCACCCTCTGTAAGCGAACACAAATTTTATATTAAAAAAAATATTTTGATATATAAATGATAATAATTAAATTGAAATCTCTAGCTAACTCTGTTGAATTTTAAATAGATTACATTTTAAAATTTAAATTTTATATAATAAATTAATTTTTGCTTTCCAAATTTCCAATTTTTGCAAACGGGGATTTTTGAAAAAAAAAAATTAAATGAAAAAAATTCTCCATGTGATCGAACAATATTTTTTTGTTCGCTCACGGAGGGGGAGCCAGAAGTTTTGGCCTATTTATCATATAGCTTTGGCAGTCTGGGTACAGATAAAAATACATCAAAAAATAATACGACGCAGAAATAACGACAAATATAAGGATTTTCCAAGTAAAAGTAATTTCTATCCAAGTCCTAACTTTTCGTTTTGTTTTAATTCGACCTGTGTTAACACTTTCTTCAGGACTTGCCTCCGTATTGTGAGCATATATAAGCCTTTCCATGGCTTCACTTTTTAATTTCATCATAGAGATTTGGAATTTTTTTATAAAAAAATTCCAAAATTCATCTATTTTTCTTGCTGTAAGATAAATAAATAAAAGAATAGTCCCGAACAAAATTGCAAGGATTATTATTCCCTGGATCTATAGCATTTTATCACAATATTTTCCTCATGCATTTTCAGTCGAAATTTTTCCCTCGCGATATGAAAGAATATTAAGTTTTTTCCCAGCAATTGTCCCACAGGAAAATAGCTCTAACTCCCCCCCTCCGTGAGTGAACAAAAAAATTTTGTTCACTCACGGAGGGGGGTTAATTTTTTTTTTTTTAAAAAAAATTTATATATAAATTTTATAAAAAATATTTTTTTTCGAAATTTAAAAAAAATCCTAATTTGCAAAAATTGGAAAGCAAATATTAATTTAATTTATAAAATTTATGTTTTAAAACGCAATTTATTTAAAAATTAAACAGAGAATTAGCTCTAGATTTCATTATGCTATTATCACTTATATATCAAAAATTTTTTCCATAAATTTTTTTTCTATTAAAAAAAATTTTTGTTCACTCATGGAGGGTGGGTTTTTGGTCAAAAAATGGCGATTTTTCTAATGGTTTTGTTCACTCACGGAGGGGGGGAGTAAGGAAATATCATACGAGAAAAAAATCTCCTATCAAATAACCGTCAATTTTATTCCCCACAATATCAGTAAATATATCAAATTTCCTATCGATTCTATTTGGCTAATTGCACAGTCCTCTAAATCTAATATTGTATGATTTAAAGAATCATAAGTTTGGCCTAATCCATTAAGGATCAAAAATTTAGAATGCATTTTATATGTTTTGTTATTTTTCAATGCATCGTTCATATTTCGTATCTAAATATGATTTACATGAAATAAAAAACTTTCTATAGCGTTATACATATTTTCGTATATTACATACGGTGATTTTTCATCAAAAGACCACATTGGGATCAAAGGATGAGTCGTAACATCATAAGCAGAGCAAAACTTTCAATGCTCAAAATCAGATAAAATGTCATTCTGAATGGTTTGGATTTCTTTCATTACATTTGCAAATATTACTATTTGAGCTGAATAATCAAAGTTAGCCATTTTTGCTTTGTCGATCGTTCTTGCGGAATCAGCGGTTAATCCAATATTATATAGAAGATCTCCTAGGTTTCGAAAAATAATCATTGATGAGGTTAAATTTACATCATTCACAATATTGGCCATGATTGAGCCCATTGTTACTATGACAGCTAGAGTCTGTTTATTTTTTACCACAATAAATAGCACCCACTTAAGTATCGTTATCCACTTCTTAGACTTCAAAATTAAATCTTGCGATTGTTCTGAATATATCACTGTGATTAAATAAGCATTTTTGCAATTTTAAATAGATTTCAATTGATCAGGAAAATATAAATTAAAAATAATTAAAAAAATCGATTTAATCAAAATTATCATAAATTTTACTTAGAATAGCTGATGAAGATTTGCTAACTTGATCGTCTGAAGATATATGATGTTTTGGAGAATTATCGTGGGTATTAAGTAAAGCATCTTCAACATCTTTAGAATTATTAAAATGGTGTCCTTAGTGGTCCGAGAGTTGATAGGGACCCAGAGGAGAAAAGCCACATACAATAGTATCTGGGGTGGGTTTTTGGTATAGGGGCTAAACATTGGTCTTTTTTTCCTGGCTTGGAAACGCACCTACCGGTCAATGCTACTCAGTACTCCTTGCAGCATTGCTGAGTCTTTAATACGGTTTAGACAGACCATTGAGGAGGCAAGGGGTTCACAATGATCCAAAACTTGTCAGGGGTTTAGCGAGTCTTTTGAAGCTTGCTGGGACCAAGTAGACGGAAGGGCAGTCTCCCGGGAGACCTCCTACGTCGCCATTTTTTGGTGATTTCAGAAGTGAAAAGGGCAGGGTGAAGATAGTCTAGCACCAACGCGAAACTTTCTTTGGATCGACGATGGGCTCCAATAATCCTACATACCTACTAATTAATTTTAATCAACATCTTTAAATGATATTTGAGATTTAGACGTTTTTTCTTTAGTTTCTTTATTATGTTCACTTTCTAGAGATCCATCTTCAATTTTCTCATATGCTATTCAAGATTTAGGATTCTCATGTCGATTTTCTTGCTTATCTTTTTCGAATTTTTTTATTTTTGAGTCATTGTCAATTATACATAAAATATTAGCTTCTTTATAAAATAATTTTTTAGAAAAATTAATAGATATATTTGATTTTAATAAATCAAATAATAACATAAAAGGGATAAGTCTTTCATTTCTAATTGTTTTTTTAGCATATATAAAGCACATTTCTTTATTATTGATATTTGCTTTTTGTGATTTATTTTCTTTAAGCTTATCAATGTCTATAAAAGGACATAAATCGGCAAAGTAGCTATTTTTTACGTATTTTGAAGAGCAGCCTAAACAGTTAGAAAAAAATTCTGAATGGCCTAATATTACGTCTTCATCAGAAATCAATGCAAATTGCCTTTGAGTATGCCTTTGTTGAAAAGATATAAGAAAATAGCTATTATTATGAAAAGCAGTTAGTCTTATAAGCATATTGCATTCTGTAAGAAACCCATATTGATTTTGGAAGAACAATTGATTATGAAATGGGACTTCTACACTTTCCGAATGATTGATAAATTTTTTCATAAGTTTTTCATGAGTGTTACCATATAGATGCGGAAGAAAGGTAAAAATTGTGCTAGTATAGACTTCTATCATAGGCAATTTTAATATTTCTGAGGCTTTTTCGTTCATATAAATAATATTCCCAAAGCAGCTATCTTGACAGGAAATCAGCAATATCCCGATATGGTTTCCATATCTTTCTAGTAAGTTATCTTTTCTATATGAATAATCAACCCTGCTGGCTTTTTTCTTTATTCTATTTGCTTCTCTATGGTCCTTTAATATCCTTTCCAAATAGCTTGCATATAAATCAAAAGTTTCTGAATTTTTATATTTTTCAGCAGCCATATTATACCCTTCATTCACTCTATACAAGATTTTTGATGTTTTTGTTGACAGTTCTACTAGGGACCGCATTTTTGGAGCTCTAGATGCAAATTCAGTTTGCAATTGTATGATAATATTGCATAATTCCTCATCACGCTCTTTTAATATCCCAATATCTTGCAAGTACTCTAAATATAACACCTCAGGAAATTCGAAGCCTTTTGTAGTCTTTAGCCAGTTATAAACTCTCCATTCTTGGACATCTCCTTCAAGGCTATTTTTACAAAAAGCTAGTTTAGTTAGCTTTACTCGGGCAAGTCTTTCATCATTGATAACGGAAATGCAGAAATTAAATTCTCATATCACAAATAGCTTATCTCTATTGAAATAAATCAATTTTTGATGCTTGCTAAATAGCTTTAATATTTGATATAGAACTTTCTTTTCAATAGCGCGATAAGGCGTGCATCTTAGTTTGACTAAAAGGTCTTTGGACCATGAAAATCTGCTATTCCTTCTCCATAAGAGAGGCAATGAGTGAAAATGAAAAGTTCTGCCCGATCCATTCTCGAGAACTTTAACTCCCCCCCCATCCTTGATCGAACGATTGACTGTAAAAATTCCTAAAAATTGGGAAATTAACACCATCCTTGATCGAACGATTTTCATATCATGCAACTTTTATATGTATAAAAATATATTAGTTATCAAAAGCTTGGGAAGATGCACCTAATGAAGTTGTTTTCAGAGACTTTGAGACGACAGAAAGCTTCGAAATCAACTATCCGAAGTGATTTAGTCATCAATCTAGGCTTAAAAAATTAATAATCTAATAAAATAGATCTTTAAAAATTTTAAAAAAAAAAAAAATTAATTTAATAAGGAACAAATTAAAATTTATACAGTTTAAAGGGGTAACTAATAAATCAAAATATTAAAAATTGGTATTTTTATGAAATTAATTAAATTTTTTGCTCTAAAAACAATTATTAAATACCCTTAACCCTCTTATTTATTAAAAGTAAATAAAAAAAAAATATATATATATTTTTTATTTTATATATAAAATTTTTTTCCCCAAAAAAATTGTTTTTAAACCCCCATCCTTGATCGAACGATGGCGAGTCGTTCGATCAAGGATGGGGGGGGAAGTAAGGAATTTTTTTGTTCTGAATTAAGAATACCTGAGTTATTGTGGAATTTTGATTGCTTGCAAAAATTTATAATTTTAATATATATTTTTGGTTCGTCAAATAGTTTTAACGAGCCAATTCTGGCTAGTACTTGAAATAAATAATAAAAAATTGCCATAATTTTTTAATTTTCTGATGTTAAGGATGATCAGAAATGTTAATAAATGGAATAGAAACGAACAAAATATGTTAAAAAATGAATTTGTGCTCGAGTCCAGAAAGCGGAAAATAAAGACACCAAATAGCTTATTTTAGTTTTCAAATATCAAGTTCTCAATAAAACCGCAAGTGGTGACTTAAGAGTTTTAATTTTTTAATTATTTATGAAATCAAGATGGCGGCTTAAACGAACAAAAATTGTTAAAAAATGAATTTTGTGCTTGAGTCCAGAAAGCAGAAAATAAAGACACCAAATAGCTGTTTTAATACTTTAAATATCAAGTCTTCAATAAAACCGCAAGTGGTGACTTAAGAGTTTTAATTTTTTATATAGTGTACAAAATCAAGATGGCGGCTTAAATGAACAAAAAATGTTAAAAAATGAACTTGTGCTCGAGTCCAGAAAGCGAAAAATAAAGACACCAAATAGCTGTTATAATACTTTAATACCAAGTCTTCAATAAAACCGCAAGTGGTGACTTAAGAGTTTTAATTTTTTATAGTGTACAAAATCAAGATGGCGGCTTAAACGAACAAAAATTGTTAAAAAATGAGTTTGTGCTCGAGTCCAGAAAGCGGAAAATAAAGGCATCAAATAACTGTTTTAAATACTTTAAATATCAAGTCTTCAATAAAATCGCAAGTGGTGACTTAAGAGTTTTAAATTTTTTATATAGTGTACAAAATCAAGATGGCGGCTTTAAACGAACAAAAATTGTCTAAAAAACAAATTTGTGCTCGAGTCCAGAAAGCGGAAAATAAAGGCATCAAATATCTTACTCCCCCCCCCCCCTCCGTGAGCGAACAAAACCATTAGAAAAATCGCCATTTTTTGACCAAAAACCCACCCCTCCGTGAGTGAACAAAAATTTTTTTAATAGAAAAAATTTTAATGGAAAAAAATTTTGATATATAAGTGATAATTAGTATAATGAAATCTAGAGCTAATTCTGTTTAATTTTAAACAAATTGCTTTTTAAAACATAAATTTTGCAAATTAAATTAATATTTGCTTCCCAATTTTTGCAAATTAGGATTTTTTTAAATTTCGAAAAAAATATTTTTTTATAAAATTTATATATAAATTTTTTTTTAAAAAAAAAAATTAACCCCCCTCCGTGAGCGAACAAAATTTTTTTGTTCGCTCACGGAGGGGGGGGGGGGAGTTAGTTTAGTTCTCAAATATGATGCTTCGAATGAAACCGCATGTGGTGACTTAAGAGTTTTAATTTTTTTAAACGAACAAAAAATGTTCCAAAATGAATTTGTGCTCGAGTCCAGAAAGCGAAAAATAAAGGCACCAAATAGTTTATTTTAGTTCTCAAAAATCAAGTCTTCAATGAAACCGCATGTGGTGACTTAAGAGTTTTAATTTTTTTATATGGATACAAAATCAAGATGGCGGTTTAAAACGAACAAAACGTGTTCAAAAATGAACTTGTGTTCAAGTTCTGAAAGAGAAAACAAAAGCATTAAATAGCGAAATTTAAAGTAATAAAAATTAATTTGAGAAAAATAAAAGTTAGTTCCTAAAAATTAGCTAAAATTTTGACAAAACTATTTATTAGAATTCTTATTATTTTATTATCAAATATCTTGACCACTTATAGCTATAACATTTATGCTTGCTTTCACTAGTCTTTAAGTTTGTTTTTTTGATCGTGTGCCATTTATTAAAATTTTCTGATCATCCTTAACATCAGAAAAATAAAACATTATGACAATTATTTATTTTTTTATTTCAAGTGCCTGTCAGAATTAACTCGTCAGAACCATTTGACGAACCAAAACTTATTAAAATTAAAAAATTTTTGCAAGAAATAAAAATTCCACAATAACTCAGGTATTCTTAATTCAGAACAAAATAATCCCTTCCAGTTCTCGAAACTGGATCGGGCAGAATTCTTCATTTTTACTATTTTCCCTCTCTTATGGAGAAGGAATAGCAGATTTCATGGTCCAAAGACCTTTTAGTTAAACCAGGATGCACGTATTTTCGCGCTATTGAAGAGAAAGTTCTATATTTTTCGTCGGGATTTGGATTAGTTAGCGAGGTACGATATTTTCTTTCAAAATCAAATTGATTTTCTGGGTCATTTAAATCGTTACCATGAGTTTTGTATCTTTTTGATGTAAAGTTAATAAGAAAGAGAAGTAAAATTGGCTGTAAAATTAGGGAAAAAACAAAAATTATGAGAGAGTTGTCTAATAGATTTCCAAAAATAAAAATCAGTAATGTTAAAGTAATTGATCACATTTTGCAGGCTTGGATAGCATTTTCAATATAATTAAAATACGGATAAAATCTTGTGGCTTTGATTCCCAACAAAAATGTGTAAATACAGCAAATAATTTGATGGTAAATTGCTAAATTTTTTCCAAAACAAACATAAGATATACACATAAATATAAAAAATAGCTGCCTTTGCAAATCCAAAGTTGCGCATGCCCTAGCCTTAATATTTTTATTATAATTTGAATGATTTATATCACACGAAAAAATTTCATACAAAACCATCAAAAAAACTAATATAAGTAAGCAAAAAGCTGAAATAATTATCCCAATTATACCAAAATTGACATCATTGGTGCCAATATCGTCTAATTCATCAACTGAATTTGAACTAAAAATTGAATATTTTAAAACAGAAGGCCTTTTTCGAAAAATTAAAACTATTTGGCCTTTTTTTTCATCAGGCATATTATGGGCCAAAAACTGTTATCAATAATAAGCTAAGCTAAGACTATTTTAAAACAATAAGGAAAATCATAATAGAAGGAATCAAAAATAATGTTGAAAGCATCTTAACAATTTTACTTATAAAAAGCACTAAAACATTAGATGGGTCTTTTCTAACTCCCCCTCCTTGAGCGAACAAAAAAATTTTGTTCTCTTACGAAGGGGTATAATTTTTATTTCAAAATTAAAAAAAATATTTGAAATGCAAATATTAATTTTAGTAAGATTTTTCTCATAAAGAATTTTTATATTAAAAAACCTTACGGAGTGTGGGCTTTTACCCAGAAAATAGGTAATTTTCCAATGGTTTGATCAGCTCACGGAGGGGGGAGTAAGGTAAAAGCAAGCCAAAAATATTCCAAAAGAAATGCAACAAATTCCTATTAAAAAAATCGTTCCATAGTAGCAAATTTCCAGCATCTTAAATAACGCGCAAGCATGATCATAATTAATAATTCCTATCATTTTTCAGAATTCCTTATAAGAGCTTCATTCTGAAATTTCTAAATTTGGATATCAAATGATAGAAGTTGCTTGAAGAGTGGTCACTATGTTTGCAACGATTTCATACTTCAGCTGCTGTTTAAATGATAATTTATCGCTATACTCTGCCTCAAAAATCTGCCCAAAGAACCCAAAAAAGTAATTTTTACTCGTAAAAAAATATTTGGAGAGGTGGTCTTGGCTTTGTAAGTATTCCTTTTCTATGTCATCATTATGGAAGAACATTTATTATGAGAATAATAATTAAAAGATGGTTTTAAGCAAGTCAATAATGCTAGGACTAATTAACGTATACAGATATGAAATATAGTGAGCTTTATAACTTATTGATTGTCCTACACCAAATGGTTATTAAAATTTAAAATATCAATAAATTAAATGTTTCAATTCAAATTTAAGAAAAAAAAATACTTCAACACAATTTCTTAATTAAATTTATTGAAGGGATTTACTTTTTTCAAATTATTATTTACTGGAATTTACTTCTATAACTATGATAATTTTAAATAAATCTAATTCTATTAGGCAAGCACGAAATAAATTTTAAATAAATTTATTAAAACTATTAAGATTTATTAGATATTTAGTTTTAAATTACTTATTCCGAATTTTATAGCGATTTTTATGAGTTTTTTCTTAGATTTATTGCTCTTTGAATATAATTTTTTTCTTCTAAATTAAATGACTAATATTTAAATCTAACTCCCCCCCCTCCGTGAGTGAACAAAAAAAATTTTGTTCACTCACGGAGGAGGGTTAATTTTTTTTTTTAAAAAAAATTTATATATAAATTTTATAGAAAATTTTTTTTTTCGAAATTTAAAAAAAAAATCCTAATTTGCAAAAAAATTGGGAAGTAAATATTAATTTAATTTATAAAATTTATGTTTTAAAACGCAATTTGTTTAAAATTAAAACAGAATTAACTCTAGATTTCATTATACTAATTATCACTTATATATCAAAATTTTTTTCCATTAAAAATTTTTCTATTAAAAAAATTTTTTGTTCACTCACGGAGGGTGGGTTTTTGGTCAAAAAATGGCGATTTTTCTAATGGTTTTGTTCACTCACGGAGGGGGGGGGGAGTAAGAACTATTAATTAAAAATTTATTTGAATTTAGAATCCATTTATTAGACTAAAATTATTAATTCTCGGCAGCACCATCACAATAATAATAAATTATATTTATATGCATATACGGTACTATAGGAATTTTGATTTTATTTTATAGTCTATTCAGCTGCAATTACTTCAATCAAGAATGAAAGCCAATTAAGCACCTTTATCTGATATTGTAGAAATGGCAAATAATAAATAAAGAAAAGTCCACAGAAAATGACTGAGTAAATAATAGTTGCTGCTATAATAATATTTAACTGAGAATCTATAATGATATGGGAATCATGATCAGCTAATTGGAATTCTATATCAATATAATTTTGAACCACTTTCAAAACAGATACATAATTAAGAACTACTGCAGGAGGTAAAGAAGGAGAATACGCAACATTAATTGTATCATAGCTAGAAATTTCAACAGCAGTCTCGCTACCAAATTTTAATATTGGGCTTGTCAGATTACTGCTCTCAAAAATTCTTTGTTTTAGCTGGCCTGACATAATTTTCATGAATTTCCCTTTCCTAAGCTCTTTATTTTTTTCTTTGAGGATTTCAGCATTTAAATACATCATATAAGAAGAATTTGGGAACCCATATGATGACAAAAAGGTTTTAGAAAAATAAGGGCTATATAAATCTCTTGCAAAAATGGAGAGTCTTGAGACTAAGGATCGCCTTATATTAAAAACGTTCAATAATTTTGGCCGATTTGTCATGTAGCTTTGACAATCTGGGTATAAATAAAAATAAAGCAAAAAATAATAAGATGCAGAAATAATGATAAATAATAGGATTTTTCAGGTAAAATTGATTTCTATTCATGTCCGGACTTTTCGTTTTTTCTTAATGCGACTAGAGCTAGCACTATCTTCAGGGTTTGCTTCTGTATTGTGAGCATATATTAGCCTTTCCATGGCCTCGCTTTTTAATTTCATCATAGGTATTTGCAAGTTTTTAATAAAAAAATTCCAAAATTCATCAATTTTTCTTGCTGCTAAATAAATAAACACAAAAATAATTGCTAATAAAATTCCAAGAGTAAAAAATCCTCATATCAATAAGGTATTTATTACGTCTCCAATAGATTCGATTTGATTGACTGCACAATCTTCTAAACTTAATATAGTATGGTTAAAATAATCATAAGTTTGCCCTAATCCGTTTAGGATTAGAAATTTAGCATATGTTTTATATGTTTTGTTATTATTGAGCGCGTCCATCATGCTTCTAGCCTATATATAATTTACATGCAGTAAGAAAATTTCTAAAGTGTTATACATGTTTTCATATTGTATTTTGGGTGATTTTCCATCAAAAGACCATATAGGGATCAGGGGATCATAAATTATGTCAGAGACATTAACGTTAACATTAATTATAGATTAGGGCCCCTCCTCCTTTAACATCTCACTTGAGACGAGTCTTCGTAGAAGACTTGTTCAGATGCTGGCAAACTTCCTTGGTTATGGCAGAATTTTCCACCAGAGATAGCTCTCCTTCAACTTTTAATGCTGTCTCGAAACTTGGAGTATGCAGGTTTGGGACTTGAAGGCTGTGCTTGAGTGACTAGAGTTCCAAGGAATAAAACTCCCTAGCTAGTATCGGTACCAACTATGCCTTCATCGTCAGCACTGTGGTTTCTAGGGGTAAAATTCCTTTTCCCAAATGTCCATCGATTACATGAAGTCTTCATGAGGAGGAAACCCAACCGGAACACAAATGCCCAATACCCATAGACTCCGTTTCCTGCCCACTTTGTTTCAGGCCAAAGGTCCCCACATTCGAAACGGTCCGAGAGAGGACAGGTCGGTGACGTGGCTATTTTATTTGTATAATTATGCCAGAGACAGAACAAAATTCTCAGTTTTCAAAATCAGATAAAATGGTGTTTTGAATGGTTTGGATTTCTTGCAATATACTCAAAAAAGGAGCTTTTTGAGAAGAATAGTCAAGATTAAACATTTTTGACTTGTCTATTGTTCTAGCAGAATCAGCTGTTAATCCTATATTATAAAGCAGGTTTCCTAGGTTTCGAAAAATCATCATTGAAGAGGTTAAATTTACATCACTTACAATATTCGCCATAATTGAGACCATTGTAAGTATAACTGTTAAAGTCTAATATACTTTTTACCACAATAAATAATACCCATTTAAGTGCTTTTATTTTTTTCTTCGACTGTATTATTAAGTCTTGCGACTGTTCTAGATATAGTAATATTAATTGAAGGCTTGCGTTTTTATAAAAGTCTGAATTCTATATCTTATAGCAAATCATTATCAAATTTGTAAAGATGGATTTTGAATTAATTAAAATTGATATAAATTTTACTTAATATAGTTGACGAATATGATTTCGTCATTTTGTTATCTGAAGATAATCGACTTTGTGGAGAATTATCGTCAATTTCATAAGATTTTGGCGTTGAGGCTTCAACACTTTTAAAAGATATTAGTGGCTTGCTTGTTTCTTTATTTTCTAAAAAGGTTTCATTTATTTGATAATTATCTTCAATAATTTCACCTGTTTTTAGAGATATAAATGTTTTTGGCTCATCTCCTTCTTTTAATTTTTGTGCCTCTATTCAATTATCAATAACAAATAAAACATTAAGAGTTTTAGACTTCATTATTTTTTTTGTATATATGAGACAAACTTCTTTATTTTGAATTTTTTCAAGTCATGGCTGATTCACTTTTAAGTTATCTGCATCAATAAATGGGAAAATTGCAGAGATGTGAACATTTTTAACATATTTGGAGTTATAGCCTAAGTAAAAAGAAAAATATTCTGAGTGGCCTTGTATAATCCCTTCATCAGAAATTAAAGCAAATTGTCTCTGAGTACGTTTTTGCTGAAAAGAAATTAAATAATAGCAGCAATTATGAAAAGCAGTCAATTTTATTACCATTTTGCACTCTGAAAGAAAGCCAAACTGGCTTTGAAAAAATAAATTGTGATGATTAGGAACTTCTACAGTTTTTGAATGGTGAATGAACTTTCTCATAAGTTTTTCATGATTTTTTCCATACGAGTGAGGATAAAAATTAAAAATTGAACTTCCGTGGATGTCAGCCATAGACACTTTCAATATTTCTGAAGCTTTTTCATTAAGGTAAATAATATGCCCAAAAGAACCCTCCTGACAGGAAATAATTAATATCCCTGCATGATTTCCATATTTTTCTAAGCCAATATCCCTTTGGTAAGAATATTCAATCCCATTTTTCTTTTTTCTTATTAAATTTGCTTCTTTACGATTTTTTAAAATATTTTCTAACTCCCCCCACTCCGTGAGTGAACAAACCATTAGAAAAATCGCCATTTTTTGACCAAAAACCCACCATCGTCTAAGGCAAGATGGAAGCAAGTCCGCAGCTCATCGGACTCCGATGGAGGAGACGCGAGTTTAATTGGGTGTAATCGCATCGAAGACGGGTGTTCTGATTAAGACAACGGGCGTGAGATGAGGAGATAAACTACCTTGTCGTCGCTAGCGATGGGTAATTAAGGCCATATGGCCTAGCGCGGTGAGCTTTGGCTCTGCCATAAAATGGTCTTACGACCTCTAAAATAATATGATGATGACCAAAAACCCACCCTCATGAGTGAACAAAAATTTTTAATGGAAAAAAATTTTAATATATAAGTAATAATTAGTATAATGAAATCTAGAGCTAATTCTGTTTAATTTTAAACAAATTGCGTTTTAAAAACATAAATTTTATAAATTAAATTAATATTTACTTCCCAATTTTTGCAAATTAGGATTTTTTTAAATTTCGAAAAAAAAAATTTTCTATAAAATTTATATATAAATTTTTTAAAAAAAAAAAATTAACTCCCCCTCCGTGAGTGAAACAAAATTTTTTTGTTCACTCACGGAGGGGGGGGAAGTAAATAGCTTGCATATATTTCCAAAGTTTCAGTGTTTTTATATTTTTCTGCAGCGAATTTATATCCTTCACTTACTTTTTTTAAAATTTTTGAAGTTTTGGTTGATAAATTTATTAGAGAACGCATCAATGGAGCTCTGGATGCAAATTCAGTCTGTAACTGGATGATTAAATTGCATAGCTCTTCATCATGTTCTTTTAACATTTGGACTTCTTGTATATAATCCAAATACATAATTTCCGGAAATTCAGTGCATACTTTATTTTTTAAAAAATTGTAAACTCTTCATTCTTGAATATCCCCTTCGAAGCTAGTTTCACATAAAGCTAGTTTTGTTAGCTTTACCCTTGCTAATCTTTGGTCGTTTATTATAGAAATGCAAAAATAAAACTCTCATAATACAAAGAGCTTGTTTTTATCGAAATGAATCACTTTTCAGTGCTTGCTGAATAATTTTATAATCTGATATTTATCGTCAATATTTGGAGTTGTCAATAAAGAGCGGAATTTTTTTTCAAAATCAAATTGGTTATTAGGAGTTTCTGTATTGCTGCTTAAATTGTTGTAGTTTTTTTGAGTAAATTTTATAAGAAAAATAAGCAAAATTGGGTGCAAAATTAAAGTGAAAACAAGAATTATGAGGGAATTATCTAGCAATTCTCCAAAAATAAATATCAGCAGTGTTAAAGATATCGAGCCCATTTTACAGACTTGGATTGCATTTTCTATGTAATTAAAATAATGCAAAAATCTTATGGACTTAATTCCCAACAAAAATGTACTTAAAAAGCAAATAATCTGGTGATAAACTGAATATTTTTTCCCAAAAGAAACATAAGAAATGCACATAAATACAAAAAATATCTGCCTTTGACAATCTAAAGTTGCAAAAGACCTTGCTTTTATATTTTTTTTAAAATTTGCATGATTTATATCGCAAGTGAAAAATTCATATAAAATGGCCATAGCGATTAATACAATTAAGCAAAATATCGAAATAATTATTCCAATTGTCCCAAAATCAAGGATTTTTGTGTCTGTGTTATCTAATTCATCTACTGAATTCGAGCTGATAATTGAATATTTCAAAACAGTTAGTAAAATCATAATGGAAGGAATGAAACAAATAGTAGAGATTATCTTAACAATTTTAATAGAAAATGCAACCAAAATCTTTGGTGGACTTTTCTCGAGATAAAAGAAAACAAAAAATATAACAAAATAGCTGAAGCAAGTGCCTATAGCAAAAACTGTTCCGTAATAGCAAAACTCTAACAGTCCAAGCAATGCACAAGCTAAATCATAATTAATAATCCCTATCATATTTCAAAATTGTTTGTAAGAGCTTCAATCAGAAATTTCTGGATTTGGGTATCATATAATAGAGGCAGCTTGGAGTGTTATACTTATATTAATTGCAATTTCGTATTTCAATTGTAGCTTATATGATAACTTATCACTGTATTCTATATCAAACATCTTCCCAAAAAATTCAAAAAAGTAGTTTTTACTCGTTTTAAAATACTCATTCCCCTCGCCCTCCATGAGCGAACAAAAAAATCTTGTTCGCTTATGGAAGGGGATTGTTTTTTAAAAAAATTTATATATAAATTTTATAGAAAAATGTTTTTTCGAAATTTAAAAAATCCCACTTCGTAAAAATTGGAAAGCAAATATTAATTTAATTTATAAAATTTTAGTTTTAAAAACCCAAATTGTTCAAATTTCAACAGAATTAGCTCGAGATTTCATTATAATAATTATCACTTAATATAAAAAAATTTTTTCTTTGCTCAGGGAAGGTGAGGTTTTAAGTAAAAAATAGGGATTTTTCTAATGGTTTTGTTCGCTCACGGAGGGAGGAGTCAGATAAATGTTCATGATTTTCTAGGTACTCCTTTTCATAACCAGCACTATGGAAGAACATTTTTATCAGATTTAATTATAAAGTAATTATTAACTAATATATATACGCAAATTCATATGACTTTGCTATGGAAGTTGCTAACCCTGAGCAATCAAAGCTTTAGCTTGATACCTAGGAGTTTTAATTTATTTTTAAAATTAAATTTTTATAGTGAACTTTTTTTATTGAATAATTAATTTAATTTTAAAATTTAAACAAGCTCAATAGAATTAGCTAGAGATTTCATTATAATAATTATCACTTACCCCACCCCTCTGTAAGAGAACAAATAAATTTTGTCGCTCACGGAGGGGTTAATTGTTTTAAAAATTTATATATCACAGAAAGTTGGTTTTTTGTCAAAAAATAGGGATTTTTCCTAGGTTTTGTTCTCTCACGAGGGGATAGTTTAGATATAAATATTTTTATAAGAACTTTTATTGAATAGTTTTTGCTTACTCAATGAATTCTTTTGACCAAAAAATCCAGATTCTTTCAATGATCTTGCTCGTGCGAAGGTGGAGTAAATATCAGGATACTAAGGCAAAGAATCGTTATATAATTAAATAAATATCAAAAAATAGTTATAAAGGAGATTGTATATAGAATACTTAACTTAACTTAATTATTCGGTGTTTAAGATGTCTAGTGCCGCAGCCCCAAAAAGGATCTTTTAGCAAAGTAGTGACGTCACAGAGCCATCTTGGGATCGCGGTGGTCAGCCCAACCGGCCCAAGCCTTCTATCGACGCTTCATCCCCAGCCGCCACACATCTTACCTGGCGCGTTGCCGTTGCTCTGCCCTAACTCAGCTCATGTGTGTGTTCCGCCTAAGGGTCATCCTCCCTTGGGGATGTGCTGAGATGTAAAACTCCGAGCCTCTTGAGTGCACTGAGGAGCTGTTCCTTTGGTTATCCCCAAAGTTAAACAGCTATTGCCGCGCAGAAGTTCTCGAGAGAAAACCCAACCCCATAAATAAAATTCCATGAGGGAGAGAAAATTAGCAGAGCTAATTTCTCTCTAACCGAATGCCATTTTATTTATGATTGTATATAGAATAAAAAAAACTTTCACTTAATCAACTTTGATTATTGGTGTATCAGTAAAAATGAAAATTAACTCAATTCTTTTATCTAAAATTATAAAGCACAAGTATTAACAGTCAACAATAAAATTATAACTGATTAAATTACATTTAGCTTTGCCATATATCTGCAATATAAAAATAATCCCATAACTGCTTTAATATAAAATTAAGGAATAAATTTTTCATATTTTAATTAAATTTGCTTTTATTTTAAAATAAATAATTAAATTTAAATGAATTGCTAATCTATTGCTAGAACCTCAATCAGGTATGAAAGCAAATTAAGCAGCTTTATTTGATAATGAAGAAACGGCAAATAATAAATAAAAAATAGTGCACAGAAGATAATTGAGTATACTGCAGTAGTTGCTATAATAATATTCAACTGATAATTTATAGCATTATAAGAATCATTATCGGCTAACTCAAATTCTATACCAATATTATTTTGAACTATTTGCAAATAAGCTACATATTTTAATATAAGTTCTGCAGGAATATAAGATGTATACGCAATATTCGTAGAATCATAAATAGAAATCTCCACCGCTGTATCAGTGCCAAATTTTAATATTGGGGTCGTAGTATTGGTGCTTTCAAAAATCCTTTGCTTCAGCTCTTTAGACATCATTTTCATGAGTTTTTCTTCTCGAAGTTCTTTATTTTTTTCTCTCACTCTCCCCCCTCTGTGAGCGAACAAAATAATTGTTTGTTGAGGTTAATTCTTTAAAATTTATATATAAATTTTTATATAATTTTTTTTCAAAAAAATCCCAATTAGAAAGCAAATATTAATTTAATTTAAAAATTTATATTTGAAATTTGGTAAAATTAAACAGAATTTCATTATACTAATAGTAACTTATATATCAAAATTGTTTTTTGTGCTAAAATTTTTGTTCGCTCACTGACTTTTTTTTTTGGCAAAAAAATTAGCGATTCCAATGGTTTTGTTCGCTCGCGAAGGGAGTAAGGATTTTTGCATTGAGATCCACAAGAAAATTTGAGTTCGCAAAGCCATAGGATAATAAAAAATTTTTATTGAATCAAGGAGTATAGACATCTCTAGATAGCATGCATACCCTTGAAACTAAAGACCTTCTTATATTAAAATTATTTAATAATCTCGGCCTATTTTTCATATAGCTTTGACAGTCTGGATATAAATAAAAATATATCACAAAATAATACGAAGCAGATATAATAAAAAATACAAGAATTCTCCACGTAAAATTTATCTCAATCAACGTCCGTACTCTGTGCTTCTTTTTATTCAAGCTTGAATTTATACTTTCTTCGATATTTACCTCAGTATTATGAGCATATCCAAGCCTTTCTATGGCTTCAGTTTTTAATCTCATTAATTGAATTTGTGTGCTTTTTATAAAAAAATTCCAAAATTCATCAATTTTTTTTGCAGTAAGATAAATAAATATAAAAACGATTAACAATAAGATCCCAAGCGCGGCAAACCCTCAAAAAATCAAGGTATAGATTATATCTCCTATTGTCTCTATACGATTCACAGCACAATTTTCTAAATCTAGGATAGTATGATTAAAATAATCATAAGTCTGGCCTATTCCATTAATAATTAGAAATTTAGCATGATTGATATAAGTTTGATTATTTTCTAGGGCATAAATCATGCTTTTTATCTAAATACCGCTTACGTGAAATACAAAACTTTCTATTGCGTTATACATGTTTTTATTGATTATTTTTGGCAAATTTTCATCGAAAGTCCATAATGGAATCAAAGAATCAGTTACAATATTTGAGGCAGCACAAAACTCTCATTTCTTAAAATCTGATAAAATATTATTTTGAATAGTTTGCAGTTCGTACATAGCATTTAAAAATGGAGCATTTTGCGAAGAATAATCAATTTGGTAACCAATTGACTTAACTATGGTTCTTGCAATATCAGCTGACAAGCCTATATTATAAAGTAGGTTTCCTAAATTTCGAAAAATTATCATAGAGGATGTTAAATATACATCGTTTATAATATATCCCATAATTGAAAACATAGTGATTATGGCAGCTAGGGTCTAAATATTTTTTACCACAATAAATAGGACACACTTAAGCGTGGCTATTTTTTGCTTTGATTTAAAAATCAAATTTTTTAACTGTTCTAGCTTCCTCAAGATTTAAAAAAAAAAACATTTTTTTCTTTTTTTTTTAAAACTAATTATAAAATATATGATCAAGAATGCAAAGGAGAGTAAATAAATACTACTTCGTGTAAGAGATGAAGGATTGCAGATTTTATTATCTGAAAATATCTGATTCTGTTGTGTAAAATCAGTATCGCATTCGATATGTGAAGTTTCTTCAACGTTTTCGAATAATATTTGCAGCTTTTTAGCTTCTGATTTATTTTCGTGAGGAATTTCATTAATCTGAGGGCAATCCTCATTTTGTTCAAATGTGAAGGAAATTTTCACATTGCATGAATCATTAAAATTTTCGATTTTTTTAATTTCTGATTCATTATCAATCACATATAAAAACATTAACTCCCCCTACTTGAGCGAACAAAAAAGTTAGAAAAATCCTTATTTTTTGCCAAAATCCTCTCTCCATGAGCAAGCAAAAAATATTTTGATATAAATGATAATTATTATAATGAAATATCTAGCTAATTCTGTTCAATTTTAAATAAATTGCATTTTAAAACATTAAGTATTTCCTCCCTTATAATTTTCTTAATATATATTAAACCAATATCTTTACCTTTTATTGTTTCTACTCATGGCAGATTTTCTGTTAATTTATTCATGCCAATAAAAGGGAAAATTTCAGAAATATTTTTGTTTTTAATACATTGGAAATTACATCCTAAACAATTTGAAAAAAGTTCTGAATGGCCTATTATTATCCCTTCTTCCGAAATTAATGCAAATTGCCTGGGTGCTTGCTTTTGATTGAATGATATCATATGTTGCACAAATTTCTGATTGCGCAAGGCATGCAGAGGAAATTCTCCATATGAAAAAAAAAATCTGCATGTGAAATCTTACATAAATGCAGGCTTCACATGTTGATGTTTTTTGACATGTGGAGAATTCTTCTACATTTCTTGCAAAATCAGAAATTTGTGTAATAGACTATAGGAGTTTTCCCTATATGGCCCGATAAGAGCTGTGGGTTCTCCGTTGAATCCCTCTGCTGGTTTGACCAACAGAGGGATTCCACGGAGAACCCATGGCCCTTATCGGGCCATATAGGGAAAACTCCTATATATTAAATAAAAGCAATTATTATAAAATGCAGTTAATTTTATCAGCGCATCGCATTCTATAAGAAAGCCATATTGACTTTCGAAAAATAAATAGTTATGACATGGAATTTGTACGCTTTTTGAATCGTTAACAAACTTTTTCATAAGTTTTTCATGGCTGATTCTGTAAGAACTAGGGATAAAACTAAATATTGAGTTTCCACAAATTTCATTCATAGACAATTTCAATATCTCTGAAGCCATATCATTAAGATAAATAATATTTCCAAAAGAATTCTGTTCGCATGATATAAGTAATATTCCGATTTGACTTCCATATTTCTCCAAATAGTAGTCTTTTCGAAGCGTATAATCAATCTGACTTCTCTTTTTTTCTAATAAAATTGAATCATTATAATTCTTTAGTATATTTTTTAAAAAACTTGCGTATAGGCTAACAGTCTCAGTCCCTTTCTTTTTAATGAGAAAAACCTATTATAAATATCTGCATTTTGTGAATTTGAATCCTAGTTATTATTTTTAATATAATTTTATTAGCAAATAATAGAATGATACATATTAATAATTTAATAATGAGATCTTCAGTTAATTATATTAAATTTTAAAGAGTTTGCATCCTTATAAAACATAAATTTTTAATATTTCAAATATTTACAAATTTTCAAGTTATGGATATATTAATATAATTTTTGAAGAAAAAAAAAATCAATCGCTTTCTATTAGAAAGCAAACAATTTGCCTGCTAATCAAAGTAGGGAGTCAGTGTTTTTATATTTTTCTGTGTCTATTTTATATAGCCCGAGCCTCCTTTTGGCTTGGACTATCCTTTGTCTCCTGGCGTCATCAGGGAGTTGGCTTTATCAACACCTGCGAGTAAACCAACTCCCAGATGGCAAATCTCCTGTGGCAAGCAGAGCTTCCATCTAGGAACTGGCCAAACTAACTCCCCTACTTATCGATAGACTTCGAGACAGCTCGAGCCAGCAGGAGGCTCGGGCTATATCCCTCATTAACTTTTTGCATTATTTTTGCTGTTTTCGTTGACAATTTTTCCAATCAGCGAATCCTTGGTGCTCTAGATGCAAACTCAGTTTGCAATTTTATAATTAAATAGCATAGTTCTTCATCACGTTCTTTTAATTTCCCAAACTTTTGTAAGAACTCTAAATACTTTATCTCAGGAAACTCCCTACCCTCACTATTTTTCAGCCAATTAAGCACTTTTCACTCTTGGAAATTTCCTTCAAAGCTATTTTCACACAAAGCTAACTTAGTGAGCTTCACTCTGGCTAGTCTTTCATCATTTAATATATAAATACAAAAATTAAACTCCCATATCACAAATAGTTTGTTTTTCTTAAAATGGATCATTTTTCACTGTTTGTCAAATAATTTCAAAATTTGATATTTATTGTCTGGATTTGGATTAATTAGCAATAGGCGATATTTTCTTTCAAAATCAAATTGATTTCTTGAACTATTATCATAATCTTTAGTATTTTTATAACTTTTTAAAGTATAAAATATTAGATAAAAAAGTAGGATTGGTTGAAAAATTAGAGTGAAAACCAAAATCAAGAGAGAATTGTCTAATAATTCTCCAAAAATAAATATCAGAAGCGTCAAAGATATTGATCCCATTTTGCAGGCTTGGATTGTATTTTCAATACAGTTAAAGTATTGTAAAGATCATATTGTTTTAATTTCTAATAAAAATGATAAGAGAAAGCAAATAAGTTGATGATAAATAGCATACTTACTATCAAAGCAAACATAAGAAGCACACATAAATATGAAGAATGATTGCCTTTGTAGATCTAAGCTAGTGCTGGATTTCGCTTTTATATTTTTATTGAAGTTCATATGGCAAATGTCACATGAAAATATTTCATATAAAAATGCAATCAGAATTGTCAATAGTAAAAAGAATACTGACTCGCTCTCAGCAATTTTATATTTATCAGTATTTTATATGAAAATTAAATTTATAAAAGATTTAGCGTTTTATTTATATGAGAAAAAAAATCAAATTCTATTTAAAAGTTATTAATTAATTTAATTAGATTTAAAAGTCTATAATTTTTATTTATTGAGAAGAGTGAGAAAATAACCCCAATTATTCCAAAATCAATCTGACTTGCATCTGTGTTGTCTAATTCTTCAACTAAACTGAAACTGAAAATCGAATATTTCAATACAGTAAGAAAAATCAATACTATTGGGATAAAGCTAACAGTTGAAATTATTTTCGCTATTTTTCTTAAAAATAATACCACAACATTTGGTGGCTTTTTTTCAAGATAGTATAAAATCAAAAATATACTCAAAAGCACACAAAAAACTCCATTAATGGAAACTATTCCATAATAACAGAAGTCTAGCAATCCAAATAATGCGCCTGCCTTATCGTAGTTAATAATCCCTATCATTTTTCAGAATTCCATATATGATCTCCAGTCTGAAATTCCTAAATCTGGGTATCAAATAATTGATGTAGTTTGCAAAGTTATCACTATATTAATAAATATTTCAACCCTTATTTGTCGTTTTAAACCGAGTTTATACTCAGCTTCAAAAATCTTCCCAAAGACTTCAAAAAAATGATTTTTGTCTATTTTAAAATGTTTCGACAAATATTCTTGATTATGCGGATACTCTATCTCAGAGTCTGCACTATCGAAAAGCATTTTATAAAGGTTAATTATGGATTTTTAATATGCAACCATGTGGATTATCTTATGAATTGAAGGTATTATTACTAGAGTTGCATAAATTGTTTGTTAAAAGAAATACAAAATGGAAATAATAAATCAGTTTAATTACAATTATTTTTCTAATTAATTCTCACAATTAAACTATTTTTTAATCGGCTCCATGCCAAATGACCGTGGATTTTTGACAGTGTACATTTCATCGAAATCCATTTGCTCGAAAATTTTTGATAGTGCGGACATTTGGCCGAAAATTGACAGTTTTTTGCGTTCAAATGTCTCACTATCCAAAATTTTCGATCAATTTACGGACAAAAATTTTTCGGTGAAATGGACACTATCAAAAAGGCAAAGTCATTTGACCTGCACCCTTTTTGATCAGTTCCAATAACCAATATCTCAACAAGCGAAGCAATTCAATTGAGCTCTTTTATCTGATAACTAAGAAGTGGTAGATAATACATGAAAAATAGCCCACAGAGGATAAAAGAGTAAACTACCGTTGTCACTATTATAATTTTCAATTGTGAATTTATGATTTCATTAGTATCATGGTCTGCTAACCCAAATTCAATGTCAATGTCATTTTGGATTTCTTGTAAAACAGATACATAACGCAAAACTTCAATTGGAGGGACATAATCTTGGTAAGAAATATTAATAGTGTCATAAATAGATACATCAACAGCTGCCTCAGTTCCGAAATTTAGTAATGAAGTCGTCAAGTTACTTTTTTCGAATATTCTTTGCTGAAGCTCTTTGGACATCATTTTGATGAATTTTTCTTCTCGTAGCTCTTTATTTTTTTCTCTGACTTTGTGAGTAATCAAAAATATATTGAAAAATATTATTTTTTGGAAAATTAATTATTTTTTTATTTCTAAAACAAAAATATTTAAATTAAACTTACAATTTACCTTTTGAAGTCCAAAAAATTTTTAATATTTAATTTTAAATAAATTTATCGAATTCAAAGGCAATTAAAGAGTTATTTTGGTGTAAGTATGTTTGCATTAAGATTCATCAGATAAGAAGAGTTAGCAAAACCGTATGATAATACAAATTTATCTATAAAATAAGGGGAATAAACATCCCTTGAAAAAATCCCAACCCTTGAAACCAGTGATCTTCTTATATTAAAATTATTCAGTAATTTTGGTCTATTAATCATATAATTTTGACATTCTGGGTATAGATAAAAATATAAAATAAAATAATATGAAACAGATATGATAATAAATATAAGGATTCTTCAAACAAATTTAACTTCAATTCTAGTCCTTACCTTTCTGTTTAAATTAACCACATTTTCGCTTCAATTTTCTTCATAATATTCATTATGATGCACTAATACTAGTCTATCAACTGCCTCGCATTTCCATTTCCTTATTGCTATTTGCGAATTATTTATAAAAAAATTCCAAAACTCATCAATTTTTTTGACTGCTTGCCAAATACTCAAAAGAATAGCAATTACTAATACTGCAAGAGCATAAAACCCGCACAGCAATAAAGTATAGATCATAATTCCTATAGATTTTACCTGATCTACTACGCAGTTTTCTAGATCTAAAATCGTTTGGTTAAAGAAATTATATGTTAGGCCTAAGCCATTTAGCACAAGAAAATCAGTATGTGGCTTATAAGACCGAGTTTTATTTAATTGCTTTATCATGCTTGAAATCTAATTTAATATTACATGGAATAGAAAATTGTCGATGGTGTCATAAATATTTTCAAATTCAATTCTTGGGGATTTTTCTTTAAATGACCATACTGGGATTAAAGGAGTTGTGGTAATTTCAGATGCTGGGCAGAATTCCCAGCCTTTAAAGTCGGATAAAATATTGTTTTGAAAAAATTGAATTTCTGACATTAATTTTAAAATAATTAAATATGGCATCTTGGCCAGAACTAGCTAAATCAACCATAAAATTAATTATGCTAGCTAGGTTTTTACTAATTTAAAAATAAAGAGCAGTGCTATGTAAGCGATTCTGGTTTTTTAGAGCCTCTTGGAAGAAGGTAAAAAAGATAAGATTTTCTTTTCAAATTATACGACTAATATAGGCAAACTGCTTCTTTAGGCACAAACTCGAAACAGGTATATCTTTTCCATTATAAAACCGTAATCCATCCAACTAAAGTTTATTATGATAAAATATTACTTTTAAAAATGACTCTTTTTGTGAAGAATAATCTAGCACATAGCCAATTGACTTATCAATTGTTCTAGCAGAATCAGCTGATAAGCCAATATTATATAAAAGATTCCCCAAGTTATGGAAAATTACCATAGAAGATGTCAAATTTACATCATTCACAATATTTGCCATAATGGCGATCATGATTATTATCACAGTTAGCGTCTGAATTTATATTACCACAAGAAATAATACTCATTGGACAATCCTGATTTTTTTCTTTGAATCTATAATTAATTTTTTTAAAAATGCTGTATAAAAATTACTTGACTTAGCTGAAGATTGTTTATAAATTTTCATATCAGTAAGAGATTTACTATATAATAAATGTTGATCTTCATGCTCTGAAAATAATGATTCTTGCATATTTTTAACTGTGTTATGAAATCTTAAAGATTCGTCTTTACTTTCTTGGCTATTTACAGTGCCTTTAATTCAAACTAAAGATATGGTTTCATCTTTTTCTGAGTTTTCTAATAAATTTTTATTCTGCCCTTCTCTTAATTTTTCAATCTCTAATTCATCGTTAATTGCTATTAAAATTCTAGCTTTCACTTGAGAATTGGCAAAATATATGTGAAAATCCTAAAATCAGCTTCTAAAAAATATTTTATATATATAATTTTAAATTCTTTTAAGCCGAATCCATTTAGAACATGGCATTTTAAAGCATATAAATTCACCAGCGAGCTGCTAAATGGAATTTTCAATATCCAAAATTAAATAAATGCCTTCTATGGGGCAGTAAAATGATTTGTTCTTTTTTGAAGAAGTAAGTACTTGAGATTTTATAATTTTTCGAATAAATAATAAAGCAATTATTCCACCATTTAATTTCATTATTAATGGCTCATTATCTTTCAGGTTTTGCATGTCAAAATTAATAATATTCCAAATATGAGTATTTTTAATGGTTTTTGAATTGTAGCCTACATAATTAGGAAAAAATTCTGAGTGGCTTAAAACTATTCCATCTTCAGAAATCAATGCAATTTGCCTTAATGTAGAGATTTGTTGAAACTTTATAAGAAAATAGGCATCATTATTAAATGCAGTTAGCTTTATCGTCAAACTGCACTCTATAAGAAATCCATGCTGATTTTGAAAAAATAAATGGTTATGGCAAGGCACTTCAACACCTTCTGAATTAAAAATGAAATTTCTCATAAGCTTTCTATGACGATTTCCATAAATATAAGGGAAAAGATTAAAAATCGAGTTTCCACAAAGGTCGATAATTGATGATTTTAATATTTCTGAAGCTTTTTTGTTGCTGTAAATAATCGTTCCGAACGTGCTCTCTATCCCAGAAACTAGCATTATTCCATCACTATCTTCATATTTATCAGAATTTTTATGCCGAATCATAGAAAAATCTATTCCATTTTTCTTTTTCTCGATTATATTTGCTTCTTTATGATTTGATAAAATATTATCTAAAAATCCATTATACTCCCTTGCACATTTTTGAGTACAGATACTTCGCACAGCTTCGTATCCCAGATTTGGGAAAATAAAAAAACTAGCGATCAGTATGGGCAGTATAATTGTGCTCAAAAAGGCACAAGGACAATATAAAGTTCAAATATTTCATAACTTTTATGCTTTTCTATTGCATTTTTATAGCCTAGCTCAATATTATTTAACTTTTTTGAAGCTTTAATACATAAGCTTATAAGAGATTGCATTCTTGGAGCTTTAGACACAAATTCAGACTGCAACTTTATAATTAAATAACATAAATTCTCATCTCTTCTCTTTATTTTAGAATTTCCATCTTGCAAGATGGAAATCCATTTTGGCTCGGCGACAGCAAAAAAAAATCCCAGAATTCGGCCGTGTAAAAAAAAAATAAAACGGCCGGAAGGCCAAGGGGTCGCAGATGGCAATTCTCCGGGGTGGGGTGCAGGCTTGGGCTGACTGGGCTTCCCCTCGACCCACAGACAAGATACCGACGGCGCAACATCAATCAAGCACTTCTGGAGGAGCATTATGGTGCCTGCGAATGGCACAGGTGGTTCCAGAAGAAGACAATGGACGATCCTCTCATACCCTGAGCACCACCAGGGGTTAAGAGAGTCCTTGCCGAAATTTTTGATCCAGCAGGGTCGGGTGAGTCTCCCCGACAGACTGAGGACGTCACCATTTTTGATGGCTCCGAAGAAAAAGGGCGTTAGGTGGCTTTAGTGCTTAGTGCCACATGAAGCACGAAGCTGAAGTCCGACTGGCTAGGGGCTGAAATAATCCCGCTTAAACCTCTCTAACTAATCTCTCTCTCTCTTTATTTTAGCAAGCTTTTGTAAGTATTCTAAATAAACTATTTCAGGGTACTCTTCACATTTTTTTGTCTTGAGCCAATTATAAGCTCTTCATTCTAGGATATCCCCTTCAAAACTATTTTCACATGAAGCAATTTTTATTAATTTTATTCGAGATAGCCTTTCGTCATTTATGATAGATATGCAGAAATTGAATTCTCATAGCACAAATAGCTTGCTTTTTCTAAAATAGGCTATTTTAGAGTATTTGCTAAATAAATTCAATATTTGACATAATTTATTGCTATAATTTCTTATAGCGTTCCACGTGTGGGATTTTTCCCTACACGTAAAAAATTTTTTGCATATGGAAGCAAGCCAATAAGTAGGCTTGACATGCTAAAAAATTTTTCACGTGTAGGGCAAAATCCCACACGTGGAACACTATAAAAAATTATAGCAAAAAAGTATATTTATCTTCTAGATTTGGATTAGTGAGTAAATAACGGAATTTTCTTTCAAAATCAAACTTATTTACAAGGATTTTTTTACCAAGGTTTTTATAGTTTTTTAAAGTGATTTTTATAACGTAAAAAAGAAAAACTGGCTGAAGGATCAATGAGAATATAAAGATCATAAGAGGATTGCTAAATAACTCTCCAAAAATAAATATCAATAAAGTTAAAGATAATACGCCCATTTTGCAAACTTGGATAGCATTTTCAAAAAAATTAAAATATTGCAAAAATCTGACCATTTTGATAGATAATAAAAGTGAGCATGAAAAGCAGATCGCTTGATGATATATTATATATTTTTTCCCAAACCACACATAAGAAGCGCACATGGCTACATAAAATAGCTGCTTATATAAATCCAAAGTCCCAGAAGATCTTGCTCTGATATTTTTAAGATAACTTGAGTGTCTAATATCACTTGTAAAAATTTCATAAAAGAAAATTATAATAACCAAGCTTACTAAGCAAAATGATGAAAAAATTACCCCAAATAGCCCAAAATTGAGATCTTCTGGGCTAGTGTTTTCCCATTCATCAATTGAGTTTGGATTTATGACTGAATATTTCAAAATTGCGAGTAACATTATAAGCGAAGGAATTAAACAAACTGTAGAAATAATATCTGCAAGCTTCTTTAGAAAAATCCCAATAATATTAGGCAATTTTTTCTTGAAATAAAATAAAATTGCACAGACACTAAAAGAAATTGATAAAATTCCTATTATTAATATGGTGCCATAATAGCAAAAATTCATTAATCCATATCAAGCGCAAATATTATCATAGCTAGTTATTCTTATAATATCCCAAAATTTTGAATACGAATCTCAATCTGGAATATCTAAATGTGGATATCATACAATAGACATGAGCTGCAGAATCATAATTAAATTTACCAAAACTTCATAAATCGCTTGTTGCTTGAATTTCAGTTTTTTATTGTGTTTTTCTCCAAAAATTTCATTGAAAGCAGAAAATATATGATTTCTTATTTTTATCAGTCAGAAATCTAATTTGTGATGGTTTTCTGAGCAATTTTTTTCTATTTCATTGTGATTGAATAGCATTTTTTTAATATATATTATTAATAGCGATCAGAACTACTTAAAGATCATCTTGGCAAGCTTCTTATAAACATTATTAAAGATCGACTTTAAAGCAATAGTTTTAAGTAAAAATAACTGGGAAATCTTGAAAATTGAGAAGGATAGAAAAATCAAATTTTATACAAAAATAAAAAGGTAAGACTATTATAATAAATTAGCACCCTTTTTATAATTCTTAAATTTAAAAATGATTTGACTTCTTAATTTTCTGGCTAATAAGTGGCAATAATTATTAATTTGCTTATTTATATTTAAAATTATTTATAAAATAATTCTTTACTATTCATTTGCAAGTGCAAGTACTGATGATAGCACTGAAAGTCTCTGAAGCTCTTTAGATTCATTATGGAAATAAGGCAAGTAATAAAACAGCAGTAATCCACACAAAGTTAGGCAGTAAATTATAGTAACTAAAATGATTAGACCCAGCTGGTGATTTATTATATTGTTTGAATCCCGGTCAGCCATTTCTAGCTCAATTCCTATCTCATTATTTATATCTCTAAGCATTGCTAAATAGGGTTGCATGACTGTAGGTTGAACGTTTTTTACATATCCCAAGCTAATACTATCATATATTGTCGTCTCAATTGCTATTTCAGACCCATATGCAAGCTCCGGATCCTTAAAATTTGTCTCTTCAAATATTTTTTGCTTTAATTCATCAGACAGCATTTCCATAAATTTGCTTTCTCTTATTTCGCTGTTTTTCTGTCTTAGAATATGAGCTGAAATATTTGCCATTTCAATTGAGTTTATAAGGTCACAAGAATTTGGAAAACTTGCTATAAAATATGAACTTAATATATCTCTAGAAAAAATTGAGACTCTAGATACTAAGGATCGCTTCATATTGAAATTATTGAGCAACTTTGGGCGATTTATCATATATTTTTCACAAGTTGGGTATAAATACAAATAAACCAAAATATAATAAGAAGCTGAAATAGCGAAAAACGCCGCAATTTTTCAAGAGTGTCTTATTTCTGTCCCTGTCTTTATCTTTTTGTGGATATGCTTCGAATTATTGCTTTCATCAGCCATAATTTCCTCATCATGGACAAGAATAAGCCTATCAATTGCTTCACTTTTTCACTTTGTTATATAGCCCATTCCAGGCTATAGATTGGGCTTAGCCCGATCTTTGCCGGGAAACTCGGGGGGTTGTCTCCGTCACTTTGAGGTGACGAGTCAACTCCCCGAGTTTGCAAATAACTGCTATATGGTGATTTGCCAACTCGGTGAGTTGACTCGTCACCTCAAAGTGACGGAGACAACCCCTCGAGTTTCCCGGCAAAGATCGGGCTAAGTCCGATCTATAGCCGAGAACGGGCTATAGGGATTTGAATATTATTTAACACAAAGTTCCAAAACTCGTTTTCTTGCTTTGCGACAAGCCCAATGAACCAAAGAATAATTAAAACTAAAATAATAACAGTAATAAAGCCGCTGATAAGGAGGGCGCGCACGCTTAGTCCTGTGGAATGGACTTGATCTGCTTCACAGTTTTCAAAACCAAATATGGTTTGATTTAAGTAATTATATGTTCTCCCTATACCATTCATGACGATAAATTGTGTATAATTCTTGTAGCTTTGGTTTTCATTAATTGCACTCGACATGCTTTGGATCTAAATTGAAATTTACATTAAATATAAAATCAGATATAGTGTCGTAGATATTTTTATGTGTAGTTTTTGGAAATTTTTGGTCAAACTCTCATATAGGGATCAATGGAGAATTCGCAATTTTTGAGTTTTCGCAAAATTTTCATTGCTCAAGATCTGAAATTATCCCACTTTGGCTTTCCTTTAAAGCTTCCATAGCTTCTAATAGCTGACTTAGATGGGTTGTATAATTATACGATAATGATTTTTCCCTATCAGTTAATCTAGCTAAATCAGCAGAAATTCCAAAATTATACAAAATATCTCCAATTTTATAGAAAATGCTCATAGATGAGGTCAAGTTTACGTTGCTTATCATATTGGAAATAACCGCAATCATAGTGGATATTATAGTTAAAGTCTAATTTTTTTTTACTATAGCTAATAGTACTCATTGAAGCACTTTTATTTTTTTTGAGGTCTTTACTATTAAGTGTTGTGCATGTCCTAAATAAAAAATACTTGATTTTATCGATGAGTGGCTATGATTATCATTTCCAACAGATATATTATCAGCGACTGATTTATTTTCATTTTCTGATAATTCAGGTAAATTTTCAATTTCGCTCAATCTGAAAGAAATTGAGCATTCCTTGAGCTGCTGGTATTTAGTGTCTCTTCTATGATCTAAGAGCTCTTTAGGATGCGAATTTTCTTCAATAGTTCTTTCTCGTTCACGATAATGGGAAATTTGGTCTTCATCTTTGCCTTCTTTTCATCTTTTTATATCACCTTGCTCGTGAAGTAAATATAATATAATTAAAGTTTTTGAATTTATTTGTTTGTCAATCCGCACCAGGGCAATATCGATGATATTTAGTCTCATTAATACTGGCTCATAAATTTTCATTTTATTTATTTCAAGGCATGGCACAACTTGCTCTATATGAAAATGTTTTAAGCATTTCTCATTTAGCCCTAAATAACGTGGAAAAGCTTCTGAGTGGCTTAATATAGCTCCTGATTCTGAAATTAATGCAATCTGTTTACTTGTGATTTTTGGAATAAATGATATAATATAATAAACATCGCTGTTATAAGCTGTAAGCTTTATCAGCATATTGCATTCCACCAGAAACCCTCTGTGGGTTTCAAGAAATAAATTTTGATGGTATGGGACTTCGACACTTTTTGAACTGCTTAGGAAATTTTTTGTAGTTTTAGAATGATATTGATTATAAGGCTCAGGGAGAAAATTGAAAACTGAAGTACCAATAACATCAGATAATGAGACTTTTAAGACTTCAGCTGCTTTTTCATTGATGTAAACTATTAAGCCAAGTGAATTTTTAGAGCTTGATGCAAGAATTATTCCAAGATGCCTGCCATATCTGTCTAAGCTTTGATTTTTTTGGTTAAAAATTTCAATGCCGCTTTTCCTTTTGTTGATTTTGTCAGATTCTTCATAATTGTGCTCAATATTTTCTAAAAAGCTTGCATATAATTCAAACCCTCCAATATTTGCGTATTTTTCGATAATACTGCTATACTTGCTCTTGACCTTTTCCATGCACTTTGATGCTCTATTCGTCAGGTCGACAAGGACCTTAAATCTTGGCGACTTTGAAGAAAACTCTGTTTGCAGTTGGATTATCAAGTAGCATAGTTTTTTATCGAAATATTTGGTTTTTCCAAATTCATTTAAATATTCCAAATAAATAAATTCTGGAATTGGCTCATTTGCTTTATTTTTTAATTTTTCCAAGATTCTTCACTCATAAACGCTGCTTTCAAATGAGGATTCACAATATCCTGCTTTTGCTAAAATCACACGGGCAAGCCGTTCATCTTTTAAAGTATGCAGGCAGTAATTAAATTCCCATTCCACAAAGAGTTTATCTTTTTTAAAATATGTCAATTTTGAATATTGATTAAATAATTTCAAAATATTTGCTTTGTCTTCAGAATTTTGATCAGTTAATAAATGACGGAATTTTCTTTCGAAATCATATTGATTTCTGGGGATTTTACTGTTATTTTTAAGCTTCTGATATTGTATTTTTGTATAATGAAAAATCAATAAAATTGCTATTGGTTGCAAAATCAAAGTAAATGTCAATGTGATCAAAGAATTATTTATTGAGCTCCCAAATATAAAAATTAAAAATATTAGGCTGGTTGACCCAAATTTATAAGCATGAATTGCGTTTTCTATATAATTAAAGAAATGCAGCAGCCATAATATTTTTATAAAAACAAAAAATGAGCAACAAAATCAGAAAATTTGATGAATGATAGCATTTTTCACACCTAATGTGATATAAGATACACAAAGAGAAGCATAAAATAGCTTTCTTTGCAAGTCCAAGGCTGCAGAAGATCTAGCTTTTATATTTTTTCTAAATTTAGAATGTCTGATATCACAACTGAACACTTCTGTGAATATGGCCATAGGAATTAAAACCAATAAACACAGTATTGAAAATACCATCCCAATTGGTCCAAAATTCAAGTTTTTGGTGACTGAGCCAGTGAATTCATCTACTGATTCAAACTTTCCAGTTGAGTACTTTAGAATCATCAGTAAAATAATAGTTGTTGGAATAAAACAAACTGTGGAAATTACTCCAGCTATTTTTCTTGGGACAATAATGAGCAAACTTGGCGGCTTTTTCTCGAAGTAAAAAAAAACTCCGAAAGCTATAAAAGATGCAAGACATGCGCCTATAGTCGATATGGTCCCGTAGAAACATAAATCCATCGTATTAAACCATCCACAGATTTCGCTGTAATTTGCAACGCCGATCAGTACTCAGAAATTATGATATGATTCTCATTCATCTATTGATAAATTTGGATATCAAGCCAAAGAGCTCATCTGCAAAGAAATGACAACATTGATAAAAATTTCATAAATAAGCTGCGTAGTTCATTTAGTTTTACCGCTATACTTAACTTCGTAGATTTCGCCAAAGAATGAGAAAATTAGATTTTGCATTCGTCTCATAAAGGAAGGTTTTTCAAAATGAGAAAAATTTCAGAAATAATTTCTTTCGTCTTTGCTATTAGAAATCATGATTATATATATTCAGCATATTGGTTTTTGAGATAATCTTAATTTTTAATGGTTTTGTCTTATTCTAGCTTAATACTTAGACATCTATGGCTATTTTATAAAATAGGAATTTTATGAATTTCAATAAATAGTGGGAGAAGATTTATTTTTGCATATCTTTGAAATTTTATGCGTTAAATATGCCATGTCTTACTATCTTAATAATTAAATAGTGCACAGAAATTGAGAAAAAAAGCACTCATCGCTCTTTTATAAGGTTTATTTGAGTTAATAAATGGGAAAACAGAATAAATATTCTATTCGGGAATTCCTTTTTATTAATGAATTATTTTTCTTAGAATCACAAAAAGTCTTCAGAAATCAAGAAATGGTAATAATTCTAAAATTAAGTAAAATATATAAGTAAATTTATTATTGCCAGATGGATTGAAATAATCTCCTAACTTTCTGGGAACTTTATCATCACATTTAATTTAAAGATTAAGTTAAACTAGTGCTATAAGGCCATAAGTAGATAGGCAACTAGTCTGCCTTTCTTGTAAACCCACCTAAACTATTATTAGCTCCCTAGATTTGAGTTAACTCTTGCTGATGCCCTTTAGTCCCGATAAGCAAAACACAACCGGGAGAAGTCTGTATAACCGATCAGGCAGGGACGGTAAAAGCCTTCCTGAGAAACAAAACTCCCTCATCAATAGTTATCCACATGTGAATTTTTATCAAACAGGCATCCACATGCGAATTTTTATCAGCAGGCCAAGGCTCAAACTCTTTTATGTAGAAAGTTAACTATTTTTACATATTTTTCTTCAGCGCCAAATCAATAAGGAAAAGCTTCTGTGCGGGGTATAATTATTGCACCTTATTATATAATTGCGATTTTCAAAGAAATACAAGCAAAGCAATGGTGGCAAGCGTCAACGTTTGACGAAATATTATATAAGAATCAAAAGAGGACTCAGATGGTGCTTAAGAGTAGTTTTAGCTATCTTCTTACCCCCTCCTCCGTGAGTGAGCAAAACCATTGGAAAAATCCAAAAACCCCACTGTGAGTGAACAAAAATTTGTTTAATAGAAAAATATTTATTGAAAAAAAAATTTGATATATAAGTGATAATTAGTATAATGAAATCTCGAGCTAATTTTGTTTAATTTTTAAACAAATTGCTTTTTAAAACATAAATTTTATAAATTAAATTAATATTTGCTTTCCAATTTTTGCGAATTAGGATTTTTTAAATTTCGAAAAAAAATATTTTCTATAAAATTTATATATAAATAGTTTTAAAAAAAAAAATTTGTTCACTCAGAGGGGGGAGCTAGCATTTATAGCAATTCTATAATTAAAGCTTACACAAGCAATAAGAAGTAGTTATTTGTTGTAGCTGCTAGAATCTCGCTTCACAAACTATAAGAAATCCAGGTCTTTATATCAAAATCCAATTATTGTCAACTCAGCGCTGTAGAAATTCATAAACTGACAACTACTCTTTTCTTAACTGATTATTTTTTTGATCCCTTCAGACCATTCTCCCATCTCCCTCTCCCTCCGATTGTTTGTTGAGTTGAAGGAATTTCATCAGAAGCGGAGGATTAGGCTCGACAGACTAAATAATAAGTACTACTTAAGAGCCTACCAGTCAGCAGTAGCGGACAGGCTCTCAAATATACCAAGTGGAGGACTCCCAACTGATACTCTCTATTCAAAGGTGTGCGAGACTCTCTTGTTTGCAGCGGCCGATACTTTGGGCTATATAAGCCCTAGGCCAGAGAACTCACTTACCTCGGAAACGCTCAGAATGCTAACTCCCCCCCCCCCTCCGTGAGCGAACAAAACCATTAGAAAAAATCGCCATTTTTTGACCAAAAACCCACCCTCCGTGAGTGAACAAAAATTTTTTTAATAGAAAAAATTTTAATGGAAAAAAATTTTGATATATAAGTGATAATTAGTATAATGAAATCTAGAGCTAATTCTGTTTAATTTTAAACAAATTGCGTTTTAAAACATAAATTTTGCAAATTAAATTAATATTTGCTTCCCAATTTTTGCAAATTAGGATTTTTTTAAATTTCGAAAAAAATATTTTTTATAAAAAATTATATATAAATTTTTTTTAAAAAAAAAAAATTAACCCCCCTCCGTGAGCGAACAAAATTTTTTTGTTCGCTCACGGAGGGGGGGGGGGGAGTAAGCGTAAAATCTATGTAGGGCCAAAAAATATTGACTGCAGTTCAGGAAAACCAAGACTTTTTGCCTTATGTAAAATTTTTATATATAAATGGTTTGGGAAATGGATTCCATTGTCCTAATATAAGCTTAAACGGGCTTATTGAAAATGAGATTGAAAGGGTAAAAAATACTGGAACTATAATCAATATATTGCTGATTTTTGGGTTTTGTACCTTAGGAGCGTTAGTTTTAGTGATTTTTGGGTATATTTTAATTGTCTCAAAGAAGCATGATGAGTTTTGGAATTATATTCTGAATAATGCTCAACGGTCTATGCTTAAGCTGAAATACCTTTCAATAGAAAGACTAGCTAGTGTCCATGGAGTAGATAGTTCAATTGACTCTAATATGGAGCTTCAAAGGGTAGGCAGTGTAAATAGGAAAGTAAAGATGACAATTTATTTGCAGTATATATGAAGAATTATGCTCTTTTTTATAATTGCTGCTTCTTATTACTTGCTTATATACTGCTATTTGTATCCTATATGTGAATCCTCAATGTTATATCGCCCACATCTTCTAATTCCCCCCCTCTGTGAGCGAACAAAAATTTTTTTGTTCGCTCACAGAGGGGGTTAATTTTTTTTTAACAATTTTATATATTAATTTTAAAAATAAAATTTTTTTTGGAGTTTAAAAACATCCCACTTCTCGAAAATTGGAAGGAATATTAATTTAATTTGCAAAATTTATGTTTTAAAACGCAATTTGTTTGAAATTAAACAGAATTAGCTCGAGATTTCATGATACTAGTTATCACTTAAATACCAAAATTTTTTTCCATAAAAAATTTTTCTATAAAAAAATTTTTGTTTGCGGAGGGTAGATTTTTGGGCAAAAAATAGATTTTTCTAATGGTTTTGCTAGCTCACGGAGGGGGGAGTAAGCAATTTTATTTCAAGGCGCTTATTGGTAGTCCGTCTTTCTTTAATTTCAAAAGAAATTTACTATAACTACAATTATCAAAAAATCCCAGAACTTTACCCCTTTAAAAATTCAGTAGCTGCCCAAGACGCAATGATAGGACTATTAAAATTACAAAACAAAGAAATACGGCATGAGAAATACGCAATTTTGATGTCAAGCGATCTGCGAGAAAGAGTATATGAGACCATTGACTCACAATTGGCGACCTTAAAACAAGGGTCTGAAGCTTCAACTGCTGACTTGATGTTTGACATTGAGACATTGATTTATTGAGTCCCCTCTATTATTGATATTAAGAAATTTGATTATCAAGTTGATTTACTGCTAAACGAAATCGCAGAAGAATTCAAACTGGCTGATAAAGACTCAATTGATGTGATCAACAGGCAGTTAGACACCATTGTGAATACTACAGTGATTTATTCAATAGCTGTATGTGCACTTTTTTTCTTGTATTATTTGCCTTACTTAAATTACCAAATAGGGCAGTTGAAAAGGTTTTCGGTATTACCATCAATTTTGCCAGCTGATTTGGATCATGGAAGGCTTTATTAGTATAATTAGATTAATGTAGTTAGGGATTATTATAAGAAATAGTCAATTGTGAAGCTATTGGGATTTTTTATTTTATTTGAATACATGATAGAAATAGCACAATAAATATGATCATTATGTTGTAAATTTGTAAAACATAGGAAATAAGTGGGCGATAAATCTAAAAACATTAATTTATAAAAGATTTACGAAATTACAGTGCTATTACTATTTCATCTAATTAAATCTGGCCATTAAATGGAGTCAGCAAACGATAAGGATTCGATTTCTCTGATAACAAAAGAGAACAGTGAGAATTTAAAAGAGCCTGAAAAAGAAAGCAAGCCAATAGAAAACCCCCCAGAAAATGATATAAGCTCTCAAATAAGCAGTGTTCCTAATGATCTCGTCAGCAAGCCCAAAGAAACAGAAACCGCTTTACATGCTATAGACACCTTAAGAAAAAACACAGCTGAGATTTTGAGTAGACCAAACAATCCAGAATTAGAAAAAGATTTCAGGACAGCTTGCTCAGCAATTCAGACCAATTCTAGTCTTAATGATCCACCTCTAATGCAAGCTTACCAAGATTATCTTAATGCTTATCAGCAAAAGACATCTCTTTATAGCATTATAGATCAAGATGACGGAGCTGCTTTGAAAATTTTTAACACTGAAACTGAAACCCAAGAAGTCAAGACCTTGCAGACTTCAGCAAAACTAGACAGAGGCACTTGCATAACTCAGCTTCCAAATGGCAAGATATTCGGCTTTGGCAATTTTTTAATTTCTGGAATTACAGTGTTAATTGATGGGAATGGTGGAGTCGAAGAGCTGCCATCTGGAACTCCTTGCGTGGCCTCATCATGCATCTATCTCAATAACAGCATTTATTGTTTTGGAGGAAAAGGCTGGTCTGATTGTTTAACTCTATCTAGCAAATTCGATTTGGATCAAAATCAATGAATTCAATTAACTCCAATGTCACAACCGATTTATGGGTGCAGTAGTGTATAGAGGTTTCCCTAGATAGCCCTGTAAGGGCTGTGGATTCTAGGCAGGGTCCTTTGGTTGGCGGAACAATCCTACCAACGTACTGAGCTAGTTGGACCAACTGAAAAATTCCGCCTAGAATCCACAGCCTTGCAGGGCTATCTAGGGGAAAATTTTATAATATTCAATGAGAGTATTTTGATTTCTGGGTATGAAAATAGAAATATTTGGCAATACTCAATTGATATTGACTCTTTCTCAGTTATTCCTTATGAGTTTGGGTATAAAGGAAAGATCCTGATAAATGCAGAGAGACTATACTTGATTGAATACCCTGGATCAATCTATGAAAGCGAAATTGGAAGCTACTTGAATTGGAGACAGATAGGAAAATTTAAAACCAAATACGATCCTTATCAAATTTATTACTCATATAATAAAGGAGGAATATGGATCTCAACTGTTTTGAATTCGGTTGAAGAATATTTTTATTTAAATTTGGATCAAAAAATCATCATTGAGGCTGCTTACTATCATGATTGTTTCTCACTTACTCTATCCTCTCTGTAAAAATTCTGTTCGAGGGTAATTTTTTTTTTCAAAGGATACAAAAATTATTTCGAAGATTAAAAATCCCAATTCGCAAAAATTGGAAAACAAATATTAATTTAATTTGTAAAATTTATGCTTTAAAACGCAATTTGTTTAAAATTAAACAGAATTAGCTAGAGATTTCACTATATTAATCAATTTTTTTCATTAAAATTTTTTGCCCAACAGGGGAAAAAATAGGGATTTTTCCAATAGTTTTGTTTTGTCAGGAGGGGGGAGTTAGAAGAGTAGGTGAAAAGATTGAAGCAAAAAAACGCAATGACCCGAATTTTAAGCTTGATCCTTATTATCTAGATAAATGCAATTTAAAAGATACTGATCTATGCACTTTAGGAGAAAATCTAGAAGGAATACAACTATTGGACGAAGAAATCAAATGCAATCCAAACGACTTTTTCTTATACAGTACTAAAGCCAAATTTTTTAATAATTTAAAATGACACCTAGAGGCAATCAAATGTTATGACAAAGCAATCAAACTCGAGTCAAACAACGTTAAATTTTATTTTAATAAAGGTAAAGCTTTTTATGGTTTAGGAAGATATCTAGAAGCACTCGAATGCTATGACGAAGCAATAAAACTGAACCCAGGAAAAGCTGATTTTTACTATAAGAAAGGGCAAGCTTTAAATGAATTAGGAAGATATCTAGAAACAGTAGAAAGCTATAACGAAGCAATCAAAAGCAATCCATATAAGATCGAGTATTATAATGATAAAGCCAGAACTCTTTGCGTTTTAGAAAGATATCAAGAAGCAATACAATGCTATGATGAGATGATAAATCGTGAACCTAAAAATCCTTTGCATTTCTGCAACCGAGGTAGAGCGTTTAAGAATCTCAGACAAGAAGAAGCAGCTTTACAGGACTGGCCCTAGTGATAAAATATTCCGTATTTAAAAGAGCCACAATAGAATAATATGGTGATTCACTTTATTCTGAAACTTATAATTTATGGAAGATAATTTGTTTACAAGCATTGATTTTTGTAAATATTTTTGTGAATTTTTTAGTTGCGATATGAAGCACTCTCGCTCAAAACGAAATATAAAAGCCAGGTCTTGCGCAGATTTGATTAATAGTAATACTTACTCATCTGCTAGCAAGAAAAGCATTAAAATATTCCTATTAGTTTACCCTTTATCAGTTTTTTTAATATATGCAATTCATGTTTTGGCTCATAAGATCTCTAGTTTTTTATATTTTATTTTTAATAATCTTTAGCATCTAATAGTTTTTCGAGCCAATGCAAGGATTATCATGAGAATATTTTGTATTAAGGATCCACATTTGAATTGGAAGGCGTTATAATTAAAATATGGCGTCTTCGTCTGGGCATGGCCTCCCGGCCATGCAGCCTCGACTCATATTTTAATTATATCCGGCAAGGTTTTGCATTTCAGAAAGGGACAGCAATGCTAGGTAAGCAATTCTGGTGGAGCTCAGAGCCTAGCCCAAGGCTATTTTCAGGGATGTTTTTTCCTCATGGGGAAGGAGGCACGCGAGTTGGAAAGGGGAAGCTCAGCAGAGTCCGTTTAGGACCAATCGGGCAACTCCCTAGCGTGAAACTGGGCGTTACGTCCCAGGCTTCGTGTTTTCCTTTTTGCCGAAAGCCTACCAGAAAATCCATTTTTTATGGATTTTCGGAATGGCAACCAATGCCCTAAAGCGAAGTAGCTCAACCATGAGCCGTCGAAGTCGGCAACACCTGCGACTAGGTGCACCTTGGCGAAACAAAGCTGATCGACCCAGAGGTCGGTGGGCCCGATGCGCCATAGGCAGGCGGAAACTCTGGGATGGGCACCCCGTAAGGGACGTTAAGCGTATAAAATTTAATAGAATAGAATTGGAGGGCGTTAAAAATGATCCTTAGCGGTATGAAATACATGACTATGAAGAAAATGAAATAGGAAAAGCTCAGCTACCTTGAAATTTGAATAGAAATTGTGCATTGGGTTTTTGTTTAATTTCGGGGGCAATTGAAATTGGAAACCTAATGAATCTGCAGAGAAATTGTTGACTTTTGATAGCAGTCTTGTATGAGCAAGTAGGTGATGAATTTGAAAACAACATTTCTCAATGTGATGCAGATGCATATAGAGCTCTGGTGGAATTTGTGATGTAGAATTTAGGAGGAGTTTGGTGGCTTTTTAAAGAGTTTTATATAAAAGAGAGAACTATTGGCACGACTATAGTAAAAGTTTAAGATAAGATATTGCATTTTATCTTTTACAGCATAAACTCATAGCATTATTATTTTTAGTTTCAAATAATTACTATTCTTGATTTTTTAAATTGTTTTTATATATAATTTTAGCATAAAGATTTTTACTCGCCAATCAAGTTGATAGTCAGGGCTTTAAATTTTTGTCGACTTTTTTGTCGAAATTTTTATTTTGCTAGTAAGTGTCTCAAAAGAAGAACATTCGGCTAAACAATCAGAAGAAAAACTTTGGCAGAAAATACCTGATACGCAATTTTGATTTACAGAGAACATAATTTTATACAGTATACGCATTTTAAATGTGCTTTTAGGGAGTGATAACGTGAATTTGTTCCAATATATCAGTTTTATTTAAGCATTTACCTTTATATTTATTGTATTTGATATATTAAATATTTCAACCATATTAAAAACGCAATTCAAGCTTTGAAAATGGCGTCAATTTCAGCACTTTACTTTCATTTCTCTTTGGAAAATTTTCTTAATCATGCCTTACTCTTTAATTTAATTATAAAACCAAATTTATTATTAGATTAGATTAGTAATCGACGTTTGCCATCAACACGTTGGGGATTTGCACCCTAAATGCTAACATCATCTTAGAGGGATTTTATTGGCACCCTTCCTCTGTCACAAGAGAGTTTTTCACAATGGGCGAGATTTTCTAACACCAGAGTCCTTAGAACTGATTCCCTTGAAAACAACTGACAGCATCTCTTAGGCTCATCCAGCCTAATAGGACCTTGAGTAGTCTAGATAGTTCTGCTCTCCAGGTTTTTCGATACTATGCATTTCGAAAAATTGCGGTAAAACCCATAGGGATTAGCTCCATGAGGTAAGAGAAAGCACATGCCTGATATATACATCAAAGTTCCGTTACCCTGTTTCTCAGCTTTATTTCCAGCCAGATGCTCCCTATAAGAAAATTGCACACAAGGAAATTTGGCTATCTCCGCAATATTAATGCATATGCAATTTTTTTATAATTATGGCTTAATGGTATATATGATGATAATAATATGATTTACTTTTAGTATTTAATAATTTTGCGCAATTAATATCAGCATTTTATTCTTTTATAACGCTGAGTTACATCATAGACTTAAAAAAATTGTACATTTGACAGTAATGCGATATAAAAAGAGGCCTTTAAATTGCTATCCTTTAAGAATGATGCTGTAACAGGATATTATAATTTTATCAAATATAAAGAGAGTTGAGAATTGTGATTGGCCTCATGTCTTCGGGTTGCTTAGACCCAGGCTTCTTGGGGATGAGGACAACGCATGCGCTTTTCATGCCATCTGGCAGAGCACCAGCTAGCCAGATCTTCTGTATGAGGAGGGTAGCAAAATCTATTACTGCCTCTCCACCATACTTGATCAGCTCAGCCGGCACTCCGTCATTTCCTATTGCTTTGCCATTCCCTAAGCTTTTGATGGCTGTCTCTACTTCAGCTCGTTCGGGTGGATTTCATTCTCTAAGTGAAGGGAGGGGACCCGAATCATCGGAGGAGTACTGTGCTTCCCACCAGCTAACCAAGGCTTCTGTTTCAAGTCTCGAGAATCTTGGCGGCTTCGCTCTCATTGAACGCTTGAGTTTTTGCATGGAGCTCCAGCAGCTCTTCATGTCCATTGCTGCTTGCTCAGCCTTCCTTTCCTGCCATCTGAGTTTCTTCTGGCGCTCCACCTCACGTTTGAATTCCTTCACCTGGACCCTCCAGACTTTCATTAGTGACTTCCTTCTGGGACTTTCCTTCGTCTTCAATGCTTTCCACTTTGTCTTCCTGGCTTCTCTTACTCCCCCCCCCCCCCCCTCCGTGAGCGAACAAAAAAATTTTGTTCGCTCACGGAGGGGGGTTAAATTTTTTTTTTTTAAAAAAATTATATATATAAATTTTATAAAAAAATATTTTTTTCGAAATTTAAAAAAATCCTAATTTGCAAAAATTGGGAAGCAAATATTAATTTAATTTGCAAAATTTATGTTTTAAAACGCAATTTGTTTAAAATTAAACAGAATTAGCTCTAGATTTCATTATACTAATTATCACTTATATATCCAAATTTTTTTCCATTAAAAATTTTTTCTATTAAAAAAATTTTTGTTCACTCACGGAGGGTGGGTTTTGGTCAAAAAATGGCGATTTTTCTAATGGTTTTGTTCGCTCACGGAGGGGGGGGGGGAGTTAGAATAAAATCAGAAATCAAGTTATAAAAATTTCTATGCTCCATCTTTGGAGATTCTCCATCAAAATACCACAGAGGAATAATAGGCAAATTGGCTTTTTTGCATTTGGATAATGCTTCCAGTTTTTAAAATCATTAAAATACTCATCCTGAATTGCTGTGATATTTTCTATAAGTTTTTGCAAGCTGTTTATGTCTTCACTATTTATATCATTATTAAGAGCATCTTGGCTTATGGATCTAGCAACCTCACTCCCCCCTTTTAAATTGGAGCAAAACATTGGTATTTTGCATTTTTTGATAGTTTAGCCTTGATTTAAATTGAATAAATTTATTTTTAATAGGAAAATTTTACGATGAAGTTTTAAAATTAAATCAATTAATTTTTTTCGTAAATATAAATTAAAATTCAAAGTAATTTTAATGAGAAAATTAACAAAAGTTAACATTTAAATTGGAACAGGATTTTCTGTTCGAATTTAAAGACGGAAGTCAGCAAATGAGCTTATATCATATAAAACCTGGCTAAATCGAATAAGCCCTTTCAGCCTAGTAGTGTACAAGACATCAGATTTCATATAGCCTAAAATAGCTGCCACTGTTATTATCACAGAAAACATCTGCTTATTTCTTACCACCACAAATAAAATAATTTGTAGAGCTCTTATTTTCTTCTTACTCCCCCCCCCTCCGTGAGCGAACAAAAAAAATTTTGTTCACTCACGGAGGGGGGTTAATTTTTTTTTTTAAAAAAATTTATATATAAATTTTATATAAAAAATATTTTTTTCGAAATTTAAAAAAATCCTAATTCACAAAAATTGGAAAGCAAATACTAATTTAATTTATAAAATTTATGTTTTAAAAAGCAATTCGTTTAAAAATTTAAATAGAATTAGCTCTAGATTTATTATACTAATTATCATTTATATATCAAATTTTTTTTCCATAAAAAATTTTTTGTATTAAAAAAATTTTGTTCACTCACGGAGGGTGGGTTTTTGGGCAAAAAATGGCGATTTTTCTAATGGTTTTGTTCACTCACGGAGGGGGGGGGAGTTAGACTCCAAAAATAGTTTTTTTGAATAATTCGCGACTGTAGGATTTATGGTTTTAGTTGAAGCAGATTGTGAGTTGTTGTCAGAGAGTTTTTCTTGGTCAGCTTTTTCTTTGTCTCCTAAATTATCAAAGTGAGTGCTTGTTTCGTTTTCTATTGCATCAAAAGTCTTTGTTGATAATGAATAATTTATCTGTTGAAATTTGACTGTTAAAACTGGCTTAGTAATCACTGGGGATTCATCAGTATCATTATCATATTGATCTACAAGGTTTAATGAGGACAAAAAATCGATTTGACCATGAGGGTTCCCTTCTTTTCAATTTTTTATCCCTGCATCATCATGAATTACTGCTAATAAACGAATTGTTTTGGTTTTTATTTGTTTTCTCATCAGGACGATCATAAGCTCAGTGTTATTAAAAGGAAGCAACCAAGGTTCAAGCTCTTTCATATGGTCTGTATCTAAAACAGGGACTATGTCTACTAATTTTTTATTTTTTACACTTTTTTCTTCAATACCTATATAATAAGGAAATGCTTCTGTATAAGCATATGCATTAAAATGGCATAGCGAGCCAACCAATCCTCTTAACACCTGTATTTGGGGTAGCCCAGACGCTTTAGAAGGATCTAGCGTTTGTAATATGTATCCGGCCAGGTTTTACTTGGCTTGGTGGAGTGAGTGGAGTTACTCCTGGTCAATCGGGAACGTTTCCAGCGCGATACCAGGCATTATGTCCTGGGCTATGATCTCCATTTTGAAATATAAGTGACTAGAACATTTACTTTTCGAATTTTCTAAAGCCAAACCCCATAAACGTATGGCATGGTGACTCAAGCCTCTGACTCAAGAATAGCGAGTGCAAGCTTTGATTGACAAACAAGCGGCAGAGCGATATGGAGGTGAATAATCCGCTCGACAGGCCTATAAAGAGCTTCTTTGATAATCTTAATTCGGTTTAAGTTTAAGCTTCTGTATGAGCAATAACTATACCCCCTTCACTTAATATAGCTAGTTCTCTCGAAATGTCTCTTGGCTGAAAAGAAATCAAAAAATAAGCGCAGTTATGAAAGGCAGTTAATTTTATTAGAAAATGAGTCTCTACCAAAAACCCAGCATGATTTTGAAAAAAAAGCTGCCTGTGAGGGATAATTTCTGTAGAGTTGCATTCAAATATAAAATTTCGTATCAGATTTTCATGCAAAGCGTCATAAGGCTGAGGAATGTAGTTCAAAATAGATGAGCCATGAATACTCCCTATAGGAGCCTTCAGCAGCTGTGAGGCTTTTTCATTGAGATAGACAATAGTCCCAAAAGAATCATCAGCGCAAGACACAAGAATTGTTGCGAGTTCTTTCCCATAGTTCTCCAGACTATTATTGCCGCTGTTATGGTTATAAAAATTAATTCCATTTTTCTTCTTCATTGCCATATTAGCTTCATCGTGATTATTAATGATATTTTCAAGGAAGCCAGCATACATTTCTAAGGCTTCTATATTTTTGTGCTTTTCTATTAGAGATTTATACCCAGTATCCACAAAACTTATATGATTTGCAGACCTGTTCACTAAATTCACAAGTTTTTGGATTCTTGGGGTTCTAGAAGAAAATTCTGCATGCAGTTCAGTCAGTATAAAGCAGAGCTCTTCATCTTGGCTTTTTACTCTGCTGAATTCTTTTAAAAACTCCAAATAGCTTGTATCAGGAAATACTGAGTGCTGCTTTCTTATTAGTCAATCAAACAGTCTCCACTCTTGGGCGTCTCCTTCAAATGTAGATTTCGCACTCGCAATTTTCGAAATTTTTATTCTGGCAAGTTTTTCGTCTTTCATAATAAAAAAGCAAAAATTAAACTCCCAGATCACGAAAAGTTTGTCCTTATGAAATAAAGTTTGTTTTCAGTATTTTTTGAAGACATTTATAACTTCTTCTTTGTCTGAAAGGTTTTCATCAGTCAATAAATGTCGGAATTTTCGCTCGAACTGGAATTGGTCTTTTGGGCTGTGGATCGATTTTTCTAGGTTTTTGTGGCCTTTATAGACTATCCAAATAGTCATAAAAATGACCATTGGCTGCAAAAATAAAGTAAAAATTATTATTACTAGTGCATCATTTAGCAGCTGCCCAAACAAAAAAGTAAAGTAAAGTGCTGAAATTGACCCCATTTTGGAAGCTTGAATTGCGTTTTCTATAGGATTAAAATATTGCACATCTCATATACAGTGAATATATAAATAAAATGAATATAAAAAGCTTATGCATTGGAATAAAACTGCATTATCAGTCCCTAAAAATACATTTAAAACACATGAAATTACATAAAACCATCTTCTCTGTAAGTCAAAATCTGCACATGCCCTAGCTTTTATATTAGTTTTTGAGTGAGAATGCTTCATATCACAGGTAAAAGCTTCACAAAAAATATTTACAAAAATTAATGCTGATAAACAAATTATTCCGAAAATTACTCCATAAGTGCCAAAATTATAAGTATCAGAAAATTTAGCTTAGATTTATAAAGTTTAGCGTCCAGTACCACATTAACCCACATGAGCATACGTCCCTGCTTTGGGGCTCTTTTACGCTGTGCCGATAGCTTTGATCTGAACAGTCCTTCGGCTTCTGAGACTTGGATGCCACAGATAATTATCAGAAGAAAGCGAATTATTGTATTCTTCTATTGTAGCTCGATTAATTAACGAATATTTTATCACTAGAATTAATATCATAGTGCTTGGGATAATGCAAATTGATGTCATAAGCATTGCAATTTTTTTAGGCAAAATTGATATAAATTTTGGAATTTTTTTATCAAAGTAAATATAAAGCCAAAAAATTGCAAATGATCCAAAACAAGCACCAATCTGTATGACGGTGCCGTAAAAGCAAAAATTCATAATAGAGTAGTATGCACAAATACCGTCGTAACTTATATAGGATATGTCTTGCCAAAATCAAACATAAGAATCCCACCCTGTTGCTTTCATTTCTGGATATCAGGCAAGTGGAGAAAGCTGTAAAACTATAATAAAATTTATCAAAATTTCATAAAATACCTGCATCCTAAATTTAGTATTGTGGCTGTATTTTTCCTTAAACAGATGCCCAAAAAAGCCATAGACATACTCTTTCAATTTGTTTGAAAAAAAAGATTCAGCAATAAAACTACGGAAATCATTGCTTTCTTTATCCCCTACTTCAAAATCTGATGACATTATCAAATTTTTAATTATTATTTATGGCAGCTTTATAATTTAAGCTTGCTTTTCTCAAATTTCATCTCTACTTTCCAACAACTCTAGACTTATTTTAGGCTCAGGAAGTTGATAGGTCATTAAAATGTGGCTAAATAAATTCAAGAGCTGAAGGGAAAGTATAGGATGCATTCAGAGGAAAAAAGCTCTAGGTATAGATAAATTTTTCTCATCAGTATTAAAGGAATTTTATTAAAAAAAATAAAGGAAGTCCTGTTTTTATAATTAAGTGAGAGAACAATATGTTTTAATAAATTATAAAAAATATATTTCTTACTCCTGAAAACAGCATTGATTTTTTTTAAAAATAAATTTGAAATAATTTAATAATAAGTTATCACATTAGAATGAATATGACTGTTTAGATTGTTTGCTTTTAAATAATAATTCAGCATATTAAGCGCTAAATTCATAAGCTTATTTTTAAATTTTGTAACTTTTACTAATCTTTCTTATAAAGCAGGGTTATAAATTAATGTATTTACCCATCTTTTGAAACCCACTATATATATTATCGATACAATTATTATTAAAAACAAAAGTTTAGTTATCAATATTTGGGGCTTGAGAACTATTATAAAATTATTTGGTAAGTTAGAAAGAGCTTCGCATCTTTTACCAATATATTCAAACTACTTTGACAATTGCTCATTCAAATGTATATTTTGCTATAAATGGAAAATAATAATTGTTCTAATATAAATAATATACACAAAAAGCTAATCTTGAATCAAATTATAATGCTGGATATGCTTATTATAATTTTCAGAGTATTTACCTATATTCACGAGTGGGCTGAAATGCGCTTCATTATTTAATAATTTTGCTTAATTTTCAGGAGTTTTGTCATGCCCTTAGGCATCAGAAATTTAAGCCAAATATTTTTGAGCCCGAACGGATCTTAACTTATTATAATAGATTTTGCTATCTCATTTTTAAGAAATCCTTTATTCTCTCAGAGAAAATAAAATGTGACGTCAATGGAAGATGACTCTGAGACACACTCCCGATGGAGCAGGTAGGACCCGTCCCGATGAAGCTGAAAATAGTACTCTGCTACTATTTGAAGTCCAATTGGCATTTGACTAGGAAAATTTCCTTACGCCCCTCTTAAATTAAAAAAAAATCTGTAGTTAACTTTTTTTTTCACAATAAAAATCTTTAAGGTATTAAAAAAATATAAATTTAACGCCCAATTTATGAATTTTAATTTATTCTAATTTCAAAGGGGAAGCTATTGAACTATTCATTGTAGCTAGTAATATGAATTGGCTAAAAGCACTTGCTAGATTTAACAAAGCTTTATATGACTTCAATGCATTTGGGGATATAGCTTCTGCGTTTCAATAGAAAATTAAAATAAAAAACAATGGTTTTAAGGTTTAGCTTCAGAAAATTCTAAAAGCAAATTTTCTAGTCACCTGTCGACCAAATGGGAACTCAAAGCTCAGGATGTAACATCTGGTATCGCGCTGGGAAACCTTCTCATTGACCAGGAGGAATCTTACTGGTATTGCCAGGACTTCCCTTTCCAACCCTTAGTGTCATCTCCCTATGAAAACCTTGACCTGAATTTGAGCCTGTAGTCATACCCAAACATTGCGCTCCGCCAAACCAAGTAAAACCTAGCCGGATCTATATTATCGAATGCTAAATCCATTTTAATGTATATGCTATAATTTCATTAAATATATATAAGCTGATTTATATGCCCTTCTCTCAAATTTTTATATTTAAAAATATTATTGATAAAATATTTATCAAAAGATTAATTCTCTAAATAAGGAATAGTCAGCGTCGATAAAAGTAAGCAATCTCATATCAAATCACTCAGCGAGCAAAAAAAGGGTATATGAAGTCATTGATTCACAAATGACTGCTTTAAGAGAAGGGTCTAAAATCTCTATTGTTGGAAATGTGGGCGATATTGAGACGTTGATTTATTGAGTCCTCAACTCATATATGTTTATATGGCATCCTCTTAATAACTGAAACTGTTGACTTTTTAAGCCATGAGCCCTTTTTTAAGAGAGCTAGGCTATCAAAAGTGCATCTTTTTAAATTTTAGGGTTATTCGGCTTAATAAGATTGCCTTCGCGTGTAGCCGATTAATTTTTTACTCTTCCTCCCTATGACAAAAAAATTGGGAAAAATCTCTATTTTTTGCCTCCGTGAGCGACAAAAATTTTTTGAATATAAAAATGTTTAATAAGAAAAAAATTTTGATATATAAATGGCAATTATTATAACAAAATCTCTAGCTAATTCTTTTTAATTTTAAACAAATTACATTTTAAAACATAAATTTCGCAAATTAAATTAACCCTTACTTCTCAATTTTTAGAAATTGAAATTTTTTATTTTTTTTTTTTAAAAATTTAACCCCCTCTGCGAGCAAACAAAATTTTTTTGTTCGCTCAAGGAGGAGGACTAAGAACTCAAGAATTGATTTTAAGAAATTTTCATATGAACCTGATACGCTGCAGTCTGGACTATAGATATTCAATTGATATAATCATCAGGCAGTTAGATATCATTGTGAATGCTACAGTACTTTATTCAGTAGCTATGTGTGCGTTTTTATCTTGTATTGAATGCTTACTTAAATTATCAACCAAAACAATGGAAAGATTTTCAATTTTTTCGTCAATTTTGACAGATAGTTTAATAATCTAGCAAATATGCTTGACCTTAAGCAAATCATTCAAGATTAGCACTGGAATAATTAATAAATTAGGTGCAGCATTAATTGTAATGTATAGTTAACTAAAATGGCATATTTCCCATAATAATCATTTATTTTAGATTGATCTGAAACAATTTTATCACGCCACTGCACATTTAGAAAGCAAAATCAATTTTTCTAATAGAAATTAAAAATCCAATATCTTAACTATTATTTTATTTTAGCATTTGTAAGATCGGAATTGACCACTTTATTAAAAAAAAATTATAATAGCTTAGTCCCGTGATTAAGCTATTATCACAATATTTAATATACATAAAAATGGTGATAGCAAACCATCCGATCTCCTGACCTTTTTCTTAGGCGCCAGCAGGCAACAGCCCAGTGTAAAGGGGAAAGGTTTCGGTGATCCTTTTTGAATACATCGGACTAGATTCTTTCAGACCCCTGGGACTCTGAGTTTTTTTCTTCGAGACCATTATTGGAAAGGGCAGAACCCGAGAGGACAATAAATCCCTCGAATAGGGCTCAAGAGGTAGCATCTGTCTAACGAGAAGTTGAGAACTTTGATCCAGATGATGGGCCCATAGGTTCCAGGAGTCATAAAAATCAAGATCGGTAGTGCGAATCTCCAACCTGCGGCGGCGATGAAGGGTGTCTGCCAGGTTCTCTTAGGAATGATCAGCATGAAGGGGTGAAATTCCAGCCCTGTCTAGTACGAACAACTTACTTTAATTTAATTTAATCACAATATTAAATAAAGCACGCATCAAATAATGAATTAAATTTAATCATGCAATATTAATAAAAAAATTGCTAAAACTACCATGAATACTGATTTAGACAATGAACAAAAGGAAAGCACCGATTTTCATGAATTTACTTCACATGCAATCTTTTCTAATCCAATAAAAGAGTACCTTTATGGTTTCTTTGGACACATTTTTAAAACGAAATACAGCACTCACACAAGACTCAGAAACCAATTATTTTACGAAATAATTATCAATGTGATATTTACCCTTCAGCTCTCTACCTTATCCTGGCATCCAAGTTTAACCCCATCTGATTGAGATTCTTATAAAAGTTTTTGAAAATCATTTTCTCTTATATAGTCTAATTTATTGAAATAGATTAAAAATGTGAAAATTTTAAATAAACAAAATTTAATATATATTAAAAGCTTGGCTTGAACCTAATCAAGAGCACTATAAGTTATGATGAAGCTTGCGCAAGTTTTGAGATAGCAGATTTCTGCTTTTATGGGACAATTTCGCTGATAGGGGCTTGCTTATGATCTTTCGCAGTTTTTGGGATTTTTATGTAAGGATCCCCCCTCATTTGTCAAATTTTCTAGTCTTTTTTTTATAACTCCCCCCCCCTCCGTGAGTGAACAAAACCATTAGAAAAATCGCCATTTTTTGACAAAAAACCCACCCTCCGTGAGTGAACAAAAATTGTTTTAATACAAAAATTTTTAATGGAAAAATTTTTGATATATAAGTGATAATTAGTATAATGAAATCTAGAGCTAATTCTGTTTAATTTTAAACAAATTGCGTTTTAAAACATAAATTTTATAAATTAAATTAATATTTACTTCCCATTTTTGCAAATTAGGATTTTTTTAAATTCGAAAAAAACATTTTTCTATAAAATTTATATATAAATGTTTTTAAAAACAAAAATTAACCCCCCTCCGTGAATGAACAAAATTTTTTTGTTCACTCACGCAGGTGGGGGAGTGAGAAAAAAAAAAATTTTTCAGGACCTCATTTGTCCAAAAATCTAGTAAAAAATGATTTGTCCAATTTTCTAGTCTTTTTTGGATTTTCGAATGTCCTAAATTTTAGTTTTTTACTTTAAAATAGCTAGAAAATGAGACAATTGAGGTCCTGAAAATTTTTTTTTACTATCAAAATTTTAACTAGAAAATTGGACAAATGAGGTCCTAAAAAATTTTTTTTCCTATAAAAAAAACTAGAAAAATGGACAAATGATAAAAGACTAGAAAAGAGAGGGTGGGGGATCCTTATATAGAAAAAGATGTTCCAATGATACTTGCAGCTTTGCCAAGAAAAATAGCTTTATTGCTAACATCGATATGCATTATTCCGACCACGATGATTTTAGCTATGATTATTAAATATTCTTTTTCAAACAAAACTGTGATTGAGGAATATTCAGGAAATTTTTCGTCAGAAACCTTTAATTATGGAGTTTTAGGAGTTATTATAGGAATTTGCTGCCTTTTAGCGCTGATTTTTATAAATTTATTTTGTGAAGCTTTTTCTTGTGATATGAGGCACTCAAATAAATAAAATGGCTTTCGCTCGAGCGAAGTTAGCTCTGCTAACTTTCTCTCACTCAAGCAATTTTATTTATGGGGTTGGGTTTTTACCTCAACAACTTCTGCACGGCAATAGCAGTTTAACTTTGGAGATAACCCAAAGGAACTGCTCCTCAGTGCGCTCAAGATCTGGAGTTTTACCCCTCAGCACATCCCAAGGGAGATGGATCCTCAGGCGGAACACGCGCAGGAGCTGAGTCGAAACAAAGCTGTGGCGGCAGCGAAGCCCGTCGAAGCCGGAACGCCTTATTTACCCGTGCCTTGGCGAACAAAAGGGGTCGATCCAGCGGTCTCTGGGCCCGACACGTGGATAAATATGGTGGTAGCTCTGGAGTCGGCTACCCCGTAGTGGACGTTAAACGTTAATAGATAATTAGTTAGTAAGTTAGATATGAGGCACTCAAATTTCAAGAAAAATTTAAAAGCAAGGTCTTGTGCTGAATATGACTTAACCAGACGTTGGTTCTATATGACAATATGTATGCTTTATGTATATATTGGAAATAATTATGCCTGGGTATTCCAAATCATTTTTTTTCTTTTTAGCTTATTTTTATGTGTGCGTAGCATTCAATTTTTGCAATATTTTAATCCAATTGAAAATTGCATTCATGTTTGCAAAATGGCATCAGTGTCATGCACATTATTAATCCTCATGTTTGGGGAGCTAGCTGACAATTCGTTAATTATTGTTTGGCTTCATTTATTTTTATTACCTTTTATAATTTATTTCGCTATATGGGTAATTTGGAAAAATTACGAAAAAATGCCAAGCTCAGAAACTTCAATTCTGACTCAATTTGATTTTGAAAGGAAATATAGGAATTTACTAGTTGATGAAAACCTGGAAAACAAAGAGCAAGTTATTGAGCTATTTAAAGCATTTTGGGGTTTACCTGGATTTAATAAAGATAAGCTGTTTGTGATATGAGAGTTTAATTTTTGCTGCTTTATTATGAGAGATGAAAGATTGGCCAGAATAAAACTCACAAAAATTGGGGAATCAAAATCGTCATTTGAAGGAGATATACAAGAATGAAGGCTTTTTGATTGGCTCTTTAGGAAACACAAGTCATCTTTTATTGATCTAGACCATTTAGAATACCTCAAAGAATTCAGTAAAATTAAAAAGCGTGATGAAAAGGTATGTTTAATTCTAACTCAACTGCACGCAGAATTCTCATCTAGAAATCCTAGGATTAATAAATTGGCTCATTTTGTTAATAGAGTTGCAAAAAATATGTTTTTTGTTAATAAAGGATATAAAGCTATAACAGAAAAATATAGGAACATAGAAGCATTTGAGTATTATGCAACTTTTCTTGACGCAATAGCAAATAAGCATGATTAGATTAGATTAAGCTAATTATAGAGGGTCTAAGGGATTATTTCAGTCCCTCTCCATCCTAGATGTAGAAATTGCCCGAGGATGGCGCAAAATAGCGCCATCCTTGGGCAATTTCTATAGCTTCACATAGTTGCTTCCCAGAAGTTTAAGCAGACTTTGCGCTTTCCGTCTCATCGTCTTGTTCAGGATAAAAAGCCTGTCATAGTGCCCTAACCAGGCGACTTCTAAGAATGTGACCACTTATCTGGGCTGAGATTAATTCACAGTCCCCTGGACTAATTTATCATCATCATTTTTAAAACGTAACTAATCATGAAGAAGCTGATTTTATTATCAGAAAAAAAAATAATATGAATTTTTTCAGTCAACGTAATTACGAAGGAAATCTTGAAAATTATGGTAAAGATCTCCCTATAATCCTCGCTTCATGCAATAATGAATCGTTTGGGACTATTGTATATATAAATGATAAGGCTTCTCAGCTTCTGATGTCATCTATGGGGAACATCATAGGCTCATCAATATTAAATTTTATTCCTCAACCATATAGCTCACATCATGAAAAATTAATGAAAGATTTTATTTTTAATTGCAATTCAATAGAAGTACCTTCTCATGACACATTATTTTTTTTGCAAAATACTGGCTATCTCCTTGAATGCGATTTATTGATTAAACTAGCTACCTAGCTTAATTTAAGTACTTATAGGGCTTAACATCCTGCAGGGGAGCTTTTACCATCTTTATATGATCAGGCCCACAGACTTGTCTTGATTATCAGAGTACTCTTGTTGGCAATATTGCCAACTCCGAAGGTTCATGTGTGGAGATTTGTTTATTACTTGAAGTCGTGTGGCAACTAAAGCTTCTTCGCTATCACAAAATGGAATAGGAAAAACTAATCTTTCAGATTCCCTCGGGCTGTCCAGAGAGCATGCACCTCTCTCTCCTGCATATCAGCCTTTAACAGGACTAATGTAAAAGCCAAGCCTCATAATCATAAATGCAAAGTGAGTTGTTCTGATCCCGATAGCACCTTTACAAATTGCCATTTTATGATTATGATAAAACTAACTGCTTTTCATAACTGTGCTTACTTTATGATCTCATTTCAAGAAAGTTCTTTAAAAAGACAGCTTGCCTTGATTTCTGAAGAAGGAATAATTTTATCTCATACAGAAAAGTTTTCAAACTCCTTCAACTTACTCCCCCTCCGTAAGCGAATAAAGATATTTTGTTCGCTCATGAAGGGGGGTTAATTTTTTTTTAAAAGTTCATATATAAATTATATAGTAATCAAAATTTAAAAAATTCCATTCCGTAAGCTCTTTAAAATTAATCAGAATTAGCTCGAGATTTCATATAATAATTTATCACTTATATATCAATTTTTTTTCATAAAATTTTTTAAAGTAATAGAATTTTTGTTTGTTCACGGATGGTGGAGGGTGGGCTTTTGGGCAAAAAATAGGGTTTTGTTCACTCACGGAGGTGGGAAGTTAGAAGAAGAGAATTTAAAAGGAAAATTACTGTCAGATATAATACCTATCAATGACGTATTTGAGATTAAAGAATTTGAACCATTAAAAATTACTCAGAAAGGCAGAGAATTATTCGTTACTCGGATTAGTAAACCAATAAAAACGAAGAAAATACACATAATTGCTATAATTGACGATGTAAACGAAATCCAGAAATGGAAAGAGGCAAAATCTCCAGCTTTTACAAGAGAACTTGGATCAGTTTATTCAGAAGAGGACAAAATGAAAATAAATATACAAAGGGATAACATAGAAGTCCAATTTCAGTCGATTGATTATTTAATTCGCACGAAGTCACTTGAAAATCCAGACACTACAATTATCACTCATTCTTTTAATTCTCAGCCTGATCATGCAGCTGAAGAAAAAATTTTGATGGAAAAAAAATCTGATTCTGAAAGCCGTTCAAGAAGCGAAACTGGGAGAACTCAAAATATGGCAAAACAATTACTGATGGACTCTAAAAGAAAAATAAGGGTGCTTCAGCTTATTTTATTTGTAGTTGTAAGATTAAATATAGCCATAAACAGGCTAAGCCATTGGCCTTGCCACAACCTCGTCTCCAAGAGAGGCAGCGCTGGGTGAGTAAACAGCTTAGTGCAAATTACTAACTCCTCTTTAAATTGAACAAAATAAATTTTTTAATACTTTAGCCATTAAATTGGTGAATTTGTTTTTCCAATATGAAATTTTATTGGTAAAATTACTATTGTTTACAAAATTAGTTTTAACCTGATTTAATTAAAAAAAGTGCAAGTAGAATATTATTTAACACTGAATCGATTTATTTTTTTTAATAAATTCTTTATAAAAATAATTAAAATTCAATAAATTATTATATTTTTAATATAGAAAAATTTTAAAAAAATTAACCCTATTTTGAATTGGAACAGGAGGGTTTTTTCCAATTTAAAGGGGGGTGTCAGAGTTTCCCACCTTGTAATATTTGGTGAAACCTACCTGATTTGGAAATTAGCACCTGGATTAGAATACCTGTGTCGGGTGCCACTCTATCCCGATAGGGAAAATCTATGTGGGAGGCAAAACCTGTCTTGCCTATCTGACAGGAACAGGAGAACCTTTAGGGGGCCAAACCTCCTATCTCAGGCTTCAATTTGAGCTAGTTTATTTTCTCCAAAGAATATACATAAATGGCTGGAGGAGAGTAGCATTCCCTGCCGGAGCGGAGTCCTTATGTATACCGATGTGGTTTTTGGGATCCAATTATAGCCCAGCGATGCTCAGTAGTCTCAAATTGAGAGATTTAAGACTCTTTTCCACTGAATTAAGTCCTGAACCTTAGGGCAGTTAATTGCATCTCTTTTTTATCCCGCCACTGCCACCTTTATAATTCCTAGAGTTGTAAGAAATATTTAGATGTCTTCTGTTATAATAACAGTCGTTGCTATTTTAATTTATATGAAAAACGGCGTGTCTTATACAAGCACATTAGGATCATTTAAGGACTTGGGCCAGCTTGTATATGATTTTGAGCTCTCTGCTGATATTTCAATTAACATAATAGCTGAGTATTTATGAGGTGGAACAAAGGAAGAGCAAGATGCAGAACTTAAAAGTATGCAAAATCTTATTGAAGATCTAGAATTATTAAATGGGCATGATTTGAAACGAGGACTCTGGTGTTCCGAGAGTTAACTGGAAAAAGAGAAGAGGAGCCACATTGTGATAGCTCTATGGGTTTTTGGTTCAGGGGCTGGCCCTCAACTTTTTGTTCGTGGCTTATAGGCGTGCCTTCTGGTGCAATGTTCTTCACTACTCCATAGGAGCATTACTGAGCATGTGATTCACCCAGACAGATCATGGAAGAGTACCTATACTCTTAGCCCTGTTGGAAGGTTGAGGGAATCTTTGTCGTTTGGCGGGATCCAGAAGACAGTAGGGCAATCTTCCAGAAAGACCTCTCCCATCACCATTTTTTGATAATGTCAGGAGCAAAAGGGAGGGTGTAAGATAACGCTGAGCGCTAACGAGCAGCTATCTGTGAGATGGCGAGGAGCTGAAAATAATCATTATAATTTAACTCAAATCTAATCTATTGAAAATCTTGAACAAATTAAGGGATCTCTTTTCAAAGATTTTGGCCAATGAAGTTATTGCCCATACTCTAAAGTTGTTAGAGAGCCTTCAATATTATTATGAAATTTTGAACAAAAATTCCCTCAAAGCAGTGAAGAAAATCTTTATGATACTGTAGGAAACTATATATACAACGTAATATAGATTTAGATACAAAAACTTATTACTACTATAAAAACTGGAGAAGGATACTGACCTTATGCCAAATTTCTGTATGTAAATGCTTACTCTGCTCTTTTAAGAATCAAAAAAAACTGGTTTCCTGAGAACAACCAATTATTATTTTCCTTATATACATTTTGATATGTAATAATTTGTTTTAAAAATTTTTCCACAATTAGGCTTAGGTGGAATTTTTCACGATGCTGATAGGATAATGAATGGATTGGTAAACTGTGAAATTGAGAGGGTAAAAAGCACTGGAGTTAATATTGATATTCTTTTGATATGCGGATTCTGCACTCTTGGAGTTTTGGTTTTGATTATTATTGGCTATATTATGCTCGTGTCACAAAAACTCGATGAATTTTGAAATTTTACATTAAATAATACTCAATGGGCTATGTTTCAGTTAAAATGCTGTGCAATGGACAGATTAGCAACAACACATGGACTAGAGTGCAAAGCAGAAGTAAGCACAGACAATCAAAGAAATACTTATCGTACAAGAAAAGTAAGAGGAACTCTTTATCTTCAATATATACTGCATTTGATTAAATTTGCTTCGATTAATAAGGGCAAAAAACTTATTTTATAGACAATTTTTTGGGTAAATAAAAATTTAAACATTGCAATTTGAAATCTTATTTTCCTCAGCTGCTAAGTTGGTCTGTGAATGCACAGGTAATAATCAAATTAAAAATAAGAAATTTTCCTCACTTTTTATATATCTAACCATCTCATAGAAAATTCAATAATTAAAAATTATAAAAATATATAATAATTTTATTGCTAATTAGAAATAAAATAAATTTCCTATAGAACTCTTGGTGTTTACTATTATAAATCTTATAAGTTAATTATCGCTGAATACTATTAAGAACAGTATATTTGAAGAGTAATGCTCTTCTTTGCTATTGCTGCGTCTTATTATTTATTAATTTTCAACTATTTATACCCTATACTAGACCATATGATGATCACTCGTCCTTCTTTGCTCAACAATTTCATCATCCGAAGAGCTTTATTAATGAGATTATCCCTCTTCTCAAGGGATCGTGTCGTAGATTATACATATTATATGATCCCAGAATTTTATGGCTATTCCAAACCAGTCACAGAAGAACTGCTTATTATTGACCAACTAAGAATATTAAAAAAGCATCTTCATGCTAAAAAATACACAGAATTGTTCTCAGACGAACTGAAGCAGAAAATTTTTGAGGAAAATAAATTAGCCTATAAGAATATGGATTATGGATCTGAAGCTGCAATGCTGTCTATGATGTCAGACATAGAAGATATTGGATATCCACAAGGTAGAAACATGGGATTTTTTATACAATTTATGGATAATGTAAAAGCATTAGCAAATGAAATTAAGGATGAATTTTTATTGGCTGATAGAGACTCGATCAATATTATCAATACACAGCTGGATACTATTATAAGCACAACTATAATTTATTCAGTGGCTTTATGTGCATTTTTTTTCTTGTATTATTTTCCTTATTTAAATCTTCAAATAAAGCAGCTTCAAAGATTTGCAGTTTTGCCTACCATCTTACCAAAAGATTTTGATTAAATTAGTATATAACACTCAAAAGACTGAAATTTATAGAAGCAGCTTAATATTATACTAAATTTTTCATTTCCATATCCAAAAGAATAATATTAGAGTTGATATGAAAATAAATTAAATAAATCATTAATTTAAACAATATAACGCAATCGATAATATATTTAATATAGGCTTACCTTACTCCGCCTATTTGAATTGAACAAAATCCTGTTCTAATTTAAATGGGGGCTAATTTTGTTTTTCAGAAATAATTACGTTAAATTTTTTTACTATAAAAAATTTATATATAAATTTCTTATTAAAAAAATGTTTCAATTTAAAGGTTAAGCAGCTGAAAAATGGAAATTTTACCTATATTTTGTTCCGGTTTAAAAAGGTGGGCATTAGGCAAGTGCTAATAAAGCAAAATCAATCATAGAGAGGAGATTTAATTATGAAATCTTTAGAATTGTATCTAAAAGAATGAATATAGTTTTATAGATTTTATAATCAAATATTTTTGAATTATCAAATTTAGAAATAGTCATAATATTCTAAAAATAAAAAAAACGATTAGACTGTACTTAAATTAACTGCCACTAAAAGTGTGTTAAATAGCTATTTAATAATTTCTGGCTAAGTCCCTTACAATTTTTAAACTTGAAATTATTATTTTAAAATATATATTCTTAATTCAGCTTATTAGTATTAGAAATACATAAGTATAATAGAAATATTATAGTTTGTTAAGCATTTTCATAATGAACTTTGACATTTCGAGAAAAATATTAGCATAAATAATGCAAAAAAATCCATTTTCAATATTTTTTATATATTTCTTAATTAATAAAAATTATTCCTATGTCTAATGATTTCGACAATGAGCAAAAAGAAAGTACCAACTTTAACGAATTTACTTCTCAAGCAATCTTTTCTAATCCAATAAAAGAATACCTTTATGGTTTTTTTGGGCATATTTTTGAAACAAAGTACAACACCCATATAAGACTCAGAATCCAAATATTTTATGAATTGATTATAAATATCATATTTATACTTCAGCTCTCTACATTATCCTGGCATCCTAGCTTAGAAACATCTGGCTGGAATTCTTATGTAGGTTTTTGGAAGTCATTTTCTTTTATATAATCACTTGTATTGAATTCAATGAAAAATAATATTAAAAGAATAAAGTTTTTATCAATTAAATTTCATCTGGCGACTTTTGATGGTATAAGCTATGACGAAGTTTGTGAAAGTTTTGAATTAACAGAATTTTGTTTTTATGGAACAGTTTCTTTAATAGGGACTTATTTAATTTTTTTTATTGTTTTTGGAATTTTTATGTATTTAGAAAAAGAAGTCCCAAGGATATTTGTATTTTTTTCTAGAAAAATTGCCTCGCTGCTTACATCTGTATGTGTTATTCCCAGCACGATGATTTTATTAATGTTAATGCTATAAGCTGAATATTTGAAGTCTCTGCTTCCAGATGCGTGTTGGCAAAAGCGAATTGAGTGGACTTTCACCTCTGGTAACTCTGAGTCCAGGCCAAACCCCTGGTTTCTCAGTAGTAGGTTGCCCTATTTGTGCCCGCATACCCTTGCTGGGCACCACCATTTCCAACTCAGTCCTTTCGCCCTGGACGGTGCCATCCTTTTATAGTATCCTTCACGCAAGGGACTACCAATATGCGAGTCTAGCCTCCTCCCTTTTTCCAGATCATTCCTGAGAAAAAACTCAACCACTTCTGTGATTCGGGGCAAAGCCATCAAGAGCAGCTTGAGTAGGGAAATCACCCTGCTCCATTTCTGGCACCCACTGGCTAGGGCGCTTCTGGAAAAAGATTCATGATTAACTGCTCAAGGATCAGGCCAAAAATCAGCGGATCTGCTCTTCAGCCTGTCGCTTCTAGGCTTCTGATATTTCTAACCATATAATTTCTCCTGAAAACCATGCCCGGATATACATGGGGTACCTTCATACGAGAGGACGGGTGTCATCCTCCATTAATGTATATGCACAATGATTTTAAGTGTAGTTATTAAATATTCTTTGATGAAAAAAGAAATAATCGAAGAATATTCAAGGACAGCTTCCTCTGAAATTTATAATTTTGGGGTTTTAGGGATACTTATAGGAATTTTCTGCTTGCTGGTACTGATTTTTATAAATTGATTTTGTGAAGCTTTTTCTTGTGATATGAGGCACTCGAATTTCAAGAAAAATATAAAAGCAAGATCCTGCTCAAAACTTGACTTAAAAAAGCGCTGGTTTAATATAATGATATGCATACTATACGTATACATTGGGAATTGAAATGCCTGGATATACCAAATCATTTTTTTCTTTTTTTGCTTTTATTTATGTCTGCGCAGTATTCAGCTTTTGCAATATTTCAATATAATTGAGAACTGTATTCATGCTTGCAAAATGGCATCTGTTTCATGCACTTTAGTAATCCTATTGTTTGGAGAGCTAGTTGATAATGCACTAATTATTGTTTTGCTTCATTTATTTGTTCTGCCTTTTGCTATTTGTCTAACATATAAGATTATTCAGAGAAAATATGAAAAAATGCCAGATATAGAGAAAACCAATACTAACATTGGATTATATTAAGAATTATAATGTTTAATGTCCAATATGGGTAGCCGTCTCCAGAGCTGCTACTATATTTTTTTCACGTGTTGGGTCCATGGAATCTGCATCTATCCACTTTGTTTAACCAAGACACGGATCTATACAGAGTTCTGGCTTCGAGGGGTTGTGTTGCCTTACCTTCCTTGACTCAGCTCCTGGGCATGCTCCGCATAAGGGTTACCTTCCTCGGGCGTGCTGAGAGCTAAAACTTCTATCTTCTAGATGTACTTGGAGAAGTGCCTCGGCTTATCTGCCAGAGTAAAACTGCTGTTACTGTACAGAAGTTCTCACTCCAACCTTTAAATTGGAACAAAAAATCTTGTTCCAATTTAAAGGGGGGTTAAGAAAATTTTTTAAAAAAATATAAAATTTTATAAAACAAAAAATTATATAAAAATTTTTAAAAAAATTCAAAAATTTATCGAATTAATATAATAAATTTGTTTAATAAAATGCTATTCACTCTTCATTCTTTAAAACAAAGCAAGATATAAATAAATTTTTATTATTAGTTAATACGCCACTATTAATTGTATCAAAAACTATTTACACAAAAATTTATTATTTTTATTTGATAAGAAAAAAATTTAAAAAAATTTCGAAAATTTATCGATCAAATTGCTAATTTTGTCTAAATAAGATGCTATTTATACTCTATTCTTTATAATAAAGCAAGAAATAAGTAAATTCTGTAATTTTGTAAAGAATTTCGCAATGAATTTATATAAAAATTATTTAAATACAAATATCATTTTTATCAAAAAAATAAAAATATTTTTTAAAAAATTTTTAAAAAATAAATATAAATCTTAAAAATTTAGAAATTAAGGATAATAGATTTATTTAAATAAGATGCTCTTTATACTCTCTTCATTAAACAAGAGCAAGATATAACTAAATTTTTAATTTTAGTTAAGAAGAAACATTTAACTTATATCAAAACATTTTAGATAAAAATCATATATAATTTTTTATTATAAAATTAAATTTTGTTCAAATTTAAAGGGGGTTGATTTACCAAAAAAGTGAAATTTTACTTATATTTTGCTCCAATTTAAAGGGGGGGAGTCAGAAGAAAACCTAACCCCATAAATAAATTGCTTGAGGGAGAGAAAATTAGCGAAGCTAATTTTATTCGAACCGAATGCCATTTTATTTATAACCAATACTAACACAATTTGATTTTGAGCAGAAATATAGGAGTATTTTGACTAATAGTAAATATGAAAACAAAAATCAGGTTATTGAAATATTTAAAGCATTATGACAGCTGCCAGGGTTTCATAAAGATAAATTGTTTGTAATATGAGAATTTAACTATTGCTATTTTATTATGAAAGATGAAAGATTAGCAAGAATAAAACTTACGAAAATCGCAGATACTAAATCATCATTTGAAGGAGATATACAAGAATGAAGACTTTTTAATTGGCTTTTCAGAGAGCACAAATCATCATTTAATGATATAGATCACTTAAAGTACTTAAAAGATTTTAGTAAAATTAAAAAAAATGATGAAGAGCTTTGCTTGATTTTAACAGAACTGCAAGCTGAATTCTCATCAAAAAATCCTAGACTGGATAAGTTATCCCATTTAGTGGACCGTACAGCTGAAAATATATACTTCTTGAGTGATGGATATAATAGCTTGATAGAGAAATATAAAAACTCGGAAGTATTTGAATATTATGCGACCTTTCTTGATGCGATAGTAAATAACGAGGATATATTATTAGTATGGAGGAGGCGAGCACATAATCTTTTGGTGCAATTTCCTAAATACCTGCAGGGAACACCTAGGAGGAGCTAAGCCGAGAAACAGGTATGGCAATCTTAATATATGCGTGCAGAGGTTTCTACGTGCTACAAGGCATAGTACCTGGGACAGGGTTTTTTTCTGATATAGAACTGAAAAAGCATTTGAATCTAGTGCGATACTGGAGGTTGTGCCCTAGGTCCTACGCCTTTAGAAACAGAAGCTCTAGAACAAGTCAGATTGTCCGAGCTTGGAGCGAAGCAGTCGTTGTCAGCTTCTTATTCGGTGACAGATAGACTTGCATAGGTGGAAATCCTTGGCTGGCTTTGAATAAGATACTTAATTGAATTTAAATAACCATGAGGAAGCTGATTTTATTATCAGGAAAAAAAGCACTATAAATTTTTTCAGTCAACAAAATTATGAAAGAAATCTTGAAAATTATGGCAAAGACCTTCCTACAATTCTCGCTTCATGCTCTAGCGAAAATTTTGGTACTATTGTATATATCAATGATAAGGCTTCTCAGCTTCTGATGTCATCTATGGGGAACATCATAGGCTTATCTATATTAAATTTTATTCCTCAACCGTATAGCTTACGTCATGAAAAATTAATGAAAGATTTTATATTTAATTGCAATTCAACAGAAATTTTATCCCACGATACATTATTTTTCTTACAAAACACTGGTTATCTTCTTGAATGCAATTTTATGATAAAACTAACTGCATTTCATAACTGCGCTTATTTTTTAATATCATTTAGAGAGTGCTCTATACAAAGACAGCTTGCCTTGATTTCAGAAGAAGGGATAATTTTATCATATACAGAAGGATTTTTAAAATATTTTGGCTGAGAAGGGAAAAATATCAAAGGTAATATTTTATCCGATATAATTCCTATATCTGACTTATTCAAGATGAAAGAAGCTGAGCCATTTACATTCAAGCTAAATGATCGTGAAATAGCTATGACTTACATAACGAAAACTATAAAAACAAAAAATATTCATATGATTGTAATAATTGACAATATAAATGAATTTCAAAAGGGGAAAGAAGACAGACCTCAAGTTTTGGCAGGACCAATTGAACCAGTTTATTCAGATGAAGATGAAAATGAATGAGCAGCAAAAGAACATCAAGAAATAGCATTCAATTCTACAGATTATTTAGCACCAACAAAAACTTATGAAAATCCAGATACCACGATCTTTACATATACTCATGATAGTCAGCAGGCAGACCATATATTTGAGGTGAAAAATTTAATGGAAAAAAAATCAGACTCCGAAAGCAGATCGAGAGGTGGATCAGGGAATACTCATCACAAAGCAAAAAAGCTACTTATGGACTCGAAAAGAAAAATAAGGGTGCTGCAGCTTGTATTGTTTTTGGTGGTAATGAATATTTAGATGTTTTCTGTCATAATAACTGACGTTGCCATATTAATTTATATGGGAAGCGACGTATCTTATACAAGTACTTTAGGCTCCTTTCAAAATTTTGGCAGACTGGTATACGATTTTGAGCTCTCTGCTGATCTTGCACTCACCATTACTGCAGTATATATATATGGTGGATCAAAAGAACAACTAGATTCAGAGCTCAGCAAATTAAAAGACCTTATTGATGATTTAGAACAAATTAAAGGGTCTCTTTTCAAAGATTTCGAACAATGAAGTTATTGTCCTCACTCAAAAGTTGTCAGAGAACCTTCAATATTACTATGATACTTCGAGCAAAAAACACCACAAAACAAGAAAGAAAATCTCTATGATACTGTAGCAAACTACATTTACAATGTACGATATATATAGGCAAAAAACTTTATCTCAGCTATAAATGCAGACGAAGGCTACTGACATCATGGTAAATTTTTATATGTAAATGGGTTAGGTGGAATTTTTCACGATGCTGATAGGATAATGGATGGATTGGTGGACTGTGAAATTGAGAGGGTAAAAAGCACTGGAGTTAATATTAACATTCTTTTGATATCTGGGTTCTGCACTCTTGGAGTTTTGGTCTTGATTATTATTGGCTATATTATGCTTGTAGCAAAAAAAGTATAGAAATTGCCCGAGGATCGGCTCCACATGGGAATGATTTTCCACATGTGGAGCAATTCTTTCACACGTGAGAATCCTGACTTCCACGTGTGAAAAAAATGCTCCACACGTGGAAAATCGTTCCGGTGTGGAGCCGATTCTCGGGCAATTAGTATAGATGAATTTTGAAATTTCACTTTAAACAGTGTGCAATGGGCTATGCTTCAGCTAAAATGCTGTGCAATGGACAGGCTGGCAACAACACATGGGCTCGAATGCAAGTTAGAAACTAGTCCAGAATCTCAAAGAAACACTTCTCACACAAGAAAAGTGAAAGGTACACTTTACTTGCAATACATTTGAAGAATAATGCTTTTCTTTGCTGTTGCTGCGTCTTATTATTTATTGATTTTCAACTATTTCTACCCTATACTAGATCAAATGATGACTACTCGTCCTTCTTTGCTCAACAATTTTATTATCAGAAGAGCTTTGCTTATGAGATTATCTCTCTTTTCAAGGGACCGGGTTGTTGATTTTATCTATCATTTCGTGCCTGAATTTTACGATTATGCTCAGAGCCTGCCAGAGGAAGCAACTATAATTGAATATATAGATACTCTAACAGTAAAATTACGATCTAGAAAATACTCAAAACTCCTCTCAAAAGACTTAAAACAAAAAATTTATGAGCAAAATAAATTGAGCTATAAATTTATGGATTATGGATCTGATTCAGCTATGCAGGCTATGATTGGTGATATTGAAGATGTAGGATTTTTCAAAACTGGCACTATACAGTTTTATTTAGATTTTGTTGATAAAATTATAGTCCTAGCAAATGAAATTAAGAATGAATTTGTACTTGCAGATAGAGATTCATATAATATTATCGACGGACAATTGGAAAATATTGTAAATACAACGATAATTTACTGTTTAGCTTTATGTATATTTATAAAATATGATCAATAATTTTTTGTGTTTCACTTAGTTTAAGCTTTCCTTTCCGCGTTTATAAATCTCAAAGAATTTTTATATAAATTATTTTACTCACTCTTAGCAAAAATTTTCCACTTCATGAAGGTGAGAGCTATTAAATTCACAAAATTATTTGTAAATTCTAAAACTACTCGCAAATCTATTACCTAAAAACGGAAAAAGAAAATGAAAAGAGTTTATCAAAACATACACTAGTATTTGCCCTTAAAAGATTATATTTTATATATCAATTTAAGAAATATTTATTTCGAATAATTGACAGCTAATAAAAAAACTATAATTATGACAATATCTGTTGATCTCAATAATGATCAAAAAGAAAGCACAGATTTCCACGACTTTACATCGCATTCAATATTTTCTAATCCTACAAAAGAATACCTTTATGGCTTCTTTGGGCACATTTTTAAAAAAAAATACAGCCTTGATACAAAGTTTAAAAACCAAATTCTTTATGAAATAGTCATAAATGTAATACTAATCCTTCAACTCTCAACATTGTCCTGACATCCAAGTTTAACGCCATCTGATTGAAATTCTTATCAAGGGTTTTGGAAGTCTTTTTCATATATTAATTATGATGAAATTTGTACAACTTTTGAACTGACAGATTTTTGTTTTTATGGGACAATTTCTCTGATAGGAGCATGCTTATGATTTTTTATTACTTTTGGAATTTTTATGTATTTAGAAAAAGATATTCCAATGATTCTTGCACTTTTGCCTAGGAAAATTGCGTTGCTCCTTACATCTGTATGCATTATTCCGAGTACAATAATTTTAACTATGGTTATTAAATATTCTCTTGAAGAGAAATCCGTTATTGAAGAATACTCAGGGAATTTTTCTCCTGAGACATATGATTATGGAATTTTAGGGATTATTGCCGGAATTTGCAGCTTATTAGCACTGATTTTTATAAATTTATTTTGTGAGGCATTTTCTTGTGATATGAGGCATTCACACTTCAAAAAAAACTTGAAGGCAAGGTCTAGTGCTGAATACGACCTAATTAGGCGTTGGTTTTATATGATAATATCCATTCTATATGTCTATATTGGAAACAATAATGCATGGATATACCAAATCATTTTTTTCCTTTTTTGTTTTTATTTATGTATACGTAGCATGCAATTTTTGCAGTATTTCAATGTTATTGAAAACTGTATCCATGCTTGCAAACTGTCATCTGTTTCATGCACATTACTGATCCTTATATTTGGAGAACTAATTGATAACGCATTAATAATTGTTTGGCTTCATTTATTTTTCTTACCTTTTGTTATTTATCTGACAGTTCGAATTACCCGGAGAAATTATGAAAAAATGCCAGATATAAAAAAACCAATCCTAACACAATTTGATTTCGAGCAAAAATACCGCAATTTATTTGTAGATGATGGCCTTGAAAATAAAGAGCAGGTTATAGAGCTTTTTAAAACATTTTGATCAATGCCTGGGTTTCATAAAGACAAGCTGTTTGTGATATGAGAATTTAATTTTTGCTGCTTTATTATTAGAGATGAAAGATTGGCAAGGATAAAACTCACAAAAATTGGGGAATCCAAATCTTCATTTGAAGGAGATATACAAGAATGAAGACTTTTTGATTGACTCTTCAGGAAGCACAAATCATCTTTTATTGATCTAGACCATTTAGAATACCTCAAAGAATTCAGTAAAATTAAAAAGCATGATGAGGAATTATGTATGATTTTAAATGAATTGCACGCAGAATTCACATCAAGAAATCCAAGAGTTAATAAATTGACTCATTTTTCTAATAGAATCGCAAGACACATACAGTCATTGAGTAATGGGTACAAGGATTTGATTGAGAAATATAAAAATATGGAAGCTTTTGAATACTATGCGACTTTTCTTGACTCTATAATGAATGACCACGATGAAGCTGATTTTATTGTTAGGAAAAAAAACAGTTTAAATTTCTTCAGCCAACGAAATGATGAAGGAAGCCTTGAAAATTATGGCAAAGACCTTCCTACAATCCTCGCTTCATGTTCTAATGAATCTTTTGGGACTATTGTGTATATCAATGATAAGGCTTCTCAGCTCTTAATGTCATCAATGGGAAACATCATAGGATCATCAATATTGAATTTTATTCCTCAACCTTACAGCTCACGTCATGAGAAGCTAATGAAAGATTTTGTTTTTAATTGCAACTCAATAGAAGTGCCATTCCACGATTCTTTGTTTTTTTTGCAGAATAATGGCTATCTTCTTGAATGCGATTTTTTGATAAAATTAACCGCATTTCATAACTGCGCCTATTTTTTACTATCGTTTAAGGAAAGTGCCAAAAAAAGGCAAATTGCCTTGATTTCAGAAGAAAATGCAATTTTGGCTCATACGGAGAGGTTCTCCAGTTATTTTGGATTAGAAGGGGAAAATATTAAAGGAGCATTGGTTTCAGATTAATATAAACAAAATGGTATTCGGGTCGAGAGATATTAGCTTTGCAAGCTTTTCTTTATAAGGTTGGCTTTTTCCTATAGAACTTCTGCGCAGCAATAGTGTTTATGCTTGAAATCGCATAGGGTTATAGAAACTGATCCACGTGAATTCAATAAGTTCAAGGCTTTCTAGTCAGAATATCCGAGGAAGGTAACTCTTATGTAAACATAAGTAGAAGCTGAGCCTGGAAGGACAAGTGCAAATTTTTCCGGATTAGATGCGCTGCCAGGCTAGTGGCTTATTCTTTTTAAAGCCTACTCATATGATGCAGAATTTAAAGTTCCTGCGTGACGTCACTAGACACCTTAAATGCCTAATTAATCTGTAATATCTGATTTCAGATTTAATACCAATTGCAGATATTTGTACTGTAAGAGAATATGAGCCACTCCGAATTTCATTCAAAAATCGTGAATTAATTATCATCCATATAGCAAAAGAAATAAAAACAAAAGTGGTCCATATAATTGCTATTATTGACGATATAAGTGAAATTCAGAACTGGAAATCAGGCAAATCACAGATTTTTTCAAGGGAAGCTGGATTTTTCAGCTCAGATGATACTGAAAAAGAACAGATTTCAAGGGAAGCTTTTGAAGTAAAATTCAATTCAATTGACTATTTAGTGCCAACAAAATCTTTTGAAAACCCAGATACCACAATATTTACCCATTCTCGAGATAGTCAGATGCCAGACCAAGCTTTAGAACGAAGAACATTTATTGATAAAGTCTCAGACTCAGAAAGCCGCTCAAAAGGAGGAACAGCGCAAACACATCATCAAGCAAAAAAGCTGCTTATGGACTCTAAAAGAAAAATCAGGATATTGCATCTTGTCTTATTTGCCGTTGTAAGGAATATTTAGATGACTTCTGTCATAATTACAGTCGCAGCAATTTTAGTATATATGGAAATTGATGTGTCTTATACAAGCACATTAGGCTCATTTCAGACTTTTGGACAGCTTGTATACGATTTTGAGCTCTCTGCTGACCTTTCACTTACCATTAATGCACTAATGCTATACCGTGGATTCAAAGAAGAAATAAATGCAGAAGTCGAAAAAATGAAGGTCCTGATAGATGATTGAGAAAAAATCAAGGGCTCTATTTTCAAAGATTTTGATCAGTGGAGCTACTGCTCGTATTCCAAAGTGGTTAGTGAGCCTTCAATGCTGATTTGAAGCTTAAATCAAAAAACGCCTCAAAATAGCAAAGAAAATCTCTATGATACTATAGCAACTTATATTTATAATGTAATAGCTATTTAGGCAAAAAAGCTCATCTCAGCTGTAGATGAAGGGTTCGATCAGCTTCCTTATGCAAAATTTTTGTATATAAATGGACTAGGAGAAATTTTCCATGATGCTAATACTATAATGAATGGGTTAGCAAGCTGCGAGATTGAGAGAGTAAAAGCCACAGGGACAAACATTAATGTACTTCTTGTAAGTGGGTTCTGCACTCTTGGAATTTTGATTCTAGTTATTATTAGTTGCATTATGCTTGTATCAAAAAAACTTGATGAATTTTGAAATTATATTTTAAATAGTGGCCAATGGGCCATGTTTAGATTAAAATGCTTGGCTATGGATAGGCTAGCAACCACCCATGGAGCTGATTGTAAAGCTGACACAAATCCAGAGTCTCAAAGAAATGTTTATCGGGGTGAATAATCATGCAGATTTGATTGTGCTCATTTCATCAAAGAAAATTTGATCGAAATTTAAATGGTTTTTTGCCAATTATCTAGCTATAAAATAATCGAACAAATTTCCATAGGAAATGCCGTACTATCAAAAGTGCACGTTCATTTAGCATGGAACTGTTTATCATACTAGAAAAGTAAAAGGGACGCTTTATTTACAATACATTTGAAGGATAATGCTTTTCTTCGTAGTTGCTGCCTCATATTATTTGCTAATTTTCAATTATTTATACCCTACTTTAGATCAAATGATGATTACCCGTCCTTCTTTGCTAAATAATTTCATCATCAGAAGAGCTTTATATCTAACTCTTCACCTTTTAAATTGAAACCAAAATATCTAAAGGATGTAATAATTTTTTAAAAATTTAATAAATTATTGAATCAAAGTGATGTGTATGTTAAATTGCAAGCTATTATACTTTCTCATTTAAAAATAAAATAAATTAAAGCTTAAAGTATCATTTTTGGTGATATACATTTGTATAATATCAATTTGTTTGCAAACTGTTATTTTTTCTAAAAATTTAAACTCTGTTTTAATCGGGTTAATTTGCCCAAAAATGGAAAATTTGCTGATTTTTTTCTAATTTAGCTGAGGGGAAGTAAGACTATCACTTTTCTCGAGGGATCGTGTAGTAAATTATACATATTACGTTATCCCAGAATTCTACAACTACCGGCAGTCATTCGCTGAGGAAAATCTTATTATTAATCACATAAAAGCACTAACAAAAGATTTGCAGACCAAAAAATACCAAGAACTCCTCTCAGACGAACTTAAAGAAAAAATGTACGAGAAAAATAACTTAGCTTATAAAATTCTGGATTATGGGTCTACGGCAGCTTTGCAATCTATGATTGGTGATATTGTAGATATAGGATATGTACGTGGAGAGACTAATGCATATTTTCTAAGGTTTATTGATAAAATGAAAGCCGTTAATAATGAAATTAGAGACGAGTTTATTTTGGCTGATAGAGACTCAATCAATATTATTAACAGGCAGCTAGATACAATTGTAGATATTACGATTATTTATGCTTTGGGATTGTGCGCACTTTTTTTCTTTTACTACTTCCCATATTTGAACCTTCAAATAAAGCAGCTCCAAAGATTTGCGATTTTGCCTACAATTCTGCCTAAAGACCTTGATTAATGAAAATTGATTATAACTCCCCCCCCCCCCTCCGTGAGCGAACAAAAAAAATTTTGTTCGCTCACGGAGGGGGGTTAATTTTTTTTTTTAAAAAAAATTTATATATAAATTTTATAAAAAATATTTTTTTCGAAATTTAAAAAAATCCTAATTTGCAAAAATTGGGAAGCAAATATTAATTTAATTTGCAAAATTTATGTTTTAAAACGCAATTTGTTTAAATTAAAACAGAATTAGCTCTAGATTTCATTATACTAATTATCACTTATATATCAAAAATTTTTTTCCATTAAAATTTTTTCTATTAAAAAAATTTTTGTTCACTCACGGAGGGTGGGTTTTTGGTCAAAAAATGGCGATTTTTCTAATGGTTTTGTTCGCTCACGGAGGGGGGGGGGGGGAGTAAGTTAAAATAATATTAAGGGCAATAAGCTATATACCAATTTAGTCTATTGTTGATGCTAATGGTAATCAAAACAAAAAAGTCGTATAAGCCTCCAACAAGTTATGATGGTTTGACCCGCTTTGGGCAGAGATCACCTAATTAGAATATCTTCTTTCGTTATAGGTGCCATAATGGGTTGGATTCCTACCATGCCATTTTTAGGCTATTTTGCGAAGATCATACCCAATAGTCATAGGAAGGCAATTTTTTTTGGCATATATAAATTATTTGGCTTTTCAAATGGCTTTAACTGAATATAAAAAACATTGATAAATTATATTAAGGGGTGTCATTGAAAATGAATTTGTATTATTATGTTAGTTTCTCATATATTTCTGCTGCATGGAGAAGAAAAAACGCTATCTTCAAGGTCTAAAACTTCTCTGGCCCCCTCAAACTGCTTCTAGCCAGGCTATTGATAGTAAATTAGTATAAATATTTATAAATATTAGGCGAATGGGTCTCCAGCCTCCATTTGCAAAATACTTGGTAGTATAGAATAGAGGCTAAGTTTCTTAATTTCTTGATTCATATATGGAAAATAATAAAAGCAAAATACCCCAGATAGAATCAATGAATAAGCAATAGTGGTATATACAATGATGTCTATCTCTGAGTTTATGATATTCTTGGAATCATTCTCAGCCATCTGCAATTCATCCCAAATTTCGTTTTCCACTTCTTTAGTCAAGCTGAGCAATATCTGCATGCCCTCTGAGTTCTTACTAGAATTAAAAGCTGCATCTAGTAGATCAAATTTTGTAATGTCAATCCCTGAATACGAACCGAAATTAAGGAAAGAGACAGTTTGATTGCTTTGCTCGAAAATAGAGTTAATTAACTCTTGAGACATCAAGTTTTGAAAGTCATTTCTTAGCAGCTCAATGCTTTTTTCTTCAATTAATTTAGCTGTTCTGTCCATTAGTGATTTGATATTGCTGAAATCGAAGGAGTCGTCAAAATTGTGAATCAAATATGGGTAATATAGCTCTCTGGCAAAAATTGAGAATCTGGATAATAGTGACCTTCTTGCTTCAAAATTGTTAACTTCCCTTTTGGTTAGCGAGCAAAATCATTAGAGAAATCTTTATTTTCAAGGAAAATAATATAGAAGAAAAAAATTAGATAAAATATTTATTCAAATAATGGTTTGATATATAATAATGAAATCCCAAGAAATTCTATTAATTTTAAGCAGCGTGCATCCATACCTCGAAATTAAATTTTATTTCTATTTCAAATATTTAAAAAAATATTGGATTTTAAACATCAGGAAAGCTATTTTATAGATATAAGGCTAAAACTCTTTAAGAAATGGCCTCTTAGAAGCTAAAAGTAATTTAGCGTTGTTCTAAAATAAATATAAAATCATTTTGAAATAATAATTAAACCCTCTCATTTACTCCCCCCCTCCGTGAGTGAACAAAACCATTAGAAAAATCGCCATTTTTTGCCCAAAAAAACACCCTGAGTGAACAAAAATTTTTTTAATATAAAAATTTTGATATATAAGTGATAATTATTATAATGAAATGTAGTAGCTTTCCAATTTTTGGGAATTAGGATTTTTTTAAATTTCGAAAAAAAAATATTTTGAAAAAAAAAATATATATAAATTTGTTTTAAAAAAAAAAATTAACTTTCTCCGTGAGAAAAAACTTTTGCTTATTAGCCAGTATGATAAGCATTTTAGGGCGGATTTTTAAGGAATTTTCACATTTTGGGTAGAGATACAATTGGACTAATAATAAGTAAGTAAGCGTGATGGAAAAAAATATTGTCAATCTTAAGGTATATTTTATCTGAAGTTTCGAATTGATTTTTCTATTTGTTTTATAATGACCATGATCAGTCTCTTCGTAGGCGATATTATTGTCATAAAGAGCTATAAGCCTTTCAATAGCTGCAGTTTTTAAGGAAAGCAATGCAAATTGAGCATTGTTCAGAAGAAAATTCCAAAATTTATCATAATTTCTCGAAACAATAGCAAAGAGCCATACAATTATTCCAAACAAGATAGAAGAAATTGCGACCCCAAGTAATAATAAAAAATTTATTTTTCAGCTTATTTTTTCTATAGCATCAGCCTCACAGCTTTCGAATTCATGGAGATTATTAATGAGGCTTTTATATCCAATTCCAAGCCCGTTTGCAATGATAAATTTTGCATGATTTTCGTAATCTTCTTTTGTATATATATTTTGAATCATATTTTGGCTCTATATAATTTTTACATTGAATATAAACTTGTTCAGCATATTGTAAATGTTATCGTAAACTACTTTTGGCTTTTTTTCATCAAAGTTTCATAAGGGAATTATTGGCTTAGTGACAGCTTTATAAGCTTCACAATAGCTTCATCTTTCAAAATCATCAAAAATTTTATTACGAGTGTCAATTAAAGACAAAGAAGTTTTGTCTAAATTTTCTATTGCTGACTCCACTGGGTCATTATTTTTGTAATTTTGATCGAGCCTTTCTGCAAAATTAGCAGAAAGTCCAATGTCATATATAGCCTCAGACCAGTTATAGCTAAGCCTTATAGAGTTTCTTTCTATTTATCTTATCAAAAAATAAAATTGTGATGATGTTTAATTTTAAAGCAATTAAAAAAAACTAAGAAGACATAAAAATGCTCAAAAGCTATATCATATTGCCTAAATCCCTAAAAATAACTGTTGAAGTAAGAGTAGAAATATCATGCTTCATATACTGTAAAATGGCTCCCAAAAATCCTATTGTCGAAATTATCTAACTATAACTTACAGCTAGCATCAAAACCAACTGCAAAAATCTAATATGCTTCTTGGACCTCAAAAGTAAATCTTGGCAATGCTCTGAATTTTAATTACTTATTTTTATCATCCGCGATGTATTGCTGCTTGAGTTTGGAATTGTAGAATTATCATTTCCACCTTGATTTGTACTGTTTTTTGGCGAATTAGCCTTATTTGGAATTAAAAAATCTGTTTCTACTTTGCCTTGCAGCTCTTGAGCTTCATATTTTTCCCCATGGCTTGAAATTCCTATCAGATCTTCTTTAATTTCATCCATAAAAATAGTTTCCTGAAGGCTTTTCCCTTTTAATAGCTTCTCTATTTCTAATTCGTCCTGAACAACAAATAAAAAATAAATCGTGGTCGTCACCACAAGTTTTTCCATATAAACTATAGCAAATTGTAGCCCGTTTTGACTTACGAGTTTCGGCTTATTTATTGGTCTCGTATTTATATCAAAGTCTGGTATAAGATGGGAAATATGATAGTTCTTGACTTCTGTGTCCTTATAGCCGATTGATTGTGAGAAAAGCAAACTATGAGCAGTAACGGTCCCATCTCTTGTCATTAGTGCAAGCTGCCTATTTGTGTCTAGAGACTCAAAGGAAACCAAAAAATATTGGGCGTTATGCATAGCTGTAGCTTTTATAATTAAATTGCATTCTTTTAAATAGCCTTTATTAGTCTGTAAAAAGAGCCAATCGCACCAAGTGAAAGAAGTATTAAATTCTGTAAAGAAAGTCTTCATTCTTTTCTCATGCCACGCACAGTAAGGCTTAGGTATGAAGTCTCAGTTGTGGCATTCCAATGCATTGCTAAGAGAAATTTCTAAAAAATTTCTTGCTTTTTCATTTATATAGACCACTTTTCCGAAATTTTCATCTTCACAGGTGATTAGCATTATGCATATGTCCCGTCCATAGTTTTCAAGGTCATGTCCATTATTTTTCCTGATATTCATTTCTAGTCCATTTTTCTTTCTGTTCAGTTTGTCTCCTTCTTCCTGATTATTCATAATATTGTATAGAAAACTTGTGTAGTTCTCCATGGCATCTATTTGCTTAAACTTTCTCACTAGTTGTTTATAGCCTTCATCAGTCCTTTTTATTAAGCAGCAAGCCCTGCTTACTAGCATTTCAAGTTTTTTCATCCTAGGCACTCTCAGCGAAAATTCTGACTGCAAATCAACCAATAAATCGCATAATTTTTCATCTTGTTTTCGCACCAAGGTAAAATCGCTTAAATACTCCAGGTAAAGAGTGTCAGGAAAAGCTGTAAACTTTTTCGAAACCAGCCAGTAAAAAATCCTTCACTCTTGTATATCTCCTTCAAAAGAGCTTTCAAAATGACGAACTTGCGATAATTTCATCCTCGCAAGCCTTTCATCTTTAATGACAGCAATACAAAAATTGAACTCCCAAATAATAAAAAGCTTATCTTTATTAAAATTGATATCTTTTGCACAGTTATTGAATAAATTAAGCACTGAAATTTTGTCTTCAATAGTTTTGTCCATTAGTAAATGCCTCATTTTTCTTTCAAACTCAAATTGGTTTTTAGGCACGTTTTGGTTTTCTTTTAATTTGCTGTAATTTCTTTTGACAATATAAATAGCAAATAAAATCATCATTGGTTGCATAAATAAATTGAACACTACAATAATTAACGCGTTGTTCATTATTTGACCAAAAATGAAAATAACCAAAGTGCTCGTAATAGAAGCCAAAACGCTGGCCTGAATAAAGTTTTGTATGATGTTATAATATTGAAGATAAAAAAGGCACTTGATAAATAAGAGTGCTGAAAAAATAAGCAAAATTACCTGATGAATCAATATGTTATTCGACCCAAACGTTACATATGAAATACTCATGAATATATAAAAGCTACGAATCTCAAGGTCTAATTGGACAGAAGACCGTGCTTTTATGTTTTTCTTACCGTTGGTGTGCTTTATGTCGCATCTAAATGCTTCTGAAAACAAAAGGAAAGGAAGTAAAGCAATCAGAGTAAATAAAGACAAGATAAATCCTAGGATTCCATAATTCAAGCTACTAGCTGATGTATTTCCATCATATTCATCTACAGAGTTTGCATTGATAAGTGAATATTTCATTATCATGAGCGACAAATTCCAGCTAGGAATTAATCCTAGTGTTGAGAGGAAAATGGCGATTTTCCTCGGAAAAATTGTTACAATCTTGGGAATTTGTTTTTCAAAATATATGAAAAGCCAAAATATAAAGAACGAAAGAAGGCACACACCAACAAGAGATATTGTGCCGTAGAAGCAGAAATTCATAACCCCAAAGCTAGCACAAACTTGATCATAACTTGCAACTCCGACACTTTGCCAAAAGCTTACACATGATTCCCACCCTTCAATATTTATGCTTGGGTACCAGGTTAAAGATGTGAGCTGCATAGCTAAAATTAGGTTTGTCAGAATTTCATAAGTGACTTGCTCTTTAAGCCTTACTTTTGTGCTGTACTCGGTCTTAAAAAGATCGCCTAATATTCTGAATATATTTTCTTTGATTTTGCTTGCGAAGAGGGATTTTTCTAAGAAATCTTCATCCTCAAATTCGTCTAAATTTTTTAGATTTTTTTTCATGAAATTTTATTAGAATTCAATATAAAATTCATAATAAATATTTTTTGATAAGAAATATTGATAAGAACTAAATTCGATAAAGAATTTTAACTCATTTTAACAAAAATTATTGTCAATTGTGTGGCTCAGACATTTTCCGATTTACGGTTATATATTTTTGTTTATCTCAACTTAGAGCTATGAAAATCTTGAATTAATATCCAATAATTATTAAAATAACTATTTACTTCTATTATTTAAGAGCAAATTTAAATGCTTAATAATTACAGTATAGAGTCTTGCTTAACTTAGATGATGCAAGTGGTAAACGAACCCGCATAATAAATATGCGAATTAAGGAAAAGTTCACTGAGAGAACTAATCTGAGCAAAAAATTCAATAAATCTTTAATAATTAGTTCAATTCTAAATTTCGATTACTTATGGATTTTACCTTTTTCTAATATTTTAAAGTAATTAGACATCAAAATATTTCTTTCAAAGCTCATTAAAATTCTCACCAAATTTTAGAACTTAGCAGGGCTCATACTTTACTTATTATCATTTTTAGTTAAAATCTTAAAAACTGTCAGAACAAAAAATGAGAGAATCACCTAACCACCGTCATCATCCCACAATGAAATCTCGCCTACACAAAACATTTTCCCGAGAAGAATGAGACTTAATAATCAAAAGAAATGATTTTGACAATGTTTCCAAGCTTCGACTCCGAGATAGTCTAATTCATGGAGTCCCAGACGATCTTCGTGGCGAGATCTGGGCATATTTAACCAGAGCTTCTCAATTATCCCTTCAATTTTCATCAGGGGTGTATAATAGACTCTTTGAAAGTATTGATCCAAATATAGCAAATGCAATAGAACGAGATCTACATCGGACATTTCCTGATCATTTTTTATTTTGTGAAAGAGGCGGAGAAGGCCAGAGAGCTTTGTGCAATATTTTATATGCCTACGCCAATTATGACCCAGAGGTCGGGTATTGCCAAGGAATGGGATTTATTGTGGCCTGCTTAATTATGCAAATTTCAAATGAAGAATTGGCTTTTTGGGCTTTTGTGCAAGTCATGTTCGAGTATAATTGAAGACTTATGTTTACGTAAGAGATATGCAGAAATGGGACACCGAAGCTTATTAATATGATCAAAAACACAGAAAAAAGTATAAAATATAGATTCCCAGAAATTTTGGAGCATATCGAAGAAAATGAGCTGACCTTGGTATCGTGTTTTGCACAATATATGGTCACAATATTTTTATATGATACTCCGCTTGATATTTCTGTGAGGATTATGGATTTGTTTTTGCTTGAAGGGGAAAAATTAATGCATAGGCTTTTATCAAAAATGCTGGAACTTAAAAGAGAAAAAATCTTAGAATTAAACTCAGAGGAACTTTATCAATTTTTAAGGAGGAGAATGGTAAAGGAATGCTTTGAAGAGTACCATCTAGGAACACTATTCACTGCTTTTAGGAATGATCAAGAACTTGAACTCAATGAAATTGAGCCAGCTTAAAACTATTTGTAATTGTATATTTTTAGCCAACTGAGAAAGATTTCAGAAGCACTTTTATAGACTAAATTATAACATAAGGCTAATTTTAGCATATGCTTACGATCAAATTTATTATAAAAACTCTTTAATATTTTTTTATTTCTAATAATATAAAATTTATTCTATTCTTTTCTAAATAATCTTTTCCTAGTCTTCTTAACTTTAACATCATAAAAATTTATAATTCAAAAATCAAATAATAGCATTGAAATCTAAATTAATACTTAATAAAAGCTTATCATTAATATGAGCTTTAATCATAAGTTCCTTTCTTATGTCTTTAAACATTATTTAACTCCTGAGTACCTGCTATTTGCATTATCTAATTCTCCAAACCAACTCTTTCCAATAAAAAAAGTTAACTTTCCTTATATTATGCATTAAGAACCAGTTTGTAATTAGAACCCGAAAAATAGAGAAATTAATTGCCATTTAATGTTCGCCTTTTCTTATTTCTAGTAAAAGATGGCACCAATTTGTTTCAAATAAAATGTCAAAAAATATGTGGATCATTGACACAGACGCTGGGGTTGACGATGCCCAAGCTTTAGTACTCGCACTGAAATGCCAAGAATATCACAATTTCGAAGTCGTTGCTATCACAAGTGTAGCAGGAAACGTTCCACTTCCCCAGGTGAATAAAAATATTGGGGAAATATTACGTGTCTGTAACAAAACTCATATTCCTTATTACTCAGGCTCCGCAAAGCCTCTAATCAACGACCTAACGGACTGTGCATCAATTCATGGAGTAGATGGCCTCAATAACTATTGGTCAAACCCGAGCAGAGGGGCAGAGGACATCCCTGAACCCCAATCCAAGCATGCTGTACAAGCAATAATCGACATTGCAAACGAGCATCCAGGCCAAGTCAGCATAGCTACAATTGGACCTTTAACGAACCTAGCCTTAGCTGTCTGTCTTGATCCTGCTTTGCCAACTAAGTTCAAAAGAGTTCTTGTTATGGGTGCTGCAGTTCATGGAAAAGGCAATATAACTGTTTCTGCTGAATTTAACATTTGGTGCGATCCTGAAGCTTCTCATATAGTTTTTGAAAGATTTCCTCTCCTAGAGATCGTGCCTTGGGAAACCTGCATTGACAGAGAGCATAAGTTTACTTCAGAATTTTTAAATAGCTATACTCATGGGGCAACACCTCAAGGAAATTTTGTGAGAGAAATTACCACTATTGTAGGAGGAGAAAGCCATGTGTTTTTCTGTGACCCGATCACGATATGTATAGCCTGAGCCTTCTTTTGGCTTTGGATATTTTGATGTCTTCTGAAATCGGAAGGGAAGTTGGTTTTATCAACTCTGCTAGTAAAATCAACTCCCTAGATTATAGACTTACTGTAAATTAGAGATTTGCCATCTGGGAATTAGTCTCACCAACTCTGTTGGTAAAGCCAATTCCTTATGACGTGGAAGGCATCGGTATAGTTTGAGACAAAAGGAAGCTCAGGCTATATTGCTATTGATGAGTCAATAGCCAAAGAGTATTCATTAAGGAAGGGATTTGTAGAGCTGAATGGAGGCTATACAAGAGGAATGACAGTAGTCAATTGGGGATGCTCAGATATGAAAGAAATCAATGAAGGAGGTGATGCTAATTTAAAGATAGTTGAAAAGCTAGATTTAGAAAAAATCATGGCTTTATTTCTTCATTCTATAAGCTAAATCTTAATTAAACATTAAGCTTGCTTTAACATTATCCTTTTTTATTTTTTATTTTCAGAAAATTTCTATTTAGCTATCAAATTGCTCAGTTTTTCTCTTTTTGTGTGCTTTATTGACTTCAGCTGTTTCTTTGGCTGTTTCTCTCTTCCTTTTCCTCTTAAGATACTTGCTTATCTCTCCTGTTTCTTTAAGTTCTTCCAATTTTTCTTTCATAGCTTGCATTTTGATTATCTTTTTCTTAAAGAAATACGGCTTTTTTCCTGCTTTTACCTTTTCTCTTTCTTCTTTCATCATTTTTCGCTTTACATTTGTGTATCTTTGTTCGTCTTTGGCTCGCTGAATTTCTTGTTTTTTCTTGGTCAGATTAGATTAAGTAAGCAGTTGTCCTAGACAGGGCTAGGGATCCCCGAACGAGCCTGGCAGACAGCATTCCTCGCCGCTGCAGACAAGGGATTCGCACAACCGGTCTTGACTTTCATGACTCATAGAGTCTACGGACTCATCACCTAGGCCGAACTCCCAGTTTCTTGGCAGATGCCACCTCTTGAGCCCTTTATCATCCGCTATGGGCTGTAGCTGGTCCTGCCCTTTTCCAATAATGGTCTTGGAGGCAAAAACTTAAAGCCCCAGGGACTAGCTCCCTAGGGCCCGAGAAAAATCTAGCTGGCATACATAAAGAATTACCAGCCTCTTCTACCCTTCCCCTTCACACTGGGCTGTTGCCTGCTGGTGTTAAAGAAAAAGGGCCATGAGGTCTGGAAGTCTGTCCTCACAATTTTTATGTTATGTTTTTTCTTGATAATTAGCTCTTTTATTCTGCCTCTGTCAGCAGCATAGGCTGGATCATCAAGAGACTCTTGAAGCTCTTTGAGTTCTTGGGAGAGATAATCATCAATAAATGAATAAGATTTCTCAAAAAAGCCCTGGTTGAATTTGCCTGAAAGATTATCGAACCGAGGGTCTCTTTTCTTTATCTTTTTGGTGAAAATCCCGTGCTCTGGATCTTCATCTGGCTTTGGGAATTTGATTTTTTTGAAGCGAGAAACGGGGTGTTTTGATGAGATTTCTTTTGGAGCGTGTTTGCTGTGCTTTTCGAATTTTTTCGGTGGGGAGTGTGATCTTGGCTTCTCTTTTCCTACTTTTTGCTGCTCAATAATCTTTCTTAATGGAATATCGTCCATTTTATTAGAAAAGTATGCCTAGCCCTTAGCAAAGTATAAATTTTAGCATGTAAATAAGCAATTTTAAGGCTAAATGATTAAAAATTGAAATTTATAATTATATTACATAAATCCTAATCATTCCTTTTTGACTGAATTTTCAAGCTTCTCAATTCTACTCTATGATTTTAATCAGTCTTGATTTTTCTTTTTTTCTCTGCTGCGTAAAATGTCTAGCCACATCTTTTGTGCTCACAATTGACCGCTTATTTGAGTTGCTTCGCATCGTCTTTTGGAAATCCATATGATTTTTCATGATCACGCTAGGTCTATTATAATTGGTGTCAAAATACTTAATGCAGTTTTCCACAATTTAAAATGGCAATTAGGGCCACATTTCTACAACTCAGCTCAGTGAAAGAAGTTTTCGCCTTCTTGAGAGTCTCGGCTTGAAGAGAAGCATTTTACATTGAGGCTGGTGTAGAAAGAGAGGTTTCTAAGAGACTTAGGACAGAAACAGGTCGGCATTTAGACTCAGCTCATATACCGTTAATCAGAGCTGTTGGTCCAAGTTAAGGCAATCAGGGAGCAGGCCTTTAAGATTATCTATTAAACATATGCTTCAACTTAAATGCAGCTTTGAATTGTTTGAGATTTTTGCAGGGGCGGCAGTTTATTTGTGTTATTAGAAAGTCACGAAAATAAACTTACAAATGTATCTGACTCATGAGATTCATGATGGGGCTGGACTCTGTTCTTTACAAATTCAGCAGGCTTTGCACTTTTTGATTCAATATTTTTGTTTTTCGCTGACTGTAGCATGTTTGCTGCTCTATTTGTGCTTGAGGAGCGATTAACCTGATTTATTGACTCAGCTTTTGAGTTTTTTACAGCAAAAGTAGGCAGTTCTCTTACAGTTGGAAAATTTTTAGGGGAATTTGGCTCGGATTCTTTACTTTTTGCATTTTCATGGACTATTTGGGCGTTTTCCAATATCCTCCTTATTTTCACTGTTTGCTCATCTTCTTTTTCAGGAGAAATCGCAGATGGCCGGTTTTCTAGTAATTTTTTACTGTGATCTTGAAGGGTTAAATGTGGCTGTATTATTATTTGAGGTTCTAGTGATCTTCTTGTAGTAGACCCATGTCTGGAGACGTTGAAACCAGCAGGAGCTATCTGTGGCCCTGGAGATTTTCTATTAGATTCTTCTTTTTTAAAGTTCGCAGCAGCCAAGCTAATTAAAGGCTTGTCTATAGGTTTTAAGGGGAAATCCTCACTTTTTTGTTTATTGTGATAAAGAATATCAACACTATTTATATTTGATTTTCAAGGAGAAATGCTTGAGTCATCAAGAGATATACAGTTTTTTCATTTTAAATCTTCAGGGGATCTTTGTGTTTCACTTTCAGTGGCAAGTGAAGCAATTAATATTTTTTCGTTCATTTTTCTCTGAAACATTATTTGCTTTAAGTAGGATATTTAGATCTGTTGATAAATTTTATTAGGGATTAGATATTTATGAAGTATTTCGCAGTATTATAGCACTTTAAGTTTTAATTATAATGCCTAACTCCCAAAAAAAAATTTTGTTCTTTCAAAAAGGGAGGCGGTAAAAATATTTATAGATAGTTTTTTTTTTAAATTAAAAAATTATATTTAGCAAAAGTTGAAAGCAAATATTTAATACATTATATTTATTTTTAAATGCAAACTCTTGATTTGCTAGAGATTTCCTTATATTAATTGTCATTTATATATCAAAATATTTTTCATAAAAAATTTTTGTTCAAAAAGAGAATTGTTTTTTAGATAAAAAATCAATTGTTTTTCGCTTATGAAGGGCTGAGAAGTAAGCTCAAAGCTTGTAACTTCTAAATGTTATTAAACTTAATATTAAAACATCAAAATAATTAACAGGAATTTATATGATGAATCTTTATTCGTTTTATTTTTCAGTTTTATTATCCACTTGCGGTTATAAATAATCGCGATCCTGGCTTTAGATCAGCCTGTACCAATGACTTGACGTTATCCGAGGATTTGGTAAACATATATTTTTAACAAAGCCAATTTCTCAGTGAAAAATCCACTCTCTACTGAAGATTTATAATCTAGAGAGTTGGTTTACCAAAAATTCTGCTTACCAAGTCTTTGGATAGCATGGAAGATACCGGCACAGCCTGAGCCAAAACCAGGTTAAATCTATATCTATTTACACATGCCATTTACTCTAAAAAGTTTTTTTTCCCTCCTCTCTGATATTTCCAAGGCACCTGAAACATATAGCTTTCTGGTATCCCTCCATTCTCCCTTTTAGTCATCATAAATTCCCATTCTCTTTTTGAAAGATTAATCAGCTGTGCCAATGAATGGACTCTATAATTTGTCTGAGGCTTATTAAAAGCCTGGCTATTCGTGAAAAATTTTTGATAGTTTTGCTGTGTATTGATTTTATTTACTTCTAACGGAGGAAGTTTATTGAAGCTCTGAGGACTTCTCTCTCCTATTTTATTGAAATTCTGTGGAGTCCTTTCACCTATTTTTAGATTGTCAGTATTATTCCATTTTAAGATCTCTGGCGAGTTACGGGACGGTGTCTGCAGATGTTTGGCAGGTTTTGCCAGATAATTTGCTATTTCTTCGTCAATGCTCAAAGACCTAGTTGTATGTTTTCTCCTTAATTGGGTTTTTCGGTGAATTATTGGACTTGCAATTTGTGGTGATGAGAAATCTTGAATTAAAATTGGTTTTGATTCAGAGACCTGACTTAAAGGAATTTTTGAAGGTTTTGGTGACTTTTTTAATAGTTTTGGATGGTAAGTTGAAAAGACTTTGTTTTCAAGGTCAAGATTTTTCCAAGGAGAAATACTCGATTCATTTAGAGGAGATAAAGCGTCTATTTTTGGCTTGATAGCATTAAATTCAGCAATATTTTGACTTTCTGAATCTAGAACTGATATTAATTTCATCTCATTTGATGTATTCATTTTTTAATATAAATCTAGTAAATTATATGAATTTTCTTTGTATTGCTGAATAAAAAAATAAGCTATAAATAAAAATAAGGATTTTTCAAGAGGTCTTTTCAAGCTTATAAGGGTTTTCCCTATATAGCCCGATAAAGGCCGTGGGTTCTCCGTGGAATCCCTCTGCTGGTTTGGCCAACAGAGGGATTCCACGGAGAACCCACGGCCTTTATCGGGCTATATAGGGAAAACCCCTATATCCATTTTCAGTAATTTTTAAAATTGTGAATTTAAATTTATGAATTCGCAGCTAGTATATAAAGAAGAACCTGCAACTCCAGGCTTTTATCCTTACTCTTCAAGCTTTAACAAATCTCTAGGAAGTATTGCTACTTATCATATGGCTGCAATTTCAGCTGATTCAATAATTTTGATTTACGATACCTTTTCTTTTCAATTGCTCTATGAACTTTCTGGGCATTCTTCCACAATTTCTTCATTGGCTTGACACCCTAAAGAACCAATTTTAGCTTCAGGAGATGAATATGGAGAGGTGTGGATTTGGGATTTCAAGCTTCAAAAGAAAGAAAAGCTCAAATTTGAAAGCAAAATCAATGTTTTAGCATGGTCATTTGAAAAACCTAAGCTTTTAGTAGCTTATTCTGATAAGGCTGATATTTATGATAACGGTAAAACTGTAAATTTTACTGTCAGTGAAAACTTGGAATATGCAGAATTCATTAAAGGCTATCATGAGAAATTTCTTATTGGAAACGAAAATGAATTTTGGGTAATTGAGAAAGATGATGTTAAAAAATTCGAAAAGAAAGGCTGCAAAAAGGCTTACTGAGTCTCAAATGCTCAGAGCTACGTATATTTGCTTTATGATGATAAAGCTGTTCTGTTTGATGTGGTAATTATTATGTAGGCGGACGAAAAAGAAATTGGGATTTGTATTGCTGATGAAGGGATCTATGATATTTATTGTGATGCTCTACAGAATAATACTCTGTTTGAGTACAGCAATGGATGTATAAAATTATGGGAGCTTGCAGGAGAATTATCAAAAGACAACTATAAATATAACAAAAGGTGAGAAAGCAGCTTTATTGGCCTTAATCCTCTTCTAGTTTTATCGTCCACAATGCCAATTACTTCTCATCATAGGTCTTTTCTTATTCTTCTCTCAGATTTATCTCTCACTCCCCCCCCCCTTTAAATTGAAACAAAATATAGGTAAAACTACTTTTTTGGGAAATCACCCCCCTTTAAATTGAAACAAAATTTTATTATAATAGAAAATTTTATAGGTAAAAATCATTATTTTATATGTAAATACGTTAATACCCTATTTAATATGCTTCAAACATATAAGATTTTAGAAATTAAACTCTATTTTGTCCAATTGTTATGGGGAGAGTTAGAAGAATACCATTTCAGCAAGTTTACACTTTGAGATTGAGAAATTTATGAATTAATTTTTCATGAAATTAAAATTAAAAATCAAACACAGAATGAACCATAAAATTTTATCTCTGAAAAAATTTTTATATATATAATTTTTTTAAAAAAAAAATTTCTTAACCCCCCTTTAAATTGAAAACAAATTTTTTTGTTTCAATTTAAAGGGGGGGGAGTCAGATATTACTCAATTGATTTCTCGTACTCCCAGACAGAACTTTCTTTGACAGCTATTGACTATCTTTCATTACCAAGAGGGGAATCAATTCTCATAACTTATAACTCTGAGTCCATGCTTGTTTGCACACTAGGCCCTTATATAATATTATTCTCTTTAAAAAACTCATAAGCGAGTCTTACTTACTTATCAGATATCACGTTTAATGTCCCCACGGGGTAGGCGTTCCGGAGCCCACCGTCACCTCTTGACACGTAGGGATCTGAAAGCACAGCATTCCGGTTCGATCGCCCAGCGCACTACGCACCTCCTTGTGACGTCACCGACTTCGACGGCTCTGAATTATCGACTTCGCTTGAGGCTGAGAGTTGCCTGCTTGGAAAATCCAAAAATGGATTTTCTGGCCGACTTTCGGCAAAAAAGGGAGAACACGTGGCCTGGGACGTAAAGCCCAGTTTCACGCTAGGGAGTTACCCGATTGGTCCTAGGGACTCTGCTGGGCTTCCCCTTTCCAACCTCCGCACCCTTCCTTCCTCTCGAGGTAAAATCCATCCCAGTGGTTGAGCATGGGCTAGGCTCTGCCCTGCAGAACTGTTTACCTAGCATTGTTGCTCATTTCCAGAATGGCAAAACCTTGCCGGATATAATTAAAATATGTGCTCGGAAGCTGCGTGGCTGGAGGTCATGCCAGGTGGAGACGCCATATTTTAATTATAACTCATAAGCGAGTCAAGCAAATCCATGTAAAAGGTCAGCTTTCTCATATCGTTGGAGCAAATAGCAAGCTATATGCACAATGCCAGGTGAAATCAGAGTATATATTGATTGAAATAAATTTGGGGAAATCTGAAATCACAAAAATCAAGGATTTTGATGCTCCAGTTGAAGGGCTTAAGCTTGATAGCTCAGGGACCTATCTTGCTGTATTATCAAACAGAAAATCGCTTGAGTTTCTGTCATTGGTCCACTCAAATTATGAAAATACAGAAATTTATAGCTATGATTTAGTGTTGACTGAGGAATTCAGCTGCATTGAATCGTATCTTCACACGACGACTATTTCATAACGGCTATTTTTTTTTGTCTATTTTTTTCACCTATTTTTTTTTTGGCCTATTTTTTTTGGTCTATTTTTTTTCACCTATTTTTTTTTGCCTGTTTTTTTTTGCCTAGGTCAAAACAAAATAGGCCAAAAAAAGTCGTCATGAAATAAGCGTCGTGTGAAGTAACCGCATTGAATGGATGCAGGATTCGAACAAAATAGTTTATACTAGCGAGACAGGGGTGCATATGATTGAAGTGAATAAAGATGAAGGTGCTGAGGAAATAGAATTTTATTTTGCATTGTAATATACATGTAGAGTTTGCAAGTGTGATCTTATTATCTCAAAAATAATAGCAACCTCAGAAGAAATCATAGTCCAAGATTATCAGCACTCAGTTTATAAATTTGAGCAAGGCACTTACAAAGACTTAGGAAGTGCTATAGATATTGGCTTTATTAATAAAGCTCCTGCAATTTTGAAGGACAGAATTATTGAAGAAGTAGAAGGAGGAATTATTTATGAAAACTTGCCGAGCCAGATGAGATTTTTAACAAATGGCGTTCTCTTTGGGGATGGCTTTATTGCAATATATAATGGAGAGGCTACAAATAATTTCTCTAAAATAAATCCACCTAAAGTCCAAATTTTGCTATCAAATTCAACCAAATATGACTTCAATACAGAAGCCAACAAAATTTTTTATAAAGCTCATAACGATTATTTAAAGAAATCTACAAATTTCGAGAAATCCATAAAATTCACTCCAGACGAGTGGAAAAAAGAATTCAAAAAACTCCCCTGGATTGACCAGCAGCTTTTGGTTAGCCGCCTTTTTGGAGATGTCCTTGAATATCTCTTTTTAAACTCAGCGCGACAAATAGTTGAGCTCCCTCTCTCAGCACGAGGCCTTTCTACAACCCCAACCCCAGCTCCATGCGATATTTCAGTAGAATACTCCCCTATTACTAAAAAAACCCTAAATATGAGTACCCAAAGCATTCCAAAGTCTCAGCTTCCCCACAAAACCCCTCCTAAATGAAAGCAGCCATCTCCTACAAGATCCTCTAGAGGCCGCACTCACAGTCTAAATAACTCCTCTTTTATTGACTCTGGACCTAAAACTGAAGTAAAAAAAATTCCTGGCTTTAAACGAGATGTGTCTCCACAGCTTAAATCAAGCGGCAACCTGAGGTCGAAAAGCAAGCAGACTGAGTCTATCCTTCAGCTTGCAGTAAACACTGCGAATTTACTTCCAGCATGCAAAAGTGAAGTCAGCTCACGAAAGACTGATGTTTCTCCATTAAAAGAAAAAATCAAGCTTTATGGGGTTGATTATTTTAATGCCCTTTCTTCGTCATTAAAGTCGAATTTAGCTCAGACGTTATTAGATTTCGTGGTCAGTCATTTGACAGGAATTTTCCTCATAGTAACATTTTCCTCATCAGACAATTGCTAGGAAACAAAAAACGTTATAATTCTCCAATGAAAAATTTCGACCAAAAATAACTGTGAAAATTTTCCAATAAAATAGCACGGAGCCATTAGATTCAGCACTTTCTGGCGCTGATTTGTATGTGAATCTGCTGAAAGCTTGCTTGATTTCTGCTACACAAGGACATAATGTAATGAAAAATGCGATGTCTCAGGCAGCTAGTAGCTTAGAACTGGCGCATAAGTTTAAGGAAGCTGCAGAAATCCATATTTTAAATGAGAACTTATCATCTGCTTGTTTGTGTTTACAAGAAGCAGGACTATGACAAGAAGCTGCAGCTGTTTCAGTAAACCTATCAAAGGATGAAGAAATAAGTTTTCAAGTCAAATGGGCCACAAAGCTATACGAGACGTCAAAATTTAAGTGTATAGAAGCTTTGCTATATGGCTGCCAATACCACAAAGCTTTACAAATTCTTGTGAGCATCAAAGAATACCATAAAGCTGCATTTTTAATTATCCTCTATAGGGAAAGAGGGATAATTGTTAAAGAAAACTGAACCCCAGGCGCCTGCCAATATTTCAGCCTGTCAGAGGAAGAATTTAAAGATTTGCCAAAGCCTTCATTTTGGTCTGGAAACCTCGGAGAAGACATAGACTTTTTAATGGACCGCTATATAAACTATAATACTTAACTCCCCCTCTGTGAGCGAACCAAACCATTGTAAAAGCCCTATTTTTGCCCAAAAACACACACAAAAAAAATTTTTTTTATAAAAAAAATTGATATATAAGTGATAATTATTATAATGAAATCTCTAGCTAAATTCTGTTGAATTTAGAACAGCTTGCATTTTAAAACATAAATTTTACATATTAAATTAATAGCTGTTTTAAAATTTTGAAAAAAAAAAAATTACTATAAAATTTACCTTCGTTCGCGAACAAAATTTTTGAGGGGGGAGTAAAGTATAATTAGCTTTGTGAGTCCTTTTTAAACCTGGTTAGCAGCTTCACTGAACTTCTCTTGAAGAACTTCAGCTTTTTATCACTTTTCCCCGAGTTATTAGGCTCTGAGCTCTCTGGCCTTCGGTTATTTAAATTTAAAAAGGTAGGCGACCTTACAAAGGACTTGCTGGTATTTACACTTTCTACATTCAACAGAAACGACTCCTTTTTTATTATCTGAATAAAGCTGTCCAGCTTGTTTTCGCACAATTTAATTCAGTCATTTAAGTTGTCTCTGTTGATTTCATTGTTTTCCTTTGTAATCCCAAGCTGCTTTGTCAGCCTGCTTATGCTATTTATGAAGGCTACGATGACTTCTTCTTGTTTTTCTATCATTTTTTCATAATCATTTATAAAAATAACCAAGTCTTTGCATTTATTGTCCATCATTTCGACATCAGTGCAGGAAGCCCCAAAGCCTTCATTTTGGTATAGCAGCTCATTCAGCTGCTGGCTTAGGAAAAGTCTTTCTTGATTCAGCATTTCAATGCGTTCTTGGGCGTTTTGTGCATTTTCATTAAGTTTGGTCTTGATTTCGTCCAGATATAAGAAATAAGGGTGCATGTCAGCTACAGAAATTATATTAGTTGCCCGCTGGACAGTCCCAAATTTTTCTTCTTGTTTTTGCAGCTTTTTTTCAATTCTGTTGATTTCTTCTTTGATGCTTTGGTCGCCTTGCAGATTGTTCAGCAGCCTTTCAAACACGACCAGCTGCTTTTGGTCGTGTTTATATTTTTCTTGGAGTTTATTTCATTTTCTTTCTCGAGATAAACAGAACTCAAGCCTATAGGAGTCTTTTAAAGTAGAAAGCTCTGCGTTTATTTTTTGTTCTCTTTCAGTCTTTTCTTCTTTCATTTGAGAAAAGATCGCTTTGGCTTCTTCTTCAATTTCCACAATTTCTTCACAGAGCTTCTGGTGATGGCTTTTAAACTCGTCAATTTTCCCACTTAGCAGATTCATTTCTTTTTTTAAGGCATTTATAGGGGCTACTTTAGTTTTCAAGTCGGCGACGCGTGTGTTTATCATGAAGTTTAAGATTTCTTGGTAATACAATTCATTATTCAGACCTTGCATCATTTCTTTGTGCTCGTTGGCGCGGTACTCTAATAGGTTTTCGTTGTCGATGGTGTCAGGGTTGCTTTGTTCTAGGTATTCAAGCTCTTTTTCTAGCTCTTTTAAGTACCTTTTCTTTAAATTCACGTCATGATGGATCTTATTGAATATGTTTTTCTTGACAAGCACGACATTCTCGAACTCGTTCAGTTTTTGCTTCACAAAAGAGGAATTTTCAAGATTCTGCGCCATCTTGAGGACGTCTTTTGAGGATTGTGACCTTGTGAACTCTCTTAATCCCTTCTTATTTTCTGTTCGCTAATGGAATGGTTTAATATTTTTAACAAAAATTTATATTTTATTTTATCGTAATTTTTATAAAATCCATTTTCGCAAAATTGGAAAGCGAAAATTAATGAATTTATGTTTTTTAAAATGCTAGTTCTTAAAATTAAACAGAATTAGCTAGAGATTTCATTATAATAATTATTACTATATAATCAGTTATTTTTTTGTTCATGGAGGGTGGGTTTTTTGGCCAAAAATTAGGGACTTTTACGATGTTTTTGTTCACTTACGGAAGGAGTTAATAATAATTACGCTTCAACACTTTGGTTCAACTGCTCCAGCTTCTGCTTTAGGAAGGTAGACATTATTTTAGGCTTTGGAGTGAGGTTTCCTGTATAATAGGTACTTCTAACAAAGTCATTTCAAGAAACTGAAGGCTTTTCTATAACCATGGAGTTCCCGAGGGATTTTGAATTTTTCCTGCTGAGTTTGCCGGATGACTTATTTGAAATTGTGGGGAGCTTCGCAATTTCGATTTCGTTGACTATTATTTCAGTGAAGCTAAAAATTCGTTTTGACGATGTGGTGTCATTTGCTATGGGCTCTTCGGGTTCAAATTTTTTAATAATCATATCAATTTGGGAATAAGTGTATTTTTTATAACTTCTTACTTCAATGATTGATTAAAAAAATTATTTTAAAATAAATTTATTAAAATTTTTTGAAAAATTAAAGCCAAATTTATATAAAAAAATTTATCGGTTTATTAAAAATATTAATAAATTTAAGGTTATGGCACATCATAAATAGTGGTTTAGCTTATATAAAATTTATAAATAAAATTCCATTATCTGATTGGCTGATTGGAATTTTCTCCAAGCAATGTCTAATGGCGTCAGCAACCTTTTCGTCTTAATACGATTTTTTATTAGATTCTGGCAAATAATTAAATCTTTAATGAGCGAAATATATTTTCCAACTCAACTACAACATCCCCAGCCTCAGTCACGGTCATCAATCCGTTTCTTTAACATATTATACAGCGCTTACACAATCGCAAAAATAGGCTGCATAATTGGGGTCTTATCAGCTGACGGCTCCAAATGCCCTGGCTTATTGTATGTATACTTGCTTATTCTTGCTGCCACTGAAGTATACGAGCTGGTATTTTTTTTACTACTTTCCCTACACCGTTACTGCATGCATGTAAATATCTCGTCCTTCTTTATACGCACTGGGCAAATAAGTTATGAATGGTATGAAATATTTAGTTTCCGACTCCTAATTACAGCTGCACTTGCAGCCGAAGTTTACAAAGAACCATCTGTTATCCGCTATGCGTCAGGGATATTTTCTTTGATTCTTATAATGACTGGATTTTTAAAGTAAGGATCCCCCCCCTCATATATCCAATTTTTTTAGTCTTTTATCATTTGTCCATTTTTCTAGTTGTTTTTTTATAGGAAAAAAAAATTCTTTTTAAGAACTCATTTGTCGAATTTTATAGTCAAAATTTTGATAGAAAATTTTGTTTTCAAGACCTCAATTGTCTCATTTTCTAATTTTTTTAAAGTAAAAAACTAAAATTTTAGGACATTCGAAAAAATCCAAAAAAGACTAGAAAATGGGACAAATCATTTTTGACTAGGTTTTAGGACAAATAAGGTCCTGAAAAAATTTTTTATCTTATAAAAAAAACTAGAAAATTGGACAAATGAGGGGGGGATCCTTATGTAATCATTGTGCTTATTGGGATTCCCTATTTGTTTTTTTATAGGAGAATCTTTGATGAAAGCAATAATTCAAGATTACAAACGGTAGATGGTACTCATGTATCAGAGCATGAATTAGATGAGTACATTGGCCCAATGCCTCAAGGAGAGATATGCTCTATTTGTTATGAAGAAACCAACTCAAGCTCACCATGGATAGTGCTTAGATGTAAGCATGGATTTCATCGCCACTGTTTAAAATATTGGGTTCTTATCAAAGGATCATGCCCAGTATGTAGAACTCCAATAAAAGAAGATTAGATGCTTTATATTAATAATTATTATTTTAGCAAATATATTTAGCATTATCATATAGCCATTAATTAGGAAAAAAATTAAACTACAGGATAGCTTGCCATCATATTTATTCCACAAACCCCATATCCATCAGAAATTCCCAATTTTATATATCCTTCAAGACCCCAGCTATTTCCCCATGAGTTTTTTATAAGATAATAAGGAGGATCAGCTGCACTATCATATCCAACTGCTAAAACTCCATGATCTAGGCCAGTTCCACACCCTTCAGTCACAACTCCTCCTGCATAGTGCTGCCATATTCCAACTGTAGCCTCAACTGCCACCGAAACTGGTTGTTTAGAAATTGCCCCCATCAGTGCATCTTTGCTTTCTGGCTCCACATCTTGGAATCCACTAATTTTGAGGACTGAGTCTTTCTCAAGTGAGGAGTCACATTCAATATAATTTCCTCCTCCAGAGCCATATGGCCATTTATCCTCACTGGTAATTCCTTTACTTTTGACATACTGAAATGCATAGTCCATTAGCCCACCATTGCAGCCTAAGTTTCCATAAGAATTTGAGCACGAAACTAGCTGTTGCTCAGACAACGAAATAAGCTCACCTTTGGATATTTTTCAGGCTCCTTCTATAGCACCTGTAGATGAAAAAGCCCAGCAGCTTCCACACATTCCTTGATCTTTTACGTCTGTTACTGCACCACTTTCTTTTCAGTCTACTGCTGAAGGAATATGAATATGGGATTTTTTATTATAATTGGTAGGTGGCTTATAATCTATATGTGAAATATATAAAGCAGAAAATTCTATTGGCAGCAGATCAGAAAATTGGTTTATGCCCAAAATCCAGTCCAAATGCATAGAGTTGTGGATTCTGATGAACGCTGAGTTATCTCTGAATATTTTGAATCGTTTAGCATACTCCTCGTCACTCCTGTACTGCTTATTATGTTTTGCTATAAATTTAACAAACTCCTGCTCTTCAATTTTAAAGCCTTGAATTAACGAATCTTGATGCTGTGATTGTCCGAGATACATTATACACCCACATACTGCAAAAATTCCGAAAACTGCGAGTAGAGATGCATAGATTTGCTTAGAATTTTCCTTCTTATTCTTTGCGAAGATCATATACTCCATCTTGGGAATTTTTATTGTATGGACATTATTAGGCTAAATATTAATTAATTTATGAATTTTTTGAATTAACAGAATAAATTACTTACACTTTAATATCCAGGCCTTCCAGCGTCATATCTTGGCATTGGATTATATCTTCTGTCGTTAGAAGGCACTTTATCGTACTGTCTTATTTGGTTTCTGTAATCTGGAATTTGTTCTTGTCTGTGTGACGGACTGTCGAGTACAAAGGCACCTACTCTTTGGGGCTGGAGGTCAGGCTGGGGCTGCAAAAATGGGTCAACGGGCCGTCTTTGGTTGTATTGGCTTGGAGACTGTTTTGAAGGGATTCGATACATTGGATGTGGCTCTGGAGGGGCTAACGGGTGCTGATTAGGCCGCTGATACCTTGGATCGTAAATTTCTTTCACTTCAGGTCTTGGAGCAATTTTAGGGCCTCGATAGTCAGGTTCTTGTCTTGGCATTGGCCTTATCTGCCGATTATCAAGTGCATCTCTGTTGTTTATATTTGGCCGCGGGTTTATCAGCATTTCTTGCATCATCTGCAGTTCATTAATAGCCGGTCTCTCTCCTTTTGCACTCGAAACCCTTCCTCTCTGATCCAGCATCTTTTTTGAAGGTCCAGCACTCCCCACCCTTTCTTTTTTCTCATAATTTGCCTCACTCCCCCCCATCCGTGAGTGAACAAAAAAATTTTTGTTCACTCACGGAGGGGGGTTAATTTTTTTTTTTAAAAAAAAAATTATATATAAATTTTATAAAAATATTTTTTTTCGAAATTTTAAAAAATCCTAATTCGCAAAAATTGGAAAGCAAATATTAATTTAATTTATAAAATTTATGTTTTAAAAACGCAATTCTTTTTAAAATTAAACAGAATTAGCTCTAGATTTCATTATACTAACTATCATTTATATATCAAAAATTTTTTCGATAAAAAATTTTGTTCACTTACGGAGGTGTGTTTTTGGGCAAAAAATAGCGATTTTTCTAATGGTTTTGTTCACTCACGGAGGAGGGGGGGGAGTCAGGTAATTTCTTATTCAAAATTTGTGCATTTGGGTCAAATTTTATGGTATTTAGCAGCTGATTTTTTTCTTCCTCTTGAGAGATCCTGCCTGGATTTATATGTCTCAGCACAGGAGGCATTTCTAAAATCGTTGCACAGGATGGTCTGACAGATGGGTTTACCTGAAGCATTGACCTGATTATATTAGCCAGGTCTTGTGAATAAGTTGAAGGTATGTTCGGGTATAGTCCTTTGATGACTTTGTTATAAAGTCCTTGCATATCGTTAGCCATGAATGGAGGATTCAAAGCAGCCATTTCATAAATAACACAGCCTACCGACCAAATATCAGAGCTGGAGTTATAAGGCTGGTCTTTTCAGATTTCTGGGCTTGCATAATAAGGAGTCCCTGTTTGAGTTTGGGCCATGCCCCTTTTCAGTACTTTTGAAATATTAAGATCACCTAATTTAACTACCCCAGTATTGGTAAGGAAAATATTGGCACATTTCAAATCTCTATGCAATATGTTGGCATCATGAAGGGCTTTTAAGCCTCTGATGACTTGGACTAGGACGTCCCAGATTTCAGATTCCCTGAAGTGAGTACCATTCTGCTTATGGGTGTTTATTTTCTTGAGGATGTCCCCTCCCTCGCATAATTCCATAACGATACAAAGTGTATTGGAAGCTTGATCGATGAAGGCTTCTTTAAAAGCAGTTATATTGGGATGGTTATAAGAAGCCATGATGCGGACTTCGTTCAGCGCATTTTCTTTTTCTCTAGGTTTCAAAGTCCCAAGTTTTACTTTTTTGATTGCATATATTTCACCGTCTGATTTCCTTCTCACCTTGAAGACACTTGAAAACGCTCCATCTCCAAGTTTATTAAGTAGCTCAAAAGCATCGAGGGACATCAGTTATAATTATGAGCTATTATAAAATATAATTTTAAGCCAAAACTCGGTTCTAGAAAATGATATAATTTTGCATAAAAAAATTATTTTGAGCTATCGTAAAGCATAGGTATAGCCCAGGAGCGATTTTTGATCGCCCTTGGCTAGGATAAGGCTCAGAAACTCCCCGAGTTGGTTTTTCAACTCGAGTTGACAAACCAGCTCGGGGAGTTAGCAAATACTTTTTATAAGAGGCATTTGTCAAACTTGAGTTGAAAAACCAACTCGGGGAGTTTCTGAGCCTTATCCTAGCCAAGGGCGATCAAAAATCGCTCCTGGGCTATAACTATAAAGTAATACGATCAATAATTCACTGCTTTAAAGGAAATATCGCAATAACCATTTAATAACTTGAAAGTGAATAATAAAATTATGGGAGTTAACATAAGTGACAGAATGTAAGAAATATTCAGACTCGAATTTCTCAAGTTCCTCATCTGCTGTAATTCACATCATCTGCCGCCAGAAGGGGATATTGAATTTGTGGACGAGTTTCCACGCACAAACAAAAGAAGAGCCACAAGGAAGAGATCTAATGCATCTCTTCATATCAGTAGTGATGAATGGCGGTCTACTTCCTGCTCCATTCGAAGATCAACAATTATTGAAGGATCAGGCCTGGAATCAATCTCTGAGAATTTCGCTCAAGAGGTGATTAATGTATAACACATTTTTAGAACCAATTAGGCTCAAGTAAATTAGATCGGATAATTTAACAAATTTCAAAAAAATTGCCAATATCTTATTAAAGAAATCGTTGTGAGCTTATAAAAGAAATTAAGTTCTGACTCCCCCCCCCCCTTTTAAATTGAAACAAAAAATTTTGTTTCAATTTAAAGGGGGTTAAGAAAATGTTTTTTTCAAAAAAATTTATATATAAAAATTTTTTCAGAGATAAAATTTTATGGTTCATTCTGTGTTTTTGATTTTTAATTTTAATTTCATGAAAAATTAATTCATAAATTTCTCAATCTCAAAGTGTAAACTTGCTGAAATGGTATTCTTCTAACTCTCCCCATAACAATTGGACAAAATAGAGTTTAATTCTAAATCTTATACGTTTGAAGCATATTAAATAGGGTATTAACGTATTTACATATAAAATAATGATTTTTACCTATAAAATTTTCTATTATAATAAAATTTTGTTTCAATTTAAAGGGGGGGTGATTTCCCAAAAAAGTAGTTTTACCTATATTTTGTTTCAATTTAAAGGGGGAGGGAGTGAGGCAAAAATATTAGAAAGACAGCCAGAGAAGCGCTGTCAGAGATTTGAATTTATTTTAGAGTCTATAAAGAGAAAATGATAAGAAAAACTACAGAATTTGTTAGATAGATAAGTCGGCCTAAACTCAAGCTGGATTGATTGTGGGATATCATTGATAAACTCGTGCATTTTTATCCAGAAATCGCATACTGAATATCCAGTCCAGCAAAATGCATTTAATTTTGACTATCATAAATATCGACCTAAAATAACTAAATAATTTAGTCATCATATAAGCAAATTTTGAGCTTTATTTCCATTTAAGCAAAAATATATAAAGATGATTCGTGGCTTCGGGGATATTAATAAAGGCAAAGAAGAGTCAAAAAGCAAGAAAAATAGTGATTTCTACACTGGAGGACAAGCAAGCGGACTCGCAGTATCTTCACCAGATGTCGCAAACATTGTAGAAAAGGCCCGACAAGGCGGCCAAGACCAAAGCGCTCCAGCTGACCCTAATGAAATGAAAATCAGAGTAACCCTCTGGGCAAACGGGTTCTCTGTTGACGACGGACCATTTAGGGATTACAATGCACCTGAAAATCAACGCTTCATGGCTCAAATGAATGAAGGAAGAGTTCCAAGCGAATTAATGTCAAAAACCAGAGGGAAACCTGTGAGCGTCGAACTTTCAGATAAGCGCCAAGAGCAATATGTGCCTCCACCCCCACCTCCTTATATTGCCTTTTCTGGCCAAGGCAGTTCAGTTTCAAATACAAGATCTCAAGCTTTAGATGCAGTCAACGCAGAGTTTTCAGTGCCGTCGTTTGACCCTAACCAGCCGACTACGACTGTCCAGATTCGATTTCACAATGGCCAAAGGAAAACACTGACACTGAACTTAAATGCGAGGCTGAATGTGATTTTTGACTATGTCATGATGGCAGCGCCTGTGGATGGGTCTTTCGAGCTAGTGTCAGGATTTCCTCCAAGGCCTCTTCAAAACCCGAGTCTGACGATCCAAGAATCAGGAGTTGCAGGAAGCGCGGTCATTCAAAAATTGCTTTAAAAAATTCTTATTAATTCTCTTAATCTTTGCTTGGTGAGTAAAGCAATTTGGAACAATATTTTTGATATACTGTTTTGTACAAATAATTTTAATAGACAGATCTCCAGCTAATTATATTATATTATTAGATTAGATTAATTAGCTAGCGGGTCACGGAGGTTTATTTCAGCCTCTACCCAGCACTGCCAGCTTCAGGCTCGCGCCCTATGCACCGGCTCTGTAGCTCACTCCATTTTCTGTCGACGTCACCAAAAAATGGTGACGTCGCCATCTAACAGGGAGACTCGCCCAGGTACTCCTTGATCAGGGGTCTAGTGACCCGGCGCCGTCCTTTCCGGGGAGGGAGAAAAGTAGCCTCCCGGAGTCTCCTTCAGGTCCCCGAAGCTCCCCACATAAGATCTTCCTCACTTCCCTTCTAGTCCTGAAGAAGTTTGACTCCTGATATATCGGCTCTGGTCTTCTTGTCTTTGTGAGAGGTAAAAAACCTTGTCGTGGTGTCCCGACCAAGGTAAAAAAACCCACCCTGGACACAATACCCAGGCCCCGTTTACTTCTTAAACCCGTAGTCCCTGAGGGTACAGGAGAAGGACGGGTCGGGTGGCTCGTCATTTTAATTGTGTTATATTAATTATGGATGTTTGCAACTTAAAATATAAATTTTGTTAATTAAATTAGAATATTTATTCCAATATTGAAATTTGGATTTAAATTAAATAGTTTTATCAATTTTCCCTTTATGTTATTAATCCCCCTCCGTGAGCGAACAAAAACATTGGAAAAATCCCAATTTTTTGCCCGAAAACCTACCCTCAGTGAGCGAACAAAATTTTTTGTTCGCTCACGGAGGGGGAGAAAGCAAAAATTGCTTAGGCCAAGGAGGAAAAAGCTAGTAATTCTAATCGCTATCTCCAGAAATATCTATATAACTGTATTCTTTTTTACAATAATAATAAAATGACTGCATGAGGGATTAGTTCTTCAGAACTTTTCTAATTCGAATATTTATTATTTTAGGGTTCAGTTTATGGTATCCCTTTATCTAGCTATATCAGAGATGTAATACCACAAAGTAAGCAAGAGCAGCTGGTCCTTGGATCTTAAAATGCCTAGGGTATTAAAGCTCGACATTCCCGAGGAAGAATATTATTAAGCTCAGCATGCACGGTAGTTAACGAAAGTATGCAATGCATCCTGTGAGATCTTCTAGCCGCAAGGCTTCATTCTTTATGAAAGTTTTATTATTCTGATAAAAATGACTTGGGAGAAATCAACTAGCTTAACGAATTGAAGTCATTAATCCACTGAAGAATATTGTGAAATACACTATAGCACGGGGCTTTTTTGGCTCAAGTTTTAGCCAAAAAAGCCCTGTGCTACATAGTGTGTATTTCACTATAAAATTCTACGCTAACATTAGACACTAGTATTTTTTACAAATGCATAGGGAATCAGTCTTATTGATTGATTTCAAAAAATTGGTGCAGCCCTCATTGGGTGTATCAACCCTGACTATTTCTTGAAGCTGTAAGACCATCTCATAATCAGCCACTTCAGTTCGGGTGTAATAAGTCTCATTTGGATAAATACCATCAGGATCTGTCTTTAGATACTTCGGGATAACTACACTTACTGCTGCCAATCCATACAGCTCAAAAATTGCTTCAGGGTCTTCATTAGCTGATATCAGTACTTTATAAATTCTATTGCCCCCTCCATTAAAATCTTTCAATATCTGCACATTAGCTGATATAATTTTGTTTAATACACTAACATTGCAGAATTCTCCCAATTCGTTTATTTTTGTTCTTTGGTTTAGCGACTTAATACCCAAATTTGCTATAGGCATATCCCTTAGACAGCCCGGAATGGGCTAGAAATAGAGGCCAAAACTTCCCACTTGGTTAGGCCAAAATGGTTTGGTCGAACCAAGTGGAAGGAGGATTATTTGCCACTTTTTACTGGATTCAACCAGCCCATTTTGGCCGAACCAAGTGGAAGTTTTGACCTCTATCCCTAACCCATATTGGGCTATCTAAGGAATATGCCTGTAGCAAATTAGTCACATTTTGATTAGAAGTGCTGTTTAAATCAACTTCAATATACTCAATACAAGTGCAATAGTGTGGAGGGATGTCTACTTGGTCACATTGTCGAGAATCGTCTATTTTTTCTAATATTAAAGAAACAGCATAAGGTGTGTCACTATTTTTTTTCATATCCTGATATAATGATGAATCAATTCCCAATTTTCCATATGGGACTAATGCCAAATGCCTAAAAGTTAGGCTTCAATCAAGCCTACTGACCAGCCTCTGTGTGTTATGTTTAAGTACCTCGTCAGCATTTAGCCTTTGAATCAGTTCTTTATTCGCCAAAATTATATGTAATGGGAGCTGGTTTTCCAAGTATCCTTCATATCTTAAGTCCCATTCCCTAGAATGCTTGCCATGGTCAGCCATTAAATGAATAACTACATCTTCATCCAGGATTTTGTCATAAAAATACAAAGCTCTTTCGAGAAACTCTTTTAAGTCTATATCAGCAGTCCTTATTACAGTGCCTGATGACTCGTGAGCAGTTGATATGTGGATGTAACCAAATCTATTATGGTGAATATAATTCTCTAAAAACTCATTTGCGTAGTTAAGCAAGTATCAGTGAGAATTATGCATCCCAAAGCATTTTTGCTTTTCTAAAAAATCTGTGTATCCGTAAACTTTTTTTGCTGCGTGTCAAAAATTGGTAGCCACATGGTCTGTGAGGATTTGTCGACCTGCATAATAAGATAGAAAATCTCAAATTGTGTCGTAGCCAAACATGGTGACATATCCTAGTTTTTCATAGTATTTTCACAATGCTTCTTCTTGGATTTCTCTGAATTTTCATCAGTCATTTTGATTCTTGATAGAAAAACCTTCAAGTTTTTGGCTGATTTTTAAGATATTGTGCCCATATAGTAAAGGCACCATGTTTGGAGTAGTATTTTCTCCATGCGCATTGTTTATTATAAAATCGTACATAGCAAATCTTTTTGAGTAGACCCCTTCATGGACTGATTCATTCAAATAATTAATTGTAAATGGAAAATTTCTGTAGAAATGCTGCCTTGAAAGAGAGTCAAAAAGGACTAAAAGCACAGATAAGGGCCGAGGCTTTTCTTTCATTTTTAGATTTTTTTGAAGTTTTGCAGTTATATTTAATGCTCTCTGAGAGGATGTTAAATTAAATCTATTTGTGAGGACTGCATGAGTTTTTCATCTGGAGCATTTGGCAAAGACGTACTCAGAGTCTTCTGTGTCTATTGGGATCCAATATCGTTTTCATTTTATATTTGCTTCAACTTCTCCAAATAGCTCTTTTGAGGGAGATTCTCCAAGAATATACTCAGGAGATTCAGGAGACTTGCATTTTATGCTTAATTGACCTTTTTCGAGTTTTATGATCGGCTTTTGCATAAAGCTGCAGGTTTTAAAGATTCTTACTAGCCTTCTCTGTGAAGGAGCAAACAGCCATTTGATAAATCAGTAATAATTATTAAAAATAAATTTACAAATTAAATAAATTTTTACTCATTGCTTAATAAAATGAAAAAAATATAATATAAATTATATTAAAATTTAAAAATAAAATGGCCTTCCAATACAACTCAGCAAAAAATTTTGATTGTTCCTGATGAGAGGGAGTTATTGGATCAAATAGTTGATTTGCCTGCTCTCTTGTATAGCCAAATTTCTTTGGGAGACATGATATATTTTGCTCATATGGAAGCCTTGGGTATTGTGTTAAAGGTCATGAGCTGATATCATTGAAATTTTTATATCTTCAGGCTTCTAACGTTTTCAGAAGTCCTATCCCTATCTCTTTTTCCGCTATATCTCTTTTCAATGTAGCATTATTATTTAAATTCCCCGATTCAATCCTAAAAGAAATACTTGAATAGTCAACTGAATAGTAAAAAATAAAACCTGACAAGGACGAAGTAATCAGTATCAGCAAAAGAAACAAGGCAATCAATTTGCCTCTTGAGAGCCTTCAAGCCATTTATCAATAAGTTAACATAATTAATAAAAAATTTTCGATCTTTGGTATCCCATACCTTTGACTATTTTCTTCGGGTTTAGCATTTTTAAGAGGTCATGAGAAAACGGAATTTTTGAGTTCGTCTGAAAACGGTATAAAGATTTTTCAGAACTCCCTGCGCGGCTCGCTCATGAACTTAAATAATCGTTATTTTGAGGCTGCAGCAGTTTTTCATCTCCATAAGAAAACGATCTATTGTGAGATGGAAACTTCTCAGAATTTGGCTTATCTCCATATGAAATGTCTGGAGTTAGTTCTGGGTTTTTATTCCCCAGAGATCTTGAAGGGGATCTGTCTACTGAGTATTTTCTTATTTCCCCTGTAATTGGGTCGAAAACTGTATCTCTTATAGTAGTTTTTGCGTAAATAGGTGGACTCAAGCTGCTTCCAAAAGAATTATTTGACAGATTTAAGCCATCTAATTCTTGGTTTTTATTTAGATATTCGTCATGCGGCTGAAATTGTCCATCTTTTCCTATTTCATCCAATATTTTCCTAAAAGGTTTTTCTTCAGTTTGATGTATTTGAGGCAGTTGAGGAAGTTTATCAATGCTTTGGGCTTGGGAGCTATTCGAAATGTCCTTTCTGCTGTCTGATTTATAAGGACTTCAATTGGTATCTCTAATGACCTGGCTTCTAGGGCGATTAAGTCTTCTTTTGAAAGCTCCGTAGCTTGAGCTTGGCAATGGATTTCCTGCAGGAATTTTTGAGTAAGCCCTTTGCTCTATCCCATAAACTTCTTTAAGCAGTTTATCTTCTTTAACTCTCTTTTCTAAATCGGAAATATAATTGAGTGAGCTGTTGAGATGGTTATCTTTGGAGTTATTGCGACTCATAAATACACGATTGGTGCTGGGAGATGGAGGTTGTTTACTCCTGCTTTATTAATATATTTATTAAATATTTTATTTAATATAGTAGACAGTATGCTAATATTGCAATATAAAATTTTCTATATTAAGGAGTTAACTATTTCTTTTGAGGTATTGGCTCGCTTAGCTAGATTTCGTTTAGGGGAAGTCTTTAAAGGATTGGTTTCCACAACTTTTTCTGCCATCATAAAAATGCTGTTGTATTACTGCCAAAATAATTAAGTACAATTTTACAAACAATAGATAATTATTATGTTTCACGATATCAAGCTTTTTATGAGTAAATGCATTATATAAATACGCAATAATATACTTAATTTAAACTGAAAATATATATAATTCTTAGCCTATAAATTGATTTTTTTAAAATTTAATATTGTAAGTTTTGTGGTCTGCTTTCATTACCAAATCCCTTTGGCCTACGAAATCTAAAATCTTATCGTTTAAGGAACTCCTAAAAATTTTCTATCTAGAAAAAACCTAATCATCAATAAATCTAACTTTCTCAATGACTAATATATTCTTTTTATATAAGTTACTAAAGTATTGAAAATCTATTTATTTAATTGAGGGTTTCTTTGATGATTTCATATAGAAATAAACTCCTGCTGCTGCAGCAATTGCAAAAATTGATCCCACAATAATCACTTTGGTATAGCTAACTAAAAATTACCTTGACTTTGGCTGTTCAATTGAGACATCTAATTGGTTTTGTAATGCATAAAATGGCAGGAGATGAGCGACTTGCCTCTCAGTGGAAGGTGATCTTATGTATGCTGGCATGGTTTTGAGCTTTGCTTATGGCCTAGCTATAGTTAATAGCCCCAAAGCGAATTACGCGAAACCAAAGCCGCTGTTTTTGTTCCTGACTCCATGTGAAGTTAAATACAACTTTTTTGGCCAGCAGCGCTCAGCCCAGCGGGTACCTGATATGAGCAGGGCGCCATATCTGACGAAGATGCTACTGTGGCTTGACCGAAATGGTGAAAGCTGTTGAGCTCTTTCTCGGAATGACTGGAAAAAAGGAGGTAAGTTAGATGGATAAGCGGGACTCGGCCAGTTGAAAATGGTTGCCCATGTAACAATCTGTCTTGGAGCACTCATAGAATTGGCGTAAAACTTGACGACGTCGAAGGGTTAGAAATGGAGGTGGTCAGCAAACCCAGTAGATGGCCCAAAACCTTCACCTCTACCGAGAAGCCGGTTTCAGCCGGATTCGAGATGTCACACGCCGAAACGAATGTGTCTAAAAAAAGCGGACTTAAAATATGCTAAATATAACCTAATCTAATTGGTTTTGTCCAGTTTTTGCTTTATTCTCTTCCTCCTCATGGCTTTGTCTTGGCTTGGACCTCACCTTAGTTTTCGATGCTTTTTTAATACTTTTTCCTTTTGGACCACTTTGTTGTCCAAAACCGTCATCATCTACTTCTATAACGACAATTTCTTCTGCCTTTGAGCTATTATTTTCTCTTTGATTATTCACCTCTTTCTCATTTTTTACTTCATTCTTCTGAGGGTTGGGATTGGTTTTATCGAAACTTTCGTCCTCTTTCTTTTGTTCATTTTCTTCTGGGATTACATTTTCTACAGGAATGTCCAAGATATTGCTTGAGAAAATGTCCTCGCTCCTTATATCTGGCATGGTTTGGTTAAGTGCCGTGTCTTGAGTTGACATGTCGACTGAGCTATTAAGTATGCTTGACAGTTGATCAGAACTCATTTCAGTAGAGGCGTTTAAACTCTTATTCAGCAGCTCTCTTTCTTGCTTCTTTTTAACGAGGAAAGAGGAGTGCTTCTTAGGAGTTCGTTTGCGGTTCATAAAATTTTATAACCATTTATAAGTTGAAAAATCATCATTTAAAATCTTCAGTAAAAAAGCAAGGTGAAGACTGATTTGGAGGGATCAAGAAAGGTAGCATTGCAGGAAGTGAGTTATATAGCTTGGAAATGATTTTAGCTGAGGATAAGTGGAATGCTTGGGCGACTTTTATAAATGAGAGCTTCTCAAAAGACAGAAACCGATTCAGTAATTTTTCCAACAAAAACTGGACAAGCCAATTGCTTCTTTTATAGTTTGTAACGATCGGAAGCCTGAGCTAAAACTATGCTTGGGTTATATTTTAATGCAAAGTTAATTTTTGAGTAATAAGGTTTTTTGCTTATTTTCGAAATATGAAATTTGAAAAATTTGGTTTATATGGCTTTTATTGATAAAATTAATAGTAAAAAATTAAAATATATAAATTGAGATAGTTCGCCGATTAAATTTGTTAGATATTATTCCGAGGTCAGACATGAATTTAATATTTATTATTCATCAAGGGGTCTTATAAAATATGGAAATCAAAGAAGAATTATCTATATGTTCAACAGAAGACTTGGAAATCCCTCCAATTGTAGGCTCTGATAATAATATCTCTGAAAGCTGAATGAAATGGGCAATCTTAGTACAAAGTATCCTTATTCTATTTATCTTATACCTATTAGTTAGAATTGATTCAAGGCAATCTCATGTCATCGAACTTTTAAAGCAGCAGCAAGAGCAGCTATATAATTTCACAAGTACTCCTTATGACTCGCTTTTTGAAACTGTCAACGATGGATTCTGGACTTTTACTTCTCTTTTGGCTCGGTCAATTTAATGTTTAATTCTTATTCTGATAAATTAAGGTTTAGCTTTAATAAATGTCTTGAAAAAATTATTTTTGATTAAAGAAAGCTTGTCTTAATTAAGAGAGTATTAATTATTACTTAAAAATAATATTTAGGAATAGCAGTTAAACGAGTTTTTTTAATTGCTTAAATATATTTGTGAAAAAGTAAAAATATTGGATTTCCTTAGTTCTGTTTCTCCCATGGTAGATTAGAGATGATTTGATTAGTCTCACAAAGGCAATCTTACAGTCAGTCAGATGAATTTTTTCACTTTAGGGTTGATTGATTCGTTATTGAAATTTTAGAAATTATCCATCATCTTCTCGAGAAATTGAAATGAAACCAATAGTGTGGATGCGCTAGTGTGAAAGCGCTGTATAGCAGATTTTAAAATTACACTAAATATTAAATTATGGGACTTTAATAAACATAAAAATTTACTTTTATAAGATATTACCCCTCTCTTTATTAATGAGCAAACAAATAGAAAAATCCTTATTTGGAAAATTTAGCTCCTTTTCCTATACAGCCAACAGCTTTTTAATATAAATTTTTATACAAAAATAATTTGATATATAAATAATGATTATTGTATTATAAAAATCTCCAAATAGTTTATATCCTAAAACATAAATTTTATAAATTAAAAGATTTCCTTTCAATTATTAAAATCAAAAAAAAATAACCCCCATTGCGATAAATACAAAATAATTTTGCCATTATCAGAGCGAGTTAATAATTTCTTAATCTAGCCCAATTTTGGATCTCCTTGGGCTATATTAATATTAATTGGTTGAGCAAGATTCCGGCAAGGTTTTTCTAGCCTTGAAATGGACAGCAATGCTATGGTAATCAATTCTACAGGAGGCAGAGCCTAGCCCGAGTCCAACTTCGAGACTGGTTTTTACCTCAAAGCAAATGAGGGTTCAGATTTGGAAAGGGCAAGCCCAGCAAGGTCTAAAGGTAATACCTAGACCAATCGGGCAACTGCCTAGCATGAAACTGGGCGTTACGTCCCAGGATCTGGACTTTATCCTTTTGCCGATAGGCTACCAGAAATTCCATTTTTTGGAATTTCGGGATGCCAACTTCGTACTCTCTCAGCCTCAGGAGGCCGCACAAACCCGTAAACAGCCCACTCAATACTGGAGTCTTTTACAAGAGACAAGGAGGAGACCCGACAGAAGGAAGGTCGCAAAGCGGTTGAATCCCACAAGGGATCTTCGGTGATTGCGTTAAAATTAAGGGCACGATCCAATCTAAATAATGTAATGTAATGGTTGAGCAAGATTATAAAATTCCATTTAATAAAAATAGCTAACATAAAAATGCAAGAATCTCAAGCCGCTCAAGAACTGGAATCAATCTCCGGAAGCGTTAAAGCCTACCACCCCAGCAACAAATTTAAAGCAATGATTTACAATGTTGCCCCAAAATCAACATCTGTTCAACAGCTTCAGTCAAGTAAATACCAACCCAGAATAGACGCAAATGAATTTTATTACATCGATACTGCTTTATCCGAAGAAGCGATGGTAAAAAACCCAGATCCAGATAAGCTGTATCCTTGGCAAATAAATTCTTGCAAACAGCTTGCTGACAGAGTTTCAGCTGATAACGATACTTCAAATTTGCTTACTCCCCCCCCCCCCTCCGTGAGCGAACAAAAAAATTTTGTTCGCTCACGGAGGGGGGTTAATTTTTTTTTTTAAAAAAAATTTATATATAAATTTTATAAAAAATATTTTTTTCGAAATTTAAAAAAATCCTAATTTGCAAAAATTGGGAAGCAAATATTAATTTAATTTGCAAAATTTATGTTTTAAAACGCAATTTGTTTAAAATTAAACAGAATTAGCTCTAGATTTCATTATACTAATTATCACTTATATATCAAAATTTTTTTCCATTAAAATTTTTTCTATTAAAAAAATTTTTGTTCACTCACGGAGGGTGGGTTTTTGGTCAAAAAATGGCGATTTTTCTAATGGTTTTGTTCGCTCACGGAGGGGGGGGGGGAGTTAGCTATGGGCTTGACAATATGGATAATCATTTAAAAACCATAGAAAATGAGCTAAATCTGAAGAGCACAGATCGAATCAGACAAATAAATGAAGGCCAAAGCAAACTTTCAGAAAGACTCTGCACTATTAGGTGGAAACTTGAGCAATTTCTTGAGTCAAGAAATTCAATCAAAAAGGATTTAGGGGAAGAGTTGAAAATAAGGGCAAAAATAGATCATTTGAATAAAAAGATGGAAATGAAATCGAAGCTTGAGAGAATTAACACACAAAATGTTAGTATGATAGGAAAAGTGAACGTACCTCAAGAAGAAGTAGGCAGCATTCTGAATATTCTTAGAGAGCAGCGAGAAAATGTGAATAATCTAAATCCGCTTTTTTTAAATTTTTACTGGCTTAAGCGTAAAAATGAATTATAAATTTTTTAAATTGAAAAATAAGAAAATGATTTATCATTTCAATTGAAATAATATTAATAAAATTAAAGGAGGCTGAGAAAAAATAATTAATTATTTACGGCTTAAGAAGTAAGGAAATTAGTTTCCGCAGACTCTAATCTGGCTTCAAGAATAGAAGAAGCAGTTCAAAGGTTTAGAAAAAGTAATTAAGAAATTTTAATGATTAGACTCTTTAAATATAAATCAACTCATGCACATTAAGCTTTGAGATAGGTTTGATTTTAATTAAATTAAACAATTTTCATTTTAACAATTAATTAATAAAATTTATTTAAAGTAACTCTAAAGGAATGAATTCATGCAGGGAGTGATGGAGAATTTCTGGAATTTGTATGCCAAGGATAAATTAGGATTATATTAATATTGCTTTATAATTGAATTCTCTGCAATTTTTATCATAATATTGGCATTATTCAAAGATTAAAATTATTCTTATTTTTATTATTACGATTATAAATGACTTTCAGTACCTGGCTTGTATAAAATTAGCCAACTGCTATAATATTTTTTTACTATATTTGGTAATACAATGTCAAAAAATGTTCAATCTGCCGAAAGTGAGGCAAAGGGTCTTCACAGCTTTCTTTCTCAATCATTATTTTCAAGCAGGTTCAAGAACTACTTTTATGGATTTTTTGGTCAGCTTTTTAAAGTGAATTATAACAGAAAAACAAAGCCTAATGTTCAGCTTACTTATGAAATTTTCGTCAACGTCATTTTTACTCTCCAAGTTATATCACTTGCATGATATCCAAACATGAAAGTGAATGATTGAAATTTATATAAGCTCCTCTGGCAATTAATGGGATGAGCAAGCTATGACAGAATTTGTGCAAATTTCGGGATCATGAATTTCTGTTTTCATGGGACAATTTCTCTAATTGGAATGTGTGCTGTATCATTCACAATTTTTGGATTTTTTATATACATTGAAAAAGATCCTCCAGCTTATATAGCAATTTTACCTCGTAAAATTGCCACATTGCTCACCAAATTTTGTTTAATCCCAAGCACTTTGATTTTATTATTGGTAGCCAAATACTCCATAATTAATGCTCAAACAATCGATGAATATGGTAGCTTATCTTCATCGATGCTTGATTACGGTTTTCAAGGATTTTTGGCTGCTGCTTTGGGTTTAATAATTTTGCTATCAATTAATATATATTCAGAATATTTTACATGTGATATCCAGCATTCACACCCAGAAAAAAATATAAAATCAAGGTCAAGCTCTCTTTTAGATCTACAAATTAGAATGTTTTATATCGTCACTTGTGTTTCATTTACTGTTTTTGTAGAGGAAACCATATTTCTTCATCAATCAGTTTTATTTTTATACTCTCTTTTTGTAGTCTACAAATCGCTAACAACTTTACAATATTTTAATGCTATTGAAAACATAATCATAATTTGTAAACTGAGCATGATTTGTACAACATTATTGTTCTTTATTCTTGGAGAGATCTTAAATAGTGCTACAATTATTATTGTTTTTACAATTTTTCTGCAACCAGTAATATTTTTATTGACAATTAAGCTGGTTAGGAGAAATTATAAGAACCTTGGAGATAACATAGACATCCCAAATAATCAATTCGAATTTGAAAAAAAATTCAGAAATTTACTAATTGATGAAGAGAACGAGGATAAATATCAAGTATTGGATTTATTTAAGATTTACTGAAAGGCCAATCGTTTTCAAAAAGACAAGCTTTTTGTAATATAGGAATTTCATTATTGCCTTTTAATACTAAAAGATGAAAGATTAGCAAAGGTAAAATTGTCAAAAATCGCGAATGCAGAAACTTCATTTGAAGGTGAAGTCCAAGAATGAAGGCTCTTTGCACGGCTTGTTAAAAGAAAATGTAAATCTTTCCCTGAAACAAGCTATTTAGGATTTTTAAAAGAATTTAGTAGGATTAAAAATAAAGATGAAGAGCTTTGCTATATACTAATAGATCTTCAAACAGAAATTTCTTTAAAAGCTCCAATAATTCATAAAATTGTGAATTTAGCGAATAGAACAGCAAATTATATTATAAACCTTACTGAAGATTTTAAAAAACTTTGCGAAAAGTATAAAAAATATTGAAGCTTATGATTTATATGCAAGCTTTCTTGAGAATATTTCAAATGATCCTGAACAAGCAGGAATAGCGTATAGGAAAAAGGGGCTTGATTATTATAATCGTCACAACAATGTAAAAAATTTAGGGAACTATGGAAAAGATGTGCCGATATTGTTAGTTTCTTGCACTGATTGTAATATTATGTATATAAACGAAAAAGCATCGCGCTTATTGAAATCTTCAGTCGGAAATATAATTGGTTCTTCATTTTTAAATTTTATTCCTCACCCTTTTGATACTTGCCACTTAGCAGCAGTAAAGGATTTTGTGTTTGATAGTGACACAATTGAGCTCCCATCACATAGCCATTTATTTTTCCAAGATATCCATGGATACTTAATAGAGTGCAATTTTTTAATAAAATTGACTGCATTTCACAACTTTGCGTACTTTTTAGTTACTTTCGAACAACGAAAAGAAGCACGCGAAATTGCAATAATCTCAGATGATGCATTTATTATGGGGCATTCTGAGCTCTTTCCTTTTTATATTAACTCTGAGTCAAAGAACTTAAAAGGCCAAAACTTATCAAATTTACTTCCGAATTTAGATATAAAAAGCATGAAAAATTATGAGTTATGACTAGCGCCTTTTAATGGTGGAGAAATTGCTTTTATTAATGTGAAAAAACAAATAAAATCTATGACAATAAATGGATTAATGATTATCCATGAAGAGGAGGAAATACAAAAATGAAAAGAAGGAACCGCTCAAGATCAACAAATGGACCAAGAATTTACCTTTGATTATGAAAAATCTCAATTGGAAGTAAACCGAATAAAAGGTACTCAGGATCAATTTCTATCTAATAGTAATAATATTTCACTTTTAGCAAAGCCATCAGATGAAACTGGAGTTAATTCTCATGAAGAGTTCCATATAAAAGAAAAAGCTCTCCGACTAAGTGAAGACAAAAAATTATTTATTGAGGATTATTCAAAATCTTCTACTACCTCAAAAAATTCAAGCCAAGCTAAAACTTTACTTTTAGATACAAAAAGAAAAATTAGAGTCCTTCAAGTTGCATTGTTCCTCGTTGTAAGTTTAATTTAGATTTCTTCAATTATAGTGATAGTTTCCGCTATTTTGGGGTTTATGATCACGGACGTGTCTTATACAACATCCCTAAGCTCCTTTAAAAATGTAGGACAACTTCTATATGACCTTGGACTATCTGCAGACTCAGTGAGAGTTATAGACAGTTTGAAATCAAGTAAAGCACCTGAGGAAAAAATTAAGAATTCAATAGTTGATTTAGAAAATTTAATCCTAGACTTAGAAAGTATTCAAGGAATTATTTTTGAAGATTTTAATCAGTGAAGCTATTGTTCAAGCGCAGAAATTGTTACAAGTCCTGTCATTCCTTTAGTATATTTTTATGATATTCATCCGAAAATAGGATATTCAAATTTATATGACTCAGTATCAGAAGTTATATTAGCCGTAATTTTTATATAGTGTAAAAGCATAATTAAAGCAATTTCAGAAAATGAATCCTACCTCAAATATATCAAATTTATTATAGTAAATGGTTCAGGGCATCTTTATGATCGTGTAAATTCTACAATGAACGGTATTGTGGACTGTGAAATAGAAAGAGTAAAGGATACTGGCACATATATATAGGGCTTTCCCTTGAATAGCCCGATAACAGGCTGGCTTCATCCCGTTATCGGGCTATTCAAGGGAAAGCCCTATAACAATTCTTTTAATTTTTGGATTTTGTGTACTTGCGGCGCTGAGTTTAGTAGTTATTGGATTCATTTTTCTGGTTTCTAAAAAATATGATAAATTTTGGAATTTTATTATAAATAATTCGCAACCTGCATTAGCTAAACTTAAGAGTTCAGCTGTAGATAGGCTTATACTTATTCATGGAATTGATTATAACTCAGAATCAAACACAGAAATTTCAGGAAGCCGCATAAAAAGAAAAGTAAGAACTTCTGTGTATTTACAATATAGCTATAGACTTATGATTTTTTTCGTAATTGGAGCTTTTTACTATATATTGATTTCCATTTACCTATACCCACAATGCGAAGTTCTCATGATCAATCGTCCAAAGCTTCTTACTTCTTCACGAATGACTAGAGTTAATTAGAAAGCTAAACCATTTAGCTAATATAAAAATAAAGCTTTTATAATTTTTTTATATATATAGATTATAGCTATTATAATAAATTTTAAGCTGATTTTCTTAAATTTTAATTGAAAATTAAACAAAAAATAAAAATTTCTTGTATAGTTATATTGAACTAAACATAAGAAGACTCAATAATTAAAATAATCTCTTGCTCACTCGTGAAGAAGGGAGGCTAGCAATTTTAATATGAGACGATCAAATCTTAGATGGTTATCAATGTTTTCTAGAGAGACTTATAATCATTATTTGCAAAAAAAAATTCCTCAATATTTTAAATTTGCAAACGCCTGGACAAGTGTGTATAAAGCATCAGACATTTTAAAACTTAAAAATAAAGAGCTCACTCCTTCCTTGCTTGCAGACAGGATATAGTAATTGTCCGAGGATGGCGCAAGATAGCGCCATCCTCGGCAATTACAATATTTTTGCTCGATAATGAAAAGCTAATTTTTATTCAAAATTTATATAAAATAAATATGTTTCAAGAAAAAGGAGCAATTTTTCTTTAAATAAAGGGAATTTTTTCCAATGGTTTCACTAGCTTCAAAAAGGGAAGTCAGAGAAAGCGATTTAAAAAATTTAATGTCGCAAGAATTAAAAGAAAGAATCTACGTAAAGGTGGATTCTAATCATACAATTTTAAATCATGGATCAGAAACAGCAATTAATATAGCTATAGATGATAATCAAAGCCATGGATTATATGAGCTATTGACTGGAGACAAGATTCTCTCTTTGTTTTTAGATGTAGTAGCGATTCAAAATGAGATAAGCCAAGAGTTTCAACTAGCAGATCGAGACTCGAAAAATCTTATAAGTGGAAAACTATACATAATTAAAGACTATTTATTTTAGACAAAATTTCGATTCAATTATGAAACCAGGGTGGCATTTCTTAAATATTTATATGAATAGGTATAGATTCTATTATAAATACAACAATAGCATATTCAATAGCATTGCTTATATTATACTTTTGCTATTATTTACCCTATTTGAATAGGCGAATTAAATATCTTACTCTCCCCTGAGAGAACCAAATTTTTTTTTCACTCATGAAAGGGGGGTAATTTTTTATTTAAGATTTATATATGAAAATTTTTTTTCAAATTTAAAAAAATGCCATTTCGCAAAAACTGGAAAGCAAATATTAATTTGATTTGTAAAATTTATATTTGTTTAAAATTAAAGATTTCATTATACTAATTATAATTATATACAATTTTTTTTTCGCTAACGGGAGGAAGTTAGCAGATTTTTAATTCTTACAGAAATTTTACAAATGGATCAGGACTAATATTAATAATTAAAATTAAAAGTATTAATGCACTAACTGGTATCTTAATTCCATTTTATGTGCTAAAATTCTGTTGATAATAGAAATTGAGTTTTTTAGACTTCTCATGCAATTAAGTCATTATGCATAAATAAGAGCAACTCAGAAGGATTAGGATTATTGTCTAATCTAAGATATATTAATTTATTCAACTATAATAAAGCAAAATTTTAAAGGAATTTACAATAATTTATATATTTCAATAGATCTTTAAAAGATGTGTAAATTTTGAAGTTTAGAGGTCTAAGATATGCCAAGAGGTCGCAATTTATGAGCAATTTAATAGCTGAGCACTTGCTTTTTATAATAGTAGATATAAAAGATAATTTATTAAAATTATAAGTTTAATCTAAATTAAATTTCTAAGCAGTAGGCAAAAAATCTGTATCCTTTATTTAACAAATTATGATATAGCATTTACTTATTAACATATGTATTAAAAAAAGTTTTTTATTGGAATAATTATTATTATTATTTGCTTAGTAATTTCAACATAAGAATAAGAAGGTCTCTAATATCAAGATTGCCTGTATTTTCCAGAGAGATAAGTTCGCCTTGCTGAAATAGTCTTTTGCTGCTCTCACAGTCCATAAAAAATGCGAAAGACTCAATAGATGATATGAATTGACTAAAAAATCAAGCGAGTTAAAAAACAAATTTTTTAGATTTCATGTCAAAAGATTAAAAACAAAATATTTGAAAAAGGAAATAATAATATTTAGCTGCCTTCATTTTGGGTCACAATCTGTAGTTTTTGTAGTTAAAGATTAAATTTATAATATTTTATATTGAAATTTTGTAACCACTTTCACCCTATACCTTTATTAGTAAAAGAATCAGAAGTTCAAAATGAAATTCGTTTAGAATTTAAACTAGCAGATAGGGATTCGAAACATGAGATAAACGGTCTGTTTAGAGTAATTATTCACACAACAGCTATATATTCGCTAGATGTTGTCTTACTTTATTTTTTTTATTTGTTGCCATATTTATATATTCAAAAAGTTTGAGACTTTGTTCACGCTTTGGGTATGGAATCTGAATAGTTAGTTCTTAAATATTTTTTATTTTATATAAATAAATCTTTTTCGCTTAAGAAATAAATAAAGCTGAGACTGCAGCTCCCGCATCGAATATTGACTATGAAAAATATATTGCTGAAGAAATTTTTAAGATTGTCGAGTAAGCTTTATAAGTTTGGATACAAGAGCAAAGCTTCAGGTATAATGAATCTCCATTGATGTTTATTATTAGGTTTTAGTAATAAATTTAATTTCAACAATTTTAGATTTTTTATTATCTCCTTTACTGATTGGAGTCATGAACCCATTTTAATATATGTATATATAATAATAATGTCATTCGATTTTTCTATTGATGATATTGAAAGCAGCCAATATAGCAATTTTTTATCGCAGTCATTATTTCCAAGCCAAATTAAGACTCATTTTTTTACAAGTTTTGCTAAGCTTTTTAAGATCAAGTATCATAAAAAAGCAAATTGAAAGATGCAGATGATTACTGAAATATGTATAAATACAATTATAACTTTGCAACTAATAAGCCTAACATGATATCCAAATTTGAATATTGAAGAATGGGATACTTATAAAGTATTTTGACTTCGACTAGGAATCGTAAGCTATGATGAGATTTGTGCTTCTTGGAATATTATGGGCTTTTGCTTTTATGGAACCATAACTTTAATATCAATTTTTTTAGGCTCTTTTTGGGGCTTAGGAATTTTTTTAAAACATGATCCACCTTGGTTATTGGCTCTTTTTTTTCAGTGTATTGCATTTTTGCTAAGTACAGTTTGCCTTATCCCAAGCACTATGATTCTCCTTGCAGTTCTTAAATATTCTCTATCTCCTTCAAATAATGAGGAATACACTTCTGGAGATACAATGAATTTCGGAATTCATGGAGTAATTTGTGCAATTGTTTACATTTCTTTACTGGTACTAATAAGTAGCTATTCTGAGCTATTTTCTAGTGATTTAAAGCACTCTCATAGTAAAAAAAATCTTAAAGCCAGATCTTCAGCTGGCTTTGATTTGCAAAGGAGGTGATTTTATATGTTTATGTGCATTACATATATAAGCTTTGGTGACTCATATGTATTTTTTCATCAAATTATTTTGGCTGCAGGGTCTTTTTATATGTTTATTAAAAGTATCATTGCTTTGCAATATTTTAATCCTATTGAAAACTCGATTTTTGCTAGTGAATTTGCTTCAGTTACAATTACAATTCTATTTTTTATATTTGGGCAGATAATGGATAACGCAATTGTAATTGTTGTCTTTATCCCTCGTTTAAATTTGAATAAAAAATTGTGCCTAAATTTAAATTATTTTTTGGAAAAATGCTCATATAAGATTTTTGATAAAGCTAATGATTCCAAGTACTAATTTAATCAATAGTATTCTGCTTCCATTAATCAATTTGAAATATAGATCTTTATAGGTAAATTTTTGATTTTAATTAATATTTAATTGAGTATCAATTCTTTTAATTATTTTTACTATAAAAATAAAAATTATATTCAAAAATACAAAAAAACAGGAATTTTACCATTATTTTATTTTTTATTAAAGGGAAGAGAAGTTAATATATTCCTTCAGCCTATAATAATCATCTTTACTACTTTACTAATCAGAAAGAACTATTGGCAGATGCAAAATACTAAACACATAAAGAGTCAATTTGATTTTGAAAGAAAATTCAGACATTTTTTTACTGATCAAAATCAAGAAAATAAGGTAAAAGTTTTAAATTTGTTTAAAAAATACTGAAATTCAAGCCTAGTTCAAAAAGATAGGTTATTTGTGGTATGAGAATTTTACTATTGTCTATATCTAAAAGATGAGAGATTAGCAAGGATTAAGTTATCGAAGATCTCAAAAGTAAAATCGTCATTTGAAGTTGACATAAAAGTCTGAAAGATTTTTAATTGGTTAGCAAATAGAAAAAATAAGCTATTACCTGATATAGATTATTTATATTATTTAAAAGATTTTAGTCAAGCCAAAAAAATGGATGAGAAATTGTGTATTATGTTGGTAAAATTATGCACTGAATTTTCATCAAAATCGCCGAAAATCGAAAAGCTTATTAAATTAACAAATAAAGCATCTAGTGAAATTAATGAGATCACAGAAAATTATAAATTATTAACAGAAAAACATAAAAATCTTGAGAGCTACGAACTGTATGAAAGTTTCTTAGAAAACATCACAAATAACCACGGCGAAGCAAAAATAATAAATAGAAAGAAATCGGGAATAAACTGTTTTTACGGTCAAAATAATGAAGACAGTTATTTAGAAAACTATGGAAAAGGATTAGGAGTTATCTTAATTTCCTGCTCGAAAGCTACATTTGGGTCTATTATTTATCTCAATGAAAAAGCTGCGTCTATACTTAAATCTTCAGTATCAAATATTTGTGGGACTTCCTATATGACTATAATACCTCCTCCTTATGATCTTATGCACGCAAAAATGATGAAAAAATTTATTTCTGAGTGTGTATCAACCCACATCCCAGCCCATCAAAATTTAATTTTCCAATGCTCTGATGGATTTTTACTAGAATGTGACTCCTTAATTAAGCTATCCGCATTTCATAATTCCCCTTACTTTTTACTATCATTTCAGCCAAAGAATACATCAAGACATATAGCTTTAATTTCTTCCGAAGGACTAATAGCATCCCATTCAATTTATTTTGCCCGATATTTCTCCACGGAACAATCTTTAAGAAACCGTCTTATTTACGAAATAGTCCCAGATTTTCAAAAATTGAAAAATGGCATACCGTGGATTGTTAATCATAATGGTAAAAAATTAGGACTGGTAAGTATTACAAAAAAAATAAAATATAGAGAATTAAATTTATTATTGGCTATTCATAGCAGTAAAGAGTTATCTAACTCCCCCTCTGTGAGCAATAAAAAGAATATTGCTCTCTCACGGGTTAATTTTTTTTTATAAAAAATTATGTTTAAGTTTTATAGAATTTTTTTTTAAAAGATCTACTTTGTAAAAATTGGAAATCAAAAATTAATTTAATTTGCAAAATGTAGGTTTTAAAAAAGGAATTTGTTTAAATTTAAACAAAATTAGCTCGAGATTTCATTATACTAATTATCACTCTATATAAAAATTTTTTAGTTCGCTCACGGAGGGTGAGTTTATGGGCAAAAACTAGAGATTTTTCTAATGGTTTTGTTCGTCACTGAGTGGGGGAGTAAATGAAAATCAAAAGGAATAAAAATTAGAGATCAAACAGAAATTACTTATGATAAGCAAGCTATTGATCAAAATGATGCATCGGTATCTCAAGACTTGACACATGATAGTGGTGAAATTAATTTTTTGAAAATTCCTGATTTTGCAAAGGCAAGGAGATCGGCAAAATTGAAAAATATACTACCCAAAACAATGGATAATACTAGCGCTCATGGCTTTGAAGGCAGGAGAGCAGATGAAAAATTGATAAGTGAGGAACACTCAAAGCCTTCTTCTACGTTTTCGTCATTTTCTCATTCACGTCTTTCACAGAAGCTGCTTTTAGAGTCCAAGCAAAAAATAAGAATTCTTCAATGGGTACTTTTTGCGATTGTAAAAATTATTTAGATGTCTTCGACTATTGCAATTTTTATAGGGATTTTAGTTTATATAATAAACGACGTGACTCATATCACCAAAATGAGATCTTCTAATCGTCTTAGCGATCTTTTCCATGATTTTGGGCTATTTGCAGATATATCAAGAGCGATAGAAGATATCATTATTTTAAATGGAACTAAAGAAATGATAGATAGCTATGTTTACAAATTGAGCAATCTTACGGTTGAAGTAATAGATATTCAAACTCATATATTAGATGATTTTAGCCAATGAGAGTATTGCTCATATGCAAACGTAGTCTATGAACCAATTATGCCACAATGAAATTTTGATGGTGTTTTTCCAAAAATTATATACAAAAATTATTATGACACAGTCTCAGATTTCATATATGCTGTAATATTTATTTAGTCGAGGAACTACATAGATGATATAAGAAGCCATCAACACTTTTCAAGACATCTTCAATTTATTGTGGCTAATGGGATTGGATTTTCTTTTGATTATTCAAATATTACAATAAAGGAAATTGAAAATTGTGAAATAAACAGAGTAAAAAACTGATTTTTAAGATTAATGATACATATCCTTTAATATCAGCTGGGCAATAATATTTGATACACAGATCAATTGTTTTGGTTCCTTCCACAATGTCTATGCCTAGCTCTTACAGCAGGACTTGGTAAAAAGCTAATTCACAAAACCATTTTAATAGATTCAGAATAAAAACTACAGGAGAAAAAATAGAGACTTTATTAACGTTTGGGCTTTGCACTCTTGCAGTCTTCATGCTGATAATTTTTTGTTTTGTATTTATAGTATCAAAAAAACATGATCAATTTTGGAATTTTTTAATTGAAAAAGCACAGCCATCTTTAGTGCAGTTAAAAGGGTCTTCTATAGATAGACTTTTAAATGTCCATGGGGTAGATTATCAATCAGAAATAAATTGGGAAATGCAAATTAGAGGGAGAATAAAGAAAATAAAATCAAATTTGCATAAGCGTTATATATGGAGAGTAATGATATTTTTTGTGTTTGCTAGTTCTTATTATTTATTAATTTTTGGGTATTTATATCCGAATTGCGAAAGAAATATGATAAGTCGGCCAAAATTACTTAATCTTAACAATAAAAATATATTTAATTACTATGAACTTGAGATTATTTAAATTTTCAAATAATTAATAGAGAAAATACAAACAGAAGAAAATAGGTAAATTTAAAATTTTATTTTTACTAGTAAATTTTCCCAAAAATTTATTTCCATTTATTTGTTTGCTATTAATTATAGTAATTAGTAATTTTAATATTCGAAGGTCCCTCTTATCAAGACTGACTGTTTTTGCGCGTGAAACAGCGCTACCTTATTGAAAATATCATTTACCTCAATCTTATCCATTTGAAAACTCTTTTAATTTATTCTTGGCAACCTGAAATGAACTAACTCCTCTTCTTTGAATTGAAACCAAAAATCGGTAAAAATTTCCTGTTCTTGAGTACTTTAATCCCTCTATAAATTAGGAAAATTTTATAGAGAAAAATACTAAATGTTATAAATTGATTTTGAACTAATTTAATGGAAAAATACAATAAAAAAAATTAAATTAAATATTTTTATAGAGAAAAATTTGATATGATTTTTTAAAAAAAAAATTCAACCCCATTAAATCGAAAAGAGCTTTTTAAACGGGGAAGTAAGTATAAAAACAAAAGAGATAAGAGGAAATAACTTTTTAGGATTAATGTCTAAAGAGCTTAAAGAAAGGATGTTCGAAAAAGGAGATAGCACCTCAGATCAACTTCATTTTGGAATGAGTTCTGCAGTATTTTCTATTAAAAATGATATTTATAATAGTTTACATTGAAAAAACTATGCTCCTTCAGTTATGATCCCATTCTTGGACGAAGTCACAAAAATTGAAGATGAAATTGGCTTAGAATATGACTTAGCTGATAGAAATTCAAAAAGTGTGATAAATAGTCAGCTAAACGAAATCATTTACATAACTGTTATTTACTCGCTAGCTGTGGGTTTTCTGTTCCTTTTTTATTATTTTATATATTTGAATAAACAAATTAAACAATTGGAGAGTTTTGAGACTTTGCAGACAATTTTATCAATGGGATCATATTAGAGGATGGGGAACTTATTCTTAAAAATTCAAAAATATTATTTTAACCTAAATATTTTTTTAATGTTTTATTCAATAGTTTCCTATTATTTGGCCTGCCAAATAACTAATAAATAGCAAGTTTGATGGCTATTTGAAAATTGCTTTAATAAATAGAGTCTCATTGAACTCTTTAACTCTTATTTTTATTTAATTTTATTTAATACTGTTTCCCGAATAGCTTATAAAAATCAATCGAAAAATTACCATAAGGCAGAACAAATTTTAACAATTTCAGCAGAAAGTGCTTATGGGAATTCTTTGAGCAATTTTAAATTTTATCAGTTATGATTGCAGTTGCTGCCATTTTGGGGTACATGGTTACCGATGTATCACACGCAACATCTTTCAGCTCATTAAAAAATCTAGGATAGCTTTTATATGATCTTGGACAGTCCGCAGATTTAGTGGGGATCATTGGTAATTTGAGAGTGTCTAGCGCGACGAATGATATAATTAATAGCTCTATAACTGATTTAGAACAGTTAATTGCAAGCTTAGAGGATTCCCAAGGCACTATTCTTGAAGATTTTGGCAAGTGAAGCTACTACTCAAGTTCAGAAATCATCACAAGTCCTATCATACCTTTAGTATATTTTGATTTTTTTGAGCCAACAGTAAAATATTCAAATTTATATAATTCAATATCAGAAATTATATTAAATGTAATTTTTATACATTGTAAGAGCATGACTAAAGCTTATTTTGCAAACGAATCTTATCTCAAATATCTTAGATTTATATTAACTAATGACACTGGATATCTCTATGATCAAGTCAGCTCATTATTGAGTAATATTGCTGACTGCGAAATTGAAAGATTAAAATCTACGAACATATATAGCCCATAGGAAGACTAGATTAAAATAATCAAATTAAAAGAATATAAGAAAATTGTATTTTTGAAGTAATAGGGTTTAATAAAAGAATAAACAACAAATATATAATAAAATATGTATGCTATATCTATGTAGTTTTGTCGAAATATGATTTTTAAGATTACTTTTAATAATTTTAAGAGACTGAGAATTGAAGAATATAAGCATTGTTCACGTTGAAATTGTCATATATAAGCAAAATAATTTAAAGCAGCATTAAGTTTGCTATTAAAATGCTTTCCGAAATTAATATGTTTTAATTTTCAGTAGCAGAGTATTTTACATTAATAATGCATTTATTTTTAGATCCTTTTCGATTTTGGTAGTTTCATAAAAGATAATTTTCGTCAATTATTAAAAGCTTTCTCGTTATGCCATTGATCTCAATTTTTTTTAAAATTTTTAGTCGATTAAACTGAAGAATTTAAGGAAGAGCTTTTCTATTAATCATAATTCCTTTTGCTAAATATTTAGGTTCAATATAGCTAACATAATTTTATATTTCATTAAAACTTATAAAAAATTTTAAAGCATATAAAACAATTTTCTTCCCATAGTTTTTGTATGATTTTAATCAGTTATTAAGCATTTAAGTTGTTAATAGCATGTCAGAGACTTTTAGACCAATTGACAATGAGATCAAGGACCTTCACACCTTTCTTTCTCAGTCTCTTTTTTCAAGCAAATTTAAGAACTACTTTTATGGCTTTTTCTGTCAACTTTTTAAAGTAAAGTACAATAGAAAAACAAAGCCAAGTGCCCAGCTCAGCTACGAAATATTAATCAATGTCGTTTTCACACTTCAGATAACATCACTAGCTTGATATCCAAACATGAATGTGAGTGGCTGAAGCTCATACATATTCCTATGAAAGCTATTCGGGTGGGCCAGCTATGATAGCATTTGTGCAAATTTAGGGGTTATGGATTTTTGCTTTTATGGGGACAGTTTCTCTATTATGTTAAATTAAATTGTTAAACTGGCCTTAAGTGGGCAACCCACTAGCTTTACCTCGTCTTGGATCCAAAAAGTCTGTCTCAACAGAGCTCGGATTCGAATGAGGAACATGGAAGGCTTCCATTTCCTGTCCAAGGGATCAACTCTCTATAGCAGAGCCACCGACTGTAGAGTGCCCGCTGGTCCGACAAGGGAAGACCATGTAGTAGGCAAAGCTGTCTAGCCCGTCTGGCAGGGACAGGAAAACCACCGGGGAGAGGTAACTTCATCCTCAGCAAGACATCCCCAATAAGCCTAAAGGCCTACTTCAAAAAGAAACGGAGGTCCTGTTTTCAGCTTCATCAGGATGGGTCCTACCTGCTCCACATGGAGCGCACCTCGGAGTGAATTTCTTTCAAACATCACCATTTTATTTATTTCTCTATTAAGTTAAGTTAAACTAGCCAGGCCATACTTGGGCGAACCTACGGACCTCAGCTCGAAAGGTGACTCCAGATCGGGTTCTGATGTGGCCATACTCCCAGACCAGCCGCCATCTTGATTTCTGGTCTGAGCCACCTGTCCTGAGGATCAGCTCCTTTAGACAGAGCCACTTCTTGGAGAGTGCCCCGATGTTCCCGATGTGGGGAGACCATGTGGTAGGAAAATCCTGTCTAGCCCATCTGGCAGGGACAGGGAAAACCTTCGGGGGAGAAATAAAACTTCCTTTTCGGCATAGCTTCCCAATCTCTGAAGGCCTACCTGGACAGTTTCTCTATTAGCCATGTGCTTAGTATCATTCACAGTTTTTGGTTTTTTTATTTACATCAAAAAAGATCCGCCAATTTATATATCTATTTGGCCTCGCAAAATTGCTATGCTGCTCACAACAGTGTGCTTGGTTCCCAGTGCAATGATTCTATTAATGATAGGAAAATACTCAATAATAAGTGCCAACATGATCGAAGAATACGATGGGTTGTCTTCCTCAATTCTTGATTTTGGCTTTCAAGGAATTTTTCTCTCACTTATTGGACTTGCAGTTTTGATATCAATTAATTTATATTGTGAGTATTTTTCTTGCGATATTCAGCATTCCCACCCAGAAAAAAATTTAAAATCTAGATCATGTTCTCTTATAGACATGCAAAAAAGACTTTTTTACATCCTCGCTTGTATTTCATTTTCGACTTTTGTGAACTCAGAAGCAATCTATCATCAATCCATCTTATTTTCGTTTTCACTGTTTTTGAGCTATAAATCGATCACAATTTTACAGTATTTTAATGAGCTTGAAAATATAATTGAAGCTTGCAAGCTAAGTGTAATTTCTTTTACAATGTTATTTTTTATTTTTGGAGAACTCTTGGACAGTGCTTCAATTGTAATAGTTTTTACAATTTTCCTTCAGCCAATTATTTTTCTTCTGATAATGAGGCTAGCTAGACGTAATTATACAAAGCTAAAAGATAGCAAAGAGTGCCCAAAAAACCAGTTTGAGTTCGAAAGAAAATTCAGACATTTATTAACCGATAAAGATCATGAAGATAAATTTTGGATATTAGATTTATTTAAGACTTTTTGAAAAGCAAATAAATTTCAAAAAGACAAGCTTTTTGTGATATGGGAATTTAACTATTGCCTTTCAATAGTTAAAGACGAAAGATTAGCAAGGGTAAAATTGTCGAAAATTGGGAATGCAAAAACTTCTTTTGAAGGAGAAATCCAAGAATGGAGGCTTTTTACGTGGCTTGTTAAGAAGAAATGCAAAGCTTTTCCTGAAACAAGCTATTTAGAATTTTTAAAAGAGTTCAGCAGAATTAGAACCCAAGATGAAGAACTTTGCTATTTGCTGATAGAACTTCAGGCAGAGATTTCTCTAAAATCTCCAAGAATTGATAAAATTATAAACTTGTCAAAAAGAACGACGAATTATTTAATAAACATTTCCGAAGATTTAAAAAACTTGTGTGACAAATATAAGAATGTCGAAGGATATGAATTATATGGGAGCTTTCTAGAGAATATCTCAAGCAATCATGAAGAAGCAGAAAAAATGATCAGGAAAAAAAACGGACTTGAATATTATAATAAGCAAAATAATACCAGAAAAATAGAAAATTACGGAAAAGATGTGCCTATTTTATTGGTATCTTGTAATGATAATAATATTATGTACCTCAACGAAAAGGCTTCTCGATTGTTTAAAACTTCTATTGGAAATGTACTTGGCACTTCACTGTTGAATTTTATCCCTCAACCTTTTGATGTTTGTCACATGACAAATATTAAAGATTTTGTTTTAGATAGCAGCACGATTGAGCTTCCGTCGCATAAAAATTTATTTTTCAAAAATATTCAAGGTTACTTATTTGAGTGCAATTTTTTATTTAAATTGACAGCATTTCACAACTGTGCATATTTTTTGATTTCTTTTGAGCAAAGGAAAGCAACACGTGAAATTGCATTAATTTCAGACGATGGATTTATTATGGGACATTCAGAGCTTTTCCCCTTCTATATTGGCTCTAAATCAAAATTCTTAAAAGGCCAAACCCTATCATCTTTAGTCCCTATTTTAGACACAGATAAAATGAGAGACTATGAGCCCTGGCTAATGCCTTTTAATGGTGGCGAAATTGCTTTTATTAACACAAAAAAAGAAATAAACTCCACCACAATCCATAATTTTATAATTCTTCATGACGACCAAGAAATAAAAAACTGAAAAGAAGGAACTGATCATGACCAATTTACGCATTTTGCAGATCAAGACATGACTTTGGACTTTGACAAATCTCAAATAGAAGAAGGTAGAAAAGACATCCAAGTCCAATTTCTCTCAGTCAGCAATATATCACTTTTGCCAAGGCCTTCATTTGAAACAGAAGTTTATACTAACGAAGAACTCCAAATTAAAGATATCAGCACCCGGAGGCAAAACGAGCCTTCCCCAAGAAATGAAGATAAAAAATCGGGGACTGAAGATTTTTCAAAATCTTCAGTTGGCTCAAAATTTTCAAAACAAGCTCAAAATCTCCTTTCAGAATCTAAAAGAAAAATTAGAATCCTTCAAATTGTGCTTTTTATAGTGGTAAGAATAAATTAGATGTCGTCTTTTATAGTAGTTGTTGGTGCCATTCTGGGATATATGATCACTGACATATCATATACGACGTCTCTAACTCCCCCTTCCTATGAGCCCATAAAAATATTGACGAGGGGGTTTATTTTATTTTTAAAAATTTATATAAATTTTACCATAATTTTTTTAAAGGAAAAAAAACCCAATTTGGAAAGCAGAAATTAATTTAATTTATAAAATTTATGGTTTAAAGTGAGGCCTCGAGAGATTTCATTACATAAAATAGTGAATTTTCCAATGGTTTTGTTCGCTCATGGAGGAGGAGCAAGCTCTTTCAAAAATTTAGGACAGCTGCTATATGATCTTGGGCTGTCTGCAGATTCTGTAAGGGTTATTGATAATTTAAAGATGATAAACATGACTGATGAACAACTAAATAATGCAGTCACAGATTTTCAAATTTTAATATCAGACTTACTCTCCTTTTTAAAAGCAAGCAAAAGCATTGGAAAAAAAATTCAATGGGAAAATTGAGCCCAAATAAAGTCTCACTTACTTTTAAAGAGGGAGTCAGAATCTATCCAAGGAACAATTTTTAAAGATTTTGACCAGTGAAGCTATTGTTCAGTCTCAAAAATTGTTAAGAATCCTTTGATTCCTTTAATCTATTTTGACACTTTTGATCCAATTGTAAAATATTCGAATTTATATGACGCTATATCAGAACTCATTTTAAATGTATTTTTTATTCAGTGTAAAGGCATGGTTAGTGCCGTCTCAGATAATGATTCCTACCTAAAATATATCAGATTTGTATTAGTTAATGGCTCGGGATATCTTTTTGAAAGAGTAAATTCCACAATGAATGGGATTGTGGATTGCGAAACAGAAAGAGTAAAAATGACTGGCATATATATAAATGCTCTCTTAATATTTGGATTTTTAGCGCTTGGGGTTCTGGTTCTGGTTATTATAGGATATATAATTTTTGTATCACGAAAGCAGGACGAATTTTGGAATTTTATTTTGAATAATGCGCAATGGGCACTTGTTAAACTGAAGAGTTCGGCCGTAGACAGGCTGATCCTCGTTCATGGAATTGATTATAGTAAAGATTTAAATATGGAAATATCAGGAAACCGAATAAAAAGAAAAGTGAAAACTTCTGTTTATGTGCAATATAGCTGAAGACTTATGGTTTTTTTCATAATTGCTGCTTCTTACTACCTTTTAATTTCCTTATACTTGTACCCAAAATGCGAAAATTTCATGATAAACCGTCCAAAGCTCCTTAGCAACTTTAATATAAGGCGTTCCACTCTTAGAAAACTATCAATGCTTTCCAGAGAAACTTATTCCCATTACTTTCAAAAAAAAGTTCCCCAATATTTTCAATATGCAAATGGATGAACAAGTGTTAATATGGCATCAATTATTTTGAGATTTAAAAACAAAGAACTCAGAGAAAGTGACTTAAAAAAATTAATGTCAAAAGAATTAAGAGAAAGAATCTATAATAAGGTAGATTCCGATAAAAGCATCCTTGATTATGGGACAGAAGCTGCAATAAATGCCATAATTGGCGATTGTGAAAATCAGGGATATTATGAATTTATTCCTCCATCAAAGATACTTGCAGTACTTGATGAAGTAGTAGCAATTCAAAACGAAATAAGCCAAGAGTTTCTATTAGCAGATCGTGATTCAAAAAATCTTATAAATAATGAGCTAGATTCAATTATAAATGTAACAGTGGCATACTCAATCTCGCTGATTATATTATATACTTTCTATTATTTACCATATTTTAATGGGCAAATCAAGCAGCTTAATAGGTTCTTGATTTTGCCAGAGATCTTACCAATGGATTCGAATAATATGCTGTGGTAGCTAGTAAATATAAATAAACCATTTTATAAAATATCAATAAATTAAAAAAAAAAAACAATAAATTGATTGAGAATCACCTAGAAACCTGAAGCGAGATTTTGTTTATTCTCAAATTTGATATCATAAAATTTAAAAAAATTGATTATTTATCTCAATGTTTTTATTATTCTAACTTATAAGTTTTTTAATTTATCTCTATTATATCCTAATTCTATATCTAATTTTTCAGATTATATTTCTTGATTTTAAAATTCAAATTTTAATAAAATGAAATTTATTAAATTATTCTGAAGGTTAGGCTATTCGTCTGTAATTCTGGAATTTTCCACAATTTCTGTTTGATTTAAAAGCTTATAAAACATATTTCTGTTGCTAATAAATGCCAAATAATTTTCAATCTGCAATGAATGAGGGAAAGGACTTTCAAAGTTTTTTGCTCGCTTATTATTTTCAAGCAGCTTTAAGAATTACTTTTATGGGTTTTTCGGTCAGCTTTTTAAAGTGAGTGTAATTAATGCTGAAAAAAATAATGAGTATTGCGGTTTACCTTCTTCTATGCTTGATTCTAACCTTCCAGGATTTTTTATTTCGGTTTTGGGCTTAGTAGTTATGTGGAATTTTCAATAATTTTCATTATTATTAATCAAACTTTAAAAGATGTTTAAGTTTTAAGGTTTAGAGGTCTAAGATATGCCAAGAGGCAAAGGTTCAATGAGAAATTTAATAGCTGAGCGCTTGTTTTTTATAATAATAAGATATAATAATAAATAGATTGCAAGAAAGATGATTCTATTGAAATGATAAGTATAATTAATTTAAACTTCAAAGAAGTTGGCAAAAAAATCTTCAAATTTAATTTAACAAATATTGATATAGCATTTAATTATTAGCATATGTGGTTTAAAAAAAAAGGTCTTTTTATTGGAATAGTAATAATTATTATTATTATTTGCTTAATGTCTAGAGAAGTTGTATAAAAATTTACCTTGATGAAGCTTTATTAATTATACTTAGAAAATCATTAAAACTTTGAATTTAATATGCAACATCGAGCCATAATTCCAGCGATTTTAATACTTTAAAAATTATTAAATGTCAAAAATTTTGAAATCTAATGAGAATGAGGCCAAAGATCTTCACAAATTCCTTTCTCAATCATTATTTTCGAGCAGATTCAAGAATTATTTTTATTCTTTTTTTGGCCAACTTTTTAAAGTACACTATAACAGAAATACAAGACCAAGTCTCCAACTCAGTTGTGAAATTTTCATCAATGCTGTTTACACTCTTCAGGTAATTTCATTAGCATGACATCCAAATATGTGGGTTAAAGGTTGGAGCTCATATAATTTAATCTGATATCTGATAGGGTGAGCAAGTTATGACAGCATTTGTGTAGGTTTCGATATAATGAATTTTTGCTTTTATGGGACAATTTCTCTGATTTCAATGTGTTTGGTGTCATTTACAGTCTTTGGAATTTTCATATATTTAAAAAAAAATCCTCCAGCTTATATATCATTCTGAACTCGCAAAATTGCTGTGCTACTTACAACATATTCCCTTATTCCGAGTACTTTGATTTTATTAGTGGTGGCAAAATACTCAATAATTGATGCTCGAACAGTTGATGAATATGGTGGCTTGACTGCCTCTACGCTTAATTTTGGACTTTTAGGTGTTTTTTCAGCAGTATTTGGCTTAGTAGTTTTGATTTCAATTAACTTCTATTTAGAATACTTTTCATGTGATATCAACCATTCAAACCCAGAAAAAAATATTAAATCGAGATCGCATTCTCTATTAGACTTACAAATAAGGCTGTTTTATTTCCTCTCTTGCGTTTCATTTGTGCTTTTTATCAACGAAATAGTTTATATTCATCAATCATTTTTGTTTTGCTACTCTATTTTTGTGTGTTATAAATCATTAACAGTTTTGCAATATTTTAATGTTCTGGAAAACATAATAGTTGCTTGTAAGTTGAGCATGATTTCTTCGACATTATCGTTTTTTATTTTTGGAGAGCTTTTAAATAGCGCTACAATTATTATTGTCTTTGCAGTTTTTCTACAGCCAGCAATATTTTTAATTACAATCAAGTTAGTTAAGCGAAATTATAAAAAGCTTGGAAATAATATAGGCAAGCCAAGTAACCAATTTGAATTTGAAAGAAAATTCAGACATTTATTAACTGATAAAGACTGTGAGGATAAATTTATGGTGCTTAATTTATTCAAGAATTATTGGAATGCAAATCAATTTCGAAAGGATAAGATTTTTGTGATATGAGAATTTAATTACTGTCTTTTCATAATAAAAGATGAAAGATTAGCGAGGGTAAAATTGTCGAAAATTGCTAATGCAGAGAACTCGCTTGAAGGAGAAATTCAGGAATGAAGGATTTTTACATGACCTGTAAATAGAAACTGCAAAGCTTTTCCTGAAACAAGCTATTTAGAATTTTTAAAAGAATACAGTAGGATTAGAAATGAGGATGAAGAACTTTGCTATGCGATAATAGAGCTTCAGATCGAAATTTCTTTGAAAGCTCCAAGAATAAATAAAATTGTGAATCTCGCTAATAGGACTACAAATTATGTAAAATCCCTTTCAAGAGATTTTAAAGCTCTTGTTGAAAAGTATAAAAATATTGAAGGTTTTGAACTATATGAGAGTTTTCTAGAAAATATTTCAAATAACCATGAAGAAGCAGGAATAATAAACAGAAAAAAAAATGGACTGAAAATTAATAGCCAATTTACCGATATAAAAAATATAGAAAACTATGGAAAAGATGTGCCATTATTATTGGTTTCTTGCTTTGATTGTAATATTATGTATCTAAATGAAAAAGCATCACTATTACTGAAAAGTTCAATAGGAAATGTAATTGGGACTTCACTGCTAAATTTCATTCCTCATCCTTTTGACTCTTGCCACTTACTCCCCCCCTCCGTAAGCGAACAAAAAAATCTTGCTCGCTCGATTAATTTTTTTTTCGAAATTTAAAAAAATCCTACTTCGACAAAATTGGAAAGCAAATATTAATTTATTTGATAAAATTTATTTTTTAAACGCAATTTGTTTAAAATTACACAGAATTAGCTCGAGATTTCATTATAATAATTATCACTTATATATCAAAATTTTTGTTGCTGACGGAGGGTTTTTGGATAAAAAATAGGGAATTATATGGTTTTGTTAGCTTATGGAGGAGGAGTTAGCAGAAATTAACGATTATGTTCTTAGTAGCAGCACTATTGAACTAGCATCTCATAGGCATTTATTTATTCAAAATGCTCAAAGATACTTAATTGAGTGTAATTTTTTAATAAAATTAGTGGCATTCCACAACTCTGCATATTTCTTGATTACTTTCGAACAAAGAAAATTAACACGCGAAATCGCAATAACCTCAGAAGACGGATTTATTATAGGACATTCTGGCTCCCCCCTCCGTGAGTGAACAAAAAAATTTTTGTTCACTCACAGAAGGGGGTTAATTTTTTTTTAAATTTGTTTAAAATTAAGCAGAATTAGCTCTAGATTTCATTATACTAATTATCACTTATATATTAATTTTTTTTTTCATAAAACATTTTTCTATTAAAAATTTTTTGTTCAATCATGGAGGGTGGGTTTTTGGCAAAAAAGGGATTTTTCTAATGGCTTTTACTCACAGAGGGTGGGGAGTGAGCATTTCCCCTATTATGCTGGCTCTACGTCAAAAAGCTTAATAGGAAAAATATTGTCAGCAGAAATTCCAGGATTAGACATTAATAAAATGAAAGCCTATGAGCCTTGGCGAGTCCTTTTTAATAGCGAAGAAATTCTCTTCATTAAAATGAAAAAACAAATAAAGTCAACGACAATAAATAAGTTCATAATCATTCACGATGCATATGAAATAAAAAACTGAAAAGAAGAACTAGATGAGGACCAATTGATTAATTTTGCTGAACAAGACTCTGATTTTAACACTGAAAAATATAAATTAGATGAAATTCGAAGAAGTTCAATCAAAAATCAATTTCTATCACCTACCAGCATGTATCTTTTACAAAAATCTTCAAATGAAGCAGAAATTTATTCAAATGAAATAAAAATAACTTCACGACAAAATGAGGATAAAAAATTGTATTCTGATGATTATTCAAAATCTTCAGCAGGCCACAAACTTTCAAATGAAGCTAAAAGCTTACTTTTAGAATCAAAAAGAAAAATCAAAGTCTTACAAATTGTGCTATTCCTTGTGGTAAAAAAAAATTAGGTATTTTCAGGCGTAGTAACAATGGCAGCTATTTTAGGATATATGATTATTGATGTGTCATTAGCAACGTCTCTAAGCTCATTCAAAAATATAGGACAGCTTTTGTATGACCTTGGGATGTCTTATGATCAAGCAAGAAATATCGACTCTCTCATAATGAGTAATCCACTTAATCAACCAATTGATACTTATGCAGCTAATCTAGAAAGAGTGAATGTAGAGTTAGAAGATGTCCAAAAAGTCATTTTTGAAAAGTTTGACCAGTGAAAATATTGTAAGAGCGCAGAAATTGTCACAAATCCAACAATACCTTTAGTTTATTTCGATAGCTCTGAGCCAAAAGCAAAATATTTGAATTTATATGATGCAATATCAGAAATAATATTAAATGTAATTTCTATATAGTCAAAAAGTATGATTAAAGCTATATTTGCAAATGAATCTTACCTCAAATATCTCAGATTTGTATTAACTAATAGTCCTGGATATCTTTATGATCAAGCCAATTCAATGATGAATGATTTTGTCGATTGTGAAATAGAACGAATAAGAACTACAGGCATTTATATATAGCCTTAGACTGCTTTTAGCCAAGCTCAAGCCATATATGTCTTTCGTCTTTTAAAACAGAGTAATAAAATGGCAGTAAAAACTAAAAGATTAACAATTACCAGCCATGACTATAGGTGAAAAGAGTATTATATAGCCAGCAGAGCTAAAAGCAGCCCTATTATATATACACTCTTTTGATATTTGGATTTTTAATACTTGGGGTATTGGTTTTAGTCGTTGTTGGATGTATTATTATAACATCAAAAAAATATGATGAATTTTGGAATTTTATTTTGAATAATGCGCAGTCCTCGTTAGCCAAGCTTAAAAGTTCAGCTATTGATAGACTCGTTCTCATTCATGGAATTGATTATAGCTTAGAATCAAATATTGATATATCTGGAAATCGCTTAAAAAGAAAAGTAAAAATTTCTGTTTATATGCAATATATTAAAAGACTTATGATTTTTTTTATGGCTGCTAGTTCTTATTATCTTTTGATTACCATCTATTTATATCCAAAATGTGAAGATTTAATGATAAATCGTCCAAAACTTCTTAGCAACTTTAGTATATTGCGATCCAATCTTAGAATATTAGCAATTTATTCTAGAGAAAATACTTCTCATCATTTCATGAGAAAAGTTCCACAGTATATTAATTTTCCCACTCCCTGGGCAAGCCTTAATAAAGCCTCAAATATTTTAAGAGAGAAAAATAAAGAACTCAGAGACAGTGATATGAAAAATGTAATGTCACACGAATTAAGAAAAAGAATATTCGAAAAAGTTGACTCTGACACCAAGGTTTTAGATTATGGGACAGAAGCGGCTATCAATGCTGTTATATTTGATTGCGAAAATCGGGCATTTTTTACAGCCTTACCCTTAGCAACAATTTACTCAGTATTTACAAATGTCATGAAAATTCAAAGCGAAATAAATCAAGAATTTTTATTGGCAGATCGCGACTCAAAAAATCTCATAAATGATAATTTAGATTTTATAATATCTATAACTGCAGTATATTCAGCAGCTTTGTTTCTATTATACTTTTGCTATTATTTGCAATACTTTAATTATCAAATTCATCATCTTGATCGGATCTCAATTCTCGCAGAAATTTTGCCAATTGATATGGAATAGTTTTAAGTAATAGCTTTGTTTTAAAATGTATATCAATTTTGATGTTAAAATTAAGTATCCAGCTATGGATATTGAATTATTTAATAATAATTAATTATTTAAATAAATTAAAAATTATTAGTTTTTTAAAAAAATTGCTTTTAAAATGCTTAAACCTTAATTTTTCAAATAATTAGTCTTCTTCTTTTTTTTATAGCTTACTTATAATTGAGGACTAAATTAGATAATAACGCAATTAAATTATAATATACACTTTAAACCGCAGGAAATATCAATTTAGGTGATCTTGGTGAGCCGTCGAAGGATGGCTATATTAATGGTAAAAACAAATTCACGACTTACAGGTTTTTTCTTCTATCTAAGGATTTATGTGACTCTTAGAGTTCAATAACTTGTAACTTGATTTGTGGAGAAGAATTTCACTTATGATAAACAACTCAAAATGGGTTCAGCACACTGAATCTTAACTTATTTTGTTTCCGAAAATAAATTTTAAAAAATTCTGACCAGATCAAATTATCTGATAAAATGGCCGAAGTAATTTAGAGGTCCTAACTTGAATTCAACTATAATGAAAAATTTTAAGAGGTTTTCTGACAGAGGATAGCTTACTGCTGTAGGGGAGGCCGATAAAATAGGTATAAATGGGTCTGCTAAAATTCAAGCCAGTATAAAGGTCCCGCCCACCGCAGCACTATTATTAGAATGAAGATCTTCCAATGAAATAACAATATCCAAAAGTAGGTAAACAATTATAACTTGCTAGAGACTTATTGGGCAATTATTTTTGAGGGTGCCTTTAACATCGCAAATTAGCTTTAATTGAAATTAAATTTGAGCCAAAATAAAGCAATTTAGGAGTGCCTTCCTATGCCTAACTCCCCCCTATGCCTGTACCTTCCTGATGCTGCTGAGCTTCCCCTTTCCAACCTAGAAACCATATTCATGAGCTATACCAAAAAAATTAAAAATTTAATGATAAATTGCCCAAAGCTCTCCACTTCCTTTTTCCGTATTTGAATAACATTTTGAAGCAGCTTTAGATATCTAAAATGTTGTTTAAATAAAACTTTTAAATGCTATATTTTAATTTCAATTCATATTTAAATATTTTAAAATCATGCTTAAATATATAATGGATTTATTATAATCTTAAAGTTGTGTTGGCTCTTTGTCATTTTAGGATCTGTAATAACTGATATAATAATCTTATTTAAATTTATGGAACTTGGCAAAATAATCTTTATATTTAATTTAACAAATATTGATATAGCATTTACTTATAAGAATATGTAAAAAAAAAAGTCTTGCTATTGGAATAAAAATTATTGCTATTTACTTAATATCTAGAGAAGCTGCATAAAAATATTACCTTATTGATTAGACTTTGATGAAACTTTATTAATTATAATAGAAAATCATTTAAACTTTGAATTTAATACGCAATATAGAACCATAACTCCAGTGATTTTAATACTTTAAAAATTATTAAATGTCGAAAATTTTGAAATCTAATGAGAATGAGGCCAAAGATCTTCACAAATTCCTTTCTCAATCATTATTTTCAAGTAAATTCAAGAATTATTTTTATTCTTTTTTTGGCCAACTTTTTAAAGCACACTATAACAGAAATACAAGACCAAGTCTCCAACTTAGTTATGAAATTTTCATCAATGCTGTTTACACTCTTCAGGTAATTTCACTAGCATGACATCCAAATATGTGGGTTAAAGGTTGGAGCTCATATAATTTAATCTGATATCTGATGGGGTGGACAAGCTATGACAGCATCTGTGCAAGTTTCGATATCATGAATTTTTGTTTTTATGGGACAATTTCTCTGATTTCAATTTGTGTGATGTCGTTTACAGTCTTCGGAATTTTTATTTATTTAAAAAAAAATCCTCCAACTTATATATCATTCTGAACTCGCAAAATTGCTGTGCTACTTACAACATATTCTCTTATTCCGAGTACTTTGATTTTATTAGTGGTAGCAAAATACTCAATAATTGATGCTCGAAAAGTTGATGAATATGGTGGCTTACCTGCCTCGACACTTAATTTTGGACTTCCAGGTGTTTTTTCAGCAGTATTTGGCTTAGTAGTTTTGATTTCAATTAACTTTTATTTAGAATACTTTTCATGTGATATCAACCACTTAAACCCAGAAAAAAATATTAAATCGAGATCGCATTCTCTATTAGACTTACAAATAAGGCTGTTTTATTTCCTCTCTTGCGTTTCATTTGTGCTTTTTATCAATGAAATAGTTTATATTCATCAATCATTTTTGTTTTGCTACTCTATTTTTGTGTGTTATAAATCATTAAAAGTTTTGCAATATTATAATGTTCTGGAAAACATAATAGTTGCTTGTAAGTTGAGCATGATTTCTTCGACATTATCGTTTTTTATTTTTGGAGAGCTTTTAAATAGCGCTACAATTATTATTGTCTTTGCAGTTTTTCTACAGCCAGCAATATTTTTAATTACAATCAAGTTAGTTAAGCGAAATTATAAAAAGCTTGGAAATAATATAGACAGGCCAAGTAACCAGTTTGAATTTGAAAGAAAATTCAGATATTTATTAACTGATAAAGACTGTGAGGATAAATTTATGGTGCTTAATTTATTCAAGAATTATTGGAATGCAAATCAATTTCGAAAGGATAAGATTTTTGTGATATGAGAATTTAATTACTGTCTTTTCATAATAAAAGATGAAAGATTAGCGAGGGTAAAATTGTCGAAAATTGCTAATGCAGAGAATTCGCTTGAAGGAGAAATTCAGGAATGAAGGATTTTTACATGGCTCGTAAATAGAAACTGCAAAGCTTTTCCTGAAACAAGCTATTTAGAATTTTTAAAAGAATACAGTAGAATTAAAACTCAAGATGAAGAACTTTGCTATGCGCTAATAGAGCTTCAGATCGAAATTTCTTTGAAAGCTCCAAGAATACATAAAATTGTGAATCTATCAAATAGGGCTACAAATTATGTAAAATCCCTTTCAAGAGATTTTAAAGCTCTTGTTGAAAAGTATAAAAATATTGAAGGTCTTGAACTATATGGGAGTTTTCTAGAAAATATTTCAAATAACCATGAAGAAGCAGGAATAATAAACAGAAAAAAAAATGGATTGAAACTTAATGGCCAATTTGCTGATATAAAAAGTTTAGAAAACTATGGAAAAGATGTGCCATTATTATTGGTTTCTTGCTTTGATTGTAATATTATGTATCTAAATGAAAAAGCATCACTATTACTGAAAAGTTCAATAGGAAATGTAATTGGGACTTCACTGCTAAATTTCATTCCTCATCCTTTTGACTCTTGCCACTTACTCCCCCCCTCCGTGAGTGAAGAAGAAAAATCTAGTTCGCTCACGGAGGGGTTGATTATTAATTTTATAATTTTTTTTTTCGAAATTTAAAAAAATCCCACTTCACAAAAATTGGAAAGCAAATATTAATTTATTTAATAAAATTTATGCTTTAAAACGCAATTTGTTTAACATAAAACAGAGTTAGCTCAAGATTTCATTATAATAATTATCACTTATATATCAAATTTTTGTTTGCTGACGGATGGTTTTTGGGTAAAAAATAGAGATTTTTAAAATGGTTTTGTTCGCTCACAGAAGGGGGAGTTATCAGAAATTAACGATTATGTTCTTACTCCCCCCCTCCGTGAGTGAACAAAACCATTAGAAAAATCGCTATTTTTTGTCCCAAAAACCCACCCTCCGTGAGTGAACAAAAATTTTTTTAATACAAAAATTTTTTATGGAAAAAAATTTTGATATATAAATGATAATTAGTATAATGAAATCTAGAGCTAATTCTGTTTAATTTTAAACAAAGTGCATTTTAAAACATAAATTTTATAAATTAAATTAATATTTGCTTTCCAATTTTTGCAAATTAGGATTTTTTTAATTTCGAAAAAAAAAAAGTTTTTTATAAAATTTATATATAAATTTTTTTAAAAAAAAAATTAACCCCCCTCGTGAGTTAACAAAATTTCTTTGTTCACTCACTGAGGGGGGGGGAGTTAGCAGCAGCACTATTGAACTAGCATCTCATAAGCATTTATTTATTCAAAATTCTCAGAGATACTTAATTGAGTGTAATTTTTTAATAAAATTAGTGGCATTTCACAACTCTGCATATTTCTTGATTACTTTTGAACAAAGAAAAGCAACACGCGAAATTGCAATAACCTCAGAAGACGGATTTATTATAGGACATTCTGAGCATTTCCCCTATTATGCTGGCTCTACGTCAAAAAGCTTAATAGGAAAAATATTGTCAGTCGCAATTCCTGCATTAGACATTAATAAAATGAAAGCCTATGAACCTTGGCTAGTCCCTTTTAATAGCGAAGAAATTCTTTTCATTAAAATGAAAAAACAAATAAAGTCAACGACAATAAATAAGTTCATAATCATTCACGGCGCATATGAAATAAAAAACTGAAAAGAAGAACTGGATGAGGACCATTTTATTAATTTTGCTGGCCAAGACGTTGATTATGACAATGAAAAATATAAAATAGATGCAATTCGAAGAAGTTCAATCAAAACTCAACTTCTATCACCTACCAGCATGTATAGGATTTTCCCATGGATGGAGCTATATTGGCCTTGATTTTCCCACTGGAAAAATTTTTTGTTTTGACCAAACCATATGGTGTTGGCGAACCAAAAAATTTTTCCAGTGGGAAAATCAAGGCCAAAACAGCGCCATCCACAGGAAATTGCAATATCTTTTACAAAAATCTTCAAACGAAGCAGAAATTTATTCAAATAAAATAAAAATAACTTCACGACAAAATGAGGATAAAAAATTATATTCTGATGATTATTCAAAATCTTCAGCAGGCCACAAATTTTCAACTAAAGCTAAAAGTTTACTAGTAGAATCGAAAAGAAAAATCAAAGTCTTGCAAGCTGTACTATTCCTTGTGGTAAAAAAAAATTAGGTATTTTCAAGTGTAGCAACAATGGCAGCTATTTTAGGATATATGATTATTGACGTATCATTAACAACGTCTCTAAGCTCATTCAAAAACATAGGACAGCTTATGTATGACCTTGGGATGTCTTATGATCAAGCCAGAAATATCGACTCACTGATAATGAGTAATCCACTTAATCAACCAATTGATATTTTTATAGCTAACCTAGAAAAAGTGATTGTAGAGTTAGAAGATGTCCAAAAAGTCATTTTTGAAAAGTTTGACCAGTGGAAATATTGCAAGAGTTCAGAAATTGTCACAAATCCCGCAATACCTTTAGTTTACTTTGATAGCTCTGAGCCAAAAGCAAAATATTTGAATTTATATGATGCAATATCAGAAATAATATTAAATGTAATTTCTATATAGTCCAAAAGTATGATTAAAGCTGTATCAGCCAATGAATCTTACCTCAAATATCTCAGATTTGTATTAACTAATAGTCCTGGATATCTTTATGACCAAGCCAATTCAATGATGAATGATTTCGTAGATTGTGAAATAGAAAGATTAAGAACTACAAGCCTTTATATATACACTCTTTTGATATTTGGATTTTTAATACTTGGGGTACTGGTTTTAGTCGTTGTTGGATGCATTATTATGACATCAAAAAAATATGATGAATTTTGGAATTTTATTTTGAATAATGCGCAGTCCTCGTTAGCCAAGCTTAAGAGTTCAGCTATTGATAGACTCGTTCTCATTCATGGAATTGATTATAGTGAGCTGCAATGAATTATTTATGAATTTAATTAATTTATTTAATTAACTCATACCTAAATTGAAGAGAAAACTTGGGAACAAATTAATATAGTACAATTTATAGCTCAGAATCAAATATTGATATATCGGGAAATCGCTTAAAAAGAAAAGTAAAAACTTCTGTGTATATGCAATATATTAAAAGACTTATGATTTTTTTTATGGCTGCTACTTCTTATTATCTCTTGATTACCATTTATTTATATCCAAAATGTGAAGATTTAATGATAAATCGTCCAAGACTTCTTAGCAACTTTAGTATAAGACGATCCAATCTTAGAATATTAGCAATTTATTCTAGAGAAAATACTTCTCATCATTTCATGAGAAAAGTTCCACAGTATATTAATTTTCCCACTCCCTGGTCAAACCTTAATAAAGCCTCAAATATTTTAAGGGAGAAAAATAAAGAACTCAGAAATAGTGATATGAAAAATGTAATGTCACACGAATTAAGAAAAAGAATATATGAAAAAGTTGACTCTGACACCAAAATTTTAGATTATGGGACAGAGGCGGCTATCAATGCTGTTATATTTGATTGCGAAAATCGGGCATTTTACACAGCATCACCCATAGCAACAATTTATGCATTACTTACAAATGTCATGAAAATTCAAAGCGAAGTAAATCAAGAGTTTTTATTGGCAGATCGTGACTCAAAAAATCTCATAAATGATAATTTATGCCTATGAGAGCAGACATTGCAATTGGGTATTTTAGAGATCATATTATATATAAAAGAATTGCGATAGAATATTTTTTGAATATTAATATAAAAGGACATAGATTTTATTATATTTATAACTGCAGTATATTCAACAGCTTTGCTTCTATTATACTTTTGCTATTACTTGCCATACTTTAATTATCAAATTAACCATCTTGATCGGATCTCAATTCTCGCAGAAATTTTGCCAATTGATATGGAATAATTTTAGCATACTTAAAATGGCTTGACAAGCCGGCATACTATCTTTAACGTCTGTAGCCTGACGGGTGTCTGGAGATCTTGTGAAAGAGAGAGTTGCGTGATATAAGAGTGTCCGGCCAGGTTTTTCTTGGTCTGGTTGAGCGCAATGTCGGGCTGATCGACCACAGGCTCACATTCTGGGCAAGATTTTTCCTCTTGGAATGGAAAAGGGATAGCCCAGCAAGGCCAGAAGGCGTTTGCTTGGCCTATCGGCAATTTCTCAATGCGATACCAGGAGTAGTGCCCTAGGCTCCAAGTTTCATTTGGACCGACAGCCTGATAAGGAAATTCATTTTTTGAATTTTAGGAAAGGTAGGCACAGTGAATCAGCGTCTTGACCTCTGGGTTGCGAGTGCAAACTCTCGTCCTTAGTGTCTAGCACATGCCTTAGGCCATATAATCAGATTATCGAGCAGAGAGTGAAGTAAAGAAAGTAACGGGGAAAGCCAACACAGCTGGGGCAGGAGCTAATCTATAATAATCTAAGTTAAGATACAGAATAGTTTTAAGTAATAATTTTGTTATAAAATTTATATCAATTTTGATGTTAAATTAAGCATCTTATGGGTATGGATTATTTTAATAATAATTAATTATTTAAATCAATAAAAATTCATATATTTGATTTATTTCTAGTTTTTTAAAAACATTGCTTTTAACACGCTTAAACCTTAATTTTTCAGTCTTCTTCTTTTTATAGCTTACTAGTTTTGAAATTATTTTGTTTCCGAAAATAAATTTTAAGAAATTCTGATCCAAATCAAATCATCTGATAAAGTGGTCGAAGTAAGTGTCGAAGCCCTAACGTGAATTCAAGCTGTAATGAAAAATTTTAAGAGGTCTTCTGGCAGACTATAGCTTGCTTTAGGGGAGGCAATAAAATAGGTATAAAATTGGTCTGCTAAAATTTAAGCCACTATAAGGCCGCCCACCACGACACTATTATTGGAAGACAGATCTTTCAATGAAATAGCAATATCCAAAAGTAGGCCAAACAATTATAATTTGCTAGGACTTATTGGACTATTATTTTCGAGAGTGCCTTTAACATCACAAATTGGCTTTAATTGACATTAATTTTTTGGCAAAAATAAAGCAATTTAGGAGTACCTTCCTATGCCTAACTTTCCCCTCCGTGAGCGAACGAAAATTTTGAATACTAAAGGAGTTAATTTTATTTTAAAATAAATTATTTATAAATTTTTTTTGGAAATTTAAAATATTTCAATTCACAAAAACAATTTTTAATTTACTTGGTAAAATTTATGTTTTAAAATGCAAAGCTGCTTAAATTAATCAGAATTAACTAGATTTTCATGTACTAATTATCACTTATATATCAAAAATAATTTTTCATAAAAATTTCATATTAAACACATTTTTTTTTAGCACATGGAGAGTTGGTTTTGACCAAAAAATAGGGATTTTTCAATGGTTTGTACGCTTACGGAGGGGAGTCTTCAGAAAACCTTGCTCATCTCCATGTGAAAGCCTGCTTCATTATCAGTAGCATAAAAATAATTGATTTAAGAAACATTTTTTTGAACGAAATACAAATGAATCTGAGAAAATTTTAGCCAAAAAGTGGTTAACCAAATTATTTTAGACACATTCGATAAATGCCTAAAATTATTTTGATTGGATGCTTTAACAATAAAAAAAAATTTTTAATCAGCTATTTTCTAGATTTTAGCATTTATATTTCAAGGAAAATTAATTTAGCACCAAAAAAGTTATTCAAATCTTAAGTTTTTTTTCTAAATAAGATAAATAATTTGGATCTATTTTATTTAGAAACTAATTAATTCAAAATTGGATCTTTTAAAATTGCAATATTCTTACATTTTATAGAGACTCTACTCTTATGGGCTCTCATTGTCCCAATGTCTCCCGAGGAGATCCGATGGTTGGTATTTTCAACTATCAAATGAAAAATCCTTCTTATTATGCAGATTATCAATGAAAGGGTTGGCTTTATCAGCATATGCTGATAAAGATTCTTCAGGAGAAATTAAAACTATGGGAGTCCATAAGCTTAGAGACGCCATAAGAGGCAATCTATTAGTTATTGCTAGTTAATTTTTAATAATCTGTCCATATTAATTGAAACTTTGATATTCTTCTGATTGTCATAATTGTTAAATTTATGATACACAAAATGCTAGAGAAGAAGAAATATATCCGGGGATTCTCGCTGGTGAATCACTATCTTATTCTATCAGACTGAATCAAGGACGTTACAAAGCATTGATGCTTTGGTGACAGCGCTATCAATACAGTTACACCATCTATCTTTTAGTTAATATTAAGAAGAGATTAAGATTGTTAAATTTATATTTTGAATTCTCTCTAGATAAAAAATTGTTAATTTCTTTAATAGCTAATCTCAAAAAAGTTCCATTTAAGAATGTTGATCATAATTGGTGTCCATATAATTTTTACCTTTAAAATATTATGCCTGCTGCATGGACAAAAGAAATCTTTAATACCTATTCCCTTTCAAGAATGAGCAAAATATAGTGTAAAATCATAATTTTTTTTTGAAATAAATAAAATTTGAAACCGAGGCTTTAATTTTAGGAGTCAAAGAAAGCAAGGTTGTGTCTTAAAAATTCCATGCTTGCCAGCCATATCCTTAGATTTATATGTGTTTAATGTTTACTACTAAATAGCCTATATACTTCGTCTCTTTCTTCCGGGCTCCCATCTGCCACTGCACATTATGCCAATAGGTATCAACCTGAATGCTTCCAGAGCTTTCAGATTTCTATAGCTGCTTCCAGCTTTGGATTCGTATCTAGATTGCCTACACAGAAAATTAAAAAAAATGGGATTTTTGGCCGATTATCGGCAAAAGGGTTGGACCTGTGGTTAAGTGCGCTACTCCTGATATAACTTTGGAAAGTTTCCCGAATAGCCTAATAGTACCGATAGGCATCACTTGGCTATTATTTCCAACTCTATCCTTTCCCATGAGGTAAAGTCAAACTTTGGTTACTGCTGGGATTGTTTCCAAGCCAAGCTACCATCGGGTCAATGGAACCTTGGCTCCTGGGATAGGATGGCTAGAGAGATCGACGACATCAAGAAGTGCGGGATAAAGACTGAACAGGCTGCATGGATCTCTGCATGATTCAAAGTCAGCTAAGAGATAGACTGTCTGAGGCAAGATGGAAGCAACTCCGCAGCTTATCAGACTCCAATGGAGCGATGCAAGCTAATTCGGGGTAATCATATTGAAGGCGCGTGCTCCGATAAAGTCAACTGATTTGAGATGTAAAGATAAGCCACTTTTCAATCGCTAGCAGTGGGTAATAATGGCCTTGGGGCCTATCACTGCGAACTTTAGCTCTTCTATAAATTGTCTTACGACCTCTAAATAAAGTAGAGTCAATATAAAATAAAATTTCAATTTTTCTAAAATTCAAAATAATTTAGCAATATTATTCAAAGTTGGAGATAATCATTTCTGCATAATTTTTAAATAGAAAATTAACCATCATTGCAAAAAATCAAAGAATCTACTTATTTTGTGGAAGGGAAGCTATGAAATTTTATCCCAGTCACTACAATCGGGCCAATACAAAAAATTTTTTTTCAAGCTTTTTGCGAAACATTTTAAGCAAAAATATAGCCTAAACACGAAGTCTAAGAGCCAAGCAGTCTATGAAATTTCAGTAAACATAGTTTTGGCCTTGCAAGCAATTAGGTTGATGTGATATCCAGATTCCAGCCTTTCTGAATGGGAAAGTTACAGAAGTATATGAAAAGTGTTAGGATATATTAGTTACGACTCAATTTGTGCAGAATCAGGGCTGATGAGCTACTGCCGGCTTACAACTTTTATTTTACTAGCTATAGAATTTGTATTTTTACTTCTTCTTGGCTTCTCCACTTACACAAATAAAAAGCTTCCATATTTTGTGACATTTTTACCCAAAATTATTCTATTTATTTTTACTATAGTTGGAATAATTCCAAATTGGCTCCATGTCATTTAATCGGAGTGTTTTTCTGTATGGAATTTCTTCAGGTATTTTTATTCCCTCGTTAGCCATTTAATATAATTTAAATTTTTTCTAGACCAAAATTCCGAGGAAGGAAAAAATTCCTAGCACATGACTGGCAATATTCCAAGTTTCATGCTTCTTATTGTTACATTAAAATATTACATAATTGGATCTACTTATATAAGAGAATATGGAATTAGAATAGAACCCAATGAAATTAATGAAATAAGTACAACATTATCAATTTTTTCGCTTATATTGCTTTGTTTTATTTTGATGTCTTATGAAATTTTCTCATGCGATATGAAGCATTCTCATCACAAAAAAAATATTAAATCAAGGTCTTCGTCAGAATTAGATTTGCAGATAAAGCTATTTTATATCATTTTATGTACTTCATATATTTCTTTTGGAAGTGAACATATTATTCTGCATCAAATTTTGATGTTTTTGCTGTCTTTGTGCTTAGCTATAAAATCTATTTTTATTTTACAATATTATAATGTAGTTGGAAACTGAATTCAGTCATGCAATATGATGATTATTGCCACAGCTCTGTTTATTTTTCTTTTTGGAGAAGTTCTAGATAATTCGGAAATTATTTTGATTTTTAATATCATTTTGCAACCAATAGTTATATATTTTACAATAAAATTTGTGATTTATAGGCATAAAATATTAAAAGAAAGCCATGAAATACCGAGAAATCAATTTGAATTTGAAAGAAAATACAGACATTTGCTAATAGATAAATTTAGAGAAGATAAAATAGAAACTTTGAATTTATTCAAAAAATATTGAAAAATGAGTCAATTTAAGAAAAATAAAATTTTTGCTGTGTGGGAATTTAATTTTTGCAATTCTATAGTAAAAAATGAAAGACTAGCAAGAGTAAAATTATCAAAAATTTTTAAAGCAAAATATTCATTTGAAGGAGATATTCAAGAATGGAAAATATTTAACAAACTTGAGAGCAAAAAATGCCAACAGTTTTCTGATGTTAACTTTTTAGAATTTTTGCAAGAGTTTCGTATGATAAAATTTAAAGACGAAAAATTGTGCAATACAATTGTAGATTTGCATAATGAATTTAGTTTAAGAAAGCCAAATATATCTAAGCTAATGCATTTAGCTATTAAAGCTGCGAATAAAATCAATAAAATTACAGAAGGATATAAGAAATTGATTGAAATACACAAAAATATTGAGGCTTATGAACATTATTCAAGCTTTCTTGAAAATATCGCAGGAAACATTGAAGAAGCAAGCCTAATAAATAAAAAAAAAGATGGATTAAATTTTTATAGTCAACGAAATGAATATCAAAGTCTAGAAAATTATGGGAAAACAATTGGGGTTATGCTTATTTCTTGCTCTGAAGAATCTTTTGGCATAATTTCTTATATAAATGAAACTGGGGCACAAATCTTAAAAACTTCCCTAATAAATGCTAATGGGACACCTTTCACAACTTTCATTCCTTCCCCTTTTGACGTTTTACATGGAAAATCAATGAAAATTTTTTTACAAGATTGCATAACAACAGAAATTTGTTCCCATAAATCTTTATTTTTTAAATCAAATAGTGGCTTCTTGATAGAATGCAATATTATGATAAAATTGACAACTTTTCACAACAATTCTTACTTTTTAGTTTCATTTAAACCAGTTTCTTCAAAACGACAAATCGCTTTGCTATCCCCAGAAAACATTATCCTTAATCATTCAGAATTATTCTGTTACTTCATAAACAATCCAATTAAAATCGCTTCAGGAAAGCCACTTTCAGATATAGCTCCTTATCTAAACACAAATAGAATGTTAAACTACGAGCCCTTGATTCTAAATTTTTTTTCAAAAGAAATTGCATTTGTTCATATCCAAAAAACGATAAGAAATACAAGATTTTGTTATCTGCTTGTAATAAATGATGAAAAAGAAATCAAGCAGTGGAAACTTAAAGAGGATGAAAATCAATTAGAGTTTTATGAGCACTCACAAAATGAAGCAAAAAATGATCAATCAAATGGATTTTTGTCACCTAAAAACGTTTTCTCAACAAATGCCCCATTTTCCCCTAAAAACTTTGAAAAAGAAGCTGTTCTTACTACTAATAAATTTCCGAATATAGATTGTGATAAAAAGATAGAAAGCCAAATAGAAAACCCTTCAAAGCTGTCCTCCTCAAGAAACAGCAATAGTAAAGGCTCAAATCAAGCCAAAAGATTATTATTGCAGTCGAAAAGGAAAATTTCTGTGCTTCAGTGGGTGCTGTTTATTATGGTAAAAACTAAATAGATGATTTCAGTTATCATTACTATGATAGCTATGCTAGCTTATATAATTTCAGATGTATCTCGAACTTCAAGAATGAGCTCTCTTGGGCATCTTGGAAATCTGCTATATTACCTTGAAGCGGCAACAGAGTCTATTCGAACATTAGACAAAGCATCAAAAAATTCCATTTATACGACAGCTCAGATGGAGGGTTTTGCATTAGATTTTAGTAACATTCTTGATGAAATAGACATTATAAGAGACAGCATTTTAGCTGATTTTGAATTATGAACATATTGCAAAGCTTCTGAAATTATTGACGACCAAATAGTTCCTTTATGAAATTTTGATAGTGGTAAACCAGCTATTGATTATGATAATCTGTACAATTTTATTTCGAGATTTATTGACACAGTAATCTCTATTTAGGGTAAGAAAGTACTGGGTAAAGTACCTTTAAAACAAGACTTTACTTAAATAAAAAAATAAATTGATTCAATGTGAAAAAACTATTTAAATAGAATTCTAAATTTTTAAGGTTTTAAATGGCATGTTTAAAGTGTTCAATGAGTGCGCGACGCTTGATTTTAGAAGAAGAATTAAAGCTGTACATGAAGGGAAGGGAATTACTGCCTTCTAGCCAGGTATCAAGGATGATGAAGCAGCATTGGAAAGTCATGGAGTTTGGCGGCATGTCAGAGAACGAGGAAGAATGGCTAAATGGTACAGATATTGCTCTCAATGCAGAAGAATACTTGATGCCACCAGAAGAGTTCTTTTCTGACTATGAATCTGAGGAGGATTACTGAAGCAACTACGATGACCATGATGATTATGATGAAGAAGATGAAGATGAAATATGAGGAAGATTTGTATCCTGGGCTTGGAACCAAACTGAAGAAGTGCTTGATAGTGAGACAACTACGCCGCTTTATGCAACAACAGGCACTCGGCCTGTGGAAATAGTTCAAACCTCAAGTGATGAAAGTGGAATCAAGGACAACACTGAGGTTGGGAATGCTGGAGATAAAGCTGAAGGCCAAGGTACACCAGAGAGTAAGGATTCTGAAGGAGGTGATCCCTAGAAAATGCTAACTCCCCCCCCCCTCCGTGAGCGAACAAAACCATTAGAAAAATCGCCATTTTTTGACCAGAAACCACCCTCCGTGAGTGAACAAAAATTTTTTTTAATAGAAAAAATTTTAATGGAAAAAAATTTTGATATATAAGTGATAATTAGTATAATGAAATCTAGAGCTAATTCTGTTTAATTTTAAACAAATTGCGTTTTAAAAACATAAAATTTTGCAAATTAAATTAATATTTGCTTCCCAATTTTTGCAAATTAGGATTTTTTTAAATTTCGAAAAAAAAATATTTTTTATAAAATTTATATATAAATTTTTTTTTAAAAAAAAAATTAACCCCCCTCCGTGAGCGAACAAAATTTTTTTGTTCGCTCACGGAGGGGGGGGGGGGGGAGGAGTAAGTGTTGGAATTTAGGCGTTGAGTCGATTACAAGCAAAAAAATTTGCCCGCGAAAAGGGAAGGGATGAAATAAAATGGAATTTGCATGCAAGTCATGGGGAAAGAAAAATTGAAGAAAAAAGAGATATGAATGCAACAAGATTTTGGATATACATAATATTGGGGTAGAAAATTATGAAAGGAGTTTAGGACGAAGATATCAAGTCTTAAATGAAGTAGAATTGAATTTGAAGAAAAAAGCCGAAAATGTGAGGTATGGACAGAATTTTTTAGATGGAAATAATTGGAGTTGAAGGGGAAGAAAAAAGAAGAAGAATTTGGAAAATATTGGTCCTCTAGAGGGCGATAACCGTTAAATTATTATTATTATTAAATAGAATTCTGCTTGCACTTTTCTATTAAATTAGGTCAAACTATTTTTATAAAAATTAATATTTTCATCTTTAATTTTTGTTTAAAAAAATATAAATATACTTTTAATTTATTTTTATGAAGAATTAAATAAAAAAATAATCGATTCATTGTGAAAACTATTTAAATAGCATTCTACTTTCATTTTGTTTATTAAATTAAGTCAAAACTAATTTTTTTTCTAAAATTTACTATTTTCATTTATAAAATATTTCCTATTGAAAAACAAAATTTGTCCCCCAATTTAAAGGAGGATTAAAGTGCCCAAAAAATGCAAATTTTACCGATGTTTTTCTTCCAATTTAAAGAGGGGGGAGTTATCAAACAAAGTTTTTATATTTAAATGGTCTTTCATTTGCATTTGACTATACAAATAGGACGACTCATGAAATTGTTGACTGTGAAATAAATAGGGTGAAAACTACAGGAGAAAATATACAAGCACTAATTGCAGTTGGACTTATTATACTTGCAATTTTGGCTCTGATTATTTTTGCATTTGTCCTTTCAGTATCAAAATCTCATGATGGATTTTGAAATTTTATGCTAAATAATGGTCAGCTGGGAATGGTAAAACTAAGAAATTCTTCAATTGATAGATTAATGTTAATCCATGGGACAGATTACAATACTGAGACAAATGCTGAAATTTTAAAACATCCTCATAGCATTCGTAAAGCCCACTCTTCTTTGCACCTATCATATGCTTGACGAATTTTAGCCTTTTTTATTATCTCAGCTTCATATTATTTTTTAGTCTACTTCTACATCTACAAAGACTGCGAAGAAATGATGATAAATCGGCCTTCGCTATTAAATAACTTCAATCTTAGAAGAGTTTTAATATCAAGATTAAGTATTTTTTCAAGAGAAGCTTATTTACCATATATGAATACTTTATTTAAAACTTCATATGCCTTTCCAAATCCTCAAAAAATGGTAGAAAATACTTATACTGAATTTATGATAAAAACGAAAGAATTAAGAAATAAAAATTTTTGTAATTTGATGTCCCAAGAGTTAATAGACAGGATTTATGAAACAACAGAATCAGATACAAATGCTTTAGATCAAGGAAGTTATCCTTTAGCTAATGATGTTGTTGATGAAATTTACAGTCTTAAAAATACAAAGTTTACAACTAAAGAGCATTCACGATATAATAGTAAAATTACAGAAGCCCAAGATGAAATTTTACAAGAGTTTTTACTTGCTGATCATGATTCTAAAAATATTATAAAAGACAAATTGAATATTATCATCAATGCCACAGTTTTTTATACAATGGCTGTCTTATTTTTGTTTTTCTTTTATTATTGACCCTTTTTTATAGCCCAAGCAGCAAAACTTAACAAACTTTCAATGCTTCAAAGTATCTTGTTGACGGAAGCTGAGTAGGGAGAGCTCATGTAAATAATTTTAATCATTATATATAATAACTAATGCAACATTTAAAGATAAATAATTGAATTATATCATTCAAACCCCAGATATAAATTATTATTATTTTAATTCATAAAAAATTATTATTATTATTCCATTTATTTTATATATTTCAAATGCGCGATTAAATAAACATTATAATATGAGTTTTGGTAAATATTTAGTCCATTAAATCTTCCCTTAATATTATGTCTGCTATGTGAGGAAAAGCAAATTTAGACGCACATGAAATTTTATCAAAGCAAGTACGGCTTGAGCAATTTAGAAATTTTTTTTATAACCTATTTGAAAATCTTATAAATCAAAAATACAAGCCTAAAAATCTACTGAAAAGCCAAGTAGCTTATGAAATAGCGACGAATACGATTTTAACCTTACAATTAATTAAATTGACTTGATATCCAAATGCCAATATATCAGAATGAGAAGGCTATGAGAATATATGAAAATTTTTAGGGTATGCTAGCTATGACTCAATTTGTGCTGAATTAGGGTTAATTGATTACTGTTTGAATGGAACTTTAACTTTAATAGCAACAGAATTTGCAATTTTACTAATTCTTGGTTGCCTCTACCATAAAAATAAAAAGCCTCAATATTTTTTGACATTTTTACCTAAAGCTCTCCTATTTATTTTTGTAACAATTGGAATAATTCCAAGCTCTAAGCTTATAATGATAGGGTTGAAATATTACGTAAATAAATCAAACTATATAGAAGAATATGGAATTAGAATACAAGATAATAAATTTAGCTCCCCAACCGTAATTATTTCAATATTTTTGATTTTTATTTTTATAATCATTTTGATTTTTTCAGAATTGTTTTTATGCGATATGAAGCATTCTCATCTAAAAAAGAATATAAGATCAAGGTCATCATCAAAATTAGATTTGCAGGTTAAACTTTTTTATATTATTTTATGTATTTTATATATTTCTTTTGGAAATGAAAATATTATTCAATATCAAAGTTTAGTATTTATTCTGTCTTTATATTTGGCTTTAAAATCTATTAAATCTCTTCCCTTAGTGAGCAAACAAAAAATTTTGCTCGCTTATGGAGGGATTCATTTTTTTTAAATCTATCTTTTTGTAAATTTAAAAAATAAAAACCGCAAAAAATGGGAAAGAAAAGTTAATTTAAAATCTAAAATTTATGTTTTAAATGCAGGCTAAGAATTAGCTAGAGATTTCACTATACTAATTTATATATATAAAAAATATTATTTTATAAAACAATTTTTATTAATAAAATATTTTGTTCTTCTTACCTTAAAAATAAGGATTTTTCCAATGGTTTTGCTCTCTCGTGATAAGGGAGAAAGTGGTCCAATACTACAATTCAATTGAAAATTGAATCCAGTCTTGCAAATTGATGATGTTTTCGACAACTTTATTAATTTTTATTTTGGGAGAAACTTTAGATAATTCAGAAATAATTTTGGTTTTTAATATATTTTTGCAGCCATTTGTTATTTATTCAACAATATGGATTGTCATCTATAGACACAAAAAATTAAATGTAAACTGTGAAATCCCTAAAAACCAGTTTGACTTTGAAAGAAAATTCAGGCATTTACTTATTGATAAATTTAATGAAAATAAAATAGAAATTTTGGATTTATTCAAAATTTACTGAAAAATGAAGAGGTTCGAGAAAAATAAGATTTTTGTTATATGAGAATTTAATTTTTGCTATTCAATAATAAAAAATGAAAGGTTAGCAAGAATAAAGCTGTCAAAAATTTCGAAAGCTAAATATTCATTAGAAGGGGATATTCAAGAATGAAAAATATACAATAAACTATCAGGAAAAAAGCACAGAAAACTCAGTGATATAAATTTTTTAGAATTTTTGCAAGAATTTAAAAAGATAAGATATAAAGATAAAAATTTATGCAATATCGTTATAAAATTATACAATGAGTTTATTTCAAAAAAGCCAAGTATAGCAAATTTGATAAATTTAGTTAACAAAACTTCTAATAATATGAATAAAATCAATGAGGGGTATAAGAAATTGATTGAAATACACAAAAATATATAATGCGTTAGAAGAATTTCTTAATGGGTTTGGTTTGACTAGACATAAGTAAGTGTCTGATGAATAAATTTTCATTTATTCATCAATATAAATATGCCTATCAATAAAATTTATATAATTAATAATTCACTATAGCACTGATGAATTAAATAATAATATTATCATGACTCCGAAGATCGCAAAAGACATAAAAATGTTTTTTCTAAAGATTTAAGTTCACTTTATGTTTTAATTAATGAAAAATTTCTTGGAATTGGCAACATTTTTAGCATGTCAAAATTATTTTGTATTTGATTGCAAAAAAAAAAATTAATAATATGATTTATTTAAAAATTTGCATTTAAGTCGATTATTTGACAAAATTATAGGACAAGAAATTTTTCTAACAAATTATAGAAGCTTATGAATATTATTCAAGCTTTCTTGAGAATATAATAATTAAATTAAGAGTCTTAAGGTCTCTTAGATTTGATGCCTTCGCACGCTTGCGACCACCGGACTCTTGCTTGCCAGGGTAGCATTGAATCTTAATTTAGGCTATGAAGCTATTTTGACGCCTACAGTGGTGCGTCATCGGTAAGGACATATTTGTCGCCGCCACCATATTAATTATGAATATAATAGGAAATACTGAAGAAGCAGGCCTAATAAATAAAAAGAAAGATGGATTAAATTTCTATATAAAAAGAAACGAATATGAAGCTTTAGAAAATTATGGTAAAAATATTGGGGTTATGCTTATTTCTTGTACAGAATACGCTTTTGGTATAATCTCATATATTAATGAAACTGCTGCGCAAATATTGAAAACTTCTATAGTAAACGCTAAAGGGTCTCCATTAAACAATTTTATTCCTTCTCCTTTTGACATTATTCATGAAAAATCAATGAAATTTTTTTTACAAGAATGCACTATAGCAGAAATTCCTTCTCATAAATCATTATTTTTTAAAGCAAGCAATGATTTTTTGGTAGAGTGCAACATTATGATTAGACTGACTGCTTTTCACAATAATATTTATTTTTTAGTTTCTTTTAAGCCAATACCTTCAAATCGCCAAATTGCTTTACTTTCTCAAGAAAATATTATCCTCAATCACTCAGAATTATTTTGCTATTCAGTTAAAAGTACTGTAAAAGATGCTAAAAACATGCCGGCCACAAATATAATTTCTTGTTTTAGCATTTGAAATAATCCAAGCGATAATCCATTCTTTTTCAATATTTTTGATAGAGAAATTTAGATTAGAGGGATTAAACTAGGATTATTAAACCCATGGCTAGTGAGCTTCTTAATAACGCAACATGCGACGCTAGGGACTTAAGCCACCCACACCCTTTTCCTTCAGGGCCACAGAAAAGGTGACTTCATCAGTCTATCGGGAAACTCACCCAAGCCTACTGGACCAAAAATTACAGCAAAGGACTCTCTTAACCATCAGCAGTGCCAGGGTATGAGAGATCATCCAATGACTCCTTTTGGAACTACACCTGCCATTGAAAGGCAGCATAATTCCTCCTCCAAAAGTGGCAGATTGGTGTTACACCCGTTAGTCTTCTTGTCTATAGATTGAGGGGAAGCCCAGTCAGCCTAAACCTGCACCCCAAAAATTTCCACCTACGAACTCGTGACCTTTGGCCAAAATTTTGGGATTTTTGTCGCTCCTAAAGCAGCATTTTGCCATAAATGGTAAAAATAATAATTTTTTGATGGAGAAATAGCACTTGTTTACATGAAAACTATTATAAAATCTACATGTTTTAATATTTTGTTTGCTCTATTTGACCAAGAAGAAATTTTAAAATGAAAATCAGCAGAAAATGAAAGCCAATCAGAATTTTCTCAAAATAAAGAGGTCAATGATTTTTTATGCAGAAATCTACTACCAGATAGCTCTAAACCTGTACAATATTTTCCCAGGAATCTAGCCCAAAATGCTTCTTTCTATAGTGAAAATAATGCAAAATGCATGCAATTTGAAAATAAAAGAATTGGCCTTCAAATAGAGAGTTCTTCCAAGCATTCTTCTTCAAGAAATAGCAATAGTAAAGACTCAAACTATGCTAAATGACTATTATTAAAGACTAAACAAAAAATAAGCATACTTCAATGGGTTCTATTTTTTATGGTAAATATTATTCAGATGATCTCAGTCATCGTTACTATGATAGCCATATAGCTCACACACTTTATTGATCGGTCTTTAGGTTCAAACGTAATGCTAATATAGTTTATTCTCAAGCCAAATTAAGATGGCAACCACATGCAATTGGTAAATTTGGGAGACATAGGTTGAATTTCAATTTTTTGTTTTACTAATTTTGACTAGGGAACTGACAATATTGGCTTTAAAATTGAATCTAATGGTCGATCTATAAGGGCGCCAAAGCATATTAGCCTACATAGTAATAGATGTTTCTCGAACATCAAGAATGAGCTCTCTTGGGCATCTTGGAAATCTGCTTTATTACTTTGAAGCTGCAACAGATTCTATACGAACGCTTGACAAGGCTGCAAAATCTAATTTATATACGGAAGCCCAAATGGATAGCTTTGCTTTAGGATTTAGCAGCATTCTTGATGAATTAGATATTATAAAAGATGATATTTTGGATGATTTCAAATTATGGTCATATTGTGAAGCTTCTAAAATTATCCAAGAACCAATAATCCCGCTATGAAATTTTGACAGTGGTCGTCCTGTTATTGGTTATGATAATCTATATGACATAATTTCAATGTTTATTATTACTGTAATTATTATTTAGGGCAAGCAAGTGCTTATTATCTCTTTTCATGAGCGAGCAAAATTGTTTTCTTGTTTAAAGTGTGTCGAAAAATAAATTATATTAATTTTTTTAATTTCTACAAAAAATTAGACTTTTTTCACGATTTTGCTCATTAAAGTTTGAGAAGAGTTAATTGCCTATCTTTAAAACAGGATTTTACTTCCCATACAAAGTTTTTATATTTAAATGGCCTTTCATATCCATTTGAATATACAAATATGACAACCAATAAAATTGTTAGTTGCGAACAAGATAGAGTTAAAGTAACAGGGATTTTTATTTATACTTTAATTGTTGTAGGATTGCTGATACTTGGATTTTTAGCTGCTATTGTTTTTTTGTTTATTATTTCAGTATCAAAATCACATGATGAATTTTGGAGATTTATGCTCAATAATGCTCGGCTTGCTATGATAAAGCTCAAAAATTCTTCAATTGATCGATTAATGCTATTTTATGGAGAAGATTGCAATAATGAATCCAATGTAGAAGTTTTAAAAAATATTCATAGCACCCATGATGCTAAATCATCTTTGCACTGATACTATGCTTGAAGAATATTGATATTTTTTATTATAGCAGCTTCCTATTATTTTTTAACGTATTTCTACATCTATAAAGACTGTGAAGAAATGATGATTAATAGACCTTTACTTTTAAACAATTTTAACCTTCGGAGAGCCTTAATTTCAAGATTAAGTATTTTTTCTAGGGAAACAATGTCGCCATATATGATTTCTCTATTTAAAACGTCATATGCTTTCCCAAATCCTCAAAAAATGGTAGATAATACTTTTGAGCAATTCAGAGCAGAATCAAAAGAATTAAGAAAAAATCATTTTTCCAATTTAATGTCCAACTCCCCCCCTCCGTGAGTGAACAAGATTTTTTTGTTCTCTCACGTTTTTTTTTTTTTTAAAACAAATTATATAGAAAATTTTTTAAAATACATTTTCTGAATTCATGGCGAACTCAGTTTGGCGCACAAACCCATTTTGGACCTTCACCACAACCTCTTGCTGAAGCTTCAGACTATGGATCAGTGCAGTGGTTACCATGATTTGCTACAGCCTCAACCCCAAACAACTATTGCTTTACAGGCATGAAGATAATTATGAATATGAGGATGCATATGTAGATGCATATGAAGATGCATATGAAGATGTATATGAAGACGCATATGGAGACTTTTATGATGAAGGATATGAAGATGAGTATGGAGATGCGTATGAGATGCATGAAAAATTTTATAATGATAAACTTGGATATATAGTGAAATTTGATGATGAACTTAGAGATAAACATGAGCATGTGGATGAGCGCCGATGTGGTGAAGCTATTGCTGCATGTATTGGGGAAGTCTACATGAAGATCACATTGGAAGAAGTAAAGGTCACTGTGCTAAAAAACATAGTGGCAAGTGTTTCACCCGCGAAGAAAGAAAAGAAAAATGGAAGATTTGGAGGGAAAAGGACAAAATCACTCATGAACTTGGTAAAAGAAAATGAATTGAGAAAGAAAGAAAGGGAGAAAAGCAAGACGAATCTGAAAAGAAAAATTAGAGGAACTGGAGATAATAAGGAACGAAGTAGGAGATGGAAATGAAGAAGAATCTGGAAAATGGAGAAAATGATGCAATCAGAGATTTTGACGAAGAGTAATGAGAAATAAAAGATTAAGGCACCTCGGGTGCGATAAAACGTAAAAATAATAATAATAATAATAATAATAATAATAATAATAATAATAATAATAATAATAATAATAATAATAATAATAATAATAATAATAATAATAATAATAATAATAATAATAATAATAATAATAATAATAATAATAATAATAATAATAATAATAATAATAATAATAATAATAATAATAATAATAATAATAATAATAATAATAATAATAATAATAATAATAATAATAATAATAATAATAATAATAATAATAATAATAATAATAATAATAATAATAATAATAATAATAATAATAATAATAATAATAATAATAATAATAATAATAATAATAATAATAATAATAATAATAATAATAATAATAATAATAAATAATAATAATAATAATAATAATAATAATATAGAGAATTTTTTAGAATTTTTTTTTTCGAAATTTTAAAAAAAATCCTAATCGCAAAAATTGGAAATCAAATATTAATTTAATTTATAAAAATTCATATTTTAAAACGCAATTTGTTTAAAATTAAACAGAATTAGTTAGAGATTTCATTATACTACTTATCACTTATATATCAAATTTGTTTTCATAGACAATTTTTTGTTCGCTCACGGAGGGTGGGTTTTTGGTCTAAAAATAGGGTTTTACCAATGTATTTGTTTGCCCACAGAGGGGGAGTAAAGAATTAAAAGACAGAATTTATGAAGTCGCAGAATCAGATTCAAACGCATTAAATCAAGGAAGCTACCCTTTAGCTAATGATATTATTGATGAAATTTATAATCTTGTTTATAAGCCTGTATTAACAGCTATAGAACACGATCGATATTCTGAAAAAATTACAGCAGTTCAGGATGAAATTTTGCAAGAGTTTTTATTAGCTGACCATGATTCTAAAAGTATCATAAATGGGCAATTGAGCATCATTATCAATACAACAATTGTGTATTCAGTAGCTATTATTGTTTTATTTTTCTCTTATTATTCACCATTTTTTATAGCGCAATTGAGACAAATTGACAGATTTTTAATGCTTCATAATATTTTAAAATTAGAAGCAGAATAGATTGGGATTTTTTTATAATTAATATCTCTTTTTTAACATTTTTCATAATAATTATTAATATTTATTTTTTAATTTTAATCATCTAGACTGGATTTAAGAGCTATTAAATGCTACTCTATTTCTTCAAAATATTTAAGGAAAAAGACAAATAATTAAAAAGTTATAATATGTTTAAAATTCTATTCTTAATTAGCTATAGACAATTTAAACTATGCCACAGAATTTAACTTAAACAGACTATTAAAGCTAATCAAGAGTAATAACTATAAAATAAATTTACAGTTTTCGATAGAGTTTATGAATAATAAAGGGTTTATTACAATTCATCGTAACAGAAAAGGATTTGAATCTAAAATAAATTTTTAATTTCCATATGCATAAAACTTTTGTGTTTGCTTCTAGAAGGGTCATTTGCTATGCTTTATAGTTCATAACTTTTAAAAAATATTGGAAGAAATAATTTATAAATATTCCAAAAAAAACTCTCGTGTCATTAAAAAAACTCCTTTTCCCAAAACCAAAAAGGCATATTATTGCTTTTAATTTAATAGCTTTCCATACTGCAACACCTTATAATACAACAGTATTTCAAAAAATGCATAAGTAAAATGATTGATGCAATATTTAATTATAAAGGATAGTTTAAGCTAATAAAATTATTTGTTTTATCAGCATTTAACTTGAATCATATGGCTAGGCCATAATTTTGACACCCTTAAATATAAAAAATATTAATATTGATTAACACCATGGCAAATGATTTAAAGTCCTTCCAGAAAGAATGCAAAGATCTGCACGTCTTTCTCTCTCAATCCTTATTTTCAAGCAAATTTAAGAATTACTTTTATGGTGTTTTCTGTCAACTCTTTAAAGTAAAATACAATAGAAAAACAAGGCCAAATATTCAGCTCACATATGAAGTATTAATCAATGCTACGTTTACTCTTCAGATAATTTCTCTAGCATGGTACCCAAAAATGAAAGTGCACGGCTGGAGCTCATATAAAACTTTCTGAAAAATAATAGGATGAACAAGCTACGACAGTATTTGTGCGAATTTAGGAATTATGAATTTCTGTTTTTTTGGGACGATTTCACTGATTGGGATGTGCTTGGTATCATTTACTGTTTTTGGGTTTTATATCTACATCAAAAAGGATCCACCTATTTATATATCAATTTTTCCTAAAAAAATTGCAATGCTGCTTACGACAGTATGCTTAATTCCTAGCACTATGATTTTACTGATGATAACGAAGTATTCAATGCTTGATACACAAGAAATAGAAGAATATGATGGCTTGTCTTCAAGTATCCTTGACTTTGGAACAATAGGAATTATTCTTTCGATTTTATGCTTATTAATTTTGGTTCCAATTAATGATAAATTAATATGGAGTGGTGAACTCACTCTCTTAACTTTTGTAGCTGGCATCCCAAAGGATGTTTGGGATCTCGAGGAAAGGAGGATGGAGTTCAGGAATGGTCAGTTTTTCTTTGTTTGGTGAAGCGCAATGTCGAGCTGGCCAATGACGAGCTTTACTTCAATATCAAGCTTTTGCCTTAGAGGGAAATATGCCCGGAAGTTAAAAAGGGGTCTTCCAGCTAAGCCAATGACATTAATCCCAGCCAATCAGAGCTTTCACAACGTGAAACCAGGAGTTACATCCTTTCTACGGATTTCCATTTTAACTGAGAGCCAACCAGAAAATTCAACCCTTTTGAATTTTCAATGGTGGGCACTCTGTTGACACACTACAGAATGACACAACTTCCTCAACTATAAGGGACAAGTGCAAGCCCTCGTCTGGGGAAGAGCACTTTTTGTAAGGTCGTGTACTAACTGTCAAGCAAGCAAAAGGAGTGTTAAGGGTGGAGGTCGTCCTTTAGGAATTTCAAGCTAGCTTTTCTATAAGTTAAGCTAATGATTCCAATTAATGTATGCTCTGAATATTTTTCTTGCGATATTCAGCATTCCCACTCAGAAAAAAATCTAAAATCAAGGTCTTTTTCTCTTTTGGACCTACAAAAGCGAATTTTTTATACTTTTACTTGCGTTCTATTTGTTTCTTTTGGCGATTCAAATGTTATTGTTCATCAAGCAATTTTGCTGTCTTACGCACTTTTTTTGAGCTATAAATCAGTAACAGTTTTACAATATTTTAATATTTTCGAAAACATAATCGAGGCTTGCAAAATGGGGTCGATTTCTACTATGATTTTGGTTTTTATATTTGGAGAGATTCTAGATGATGCTTTAATTATTGTAGTATTTACCCTGTGTCTTCAGCCCATAGTATTTCTATTGATGGCTCGGTTAGTTAGGAGAAATTACACAAGACTGAAAGACAGCACAGACTATCCAAGTAATCAGTATGAATTTGAAAGAAAATTCAGACACTTATTAATTGATAAAGACTACGAGGATAAGCTTTGAGTACTTGATTTATTCAAAGTTTATTGAAAAGCAAATCAATTTCAAAAGGATAAGCTTTTTGTGATATGGGAATTTAGCTATTGCATTACAATAGTTAAAAATGAGAGATTGGCAAGGGTAAAGCTGTCAAAAATCGCTAATGCAAAATCTTCATTTGAAGGAGAAATACAGGAATGAAGACTTTTTACATGGTTAATTAAAAGAAAATGCAAGTCTTTTCCTGAAACAAATTATTTACTCCCCCATCCTTGATCGAACGATGGCTCGCCATCGTTCGATCAAGGATGGGGGTTAAAAAAAATGTTTTTGGGGCAAAAAAATTATATATAAAATAAAAAATATATTTTTATATACTTTTAAATAAGAGGGTTAAGAGTATTTAATAACTATTTTTACAACAAAAAATTTGAATCATTTTTATAAGAATACCAATTTTTAATAATTTACTTTTTTGGTTACTTCTTTAAATTGTATAAATTTTAATTTGTTCCTTATTGAATTAAAAATTTTAATTTTAAAGAATCTCTATTTTTTAGATTATTGAGTTTTTAAGTCCAGATTGACGACTAAAGCACTTCGGATGGTTGATTCTGTAGCTTTCTGTCATCTCAAAGCCTCTGACAACAACTTCATTAGGCACATCTTCTCAAGTTAGCTAATATATTTTTTATATACATAAAAATTTGCATAATATGGAAATCGTTCGATCAAGGATGGGGTTAATTTTCCCAATTTTTAGGAATTTTTACAGTCAATCGTTCGATCAAGGATAGGGGAGTTAGAATTTTTAAAAGAATACAGTAGGATTAGAAATCAAGATGAAGAACTTTGTTATACTCTTATAGAACTTCAAATAGAAATTTCTCTGAAGGCTCCAAGGATTCATAAAATTGTCAATTTAGCTAATAGGACTGCAAACTATATTATTAGTCTTACCTCAAAATGTATAGACAATGATAAAATTCATATACTTTTAGAAAACAACATTTTTTATTATTTTTCTATTAGCAATGAAATAATTAAATGTTATTTGTTCTATATAAGAATTCACAACTTTAAAATATTTTATTATAAAATTTATATATAATTTACATTTAAGATGCATTTCCATATTAAAAATTTATAGAAATTTCCCATAGATGGCGCTGTTTGCCTTTGATTTGCCCACTGGGGACATTTTTGGTTCGACCAGTCCATATGGTTTGGTCAAACCAAAAAATTTTTCTCATGGGCAAATCAAGGGCAAACAGCGCCATCTATGGGAAATTTCTATATTTATGAATGAAAGGATTTAGCGAAGACTTCAAAAGCCTTTGCGAAAAATATAAAAATTTAGAAGGATATGAACTATATGGCGGTTTTCTAGAAAGTATTAAAAATGACCATGAAGAAGCAAACATAATAACTCGGAAAAAAAAATGGAATAAATTTCTATAATCAGCACAACGATATAAAAAAATTAGAAAATTATGGAAAAGACGTGCCAACAATCCTAGTGTCATGCTCCGACGACTCATTTTGCAATATCATGCATCTCAACGAAAAAGCATCTCGGCTCTTAAAAACATCAATTGGAAATATAATTGGCACTTCTCTATTAAATTTCATTCCACAACCTTTTGATGTTTGCCACTTGAAATCAATTAAAGATTTTGTATTCAATAGCAGCACGATTGATCTTGTTTCACACAAATATTTATTTTTCCAAAATGTTGAAGGACATTTAGTTGAATGTAACTTTTTAATAAAGTTGACAGCTTTCCATAACTGTGCATATTTTCTGATTTCTTTTGAACAAAGGAAAACTTCACGCGAAATTGCAATAATTTCGGATGAAGGACTCATCACTGGGCATTCTGGCTCCCCCTCCGTGAGTGAACAAAAAAACCGTTAGAAAAATCCCTATTTTTTGCCCAAAAACCCATCTGTAGCGAACAAAAATTTTTTATGGAAAAAAAATTTGATATATAAGTGATATTATTATAATAAATTCTCGAGCTAATTCTGTCTATTTTAAACAAATTGCGTTTTAAACATAAATTTTATAAATTAAATTAATATTTGCTTTCCAATTTTTGCGAATTAGGATTTTTTTAAAATTTCGAAAAACATTTTTTCTATAAAATTTATATATAAATTTTTTTAAAAAAAAAATAACCCCTCTGTGAGCGAACAAAATATTTTTGTTTGCTCACGGAGGGGGAGGAGTGAGCTGTTTCCTTTTTATATCGGCTCAGAATCAAAAAGCTTAAAAGGCCAAAACTTGTCAACTGTAGTCCCTGTTTTAGAAATAAATAAAATGCAAGACTATGAGCCTTGGATCCTCCCTTTTAATGATGGGGAACTTGCTTTTATTCATAAAATTAGAGAAATTAAGTCAACAGCAATACATGAGTTAATTATCATTCACGATCAACAAGAAATAAAAAACTGAAAAGAAGGGATTGACCAGGACCAATTAGCCTATTTTGCAGACCAAGATGTTACTTGTGATTATGACCAAACTCAATCTGATATGGATATTAAAAGAAGAGGCATGCAAGTGAGATACCACTCAGTCAGTAATTTCTCTCTTTCAGGCAAATCTTTTGATAAAGTTGAAACAGAATATTTAACTAATAATGATATGGTCCAAACAAAAGAATTATTAAACTCTTGCAGGAGCCAAGACAAAAAATCACTTACGGAAGACCATTCGAAATCATCAGTAGGATATAAACTTCCTAATCAGGCTAAAATGCTGCTAGTAGAGTCTAAAAGAAAAATAAGAGTTCTGCAAGTTGTGCTATTCCTTGTGGTAAGAAAAAATTAGATGTCGTCAGTTATTGTAACTGTTGGAGCAATTTTAGGGTATATGATAACTGATGTGTCATATACGACGTCTCTGAGTTCCTTTAAAGACCTAGGCCAGCTTTTGTATAATCTTGGACTTTCCGCAGACTTAGCAAGAATTATCGACAGAGTAGTCATCTTGCCAGATTCTACTCCTGAGCAATTCAAGAAATCAATTGACGATTTAATAAATTTAATCACAGACTTAGAAACTGTTCAAGGAACCATTTTTGAAGATTTTGACCAGTGGAGCTATTGCTCAAGCGCAGATATCGTGACAAATTCTATTATCCCTTTAATATATTATGATGAAATTGAGCCTAGAGTAAAATACTCAAATTTATATGACGCAGTATCAGAAATAATTTTAAATGTAATTTCTATACAGTGCAAAAGTATGATTAAGGCAGTTTCAGAAAAAGAATACTATCTTAATTATGTCAGATTTATTTTTCTTAATGGCATAGGAAATCTTTTTAATCATGCAAATTCGACAATGGATGGAATAGTTAATTGTGAAATGGAACGAGTGAAAAATACTGGAAAAAATATAAACATTCTGCTAATATGTGGATTTATTACACTTGGCATACTAGTTTTAGTAATTATTGGATACATTATTTTGGTTTCCCAAAAGCATGATGAGTTTTGGAATTTTATTTTAAATAATGCACAGTGGGCACTAGCTAAACTCAAAAGTTCAGCTGCTGATAGGCTTATACTCATTCATGGAATAGATTATAACTCCGAGTTGAGCATTGATATATTGGGAAGCCGCACAAAACGAAAAGTAAGAACTTCTATTTACTTGCATTATATTTGAAGAGTTATGATTTTTTTTGCAATTGCTGCTTCTTATTATCTTTTAATATACTGCTACTTATATCCAAATTGCGAAACTTTAATGATAAACCGCCCAAAGCTTCTCAGCAACTTTAACATAAGACGGTCAAATCTAAGAAGATTATCAATGTTTTCTAGAGAAATACTTGCTCATTATATAGAATTCCGGATGCCTCACTATTTTGAATTTGCAAATGCTTGAACAATGGTTAGAGACGCTGAAAATATTATCAAATTAAAACATAAAGAGCTTAGAGAAAGCGAATTGAGAGAATTAATGTCATCAGAATTAGAAGAAAAAATTTACGAAAGTGTGGAATCCAGTAGCGAAATTCTTAAATATGGATCAGAAGCTGCTATTAATTCAATTATTGACGATTGTGAGAATCAAGGATATTACAAATTTTTACCTACTGCCTCTGCTTTTGCATTGCTTGCAGATGTAGTAATAATTCAAAATGAAATAAGCTATGAGTTTGAATTGGCAGATCGTGATTCCAAGGATCTTATAAAAGAGAGACTAAATTCAATTGTATATACAACCGCAGCTTATTCAGTAACAATGTGTGCATTATTCTTTTGCTATTATTTACCATATTTGAATAAACAAGTAAAGCAGCTTAACCGCTTCTCAATACTTTCAACAATTTTGCCAATGGAACCCGAATAAGATTTGTAATAAATATATTTTAATTGTTCATAGAATATATTTTTCTTATAATTATAGATATTCAAAAAATACATTAAATGTATAGCAAGAATTTATTACGTTAATTAGCATCATATAAAACTTCATAAATAATTCACAACTCATTTTTACCTTTTTAGATTATATCGAAAATCAATTTTATAAAATGATCACAATTTTAGACAATGAAGACTCAATTTCAAAGGAAATAAAAGGAAACGATGAGTTTTTTTCTCAAAATCTCTTTTCAAACAAATTTAAAAACTATTTTTTTGGGTTCTTTGGAAAGGTCTTTAAACCTAAATACAGCAGAAAAACGAAAGTTAGAGTTCAGATTTTCAATGAAATTTTTATAAATTTGATCCTAGTTTTGCAGCTGGCTTCAATTGCATGACATCCTAAACTTACAATATCAGGCTGATCATCATATATGCCGATTTGGCAATATATCGGATATATCAGCTATGATCAAATTTGCGCAAGAACTTATAGCATGACTTTTTGCTTTTATGGTACACTGTCACTCGTAGGGATCTGTTTTCTAACTTTTATGGTATTCGGAATATCTTTTTACTTAAAAAAAGAAATACCATCGCTATTTGTGATTTTGACCCGAAAAATTGCTTTATCTTTGACTACAATTTGCCTTGTTCCAAGTGTGATGATGTTTCTATTAGTAATAAAATACTCAACGATTAATCGGAGCACAATAATTGAATATGAGGGATCAATTAAAGCAAGTGAGCTAGATTATGGGGCGCTAGGATTTGTACTTGGAGCTAGCTGCTTATTATCAATAGTTTTTATAAATTTCTCTTCAGAAAATTTTACATCTGATATTAATCATTCACATCATAGAGTAAATATAAAGGCAAGATCAACTGTAAAATTAGATGTACAAAGACGGCTGTTTTATATTTTAATCTGTGTTTCTTATGTGATTTTTGGAGATTATAATGTAGATTTTCATCAAATTATGGTCTTTTTATATTCCTTCTATCTTGGGCTTCAAGGAATTTTATGTTTGGATTATTTTAATCAGATTGCGAATTCTATTCAAGCTTGAAAAATGATGACATTATCCGTATTATCTTTGATTTTCATATTTGGGAGAATAATGGACAGTGCACTTATCATAGTCATTTTTAATATCTTTTTACAGCCTATGGTCTTATTTGCAGTTCTTTGATTTGTCAATAAAAAAACCAAAAATCTTCAAAAAATAACATCGTTTCCCCATAATCAGTTCGAGTTCGAAAGAAAATATAGGCATTTATTAACAAATGAAAATTTAGCTGAAAAATTGGAAACTTTGGAACTTTTCAAAATTTTTTCAAAACTGCATCATTTTCAAAAGGATAAACTTTTTGTGATATGGGAGTTTAATTTCTGTGTTTTTGTGGTAAAAGATGAAAGACTAGCAAGAGTTAAGCTTGCGAAAATAAAAAAATATGAATCTTCGTTTGAAGCAGAAGCCCAAGAATGGAGGCTTTTTTGATGGCTTACTATGAGGAAATGTAAAGAATTTCCTGATACAGGCTATTTGGATTATTTAAAGGATTACAATAAGTTAAAAAATCAAGATGAAGTATTATGCTATATGATAATTGAGCTACAGTCTGAGTTTTATTCAACGCATCCTCGTATCAAAAAAATAATTAATTTAGTAGATCGTGTATCAGACTCTGCAAGAGGAATTAAAAAAGGCTACAAAAATCTGGTCGACAGATATAAAAATTTAGAAGCATTTGAAATATATGCCAGCTACCTTGAAAATATTTATAATAATCAAGAACAAGCTGAAATAATTAAAAGGAAAAAAAATGGCATGAGCTTATATAATAAAAGATCCCAAGAGCAAAGTTTAGAAAAATATGGAAAAGATGTAGCTACGATATTAGTCTCATGTTTGGACGACTCGTTTGGAAAAATTGTGTATTTAAACGAAAAAGCAACGCATATTTTAAAAATTTCTTTAACAAATGCCCTTGAAACACCTTTTAATTCCTTCATTCCTCAGCCTTATGATCTTAATCACGATACACAGATGAGAAACTTTGTTGAAAATTGTGATGCAATTGATGTTATGGACCATAAAAACCTCTGCCTTTTAGACCAAAAAGGCTTTATGATAGAGTGCAGTGTATTGGTTAAGCTAACGGCTTTTCATAATTTTCTTTATTTTTTGGTATCGTTTAAGCCAAAAGCTACTAGCAGGCAGATTGCACTTATTCTTTATTAATTTAAATTCTTTTATGAGAAAAATAATTTTATAAATTACATATATAGGGTGATTTTTTTATTTGAATATTAAACTCAATCCAAATAATTATATTTCAGAAGAAGGGATCATAACTAGTCACTCAGAATTGTTTCCTTATTATTTAGGACTGCAAGAAAAATTTCTTATTAATAAAAAAATATCCGATTTATTGCCACAGCTGCACTATGAAAGTCTCGAAGTGAATGAGCCTTTTATGCTGCCTCTGAATAACTCAGAAGTAGCCTTAATTAAATTGAAAACAGCAGTAATGTCAAAAGAAATTGATCAGCTAGTAATCATACACAACGATAAAGAATTAAAAAAGTGGCTAGAAAACCAAGATCAAGAACAAGGCGACTCAATGCAAACCATGCAAGCTACCGAATGCACCTTTCAAGAAGAAGTAAAAGCAAAGCCGAAGAATTTTGAAGTAAAATTCCAACAATCACAGGATATATCCCTTACTATGAAATCATATGAAAAAACCGAGACTGACTTCACACGCTCAATTGATAATACTTTTATAAAAAGCAACGATGAGGAAAAAACTCGCTCTGATAAATCAATATCCTTTGAACATTTTAGTGGATTTTCAATAAAATCTAGTAATTTCTAATTAGTCCATGCCAAAAAAATACTGCTAAATACCAAAAAAAGAATCAGGGTACTGCAATGAGTTCTTTTTGCAGTGATTTTGTCTGTGATTACTACAGTTTCTGCCATCTTAGGCTATATGATAAGCGATGTTTCTTATTCTACTTCCTTGAGCTCATTTAAGCTTGTAGGTGACCTTTTATATGACCTAGATATTTCAGCTGACATAGCAAGGACTCTTGATAGAATGATTTTAATGAATATTTCTAAAGAAATACAAATAAACCAAATAAATGCTTTTGAAAATCTTATTTATGATCTAGATAGGATAGAAAATGACATTTTGCGAGACTTTGAGCAGTGAAGCTACTGCTCTGCTGCTGATATTCTTTATAAGCCTTTAGTTCCGTTATGGGTATTTGACGGAGAAAGCACCAAACGGTCGTTTCGAAATCTTTATGATGTGATTGGGGAATTTATATTCCATGTAATCTTAAGATAGGGAAAAAATATGATTTCAGATGTAAAATTAGGAAAAAATTATAAAGACCACTGCAAATTCTTAGTTATTAATGGCCTAGGGTTTGCTTACGACTATACAAATTTTACTATGCAAGGAATAGAAGATTGTGAAATAGATAGAGTAAAGAGAAATGGAAGCATAATAAATGCATTGTTGATTGTAGGATTTGTTGCACTTGCAGTTTTGGTAGTTATTATTATTGGATTTATAATTCTTGTTTCAAAAAAGCATGACCAATTTTGAAATTTTGTGTTAAATAATGCTCAGTATTCATTGTCAAGGCTCAAACTTTCTTGCATTGAAAGATTAATGATTATTCATAGCATTGACTATAATATCGATACTTCAATAAGGACGAGGCAGAATCGTCTCGATGAAGCAAGGCATGTTAAAGCATCTTTATATCTAAATTACACTTGAAGACTTATGATTTTTTTTGCAATTGCCACATCTTATTATTTTTTGATTTCTTTGTATCTTTATCCCCAATGTGAACGCTTAATGATAAACAGGCCGAAACTTTTAAGCAACTTTAACTCCCGGAGATCATTAATATCAAGAATGAACATCTTTGCACGAGATTTATATCAGCCTTATTTTATTTTGAATTTCCCTGAATATTATGACTTTTCTAATTCGCACGTGATGCTTGCATTAACTTCTAGCTCTTTATTAAGGCATAACATAGAAGTTAGGCAGCAAGGTTTTAAAGATTTAATGTCACAAAGTTTGATTAAGAAGCTCTATGAAAGCTACAACTCAACCCTAGATTTATTAAAATACGGAACAGAAGCCTCGATTAATACTGTAATATTTGACATTGAAGATGTATCTGAGCAGACCAGTTTATGGCCTAGCGATTTGATGGCTTATTTTTTGGCTAAAATTAGTGAAGTTCAAACAGAACTTGGGATAGAGTTTCAGATTGCTGATGAGGATTCAAAAAATATCATAGATAGTCATTTGAATATTATTATAGATACCACAATTATTTATTCTGCTGCTTTATGCCTCTTATATTTTTGCTACTATTTGCCATATTTAAATAATCAAATTACCAATCTTAGAAGGTTCTCAATATTGCCGACAATTTTGGATATGAATACAGAACAAATATAGCGCTTAAATTATCAATTTCAAATAAATTTAAATAATAATAATAGATACTCTATTTTAACGTAATTTATACAATTATTGCCTATTCTTTAAGCTTTACGTCTATTTTCTTCTAATTTTTTACCCAAGACTCTTAAAAATCATTTTCCTCTGTTTGCATTAATCCATTCTTCATATTAATACATGTCTGAAGACCTTAAGAAAAGACTCGCCAAGCGTCTTATTGCCACAGAAATTGGCTTAAAATTCCATCAGAAAATCCCACGAAACCCAAGTACAGAGCGTCTACGTCCTCTCCCTACTCTTGTCCCAAAACTTAACTTACAAGAAACACGTTCAGTTTCTCAAATGAAAAAGCGTGAAAAGCTCGAGCCAATCCCTTCAATTCTCCGTAATAACCTTTCTTCACCTCTTAAAACAGATCGCACAGGCATGGAACGTTCACAAACCCCATTTCTTGACACTATCAAAGCCCAAGAAGAAATTGGCCATTCACGAATGAGATCAACCTCAAGAAACCCTCGTTCCATCAAGAAACATTTGCATGGCGATTTGCATTTTCTCAAAACTGAAATGAAAAACTAAACTCCCCCCCCCCCCTCCGTGAGCGAACAAAAAAAATTTTGTTCGCTCACGGAGGGGGGTTAATTTTTTTTTTTAAAAAAATTTATATATAAATTTTATAAAAAAATATTTTTTTCGAAATTTAAAAAAATCCTAATTTGCAAAAATTGGGAAGCAAATATTAATTTAATTTGCAAAATTTATGTTTTAAAACGCAATTTGTTTAAAATTAAACAGAATTAGCTCTAGATTTCATTATACTAATTATCACTTATATATCAAAATTTTTTCCATTAAAATTTTTTCTATTAAAAAAAATTTTTTCACTCACACGGAGGGTGGGTTTTTGGTCAAAAAATGGCGATTTTTCTAATGGTTTTGTTCGCTCACGGAGGGGGGGGGGGAGTAAGCAATATGCCTACACCTTTAGAATTTCTTCAGCTGATTAAACATTCACAGGAGCTCAGGGACGATTTTTGGTACTGCAACCGTGGACAAGATGCTTATGATTTGGAATTTGTAAGCTTTAATGAAAGAAATCAAAATGAATATTTCACTATAAGCTCTCGTGGAATTACCCATTTCAGCCATGGCGATATCTCATTTTTAACACTAGAAGAGTGAGAAAGGGAATACTTACTCCCTAATTTTCAATAGGAAATATTATAGGTGAAAAATAATAATTTTTTTGACTTAATTTATGGAAAAAACTCATGGTAGAATTCGCACTAAATCGAATAATTTTAGATTAAATCTATAAAAAAAAATTAATAAATTTCGATAAAAAGAAGTAAAACAGAAATTTGTTCCAATTTAAATGGGGGAGTTAATGTACCAAAAGCTCAAAAAAATTGCATTTTTTAAGCAATATAAATTGTGGAAAGATTTTTCTCTGTGGAAAAATATGAGGAGAAGAATTATGATGAGGGAGAGAGCACAATTTTTAGAGCAGGAATTATTTATATTAGATAATAAGCTAAGAGAGTCATTTTTTGAAGTCAGATACCAATGCTACAGGATATCGAAATTTGATATGATTGATTTAAGGTTTGATTTGGTCAGAAGCATCAAAAATTAAGTCAAGTGTTATAAGGCCATAAGTGGATAAAATACTAGCCTCCTATCTGGCGTAAACCCACCTAACTTAAGGATTCGATCCCTAGTATAGTACCACCACTTGTGAATGCCCCGCTAGTCTCGATAAGCAAATACTAAGTGGGATATAAAACCTGTCGGCTTTTTAAAGTTAGAAAATACAGGATATTTATAAAATGTGTGTTTGTTATTTTAATAGGGTTCCGTGAGTTAGCTGACAAAAGGCAGCTAACCCTATAAAAAAAATAGAGATAGCTGCCAAATTTTCAAAAATTAAGCGAGCTAGCTGCCCCTCTTCTGCAAGTATCCCCAAACCCGAAGTCCTAACTCAAAAGTATTTTTCAAGTTTCATCGGGGCGGGCCATACCAGTACAGAATCCAACTTCTGTCGGCATTACCATTTTATTTCTTCCTATCCCCCTCAGCAAGCGAATAAAACAATTTTTTTGTTCACGGAAAGGAAAATTTATTTTTTTTAAATTGATATATAATTTTATAGTAAATTTTTTTGGTAAAAAAAAAAAAAAAAATTTCATAAAAAAATTGAGAATTAAATTAATTTAATTTGCTAAATTTATATTTTTTAAAAATGTAATCTGTTTAAAATTCAACAGATTTCATTATACTAATTGTCACTTATATTTCGATTTTTTTTCATAAATAATTTTTCGCACACACAGAGGGGAGTTTTTAACCAAAAAATAAGGATTTTTCCAATGGCTTTGCTCTCTCACAGAGAGGGGGAGTTAGAAGTATCAAGGAATTTGTAGAAGATCAAGAAATTAGAAGGGAAAGAAGAAGAATGGAACTGGAAGATATTGAAAAAAACATTACCTCCCCCTCATTTATGAGAGAGCAAAGCCATTGGAAAGATTTTTATTTTTGGGCGAAAGCCCTTGCATTTTTATAACATAAATTTGCAAAATAAATTATATTTTAATTCTCAATTTTTTACGAAAATGGATTTTTAATTTTTCGAAAAAAAATTTACTATAAATTTATATATAAAAATAAAATACCACCCCAGATGAGCGAACAGCATGGTTTTGTTCACTTATGGAGGGGAGTAAAGAAAATGTAAGAGAATCATGCAAAAACTCTATGGAGAGCTTTAGAAAAGCCAATAATACCAATGTGCTGCATGACGATTTGGAGGAAGAAGAAGCATTTTTAATAGGAAATATGTATAATAAGCCTATGCCATATACTCATGAAGCCATTATTCGAACTCATTTGAGAAGACTAGCAAAGTTTGTGAAGCTCTGTGATTATAATATTATTGACTCAAAAATCAAGCTGTGTATAGCCACTTCCACAAAAATGGTGGGGACAATTACTTTTGACTATACAAATAGAGAAAGAGGTCTGAATAAGCAATATCAACCTATTATCATTATAGAAGCTGAGCTATATAAAAATGAAATTACTTTTAGTCCAAATATAGAAGAGCTGAGAAACGCAATTTCTGATGTCATTATAAAATCAATTGAATTGGTATCAAACAATAAGAATTTATCGCACTCCAAAGAATTTGATAATTTAAGGAGAGCCATGAATGAGTTTGCTGATGATTTCTATGATGATAATGTCGACTTAATGCAAATGATATTGGATAACAACAATATTCTTATGCTAGAAACTAAGATAAGAGAAGGCTTGGATTCCAGATTTGAAAACGTTGTAAGAGCTTCTGACTACTTAAAGGGCAATATTAAAGAATATATATGCTTAAATGACAGGAACTACCATTCTAATTTTTCATTTGTTAATTTTTTTTATAAAATACTAGATATTGATTTCATGTAGTCATGAAGAAAGCTCATTTAGGGAGCTTAGATAATCAGCATCTGAAAATAAATAAATTCAAAACTGTTGAAATTGAAGTACTAAACTCCCCCCCCCTCCGTGAGTGAACAAAACCATTAGAAAAATCCCTATTTTTTGCCCAAAAACCCACCCTCCGTGAGTGAACAAAAATTTTTTTTAATAGAAAAAATTTTTTTATAGAAAAAAATTTTGATATATAAGTGATAATTAGCATAATGAAATCTAGAGTTAATTCTGCTTAATTTTAAACAAATTGCATTTTAAAACATAAATTTTATAAATTGAATTAATATTTGCTTTCAAATTTTTGCGAATAAGGATTTTTTAAAATTTCGAAAAAAAAACATTTTTAAAAATTTATATATAAATTTTTTTAAAAAAAAAAAAAAAACCCCCCTCCGTGAGTGAACAAATTTTTTTGTTCACTCACGGAGGGGAGTAAGCAACACTATTAAAAGATATAAAAAACAAGCAGAAGTTTTCAAAAATTTGGTTGATCTAAAAGATGTCGGGATTTTCCGACTAGATGCCTCAAAAATAAAGAAAATAATAATCCCATCACCAATTGAATGCATTTCTAAGCTAGAAAGACTACTACCAGATTTAGCATATGAAAGATCACAAAACCTGTACCAAGAAGTATCAGGGGTTAATAAAAAGCTTGGGAATAATCCTCATGACATTCATCAATATATCCAGCAAGTCTTAATTTTAAGAGATATTGAAGAAAAATCGCAGTCTTTAGGCTTGAAAATCAATGAATTGAAAGAAATGATGGGACTGATGGAAACTTATAATATACCTGCAGGAGATAATACTAAAGACAAATACAATGATGCCATGAAGGCTATAGAAATTATGCGGCAAAGGACTAATTTAGCTTATATGAAGTCTGAAGGAAACAAAATAAAGTTCACCAAGGAGCTGAAAACTCATATAGCTACTGTTGACAAAAGAGCACAAGTACTACAAGCTCAGCTCAAAGACCCTGCTATAAGTGATAAAAACTCATCACCAATATTAGTCTCAGATCTTCTCAAGCGTGTAGGAAAAGACGTTGAAGAGCTTTATACAGACGCAAACAACTATTCGATGTATTTAGATGTTTTAGAGCTCGAAAGGAAAAATTTCAATCACGTAATAAACCTTCGCCAGGATTATATATTAAAAAATGACATGTGGAGTGCTCTAAATGACTGGACAGGCAAATTAGGCATGTGGAAAGAAACCCCATTCAAAAGCATCGATGTAGAAACAATCGGCGAAGAAGTTGAAGGGTTTTATAAAGTTTCTCTAAGATCCCGGCAGCTAGAAGAGCAAGGAAATTTTGTTGGACAGTGACTAAAACAGCTTGTAGAAGAGCTCAGGGATACAATGCCAGTAGTTATCGACTTAAGGTGCCCAGCATTAAAAGAGAGACATTGGAAAGCTCTTCGAGAGATTTTAAAGCAAGATATAAACATTGAAGACACAAATTTCACATTAAGCACGCTTCTAAGTATGAGAGTCAACGACAAAAAAGAAGAAATCTGCGAAATCGCACTTAAAGCTAGAAAAGAAGAAGAGCTAGAAAAACAATTGCGGGAAATTTTAAGGCCATGGGAAACCATTGAATTTCAGTTTAAATACCTCCGAGATAAAGATTTTTATATTTTTACTGCAATAGAAGACATCTCTTCATTACTAGAAGACACCCAAGTCGTCATTACCACAATTCTTACTAACCGTTATATTGGATCTCTATTCGATGAAGTCGACAAGTGAAATAAAAAATTTTCCTTATTTGCAGCCACTTTAGACGAGTGGTTAACTTGCCAAAAGCACTGGGGAGAGCTTGAAAAAATATTTTCATCACAAGACATTGCAAGACAAATGCACGATAAAACAAAAAAATTCAATCAGGTAAATGTCCAGTTTAAAGAACTCATGAAGTCTACTTATCAATATCCTTTGGCACTACAAGCAGCTACTATTGAAGGGACTTTACAAAAATTGCAGGCTTGGAATAAGACCTTAGAAGTACTGCAGAGAGATCTTGAAGAATATTTGGATAAGAAAAGAAGGATTTTCTCACGATTTTTCTTTATTTCGAATGAAGAACTGATCACTATTCTATCGAACTCTCAGAATCCTGGGATAATCCAGCTAAGCTTGAGGAATATGTTTGATGGGATTTATTCATTGCAATTTTCTCAATCTAATCCAGACGATATTGAAGCTATGAAATCTGGGGAAGGAGAGGTCATATACCCTCTTATATAAATGCTCATTATATAGTATAAAAAATATTGAAAAGCATATTTAAATAAAAACCATATATTTTTGCCAAGAAACACCAAAATTAAATCCAGAGTTGAAGACTGGCTTGAAAACCTTGAAAAAGCTATGAAAATTTCAATAAAGTCAGAAATCAGAGAAGCTTTACGATCATACTCCCCTGTCCGAAGAAAAGACTGAATCTTGCGAACTCCCACACAAATTGTTTGTGTGGTCGATATGATCATATGATGCTCTAACACCCAAGACGCAATTTCTCATTCACACCATGCAGTTCGCGAGCATTATGACGCAATGATGGCTCAACTGATGGAACTCATAAGAATTGTCAGCACTGATCTGACTCTTCTTCAGCGCCGAACAACAGTGGCATTAATTACCCAAACAGTTCATAATCGTGACATTGTAGAATCTATAAAAGAAGAAGACGAGCTAATAAGCATTCACGACTTCAAATGGCTACAACAGCTAAGATATAACTGGGATATAGACTCAGAAGACACCACAATTAAGCAGGTAAATGCAAGCTTTTTATATGGATATGAGTATTTAGGAGCCTATTCACGATTAGTAATTACCCCTCTCACTGATAGATGTTGGATCACAATCACAAGCGCTTTACATATCAAGATGGGAGCTGCTCCTGCTGGACCTGCAGGGACGGGGAAAACTGAGTCTACTAAAGATCTAGCTAAAGCTTTGGGCAGGTATTGTGTTGTGTTTAATTGCTCAGAACAAGTGACTTTTCTTATGACACAGAAGCTGTTCATGGGGCTTTGCTATACAGGATCATGGACTTGCTTGGATGAATTTAATCGTATTGATATAGAAGTTTTATCAGTGATAGCGTCTCAGTTGAGATCTATAAAGCATGCTAAGCTAGAGAATAAAAGCGATTTTTTGTTCGAGGAATATAACATTCCTTTAGTTCAGTCTATGGGAGTTTTTATGCTTAATTATTATTAATAAACAAATATCTATAAGAAAATAAATATATTTTGGTATAATCTGCTATAAGAGTTATTATAGAGACTTAGAATATTACAATGAATCCAGACTATGTAGGAAGAACTGAACTTCCTGATAACTTAAAAGTCCTTTTCAGACCTGTCTCAATGATGCTTCCTGATTATACTTTAATAGCAGAAATCATGCTATTTGCTGAAGGATTTAGCAATGCGAAAGAACTCTCTGGAAAAATGACAAAGCTCTACAAACTAAGCTCAGAGCAGCTCTCACAGCAAGACCACTATGATTTTGGAATGAGAGCAGTAAAAAGTGTATTAAACATGGCTGGACAGCTCAAAAGAAAAGAACCCAAACTAGACGAATCAGTTGTACTAATCCGCGCCATGAGAGATTCCAATGTCCCGAAGTTTTTGAAAGACGATTTAGATCTGTTTGATGCTATTGTTCAAGATTTATTTCCAGGAATTGCAATACCTAAGCTGCAATATGGTCTTCTAGAGCAGTCTATCCATGAATGCATCCAAGAGCAAGGCCTGCAACCTGTCCCTACTTTTATAGAAAAAGTCATTCAGCTCTATGAAACTATTTCAGTCAGATTTGGAGCTATGTTGGTAGGCCCAGCAATTTCTGGTAAAACAGAATGCTATAAAACACTAGCCAACGCAATAACCAATTTACGGATCAAGCATAACTCAGATCAAGAAGAGTATCAAAAAGTTTCATATACTGTCATAAACCCTAAAGCTTTGTCTATGGGTGAGCTTTTTGGAGAGTACAATGATGCCACTCAGGACTGAAAAGACGGTGTAGGAAGCCATATAATGCGTGAATACTCCAAGCGAGAGGACACAAACTACCAATGAATCATTTTTGATGGACCTGTCGACTCTTTATGGATTGAAAATATGAACACTGTCCTCGATGACAATATGATGCTTTGTTTAGGAAACGGAGAAAGAATGAAGCTCCGCAAAGAAATGAGGGTTTTATTTGAAGTTCTAGATTTAGCTTCTGCATCACCTGCAACTGTATCAAGATGTGGGATGGTTTATATGAACATTGAAGCTGTAGGCTGGAAACCATATGTAAAATCGTGGCTAAAGACTTTGGAAAATTGGAATACAGAGCAGATTGACCACATTGATTATCTTATATCTTTATATGTGGACAAATCATTGAAATATATAAGAAGAAACCTTAATGAGTATATTAATACTATGGATAGCAGCTTGGTCGTGAATTTGTGCTCATTAGTTAAAGCGCTTGTCCCTGCAAATTGCCCAAGACTGAATGATGAGTTTCCAAGCTTTAAGAAATTCATTGAAAAAGTGTTTGTGTTCTGTGTAACGTGGAGCTTAGGAGGGGCGCTTGATGGACGCAGCGCTTCAAGATTTGACCAAGTTATGAGCTCAGAAATAGGGAGTGACTTGCCAAAAGGGTCTTTATATGATTCTTTTGTAGATCCTTCTAAAAGAGGTGGGGAGTATAAAACTTGGGACTCAATTCGTCCTCAATTTGTGTATAATCCTAATGTGCCGTTTAATGAAATTTTTGTGCCGACTGTGGATACTGTAAAATATGAGTATCTATTGAAGCTTAACATTATATCACAAAAACCTATGTTTTTACTTGGGCCAACAGGAGTTGGAAAATCAGTTTTAGTGAAAAATACTATAAATATTTTGCAGGAAAAAATGAGTCTGCATCCAATTTTCCTTACTTTTTCTGCACAGACTAATGTGCAGATTACTCAAAATTCGATTGTAAGCAAGCTTGACCAGAAAAGGAAAGACTTATTAGGTGGTCCAGGGATTAATAAAGTAGTTATCATGATTGATGATGTCAATATGCCAAACATTGAGGAATTCGGAGCACAGCCACCTATTGAATTAATACGGCAACTTATAGATGGTGGGTATTTCTATGAGAGATCTAAATATTATCAGTTAAGAGTTATTGATACCACTGTCATATGCTGTGCAGCTCCACCTGAAGGCGGCAGACATCCATTATCCCCTCGGTTTACTCGGCATTTCCATTTAATTTCAATCCCTCAGACAAGTGAAGATAATTTGCAATATATTTTCAAAAGTATTTTAGAAGGATTTTTCGCCCATGGTTTTAAAACAGAAATTATTGCTCTTACGAATGCAATAGTTGTAAGCACAACTACGATTTATCAGTCAATAAGTAAAGAGCTACTACCAACTCCTTCGAAATCTCATTACATTTTCAATATGCGAGATGCTGCTAAAGTTTTTCAAGGCCTTATGCAAATAAAGCCAAAAACTATAAAAAATCAAGACACTATGATTAACTTGTGGGTGCATGAGACTTCAAGAGTTTTTTCTGACAGGCTTGTGACTATTGAGGATAAAAACTGGCTTAAAGAATCGATTGTAAAAATGCTTATTCAATGCTTCAGAAAAAATATTTCCTTACTCCCCCCTCCGTGAGCGAACAAAAAATTTTGTTTCACTCACAGAAGGGGTTTAAGTTTTTTTTTTTAAAAAAATATATAAATTTTATAGAAATTTGTTTTTCGAAATTTTAAAAAATACTAATTCGCAAAAATTGGAAAGCAAATATTAATTTAATTTATAAAATTTATGTTTTAAAAAGCAATTTGTTTAAAATTAAATAGAATTAGCTCTAGATTTCATTATACTCATTATCACTTATATATCAAAATTTTTTTCCATAAAAAATTTTTGTTCACTCACGGAGGGTGGGTTTTTGGGCAAAAAATAGCTATTTTTCCAATGTTTTGTTCACTCACGGAGGGGGGGAGTTAGATGAATTGGATGAAGTTTCTCCTAAGCTTTTTGGAGATTTTTATAGAGGAGATCTAGATATGAATGAAAGAGAGTACGAAGAATTCCCAAACACTCAAATTCTGAATAAAAAGGTCCATGAGTTTCTAGTCAACTATAACTTGAACAAATCTAATAGCCTTGACATTGTTATGTTCCAAGAAGCTTTAGAGCAGCTGCTAAGAATCTGCAGAGTTCTGAGGATGTCAAGAGGAAACATGATGCTTGTTGGACTCAGCGGGTCTGGCAAACAAAGTCTTACTAAGCTAGCAGCTTATATATGCCACTGCACAGTCTTCCAAATCCACATCACAAAAGTGTATAAGCTGTCCTTATTTAGAGAAGACTTAAAAAAGCTGTTTATCCAAGCAGGAGGGGCTAAGCCTACACCTACAGTGTTTATCCTAAACGACAATCAAATTGTGTCTGAATCTTTCTTAGAAGATATCAATAACTTATTAAACTCAGGAGAAATCCCAAATCTTTTCACAAAAGAAGAACTAGACGTTGTAGAACAAGACATCAGGTATATTGTGGAAAAAAATAAAATGCACGTAGAGAACATTTATAATTTCTTTATTCAAAGGGTAAGAGAAAACCTGCATGTGGTTTTGTGTATGTCACCTGTAGGACAAACTTTTAGGCTTAGAATGAGAATGTTCCCATCATTGGTTAACTGCTGCACGATCTCATGATTCCCACCATGGGGAGAAGACGCATTATTAAATGTGTCATTAAGCAGGATGTATGATTTACAAATATCAGAGTCAGACCACAATGAAGCGGTCAGGCTGAAAAACGCCCTTGCAAGAGCTTGTGTTTTTGTCCATTCCTCAGTAGAGTCTGTGGCTGACGAATTTTACCAAACCCTCTCACGCCATGTCTACGTAACCCCAAAATCTTATTTTGATATGATAAAATGTTTTAAAAATCTTTTTTACTCAAAAAAAGAAGAGCTCAGTTTAGACAAATCAAAATATCTTAAAGGGTTGTCACAGCTAGAAAAAACTCATAAAGACGTGCTAGAAATGCAAGAGACGCTTAGAGAGCTTCAGCCAGTTCTAGAAGCAAAGAAAAAAGAAAGCGAACTTTTGGCTCAGAAAATTGAGCTAGATACTATTGAGGCAAATAATGTAAGAAGAGTTGTGGAGGACGAAGAACGAGAAGTTAATCAAAAAACACAAGAAATTCAAAGGCTGCAAGAAGAAGCTGAGTTTGATTTCCAACGAGTTATGCCGATGCTTGACTCTGCAATAAAAGCAGTTGAATCGATTAATCCTAAAGATATCACAGAAATCCGAACTTTTCCAAGCCCGCCACCATTAGTTGTGTATACTTTAGAAGCAATTGCAATTATTTTAGAGCATAAAACTGACTGGGATTCAATAAAGAGGCTTCTGAATAGCAATTTTATAGATACTTTGAAAAATTTCAATAGAGACGATATCAAGCCACAGGTTATCAACAAGCTTCGCTATAAAATAAGCTCAAACCCAAATTTCACACCAGATAGAGTAGGATCACAAAATCAGTCATCAAAATCGTTATGCCAATGGGTATTTGCAATAGAACATTATGCGAAGGTTATAAAAGAAGTCACACCAAAACGACTGAAGTTAGAAAAAATGAATAAGGCTCTCGAAGATGCACTGTCAGGACTCAGAGTGGCAAGAGATAAGCTGCGAGTTGAACTGCAAAAAGTCGAGGACTTAGAAAATACATTACGAGAAGTAATTAACGAAAGAGACAAGCTAGGGGAGCAGATTATGACAGACATGATCAGGCTTACAAGAGCTTCTGTACTAACCGATGGCTTAAAAGAAGAGCAAATCAGATGGGGAAGCCTATACGAAACATTAAATAACAGACTCAGCCATTTAATTGGCGATACCTTAATGGCCGCTATCTGTGTCAGCTATTACGGGCCATTTACCGGTTCATTTAGAAACCAGCTCGTTAGCATGTGGATCAAAAAATGCCAAAGCTTACAAATTCCGCTCTCAGAAGAGTTTGATTTAGCTAATGTTCTAGCATATCCTCTTTTAATAAGAGAATGAAATATAGCATCCTTGCCATCTGATTCAGTATCAATAAATAACGCAATTTTAGCAACTAGGTCAGAAAGGTGGCCTCTTATGATTGACCCTCAAGAGCAAGCTAATCGATGGATCAGACAAATGGAGCAGCAAAACAATATAAAAATAGCCAAAGACTATGAATCAGATTTTAATAGAACTCTAGAAGCTTGTCTAAGGAATGGGCTGCCTATGCTAATAGAAGATGTAGGAGAGTCACTGAATCCGTCACTGGACTCTATTTTCCATATGAATATTGTTGAGAGGACGAAGAACATGTTTGAAATTAAATTTGGGGACAATTACATTGATTATGACATGAAATTCAGACTTTATATCACAACAAAAATTTCGAACCCTCATTATTTGCCAGAAACTTTTATCAAAGTTAACATCATTAATTTCACTGTCACAAGTGAAGGGTTGGAAGAACAGTTATTGGCAGAAATTGTAAGAATTGAAGAGCCAGAAATCGAAAAACAAAAAGTCAGCTTGATCATTGATATAGCAAAAGACCAAAAAAAGCTTAAACAGTTAGAAGACAGCATATTAAACACTTTATCAGAAACAAAGGGAAATATTTTAGACGACGCAAAGCTGATAAACACTTTAAAGAGCTCTAAACAGCTGGCACAAGAAATTAATGATAGAGTGAAACAGTCAGAGGTTACTAAAAAATTAATAGAAGATGCAAGAGTAAAATATAAGCCTGTTGCTATTAGAGGATCTGTGCTTTATTTTGTGATTGCTGATTTAGCTATTATTGATCCTATGTATCAATATTCATTGAGATATTTTTCAAAGCTTTTTAATGACATTATAGAAAAGTCAGAGAAAACAGAAATTTTAGAAGAGAGATTGAGAATTATCATAAAAAATACCACTTTTATTATATATCAAAGCATTTGTAAAGGACTATTCAATAGGCATAAGCTGATATTTAGTTTCCTAATTGCTTCAAAAATTGCTAGACTATCTAAAAACATTGAAGACGCTGAATGAAGCTTGTTTTTGAGAGGAGCCAGCATAATACCTCCAGAGTACGGCCGCCCCAGACGACCAGAAGGAATTTCTGAAAAAGCATGGAATTTTGTGATCTGTTTACAAAATATCAGTGAAAAATTCAAAGTCCTCGGAAAATACGTCGATCAAGACATTTTGCAATGGCTTGAATGGATAAACTGTGGCGATCCTACCACAGCTCCTCCTCCTGCTCCATACAGCGACTTATCCATTTTTCATTTACTCCTCCTCATGAAAGCATTCCGTGAAGAAAAAATTTTCACACTTGTAAATCGATTTGTTGACGAAAATCTTGGGCCTGAATTTTTGCAAGCCAGCCAAATTTCTATTGAAGAGCTATTCCAAGACAGTCGACCTAAAATCCCATTGATTTTTATATTGAGTTCAGGCGGAGACCCTATGAATATGATTCAAAAATATGCGAAAATCAGATCGATGAATGAAAAACTAGATGTGATTTCGCTTGGAAAAGGCCAAGGAGAAAGAGCTAAACGGTTTATTGAGCACGGAATAAGAGAAGGGAAATGAATTGTCTTGCAAAATTGTCATCTAGCTAAGTCATGAATGCCAGAACTAGAAAGGCTGGTTTATATTATTGGCGAAACTAATAGTCAGCCACACGAAGATTTCAGACTCTTTTTAACATCGATGCCATGTGATTATTTCCCAGTTGCTGTTTTGCAGAACGGCACAAAAGTGACTAGTGAGCAGCCAAAAGGGCTAAAATCAAATATGCTTCGGTCGATCAGCATGATCCAAGAAGAAAAAATTGAGAAATCTGCAAAACCAGAAGAATTGAGGAAGTTTTTGATGAGTTTGTGCTTCTTCCATGGGGTTGTAAAAGAAAGACTGAAGTTTGGGTCTTTAGGATGGAATGTCAGCTATGAGTTCAATGAAAGCGATTTTGATACTTCCATAGAAATGATCACACTTTTCCTTGAAGAAGAATCAATTCCTGTAGATGCAATTAAATATATTACTGGAGAAATTATTTATGGAGGCCGAGTAACTGATTCTATTGACAGGAGAACCCTTAATAGCATTTTGAGCTCATTTGTGTCAGTAGAAGTCCTTGAGCATGATTATGCCTTTTCTCCATCAAAACTTTATAAAATCCCAACAGTTCACAATCTAGACGGTTTTAAGCAATATGTAAAAACCCTTCCGAGTGAAGATGACCCAGAAATCTTTGGGATGCATCCAAATGCTAACATTACTTATCAAATAAAAGAATCAGAGCTTATAGTGCTAACAGTTTTATCAATACAGCCTAAAGAAAAAGGAAGACTTGGGAAGCCATCGGATACTATTGTTGATGAAATTGCTAACTTAGCCCCCTCAGAACGAACAAAACCATTGAAAAAAATCCTTATTTTTTGGACAAAAAAACATGAGCGAACAAAAAATTTTATATGAAAAAGATTTTGATATATAAAAATGATAAATATTATAATGCAATCTCGAGCTAATTCTGTCTATTTTTAATAGCTTGCATTTTAAAAACATAAATTTTGCAAATTCCATTAATATTTGTTTTCCAAATTTTTGCGAATTGAGATTTTTTTAAATTTTCAAAAAAAATTTTACTATAAAATTTATATATAAATTTAAAAAAAAAAAAAAAATTTTGTTCGCTCACAAAATTTTTTTGTTCTCTCAGAGGGGGAGTAAACAAATCCTAGAAATTTTGCCACGGCCGCTGCTAATTTCGGAAGCTGGGCCAATTACGTTTGCAAAAGAAAAAAATGGGCTGATGGACGCTTTAGCTACATTCCTGATGCAAGAAATTTCCAGATTCAATAAGCTGTTATCGTCTATTCGCGCATCATTAGAAGATTTAAGAAAAGCAATTCGTGGACTTGCACTGATGAGTGATGAGTTGGATTTGACGTATGTTAGCATTTTAAATAACCAAGTTCCTCATCTATGGCAAAAAGTCGCTTATCCTTCCTTAAAGCCTCTAGGGATATGAGTTGATGATTTAGTAGCGAGAACCAATTTTATCAGAACTTGGCTTAAGCTTGGGCCTCCTAACGCCTTTTGGATAAGTTGCTTTTTCTTCCCCCAAGGGTTTTTGACTGCAGCTTTGCAATCTTATGCTAGAAAATATCATGTTCCTATAGACACCTTAATGTTTGCATATGAATTTCAGCAGTACACTGATCCAGATTACATAGAAGAAAAGCCTGAAGAAGGAGTTTACATTTATGGGCTCTTTGCTGAAGGATGCAGGTGGGATATGGAGTATATGGAGCTGCAAGATTCCAGACCTGGAGAAATGTTTACAAAAGTGCCTATAATTCTATTTGTGCCTGTGAATAATAAATCTGTAGAAACTGACGACTGCCCGGTGCCTGTTTATAAAACATCAGCTAGAGCTGGAGTGTTATCCACAACAGGGCACTCAACAAATTTTGTTATTTTTATTGATTGCCCAAACTCACAAAAGCCAAGCTATTGGATATTAAAAGGAGCTGCTTTTGTATGCCAACTTAATGATTAAAATTATAGTTAAATTGGAGTAAAAGGGTTTTCAAAAATTGTGTTTTCTTGGGGAATTTCGAGCTTTCGAGGAAGTCTGTTGTATTTTTCTAATGTTTTTCTGTTTTGATACCGTATTCTTGCATGCTAATTTTAATTAGCAGATGGATTTGGCCGTAGTGGTTATGCAGTCACCAAGGACCCTCGAGGACTCATCCGCTTTGTGACATCCTCTGTCGAAACTTGGACGGTAAAGATGATTTGGTTGGCAAGTTACCTAGGACACCATCTCTCTCTTCTTTGGACCCTGATGCCATAGGCATCAATGATGTTGTGTGTTAAGGATGCCTCGACTTGCCTTATCAACTCCAGTGTTGAGCGGGCGGATTATGGACTTCTACGGCCCTGCATCAGACTATTGGGAAATAGCTTGATCCAGGGAAGAAAACCTTAAATTTAACGGGTGCTGAGTGCCTGTCCTCAGCAGCTATCTGTATCGCGCGGTGAAGTCCAGGTTAAGCTTCCTGAAGGACACTGCCAGATTACCCCTTTCCAATTACAGGAAATAGTAAAAAAAACCTTTCTATATATGCATAATCGCATATCAGACCTAAATCTCGGCAAGTTTCTCGCCCAATTCGCCTTGGGCATAAGGTTGAAAAATTGCGTCGCCATTTTATGTTTCTGTATTCTAGCATCAATAAGATAATATTTAGCTTGCTTGCTTAATGATGATGTAAAAGCCACACAAATCAAGCAAATGACGCAGCATACAAATGCACCAATGAAAAAATAAAGGATATCTTCATCTTCCCAACCGTCTTCTAAGTTTTCACCTGCATCTGTAAATTCTAAATATTCTTCAACATTTGTGTTTTCAATTTCAATGCTATTTTGAGGTAAATTGCTTAATCCCCTCCATGAGCGGACAAAATATTTTGTTCGGTGTAGAGGGTAATTTTTTTAAAAATTTATATATAAATTTTATACTAAATTTTTTTTTGAATTAAAAAACATCAATTTGCAAAATTGAAATCAAAAATTAAGGTAATTATGCTTTAAAATTCGAGAGAGAAATGCTGAGATTCAGCGGTGAATTTAATAATAAAAAAAAATTCTTTAAAAATGTAAGGTGTTTAAAATAAAACAGAATTGACTAGAGATTTCATTATACTAATGAACACTTATATATCAAAATATTATCTCATAAAGGATAGGCTTTTCTCTAAAAAATAGAGATTTTCCCAATGGTTTTGTTCACTTATGAAGAGGGAAGGTTAATCTAATTGAGAATACCCCTGCTATAAATATCACTAAAATTTTCATTTTAAAATTTAACGTTTAACTATTAGTCATCAGAACCTCATCCACTTTCTTTCATATATGATATTATTACTTTAAATTATCACAATCAAGATTATACACTGACTACTCTTATATGTTTTCCAACTCATCAAAACTCACTATACTCTTTCTCAGCTCAAGTTCTGCTCTTTCTTTTTGTATTTGCCCAAGCATATCCATAATTGTATGTGTATCTTCTTCTATTATAGTTTCTTTCACTTTTAGTGTCATTTTCACCTGGTTTATTTCATGGGCTTCATTTAGCATTTCTTCTTTTACCCCTTTCCTTTCTTCTGAGCTGTTTCTAGGCACTCCTTTATGCTTCATTTCTCTTTGCATTATGACTTTATTTTTCATAAGTTCTTCATACTCTCTGCTGGCTTTTTTCTTTATTTCCATCATCATTTTGTACTCACCCCTGACTTTCTCTCGCTCTTCTCTGATTTTGTCAATTTTAGTTGAAGTTCTCCCTATGCTGGTCCTTGGACTTTTTAAATTTAGGTCTTCTGTGGACGAATGTGTGCTCTCTTCTGTCGTTGTAATTCTTTTTATGTGCTTTTTGCATGAGTTGCTCTCAATTTTTATACCTTCTCTATATAAATCGTCAAATTTTATTAAATCTCATTGAAATTTAAGAATTTCGTAAAAAAAGAATAAATTTCATAATTTTCGCTGTGTTTTTTTCTTGTAATATTTGACTTCTTCCTTTTCCAATTCAACTTCGTGTATTAGTTTACGATAATCTATCTCAGAGTTAGGAGGTTCTGTAGCTTCTTCTCAGATGTAACACAAGAGGACTCGTCCAGAAGCATCTGCTAAATTCCATCAACTAGCACCTTTTTTGCGGCTTGACTCATCAATGGTTATAGTGACTTTTCCAATTTCAACGTCCGAAAAGATTCTAGATTTGTGTAAAAATCGGACTTCAAAAGGAAAGAGACCCTTAGCTATAAAAGTATGTGACTGGTTTCAGTGAGGATCAAGATGTTGGCCTGCTGCTGCTTGAGATTTCCAGATCTGCTCGCCACATTGAACTTCAGCGTAAGGGCTCATTTTCCCTAATCGAGCTACATTGTTTTTAAGCTTTGCCTCTATTAGGCGAATGGTTAGGTATGTAGATTGCTGAGACTGCTTACTCGGTATTGATATCATTTAAACCCTTTATGCACTTTATGGAAATGAAATTTTAAGATAAACAAAAGCAAGGTTTATTAACAAGAATTTTGGAAGAAAAGAATGAAGGAAGGTGGATTTAAGGCGATTGGATGGAAAATAAGTAAAGCCTGAGTTGGAGAGATAAATTAAATAATCGTCAGTTTATGATAAGGATACAAGATTTATGATGCAAAAGGTAGTTTAGAAAGACTTTTTTCTGATGGGATCAAATGTCTAACTCCCCCCCCATCCTTGATCGAACGATTGATTGTAAAAAATTCCTAAAAATTGGGAAAAATTAACCCCCATCCTTGATCGAACGATTTTCATATCATGCAAATTTTTATATATATAAAAATATATTAGTTATCAGAAGCTTGAGAAGATGTACATAATGAAGTTGTTTTCAGAGACTTTGAGGCGACAAAAAGCTACGGAATCAACTGTTCAAAGTGATTTAGTCATCAACCTAGGCTAAAAAACTCAATAATCTAAAATATAGAGATTCTTTAAAATTTAAAAAACAAAATTTTAATTCAATAAGGAACAAATTAAAATTTATAAAGTTTAAACGAGTGACTAATAAATCAAAATATTAAAAATTGGTATTCTTATGAAATTAATTCAAATTTTTGCTGTAAAAATAATTATTAAATACTCTTAACCCTCTTATTTAAAAGTAAATAAAAAAAACATATATATATATATTTTATTTTATATATAAAATTTTTTCCCAAAAAAATTTTTTTTAACCCCCCATCCTTGATCGAACGATGGCGAGCCGTTCGATCAAGGATGGGGGGGGAGTAAGTAAAGCGATGAAACTGCCTTAACGAATTTATTGGCTTTAAAATTTAATAAGAATAATCACTGATGTGCACCATTATACCATAAGAAATAAATTATTTAAAAAGGTTAAAAAAGCATTAAGAAAAATTTATTTTTGAATATTCTTTGAACAAATTGAGGCTCTCATTCTTTTAAAAGATTCTTTATTTTAGCTTATTTTTGCAAAAAGAGATTTGACGCACGAAGAGTATTTTTCAATTATTCGGGGAGGTATAAAATAAAAATAAGAAACTAAATGAATGAAATTATGATAGATTTTTTCAATAAATTTATACTTAAATAGCCAGACTTTAAATAAATATTTAATTAAATTTTCTTTATTTACCTCTTACCAATAACTCAAAATAAACATCCTTGAGAGATTATATTAGAAATTTTAACCAATTTCTATTTAATATAAGTCTATTTATTGTTATGCTTTATTTAGAAGCTTGAAGTAAATATTGACTAAAATGGCCTGAAAACGGTTTCTCTTCTGTAATATTTACTGCATTTTAATGATAAATAATTCGATTGCATAGATAAAATGGCAGAAACCGCTACACACTTAGACCCAAAAATAGCAGTTCAGAAGCTGAAGCAGCAAAACGAAAACCTTAAATCTGAGCTTTCACAGCTAAGAGGTGCTTTGCAAACTGCTATGAATAATCAAAAGCAAGCAAGCATCCAAGCGCAACGTCCTAACTTCAGTTCAGACTCTGAAGACCGAGAACTCCAAATTTTGCACTCAAAAATTAAAAAACTTAAAAATGAGCGTTCATCCTTAAAAGTCCAAATTACTGCAAATTCTGATTCCAGCACAGCAGAGATTGAAAATGAGTTAAAATATCTCAAAAACCAACTAAAGCAAGCAGAAGCTGAGCAGCAAACTCTTTTAAAACTTCAAAAAGACCAAGAAAACCATATTGAAACTATAAGCACTGGACAAACTGTTGCTGATAAGATCAGCAGACTTCGAGAAGAAATAAAAGAAGCTAAAGATGAATACCGAGAGGTCAATGAAACTATGAAATCAGAAGAGGCAAGGTGGCTTGAAGACCACAAAAGAATGATTGCCCTTGAGTCAAGAATAAGAGAAGCCTCAGGGAAAACACCAAAAGTTAAATCGAAAACTCAAGAAGAAGATGAGTTAACTGAACTAAAAAGAAAACAAGACGTCCTTAATAAAGCCATAGCGACTGAAGAAGCTAAAGGAAAACGATATATAATAGAAGCTGAAAATAGCCTGAAAGCACTTCAAGATGAAGATTTGGGATTAAAAAAAAAATTGAGAGAAAAAGACCAGGAGTGCCAATTAAAAATTTTGAAAATAAAAGAGTTAAAAGGAAATATTGCAAATTTGCAAAGAAAAGGGAAAGATGAAGAAAATAGAGAAGGGGATGTAGGCAACTATGAAGGAGGAAGAGAAAACTATGGAAGTAATGAAGGAGAGTACGAAGATAAGCCAAAGTATTCTGATTATGAATATGAGTCAAGGCATAATAGAAATGCATCAGGAGATTATGGAGAAGGTGGGAAGGAGTATTATTCAAAGCCGAAACTTCAATTTTAGACAAATAATTATAATAAATAATTTTATTCTATTAAATTTTAATCTCTTTTAATAATATAATAAATATTTGGGAAAGTTTAATATATTATTCAAAAATTTTTAATAATAATTTTTTCTCAAATGTCTGAGAATTAGATTTTTTACCTGTACAGTTTAAAATTTTAATGTCCAACTTATTTGTTTTGAAGCTATTTGGCATATAAGCAATTTTGAATAACTTTATTAATATAAGAACAAAATTTATGTGCCTTTGGTATCATAGTATTCATTTTTAGATATGTCCCCATTCAAATCCAATGGTTTTCTATTGGATTTTGTCGCTATAATAGGATGTATTATAGAGCCTGCCATCATAGTGAATCTCTTTTTTGTTGATTCATTTCTGCTTTCAACTTTCAAAGTTTGGTTATGCCTTAAACTCTCTTTATCAATTTCATTTCTAGAAGAGCTTGGTGATAAATCAAATGATGATCGCCTCACTTTAACTTCTAAAGCATTTCCCATAGTATGCTTCTGAAAATTGTAAATATTTCATTTCATTTTTAGAATTTTTTCGGTTAATTGAATTTCCTGCTTCATAATCTTTTTCATTGGCTTCAAGTTTCTTTTTAACGGCTGCAGATATTTTAAAAATTTTGGTAGATTCGTAGCATATTTTTTATCGAAATTTACAATATTTTCTCTAGCTCATCTTATTTATAATGAATTTTTTTTATTGGTGATAATTTATTCGAGTGCTTTTTACTAATTTTTTTTTTGGGAAATAAATATAGATTTTGTTCACTATTAAAATGAGGAGATAAGCGAATGGTTTCTCTCTCCTTGTGCACACTTCCTCACCAATGAAAATCTTTTAAGCTGTATATGAAAAACTAAAAATTCGTGTCATCTAGGCTCTTTAGCTCTTCTTTTTTTCTTTAATGCCCATCATTTTATATTCGTTCCATAATAAAAGTGATCCTTCAATAATTTGTTTGTGAAATTAGAAATTGATCGAAAATGATATAATTAATCCCAAAGCGTAAGGTGTCAATTTTTTCTTCACACAATGATTGTAAATTTTTTTTTCATAAAAATCCATTTCTTTTCTGCTGAAGATGAGCTCGTGTTCTACAGATAGCACAGTAGACGAAACTATGAATACACCAAGAAAATTTATCAAAACTATAATAAATCTTCCAATATGGGTACCTGGAACTACATCACCATAGCCTACTGTTAACTCTGTAAATCCTACCAAAGAAAATCCATTCCATATAAACCCAAAATCGCTGTCTTCCAACGTCCTCTCAAAAATTCTCAACAAAAATCCCGCTGATATCATAATAATAGTAAAAAGAAAACAAATCGAATGATAAGGCTTTGTCTTTAACTGAGTTTTTAACGAAAAAATCATAAAATCTCTCACGTTCTCCAAGTTGCTATATAATTGTTACCATATAATTTCAGCTTTTTGCGAGCTGTAATAAGAGGTCTCATAAATCATTTTGAACACAAAATAAAGCTTGATAAATGAAATGCCAAGGATAATATCATCTATAGAAAGCAATGCATAGGTATTCAATTCGTGGACTTCAAAACTTCAATCCAAATAGGGAGGTGTGGCAGGAAAACAAATGAATATTTCAAATATCATTCAGTTTCTTATTGGGATATCTCATAACTGGCTATTAATATGACATTCTCGGTAAGCCTTTGAAAGATGCAGTTTTATCGAGTAATATTGGATAACAAAGCTTATAAGTCAGGCATTTAGCGCTATGATGATTGCCCTGACTCCCCCCTTTAAATTGAAACAAAATATAGGTAAATTTTCCAATTTTTTGGTAAAATTAACTCTTTTTAAATTGAAACAAAATTCAATTTTATAATAAAAAATTTTATGATAAAAATCATAATTTTTATGTAAATAGTTTTGATATAAGTTAAAAGTTTCTTCTCAACTAAAATTAAAAATTTTAGTTATATTTTGCTCTTTTTTAAAAGAAGAGAGTATAAAGAGCCTCTTATTTAAAATAATATATTATCCTTAATTGCTAAATTTTTAAAACAATTTAATTTTTTTTTAAAAATTTTCAAAAACATTTTTAGATAAAAATAATATTTTTTATTTAAATAATTTTGATATAAATTCAATGCGAATTCTTTACAAAAATTGAAAATTTGCTATTTCTTGCTTTATTTTAAAGAATAGAGTATAAATAATATCTTATTTAAGCTAAATTAGCACTTTGATCGATAAATTTTTTAACAATTTTTTTTTAATTTTTTTATCAATAAAAATAACTATTTTTATATAAATAGTGGCGTATTAATTAATAATGAACATTTAATTATATCTTGCTTTATTTTAAAGGATAAAGAGTAAATAGCATTTTATTAAGCAAATTTATTAATCTAATTCGATAAATTTTTGAAATAAATTTTTGTTTTTAATTTTTATATAATTTTGTTTTTAATTTTTATATAATTTTTGTTTTTATAAAAAATTTTCTTAACTCTTTAAATTGGAACAACATTTTTTGTTCCAATTTAAAGGGGGGAGTGAGAAGATTTATATTCGTAGTTGACTTAAAATCATTATAATAATAGGATTCATTTTCAACAATAGAGAGAACAAGAATGATGACACTTAATATGCCTGTCAAGATTGAGTTTATTTTAAATCGAATTTTCAGTTTTGATATGTCAAGTTCTGGAAAAATTGTAGCTACTCTTGTAGGAATGCCTAAAGAATCTCCGAATGGATCGTTAAAGGCAAGCATTAAAGCATATGACGAAGCAATTTTGCTGTAAACACAACCTTGAGTAATTGTGTGTGTTCTTTTCAGTGACTGCATTCTAATTGGTATTTTTTAATTCTTTTTATTAAAAATCTTAATTAAATCCCTAAAATTTAGCCAGATTTTCAAATTTTTAATTCTGGCTGACATTTTGCTTTTTAGAACTATAGCTAGTTGAATTTTTTAGCAAACGATTTTTATTCATATTCTTTTATATATTAATGAATATTTGCTTTACATATAATCAATATTTGAGTATTTTTATCCATTTATATTGATATAAAACAATATGCCAAAGAATAGATAATAGATGAGTAAATTTTGTATAAGATTTGGGAAGAGAGTGTCTAAACATTTAGATAAATTTTTCTGATAAAATATATCTTTTTTGATTGTTAATCTAATTTGATTAAATTTAAATTAAATTAGCTTTTCAGATTTTCCGTAAAATAATAAGTGATGCTTATCACAGCTTTTCAATAATAATCCTCTGATATTCTGAATTCTATCTATGATATTATTGATAGCAGAGTCGAATTGTGAATTTTTTTGCAGTTTCAATGTAAAAATTTCCTTTGCAATGTCCTGATAAAAGGCACTATCAAAAGTTCATCAATTCTTAAAATAATAATATTAGATGAAGATCCAAATTAGTAATTCTTGTCACGCCTGAACTACCGGCCCTGAAAAACTTTGTTTTAAACTTTACGAAAATCATGCAAACGAAATTATCATTGTATTATAATATGCTGGTGATATTATTTTCAGTGTTTAATTGCTTTTAATCCTTTAATATCTTTTTAGAAAATTGCAATTTTCCAGATCAGTTGTTCTTAAACTGCGCTACTTTTTCATAGCAGTAATTTTTAAAGTTTATAATCAGACTATAGAAAAATATCTTGGATTAGGCCTTTCAATTTTGAATTTTTCAAAATTGACTGACAGAGTTCTCTTCTTGATGCCATTTTATGCCTTTGCTTAATATGAGCTGCCATAAAAATTAAAATGCCATCACATGAGTTGAGCTTAAGCTTGATTTAAAAGCGCAGCAGATGGGGCTCAAGTATATAAGTATTCATATACTGTAATATTTTTGAAATTTAATTTACCATCATATCCGAAGCACATTTTTACAATTCATTCTATCGAAATTCTTAAATAATTTTTATAATCAGATTTTCAGAAGAAATAACTAATTCTAAAGAATTTTTAAAAAAATCCCATGAATTAGCTTCATATAAATGGCTGATAAAATCTACTCACTCCTTTCTTTGAATGAGTAAATCCATTGGAAAATAATTATTTTAGGAGATGATCCCCCTTTATTAGCAGAAAATGAATATGTAGCAATTATTAAATTAAATATCTAAATAGTCAAAGGCCTGCTTGGGTCGCCCTGGGCACAAATTGCCGCCTAAGCCTGTGACGTTGATTCAGGCAGTATTATTTGCAAAATTAACCCCACAAGTTGACAAGTTCACCTTATTTTCAATTTAAGCTCTGGGTTGACTTGGCAACTAATTTTTCCTAAGCCATCCTACAGGTTGAGGTGGCCAGGGTGACCCATAACAGGGAATTGGCTATAATCCAATAAAAAATAAAAAAAACTAGAGAAATTTCTCAATTTGAAAAACTAGTTTTAATCAAAATTTTATATAATTATTTTCACTATCGGGAAACTTCTTTTTATGAGCATTTTTGTGTTTCCTGACTATAAAAATATGTATATAAAATTTTCAAAATATTAATGACCCTTCACAAGTGAAAAAGAATTTTTGCTGAGTCAGACATGGGAGGAGTTAAAGGAACTTATCCAAAATCGATAGAAGGCCTTTTCTTTTGAGTCACATTAAAAATATTCCCAATTTCCAGCTTTAATCGTTACTTATTCCAATACTTTTCGTATATTAAGCTTATTAGTATGCTTTAAATATTGCAATTATGAATTAAATATAAATTGAAAATATCAGCTTTATTTTATTTTTTTGAAACCCATTTCTTTAAAGCAAAAATAAAAAGACAAAAACTGTAATAATAAATGGGGTGTAAATTTTCTGGTGCAAAGGACGCTCAAGAAGTGACTTCTTTGTCTGAGCAAGACGTCAGAATTATAAACAAAATAGGTGAGCTTGCTTCTCAAGTCCAAAACTCTCCATCACCTGCAGAACTCCAATTCCTTTTGCAAACTTTAAGCAATCTTCACACAGTCGAATCAGCCAAGCGTGAAGAATGGCTTGCAACAATCCACAATGATATCATAAATCCCTTATATTTCTCTATGATAGAAAATTTCCCATATTCTGATGCAAATCCATTCATTCCAGACCAGCATAAATTAGAAACTTTGAGAAACAAAGACTTTTTACCTTTTGACAAGTCAAAAGACGAGTTAAGAAACTGTCTTTTGCATATATACTTTATATACTAATTTTATTAAAATATATCTTCAATGGATTTATTTATATATTTATTAACTCCCCCCCCTCCGTGAGTGAACAAAAAAAAATTTTGTTCACTCACGGAGGGGGTTAATTTTTTTTTTTTAAAACAATTATATATATAATTTTATAAAAAATATTTTTTTTTCGAAATTTTAAAAAATCCTAATTCGCAAAAAATTGAAAAGCAAATATTAATTTAATTTATAAAATTTATGTTTTAAAAAGCAATTTGTTTAAAATTACACAGAATTAGCTCTGGATTTCATTATACTAATTATCATTTATATATCAAAAATTTTTTCCATAAAAGATTTTTGTATTAAAAAAAATTTTTGTTCACTCACGGAGGGTGGGTTTTTGGGCAAAAAATAGCGATTTTTCTAATGGTTTTGTTCACTCACGGAGGGGGGGGGAGTAAGTAATATATATATTCAGATTTTATCCCACTGTTCAATATTGACATTTCAAAGCTCCAAAGATTTATTTTTGCTTTGTCAGAAAACTACAACGATAATCCATTCCATAATTTCACACATGCTTTTGCAGTCACCCAAATGCTATTCAGCATAAGTGAAAGAGCTAACAAACTACAAGCGTTTTTAGAACATAAAGATAGGCTTGCTCTTCTAGTTTCAGCGTTAGGGCATGACTTAAATCACCCTGGAGTAACAAATGCTTATATGATAAATACAAGACACCAGCTTGCTGTTCGCTATAACGATATTTCTGTGCTGGAAAATTACCACGCATCAACGCTAATTCATTTTCTCGAGCTTTCTGGTTGCGATATTCTGGAAAGCCTCCCACTTCAAGATAGGAATTATATGAGAAGACAGATAATCCCGACGATTTTGGCGACAGATATGGCTAAACATTTTCAAGTAATCGCCAACTTCGAAGGAGTTATGAAGAATTTTGATAGGGAAAACGCAGATCATAGGCAAGCTGTAATGGATGGGCTATTACATTCTGCAGATGTAGGGAATCCTACATTAAGATTTGATATTGCGACTGTTTATTCTCTGAGGATTATTCAGGAATTTAATAAACAAGTGCTTACTGAAGAACAGAAAGGTCTTCCGGTGTCTGAGTATTTGAGGGTTGGAAATGATGTTGCTGGAATTAAAAAAAATCAGCTGGGCTTTATAGAAAAACTGATTTATCCACTCTGGAAAGTTGTAGCAACTTATATACCTGAAGCGCAAATTCATATAGATACTATTGAAGACAATAAAAGAAGGTGGGAGGAACTTGAAAATCTAGATTAAGAGCTAGCTTCTATTATTAATTACTGATTATGATAGGAAATGCTAAGGTAATTGCCTCATTTTCAATTTAAAATATTTTTCAAATAGCAAAATAACTATAATTTATTAATATTTATCCAAATTTCATTAAAATAAACTTATGCAAAATCCTCTTACAGAAATTAATACTTTGCACGATGTGCCATAATTAAAGTTTATTAAGTTCTGCTAATCGAAACTTAACCAAAAGTTGGTCAAAGAGCTCAGATCCCATAGTTTTTTCATAAGCCCTCTTAATGGCGTTAATCAAATCTTCCAGCACTTTTTTATCTTTGAGCGTCATAAAATCTATGACTTTATCAATGCACTGGTTTTCTGAAAAAGCCTTAATGTACTTATAAGCGACGTCAATGTCATCTCTATGGCTCGACAAGACCTTGACAATCTCATTAAAGGTACTTCCATCGATATTCTTGAAATACTCGATTTCTGCCACTGACTTCTTCAGCAGTTTAAACTTCTTCTTCATGCTTACTTGGTTCCATTTCTCAGTAAAAGACTGTGCTGAATCAAAAATAGGCGTATTAAACTTTGTATGCATGATATCTTCTAAAACTTTAGTCCCTTTGGTAAAGTTTCCTCTCACTACATTCATAAGTTTTCCTACTAGAAAGCCTAGACCGATTGCAGGTATGACTGTGGACTGCAAAACGTAATTTGTTGTATTGTTTTCCCCTACTGAGTAAGTGCAGACTTCTCGTGACGTTGAAAATTGTCTGTGAGTGAGATTATTTGTTTTAGTTACTTAGATTAATTAGTGTTTAACGTTCCACTTCTTTTAGTAGGATGAATAGGTTGAAACCACCCTTTAGCTCCAAATGGCGATGCCAAGGGTACTCCGATATCGTGCCATGTTTCAGGCTGACTCAGCAATTAAAACAAGTTCCGCATCCTCCTGGACAGAAAGACCCACAAAGATGTTGCCCTTACTTTACTATACTCAACTCCTACAGCGTTCGGCATGAGGTTCTCCTTCTTAGGTTTGTTGAGAGGAAAACATTAAATCTGTTGATCCACTCTGAGAAGTTCTCTGGCTAATTACCAAAGTTAAGACGCTGTTGCTGTACAGAAGTCTCTAGAAAAAGCCCTACCTTTATAATAAAATTCCATGAGGAGAGAAAATTAGCAGAACTGAATGCATTTTTATTTATAAGATTATTTGTCAGTAAAGTTATCGATTGTTTGTGAGGGTCGATGATTGACCTTTCAAAGCCAAAGACGGATGAAAATTTCATAAAAGAGCTTGCAAGAATCCTGGTTGTTATGAGCCTGCCTTCTTCGTCGACATATCTTTCTAAAGTATCCACAGATTCAACATGGGAGAGTTTTCTGTGAGGGTATTTGGCGAGATAAGCTCTAGCGACCATGCACCATGGCTGCTTAAATGTATGAGAAAGCTGGATAGTGTTCTCAGACATATTTTATAAAAATTATGAAGATAAAAACATCAATGAATTGTGATAAATGGAAAATAATAATACCTATACAAGTATGCTTACATTAGAAGGCTATCGACTATATTATATATTTTATTAAGCTTTGCAATATATTTGAATAAATGCTCATCAATAAGCTCCCTCAAAGATGAGTTGAAATTAGATCTTATTAAGTTCTAATAAGCCAAACTTAATATAGAGCTCTTCAAAAGGCTCTGGCCCTATGGCTTTTTCATGTCTTTCCTTTATCACATTTAAGAGCTCTTCAAGATCTTTTTTCTCTTTTAAACTCATGAAATCAATGATTTTATCCACCTCCTGGCTTTCTGAAAATGCCTTCATGTATTTAAAAGCCGTATCCACCTCTTCCTTATGATGCGCTAGCACTTTGATAACTTCAGCAAAAGTCTTACCATCAATATTTTTAAAATAATCTACTTCAGATACTGATTTTTTAAGAAGTTTGAATTTTTTCCTCATGTTCACTTCGTTCCATATTTCAACAAAACTCTGTGGCGAATCAAATAATGGAATATTAAATTTCGTGCGCATGATGTCTTCTAAGATCCTTACTCCCTTATTAAAATTGTACTTTGCTTCTCTTATTACCTTTTTAGCTAGAAACTCGACTCGTCAGTCCGGCACGAGTGTCCACTGTACGGCATAATGAGTAGTATTATCTTCTCCCACTGTATATTTGCAGACCTCATTTACCTTTGAAAGCTGCCTATGTGTGATATTATCTGTGGCTAAATTCAATTCCTGCCTTTCCAAATCTACTGCTGATCTTTCAAGCCCAATAATTGATGAAAACTTCATGAAAGAACTCACCAGGACTCTCGTAGTTATTAACCTCCCTTCCTCATCTACATACCTTTCCAAAGTATCAATATACTCTATATGTGACAATTTTCTGTGTGGATACTTCGCAAGGTATGCTCTGGCAACCATATACCATGGTCGCCTAAATCTGTGAGAAAGTTGGATACAATGCTCCGACATTTTTAATTTTAAAATTTTATTGCTTAAATACAACTAAGCGTTGACGACAAGGAAAATTTTCGATATTCCTGTGTGCTATCAGCTACTTTAGACGCTGCCATTCTGAAATCAAAGAAATAGCCTGAAAACAAAGTTTGAATCGAATCTTGTTCAATCATAGGGTCAATTTCGTCTTTTCATTCACCGCCTACTCTGGGGTCAAAGTTGTCTTCAGTTGTTAGCCTAAAAGGAGCTTCTAGAGTTTTTTCTTTAAGCTGTTTCCAAGGGAACTCTTGAAGCCAAGGGTGGGATTTAACTTCTTTTGCACCTTTTGCTCCTAGCCTGTTATCAGCTTTCCTCATAAGGAGCTTATTAGCAAAATCAGCAGCTTCGAGAGACCAGCCTTCAGGGACTTCTTGTCTTTTGATTTGTACTTGTCTTGCTAGGATTTGGTCTCTGATTTCTTTTCTGTTTTTTCCATTGTAAGGCCTTCTTCCCATCATGAACTCATATACTATAACACCTAATTCCTCTGAGCAAGAAACATCATTGGAAAAATCCCTATTTGAGAAAGCCGCCTTGCGTGAGATCAATCATAAAAATAAGGGAACTCTAGATAATTCAATTAAATATTGGGCCATTTACAAATTTAATATAAAATTTGAAAAAAAAAATCAAATCCTTTGTCAGCGAGCGAAATATTTTTCTCGCAAAGAGGGGAGTAAGGCAAAATAATCCGCAACATAGCTGTGGTTCATTCTACACATGACTTCAGGGGCCATATATCCAGGTGTTCCTGAAGTATCTTGAGAGTTTTCTGGGTTAAACACCCTTGCGATCCCAAAGTCTGTTATCCTCACATATCCTTTGCTATCCAGCACCAAATTTTCCGGCTTAATATCTCTATGTATAATGCCATTAGCATGTATATAATCTAGCCCTGCGACTATACAAGCAACAAAAAACCTGGTCTGTTCCTCGCTAAATCTTCTAACTTTCCCAAGATGATACCTCAGGTCTCCGCCGGGCATCAAATCCATCACTAAATACAAGTTTTCTCTGTCCTGGAAGGCAAACTGCATATTTACAATAAGAGGGTGTCTCAGAACTGAGAGAATTTTTCTTTCATTCATAACTGAATGCACACTCCTTTTGGAAACGATTCTGAGCTTGCTCATAGCTTTCATCGCAAAAAGCCGTTTGACTTTTTTTAATTCAACTTTTCATACACGGCCGAAGCCTCCTTTTCCAATCGGATAAAGAAAATTAAAATAATGCTTGTTGATTGTAGGGGATGGGACTTCATGAGTCGTTTCTTTTTCTTTGTGTGGATCAGATTGGATGCAGCCTTGAGATTTCAATCCACGACGATGACCTGGTCGGGAACCTCCTTGGCTGAGGGTGAACACTGTCCTGAGTTTACTGATGTCTGAGTCTCTTTGCATTTAAATGGAATATAATAAAAAACATAGGAAAATTTGGCAGATAAAACGGTTTATGTGGGTGAAGAGCATTAAAAAAGAAAATTTAGGAGACTATGGGGGCTGATTTGGAAATTTTTGAAATTGGAGAGATAGGTTATAAGCTTATTCATTAGTTATATGCTATGAGCAGCTCTATGAGACGTCATTATGCTATATAATCTAATACAGTATAATTTCAAAATATATAAATTGTCAGATAAATATTATGTCATAATCTTTTAATGATAAAAATATTAACTCTCCTTCACGAGCAAGCAAGAACAGAAAATCCTATATTTGGTAGAAATAAATTATTTTATTTCAATTATTTTTTATATATAGTCTTTATATATAATTATTAATTATTTACTTAAAGCTTAAGCAATTTCTGTTAAATATTATAGTATGTGTTCTAAAACATAAATTTTATACATTAAATTACATTATTCAACAAACTTAAAAAAAAAACTCTATTATGAAATAAAAAATTAGCCACTCTTTATGAGCAATAAAAAAAACTTAATTGTTCGGAAAGTAAGCAGATTATCATCAACAGCAAAATCCAAAGTTTTTGATGTGAATTACGCAATTGATGATTTTTCTGATTTCCCTATAAAGTATCATAAAAATATCCCAAATCTCGAAGATGTTAAAGTTAAGGATTACCTTTACAGGCCAAGCGATGTTGAAGGGATTAAATTGGCGCATGACTCTTTTATGACTCTATTAGTGGAAGGAAAATATGCAGAACTTGAAGATATGACAGAGCACAATTTTTTTATTAAACTTAAAGAAATATGTGAAAAATATAAGAAACTAGGCTACACATTCCAAAAAATAGGAAATTCTGATGATGCAGCAGTAAAAATTATAGGTGTCAGCTACTTTTCTGGAGGTGTAACCCCATACAGAAATTTAAATTTGTCTGAAAAAAGCTATTATCAGCAGCCTTTAATTGACCCTGTCTCAAAAGCCCCAGTTGGTGTCTTTTTCAGAACAAGAAACCCCAAATCTCCTCCAAAAGATTTTTCAAAGTTTAATGACTTAGATCTAAAAGCATTAAATGCCTCAGATCCTTCACAATACCAAGACAAGCTAGAAGAGTTAGCAACTTTATTCCAATGGTATCCTTTAAGAATCAAAGCAATTGATGCTGGGATAGTCAGTTCCTGCAAACTTGTAGTGCTTGATAAGAAAGGCAAGCCAGTGTATGGAGAATTTGATGAAGAATTAAAAGTATTTAGGTTGTTTAGAATGGAAACTATTATTGAGATGAAAGGGTGGCTAACGGCATTTTGGAATTGGAAGACTGGAATAAAGACGTTTATAGATGAGCAATTCAAAGGGATGGTTGGGCAATATTATATTGTGGATGTTGATGGATTTGCTGATGGAAATCCATACACATATTAAGATAATTAGATTTATCAAATTATAAATATGTGGTTAAGCACACAGATCTCAACCTCCCCAGTATAATTTTTGGGATAGTTGACTGAGTCAACTGAGTCTTTGCTTTTTCTGTGAAGAATAATTTAATATACAATATAGATAGTAATGTAGATGTGGGGGCAGGGTAGGATCGGGAGGTTAGGATTTGTGCTTGACCAGATTTGTGGCTTTTAATAGTCAAGTTATTTAGCTTGATTGCTGGAAGAGAAAGGAGAGTGCCTTTTTTCCCCTTTTATCAAATCAATCTCTCGCCGATATATCTTTTCTGATTGAAAAAGTGGTTTGTATTTATAAGTGTTTACTAAATGCTATAAAAAATCAAGATATGAATGAATCATAATTTTCGTGCTAAGCATCATCTTGTCTATACTACCAAGTCGGCTTAAATATGCTTTTAAGACAGCTTCCTTCTAAAAATATATTGTATATCTCTAATAAAATAGGGGTAGTATGGAAGATTAAGAGATTTATCATTTTTTCTATATGGAAAATGAGAAAATTGCTAAAAAACATAAATAAGTTAATATAAGGTAGAGCGAAGCAAAATATGCTATATATATCTATTCTATTTAATATTTTGATAAAACTATAATAAAAGAGAAATGAATAAAGCATATATAATAGCATAGAAGGTTTGGATCATTCCTCAAAATCATTGGTGTCAAAAATTTATAAAAGCGGTATGTTACAATAGTCGTTTATCTTAAATAATCTCTTTACCGATTTCTATCGTAATATGCTGTGCAGAATTTTATGTATATTGATAGATAATAAAGGTTTTTATTCTTATAAATTCAGATGGCTTAACAACCTGCCTTTATTTTTTTAATTAACTGTGCCTACCGAATTAGATTTGTCTTTATGTTTTATGAGCATATTCTTCCAAAATGAAATTCCAATTTAAAGTGAATGCTGAGGCTTTAAATATAAAATAAATACTTTACATGCAATTTCTTGAAATAACAATGAAAAGCATAATAAAACTAAAATAAGTTATTTTTTAAATATTTAAATAAAAATAGCATAATAGTAGTAGAGAACTATTAGTCATTATTTGAGCATGACAGAAAAATCAAATATCCTACTAAATCTCATTTAGTGATTTTTTGGGCTTAGATTGGTTAATAAAAAGCTTATAAGAGTTGTATTAGTCTAGGCCTAATAAATAATTAGTGATGATTTTTTGGCTTAATATTAATTGCTATAATTTGCCTAGCTTTCACCATTAAAATAAGCAAGATAAAGTAAAAATCCTTTACTTGCATCCATTAACTTTAAAATAATTTCCATTTAGCTGGTTATTCAAATATGATCAACTAGTGTTTTTGAGATTGAAGAGGTTAGGAGCAAAAGCAAGAGAAATTTAGAAAAGTTAATCGATGGTGATTTGGAATGCAATACTTATTTCTGATACATAATAATTAGAAGAGAATTTCTGATTGATCAAGAACTCAAGTGAAATAAGATTATGAAGAAAGTACGTCATTCTTAGGGATCAGAAATTTTATTTTTAGATATGACAGATTTATTTTAATTTTAAATCAGAAAATTAGATTTAGATCAGACTTAGATCATTTTATCAGATGCTGGTTTTTATATCAGATTGAACTTAAGTAGACTGAAAAGTCTTATGGCCATAATTTTATAAGCTAAATTAAGAGACTTTCACCCACCTTGAAAAATAAGCAAAATCATTCGAAAAAACCTATCTTTAGAAAATTAAGTCAGAAAAATAGAGAATTTTTTTTTTAATTTATAAAATTAATAGCTATTCATTAAATTTAGATAGCTCACTTTCTAAAACATAAATTTTATAATTTGAATTAGTTTAAGAGTGCGTAAAAAAAAATTGCTCGCATTTAAAAGGAGGGAGTTGATATTTAGCAGGCCACTCAAATTAATAAGGATTTTTTAGCTTTCTCTTCAATTCGAAGCTTATAAAAAGACTTATAAAGAGCAAACAAAAACTTTATAGAAAGGAGTAAGAAAAGTTTGTTACAGAATCTCATTATTTTATTGAACGAGAGAGTAATAAAATAACGAAAAAAAGTCATTATATCACGCCACAAACGAGCTAAGATTCAAAAATTAAAAGATTATCCTTCTATTATGCTGCCACAATGAAACTATGTTAAAAGCAGCTTGAGTAACTTCCAAGTAATTGAAAGTTAAATTAGTCTTAAAAATTTTAATTATGTTCTTAAAATATGATCTGTTCACTATTTTTTATTGGGAACATTAAATTAATACCCTAAACAAAGTTTCTTCACCAATCCTTATGTATTTTCAAATTTTCCTCACTATCCTTGGTATATATTTTTATTCCTATCATAAGTTTAAGTGTAATTAACTATCCGTTTATAACTATTTACAATGGCAGAACCAAAGTTTGGCTACGATCAAGGGAACTTCATCAGCGATTTATGGATGTTCTGGGCCTACAGCATTATTGGCTTCTGAAACAAAAACAAACCGAGCCAAAACAACATCTTAAAAATTCCTGATCGGATTAAGTTTGAAGAGTCTCTTTTAGCACTAGAAAAAGAATGGGAAAAAGAGTCAAAAAAAGAAAAACCAAGCCTTTTAAGAGCCTTAATAAGGACAGTATGGTGGGAGTTCACCAAACATACCTTCATCTTAAATGTTGGGCAAGCTTTAGGATTGGTCCAGGCTGTTATCATGATCTTCTTGATCAACTTTTTCACTGATGATGACGCTAACTCCTCAGCGTAATAGCAACCATTGGAATAATCTTATATTTTAGGGTAAAAAACATCTATGAACGAGTAAAAATTTTTATAAATAATAGATTAATAAAAATTTATTAAATAATTTAAACTAAACATAAGTTTTATAAATAAAATTAATTTTATTTCAAAATTTTGATAATATGATTTTATTTAATCTTAAAAAAAAATATTTAATAGAAAATTAAAAGGATTACCCCAATCTCTGGGAAAGCCAAAAATTTTGTTGACTTACTGCAGGGGAGTGAGATCACTGAAGGATTATGACTTGCTGCATGCTTAGCTGTGGCAGCCATTTTGGGTGTTTCACTGTTCGCACTTGGGGCTTTTTATTTGAGAATGCTTACAATCAAGGTAAAATCTATAGTGCCATATATAATTTATAAAAAAGTTCTCAATACTTCTTATGAGGAGATTACTCAAAAAGACTTCAAAGGGAAAATGCCTAATACAATTGCATCAGATTTAGAGTACTTTAGTGGAATTACAACGATTTCGATAGTGATGGGGTGCCCGTTCCTTTTTGCAGGTGCCTTTGTGATTATTGGGATTCTTATGGGATGGCCTGGCATCATAGGTTTAGCTATTTTAATTCTCCAGTTCCCGATCGCAGTCGTATTGTCTAGCTTATCCAGCTACTACAGAATGAAATCATCAGCACATGGCGATAAAAGGATTATGATGATTACAAACCTAATAGAAGGAATCAGGGTTGTAAAGCTTTATGGATGGGAAGAACCATTTTTAAGGCTAGTTTATGGGGAAAGAAAAAAGGAAATTTCTGAGCTTCATAAAGAGTATGACGTAACAGCAGTCAACAACTCATTTGGAGTTTCAGGGATCGGAATTGTCTTGTTAGTCACCTTTGCGCTATATGTCCACTCAGGTAATGAACTTGAGGTAAGTTCAGTCTTCTGTGTGGTCGCCGTCATGTTCATTATTTATGCACTGTTAATCAAAACAGGTGTCATTGCTGCCTACAATGCAGCTACAATTATATTATCATTCGAAAGGCTCACACAAATCCTAATGACCGATGAGAAAAAAATTGACGAGAAAAACCAGCAAAATCCTGACTCTGAAGATCCTGTGTCAGTAGAAAAAGCTAGCTTTTCTTATAAATCAAAAAAAGAAGCACTAACAGAAGAAGACGAGCTGATAGAAAAAGATGTAGAAGATAAAGAAGTACTCAGCGGGATAGATTTCAAGCTGAAAAAAGGAGAACTATTGATTGTTGTAGGACAAGTAGGAAGTGGCAAAACCAGCCTATTGCTTGGGCTGCTCGACGAGATATTTTTGGTTAGCGGAAAGGTGGACCTTAACGGAAAAATTTCTTATGCAGGACAAGAGCCATGGATTCTGTCAGGGACTATAAGAGAAAACATCATAATGGATAACGAATATAAAGAAGAACTCTACAGAGAAATTGTCACGCTGTGCAGGCTTGATAAAGATTTTGACCAGTTTTTAAATAAAGATGAAACAAGTATTGGTGACCATGGAATCACTTTAAGTGGAGGCCAAAAGGCTAGAATAAGTCTGGCACGAGTACTATACTCTAGCAGAGATATCGTCCTTCTTGATGATCCTTTAAGTGCAGTCGATTCCGAAGTCAGTTCATATATTTTCAAAAACTGCATCAAAGATTACTTGAAAAATAAAACAGTCATATTAGTCACTCATCAAATTCACCTTATATCAGAAGCTGACAAACTTTTAATCCTCAATCATGGAAAACAGCTGTTTTTCGGGACTTATCAAGAATTCCAAGAGCGAGATGACATAGGAGACTTCATCGGAGAACTGAAAAAAGTCAAAAGTGAAGATGCTAAAGAAATTGATTATAGTGTGTATATAAAAGGAGCAGACAAAGGAGAAGCAGTACCAGGACTGAGTGAAGAAGAAAAAGACCTCCCTCCAATCACATTGAAAACTTACCATCAGTTTTTTATGTATGGGTATAAATATAATATTCTTATTGTAGCAATGATGCTGCTATTAGTTGTTACACAAGTTTCTAGTATACTCGTATTATATTGGCTTACTATATGGTCAAGTCAGTCAGAGTCTGAGCAGGAGGATACTTATTATGTATGGTTTTATGCTGTGATCATAGGAGTTTGCTTTTTGTGCTCGTTTTTGAGATGCTGGGCATTGAATTATGCGATGACTATAGCAGGGAAAAATCTGCATAATAAAGCTTTGGAAAGCATCGTTAAAACTGAAACAGTTTTCTTTGATAAAAATCAGACTGGAAGAATGATCAATAGGTTTTCAAAAGATACATTTATGATTGATGAAATGCTGCATACAATGTTTTATTATTTCGTCAATCAAGCCTTCGATATTTGGGGTACTCTCATTTCTATTGCTATTCTTGTGCCACCTGCTGCAGGTTTAGTGTTTATTTACTTGTTGGTTGCGATCTGGTTTTCTAACTCATTAAAATTTTTTTTTAAAATTTTCATTGTAAATCTATTGATTGTTATGATTTATCTAAAAATCGCAAAGGTGTAAGCTAATACTGCCAATAGTCAAAGATCTTGGAGCTTATGCGTTAGCGTCAAAAAGCCCTATTTTAAGCCTTGCCAATGCTACTTTGCATGGAATTGCTACTATAAGAACTCATCAAATGCAAAATAAATTCTTAAAAGACATGAAGAAAAACCTCGAGTGGAATTTCCGCTGTGAATTCAGCAGAGATATATGCATTAAAATAGTGTGGCGAGTCAACCCATCCTCTTAGATTCTGTATTTGGAATCCCACAAGGCGTCCAGTGACCTTGAGGAAGGGAGGATGGCGTTCGGAAATGTATATCGGCTAGACAGCGAACTCCTCTATAAGTATTAATAACGAATATAAATTCAGCAGGGACATTCCTTTCAGGTTCTATCAACTTTATATGGAGCTTTTTGTTGTTTTGCTAGCTGCGATGACTGCCTTTATTCTTGTTCCATGGAAAGATTTCATAAGTGAAGATCTTGCAGGGTTATGCATTTGCTTCTTAGTTCTAGCTATGCAGCCTACCACTTCATGGGGTGATTCAATGATTGAAGTAGAAATTTTAATGATTTCACCACAGAGACTGATGGAGTATGCTGATATGAAGCCTGAAGGTGAGTTTGATACTGAAAAGCCATTTAAGATTACAAATGGAAAAATTGAATTCCAGGATTTGTGTATGAGGTATAGGGAAGGCTATCCTTATGCACTTCGTGATCTTAATATTACAATAGAGGCTGGACAAAAGGTAGGAATCGTAGGAAGAACTGGCTCAGGAAAATCCTCAATAATGAACGTTCTATTCAGACTTGTCAATCCTGCTTCTGGAACTATTATTAGATTAAATTAATGATATGTATTTAAAGTCCCTACTTCACTGCTCGCTCTGTTCCGCAGTAATGTGCTGCGAGGTGGCAGAATCCTACTCTTGAAGCCCAAGCAGAAACTTCAGGTTTCTCAGTAAAGAAATGCTCAAGGACATAAAGCTCAATGGTCCAAGGACTTTTATAAACATCTCCTTTTTCAATATCAAGCCGGCATATTTTGACACCAACTCTGGAATGCTCATAAGCTAGATCGTTCTCTATACGAGAACCCTTTTCAACTAGAGAGACTTCTCACTACTACCAGCTAGTTGTCTATTTGCTTCCTCTTTTTCCCTTCTCCCAAAGAAAAATTCAACAGTTTTCGCTATTCGGGGCAAAATTCACCCTGCTCTATCACGTACCCTCATTAGGCTGGGCGCTACAGGGAAAAGAGATGCAATTTACTACTCTAAGATTCAGGACTCAATTCAAAGGAAAAGAGTCTCATGTATCTCACCTCGAAGCTACTGAACATCGCTGGGCTATAACTAGATCTTAAAAGCATTCCATTATATATAAGGACCCATCACTGAGACGACAGATTGTTTGCCTCCAACCATTTATATACTCTGGGGACTATTCTAATAGATGACCAAGACTACAGAAATGTCGGCCTCCATCAGTTAAGAAAACAAATGTCTGTTATCCCTCAATCCCCTATAATATTTATGGCCAGTTTCAGAGACAATATAGATCCATTCCATGAGCACACTGATGAAGAGATTTTAAATATTTGCAAGCAGTCAGATATTTATGAAGCAGTTAACGCAATGCCTGATAAGCTGAACACAGTACTCTCAGGTAGTGAGTGCGGCTTATCTGCTGGAGAAAAACAATTAGTTTGCCTTGCTCGAGCTTTGATTAGACATAGTAAAATTGTGATGATGGATGAAGCTACTGCTAATGTTGACCCTAAAACTGATAGAATCGTCCATGAAAAAATAAAGACCATGTTTGCTGAAAGCACTATGCTTATTGTCGCTCATAGGCTGAGGACAATAATTGATGTTGATATGATTATCATGATGGAGGAAGGGACTTGCAAAGAAAGAGGCAGTCCTAAGGAGCTTGCCTCAGTTGAAAATTCGCTGTTTAGAAACTTAATTTTGCACACAGGCCCACAAGAGTCCAAATATTTGATGGAAAAATTACGAATTTCTTAATTAATATAAAATTTTATATAATAGAACTTGCTAAATTAGTGAACTTTCAATGATTAGCAATTTATCTAGATTTTAAGAATTATGAATTTAAATTTAAAAATTGAGAAAAATTTTAATAATCCTTTATGCTACATAAATAAACACTTAATAATTTGCCTACAGCAGATAAAAATAGACCTAGTATCATCCTCCTTTATTTGCTCTATGATTACCTCACTTTTCTGTTCAGGACATTCAATATAAATTTCTTCAGTAACTAGCACAGAGTCATTGTCAGATGGATACAAATCTTTCATCATTTCTTCACGTTTCTTTTGTTGTTCAAATCGCTCTTGTAATTCTTCTTTTATTATTTCAATTTCTTCTCGTGGATCTTCTTCTATTAAAGGGGTAGGGATATTGGTGGATTGAGATACTTTGTGTAAGGATTTATTTGTGTTGCCTATTATAGTAGATGAGGTTCTACGATATGATTTAATTTGGTTGCTTTGAGATTTGAATTGAGGGTAGATTCTTGATTCTAAATTTAGATTAAATGGAACTACTTTTTTCATTGTAAGAAGAAGATTATGCCAAACTAAAATATAATTCTTAACTTCCCCCTTGTAAGCGAATAAAGCCACTGAAAAAATCTCTATATTTTTGGGTAAAAAGCCTTCTTTAGCGAATAAAAAATTTTTTAATGTAAATATTTTAGATCTTTATAACAAAATTTCTTACTAAATCTTGAATTTTAAACAGCTTGCATCATAAAAATAAATCCAACAAATTAAACTATTTTTGCTTTAATTTTACTATAGAATTATTTTAAAAAAAAAAAAACCTTAAAGAGCGAACAAAATTTTTTATTCACTGAAAGAGTAGACTAAGAGAAAAATTTATCCGGATTTTAAATAAAAAGATTTATAATTATAAATTTGAATTTAAATGCTAGATATGATAATATCATCGCACTGTGTATAAAAGAATTCGTTAAATTATGCAAACAATTATCAAATGGATTAGTAATAATTTCCTCAACTTATAATGGAAAGCAAATTCACCAGAAAAACAATATGACTCTTAGCAAAAGCCTCTTATGGCAACAAGAACTTTTTTATATTGAAAAACTATAAATTTAACATTTATTTGTTTATGTAAAAATTCTAAGCAGCATTGGCAAATTTAGCAGCATATGATGAATTCAAAATGTTAGAAGATAAAAATTCAAACAGTCAGATAAGGGGCAATGATTCAAGCAATTTAGAAGAAATAAAGGATAGCAATCAGATGAGCATAGATGATGCTGGTTCAGACTAATTTTTTTTCGTTTCGTTTATGAAATATAAGTTTTCTATGCCACGCTTAGAATACATCAAATTTTTTTTTGAGTTATATCGCAATGGCACTGTTTTCAATTGTTCAGCATTACAATCACCTTCGTATTTTAACTTTTTATAATATTTTTATTTGTATTATTTTAAGTACAATTATCTGTAAATTTAACTGCTGCTATAACTTCTTTTGTTCCTGGCGAAGTGTTTTTTAGCCACTAAGCATGATTTAAATATCAACCAAATTTAGTAAAAAATTAGGCAAATCAAAATGAAATAACATCAAAGGCAGAAACTCACTAAGCTCAATATTATGCTTATCAGACATTATTATATTCAGAAATGCATAATAAAATTTTCTAAAAATATATTGATTTACACAAAAAATTAAGCTATTTGCTTTCTTTAAAAAATCCTTCAAATTTTTGAAATAATTCCCACAATTCAGCTGTTACCTCATTGAATTCTGGCTGCTTTTTATTATTGGATGGCTTAATTTTTTCAATCATTGCTATTATATTATCAAAATCCTCAGAATTATTGTTTTTCTCTTCTACCATCTTTATAATAAAATTTCCAATTTTTTCATAGTTTTTAATTCTATTTCTTATATTTTCCTTCTGCTTTTCAGTTTCCTTACTCCCCCCCCCTCCGTGAGTGAACAAAACCATTAGAAAAATCGCTATTTTTTGCCCAAAAAAACCACCCTCCGTGAGTGAACAAAAATTTTTTTAATACAAAAATTTTTTTATAGAAAAAAATTTTTGATATATAAGTGATAATTAGTATAATGAAATCTAGAGATAATTCTATTTAATTTTAAACGAATTGCTTTTTAAAACATAAAATTTACAAATTAAATTAATATTTGCTTTGCAATTTTTGCGAATTAGGATTTTTTTTAAATTTCGAAAAAAAAAAATATTTTCTATATAATTTTTTTTAAAAAAAAAAATTAACCCCCTCCGTGAGTGAACAAAATTTTTTTTGTTCACTCACGGAGGGGGGGGAGCTAATTTTTCTTTTATACTCTTCTATTTCATTAGATTTTTCTTTCTTGTAATTATTGAATTCTTGGATTTTTTTCTTTATGCTAAAATTAATACTATTTTTATCAATCCGCATTGCTTCACCCGATTTTTTTATATTTCGCGATGAGTCATAAACAGAGCCTCTGGGCTTCATTGTAAATGAAAAATTTTTAACTGAAACACTTTTCAAAAGCTTTACATTTAAAGGTTTATTTACAAACGGCAAAAAAGCTTTTGTTGTTAAATCACGATCAGTAGTTTCTATGCTCTTTTTTGTACGGCAGGTTTTTGGAATATATTCGCCTTCACATAGTACTTCTGAATCCGGGCGAGGTGTGGAGAATTTAAGCACCGATATAAAAGGGATAGACTGTATATGAGTAGACATGATAAGTAATTTAATATCAAAATTATTAAAAATTACAGCTGACTGATATTTTGCCTTTGCAATGGCCTTTTAATCTCACTTAAAAAACTCTTATTTTTAGGGACGTATTTAGGCCCATTTTTAAGGAGATTTTGTGAGTCAAAGCTTCTTACTTGAGCTTTTTCTAAGCTTTCGGAGCTTCTTTGAGTGTCTTTTTGCCTAGGAGAATTTTCATACGATTTTAATTTTACGTTTCGTCTTTCAGAAATAAACCCAATTTGCCTGCTTTTCTTTAAATTTGATGTCTTTTCTGGAATTGGAGTAGATGAATTTCTTTTGGCGAATAAAGCAGAAAAATCTTCAAGCTTTAGGTAGCCTTTATTTCCTTCATCAAGGTGGTTAAAAAGGCTTTTCAACTCTTTTTTAGTTGCAAAAATAGTAAAATTTTCTAATGAAATTAAAAAATCACTAAAATTTACAACGCCATCCTAAATATATTTTACCTTATCATTGTCAAAAAATCGGAATGCTTGAGAAACCATACGGAACTTTTCATTTATTTGTTGTGAAAGCTTTCTTTTAAGCTGAGCTTGCTGGTCTTCTGGGTTAATCCTGAAGCTGGCACTTTCAGAAGTTCATAAAGCCTCTTTTACGTTAGAGGAAAGAAACTGTGAGTTGTAATATTTTGTGCCTTGTGGAGCAAATTTATAAGCTTCGACAAGATCATATAGCTGAGAAAGCTTAAAATTTCCTTCAGAATCTATGCAATGTGTAATTAAGTCGTTTTTCAGTTGGTCTGGGATTTTTGAGCCATATGAGTTCAATATATATTTGAATGTAGCTGAGTAATTTTACAGAATTTTACCTAAAATTTATTTTTTAAAAAATAATTTAAAAATATTTATAGCTGAGGTATTTTTCGGCTTTTGATCCTTAATAAGCATTATTGCTTGCGCCTTTATAGCTTCTAGAGTCCTTATATCTACATGACTTTGCTGCAATTTTCCAATTAGAGACCCTTCTACTCTTCCTTTCTTATTATCTTGAAAACTACTATAAATTGGTAAATATTTATGAGAGTTCAACATAAACCCCAGCTGATTATCTTCACTTAATTGCTGATTTCTCACAACTCCTGATAGAAAAATGCTTTCATTATCTCCTTTATCCATATACCACACGTATCTGCCTCTATCATGATGAAGCTTAAGCCTTCTTAAAGCAGGTGTATATTCGATTTTATTGTCTTGGTCTACAAACTTGTCTTTAATTGCTTCAAAATCTTCGATTTTTAGTATAACGTTTAATTTAAGCAGCTGCTCTTTAAAGAGATCAAAAAGAATTTTACCGCTGTTTGTGGCATCAAAAGGCTTGAGGGTATTTCTTAATAGTCTTCGGACCTTTCTAGCTGTTTTGGTAATGTCGTTTGTTTGACTCATATTTAATTTTTCATTATAGAGCATATCTGATATAGATTTCTTTATCGAAAAAATGTTATGAAGGGTTGAACGACCAAGAGAGACTCAGTCAAACGGGCAAACTGGATCTCTATAATAGGAAGAGATAAAAAGTGGCATGTCAAAAAATGTTTGATAAGTGTGAACAAAGTTGACAAGCAAACGTATCAATTTTTAAACTAGCTTTATTATAAAAATTAATTTTAAATCAAAGATACCTTAAAGGCTAGCACTGATAAGTATCTTATCTATTTTTTATATTTTCCATCAAATTAAATATTATTATGAACTATAGAAAATTAGATATCGATAAGTTAATTACCTGATATAATCTCAGAGTCGCTACGACCTATAGAGATAAATAGTAGAGAGATACTTATGTTTTAATTATGATTAAAAATATCTATTAAAATTTGTTTTTTGAAGTACAATAAAAAAGCCATAAAGATTGTGTTTCATCATAAGAAATTTTATTTTAATTAAAATTAAGAGTCGCTAAGACCTTTAAAGGCTCGAATAGAGTATGCTTATTCTTTAGTTATCATTAAAAAAAAACTTCTATTAAAAATTGACTTTTTGAAAAATAATTAAAAGCTATATAAAGATGGCAATAAATTTTAAAAAAAATTTTTTTTAAAATTAAAACTAAAAGTAGCTATTAAAATTAGAGAGAACTATCAGAGTAATAATTATGTTTTAATTGCGTTATAAAAAGTTTAATTTTTTAAAATTCCATAGGAAAGTAATATTAAAGTTGGATTGTTGTATTAAGGAAGTGATTATAATTTTATTTTAAGTCTTAAAAAAGAAGGAAAAATAGGCAAGATACTTATCAGTGCAGTCTTAAAGGTATCTTAAATATAAAATTAATTTTTATAATAAAAAGCCATTTTAAAAATTGGCGCGTTTGCTTGTCAACTTTGTTCACACTTGTCAACATTTTTTTGGCATGCCATTTTTTAATCCTTACTAGTATAGATCCAGCTTGCTCTCTGATAGAGTCTAATATGGCCACTCAACCATCCATTGCATCTTGTCCTATAAAGAAATTTATATAGGGGCATGCACTATATTTCATATGAATTATTTTAATATAAAGAATTACAGTAATTCCGTTTCTGATTTGTTCTAACTCATTTTCGAGTAAAAAATAGCCTCTTGGCTAGATAAAAAATTAATATTTTTTTAAAAAATGAGTATATTTTCATATTTTTAATAAGGTAAGATTCCTGAAGAAGTGCTTAAATTCTTTTCTTTTTTATCAAAACTCCCTTTATATTTTTTATTCTAATTTTTCCCCATTTCTGTCTTCTTCTCTAAAAAATGCATTATCTCCCTATTTTTCTCCTTCAACAGTAAGAAATCATCTTCATTAGGTGAACAAATTATAAATATGGTCCTACGACTTCTTCATTTAGGATTGCTCTTTTTGAGTTTATCCTTATTCCTGCTTTAGGTTAGCAGGCAAGGTTTTTTGCTATCTAGCAAAGGGGGTTAAATTTATTTTAAAAATAATTATATAAAGGTTTGTTTTGGATTTTAATTTGTTTATATTTTAGAAGACTCAAGCTGTCTAAAAATAATATAATATCAGGAGATCTCAGTATAATAGTTAATATATATCAAATTATTATTTTCAAAATTAAAAATAAATTTTTTAATTCCAAAAAAAATTTATTCAAATAGCCAAGGGGAGAGTTAGTTTCTTCTACCAATTCTCAAGAACTTCTTGGTGATACAGATGGCCAATGAAGCTATTTTGGTTTCCAAGGCTATGCAGGAGAAGTAACTATGAACGCTCTTACTGGCTCTTCTTATTTTTATTGGCTTTTCCAAGCAATTAAAGGTAACATCTCAAGCACAACTGATAAATTACCTTTAATTATATGAATTCAAGGTGGCCCAGGCTGCTCTGGTGAAACTGGGATGTTTTTTGAAAATATAGCTCCTTTCTATATTGATAACAATACAAATCCTCAAAAAAATCCCTATACATGGACTAATGATTTCCATATCATGACAATTGACCACCCTCTGGGGACCGGATACTCTGTAGCTGGAGCTCCTTATGATATGAAAAATACCACAACTGGCTCATCAATACAGCTTTACAACTTTTTAGTAAAACTTGCAAATAAATACCCAACTTGGTTCTCAAGAGATCTTTATTTCTTTGGAGAAAGCTTTGGAGGACATTGGATTCCAGGCATTGCTTATCAAATTGTATCAAACAATAGAAGTCCAAACCCTCCTTTCAAATTCAATCTTAAAGGTGTTGGAATTGGCGACCCATGGACTGATCCTCCAAACCAAAGCCAAACTTATGGAAGCTATGCATATGCAACTGGAATTATTGACCAAGAAGAGCTTGGGATTATCCAGACCTATGAAGACCAAGTTACCAGCGAGCTCAATACTGGAAGTTGGAACCAAGCGCTAAATGACTGGGAACAATCATATTCTCTTATTGTAGACTATGCAGGAGGGATCAATGTGTATAATAGCAGAGACTATAATCCAAACTATAACATGGGACAAATGCCAGCATGGCTGAATTTAGCATCGACCAACTCCCCCTCCGAGCGAAACAAAAAATTTTGTTGACTTATTGGTAAATGTTTTTAAGTTTTTTTTACAAATTTAAAAAAAATCCGATTTTAAAGCAGAAATATTAATTTAATTTATAAAGTTTATATTTTAAAATAGGATCTATTTAAAATAAAACACAATTAGCTCGACATTTCATCATAATAATTATCACTCATATATCAAATATTGTTTTCAAAAAATAAAATAGGGATTTTCTAATGATTTTGTTCCCTCACAGAGGGTAGTAAGCAAATGATCCATGTGCCTTCTAATATAATTTGGACAGAGTGTAATAACGATATTTACAATGCTATGACCCAAGATATTATGACATCAGCTGCACCTCTCATACCATACCTCCTTGATAGCATCAAAGTTCTTATTTATAATGGTCAAGACGATTTAATAGTCAACACCCCATCCACCGAACAAATGCTGGCGAACTTAAACTGGCCATATATCAGCAATTTTATTAACTCCAACAAAATCATTTGGAACGTCAACGGAAATGTGGCTGGATACGCGCAGACTTATAATAACCTAAGCTTCGTTGTAGTTTTGAAATCTGGTCATATGGTTCCTCATGACCAGCCGGTGAATGCTCTTAATTTGGTTTATAGGTTTGTCAATAACCAAGGATGGCAATAAAATTAAGCTAATATTATGAGTTATCTAAATAAAATCCATATTTTATGAAATTCATTGGTTTTATAAAATTATCAGAAAAGCCTATCTAAATTATTAAGTTTGTTTTTGTAGAGGTAAAAATAGTTTGAACTCTGGTGGCAGCTCTTCTTCTGAATAAAGTCTATCTGAGAAGTAAATTCTTCTCATCCTACAGTTGGCATGGATCTGTACCCTTAAAGTTTCAATATAATTCGTACCATACGCTCTCCTGGTGAAGTCAGATAAGTTAAATTGAATTTGGTTCCAGCCCTCGTCAAGCCTCATTGGCATAGTGCAAATAAAGGGTTTTACTCTGGTGGTGCTTTGATAGTTAGAAGCTCTAAATCTTCGACGTATGTTTTTGTCATCAAGGACTTGAACCTCAAATGTGAAATATTTTTTCAAGTTTTTGATGATCATTACAAGAAATGGGAGCTTGATAGGTGCTTTTTGTTAAAAACAATAAAAAAATAAAAAAATTAATAAAAATTATAATAAAAATAATTGCTTGATCCCTAAGGTTTGGTTTGGATCTGCTGGGCATGTGATATAGGTTGTGCTTACATTTGTACCCATTATTTCTAACACCGAGCTTTGTATATCTTGATCAGTTATCCTCTTAATATGTCCATTTCTTACACTCTTGTCCCAAATCTGTAAAGGTTTGCTTCCTATGCTGTATAATATTGATAAGAATCCAGATTGGAATGTGTTTTTGAACATAACTGCAATTATAATATGGCTTATAGAGCCTAATCTCCAGCCTTTTCTAAACCAGCCTTAATTTCTAGCAGTAAATAAATAATTATATGGAAGCAACAATTTCCAAAAACCAGCAAAAAAAGCTTAAAAAGAGAGAGCTGTGGCAATTGAAAAGACAAGAGAAAAAGAAGAAAAAAATTAGAAAACCGAAGCCCAAAACCCTTTTTAGGCTGAATAGAGAAGAATGAGATAGAAGAAAAGCTGGAAATGTAAAAGTCATAATTGATTGTGAGTTCAATGAGTTATTGACTGAAAGAGAAAAAACAAGCCTGAAGCAGCAAATTATGTTTAGTTATGCTGAAAATAAAAAATCAGAAAATCCTGTAGATTTGAAATTGACTGGTGTGGATGATTCTATGGAACAGGAAATCAAAAATTTATCATCTGGGAACTGGGCTATTGATATTTGTAAGCAAAATTATATTGATTTATATGAGAAAGAAAAGCTGGTTTATTTAACTGCAGATGCGACTGAAGAAGTTGATGAATTTGAAAAGGATAAATTTTATATCATAGGAGGGCTTGTGGATCATAACAGACTGAAAAGAATTACAATTGATAAAGCAAACAGCCAAGGCATAAAGAGTGCAAAACTACCATTAGGGAGATTTAAAGATACAAAAATCGACTGAAGCAGAGTTTTGGCTGTAAATCACGTTTTTCAACTAGTGCTGAAATATGTGGAATTCCAAGACTGGCCAACAGCTATTGAATGCTCTTTGCCTCCTAGGAAAAAACAAAAAACTGAAGAGGAAGCTGAAGAAAATAAAAATGAAGAAGCAAAAACTACATAAGATAATAATGAATAGAGTTATTCACTAATTAAAACGCTCAAATTTATTAAGCTAATCTTAGCATGCATTATTCAGTCTATTATAATCATTAGATCTGCTTGTTAAAATAGTGAAACTGCAGCATTTGGTATTGAATTGGGAAATTTAGTTGCTGGGACCAATCTGAAGATAATTATTATTGTTAACTCCATTTATGGTGAATTCAACAGTGCTCAAATTATAATATGAGCTGATTAGGCTTAATAAAATTGCAGTATAGTTCTAGCTTATATACACTCAATATATAAGCCCTAGCTATTTGAACAAAAAATAGGACAAATAATAAAATTATAAAACTTAGAAACAAATGATAATAAACCTTAAATTTCCTTAAAAAAGTTGAATAAATTTAAACTATGATTATAATCTAAATGGCTAGACAGCAAGCTATCAAAACTTGGCCAGAATTCCTTAGAATGCAAGAATCATATGAAACAAAAATGACTACACTAACTCCCCCCCCTCCTTGAGCGACCAAAGCCATTGGAAAATCTCACCTCCGTGAGCGAACAAAATAAAAATTTTCTTATGAAAAAAAAATTGGTATATAAATATTTGTTGGTATAATGGAAATCTCTAGCAATTCCTGTTTAATTTTGAACAAATTGTTTTTAAACATAAATATTACAGATTGAAATTTGCTTTCCAATTTTGCGAATTTGGAGGATTTTAAATTTCGAAAAAAAATAAACACATATGATTGAACAAAATTTTTTTGTGTGGCTCACGGAGGGGGAGTAAGAAGCTCAATTTTATCATACGTTAGTCCTCGAACTCAACGGCCAGCGTAATAATTAACCTAGAGTCTGGGTAGCTTTAATAGATCCGCAATTTGCATCTGAATGCTTACATTTTTTTCATGCAGCAAAAAACCAAAAGCAGGTAACCATTCCAACGAATACTGCAAAAAATATTAGAAAAGAGTCTGCAGAATCTTATATTAGTGCACTGATGGTCAAGCACTAAACCGTCCCCATATCAAACTGCCTAGTCTTGATTATAAGAATATAAGAGATATTAAACTTATTCATCTACGCTATTAAAACATGATTTATACGATGCTAATACTTATATTTAGTACTTTATTTCATAGAATTTTTTTCTGGCTAGCAAATTTGGCTATTTAAAAATAAGCTCTTTAAGCAGAATAAATTTTTTAAAAGTATTAATTTAGTGCTATCGATGCTAGATATTATATGTGTCTATGATTCATAATTATACTATCATTGATTTATTTGCGCATATCTATTTTAAAGCAGAATTCGACTGGATTCATGCTTTAAAATGTGATAATTATGCGAAATCCAGAGCATACTCGATTTACTTTCTTATTTATTTGTCAAAAAAATTATTAAATGAGGTTTAGGTTTAGGCTTACTTAGTGGCAGAAGAGCCGCCGATCGGCCTTATGGCCTTTTTCCTTCACTTTCAGCTTTTCCAAGGGTTTGTCCAAGTGACTTCAATTCCTGCAGGTTTTTCTTCAGCTCCTCCAGGGATTTCTTCTTCCATTACTTCAGCGATTTCTTCAGTTTCCTCGGCAATTCCTTCAATTTCTTCTGGGTTTGTTGCGGGATTTCTGTTCGTTGTAGGGTTTTGGTTTGTTGCAGAGTTTTGGTTTGTTGCAGAATTTTGATTTGTGCCAGGTTCGGGTCTGCTGCAGAGTTTGGATTTGTTGATGGGCCCCTTTTTCACCTCTACCTTTCAAGCCATTTTGCTCTTTTTCAGCTTTCGCGCCTTTTTAATTTTTGCGCCTCAGCAGCCTTCGGTGCTCTTGCAGTCTCTCTTTCCTTCTCCTCCTTCTCTTTCCTTGGAACTCTTTCTCCCTTTTCTTCTATGCTCGCTTCATCTACTCCCTCTTTTTCCCTTAGCTTTTCTCTCAAGTCGCAGGACATTGACCTAGATCCTGCAGCTAGCATCAGCTCTCCATCACCCAAGATATCTCCATGTTTTTCTGCAAGAAGAACTCTCAATCGCTCAAGTTTTTCGTTTTCTTCTTCTGATTCTTCATTTCAGCTTTCATTCGCTCCCAACTTTCCTGAAATTCTCCATCATCTTCTAGCAGCCTCATCTCTTCTTCCCAGAGTTCAATTTCGTCCAAAACATCGTCAAAAAACGTCATCATCATAGTAAGTGTCACTCACATCTGAGTAGAATTCGCTGTAGGAGTCATAGCTACCTTCATCCGGATCTACCATGTTTGTGGCAAAAATAAAAAGTTTTTATTAAATGAGGTATAGGAATTGCCCGAGGATGGCGCTATCTTGCGCCATCCTCGGGCAATTCCTATATCAAATATAAGTATAAAAACATGCTATCAATCGCATTTTAATAGCGTGAGAGCAAAAAAGTGCAATATCTCTTATATTTCTTGTTATCAAGACTAAATTGTTTGGTATTGAGAGGGTTTCATACTTGACCTCACTGAGTGTGTGAAAGGCCGAAGAAAAAATTCAAAAAATTTCCACAGTTTTAAGCATTTTTGCCTATAAAAGACCTGATATTGGATACCATTCTGGGATGAATTTTCTTGTAGCAATTCTATTAGAAGTATTTAAACTTGAAAGTGATATTTTTCTTATGCTATGTCACATCATAGAAAAAATTTACCCGGAAGTAAATCAAATATAGGACTATTTCATAATAGATAACCGAAAATTAGGGCTCCATCGAGAACTAAGAATTTTTGCTATGATGGCTGAAAAATTAAGGCCAAAACTAGTAGCTACATTAAAAGCAGTTTTTCACCCAAAAAATTCGAACACAAAAGTAGATGATTTAACTCCATTTGTAAACACAATAAAGCGGATTGGATTTTCATGGTTTTCTGCTTTATTTGTAAAAAGTATTTTACCATCTGATTTACTTAGAGTTTGAGACAATATTTTAATTCACGGCTTTGAATTTGCTATTAAATTTGCTCTTACAATTTTAAGCAAATATGAAAAATTTCTGAGGACTACGGTAAAGGCTGAGACAAAAGCAATAGGTTTGGACGCTTCTGTGGATACGTTAACAGTAGCTGGAAATTTAACAAGGATTAAACTGATGCAGAAATTGGAAAAAATGCCTATAGAAAAAATGATAAAAAAAGCAATAGCAAAATCGACATATAGGATTCATAAAAGAAATGAATTGATAACTCAAGCTGAAAATTTAGAAAAATTACATTTAGAAAGGCTATATCGACTACGGCAATCTAAAATACTTCTTAGAAACAGAGGCCTTGGCTTTTCTTTTACTGAGCTCCTTGATATTTTTCATTCTTTTGATCAACTTAATAAAGAATTTGTGTCACGAGAAGAGTTTTTAAGTATTCTTAAATTGAGGCAAAATTGGATCTCAAGCCTATCAATAAATATTTTTAGCGCATTTGACCAATATGGAAATGATTCAATAGAACTCGCACAAATAAAAATTGGTTTAGCATTGCTTTCTCAATGTCCAACTGATGAAAAGCTAAGCCTTTGCTATCAAGCTTATGCTAAAAGCTCTTCTGAGGACTTATATCCAGTAGATATATTTAATTTAATTTGCTGTATAGAAAAAACACTTGACTATCGTTCAGAATATTTTAAAACACAGTCAAGTTTGTTCTATGATAGTCTCGATTTAACTGGCTATAGCAACAAAGTTTCAATTGCAGATTTTGTGCGGATTCTGAAAACTGAGCCAGCATCTATGCCAATTTATGATTTTATTAATGCTGTAGAAGCTAATGAATATTTTATATTTGGCTATTATGGGACAATAATAAAGAAGACACTAATTAAATTATATATAAAATAGATTAATAGTCCCTATAAATATTTGGATATTACTCAATAAACCAATACATACAAATCCCTGAAATGAAAATAGCCCAAATGCATCTAGAAGGCACTTTCAGTGATATTCACTCCCCTCTTACCTCAAGATCTGACTCTTCGCATACATCAGAAATATCTACTTATGAAGATGATCCTCAAAACCAAGAAAATGACTATTTTGAAATGGAAAATCCAGAAACATTTGAAATCCCTTCAATAGAAATCAATGAAAATATTGGAAATTTTGAGGAAATTAAAAATGATGCTGTTGAAGAAATAAATGAAGACACGCCAAATTTTGAAAAAATGGAAGAAGATTTTGACGAAGAAAAATACGAGACTATTGTAAGAGCAGAGTCCTTAGCAGTCGAAAAGCAATCAGAATTTAATGTTTTTAAAGAAAATCACAATAAAAGAAAAATTGAGCTTCCAGAGCCAATTGTGATTCCGAAAGAATCCAGGCCAGGGTGTTCAAGATTATGCATAAAAGATACGTGTGAACTTTTTTAAGGAATTTTCTAATGTATGGTCTTATATTTAATTATAAAAGATAGGATAAGGAAATAATGAAAATTTCTAAAAATAAGTTTCCTTTCAGACTGCCTGATAATACACATTTCTATTACAAAAGGAAACTAAGAGAAATTGCTATCGATGAGAATGACGAAAAAAATCTACTTAGCTATGTTTTACAGAAATCTCCACTTAATAACAACAAAATAAAGCCAATAGTTCACCAAAATTTAAGATATGGGCTAAAAATTTCTAAAAAAGCTTGTAAAGTCCTTAGTAATCTGCCACCAAAGACACAGAAGAATAGCTCTAGTCCTAAGCTATCTAGATTGAGAGACAATGATCTTGCACATGATGAAAAACGTTATAAATCTATTTTAAGCAAGCCCTGGAAAAAATTAGATAGGCTGAGCATAATAAGTTCTCCAAAATCTATTAGCATAAGCCCAATTCCTCAATCACGATCTTTAACACCTGATTTCAAGTATATTTCAGGAACCCCTAAAACTTTATTCCAAAGAAACTTTAGAAGATTAAGGCGTGAAGGGAAAGAGAGTGCAAAAGTTTACGTTGATGAAAGTGTTGATGCTGATAATGATGATATCCCTAGCAAAAATCACCATCAAGGTAAGAGTTCAGTTTTTGAAATCGATAAAATTTATAATGAATATGAGACAAATGGACAGATTTCTTAAGATGAATTTCCCTAAAAAATACCAAGATTTGTAATTATTTGAGCATAACTGGCATATATATAAACTGATATGATTATTATATCTTATATCTCATAAACTGACTTTTTAAAATTTTAACGATATCCTTTCTAATTAATTAAAAATTTAGAATTACTCATTTAGCTGTATAAAAAATTAAATCTTTTCATATCAGCTTTAACCTTTCCTAGCATTTCCATTATTTCTTTCCCACTTAAATCCTGCTCAAAATTTGTAAATTTATTTTTTGTTCACCTCTTAGCTCTTTGTTGCCTCATTATATCGAAATCTAATTTTGCAGTCTTCCGAAGGTCTTCAATTCTGCTCGACAAGTCAAGTTGGCAATCTTTCAAGCTTTTTCTTAGTTTTTTTACATTATTGGCATCTTCATCATTAATTTTTTGCAGCAGCTCATTCATTTGGTCATATTGTCGTGGCGAAACCAATGACTTTTGCCTTCGATAGTCCGGGATTTGGACATTTATATTTATAAGCTCTTTTTTAGAAAGCGAAGCATTTGAGGAGGTTGAGGCGCTTGAGTTTTTTCTTATAAAAGATGGTAATTTTGCCTTGGATAGCTGAGGAGAAGTGCATTTCTGATAACTGTTACTATAGTCATCTTGAGTTCTAGATGAAAATTTTTCCATAACTTGGCTAATTATGTCTTTCTCTCTTTTTACAAGAGGTTGCTTTAATGTAACTGAAGTTTTAAAGGTCTTCCTGGGAGAAATGATAAAAGTCTCCGCACTTGTAAGAGTTTGTATATCGTCACAATATAATAGGTTGTCAAGCTCAGGGCTAATTGTTATTTTAAACACTTCTGATGCTACTGGGGTTGATAAACTTTTATGTTTTGGCGATTTGGTGAGCTTTTTTGGGATGTAAGTGAAGCCTCGATTTTTACTAAAAGTAACACGTTTGGATTTAGGACTATCACATTCATCCTGGGAATTCTTTAAATTCATTTGTGAATTAATTTTAAATTGCATTTGCATTGATGGCTATGGGTGATAATTATTAAATTTAAATTAGTTAGCAATTGGTAAGCTCTTAACTTGAGAATAGAATATAATTCGTTCAATAATATTACTTAAACATGAATTTTAATGGTAATTATTTAAATTACTTAAAATATAAAAAAAATTGAAAAAATCTTAAAAGAGAGGATGAGGCAGAAGAAAAGTGGGATTAAAGCTATAAAAAATTAATTAAAAGAATCAAATAGCTATTAAGATAACTTAAATTCTATTTTCAATACTTTCAAAATAAAAGATTTGATTGCTTATGCATACTGACGCCTTAAAACTCTTCTCATAGGATTTATATAAGTTTAAAATCGACTCGATTTTAAAGTCATTTAACAAACTAAAGAAAAATTTAGCTCTTAAAGCGAAGGTTAATCTAAATTTCTGATGCCCACTTGTCTCTATTTTTTTCAATATTATCTTGCATTTCTTTCAGCTCAGGCATCAAATTAAGTAGCGGAGTAAAATATGGTAATATAACTGCATTAATATAGCCTAGCTGCAGCCTTGGTACCGATGCTTTATTTCTATCAAACAATGAAATGATTTCTCTTCCCATTGACTTTTCAATATCTCCTTGAGTGAAAAACTCATCTTGTATCATTGCGCTTCATTTTTCATGGACTTCCCACTCCCTCAAACTATGAGAAATATCAGCAGCATGAAGCAGACTTTCTAACAGTAACTGCTTATTACTAGGCAGCATTTCTAATGTTAATCTTGTTTGAATCGAACCTAATTGGTCAGCATGAGTTGACATGTCAGTTTTTAAGACACATTGTATGACCATGTGCCTCAAAATTCTATACTCTTCTTTTGCAAGCCCAGCAAAAATATTGCAGTCGTCTTTCATGGCAGTTTTGAATGCTTCAGCTAAATGGAAATTTTCAAGTATTATTCGTAGCAAAGAATAAGAAAAAAAATTTTAAATAGAGCGCTTATTAAAATAAAATCAATTAATAAAAATTATTAGTTTTTATGATAAAGGTATACTGATTTATCATTATATTGTATTGCTAATGCATCAGATGTTGACTCCAAGAATCCATTAGTGACTCCTGGATGCTTTACATCATGAATTAAAGCTGACAATAAAAGACCTGTAATGTGGATTGCTTCTAGTCTTGCTGATACAACGATGCCTCCCTTAGTCAAAAACAAGTTACAGCATTGCATGACATCTGCAGCATGCAAAGCACTGTGATAAGGCAAAGGCTTATACCCATGAGCAATTTCATGGGTAAATTTCATAAATGTTTTTCTGTTGATTGACATCAGTTTAAATAGATGCCACTTTTCAAATATTTTATCTGCGATAAACCTGCATGTAGTTGCTCTATTTTCTTCTAGCCTAGTGCACAGGTCAAAAATATTGAATTTAAGGTCTTCTATATCAGAGTCAATTTCTGGAAGAGTTGAGCTTCTTTTGTAAATTATTCCAGGACTGCTATTAGACCGATCTCTAGATTTTCTTATACAAAAATCCTCATCTATTTCCAGCTGGTTTTCCTTTTCAAACTTAGAGAAAAAGTTAATAATTTGGAAAGAGTCTTGCTCTATAAGTGAAGCTGAACGAGTAAGCTGTGGGAGTTGGCTGACTGAGTACAATTCCCCGCTTGATATTTGATCAATACACCACTGAAGTTCACGCTTATGGGCTTCTGGGATGTACTTATCAAAGGATTTCAATAAATTGACTACACGGAATGCAGGGCTTATAAAAAGGCTTGCCATAGTGGTAGCTTGTGAATGGGCTAGCCTTTGAGAGACTTTTTTGATATTTCACTCAAGAAATGCTTCATAAGTAACATTTTGGTCCTTGCTGCATTCAGTTCAGATTTCTTGCGCCGCTGAGTGTGAGTCAATATTGTAGCCTAAATTTAGCATTTTGAGTCCATCCTCAATTTCTGAGACGCTTAAAGTGCCAGATTGGTCTTTATCGATGTGGTTGAAGACGATTCTCAATTGTTCTCTCAATGATACATCTTCCATTTTCCGAATAATTTAATAAGCTTATTTAATGGAAGATTTCACTTATTCCTATTTCTTTTGGATACCCAGAATAAGGATTGAGCAATATGAATTCATAAATGGTTTTTCTTAATAAATGCTAACATATATTATTTTTATAATTCTTGCAATGAATTAATCTCTTATTATTTACATTTAAAAATTTTAATATTTTAAGTTAGTAAGAAAAGAGCTGAATTATTCTTATGAAATTCATATATCTATATTCAACAAAAGCTGGTAATATTTAGCTTATATGATAAAAAATGACATATTTAATAAGCAAAGGAAGTCACCTAAATTTTGAATTGCTTTATATACTTATAAGCACCATTTCTAATAAAGCTTAAAATTTTTAAAAAGGTCTTAAATAAATAACGCAATTTTAAAATATGTCAAGTAGTGACGGTAATCGATTAGATACTCAAGGCCGAGAAACAGCAACTTTATACACTTCTCCACATATAGACCCTGAAGGAAAAATTATTTTCGTGCTAGATAAATTCAACAGTTTCAATTTGCATCATGATTCCAAAGGATCCTTCGAATTCCTAGCTCAATCATCAAATGTCCCATCCCTGAAAATTTTAAAATCAATTAATAAAATAGGGATTACTCTAAGACATGAGCTGGAATTCAATAATAATGCGAAAATTGAAAGCTTAAAGCCTGACGCCAAAGCAAGGAATTTTTTGGTTCTTTCAATTTGCTTAATGGGGATTTTCTTTTTATTTTTGATTATTGACTCTTATTGGGCTGATGATAATGTTCTTAGCAATATTGGAATTCCTTTTATGGTAGTTGCTTTAGTTATACAAGCGACTATTATTTTGTTAAATGGGAAATGCAAATGAATCAGAGAAATGACTTGGTTTGATGATGATTTGTTTGCAATAAGGGTAGAAAAAACGAAAGAAATCTTGTAGAAAAAAAATATTAAAATGATGAAGCTGAATTTAATGTGGAAGGTAGAGGATACAGGAAATATCGAATTAATTCAGCTTCTAGGGTAAGATTTGAATTCAATATTAATCGAATTAATTTTTTAAAGGTTTCTCTCCAATAAAGAAGTTCTTTTAAAATTAATAAATGATTAGATTAAGATTATTAGGATTATTTTTAAAGTTTAAGAACGAAAAGCAGGTGGGATTGGTGCCTCATCTCCTTCCTCAAGCAATTCAGATTGATGATCTGGTGTATAAATATTCCACTCCGCTTGAGAAAATCTTTCACAGCTCACTCTATCACTTATCAAGTAAGCCAAAAATTTGGCAGAAATTTCTGGCTCAATTCTTTTGACATAATCATAACTAATTTTATTCTTTATGTTAAGACAGAATGATATTTAAAGAAACAATTGTAGGCTTGTTTATATTAACTATAGGCAAGCTAGTGTTAAATCTTTTCCAATTCCTCTACTCGCTCCTATTAATTCCGCACTCACCATTTTTATTATAAAATTATTTGATTCCGTAATTAAATTTTTACTATCTTTTGAGTTTATAATAATTGCATCAACATGGAAGGGCAGCCACATATTGAATTTAAAACCCAACTTTGTAGTCTCCTGACTTGAATTGCTTGACGTTTGAAATTTTGTTCCACGCGTGGATTATTTTTCCAAATACTGATATCTTCCTATAGCTATTCCACATAATAATATTCAAATAAATGATTTAATAGCAGTTGTAGAAAAAAATTGGTATTTAAAGTGATCAAAATTTACTCGAAAATTGCACCGAATTAATGCATGACCTGCATTATTTGTATTAGATCAAATAAAGCATTATTAATATATAAAGAAATTTTTTAATTAAAAGAAAAAAAGTTATCTTTGCTTGAGCCTTTAAGATTATTATAAAATAAATTATTATTTATTGATAAGAATTTTCAGAAGGTTATTAAACAATTTATAACGTTGGCTCATCTTCTTCACAACTTAAAATGATGGTTTAGTGTTTAAACACCAACTCATCTTGAAAAAATCTCTCTCAACCCACACTCTCACTTATCAAATATGCTTAAAACTTTACTAAAACATCTGCATTATAATATCTAGCTTACTTATATACCAGTTCTGCGTTTCCTTCAATTAAATTTGACTTCTCAGCATTTGATATGTTTTGCATTACCATCTACAAATTCAAAAGTAATTGTTATAATCTTAAATAAATAACTTAATTGTAAAATATGTCAAGTAGCGATGGCAATCGATTAGATACTCAAGGCCGAGAAACAGCAACTTTATACACTTCTCCACATATAGATCCTGAAGAAAAAATTATTTTCGTGCTAGATAAATTCAACAGTTTCCAATTGCATCATGATTCCAAAGAATCCTTCGAAATTCTAGTTCAATCATCAAATGTCCCATCTCTAAAAATTTTGAAATCAATAAATAAAATCGGGATTACTCTAAGACATGAGCTGGAATCCGCAAATAATGCGAAAATTGAGAGCTTAAAGCCTGACGCCAAAACAAGGAATTTTTTGGTTCTTTCAATTTGCTTAATGGGGATTTTCTTTTTATTTTTGATTATTGACTCTTATTGGGCTGATGATAATGTGCTTAGCTATATTGGAATTCCTTTTATGGTAGTTGCTTTAGTTATACAAGCGACTATTATTTTGTTAAATGGGAAATGCAAATGAAGCAGAGAAATGACTGAGTTTGATGATGATTTGTTTGCAATTAGGGTAGAAAAAACGAAAGAAATCTTGCAGAAAAAAAATATTAAAATGATTAAGCTGAATTTAATGTGGAAGGTGGATGAGGATACAGGAGATATCGAATTAATTCAGCTTCCAGGGTAAAATTTAGAATTCAATATTAATTGAATTAAATTTTTAAAAGTGTCTCCATAACAAAAATTAATAAATGATTAGATTAAGATTATTAGGATTATTTTTAAAGTTTAAGGACGAAAAGCAGGTGGGATTGGCATCTCATCTCCTTCCTCAAGCCATTCAGATTGATGATCTTGTGTATAAATATTCCACTCCGCTTGAGAAAATCTTTCACAGCTCACTCTATCACTTATCAAATAAGCCAAAAATTTGGCAGAAATTTCTGGCTCAATTCTGTTGATACCCAAATCAGTTTGCATTTTTCTCTCAACTGTATTAGAAATATGAGTTTTTACTATTCCAGGGAGAGCAGAACCTACTGCAGTTGTTTTGATTTCTTGTTTTAAAACTTGATAAGTCATATATAACGCTGCTTTTGAAATTGAATAAAGTGGGAAAGGAATCAAGTATTTATGAGCTAGAGCTGCACTTACTATTAAAAATTTAGAGCCTACAGCGAATTTATCTGAAAGTCCTCTTGCTAAGAAAAATACAGATCTCGTGTTAATATTCATAACAGTATCAAAATCCTCAGGTGCTGGGTTTTCTGACCACATTGGACCTGGAATTGCTGAAGCGTAGACAAGGAATCTAATTTTACCTTGAATGTAGTCGATTAATGATGTGACTCCTAACATTGTACTCATATCGGCATCAAAGCATGAAATGTTAGGATGAGATTGAGAGAATTCTGAAACAGCTTGGGAAGAAGTTATCGAGCTTGAAACAGCTATTATAGGAAGATTCGGATATTGGGTTGCTAGTCTTAGTCCCTTAAAAAAAATAATGCTTTTTTTCAAAATTTTATTTTAAAAGTGTACAAGGCTGAATTGATAATTAAAATTGATATTTTATCTTTTACAAAATTAAACGTATAATAAAACTTTTAATTCTCGAACTTAAACAGCATTTCATTGAGCAAGTAAGATAACATTTGAACAATACAATTTAGTCTAAATTTAACGAAAGAAAAATTTAAAATAATCATAACTAATTTTATTCTTTATGCTAAGATATAATTGGTATTTAAAGAAACAATTGTAGTTTTGCTTTTATAACTGTAGGGCAGTTAGAGTTAAATCTTTTCCGATTCCTCTACTCGCTCCTATTACAATTCCGCACTCAGCCATTTTAATTATAAAACGACTGGATTCTGCAACTAAATTTTTATTATCTTTTAAGTTATAGAAAATTGAATAAATTTTGGGAGGGCATCCACACGCTGAATTTAAATGCCAACTGTGTAGTCTCCTAACTTGAATGGCTTCACGTGCGAAATTTTGTTTCACGCGTGGATTATTTTTCCAAATACTGATATCCTCCTATACATATTCTACATAATAATATTCAAATAAATAATTTAATAGTAATTGTAGAAAAAAATTGGCATTTAGGGTGAGCAAAATTTACTTAAAAATTGCCCCGTATTATAGCATGACCTCAATATTTTTTTATTATAACTATAATATTAAAAATTCTTCAAGTTAGTTTTTTAAGTAGTTGATATTTATTCATCAATATAATGCTTTTATATAAACTATTTATGAAATGAAGGCATAACAGCTGGCTCATCCCCTTCTTCAAGCCATTCAAATTGATGATCTTGATTATAAATATCCCATTCAGCATGAGAAAACCTTTCACTACTTACCTTATCGCTTATCAAGTAGGCTAAAAATTTTGCAACTATTTCTGGCTGAAGTCTTTTTATATTTAAATCAGTTTGCATTTTCTCAAAAACAGTATCAGAAATATGAGTTTTTACTACCCCAGGAAGGACAGATCCTACTGCAGTTGTTTTGATTTCTTGTTTTAAAACTTGGTAAGTCATATACAACGCTGCTTTTGAAATTGAATAAAGAGGGAAGGGAATGAGATATACATGCGCTAAACCTGCATTGACTATTAAAAATTTAGAGCCTTCAGCGAATTTATCTGAAAGTCCCCTTGCTAAGAAAAATACAGATCTCGTGTTAATATTCATAACAGTATCAAAATCCTCAGGTGTTGGGTTTTCTGACCACATTGGACCTGGAATTGCTGAAGCGTAGACAAGGAATCTAATTTTGCCTTGAATATGGCTGGCTACTGATGAAACTCCTTCCGTTGTACTCATATCGGCATCAAAACATGAAATATTTCTATGAGTTTGAGAAAATTCTGCAGCGGCAGGAGAAGAAGCTATCGAACTTGAAATTGCTATTATAGGAAGATCAGGATATTGGGTTGCTAGTCTTAGAGTTAAGTCTTTTCCGATTCCTCTGCTTGCTCCTATTATAACTCCACAATCAGCCATTTTTAATTATAAAAGTATTGGATATTGATATTAAATTTTTAATAGTTTTCGAGTTTATCTAATTACAAAATTATGAATCGAAGTGATTATAGTTTATTATAAAATTACACCTTATTGAAGCATCCCCTATATAATTTTTATTCAGTAAAATCATGATGATATAAACGCATGGAGGATTTTCCGTTAGAATTAAGATGAAAAGAAAAAGGGTCATTTTTGTTAAAGCATTTCAGACTATTAACTAATTAAGTTATGATTCAATTAGAGAAGATTATTAGATGGATATTTAAAGTCTCCGCATCTTATTGGTCGCATTCTGTGCGGTGTGAGTTCGCTTGGTGGACAATCGAATTGGGTGGCTTGCACCTCTGGTAACTCCAAGCCCAGCTGAAACCCCTGGCTTCTCGGTAGTGGTATTACCCTATTGGTAGAAAACCTTCGCCGGGCACCACCATTTTAAATTGGTAACCAGTGCGCTTCTTTGCATTGGAGCCTTGAACTGGAGAGACCGCCTGTTTTATCTATTTGCCACTTTTTTTTCCAGGTTCCTGAGAAAAATCTTAACCGCTTCCGCAATTCGGGGCATACCGCTAGAGAAGCTGATAAGGTAATTCACCCTGCTCCATTTCGGGCACCCGCTAGCTCAAGTTATGCTTGCTAAAAGAAGTCACAAGTAACGGTCCATCAGATCACGCACAAAACTAACGGAATAGCGCATAAGTCCTTCGCTGCAGGACGCCAGATGTTGCTGGACTAACTCCAACTCCAAAAGCCACGCCTAGGATATACATGGGCAACTATCACGTGAGATACGAATCGGGCATCATAGCCTTTTTATATATAGAATTTTCCCATAGATTGCGTTGTTTGCCCTTAATTTGCCCACTGGGGAAATTTTTTGGCTCGACCAGTACCATATGGTTTGGTCAAACCAAAAATTTTTCTCATGGGCAAATCAAGGGCAAACAGCGCCATCTACGGGAAATTTCTATATATTATGATTCAATTGACTAGAATTTTTTAGAGTATACTAATTATTAAACAATCCATAAAGGTGCCTCATCTCCTTCTTCAAGTCATTCAGAATGATGATCTGGTGTATAAATACTCCACTCAGCCTGAGAAAATCTTTCGCAGTTTACTCGATCACTTATCAAATAGGCTAAAAATTTTGCACATAAATCTGCTTCAATTTTTGGAAACTTCAGCTCTGTTTGCAGTTTAACTTCAGTATTATCAAGCATCTGAGTCTTAACTGCTCCAGGTTGAACAGAACCTACTGAAGTCGTCTTGATTTCTTGCTTTAATACTTGATATGTCATATATAACGCAGCTTTTGAAATCGAATAAATAGGGAAAGGGATCAAGTATTCATGTGCCAGACCTGTACTTATTATTAATAACTTCGACCCTTGAGCAAATTTTTCAGCAAGTCCTCTCGTTAAGAAAAATATTGCTCTAGTATTAATATGCATAACATTGTCGAAATCTTCTGCAGTTATATTTTCTGACCATAATGGCCCTTGGACACCTGAAGCATAGACAAGGAATCTAATTTTGCCCTGAATGTGGCTGACTACGGATAAAACTCCTTCCATTGTGCTCATATCAGCATCGAAGCATGAAATATTAGGGTGAGTTCGAGAATATTCTACAGCAGTTTGAGAAGAGACTATAGAACTTGAAATTGCTATTATAGGAAGATCAGGATATTGGGTTGCAAGTCTTATAGTTAAGGCTTTTCCAATTCCTCTGCTCGCTCCTATTACAATTCCACACTCAGCCATTTAAATTATAGTCTTTGGCATTATTTCTGATCGGCTTCCACGAGCCAAAAATGGGTTTCCACGTGGAATTTCTGGATTTCCATGCGTGAAATTCATTTTTGGCTCGTTGGAGCCGATCAGAAATTTAAGCAACTCATAATATAAAAATATTGACGCATCAAGTTAATATTAGCCATTTTAATAATAAAAGCATTGGACAAATTGCAGCTTCAGATTCCATTTTATTTTTAAAAACATTGGATATACTAATTAGCCTCATTTAGCATGTATTTAAAGAAATAATCAAGCCCTCCTTAAAGTTTATTTATATATAGTTAAAAAGAAAGAAATATATTTAATTTGCTTGGCGTTATCTTTAATTAATGAATAAGCAGGATTTATGGCTATTTCAAAGATAATGCCAAGTAATGCAATTTGAGGGTATTTTTTGCCATTTCAATTTTAGTTTCTCTTCAATTTAAATAAAATTTCCATTATCCAAGCATTAAACAGACTTTTCAAGTTTGATTATATTCTAAATTTGATTCTGCTAGGAATTCCAATTCTTTAATATTTAAAGTTAATCTTAAATAATGAATTATTTGATTTATAATACAAATTTGTTAAAAAGATTTAGGAAAAGTTACAAAAATTCAATTTGGAATTAATCACTGATAAAATAAAATTTAATGTCAAGGGTAAACGGAGGAAAATTGAAAATGTTTGCCATGAATTGAACGTGGGTGGGGGAAGAAAAAAACTCAAAAAACAACAGATCTAAAAGTATGTTAGCTTTAGCTGAAGACAAAGTAAAGAAATTAAAAAGAGAGTTTGAAGAAATAAAAGATGATGACTTAATTGATGATAAAAAAGATATCCCATTGATGAAATCAGATACAAGCAAGCTATATGAAAGCTACATGAGGAAAAAAATCTTTGAAAGATCAATGAAAAGAAAAGGAACTTTAGCGAATTTATATGGAAATAAAAGTGAAGAGAAAAGAAAAATATTAAGAAAGTACAGCAGCGCTTGGTATTTGCTTCCGAAAAATTGGAAAGGCCAGACGCTAAATGGCAATGAAGAAGGCTCTAAAACTGAAAGAAGATTTGCCAATGAAAACTGAAACACTCAAGACAGGGATACTGATCAAAATTCAGGAAGTGATTTTCACGAGAGATACCGAACAGCTCAGACTCAAATAGAAAAACTGGAAACTGCCAAAAATTATGCCAAATATCTAATAGCTCACAAGCTGCAGCTTCCCAACTACTTAAAGCCAGTTTGTCAAAAATACCAATTAGGATCACAAAATGAGAAGCTTCCAGCATTGTCTAATGTAAGATAATATGCTATATGTAATATGGATTAATCCTTTTTTTAATATAAATATAATACTCAATTGCAATAAATAAAATATCCCTACCAATTATCTGTTATCCTATTTGTCCATGAAAATAGGTTAACGGCTACCACTAGGAATTTTTGTATCCATTATAATATGGTATATGTCATCTAAGTCTTTAAGTACTGATAACAAGAAAGGGCGGCCTATCTCTACAGACATCTATCATAGAAATTTGATAAAATCTCCAATTGCAAGGCCTATCTCAAATCATGGGAAGCTCAGATTGAAACAATACCTTCAGCCATCATTATTTTTAAAGCCGAAAATAACTTCATTTCCAATGGAAAAAGAGAGATTATACGAAGACAACATTCAGCTGAAGAAAACAAATCATGTGTTAGGTGAGCAGCTGACTAAATTAAAAACTAAATTGCTACAGCTAGAAAAAGAAATTCATAGAAGGAATTCATTCGTTGAGCAAAATTCATTTACTCTTTCAAATATTCCCAATCCTCGTGGTATCAATTCTCTAAGAGATTCTTTAAATTTCTTGAAAAAAGAAAACCAAAGATATAAATCCGACAATGAGGAGCTGAAAAAATCAATGAAGCTTACAAAATTGAATGAGATTGAAGAAGAAAGAGATCAATATTTTAAAGAATGCAAAAGGCTTCGATCAATTATTGATACTATTTCAAAAGAAAATTTAGAAAAAACTCGTGAAATCAAGTCAAAACCAGTTACACCTTCAAACAGACTGGATACTGAAACAATTGATAATCAAAAACTCAAAAACCTAGAACTTAAAATTGACACGTCAAGATATAGGGTTTTCTCCTATATAGCCCTGTAAGGACTGCGGATTCTGTCCGGAATCCTTTGGTTGGTGGAACCAACAAGTGAGCTGGTCCGACCAAAGTATTGAGTTGGTTCCACCAACCAAAAGGATTTCGGATAGAATCCATAGCCCTTAAGGGCTATATAGGAGAAAACCCTATATAAGAAAAAAGCACTCAAAGAAGAATTATTAAATGCCAAAAATAAAATCGAAAATTATGAAGCAGAAAAAAATCAGCTTACTAAAACTATTAAAGAAAAAGATGCAGAGCTGCTAAAATCTAATCAGATCATAGAAGATCTAAAATCAAAATTATTAAAAACCTCAAACCCACAAGATGGCTCAAATTATCCATCTCCAAAGCTATCCAAAGTTGCCAAAGTTCCTTTAAAAGTCTCTCACTCCCCCCCTTTAAATTGGAACAAAATATCGGTAAAATTTCCACTTTTTGGTAAATTAACCCCCCTTTAAATTGGAACAAAATATCGGTAAAATTTCCACTTTTTTGGTAAATAAACCCCCCTTTAAATTGGAACAAAGTTTTAATTTTATAATAAAAAAAATATATATAATTTTTATCTAAAAAGTTTTGATATAAGTTAAAATGTTTCTTCTTACTCCCCCCCCCCCCTCCGTGAGCGAACAAAAAAATTTTGTTCGCTCACGGAGGGGGGTTAATTTTTTTTTTTAAAAAAAATTTATATATAAATTTTATAAAAATATATTTTTTTCGAAATTTAAAAAAATCCTAATTTGCAAAAATTGGGAAGCAAATATTAATTTAATTTGCAAAATTTATGTTTTAAAAACGCAATTTGTTTAAAATTTAAACAGAATTAGCTCTAGATTTCATTATACTAATTATCACTTATATATCAAAATTTTTTTCCATTAAAATTTTTTCTATTAAAAAAATTTTTGTTCACTCACGGAGGGTGGGTTTTTGGTCAAAAAATGGCGATTTTTCTAATGGTTTTGTTCGCTCACGGAGGGGGGGGGGGGAGTTAGCTAAAATTAAAAATTTAGTTATATCTTTGCTCTTTTTAAAGAAAAAAGTATAAAGAGCATCTTATTTAAATAAATTTATTATCCTTATATGGTAGATTTTAAAAAAAAATTAATTTGTTTTTTTTGATAAAAATGACATTTTTTATTTAGATAGTTTTGATATAAATTCAATAGGAATTCTTTATAAAATTTTCAAAATTTAATTATTTCTTGCTTTATTTTAAAGAATAGAGTATAAATAACATTTTATTTAAACAAAATTAGCACTTTGATCGATAAATTTTCCAAAATTTTTTTTTTTAATTTTTTTTTGATCAATAAAAATAAAAATTTTTGTGTAAATAATTTTGATACCAATTAATAGTGGCGTATTAACTAATAATGAAAATTTTAGTTATATCTTGCTTTGTTTTAAAGGATAAAGAGTAAATAGCGTTTTATTAAACAAATTTATTGATCTAATTCGATAAGTTTTTGAAATTTTTATATTTTTTATAAAAAATTTTATATTGATATTTTTTTTAAAAAAAATAATAAACCCCCTTTAAATTGGAACAAAATTTTTAGTTCCAATTTTAAAGGGGGGGGGAGTCAGAATTTTTCCATTGCAATAAGCTCAAATTCCTTTTCAAGCCCTATAAGAAAAAACGTCATAAAAGATTTTTTTAATAAAATTTCGGTCCAAATATTGAATCATGAAGAAAATTTTGATGAGTTTGTTTGTAAATATAATCCAGAAAATCAAAATTATTTTACTTTTCAAGAGTTTTGAGATGGGCTGCAAAGATGTGAGCTTAATGTAACTTTGAAAGAAACTAAAGAAGTATATATCTATTAGGAGTAATAAAGAATTTTTTATTATAAAATGATACTCTCAATTTTAAGGGATGCAATAATTAGCTTTTTATGCTATAATAATGATTTTAGTAAATGGGTATATGACATATTGGAAGAAAATAAAGAATTTTCTGCCAATATGTTTATAGAAAAAGTTAAAAGCTGTTTAGAAGAAAAATTAGGCAGGCCTCTAAAAAAGCAAAATAATTGCGAAGAGTTAAGTGAAACCTTTATAAAAGAAATAAAAGATACTGTTGTATATAGAGATGAAATCAGAGAAACAGTATCCGATTTAAAATCTCGTTTTCGTGAAAAGAATGTATCAAAAAAAGAATTTTACGATTTTTTTATTCGATATCTGCCAGACAATCCTGTAGAAATAAAACAATTAGACAAGCTATTCTCTGATGAAATTTTAAAAGTTGAATCAATTCTAGAAAGAAAAAAAATGATTTCTTATTTTATAGGAAATTCTTCTAAAGAACAAGTCATCGAAAAGCTATTAACTGAATTTTTTCCGATTTCAGTTGAAAATTTAATCCCAAATAATGATGAATTTTCTATTGCAGTTTCTCAAATTTTAAGCTTAGAGCTTCAATTTCGTCAAAAATGTGAAAAGTATGATAAACAGAAAAGAGGATATATAACATGGTTTGAAATCAGAAAAATAATTTCAGAGCTAGGTCTCAGTTTTTCTGACGGCATTTATGATGAATTAAAAATAAAATGTTACTCATTAGAGCAGTCATTGCTTTTAATCCCCTATGTTCCATTTATGGATTTACTTAAAAACGACTTAGTGGTATCTTCTATCAATAATATCACTAACCATTCTTATGAAGAAGAAGTTGAAGAACGAAAAGAAGACGTAGGGTCTGTACATTCTACTATGGTTTCCCATGAAAGAGCGACAACAAGAGGCTCAATTTCCACTGATTTTCAGAACTTATTGAACAGCAGTTTCCACGAAAATTTAATGCAGACAAGAGAGACGCTAAGAGATGAAAGAATGAGCGTAGGAGATGACGCTTATGAATATAATTAAAGTTTTTCGGATTTTTTAATAAATTATACTGGAATTTAATTCTCATTTTATTATCTCCTAACCATAAATCCATACTCATTCCCCATGAAAAATATAAAATTATCAATAAATAATTAAAATAGCCATAATAATACAAAATATAAAAAATTTTTATTCAGCTAAATTTCCATACTGAAAACAAATATAAATTAACATCTTGTAAAGCATTTCAAAATGGGCTGTGTAACATCAAAAAAGAAGATGCCAATTCCAACAAGAATTTCCAAAGTCTCAGACCTAAAAGTTCAACCTTCAACATTTGTTGTTGAAAACCATGAGCGTTTTCAAGATGTCTATAGTATAGGAACAAGTTTAGGCTCAGGGACTTTTGGCGAGGTCCGAAAAGTTATTCACAGGAGCAATCATTCAGAAAGAGCAGTCAAAATTTTCCGTAAAGATCTCGCCACCAATGAAGAAAAGAAACAAAAATTACTGAATGAAATCGAAGTTTTAAAACGTTTGGATCATCCAAACATCGTTCGGGTCTATGAATTTTTCGAAGACACGAAACGGTTCTATATAGTCATGGAGCATTGTAAAGGTGGAGAACTTTTTGAAGAGATTATCAAACGAAAATCTTTTAATGAAGTCCAAACTGCTCAAATAGTCTATCAAATCTTATCTTAATCTTAATCTTAATTATTTATAACGTTTTGCGTCCTCTACGGGTAGCCTTGTCCAGAGCTGCCACCATATTTATCCACGTGTCGGGCCCATGGACCTCTGGATTGACTCACTTCGATTCGCTAAGGCATGAGCAAATACGGCGTTCTGGCTTCAATGGGTATCAAATCTTATCAGCATTAGCATACTTACATGACCATGAGATTGTTCATAGAGACATTAAGCCTGAAAATATTTTATTAGAAGAAAAAGGTGATATAATGAACTGCAAATTGATTGATTTCGGCACAGCTGCATTTTTCGAAAAAGGAAAGTTGTTAAGAGGCTCTATAGGAACAGCCTATTATATAGCGCCAGAAGTTTTGGTAGGAAATTACTCAGAAAAATGCGATTTATGGAGCTGCGGGGTGTTGTTGTTTATATTGTTATGCGGATACCCACCATTTGATGGAAGAAATGATGTAGAAATCATTGATAAAGTTAATAGAGGACATTATGAATTTAAAGGCGAAATCTGAAAGCATATTTCTTCTGAGGCAAAAGACTTGGTTTCATCTTTGCTTTCTCCTGAACCTACAAGACTTACAGCGTCTGAAGCGTTGACCCATCCTTGGGTCGCTTTAAATTCTCATCGAACCATGCCAAACACTACAATTATGGACGCTGCCTTAAAAAACCTAAAAAATTTCCATAACACAAGTAAGCTCAGAGACGCTGTAAATACTTTTATCACGACTCAATGCATTTCTCAAAAGGATACAAAAGAACTCAGAGACGTTTTCAGAGCAATGGATACCAATGGGGATGGAAAATTGAGCAGAGAAGAGTTGCTAAATCAGTTCTCAAAGACAATGGGATACAACGCAGCATCTGATGAAGTTGATAGGATTATGGCTGAAGTAGATACTGATAATAATGGGTATATAGATTTATAATTACTATAAATTTTATATGTCTACCCTCAAAATATTAAATTTTTAGTATCAAAAACAGTGTTTATGTATTGGGAAATTACCATAAATAGCTTTGATTTGAGATTAATAGATAGAGCCATATAGATTATACAGAATTTTTAAAGGCGACGCTTGATATTAGAACTGTGATGTCCTCAGAAAACATGAGAAGGGCTTTTGACTTGTTTGATAAGGATGGAAGCCAAAGCATTTCCGCAATGGAATTGAAAAAAATTTTAGCTGGTGAAGCTATCTCTGAAAATAAGGTGTGGGAAAGTATTGTCAAAGAAGTAGATCAAAATGGAGACGGAGAAATTGACTTTAATGAATTTCAGCAAATTATTTTAAGTAAGCTTTAAGAAATTTTGTTCGCTTTTAAACGTAAAACGTATAGTAAATATGTCAGAAGGACCTGATTGGGCTTTTAAGCTGTTCGATTGTTTTGATACACCGTTAACCTGTCTTTGGTCGTGCCTTGTACCTTGTGGAACTCCGTGCTTGCAGGCTACAACAACAAAATTGACCAATGATAAAGAAGAAAATGCTCCGCTTATAGCATTTTTGATGGCATGTGGCTTATGCTGTTTTGGTGTGGCGTATAATCGCACTAAAATAAGAGAAGTCTTAAGCATAAAAGGATCATATCTTAACGACTGCATTTTGGCCACTTTTTGCTGCTGCTGCTCGATGGTCCGTGAATGGAGAGAAGTGATGGCTAATAAAGGATTTAAAGAAGATGAGCCAGTGTGGAAAGCATGGAAAGGATATCAAGAAGTGTCCTCTTAAGTAATTAAGTTTAAATAATTTTAATTTTAAGTGGAGTTTATAGGGATTGGTTAAATGTTCGTTCGAGAAAATAAAATTCAATTTTAAATGCAATATTTAACACAATTAATGGCTAATTTAGTCTGTTAGGATTTTAGAGGGAATATTAAGAGAATTTTTTGGGTCAATGGATGATATTATTAAGAATTTTTTATAATTAGATAATATCTATAGATCAATCTGTGGAGTCTTTTATTATTGTCTTAAAATTATAATTGATTGAGGTTTGCCAATTTACATTATATTTTTAATATATTTATTTCGTCAGAAAACACGCGAATTCGGTTACATTTTATATATGCGTATAAATCTTAATCATTAAGGATTTTGCATCCTAGTCTACTAGCCCTTAGTTTTTGATCTCTGAAGCATTTCAGGTATAAAGTGGAATGCAAAATGGACAAATAAATATAATAATTTGCTTAGCTAATTATTGATATGATTTTAAATATCTAAAATAAAGTCAATTAATAAGAAAAACAATATTTTGTATCGGTTAATTTAAACTCGGTTCATCATTGCTAGAAACTCCATATAATCAATCCTCCCATCTCCATTCCTGTCTGTTTCTCTCATAATCTCTTGAATATCATTATCACTAATTAGTACAGACACATCTCCTCCTGTAAGCACTTCTTTAAGCTCATCATTTGTAATAAACCCACTTCTATCATGATCAAAATGCTGAAACGCTGTTTTAAGCAGCCCTTGGTCTAAAGTTGACTGATTATACAAGCATAAATAAAATGGCATTCGGTTCGAGCGAAATTAGCTCCACTGATTTTCTCTCCCTTATAGAATTTTATTTATGGGGTTGGGTTTTCTTCTGAGCACTTCTGTAGCAACAGCAGTTTAACTCTGGCGGATAAGCATGCGCAGGAGCTGAGTCAAAGGAGTGAGGCAACATAGCACGTCGAAGCCGGAGCACTGTACTTGCCCGTGCCCTGGTGCAAAGTTGATCGATCCAGAGGCCCATGGGCCCAACACGTGGACAAATATGATGGAAGCTCTGGAAGCGGCTCCCCGTAGTGGACGTTAAACGTAATAAATTAAATAAGATAAGATAGGACTGATTATACAAGCAAGCAGCTAGAAATTCTGTATAGTCAATTTTCCCATTTCGATTCGAATCCAAAATCGAAAAAGTAGTTTCTAAGGTATTACTATCAATATCAACGCCACTCATTCTCATACCTTGATGTAGCTCAGCTCTTGTAATAGTTCCATCGCCACTGATATTAAGCGATTTAAAAATTTTTTTGAGGTTTTCTATATCTTTTTCAGAAAGTTTTGAGGCAATAAACGTTAGAGTAACTCTTTTCAGTTTTTGGGCATGGGAAAATGACTGAATCCCATCAAATACTTCTGGGACTAATGGATATTGAGGTGTTGGCGCTAGACCTTGTATTCAGGGATGGTGATAAGCTTGCTTAGCTGTCCACCTTATATCTGGGTCTTTTACAAGTAATCTTGCTATTAAATCTTTAGCATGATCAGAAACAGTCGCAAACGCTTTTGGTCTGAAAGATCAATATCCATTATATACGTTCATCATTATTTCTTGATTATCTTTCCCATTAAAAGGTGGTGAGCCTCCAAGCATAATATATAAAATCACGCCAAGTGATCAGCAATCTACTTGCTTTGTATAAGATCCAGTCAATATTTCAGGAGCCATATAGTAGGGCGTCCCGTCAATTGCATGCATAACTTCCACTTCAGTAACTCCCCCTACCGTGAGCAAACAAAACAATTTTGTTCGCTAACGAAGATGGTTAATTTTTTAAAAAAATTAAAAAAATGATTATTTAATTTGTAAAATTTATATTTCATATTAAAAATGTTTTTGTTCGTTAACGGAAACGATTTTCACAAAAATAAGTTTTTTCCAATAGGTTTTGTTTACTCATGGAGGGATTGAGCATTTTGGAAATTCCAAAATCAATTAATTTTAGCTCACTTTCGGTGTTTGTGTCAACAAATAAACAGTTTTCAGGTTTTATATCTCTATGGCAAATACTGTTATCATGACAATACATAATAGCAGAAAACAAATTTTTCATTATTAAGGCTGCTTGGCGCTCACTTAAAATTCGTAATGCTGTGATTCTTGTGAAAAGTTCTCCACCTTGGCAGAGCTCAAGAACTAGAAAGCATAATCCAATTTTAATGAATATAAAATTTAATAGAAAATAATAAGCCATTTATAATATGCAGAACAGATTATTAACTAAGCAATTGTTGCAAGCATGTTTTGCATAAGGAATAGTCTGCCTGTTTCGAAGGTTTCAATTACATTGACAACATTTGGATGATCCAATGTTTTCAATATATTTATTTCATTACAAAATGTTCCATAATCTTTTACACGATTTTTTTGAATCACTTTTACAGCTCGCAAGATCCCGCTATTTATATCTTTCGCTTGGAACACTTTTCCATATGCCCCACTTCCTATTTCTTTTTCGAAGGAATAGCATGTCATAATGTCAACTGTTCGTGAAGACACAAGCCACTGTTTTTTGATAACTATTTGAGACATTTGATAAGCGCTTTTTATATTTTTATCATATTTTATTTAGCAAGCTGAAGCTGTGCTGAAGAACATTTTTTATTAAATACAAAGTTGATATAGCAAAAATGGCTTTCAAAAGCGAGTTAAATGAGAGAATAAATTTTTTAAGTGTATGAGTTTTTTATGCACTTTTTGATTTTAGAAATATTACTAGATCCTGACCAAAATTTATTTTTCATTAGACAATTTGTCAAAAATTCAATGATTTGTGTAGATAAATTGTCCTGAATATTTGTGCAAAGTCCAAAGCTAACGATATGGACAAAATTTTGGAAAGAATTGATAACCGATGTTTAAACAATATGGAAGTTTGTAACAGATAATATTTTTCAGCAATTGATTTTATTTATTAGTAATATAAAAAACAATTATCTTGAATGATGTCTTTAATTTTAACAGAATTTCTTACATAAAATTCTTTATAACTTTTGCTTCTTTAACTATAAAGTAGTTTCAAAAAAATTCATATCATTAAGTTTTTAATATGACTTAAAATTTATATTAAAATAGCTCTTCTTCATCAGAAGAAGTATTTTCCATGTTTCTATCAAGCTCATCGTAATTGTATTTGCGATTCCCTTCATAGTATCCCTCTTCTAAGTCTTCATCTTCCTCTTCTTCTTCTTCTTCCTCTCCATTCTTTGGGCTATAAAGATCCATATCATCAATAAATTTATTATAATGCTGCAAGTCGTCTTTCGATTTAGGCTTAAATCCTTCCATTTTTCCAAATCTAAGCTGATTTACCTTGGTTTGCTTGCTTTTCATCATATCCAATAATCTGCCAATCTGATTAGGCTCTATTCTTCCAAAATACCCGGGATGAGTATTTATTAACGCCTCAATTAAAGCTGTGGTGCTTTCTTGTAAATCATTTGGGTCTAGTAAGAATTCTCTTATGTAGGAGTTTTTATTACGCTTGTAAATTATAGCAATTTTTGGAGGGTTAAATTTGACTGCGATTTCTTGACTCTCCCTCCTTTAGATTGTAACAAAAAGTCTTGTTCCATTTAAAGGGGGTAATTTCTTTTTTAAAGAAAAAAATTATAGTAAATTTTATGAGCTGAGGGTTAGCATGCACGCTTTCTATTATAAAAATTAGTATTTTACCTATAAAAATTTTCCTATTTAAAAAATTTGTTCCAATTGGGGTTAAAGTGAAATTTTACCTACATTTTGCTTCAATTTAAAAAGGGGAGCGAGGAATTATTTCTGTCATTATTTATAAAATGAGATTTTTAATGGATGAAGCATATGTAAATTACAGTCTAAATTGACTTACTCCCCCCCCCCCCCTCCGTGAGCGAACAAAAAAATTTTGTTCACTCACGGAGGGGGGTTTTTTTTTTTTTTTTTAAATAAAATTTATATATAAATTTTATAAAAAATTTATTTTTCGAAATTTAAAAAAATCCTAATTTGCAAAAATTGGGAAGCAAATATTAATTTAATTTGCAAAATTTATGTTTTAAAACGCAATTTGTTTAAAATTAAACAGAATTAGCTCTAGATTTCATTATACTAATTATCACTTATATATCAAAATTTTTTTCCATTAAAATTTTTTTTCTATTAAAAAAATTTTTGTTCGCTCACGGAGGGTGGGTTTTTGGTCAAAAAATGGTGATTTTTCTAATGGTTTTGTTCGCTCACGGAGGGGGGGGGGGGAGTTATCAAGCAAGCTGAGCATTAATACTTATGAATGTAAATATAAGGAAAGATAAGATAACTATTTTTATCCATAATCATTTTAAAATATTTAACTAAATCTTACTCCTTCATTCTTTATCGAGCAGCTCATTGTCATTGGGTCAAGAATAGGGGCTAAATAATTTTTTAGGAAATAATTATATCTTAAAACAAATAGATTTAATATACAAAAATTGCAATACATGAAAACTGCTCGACCAGATTTGGAGAGCTAGCACTTCTTGCACCCTATCCTCATAGTTTCTAGCAAAGATAGCAGCCAGTCTATTAAATGGCACTTCTACATCTTGCGTTTTAAGCTAAATAAAGTTTACTGCTGATACTTCAATAAACTCAAATCTATTTTGATTCGCAAAGCTCGCCCCTTCTTGCATTTCTACACGAATTCTGTCATTTAAATCAGTCTTATTTGCTACAATAATCCCTGTGAAATATGATTCTTTTAAAGTATCTCTGGCGGCCCTGATCCAGTATTGCAAGGATCTGAAACTTTCTTGGCTTGTTACATCGTATACAAATATAACAGCATTGGATCTTGGGAACTAAAATAAAAATCACCATATCAAGCGCAATATCTTTAAAAATGCTTTGGCCGCCAGTATCGATGATCTGAAACTCCACCACTTTGTCTGAGTTTTCAAGCTTGACTTGTTTTTGAAAAATTTCGCAGCCTGGAGTCATTGCGTAGTTTTTAGGGAATCCTGATGGGCCATTAATAAAGGTTTGGACCATAGAAGTTTTGCCTACAGTGGCGTCGCCAACAATTAAGACTCGGCATCTAAGAATGACCATTTTATTTACTCCCCCCCCCTCCGTGAGTGAACAAAACCATTAGAAAAATTGCTATTTTTTGCCCAAAAAACCCACCCTCCGTGAGTGAACAAAAATTTTTTTAATAGAAAAATTTTTTATGGAAAAAAGTTTTAATATATAAATGATAATTAGTATAATGAAATATAGAGCTAATTCTGTTTAATTTTAAACAAATTGCTTTTTAAAACATAAATTTTGCAAATTGAATTAATATTTGCTTTCCAATTTTTGCGAATTAGGATTTTTTTAAATTTCGAAAAAAAATATTTTTTTTTTAAAAAAAAAAATTAACCCCTCTCCGTGAGTGACACAATTTTTTTGTTCACTCACGGAGGGGGGGGGGAGTTAGAAGCTTTAAAAATTTAAGATAATAGAAAATTATTTGATTATAAAATACTTATGATTTCATAAAACCTATAGTTAGATTAATGACTTCCTATAAGACAAGAGCTGATAAAAGCTTATGAAATTCAAATATATTGTGCTAGTATAATTAGCATGCCAAACTGTATATGAAAAACTAACAAAAAAAACGCGATTAATGAAAGTTTTAATCTCAATGATGATTCAACTATCACTTAAAAAGATAAAAAATCAGACTATGAAGCTTTAGAAAGTGCATTATAAGCGAAAAGTAATATGGTGGTTTTGTTTTCTAACCTCTAAAAATTGGTAAAGTCCATTATAAGCAGATAATTACTCAAAACTCTTATCATTGCATTATAAAGATTTTAATAAATTACTGAACTCTTCTTGCTACGATTTTATTGCATAGTGAACAATAAATTGTGGCCTCTTGGAAGTTAGAATCACATATAGGGAGTAAACAAAGTCCAAACCAGCAGCCAACCAAGCAGATACTTCCACAGATATTTCATGATAGAGAATTAGGCTGAAAAAATTTATTTGGAATGTTTTCTTGTGAGCAGTGGGGACATCGAACAATATCAGAGGTTCCATAAATATAATGAGGAAACCGAGAATGCGAAGGAGTGCTTCTTACACTGCAATCAGCAAATGCACGATGCAGATCTTCTTGAGAATCAGAGAGCAAGTTTGACCTTAAATCTTCCATTGGGTCAGGGTAAGGAGATATCATTCCTAATTTATTATTATGCCATGTAACCAATTTCTTATAAATACTCAGAAATTATTGCATTTTGAACTGAAAATATTATAATTTATACTATAAAAATAAAAAAAGACCTGAAAAACTGATTTTAATGAGCATTAAAAATTTCTTAAAGAAATCATAACTCCCCCCCATCCTTGATCGAACGATTGACTGTAAAAATTCCTAAAAATTGGGAAAATTAACCCCCATCCTTGATCGAACGATTTTCATATCATGCAAATTTTTATATATATAAAAATATATTAGTTATCAAAAGCTTGGGAAGATGTACCTAATGAAGTTGCTGTCAGAGCTTTGAGACGACAGAAAGCTGCGGAATCAACCATCCGAAGTGATTTAGTCATCAACCTAGGCTTGAAAACTCAATAATCTAAAAAATAGAGATTCTTTAAAATTTAAAAAAAAAAAAAATTTTTAATTCAGTAAGTAACAAATTAAAATTTATACAGTTTAAAAGGGTAACTAATAAACCAAAATATTAAAAATTAATATTTTATGAAATTAATTCAATTTTTTGTAGTAAAAATAATTATTAAATACTCTTAACCCTCTTACTTAAAAACTTTTATTTTAATGGAAGATTCGGAAAGTAATGTTTCCTATTCTTCTTCCTTTTGTGAAGAAAACGGAGCTTTACAGGATGAATTTTTCGAACTTTTACTATTAAATGAACTTATTGATACAGGATTACTTGATAATTCTGAATCAGAGTATGAATGAAATGATAGTGATACAGAAAATGTTGATACAGATGACAAAATATTGGAGTTTTTAAGTCGTTTAGATGGAAAAATACTAGATGAAATAGATCTATTCAGGAAACCTTCAAATATAGGAAGACTGAGGTGATCATTGATGATAAGAAGACAATCGATAAGAAAATCCTGGACACCAGAAAAATAAAAATTAGATCAGATTCAAATTTTATCAGAAAAATAAAATTGATATCAGAATCAAGCATTATCAGGAAAATAAAATTTAGATCAGATTCAAATTTCATCAGAAATAGAAAATTCATATCAGACTCAGAAATCGAAAAAATCGCGGATTACGTGGGTTCAGAAAATTTTACTAAAATTTTATCCAAAGATTTTAGGAAAAGAAGAAAGTTAAAAAAATTTTTAATCGGGACATGGCCCTGAAATAAAGGCCTTTAAGTAATAAAGATTTCTCTCTCTCTCTCTTACTTAAAAGTAAATAAAAAAAATATATAAAATTTTTTTTCCCGAAAAAATTATTTTTAACCCCCATCATTGATTGAACGATGGCGAGTCGTTCGATCAAGGATGGGGGGGAGTAAGAAAAAAAATCCTCAATGGATTTTCTTTGTTAAAAAGATAATTAATCATTAACAATAATAATTGTAAAATATGGAAGGACAAATGAAGACTTCTTTCAGGTTTTCCTGAACTAAGCCATGCAAGCGTGCTTTTGTTTCAGGCACATTTAATGATTTTCACCTTGACATGCTGACAGGTGATAATGATAAATTCCTAAACTCTATGGTTCAGCCAGGAAGGATTTACTACCGATTCAAAATTGATGGACTTTACCAAGTTGATACTTCAAAACCTACAACGCTTTATGAAAAAACTCTATACAATTATGCAGACATCACAGCGCCGACATTACAGATAAATTCAAAACTCAAAGAAAAACCAGAATTAAAAGCACCGAATAGTAACAAAAGCACATGCAAGTCTAGTTCAGCCACTTCGCTGACAACTTCGCCATACCGCACTAGACCTTTAAGTACATTTCGAAATTCAATATCTCTTTCAAATATTATCAAAATTCAAGCCTGGATCCGTTCAGTTATACAAAGAATCCGATTCAAGCGTTACCTAAAACATATAAGGACAGTAAAAAACAGAAAAAACATCAGTGCTGAAACGACCTTTGACGCGCATGATGGGTATGAAAAATTAAGAAAAAAAGTTGAAGTTCTTACAGAAGAAAATCAGCGTTTGAGAAAAGATTGTAAAATATTGCAATCAAAAGCTCTCACGTGTAAACCTCCACTAAAGAAACTTGATGTTTATAAAACGACAAGAAATTTCAAAACAGGGTCGTTTTTGAGGCTGAATGTCAGAGATGGAGGGAGACTGCTCAATAGTGTTTCACCTATTAAAGGCAAGTTCGATTAAGGGTTAAATAATTAATAACTCAAATAAAAATTGAAAATTTAACGTGATGGCGCTCTTTTAATTGGCTTAGGTCTATTTTGCTCGGAAAAACTTCGACTGTGGCCTCTAGAAGAGCTTCTTGCTTTCTTCAAAACGTTCATTTTAATGTCATCTCTTTTATAGGATGGGTCTACCGTTACTGTTTCTTTTCTGATCAAATTTGGAGAGTAGCTTTTAATCATGTCCACTTCTCCCAAAGACCTTCTCGCATTTCTGCTTGCTCTTTCTCTCATAAATAGCAGTTTGCTATACGATTTATCCTTTAATTTCTGCTGCAGCTTCGTCAATTCACTTCCTTTCTCAATTAGCCTTTTCCTTACTCCCCCCTTCATGAGAGAACAAACATTTTCTTCGCTCATGAAAAGGGGATACTTTTTTTCGAAATTTAAAATCGCAAAAATCGGAAAACAAAAATTAATTTAATTTGCAAAATTTTTATTTTAAAATGCAAGCTGTCTAAAGCTAGAGATTTCATTATACTAATTATCATTTGTATATCAAATTTTTATATTAAAAAAATGTTTTGTTCGCTCACAACAGAGGTGGGTTTTTGAGCAAAGATATTGATTTTTCCAATGGTTTTGTTCGCCCACAGAGGAGGGAGTTAGAACTTCAATATCATGAATATCTTCATTTCTTTTCACTCTCCCTTGACTTTTTTCTTGGCTTTTTGCACTTTCTTTCTTATATATATCACATTCTTTTTGTTTTTCCTCCAGCATTCCTTTCATTTTAGCAAATTCTTTTTCCAGTTTATGGAACATTTCTTCTCAGTTTTCGTCTTTATCTATGCTCAGCCTGGTATCGTTATCCTTTTTTCTTGTATCGGTTTTAAAGGACTTGTCTATGCTTTTATTGTACACATCATGCATGTTTTTTTCTTGCTTTTTTTCAAGCTTTTTGATGACGGAATTCGATTTTTCTATATTTGCTTCAAGTTCTTCGATCTTGGCTTGAGTAGCTTCTATATGAAGTTTGAGCTGGTGCTCGATTTTTATATGACGTTTTAGATGTGTAATCTCAGAAGACAAATAGGTAAAATATGGAGGAAATAATACAGATAAAGGGCATATGATTTTCTTATATCCCCTTCTAACTTTTGTAACATTTTCTCAAACTGTTCACTGCGGCTCATCAATTCAGAAGATTCTGAATTTTTGTGGGTCTTCTTGAATTTTAGAAGACTCAATACAACATCTTTTAAGTTCTCAAGGACTTCGAGTGGGTCTAGCTCTTCAAGTGTCTTTTCTTCTTCTGATGTTATAGCTTCATCATCAAGCTCACAATTAGTTATGAAAGCATATTTGAATAAATCATGCAGCCCTTGCTCTAATTTGGTTATCTCCAATTCAAGAGTCATAGTTAGAAAGGTGACTTTTTATTAACAGTAATGAAATGTCTGAAATAATCAAAAATTATTCTTTTTATGATGAGTATACAATTAAATATATTTCAGCTTAAATTTATCTTTTGTCTTCTATATCTTCTGATACAAACCAGCTATTTTTTATTTTTTACTTTTTGGTCTAAAGAATTATATAAAAATGAATAATTATACAATTATTTTATCGGCTGAACCTGCAGATAGCAATATTGTATATTTCCAATAAAATATTTGTTTATATATAAATGGGTGATTTATTGATCTGCAAAGAATGTGATAAAGGGAATTTACCACTCTATGCCCATGAAGAAAAAACTGAAGAATATATGTGTGTCTATTGCCAATATGAGATGGAAGCTGAATGTCTTGTTGATGGACAACCTTGCTGTGTAGAATGCAAAATGAATCGAAAAAGCCAGATGAAATCTCCAGCTGGAAGTATCCGTTCAGAAAAATTTGAAACTGGAAGCACTCGCATGGGAGGTCCTGGGTCTACATTTGGGGGTGACCGAAGTACAGCCCGAACTGTGACAAATATAGAGGATGCTCCAAAAAGTACGCCGAGAGGCACGCCAGGGTTTATCGATAATGTAGGCAAGTCTTTGGATAAGCTAATCCATAGAAGAGCTGACAGCAATTTGTCAGCAGAGCATTTCAAAGCCCATCGTTTTTTACAAAAATATATCGCCCACAACTTCAATGAGCTGACTTGTCTATATGATTCTAGAAATGATGGGCGCTCTTCAGTTGCTTTTCACAGAAAATGTGATGACAGTAAAGGAGGAATTATCATGATTATTACTCTATCATTAGGCTATGAAATTGCTGCTTGGTCATGAAAAGGGATCAGAAAAGGCTGCACTCAGAATAGTGATGTGCAGATGGGTGGGGCGATTATCCAGAACAATTCCTTTGATTTTTGCAGTTTTGCTGACCAAGTTATCATTAATGAGCCTGAAGGGATCAGATTTTCATCGGAAAGTGACCTTTATATGAATTTCGATTATCTGGAGAGAAGTGTTTGCAATTTTGATAAGAGGCTAAAAGGGAATGCGCGCTGGACGACTTATATTGAAGAAATTTCTGTTTATAAGTTACAAATAATAGAGTAATTCTTGATAACTATTAATTTCAAAATCAATAATTGTTCATTCTTATATATGAAATTGAAGATATTTGTATTATTTTTAAAAGCAACTCATTTAAATCTCCTTTATTCTCCATATTTTACATTAAAGAGCTTAAAATTTTATTACTCAATCCATAAAGCTCCACATTAATAATGCAAAAATCAAAGAAATCCAGCAGCTGTGGCTGTTTCGGGGTCCTTTTTAAATCAAAAAAGAAAAACGAGGCCAAGAGGTATGATTTAAACAGAAATACATCTTCAAATGAAGTACAAGTTGATTCCCATCAAATTCAAAATGCAGCCCACAAATCGATAGACCCGCCTACAGAGCGTAGAGCAAAAACAGATACCAATTTTTATCAGCCACAAAAGCCAATGCTAAATGAAAATGACTCACTTCCTGGGTACCAAGCATACTATAAATCGACTATGGTAAATTAATATAAGTTCAAAGTTCTTAAAAACTGAATTTTTATTTATTTTGTGATAGATTATATTATTAATACAATTATATCATCTTAAATTAATTAAGCAGGCATATAGTCTCAAATCTTTCAAAATCACATGGGAATGGTTCTTTCCACAGAGGGCAAACTCTTCCTACAAATCAAAAACTCCCTTTAGCTCCTAATGAGCCGAGGCCAGATTCTCAAGAAAGCACTCGAAAATTTTTATTCGATGCAAGAAAACAGGCAACTCCCCCTTTTCATGACATAAGCGGGATTCAGTTCATGAATCTTCCACAAATTCCTTCTCGCCCATTCAGCCACAGCAGTGTTCCCAATCTTTTTGATACCCAAAACTTTAAAAATAAACCAATCGGGCCACTCCCTCATTTAACCCCAGCTACACCTTGGAGGTTTAAAAGAAATAATATTCCTACTTCTGCAAGAGATAACAACAGATTTGAAAATATTCTGAGCGATCTAAAGAAAGAGCTAGAAGAAGAGCCCAGAGTTGTTATTGATTAAACAAATAATTTGATGCAATTGATACACTAAGGGGTTGAATGCTGTATTGATAAATTTGATTTCAAAAATTAATTAAAATTTAGATTGTGTGATGAAAGGGTATTTGATATAAAAAAGAGGCATCTTGATTGTCTATTTGCTTACTATCTCTTCAAAACTGGCTTAACATCTGAAAAGATTAACACCTTGGAGCTAAAGTTTTTTTTATATAAATTTATATCTAATTAATAATTCTATGCAGAGATCTCTAATTCAAATGCATTCATCATTAAATGTGAATTTTATAAATTTAATTTTCAAATTTTGATTTTTAAAATCTGAACAATTTTTTTATATATAAATTAAACCCCACCTTTAAGAGAAAGCAAAAAAACTTGCCTTGGTCTTAAGATAAGGAGGAATTATGCAAATTGGATAATTATATTTAATATGCTTATAACTTTCTCGAGCTAACTGGATTTATAAAGCAATCAATAATATACATGTATGAAATACATAGAGTGTCTCAGTATATTTTTATAAGTTGATTATTATTTTAAATTCTAAAAATCAGTAGCCAGTTGAAAATAACTCTTATTTTATGACACTTCTTCATAGTTATGCAATTGTAAAAAACTAGAATTTATTAAAAATTATCTAATTTTGTTAATTCATAACAATTTTTAATACTTTTCTCATAAGTTTCTTAATTTAATTGAAATGGTAGTTAAAATACTGCACACTGCACTCTTTTTATTAGAGTTAATTTAATTTAAAAAACATAAAAATGACGAATAGAAAACTTATTGATGACATAAAAGATGCTTTTTTGAATCAAGATAAATCTGATACAGATGTCAATGTATTTTATATACAGAAACTTAAAAGAATATTCAAAGAAAACCAAATCCTCCGAGCAATTCCTCCTAATCAGCGGCATGAAGTATGATATAAATAGCTATGCGCAAATATGACCCTCCATGAATATCACATTCTTGATACTTGTATATCAGAAAAAGATAAAAAACCTGATTTTTTTATTGCAGTTTCTGGAAAATTATCGTCTAAAAATAAAGACCGTCAAGAAATCATCCATGAGCCTTTTGGCCTTTTTGGATATACTAAGCCGCTTAACGGAATATCCTATATACCAGGTAGAGTTATATCAAAAGAGCACTCATATGTAATTTCAATCCCTAGACAAATAGTGAAAGCCGAAATGGAAAAAATTAATAAATTCCAAGAAAGCATCAAAGTCCTTGATTTTCTTGTCAAAACAGTTCCTGGCCTCAGGCAGCTTGGTCATGCTAGCAAAGAGAGAATATTAAAGTTATTTGAAATATGCACATTTAAAAACGGTGATACAATTCTGCAAGAAGGAGTTCATGCTACTCATGCATTTATAATAGAAGAAGGTCAATGCAGACAAGTGTCAGCTGGCAATTCAAGCAGACCTTCAACAAGTAGAGCAAGAGGGCTGATATCCAAAACTACAAGTACTTATAATTTCGGGCTCGTTATGCCTGGTCAATGAATAGGTGAAGATTCAGTTCTACTGAATAAACCAATGGACTTATCAGTTATAGCTGCGACTGTTGTAAAAGCATTGAAAATTTCAAAAGAAAAATTCCTTGAAGGGCTCACTAGAGATACGCAGCATGCATTAAAAGAAAATCTTATAAAGAAGCTTGAATGGCGAGAACATAGGAAAAGTGATATTTCTCAGACAATTTATAGTACCTTATTTATAGATAATTTCACCGAAACTATAAATGCCCAAGAACAAATTGAAAAAAATTATCCAACAGCGTCAAAAATGGCTCTTACAAGCATCCAGCGAAGAGAAGCAGCAAAATCTGATGGTGGGCTACACCCTCTTCTTAATAGTTCTTATTCGAATAAAGTTTATGCACGAACTCCAAGCCCCGAGCCAGAGGCGAAAAATTTGTCGCCTAAAAGGGCTTCATTTGAAAAGTCTTATCCAAACCAAGGAAAAGCAAGATCTCAGTCTTCAGACTTAACGACTAGAAGAGTGTCTTATCAAAACATCAAGCCTGGAGCTCAAAGTAATGTTTTTTCTAGCCAGCAGTTAGCAGTGTCTAATTTAGGGCATATAAGGAAGCCTAAAGTGAGGCTTCATTCAGCGGCTACACTTGGAAGGTCATTAGTCCCAACTTTTCCTGAAAAAAAGTTTAATAGAATAGAAAAGCCCCAACATGTGGTTTCAGCAAGAGTTGACCCAGTGATAAGCTTTGTTGAAGTAAGAGATGAACAAAATGAAAGCTTTGGGAAGAAAATAAGAAAAGGAAGACCTTTGTCACCTAATCCTGTGGAAGTTTGAGCTAGAAAGGTTATAGCTATTAGATTAATTTCAAGTGCCAAAGCTTATTACTCCCTTTCATCATGCTCCACCACTTGCTCGCCGATCAAACACTCGGACTTATACTGTATTGCTCCTTTCAGACGAGGCCTGCATTCGCAAAACGGAAGTGGGAAAGATTTTGTCACCATTTACAATCAGCAGGTCGCCTTCCATAGAAAATTTAATGTCGAATTTACTGGTAATCTGGAGACTAAATGTAACTCCAAGCTCAGGATGCAACTCTTGTTATCGCGTTGGAAAACTTTTCCGAACCTTTCTAACTACATTCCCATTTCTCCATGATAAACCTTGCCTCTCAGCTAAGCTTTGACTGATCTAGCTCAGCATCACAGTTCTGCCTGTGCCAATAAGTCTTACCAGATACACATATAGGACGCCTTCAATTCCCCTAGTGTCTTTGGATAACCTGTTACAGTGATTTAAGAGGTCGGGTTGACTCTTCACGCGATTTTAATGTATAAGCTAGAAAGCATAATTTAGATATAAAACAGCTAACCGGCAGATCTCCAGTCAAACCAGTTCCACCTATCAACGCTTAGACTCAATTTTGTGTTTAAAGTATTAAATTTAGCAAAAATTATTCATTTATAAAATCTACAGAGTCTCTATAACTATATCTGATTTTTGATGGTTCTTTATGACTTCCATAACCACTAAAGTTTTCCTGCTCAAAAACTAGGTCAGCCATAGTCTTTTTTGGTGTGACATTGCTTCTAAAACTCAAGTCAGGTGACAGGCTTTCCCTAGCTGGGGATTTTGATTTCGCTATAAATTTCCTATTTTCTATGATTTGTGCGACCTGGATTTCCTTCATATCTAGCTGCCTCCTGATATTTTCTCTTTCTATGTGAATAACAGAATATGAACGATTATTTGCTAAATTTGCAGGCTCACTAGGAGTGCTTGGCTCTGGCTTAATGCTAACTTTCGCCTTTGCTCGAGTATAGCTTGCAGTCCTCTCTCTTGTAGGAGTTATTTTCTTTAGGCCATCATCATATTTTATGAATTTTCTTTCAGAAGATAAATTACGAACTCTTCTCCGTAGTTCTGGAGAAATTTCTGAGCGGGAATGTACATGCTGTAAGTTATTTTTACTATAAAAGCTTTCATTAGCAGATGGCTTTCTCTGATCATTTGATTTTGAGCTAGCTCAGTCTTGGCGAATAATCAAAGCCATTAGAAAAACCTATCTTTGAGAAAATTAAACCCAGTTGAAAGCATACTCTAATGTAAATATTTTGTTATAAAATATTTAATATATAATTAATGATTATAATAGCAAGATCTCCAGCTAATTTAAAACAGATTGCATACTTAGATTTTTTATTTCAAATATTTATAAAAATATAGATTTTTTAAAAAAAGAGAATTAATATAAATTTTAAAAAAAAAAGTAAATCCTTGGCTAGCATGAGAGATTTTTTGGCTCATTAGCCAAAAAGGGGGATTAAGAATATGGGCTTTCTGCTGGCAATACAGATGCAGAAAAGTTTCTATTGGTAGCTTAAATGACTGCGTTTGAAAAATAAAATTGTGGAAAATCGCTTGAATTTCATCTCGATAACTTATAGGGATTCTCATAAGGATGGACTTCTAATTAGTTTTTACCATATCTTCAAGCTCAAGGACTTTTTCCCCTTGCAAGTTCATTTGGCGAAGAATGTTATTTATAGATGAACGGCTTTTAAGGTCAGCGTAGGTGAAATCTGAATTAATGTGCTTGTTCGAGCTGAAGCTAGATCTGGGAACTCTTTCTTTTACGTAATAAATTGACATAATTAAGTTTAAATTTTGCAGAGTAATGTCAGCTGTAGAAAATAATAGTTAGAGTGTTTTTAAAAACATATACAGGCAAAAATCTTTTTCTGCTTATTGTTCTGCTGAAACCTGGAGTCATAATTTAATTGATAAATATTATACTTATATCCTGTATTTATATAAATATATTGATTTATCTAGCCTTAATTGGCTTTTTTATCAGTATAATTAAGTTTATTGAAATAATGGATTACATTATTGGCAATAAAAACAAAGAGCTCCCAACTTTCACTCCCCCTCTTTAAAGTGGAACATAAATGTTGTTTCAATTTAAAGCGAGGCTAATTTTTTTAAAAAAATAAATAGAATTTTATTTTATTTTTATCAATAATTAATTAAAACAATTGATAGATGCAGCGTGAAAGATGTTTAAATAATATTCTACATGCACTTTCTCAATTAAATTAGGTCAAAATTAATTTTTATAAAAAATTATCATTTTTATCTCTATAAAATTTTCCTATTAAAAAAAATTGTTTCAATTTAAAGGGTTTAAAAGTACAAGAAGGAAATTTTAACTATATTTAGTTCGGATTTTAACGGGGAAGGCAGAAAAAGTCCATATTCAATCAAGTGTATAGAAAAGCAAAGTATTGTAAGGAAAAAGTCCATATCTCCTAATTTTTATTTACCCCACAAAACTTCTAGAGCCCCATTTCTTCCTATACTAAAGAGCTCCCACGAAAAATCTTCGTTATATTCAGAAATTAAAGAATCAATAAAGCCACAAAATAAATCATTTCACATAGCAAGAGCTCTTTCCCATTCGCCTTATTTCGAATCTTTTAAACGAAGATCATCCAGATCATCTAGAACAACTCCTTTTTCTGAACAAAAATTAGATTATATGGATTCAATGAGAGCAATCCCACCTCTACCAAAAACAGCTGCAACAAGCCAGATTACTACAGCACTGTAATTTTTATATTTTCTATAAAATTATTTAGTCCTGTATATTTATTTTAGAAAATAATTACTTTAATAAAAATCATATAAGATGTCAAGATCAAAAAATTTGAAATGCAATGAAAACTTATACCTTTACGAAAAACTAGATGATCTCCGGACATATCTTATAAAGCGAGGAGAAGAGCGCAAAGCTATGAATGCTAAAAGAATATTATCCGCACTAATTAAATTCCCTTTGCCAATATTATCAGCAAAAATTGCATCTTCCTTGCTTCAAGGAGTAGGGCCATGGTTTGAAGCAAAATTCGAAGAATGGATTAAAGAAAAGCCAATCAAGCGTAAATCGGAAGAAATCCCTTCAACACAAGTAGAAAAAGTAAAAAAATACATCCCAGAACCTGGATCTGATGAATGGATTTGTCTTCTCTCTATCTATTATTCAGAAGAAAAGAAAATTTCTACTTATGATATTGGCTATATATGTGACCAAGTCTTATCAGGCTATTATGATATTGAAAAGCCTAAAAGCCCAACTCAAGCTTTTCAAACTCTTATAGAAAATGGGCTCGTTGAAGAAGACTGCGAAGTTTATTCTTTAACATCCATAGGCGAAATTTTGACACCTAAACTAATCAGCCAATGTCCCAGAAATTTTAAAAAATATTTAGCAAGCCAAGAAGAAAGAAAAGAATTTGACCCTGATTCCTGAATTGAAGATTCCAACGATGCAAGCACAGAAGCAAGCAATTCTAGTCAAAACTTTTCTAATTTTAGCATTGTATTACTAGTAGACACAGCTGAAAGACTATACATGGATTTTCAAGCGATTAGTGAAAGACTTATAAATAGAAATGTCATTGTTGAAAAATCAAAATTATGAATTGGAGATTATATGTGGCTATGCAAGCTAGAACAAGAACCAGGGGTTTTTATTGATTTTTCGCTTGGAATTGTAGTAGAAAGAAAAACTGCTGATGATCTTGCAAGCTCTCTAGTAGATGGAAGATATGAAGCTCAGAAAATCAGGCTAAAACAGGCTGGAATAAAATGCATTTATTTATTGGAAGGCACCAAGCCATCACCAGGCTCAAGAATATCTCAAGATACCCTTTTGAATGCCTTGGCAAGCACACAATTTAACTATGGGTTTCAAGTTAAAATTACAAAAGATTCGCAGGATACATTAAATTGGCTAGCAAGAATGACAGCAGCATTACAGGTAGAAGTAAGTGGTTGGAGTCTTGATAAGTTTGAAAAATTAGAAACCTTTGAAAATTATTTTGATTCAACAAATCCTAATGGGAAACTTACTGTTTATAATTTATTTGGAAAGCAACTAAGAGCGCTTGATAATTGTGGAGAACAAGGAACCTTGGCAATCTTAAAAAATTACAAAACTCCTTATAAACTTTATAGAGAATTAAAAAATGCTGCTAGCAAAGGAAAGAGACACTTAATCTCCCTTTAAAGTGAGTTTAAATTAATAAAAATAGATCCATAAAATTATAAATATAGAGCTAACTTAGATTAAATAGTGCTCTCCCATTTGAAATAGAAAAAACTATAGATAAGTTTTTTAATATTGCATGCGAAATTGGGTATCAAAATTATTATTGTTTACTGTAAAAATTAAAATTATGTTTTTTAATTAAGAAAGCCGGCGTTTCATCATTTTTGAATTGGAGTTAGCAAGAATTTTAAAAGAAATTAAACTGGAAAATGGGAATACTTTATCTAAAACTCTCAGAGAACAATTGATCCAGCTGTTTTTATGCTAAGTTTTGGTTAATTTATTTTTTGTAATAATTTATGATTTGAATTTATAGCAGAGGACGGCTTTTAGCTCATCCTGGGTTGTTGGCAACTTTTGGTTCTAAGCCAACTCTACTAATTGAAGAGAAATAGTTAGCACACAACGAGCTAAAAGCCGTCCTGAGCTATAGTTTCATGGTGGATTAATTAACTCTGTCTTATTCCTTCTATGAACACCTCCTCTGTGACTATTAGATAAAAAGTGAGAATTATTATATATTGTATTTCACGGCTTCATTTTTGTGTAAACACCATGAGGAGCACTTGAGAGCCTTAAAATCGGGACTTTTTTAAATAATGCCTTTTTAATTTTTTCCGATTCTTGGTTAAATATTGTTTTCTCGTTTTGCCTCATAGTTGCGTTTAATTTTGCCGGTATTGGCTTAATAACTTTATTTTTATTCACAGAAGTTGATCTTAAATGATGCGTTTTGGGCTTAGTTCGAGGGCTAGAGCTCCCTGTGTAAACAATTGAGCTTTCAAATGTAATTGGGGTTGTTGTAGGTCTCAAAAACCTGCGAGACTCAGGCTTTTGGGTTTTCGAAAAATTTTGTTTAGGAGTCCAATCAAACTTGCTTATTTGCTTTGAGAAATCTTGAGTTTGGTTCAGCGTAGTCTGGAAAGTGCTTTCCAAAGCATCGCTATTATCAATTTCGATTAAAGTTTTATCCATATCAATATCAAACATATTAACTTGGATTGATACTTCTGCTTTAGGAGAAGCATCAGCAGTTTTTGATGAATGTTGAATTTCCTTATCTTTTGATTGAGAAATAAAGCTTTGATAGCTAAATTATATTTACGGCTGGTCATGAGAAAATAAGAAGTGTTTTTTAAGTAATACTTTCCTATTCATTTTAGTTTATGCCTATTTAAAACTGGATAAAAGTATGTTATTTATTCAGCTTAATTTAATTATTATCATTGAATAACTATTAAAAGAAGCTATCTCTTTAGATTTTTCAATAAATATCCAACAATTCTATTAAAATTATATAATTCTCAACAAAATATTCAATAAATAGATTTTCAGATAGACTATGGAGTCAAGAATTCCTTATATGATAGCTGGAATTTTTTGTCAAGACACTTTTAGCTCTGAAGAAAGCTTACAAAACCCAAATGAGCACACATTTTTTAGAACTGACGCTAAAGAAGTGACATTTGATTTGAAATTCAGCGAAACAAAAATCAATGAAATCCACTATTGGGCAATGGGTAATACTCAAATTACAATTTTAGCTTCAAATGATAATGATCCTGCTACACAGGATCGTTTAATATAGAATTCTATATTACTCTACTTCTAGAATAATACTAAAATAAATTTGTTTAAAATTCGCAATAAAAAGTATATTCTCTCATATAGATACACAGGGAAGCTTTATTAAAAAAGAAATTTATACTGCGGAAAAAGAATTTCCAAGTTCATTAAATAAATTATACACTTCGATTAGGCTTATAGTTAGAAATCTCAGCAGCTCAACAGAACTTAGAGTAAATTATCTAGGTATGGTGCCAGAATACACAAATAATTCCCAATCCTTAATGGACAACCCCAAAGAATTCAGCCCACCAATAAAGAGGCTTAAAGAGAGTATACCCATAAAAAAGCACAATGAAAGTCCTATTCCATGTCCAAAACTAGTGAAGCATGAACCATTTTTCAGCTCCATTTCTCAAGCAACGCCAAAATCAACTATATATCGCCAAACTCATTTAACATTTGATCAGCAAAGTCAACAAGACAGACTTAGATCTTTAATTGCTGTTAATTCGCCTCCAAAAGTAAAAAACCCTACAAATAGCTACAAAGATCTACTGAATGGATGTGTTATTATTTGCCAGTTGGAAGATGAAGTCGCTAAGCTAATAGCTCAAGAATTATGTGAGGTTTCTGGAGCTTGCTATATTGAGAGTTATACAGATGATGTACAGTATCTCATTTCAGATGGTTCTGATGAAAATTTAATACTTCAAGTGAGGAGAAATGGAGGATTTATAGTTCGTCTTCAATGACTTTATGACTGTATCGAAACTAGGACAAAGAGAGATGTATCTAATTATTTGCTATTCTAATCTCTAGAGCGAGCAAAACAATTGGGAAAATAACTATTTTTTTAGGGAAAGAGAATCCTCAGGATCGAACAAAACATTTTTTATAAAAAACTATTATTATGAGTGATAATTATTATAATGAAATCTCAAAATAACCCTATTGAATTTACAAATTAAATTAGTTTTAATTCCAATTTATGCAAAATTTATTTTTTTTAAAAAAAATATTAAAACAATTAACTTAAATGAACAAAATTTTTTTTCGCTCAAGAAGGTTAGAGTAAATACTTAATTTTATGTATTACTATAAGTTCATTTGCAGTCCCAACATATTTACTATTTTATCTAAAGCATTGATGTTAAATTTCTATACACAAAATATGCAAATAATTTTTATTTTCATATACCCAGTACATTAATAAAATACTACAAATATATGGTTTTATATTCTCTACAATTTACAATTAAAATTGCAGATTTTATTATTAACCCAACAAATATTTGCATAATGATATTTAACCTAGAAGTCATTGGTATTTAAGTTTATTGTAGCCTTCAAAGAATCTAGAAATGGCAAAAAATATTATGAATTTTAAGACAGCCAAACACCTAAGACCACTTCTAAAAACCACTCGTGAAATGCAACAATTTAAGAATTTCCCCCTTATTTTTGGTAACTCTGAGATTCCAAGCTCAATGCTATACAAAATAGAAGAAAAAATAACAAAATTAGAAGTCTGTAGTAAGGAAGACATTAAATCTTTATATGGTGATTTTTGTAAGTTTCTTTCAGCAAAACAGACTTATCAAAGACCTGATTTTATTGATGCTACTTTATTTAGCGCAATACAATCATCCATATCTAACTTAAATAAATCTGGGATGAAAATCAGATGTACAGACTATCCCAATTTCGATTATAATTTAATTGATTTTTCTTCGTGGTCTGGGCCTTTTGTCTTGCGTAAAGAACTAAATCCTCATATGGATTATTTACTACAGATGCGCTATGGACATTTTAAACTTGCAACTAATGCTGAGCCTTATGCATCAGTGTTTAAGCATAGGTTTGCAGGAAGAGATCAATCAACTTGGGATGGACTTGCCTCAAAAATCGATTTTAATAAGCTAGCTAACAAAGTGAGTTCATTATTACCTTTAGAAGAAAAGGATGCGGTTGACTTATTATCATTTCACATTTATCTGACTTCAATTCGACCTATTATTCAAGTTGCTGTAGTTGCAATAAAAGGAGGAAGCTTAGTGACTATTGAAAATAGAAATGGAGAGGCTGAAGATGGAGAAGAAACACCTTATACTCATGTATTGTATTTAGAAAGGCTAAAACTGGATAAAGAAGATCGTGTAGTTTCAAAGAATTTCCTTACAAATAAGTGGGTAATATCTGATGTGGATTTTTTGATGACGCCAGATCAAACAAAAGGAACAGATAAAGGGAAAGAGGAGGAAGAGAATGAAATAGATTTTATTGATATGGAAAAACAATTCGGAAATCAATAGTTGATTAATTTATTAGATAGATAATTCAAAAATAGTATATATCAGGTAATAATATAAATGGCAAGGCTAGTTCTGTTGCTTTTGATTATTTCCACTGCAATTATTGGCGTCTTTGCCAAAAATACTGCTGATTTCTCAGAATCTGCTTCGAATAAAATGCAAGTTAAGCCAGGATCAACAACTAGTGATCTTCAAGCTACTGACACTTCAAGTTCAGATCCTGCAACTTCAGAGGAAGCGGCTTCTGACAATACAGATCAGGCTGCAACAAGTGAAGAAGCAACAACCGAAGAAGCTGCAGCTGAAGAGGCTACAACTGAGAATTCTGCAAGTGAGCAGAGTGTAGAAGCTGCAAGTGAAGAAGCCGCAACAGAAGGAGCTACAACTGAAGAAGCTGCAAGCGAGGAAGCTACAACTGAAGAAGCTGCAAGCGAGGAAGCTACAACTGAAGAAGCTGCAAGCGAGGAAGCTTCAACTGAGCCTTTCTCTTCAGATACTTCTACAAGTGAGCAGCCAGCTGAAACTTCAGCTTCAGGAGACAGCTCAACAACAGAAAGTGATCCATCATCAAATGGAAATGCAGCAGAGGGAACTGAAGAAGCTACAAATACAGAGAGCACTGATAATGCAGCAAGTGAAAGCTCTGAAAGCAGTCCAGAAACGACGACTTCTGAAGAATCCTCTCAAGAACCTGTAGACTCTGCAGCTGCTGAGGAAACTTCATCTGATAGCTCTCAGACAAGTTCTGATCCTACCACTTCTGAGACAGATCAGTCAACTGAAGAGGCTACAAGTGAGGAAAGCTCGAGTGAAGAAACTAGCAATGATTCTACCACCCAAGAAGAAGCCACTTCAGAAACACCAGCAGAGTCTAGTGAAGGAACTACTCAAGAAGAAACTAGCTCAGAAGAGCCAACTGAAGCCCAACCAAGCGAAGAATCAACAAGTGAAGAAGCAACAAGTGACTCAAGCACCCAAGAAGAAAGCACTACAGAAACACCAACTAATGCTGATGAAGCCTCAGAGCAAGAAACTAATACATCAACAAGTGAAGAAACAACAAATCCTGATACTCCTGCAGAGGAAACTACTCAACCGGCTGAAGAAACATCATCTGAAGAGACTGGAAGCTCTGAAGAAGCTACAAGCGAAACCCAGCCAGATCAAGGAAGCTCTGAAGAAGAGACGGCTGAAAGTTCAAGTGAACAGCCTACAGAAGAGTCTAGTGAACAGCCTACAGAAGAGTCTAGTGAACAGCCTACAGAAGAGTCTAGTGAACAACCTACAGAAGAGTCTAGTGAACAGCCTGCAGAAGACACTAGTGAAGGGACCAGCGAAGAGACAACAGAAGAAGCAAGTGAAGAGCAAACAGAAGGTTCAAGCGAAGAGCAAACTGAAGAGTCAAGTGAAGAGCAAACTGATGGGTCATCCGAAGAAGAAACTTCTGGTTCATCAGAAGAGCCTGAAAAAGAAACTGAAGAAACTTCTGATGATGAAGAAGTCAATCCAACTCCGATAGCTCCTACTCCTCTTATTTGTCCAAAATTCACATGTAGCAGCACCAAAAAACCTTACTGTATTTCCACAGATGGTGAATTTGTTAAACATTATAAGTGTGAAGGAGACAAAACTTGTGGAGATTATAGCCTATCATCTCCAGCCTCAACGGACTGCTATTCATCTGATGAAAACTCAAGCTCTGAATCAGAAAAGTCATGCCCTTCATATGCTAAAGAAGGAGAATCCTGCAGCTCTACAGCACTCTGTGGCAAAGGCTACTATTGTAAACAAGATACAGGATCGTGCTCAAAGAAAACGTCTAAAGGAAAATCTTGCAGCACTTTATATGAATGCACTGAAGGATCAATCTGCAATAAAGGCAAATGCATTGAGTATTTTTCTCTTCCTGATGGCTCGCAAGCTGACTCTAAATTAGCATGTGATTCTGCTATAGTAAAAGATGGAATTTGCCAAGTACCTTCAAAGTCGCCTAAGGAGCTTCCAATTGGGTGTGTATATGACACCGACTGTGTTTCCACAAATGGAACCCCTGGAAAATGCGCGTGCTCAGCCAATAAGGATGGAAATGCATATTGCAAGCTTTATGAATCTGACGAGCTTAGTAAAAGATATATTGCATTAGCAAATGATGGAGATATTGCTGCCAGCCAAGTCGCGCTTAGTGAATTGATTAATTATCCGACACTTCAAACGATAAATGATTGTTTTGAAGACTCTTTGGAATATAAAGCATATCAGAAGTTAATAGATTGGTCAGAAAATTGCCATTCTAATGCTGTAGTATTAGGCTTATCCTTTATATGGGCTATTTTAGTCCAATAAGTTACTAATCTTGTAAAATAAATATCAAGATTATGAGAAAATTCTTTCATAAATATAAAATCAATCTAGTTTAGAAATTTAAAAATTATATAAAATCACTTTAATCTTAATTTTCAGATTGAGGAAGATTCATTAGCTAAGTTATCAAGATCCCGAATTACTTCATAAAATGCTTTAATGCCGTTGATATATCATCTATTTCATAGCTAAAAACGAAAAAGCTCAAAATGAATCGAAACTTTGAAGAATTATTTGGAGGCAAATCTTCTTCAGAAGCTTAATGCATTTCATAGCTCAGCTCCCATTTTTTCAACTTCATCTCTAGTCTACCCTATGGAAAATTCACAAATATATCTATAGCAATCTTCTTTTATTTTCAAATAAAATACCCTAGGCTCACCATTTCCTAATCGAGGAACTCTGAGTCTGTTAATCTCAGAATTTCTAAGAAAGTTTCTTAGCTCATTTTCAATTTTTAACTTATATTCAGAATTTCTTTGGTTGCTTTTTCATTATTTCTTCTGCCTTCTTTTCTTCTGTTGAACTGAAAATTCATCAAGTTGCTTTTTGACTCCCGACAACATTTTTATAGGCCGTTACTAATAAATTTCGTTCTTATAGATAGTGCTGGTCTTTCTTTTTTTACGAATTCACTCATAAAAATTATCATATTTCATAGCGTTCTGATTGCTCAGCTAATAAGAATTCATCTTTACCGAATTGAAAAGGTCATCAATTTTTCCCATTATTAAAGTTTTAAGATGAGCTATTTTAAATAGTGCATTATGGAAAATATATGTTTTAAATATTACGCTAAAAAGACAAATTAAGATTAGTGAAAGATTTATTAAAAAGGCGTATTTTTGAAATATTTTTTCGCATCAGCATATTTGGTATTATAAATTTAAAGTTAAGTAAATTATATAACTTATATATGGAGGAAGATCTAACCAACAGCAGAATTGAAAGGGAAATTGAACAAATTAGAATAGCGTTAAAAGAAATAAACCCCCACAATTGCTCAGCCTCAATGGCAGACTCATTAGCAGACTCTCAACCTCAAGAAGGCATCGAAATCGAGATTAATAAAATCCCATCAAATTTTAGCTCAAAACTCCCTGATTTGCAACAAACCAGCGAGCAATGAGAATTAAACATTCTTCTTGAGTCTGAGCGAGAAAAAAATGCAAATCTCGAGCAGCGACTCGCACACAAAGATAAACTATTAGAAGATTTATCTGCACTTCAAAATGATCTTTATTCAACTATAGAAGACCTTCAATCTAAAGAAGCCAAACTATTAAAAGAAGTTGAAAAATTCAAGTTAAAATTTGAAGCTGCAGAAATTGAGTCATTTAAATTCAAAGAAACAGTAAAAATTCGAAATAATCAAATCGCAAAACTCAATAAAATAATTGAGTACAAAATTGGGGAGCTGATAGAAGAAAAATGTGAAAAATGTGGGCTAAAGGAACAGGAAATACAAAAAACACTGGAAAAGCTGCAAGAAAATGAAGAAGTGGTACAAAATTATGAAAAAGAAAATTGGGAAATTAAGCAAGATTATGAAGAGCTGAGAAAGAATTTTAATTTTTATCAAGAAAAAAGTTTTAAATTGCAGGAGGAGTTGGATCATGCAAATTCTAAGCTTGTTGAGCTCTCAATTAAATCACAAACGCATTCAAAGAAAAGTAGCTTAAAAATTGATACAGGGAATATTGAATTCAGAAATAGTGATATAGAATACTTAGCAAGTCCAAGCTCAGAAATAAAGGAACTTCAAAGCCAAATAAGGCTTCTTGAGGAAAAAGTCAGCCGTTCTCTTCAGTCCACCCCAAAAACTGATGTAAATGGAGCTTCAGAGCTATTTAGAATTTTAGGTGCTTCGAATGAAAAATCAGCAATTAAACGAGTTTTGTATTTAGAAAGCCATCATCAAAAAAATAAAAAATACTGCAAATTCTATAAAAGAATTATTGAACTCATCCAGAGATGCTCAGAAACTGCATTATCGAAAGATATTTCATGTAAATCTGCATGGAAACTATTAACAAGGCTATTAGAAGAATTCATGACCCTGAAGAAAAGCACTGATTTAAGTATTTTGAATAAACTTTGCGAGATATTTAAGTTAAAATCTCCAGGAGAATTGATAGATTATGCAAAGAATATTCAACTTAGACTAGAAGGAATTTTATAAAGTAGAAATTTAATTAAACAGATTTTATAAAAAAGCTTTTATTTTCCCTCAAATAAATTGCTCTCATGTCTCTATTCCAAGAAAATATTAAAATTTGCATAATTAAAGATAGCAGGTTTTCTAATTGAACTATAAAGTAGTTCTTACAAAGTACAATAATAAATATTGGTGTTATAATGGAGGGAAGTTTTTCAAATCAAGATAAAATGCAATCACCATATGAACTGAGTTTTAGCAATTCTCAGAGTTATCCTATCAATTTAGAAACAAATGAATCTATGGCGTCATTATCCTCAGTTAACACTGCACTTTTTCCAGTGATGGACACAGAAAATTCAATTGTAAGTTCAATTCAATGTATTGAAACAGGACAATCAGAGGAAGAAGACTCAGATGAAAATAAAATTTCTAGATCAAAAATAAGGCATATAAGCAATTTAGAGGACCCTTACATTGATGGAGAAGTCGAAATTGATATAATTGAGGAAAAATTGTCAAGAGAGTCTGAAGATAGAGCCTCTCCTTCACAATTGGAAGAAATCGAACGTGAAGCTGAAGAGCTCCAGTCATTTGATGGTAATAAAGCCAAAGTAGAAAATCTTGAAAGAGTCCTCAAACAGAAAAATAATATATCAAAGCATGTCGTTATAATAAAGGAAAAGCTGAGAAGCAAAGAACAATTATTACTTAATGCAAATTCTCCTATAAAAGATTTAGAAGTTTTAAAACAAACGCAAAAGGAAAAGATATTGTATATTGATTCAATGATTAAAAGCATGAAAATTCATTTAGAACAACATTTGGCATCAAGAGATAAAAATATCAACAATCTAAATGACTATCTTTCTGTAATCAAAAACAAAGCCCATGAAATTGATGCAAAAATAGACCTAACAAAAGAAAAAATTCAAATATATAGGCGGATTAACAGTAAAAATATTAACCAAAGCTCTCCACAAAGCAGAAAGTTATCAGAAGAATTTCATAATCCAAGCCATAGCAAAAGAGTCAGCTTTCACATGGAAGAGACTAATGATGCAGACTTTTCAATTGAAAATTCTACAGAAATTCAGGCTGAAAATTCAAATTATGATGCATCTTCGAAAATGGAAGAAATTTCTATATCAAAGTATTCAATTGCGACACCTCCGCGCTCTATTATGAAAACCCCTCAAAAGACCCCTATGGATTCTTTAAGCCATTCTGAAGTAAATTCACAGTATGGAATGGAGGCTGATTCTGATAAAAATTCAAATAGGTCGAGGAGCAATTCAGCAAAATCTTGAAACTCTGAAGGAAAAAAATATCGAAAATATGATCAAAATGGAAGAAATTTGTCAGAAAGGGGAATAAGATCGGTTATGTCAAGGAATTATACGCCTAGAAATATAAGCCAATCATCATTTTATGATATATATGATGACTGAAATTCAGAGGGCTATACAAGGCATCCGAGATCTGAAAATATGTCAATAAATGGATCAGAAAGATCGCCAAGTCCTCATGACCGTCAAAGTACAATTTATAGGAGAAAACCTAGCTATTTAAATGGCAGAAATGAAATAAAGCCCAAAATAAAATTAAATCAGCAATCATTCGAAGAATCATCATGAAACACGACCCAGCTTCTTCTCTGTGCATTTATTTTTATATTAGGCACTTTAGTTTACTTAAACTTCCAAAGAACATCAATTTTAATTTAAACTATCCGACAACCTTATCTCACATATTCCCTATAAATAATTAGTAATTATTGTTTAAAGCCATTTAATTTAAAGTGCGAAGACATCATTAGCTTCTTCAAATAGGGACTGTCTAATTCCATAACTCCACAAAAGTCTTTGAAGTGTTGGGTGTCCGCTCACCTTTTTCTCAAACTCTACCTTTGAAACTCCATCTTCTCCAGCTTCCACCAGTACTTCAATAATTGTTCTAATAAACCCTTCTTTAGCACCAATTAATTTCTTTGAGTAGGCGATTGCTTGCTCTTCAGTTAAAAGTCCTTCACCAATAGCTGCAATTGGAGCTTTTTCTGCTGACAAAACGACCATTTCATCAAGCATTTTTCTAAGTTCTTCTTTTTCAAGCTTGCCACTGGCGTCAATATCGAAATGGTCAAATAAAACTTCTGCTTTATCTTTATTGCTACCTTGACCTATTAGGATTCCACATAGTGCTAGAGATTTTACTTCATATAATTTTCCTTCAGAGAATTTTTTCAAAAACTTGTAGACAGCAAGATCTGGGTCAGTGAAAATTTCTGGGTTTATTTCTAGGTGCGCGGTTGCTCTTTTCAGCTGAGGAACACTGAGTTTTCCTTCAAGCGAATTTGCTTTGAGGGCTTGATCAAGATCTCTTGCCTTCTTTTGGGCAAAAGGAATCTTCTTTTCTTCAGATCTGATTACTTTCTCTTCTGGGTCGAGTTCAAGCTTTTGGGCTGCAGCAATTTTGTTGGCTCTGACGTTGACTTGTTCTTTAATGGCTTCTTGCTCTGCTGGAGGTAAAGTTGGGTCAATTTTAATTGGAATTGGAGCAGGAGGAGGTGCAACTACTTGACTGGAACCACAGCAACCCATATTTTATTGCCAATAATCGTTTTTCACTGCATTTTTATTTAACGCATAAGTATACATTTTGGATAATTTCGTCTAACTTATAATTGACTTCCGAAAAATAGCATAATACAATAGTTTATGAAATGTATTAAGCTCATTAAGCTTAAAAAGATATTTATTAAGATGGAATCTTACCGTCATGGTGATCTAGTTTGAACAAAGTGCCGAAACTCTCAAGGAATCCTTGCCAGAGTTTGTGATCCTAAGTTTATTAATCTCCCAATTGCTATAAAACGAACTAAAAGAGCAAATGCAATTTTCCTATGCTTTTTGCATGAACCTCAAGATTAGTAATTTTTATTCAGTCATCATGTTTCTATCACCAAAACTTGGAGATTTAAAGAAAAATTTTTTGAATGTGCTGAGCAATATTATTGCAAATACGATAAGGGTGGAAATTTGCTAACTCCCCATCTCTAAGCGAATAATAAAATATTATTTCAGGGGGTTAATTTTTTTAAAATAATTGAGTTATAATTTTATAAATTTTTTTCTAAATTTAAAAAAATTGAAATTCGCAAAAGATTGAAAAGCATAAAATTAGTTTAATTTGTAAAATTTATGTTTTAACATGTAAGCTGTTTAAAAGTTAACAGAATTAGCAGAGATTTCATTATAATATTCATCACTTATATATCAAAATATTTTTTCATAAAATATTAAAACTATTTTTATTCTCTATAGAGGGGGAGTAAATGATGCAGTGAATGAATTAAACTGAAAAGAAGGCATTGAATTTTATAACCAAATCTATACTAAATACCTCACACTACCTCAAAAACGCAAAAAGCCTAAATGCTCTAAATGCCAAGTATGCAATAAATCTACCGGCCGTCAAGTTGTGTGTCAAGATTGTGGTCTCAATACAGTTCATAAAAATTGTGGCGGATTAAAATCAGAAATTTGAACTTGCAGTCTCTGCGATGGGATGCCTTCAATAAAACGATCTATATCTGACCCATTCTCTGAAAGTTTACCTACATATGAAAGATCTCTATCTACCCCAGTCGGAACTTTTTCTATCCCGCCTTTGCAGATTGATAATGTGATACAAAATATAATTGACGAATGCAACTGTGACGAAGTTTTATCCTCAATTATTACACAACGACAGATTGAATATAATGATATCAAATCCGAAAAAAAAGAAATCGACAGAATTGTGTCAGATTTAGTCGACCAGCTACAGTGTGCCCATACACCAGGCTTTGAAAGTATGAGAAAGCTACAAAAAATGTATGGAAGAGGATTTTTGATGGCGAAACCTGAAGATTTAGAAGATTACAAGAAAGCCCAAAGAGAAGTTGTGATTAAGCTGCTTGAGACAGAAATTGTTAAAAAAAAGCATAAAAATAGCATTTCTGGGAAAAAGGAAGAAGTAAAAGAAGTCTCTTCTATTAATTCATTTTTGGATCCGAATAAGGAAAATTCTGTGCATAATTTAATGAAAAAGACAATTGATAAAATGATTAATTTGAAAATCGAGGATGAAAAGCCAAAACTGACATATTCAAAGCTTGCTGATATTGTTAAAGTTATAATAGATGGGACCTTGACAAATTGTGAGTATGGGTCAGGCTCACATATAGATCATATAGGTGGAGGGACAAATCCTGAACTCTTGAAATCATTATTAGACAAAATTAAAGATAAATATATTGATAATTAATTACGATTTATTAATTTATTAGAAGGCTTCTGTTTAGTAATAGAAAAATATCTTTGGAATATTTTTAGTAAATCATAAAGGGGCTCTGTATTATGCAAATGTTCAAATATGCATACTCTATATAAAAATAGAATTTTAAATTGAAATTATTCAATAATTCAATAAATATTTCAATAATTAGTTAAAATAATAATGCCTTAATTTAGCTTTAATTTTTAAATATCAATATCCACTTATGAAAGGAGAGATATAAACGCTGAAAATATCAATTTATTGATAAATTAAGAAAATTAAAATCAGTTCATATTTAATAAAGCGGGAAATGGACATAACTTCTGTGCAGTCAAGATTTGAAGACAGGATATATGGATTCCAGCAAGTGGCTGGTACTGATTTGCTAAAGAAAAAACAAGAAAACTATGCTGTTGAATTAAGGAAGAAAATCAGGTCACAAAACACTACAAAACGAAGGGCGGTGGCGAGTGGGTATTCATTCCTAATTCACTATAGTGAAAAGGAAAATGTTTTAGTTAGTAATCTGCCTTTCCATCTGATAAAAATGAACCCAGAGCTTGCTTCCTTGAATGTGAAGCCAGTCGATAAGCTAAAAATCATCCATGAAATTATGACTGAAGATACCGATACCAATGTATTAGATCAAGGCTTAGGAGTTTTAGTAGCAGCTTTAGCTATTGATGAAGACATCCCATTTAACACCATTGTCTCTCTTAACTTTATCCCAATCCTTCAAAGACTAATGGATTACAAATACCCCAGCACAATTGTGTATAATGCGGCAGTCTGTCTGGCCAATTTATGTACAGGACCACACGAATACACATCTGACGTTTTTCAGGCAGAAGGGCTCCAAAGCTTCCTTAAAATAATTTCACCAAGAAATATCCAAACTTCCTCTGTGGCGATTAGAGGAATAGCTAACCTTTGTGGAGACTGCTATGAGTACGCAAAGGCAATAATTAGTTCACCAGTAATTGCTCAGATTTCCCAGCTGCTTGAAAGCACTAGAGAAGATAATTTTGACTTATTAGGCGTCCTTTCACAACTTGTAAGAAACATTACTCATTACGCAGATGAAATTCCAATCGAACAGATTGATATCATTCTTCAGTGGATCGGAAAAATGATATTTTTTCAGGATCCTGTAATGAAAGAGGACTGCTTAGAAGCATTGAGACACATTTCAAGATGTGAAGATAGTAGCAAAATTGAACTGGTTTTAGAAAATATACTTTTTGTATTGATTTTAAGTAGTTTCTTACAACTTTTATGGCTATTTATATTATTAAAATAAAAATAAAAAGGCCCAATTGCTTAAAAATTACTTCAGTTAAGCATAATTTGGGAGGATTTTGTGTACAAAGTCTAACATTATCAGAAGAAAATTTAGTGAAAAACGCAGTAAAAATAGTCGCGAATTTTTTAGCACTTGATAAAAAAACAACTCAGCAGCTGTTAGATTGTGGAGTTCTTGATAAATTACTGTTATTAATTGAGCACCCAAATGCAGAAATGAGAAAAACAGTTTACCTCGCTTTAGACAATATCGTATGTGGGTCAAAATCTGAAAGAAATCAATATTTAAATCACGAAATTGCTGCCCTTTCAATGAGAGGACTACACGATATTGATGCTCAAGTTAAATATGAGTGCTCATTAATGATATCAAACTTTATTATTCTATCAAGCCACACCTCTATACTTAAACTTATTGACCTTAAAATATTTGATTATTTAAAAGGCGCTTTAAATTCAGAATTTGAGCCTGATTTTTTATCTGTAGTTTTGATTATTTGCTCTGGTCTACTTGAAGCTGGAAAGGCTGAGCAAGATCGAGTCCATGATGTATCTAACCAAGTCACAATTTTATTTGAAGAGACAGGCTGCCTTGATGAGCTTGAAAATTTAATAGGAAATATACCGATAGGTGATAATTTTGTTACTGCACAACAAATTCATGAAGAGTTCTTTGGGCAATTATGTGATATTGTAGAGACAAAAATTGAAGAAACGCCAACGATATTTGAATTTAGCTAAAATTAAAATAAATAGAAATTAATTTGTATCATTATGCGCTAGCTGGTTCTTTTTCTGTAACTTCTTCTTCTAGCTCTCCCCTTGTGAGAAAATGAATCCATTGAAAAATAAACTATTTTTTGGATAAAAAACCTCTCTTCGTAAACAAACAAAATAATTATTTTTACCATGAAAAATATTTTTTCATATTTAAGTGATAATAGTGTAATAAATCTCTAGCTAATTCTGTTGAATTTTAAAAAGCTTGCATTTTAACCATAACTTTTGCAATTAAATAAATTTTTGCTTTTTATTGGATAGAATATATTTTAAATTTCGAAAAAAAAATTAACCTGAGCGACAATTTTTTTTCGCTAAAGGAGGGGAGGGATTAAGTATCTTTTATATTCTCCTGATACATCAAATGGCCTTGGGCCTAAAATTTCAATTAAGTCTTTATGGACAACTCTTTCTTTGCTGAGCAATGCTTGTGCTAATTTTTCTATTAAATCCCTTTTGTCTGATAATAACTCTCTAGCCTTTACTAGCTCACTCCATGCAAAGTTTGCAGAAGCTCTCTAATAGTCCGATTTTGTGTTTTTAAAAATTTTATTATTAAAAATAGAATATAAAAAAAATATATTATTCCATTCTTTATTGCTTAATCTAAAAGCTTTTTTTCAATCCTCAAAATTTAAATTAATTTTTTTTATAGGTTACAGCGATTAACAAGAAACAGAAATATCTTCATTGGCAAGGGATAAGCAGCTCTCTACAAGTTTTCTTACTTCTTCATCAATGATAGCATTGGTGTCTTCACTATAAGGCTTAAGAAATTCTTCTTTTTCTGTGTTATTCCTATTCAAATAAATATATTTATTAATTCTTTACTCTTAAAAAATTAATATTCATTGTAATTATTTATATATAGTACTTATCCTTAGTTTTCATTTTTACCCTTTCAAAAATTTCATAAGACCAGTCCAAAGGAAAAAGCATATCCAATTACCCCCAATCTCTCATTCATCCCATATTCACTCACAATTTCCTGCGCTATACGTGTAGCCATTTGCAAATCATTCTGCGCTCCAGTCGTAACTTTCCCAAAAAACATTTCTTCAGCTACCCTCCCTCCTAATATTGTAGCCATCTTATCCAGCAGTTCTTTCTTTTTATAAAGGCTATTCTCACCAGGCAATAGCTGCGCAAATCCTAAAGCTCCTTTTGACCTCGGCAAAATACTAACCTTCAACACAGGATCAGCACCTTCTAAAAACCACCCAGCAACAGCATGTCCAGCTTCATGATGCGCCACAATATTTTTTTCATTTTTTGACAATTTTGTGGTTACTTCTAAACCTCCCAAAATTCTTTCAGACGCATTCTCAAAGTCAGCTTTGTCAACTGACTCTTTATCTTTTCTTGCTGCAAGAATAGCAGCTTCATTGCACAAATTCGCTAAATCTGCTCCACTGAACCCAGGAGATAAAGCAGCTACTCTTTTAGCGTAGGCTTCTAGCGGCATTTCTGGGTTAAGTGTAAGTGGGGCAAGATGGACCTTTAAAATTTGTTCTCTTTCTTCAATATCTGGCAATGTAAGATCAATTGTCCTATCAAATCTACCTGGTCTTAATAAAGCATTGTCTAATATATCTTTTCTGTTTGTCCCTGCCATCACAACTACATGTGTATCTGTGGTAAAACCGTCCATTTCTACTAGTAACTGGTTGAGAGTGTTGTCTTTTTCGTCATTTCTACCTATACTTGTGTGGCGTTTTCTGCCAACTGCATCGATTTCATCAATAAAAATAATCGCTGGAGCTTTGTCTCGGGCAGCTTTAAAGAGCTGGCGAACTCTAGATGCACCGACTCCTACAAACATTTCGACAAAATCTGAGCCTGAAATTGAGAAAAATGGCACCCCTGCTTCTCCTGCTGCAGCTTTGGCTAATAATGTTTTCCCAGTCCCAGGTGGGCCACATAGCAGAGCGCCTCTTGGTATTCTTGCTCCCAATTTTTTGAATTTTTGTGGATTTTTTAAAAATTCGACAAATTCCATGATTTCTTTTTTAGCCTCATGAAGACCAGCTACGTCTTTAAATCTTACGTCAATTTTTTTACTATCAACGCCATATACTTTAAAGTTTCCTTTAGAAGGGCTAAACATGTCCATAAAGCCTCCATCCTTAAATCCGCCTTTTTTATTGATTTTTGATACTGAATTCAATGAAAAAAGCATTGCAATCATAGAGACAGCAAAAAATAGATCAAGTAAAAGCAGGAGTTTTGGGGCATGAGACTCAATGTCTTTATATTCTACTGGAATAAAATCTTTTTTAGGCTTTCCATTATTAAATTGAGCTTCTTCTAAAGCAAATTTGAACGCAGCGAGGTCTGGGACCTTGATTAATGCGACTGTTTTGTCATCTTTGTCTATAATCCAAGCTCTATGTAAAGGATTTTCGTGTTCTTTTGTGACTTTATGGACTTCTAGAGATATTTTTTTAATTGAGTCAGTAAGGAGATATTTTTGGACAAATTCTTGATATGGGATTGTAGGAATTGGCTCATAACTTGCAATTTTATATGTTGTGTACCCGATTCCAAGACATGAAAATAGAAGAATGGTGCTTCGATAGTCTTTAGGGTCAATGTTTTTGAACCTTTTTCAGTGGTGTTGAAAGTCGAAATCATTGAAAAAATTCTGCCAGCGGTTCTCTGTTTTCTTTTCTTCATGGGGAGGCTCTTTGTGCTCTTCTTTAGATTCTTCTTCTTTTGGTTTTTCTTGGGTTTGGGAAGATTTCTTTTGATCACGCTTTTTATAGTATTTTTCAAAGCCTTTAGGAGGTTTGTCATCAGAAAAGAATCTAGTTAGAGGCTGAGTCTTTAAACGATAGAGTTTCCATACTTGCCGGCCAAGCATATTGATGTGATTTTATTATTAAAAGCTATGACATTTAAGTCAATTAATTTGAAATTAATTCTGATTGATTATGATTATAATATAAATCATTTATTATTCTCAATAGGCTACAACAGTAAAGTCACTATTGATTATTCAGATTTTTATCAATAATTTATATGAATTTTTTAAAAATTTAGCTATTCTTTCTTATAGTCTCTTGGATTAGCTATTTACATATTCTCTGTATTAGACATAATTTTAAATTGAGCAGATCTAAATCTATAGTTCCACAACAGATTATGAAAAAAACTTAATATGCTATATTTTCTTCCCTGCTAAATATTGATACATCTCTTGATTTTCTGCTTCGATTAATTCTGAAACTCTTTCACCATTTATAATGTTTAGTGAGACAGTCAAGTCAAAGCTAAAGAGGTTTGACGTTTACAGGAAGCTCCCCCACGACCTGACAGAGCCTACTTTATCAGGTGCCTTCGTTTCAATAATTGCATGTGCCTTTATGACACTCCTCTTCTTAACTGAGCTCGCTGAATATCTAAAAGTCAACACTAACACAGAAATGTTTGTCGATATAAACCGAGGAGGCGAAAAACTTGTCATTAATATCAACCTTACCTTCCCCAAATACCCGTGTGGGCTTCTTTCATTGGACGCTCAAGACATTATGGGTTCTCACGTTGTAGATGTAGGCGGAGCCATGAAAAAAATCAGGCTAAGCCCAGAAGGAAAAAACATACAAGAAGAAGACATGTTTAAAGGAGACCATAATGAAGGAAATGTACAAGAGGTTAAGAAACAAATTGAAAGCAGAGAAGGGTGCCAGCTATTAGGGCATATTTTGGTAAATAAAGTGCCTGGGAATTTCCACGTGTCAAGCCATGCATTTCATAACCAGCTGCATATGATTATTGGGAATGATAAATTATATAAGATTATTATGCATTACTGCAGAGGAGATGTGAGGAGTATGCTTCGCTTATTTTATCGAGCGTCACAGGCCGCTTGATGGTGCTGAAGTTTTCCATCTGCACCTATCCACCTATGCTGGCAGCCTCAAGAGCCATGCCATCAAGCTGCAATTGATTCCTGCGTGTGCTATGCATATCTCTCGCTCTGTTTGGAGATAGTGAAACCCCTATGCTCCTAAAAATCAAAGACCAGGCCCCAGAATCTGTTTCCTTGAGATTACCTGATCTAGCTATTTCAAGATTTACTTGTAATATATATGCCCCATAACAATAAAACTTCTGAAGGACAGAAAGACTTACTCAAAGACACCATTTTATTATTATGGGAACGATAACTCAAAATTAGATTTTTCCCATATAGTCCATCACTTATCGTTTGGGGATAATAAAGATATTGAGTTCATTAAGAATCATTTCGCTGAAGGAGTTTTAAGCCCTCTTGACGATCTCAAAAGAATTAGGCCAGATTCAGTAAGAGATCCATTATCATATGAATACTATATTAAGGTTGTACCGACTACTTATCAAACTTTGGCTGGAGCTGAGTACTTTGTGCACCAATTTACTGCAAATACTAATGAATTTTCAGCTCAAGGGATGCCGGCTGTGTTTTTCAGATATGACTTAAGCCCTGTGACTGTGAAATTCACACAAAACCAAGAAAGCTTTTTCCACTTTGTGGTTCAGGTTTGCGCTATTGTAGGAGGTGTATTTACAGTGGCTGGACTCATTGATAACTTGCTGCATACTTCGATTTCCAGAATATTAACTCCCCCCCCCCCTCCGTGAGCGAACAAAACCATTAGAAAAATCGCCATTTTTTGACCAAAAACCCACCCTCCGTGAGTGAACAAAAATTTTTTTAATAGAAAAAATTTTAATGGAAAAAAATTTTTGATATATAAGTGATAATTAGTATAATGAAATCTAGAGCTAATTCTGTTTAATTTTAAACAAATTGCGTTTTTAAAACATAAATTTTGCAAATTAAATTAATATTTGCTTCCCAATTTTTGCAAATTAGGATTTTTTTAAATTTCGAAAAAAATATTTTTTATAAAATTTATATATAAATTTTTTTTAAAAAAAAAAAATTAACCCCCCTCCGTGAGCGAACAAAATTTTTTTGTTCGCTCACGGAGGGGGGGGGGGGAGTAAGAAAAAGAGATGCTGGGAAATTAGGATAAATTTAAGCTAATTGAATTTAAAAGAAATTAATTTTATGTTGTAACTAGACAATTTTTTTCGCTTGAGATTCCAAAAACGAGAATAATAGAGTACTTTCAATTGTGAGCTTAGGAGGAATAGGAAGAGACTGAACTTCACTTAAAAACTGAGCTTCCTGCACATTGATATCATAGCCACTCATTATATTTGGACAATATTGAAGAGTCCTTTTATATTCTTCGTTTATCTGTGGTCTTAGCTGAATCTTTTTTGGAGGTTCAGGCTCTATAGTAGGCAAACCTTGGTATCGAGTCTCCATTTGAGGCTTTTGGATTGGAAAAATCTTGGTGCCTTGGGGAGGTAAGATCTTTGTGATGGGCTCGATTTCTTTTTCAATTAAAGCGACTTCTTCTTTGAGCTTTTGCAGCCTTTCATCCATAAGAAGAATCGAGTTAGGCGCCGGAATTTTCAAAGGGTTCATTAAATAAAATATGATTTTTGGGGGTATTATAAAGTAAATGTCTAACGAAGAAAATATTGATATGTTTCAAAATTTCTTTCAGCATATATCGGCCGTTCATGAGGACGCTCAAACCCGCGTGACTGCTTTATTTTCTCAAATTAGACAAGAAGCCCTTGCTATTTTCAACCAAAATGTCCTAAAAGCTATTGATAAAAAGCCTATTAATTCTCAACAAGCTGATAAATCCCCAGCTAAAACACCTGAAACATGCCAGCCGAAACGTAAAGAGGAAGCAAAAAAGCTGAAGCGAAAACAAAAGCAACACAAGCAAGAGCCTCCTACAATTAAAATTGATGATACAGATTCCCCAGAAGAAGCTATTGATGAAAACGAGCCGCCGGTTTCCCAAAAAATTTATGAGTGCTTAACCAAAACCCCGCAATCTAAAAAATACTTCGCTAAAAAAACTGGTGCAAAGGTTAGTACAGAGAATGTCCCTATTAAACGCAAACGGGATAATTCAATACTTGAGGAATTTGAAGTTAAATATATTGCTCCTATTAAAAGAAAAGTAGCAGAATTAATCAAAGCAGGAGTTTCTTCAAAAGTAATTGCAAAATTGTACAATATCAGTCCAATTTGTGTAGAGGCAATTGGAAACTGAAAAAATTGCAGAGCAGCATCCTTATTAGCATTAAGTTAGATTATTTAAAAGCTCACAGTAGCACCCACAGGTGCGCATCTCCATCTTGCTTCGTTGAGCCACCTCCCGTGGGGGTTAAATCCTCTCCACCTATGCTCGCGTCGAACGGAGAGTGGAGTGGGTTGGATTACCTACTCAGAATTCCAAAACTGGAATTTCTGGCTGACTCTCGGAAAAAGCGTTAAACTTAAGCCCAGGGGCATAATTCTTAATGATTTGTTACCTAATAGCCTTAGAAGGCTTTGCTAGGCTTTCCCCTTTCCCTTTCCAACTCCAAGCTTTCCTTCCCCCAAACTAAAAACCAACCTGAAAAGCGGACTAAGACTAGGCCCTAAACGTATTATGATTAGTTGCCTATCATAGCTGTCCATACCTAGACTCGCAAAGCCTTGCAGGATATAATTATAGTATTGTCTCAGCCTGGCCTTCCAGCCATGTAGCTTCGAGAACATATTTCAATTATCTCAGAGCAACTTCCTCAAACAGCAAAATTAAGATGAGAGACCAAATTATGAAGCTTCATTCAGAAGGACAGGGCGTAAAAGAAATAGCCAAAACTCTTAATATTTGGCAAAATATTGTCAGAGATTATTTAGGAGAAATCCCTATAAACTCTTTGTCGAGAAATAACCATGTGAAAAAAATTTTAATAGACAAAATAAAAGCTGGAGTGGCTGAGAGCCAACTGTCAAATCTTACTGGAATTTCTATCAAGAACTTAAGCGCATGGAGGAGCAAGCCTCAAGCAGAATGAGTTGATGAAGATACAATTCAGTCTGATGGAGAAACTGGACGAGAAGAAATTAGAGAAGCCCTTTATTGTCATTTAATTGGCAATGATGGAAATGTATCAATAACGAATAAAAAGGAAAAAATATCTCGCTGGTTAAGTTTGATTTCTGATGATAATCAACACTTAAAATAGATATTATACAGGCTCATTTATAGAGAGATCTTTTTTTTAATTTTAAGTCAAAAGAGATTGGTTAGCTTAAAACTAAAAATCATCAATAATTTTTAAATAAAAATGGAAAAATAAATAAATTTTTACTCAAAATCTCCAATAAAGGTATTAGGCTATAATTAATCAAAAACTGTTAAAATTCTGGTTTAAATTTGCATGGTAAAAGATCCTGGAGTGTCAAAACTGGATCTCGCAAAAATATCGACTGTATTTCTTCACGAACCTCCTTGAAATATCCTGGGTTTTCTAGGCAAATTAACGGCTCTGCTTTCGGTAGCTTGCTTTGTGGTAAATTATTTTGCAGATTTCTGGCGTGTTTATTTTTCGAAGCAATCCTTTTATTCATATTTATAAAAAATGCTTACTAATTAAATTAATTTTAAAATTTCAGATACCCTGAAATTAAATTTGATCTGGGTCATATTTTCCGATGATTCTTTTGCACCTTTATATCTATGATGCATTTCCTGATATTTTTCTCATGAACTTAATTCACTGCAGCAATTATAAATCCCCAACACAGCAAACTACTTTTCAAAATGGCAAAAATTGGCATTTCAAGTGAAACCAAGGTAGAAGTCTTCAGTTCACAATATCTGCAATAAATTCGAGTTGGATCTTGCATCTTACTCATAACTTCATAATCTAGCCTTCTAAGTCTCCCACTTTACGTATATTAGGACATTTCACTCATTATTCACCCCAATTATATTTCTTATACTCATTTTCTTCAATTTCACGCTTTTCCACATCTACATTCTTGCCTGTGGCGCCACCAACACCTGCAGAACTTAAGCCTTTATTTTTAATATCAATCTTCAAATCAACTTCTTCACATTCGCTATAATTTCTGCCTTCAATAATGATTATTAAAATTGTGCTAATATAAGAAATGCTTAAATTCTCTGCTATAATATTTAATTATATATCATAAATAAATAAAGAATTACACTATTTAAGCTCAATTCTTCTCAAATTATCATAAACAGGCACATTCAGTATTGTCAATTTGTCATAACCCTGACCTGACTTCTCCGTCAAGCTGGAGTGAATCCCAAGCTGAATACCCTTTAATAATAGCACATATTGTATTTTCTGGTCTTGGGATCAATTTTCCTCCAATATAAATACCATCAGTGATCTTTTCACATCCTTCTACGTCTGGGTTATCATGCAATACATGGACTGAGCTTTGATTTACAGGTCCTCCACACCTTATATTTTCGGTCTCATCTGAATATAAATTACCTATGAATTTGTTAAAAATAAATCCTACAGCTCCTTCTTCTTTATTTTTTACAATCAGGATTTTCGAATTTTTAAACATTCCATCTCGAATCATATTAGTGGCCTTTAAAATTGTCCCTGATTTAAGCTCATTTACTTTCAGCCCAATCTTGTAAATCCGAAGTCTTATGCCTTCATTTGTCCCGATAAACTTAAATCGATACCCTTTTTTCCAAAATACAACGTAAGAAAAAATTGCAACATTGAAGAGGATTGGGAAAAATAGTCAAAATGAAAAACACATAAAAGAACTGATTCCGAAAGTGAGAACGCATGTGTGCTTTCTCGCTAAGGCTAGTAAAGGAGACGAAGTATATAAAAGCCGTCAAGAAAAATTGGCTGAAGTTGAGTTGTACTTCGTTTTGCATAATCGGCACGTTAAAACTTGTTCTAAATCATAACGCTCCGGGCAGCATAAGTAATTGTTCAATGTAGTCTCTTGCCACCGATGCAAACATGATTTATGAGTGAATTTTTGGGTTCCTTTACAATTACATGGAATTAGAAGGTTATCAAGTGCATCCTCTTCAAGGCATATTCTACAGTAGTCAGACATGCTTAATTCTTATATTAGCCACTAATATATTATAAACTTTATGATCAGTATTTAACTCAACTATTTTAAAATGCGATTGTTTCATACTCATAATTTTAGAAGTGCAAAAAATAAAAATGAAATAATTTTAATTAAGTTATTGGCTCAAAAGATAATCGAAATAATGTTTTAAGAAATTAAATATGACTTAATTATTTTCAGTAATGACTGTAGTGGCTATAAATAATATAAATAAGCTGCCAAATTAAAAGGTTTCTTGATTTTTAATAGAAGAAATAGCCTTTTGAGTCTTAAAAAAAAGTTTTATATTGCTTTATTCTTTTAGTTTTTATTTTTGATTAATTTTAATTATTTATTTTTAAAATTGTTTTTATTTCTTATACCCAATAAATTTCTGCAAGCTAATTTGCTGTAATAAAAATGATTAAATTTATCAATATAATTAAGAGAGCATACCACCCTAAAGTCCTTGAATATTACGAAAACCCAAAAAATGCAGGATCTCTAGATAAAAACAGCAAGGAAGTTGGCACTGGAGTTGTTGGGGCGCCTGCATGTGGAGACGTCATGAAGTTACAAATAAAAGTTGAGGATGGAAAAATCTCTGAGGCAGTTTTTAAGACATTTGGGTGTGCTTCTGCTATTGCTAGCTCGTCCTATGCAACTGAGTATATTAAAGGTCTTAGCTTGGATGAAGCCGTGCAGTTAAAAAATTCTGATATTGCGTCATATCTCCATTTACCACCTATCAAATTGCACTGCTCTATGCTTGCGGAAGACGCAGTTAAGGCTGCGATTAAAGACTTTCAGAAAAAAAATGAAACAAAGTAAATACTATAAAATAATTTATTTATTCCCATTAAGATAAGCAAAATTTTTTTCTGGGTTTTATAAAATCCAAATTCAAAATATTTAAAATGAATAATCTAATTCAATTTATAAATTTATATTTAAGAACGCAAATGTTGTAAGTTTTTAATAGAATTAGCTAGAGATCTTGCTATAGCAATAATTAATTATATATAAAAATACCACGATATTTTATATAAAACAATTATTTTGAAAAATTGTTTTGCGTGATTAATATGGTTTTAAGGGGAGGATATAGTAAAATATAGAAAAATTAAAATTTAAAAAAAAAATAACTAATTTAATATAAGCATTTATATACCCAAGCATTTTTTGGCTCAGATTATAGCAATTCTACTGTAACTAGCTTTCTAATCTTTTACAATATTCTTAATTGCCTAACCATTTCTAAGTTCAAGTTTTAAAATGGTTGTATAAAATGAAATCTCAAGATTGCAAGGAAGCAAGAGATGCACGCAAGAAGCTCTGGGTTGAGAGACTGACTTATCTAAATGGAAGATTGCAAGCCCTCGCTTGGGTTGCTGGTGCAGTTGCTGTTCTTTACTATACCAACTTTTTCTATGTAGCCTGGGAAAATGAAATGGTCAATCGCTTTTTCTTTGCCTTGACCTTGATAACCTTTGGAATTTATTCATCAATGATTATTTATGCCTCATTCTTCTTACCTACATATGAACCAGTAGAGGTCACTGCTCCTAGACTGATCCCAGTTGCAACTGCAATAGGTGTTCTTTGCTTTATCTGTGCTCACATTGCATTTTGGCCTGTTTGGGGGCTGCTTACTCCTGGGATCCTTATTACTCTGATGATCGGGTATCTTATGGCAGGCTCATTTTTGCCTAAAAGTTCTCTTGGCTCAGTGCTGTTCTTAGGCTTATTTATAGGTGCAGCAATTACCTCTCGTTATATTCCGCATAAAGGACTATTGCACTAAGCTAATCAAATTAATCTTAATAAAAATATAATGAGCACAAGAAAACAAATCCCTATGGAAGAAGATGGAAGATATGCAGGTGAGGCAGGAAATTTTGTATCTTTGCCATCAGATAATACAGAAGGAGGTCCATTGAAATGTATAATTAGTTAATTTAATAGAGCTCTTATATAGAATTATTTGATATTGCATTATAATTATACTGAAAAAGAATATTTTTTATTTAGCTGTCGAGGGGTGGATTTTATTTGTCTCTGGGATCCATCCAGAAGCACAAGAAGACGATATCTATGAAGCTTTTGCTGACTTTGGCCCTATTAAAGACTTGCAATTGAATTTTAATAGAAGGACTGGAGGATCAAGCACATACGCTCTTGTATCTTATGAAAACTTAGACCATGCTCAAGCAGCAATAAGTGATATGAATGGAAGAAATTTTTTAGGAAATATCCTTAATGTGGATTTTGCATTTAAGAAACCTGGAAAATAAATCAAAAAATAAAATATTATTGTTTAGGGTTTTTAACTGGACTTCTTACTTGCGTTGGAGTATTAGAGCGTGGAATCACCTTTTCAGCTTGGCTTGTCACGAATTTGGTCTTTTTGCCTGGGAACTTGGGGTCTAAGGATGTTGTCCGGTTTGGAGATCTTTGTATGGCACTTTCTTTTACTTGAACAGGGCTATTTGGGGTGCTTTGATTTGATTTTTTAGCGTTAACTAGTCTATCCCCCTGCCCATGGTCACCGTATTCTGAAATATATATCTGTTAAGAGATACTAAATACGCTAAAATTTCATAATTTTTTAAATAATTAATAAATTCTTAGCTTCACTAAGTAGCATATCTTTCTTCAGGAGACATCTGAAGCTGCTCGTTTATTTCCAGATTAGAAATCCCATCTGCAATCTGGTTCTGTGCCCTATATTCATCCCCCATAGTAAAATATTCTTTTTCTTTATCACACAAAAACTGCTGTTGTGGGCCCAAAACGCTTCCAGGTCTGCACAGCCTAATCCATCCAATAAACGGAGCAGCAGGGAATTTATAATGCTTCATAGCATAAATCCCAATCAAAGTCCCTGTTCTCCCTAGTCCAGCTTTACAATGTACAGCAACCCCTCCTGGCTCTCTTTCCGCAATTCTTAAAAATTCATCAATTAGTTCATCATTAGGCACTGAGCCATCAGCGAAATATAAATCATAATGCCTTATCCCAAGCCTTGTAAATCTGTCTGATTCATAAGTTTTATTGTTAAGTCTTACCACTGCTGTTATTCCTAGTCTTCGGAATAATGGCGCATAGTCTTCAGGAGTTCATACTCTAAACCCTTCTGAATCAGTAGGATTAGGATTTGGGCAAGCCAAAGCGAGCATTTTCCCTGGAATTATTCAGTTCCAGTCCCCATTTTCAACTTTCTCGTAGAATTCGTAATCGTGAACGTTAAATGTTCGGACATTAAACCACCCCAGCTTTACGCCGTGCTCTAAGCCTTGAAGGCAATGCAGAATTGTGCATTTATAAGTGCAGCCACCATATCCAGCGTCTCGAAAATCTGCAAATGGTGGAAGAGATATAAAAGGCTGCCATGCTTCTTCAGCTGTTTTACCTAGGATTAAAATCTGGAAAGCACCGATTAAATAAGCTGCATTTGCCCGCTTTCCGGGTATTAGAGAAGTATAATGATAAATTTTATAGTTAGCATAGGATGGATTTTTGGCTAATCTTTCAAGTTCTGTACAAAATTTGTATGTCATTGCGATATTCAAAGGACCAAAATCTGTGCAGAAAGGCTGGTAGACTAAATCGTTATCAATACAGAAATAATAAGATTTGGCTTGGTTTTTGGGAGGAGCTCTATCACTAATCCAATATAGTTTATTTGGGATAATTTCCACAGCTTGGTTATGTCCATTCATGTTATAGCAGTTTTATATTGAGAATTAATGTCGGATTCGGTTGCGAAATAAATTTTAGCTCAGAATTAAATTAGACAAGATATTGATTTAAGTATTTCTTAACAATGCCCTATTATTTGTATCTCTAAATATTGAATAGGTATTTTTATCTTTATCATTAAAAACATTATTATATTCAATAAATAAATTATATTGCTAACTTAAAAAATATTTTAATTCCCCCCTCCGTGAGTGAACTAAACCATTAGAAAAATCGCTATTTTTTGCCCAAAAGCCCACCTTACGCGAGTGAACAAAAATTTTTTTAAAGGAAAATTTTTTATGGAAAAAAATTTTGATATATAAGTGATAATTAATATAATGAAATCTATAGCTAGTTATGTTTAATTTTGAGCAAATTGCTTTTTAAAGCATAATTTTTACAAATTATTAATATTTGCTTTCCAATTTTTGCGAATTAGGATTTTTTTAAAATTTCGAAAAAAACATATTTTCTATAAAAATTTATATATAAATTTTTTTACAAAAAAAAACAATTAACCCCCTCCGTGAGTGAAGTAAGCGAAAATGAGTTCTAAGGGCTATAAATCAGTAAAAAACAATAAATATCATTGTAATATGTATATGCTGACAGCTGGATTGTTCAGCAAGTAAACTAATAATTTTTGCAAAAAAATAAAATATTTAACCAAATGCTAAACTGATTTAGAAATACATTTTCATTTTTATAAAAATTCATGAATTATTTTTCTCATTGCTAAATCCATGCTTATCGATTTAAACAATAGAGCTTTGACATATTCTATTAATTTAATTTTCAAAATGTAACTGAAATTCCAAATAAAATAGTAATTTCTCTAATTTAAAATTTTTGGCAGATTTATCATTATCTATTCAAGTCTGCTCACTTCATAATAAATTCAAAAAATTTGTTTCTTTTTATAAATAAACATCGGATTTACTTTTTTTTTTGTAATTAAATAATTATTATATTGATCCATTCAATATTTTATTTATATTGAGTAAGCTAATAATATAAATGGGATTATGTTTCGCTCGATCTAAGGATGAAAAGAGCCCAAGTACTAAAAGCATAAATTCAGCTTCTATTGATGACTATTTACCCCGAAGACTATCCGTTGTCCCTATGAACAATTATTCTAGCATAGAAGAGCCTTTATCTAATTATGCTGGTATTTCTCCACGAGAGATTAATTCTCAGAGCCGCTACCAGCCCTCACAGTCACTTGTAAAAGTTGAAGGAAAAATAGGTTCTCGACATCAAAAAGGCTTTGAAGGTAAAAAAATGAGCATAATTGGAAACTCTGGCTATATAAATTGAAATAGTGTGTAAATCAAACTTACCCTCTTAACTGCTGTAGTTGATATTCTATAGGGTGTGGAGACCTCGAGTGGGAGAATAGTGTTCGGGAAATTCGGCCAGGTTTTGCTTGGTTTGGCAAAGCACTGTTAGGCTTGCGATGTATGATTTACTCCAGATCAAGGTTTTGTCTTGAGAAGAATGAAGCCAGGGGTTGGAAGGGATATCCCAACAGAGTCAGCTCAATCTTTTTGGCCAATCAGGATATTTTCAGACGTAGGCTTCGGATTTCCATTTTGGCCAAGGGCTGGCCAGAAAATTTAACCATTTTGGATTTTCCCATGGTGGGCAGCCTTAGTTGATGAGCGGTAAGGGCGCAGTTCATCCAACTTCCAGGTAGAGATTGCAGGTCCCCGTCCAGTAGGAGTATTTTTGTGAGGTCATGCACAAACCGGCAAGTAGCCGATGGGAGCGCTAGGAGTTGAAAAAGTCATTCATGAATTACAGTGGACTTCTCGATTATTATAATTAAGATTAATGAAATTCTGGCCTCCAAATTATGCAAAAAGCTGGAATTGCAGTGGCCTGCAAAAAAGGTCTTAAGCCAAATTACCCTAATCAAGATGATTTTGCTATTATAATCGATGAGGATTTTTATTATTTCGGGGTTTTTGATGGACACGGGCAAGATGGTCATGAAGTTTCCAGCTATGTTAAGCATAAATTACCTACACAGATAATGGAGCATGAATTATTTGAAATTGATCTATTAAGGACAATTACCGAGAGCTATTTAAAAATTAACCAAAATTTAGAAAAAATTGGGACAGCCAAAAATGGAGAATTTGACACTTTAATTTCTGGGACTACCGCAACCAGCATTATTATACGAAAAAATCGCCTTTATATAGGTCATGTAGGGGATTCTCGTGCAATTTTGGGAATAAAAGGAGAAAATGGATATGAAGCGCTGCGATTAACAATTGACCATAAACCGATGCTTCCTGAAGAGAAAAAAAGAATTGAAGCGAAAAAGGGACAAGTAAGAAGGCTGGATAATGACATCCCTTATAGGGTATTTGTCAAAGACCAAAACTATCCTGGATTATCTACATCTAGAGCTCTTGGAGACGTCATAGCTCAACAAGTTGGGGTAATTCCAAATCCTCAAACTGCAGAAATGGAAATTAATGTAAATACAGAGTATTTAATTCTGTGTAGCGATGGAGTTTGAGAATTCTTAAGCGACCAAGAAGCACTTGATATAGTTGCTTCTTATGGGAGAAATGTTGAAATGGCCGTGGAAGCCTTAGCAACACTTTCTTATGAGAAATGGATAGAAAATGAAAAAGATATATCAGATGATATAACTGTTATTGTCGCAATAGTTCCATCGCTATTAAATTTTGAAAAAATATAGACTATATATATGTTAAATCTATATTAATTAATTACTTTTTTGATGTCTTATTTTTATTAAATTATTGAAAGCTTTTCTTAAATAAATAAATAAATTAGGCAAATTCAATTAGTCTTCATCGTTGGAAATAGCTGAAGACTGGGGCTTAGAGGAACGATTTTTACTCAACTTAGCAGTTTTTGTTGGATCACCTAATGAACTGCTAGAATTTGATTCTTCATCTCTTGGTCTTTTCTTTTTTAATGAGCCTCCAAATGGATTACTAAATTCGGAACCTTCACTGCTTTCTCCAGACTCCGATAAAGGTACACTTTTTAGAAGCTCTTTCAGGGCATTAAAATTTCCTGTGAAGTCTTCTTTTATCGGAGCAATAGAATTTTGTTGTGGTTCATCTTTCTGAAATTTCTCGAGTTTATCACTAATTTTCAATGTATTTTTCGCATTTTCTAATTTTTCTTCTTTGTTTTCTTCTATATCCATATCTGCCTTATCTTCAATAAATGCTGCCAATTTTTTCTGAACTATTTTTTCTTTATTCACAGCTTTTTTTCCTTCATTACTGTTTAATTCTAGTTTTTTAGCCGGCTTAATGGCCTCTGGAGAATCTTTTTTCCCTCTTTTTCTCTTATTTATATTACTAACAATTTGGTTTTCTCTTGAATTTTCTTCTTTATTCCATAGACTTTCAATAGTTTGCTGCAGATCATCTAAATCTTTTATTCACATTTCAAAAATTGTGGTATTTATTAATTTTTCAAGCAGTGCTGATTTTTCTTCTTCTTCAGCTTTCAGCTGGCGTACCTTTTCAAACGTGAATGATCATAGAGGTAGATTTAATAAATAATCATACTCATCTAAAGGTATTTTTTTCCTTATCCCACTTCTTTCATCTTCATCTAAATCAGAGTTATTTGATTCTTTAAAAATATTATCCAGCTCGCTTGCTGACATAAAGTCTTTTCTTTTTAAATCTCCTACAATTAAAGTTTTCATCCTATTATATACAGAAATTTCTCCATCTGAGAGTGCGTTAATAAATCTGACTTTATTTGATAGAATTTTGACTTCTTTTGTTAATTTTGCTACTAAATAGTCTTTTCTTTTTTGGTAAAAGTCTGCTCTTACATTAAAATGCTCTTCCATTATTTCATAGACGTTTGAGTATTTGTGGATTTTTCTGTCTCTGTCGAATAAAACTAAATTTGATAAGTTAAGGGTGGAGATAAGTTTTAGTTTTTTCATTAATTGGTCAGCAGGAAGCTCAGTCAATGTTGGAATGCAGACATGAAACTCTACTCTGTCGTCTGTATGGTATTCTTTAAATTCAGTGATAAAAGCATCTTCTTCTTGCATTAAGCTTTCTAAAAAGCTTTTTATAGCATATTAATTAAACTGCTTCTATATTTGTGAATTTTTAGATAAGTTATATAACAAAAATCTGCTCAGAGAAGAAATTTAGCCAATAAGTTATATAGTCGCTTGTCCATTTTCCAATCGGCAGCTCAGCAATTCTTATTCAGTCTTCATTTATTGTTTCGAATTTCCCTCTGATTTCAAAAGAGTTTCCTACATTCTCAATAGTCCCAGTGAACCCTCTAAACCACGGGGAAATCTTATTTTCTTCAAATCTGCACCCTTCAATTCTTTTTCTATACGAGTTTATAATCTCAATAGGATTATGTGGAGCTATAAACGTACTCCACCCAGTTCCAATCCCTTCTGCTCCATTCACCAACACAGTAGGAATTACAGGCACATAATAATAAGGCTCAATTCTTTGTCCTTCTTCATTCTGATAACTCACTACATTATCATCATCTTGTATAAATAATTTTCTCGTTATATCTGACAAATTTGTAAAAATATATCTCGGGCTCGCATTATCTTTTCCACCCATTGCTCTTGTACCAAACTGTCCAATTGGTACCAATAAATTCAAATTATTTGACCCTACAAAATTTTGGGAAAGTCCTACAATAGTGGCTGCTAATGACTGTTCTCCGTGATGGTAAGCAGAATGTTCAGCCACATACCCAGCAAGCTGAGCCACTTTTATTTCTGATGACAATTTTCTTTTAAAGCAAGCAAAAATGATTTTTCTTTGTCCTGGTTTAAGTCCATCAATTAAGCTTGGAATTGACCTAATATTATCATAATTAGAAAAAAGTACCAATTCTTTATGTATAAAATCATAATAAGACACTTTTTCAACATTCATATCTAAATAAGTTTCTGGGCTTAAATTGGCCAGCCATTTTTTGCGATCATCTGCTCGAGCTTTACTAAAAGCCATATCAATGGCGTCACTTTCTCTTGTATCATTTTCCCAGGAAAAATCAATTTGGTGCTTCCCAAGGTTACTGAAATATTCTTTGGCTTCTTTACTTGTAGAGGTACCAAGACCTTTGTAGTATTTTGTGGTCCATTCGTCATGATTGGCTTCTTTAAGCCACTCTGAAAATTCGTTTATTGTGAAAAATGAGACCGTTAGAGACCCATTTGTGGCTTTTACTATAGGAGTGATGAATTCTTTTAAAAAGCCGTCTTTTTTAAGCAAGCTTGGCCAGAAGAAATGGATGAAATTGATGATTAAGCCTTTTATGTGTGAACCGTCTAGATCTTGGTCAGCCATTATCATAATTGACCCATATCGAAGCCCATTGACATCTGTATATTCTTTATTAGGCTGTAGCCCCACAATTTTCATAATATTTTGTATTTCTTCATTCCCCATAAGCTGCTTGTGTGAAGCTTCTCTTACGTTTAATAATTTCCCTTTTAATGGGAAAACTCCATATTTGTCTCTTCCAAGCACTTCAATTCCAGCCATAGCTAAGGCTTTAGCACTATCTCCTTCAGTTAAAATTAATGAGCATTTATTTCCTTGGCTAGTTCCAGCTAAATTTGCATCCTCCAATTTATTAATAAATAATTTTTCATTTTTCTTTGATTTTACTATTTTCCCAAGCTGGACTTCAGCTTTTGCATTGGAAGATGCAACAATGCTTTCAATAATCCCGCATTTTATTAAATTTTTCAAAAATTGCTCATCAATTTCGCATTTCGAGCCAAAATTAGAAGGCTTAAGTGTCATATTTTCTTTAGTTTGAGAATCAAAACAAGGGTTTTCGATCAAGCAATTAATAAATACCCACAAATGCTGTTTTATTTGGTTATTTTTGACTTCAATTTTTTTATGCTTTTTTGAAATTGCTGCTGAAATTGCATCAATTAATTGATCAGTTATATGGTTTACGTGAGTTCCCCCTTTTGATGTACAAATTCCATTAACAAAAGAAACCTGCTGAAATGTGCCATCACTTATAGTTGCAGCGATTTCCCATCTATTTCCATATTGGCTATATATTTTTGGGGTTCCTTCATTTTGCAAATATAACCCAACATAATCTTCGAACGATTTAATAGTTAAAATCAGGCTATGCTGGCCATAAGCGGTAAACCCACTAGCATTTGTGCATCTTGGCTCCAAAGGTCGCCCTTCAGGATTTTCGTCCTCAACATCTGTCCAAGGGATTAGCCTTATGGGAGTGCACCTTCTGCAGAGTGCCTCTATGGTTTCAATGAAAAGAAACTATGTGATAGACAAGACCTTACTCATATATCTGACAGGGAAGGAAAACCTTCGGAGGAGAAGCAAAACATCCCTCTTCGGCAGGCATCCCAAATCTAAAGGCCTTCTTCAAAAAGTGACACAGATACCCTGCTTTCAACTCCATAAGGATGGGTCCTATATTAATTTCAGTTAATGCCACCAATTTATTTCTACGATTTAATAGGAATTTCAAAATCATTAATAAATATTTTTACTTTTTTCCCTATGCATCCTGCCATATCATAAGCTCTTTTTGTCATTAAATCAATTATATCTTTATCTAGGCAATTCATACCAAACCTCTGTAGGTCAGGATAAAACGTAACGCGAGTATAGCTTCCTTTTCCATTATATTTCGTGATCTTCGGCTTGGACTTTTTAGTCATGTTTTGAGTCCATTCCATAGTAAAAATCTGCTTATTTTCAGGGTCTGCAGTTTCAACTATAAAAGTTTTAGAAAAAACATTAGTCAGTTTGGCCCCATATCCATTTCTGCCACCTGTAACTTTTTTCTGACTGTCATCATAGTTACTAGAAGTCAGAAGTTGACCAAAAATAAGCTCAGGGACATAAACTTGGTGTTCTTGGTGAATGACTACAGGGATTCCTTTGCCATTATTTCAGATACTTATCATCCCATTTTCGCGGTCAATGGTGATTTGTATGGAATTCATTTTCTTGTCTCTCTGAAAGTTATCTTGTGCATTTACTAAGATTTCGTCAAATATTTTGTATAAGCCTGGGACATACTGAATTTGCCGATATACCATTTTGTTAGTAATGGAATCCCATACCCACAGTTTGCTGTCTTGGAGCTCTATAGAGCCTACATAAGTGTCTGGGCGAAGCAATATGTGTTCTAATGGAGTTTTCTTTTGATAAATTTCTTCAATTGTGGCATCTTTTGGACTGCTGGTCTTTTTGGGCTTACTAGACATTTTTATAATGCTAATAGCATCTTTTTCGCGCGTATTTTTATATTAGCTTGTATCGAAATGAACAGAAATTAAATGACTATGAATAAGATTATTTTACACTATTTAATGAGACTTGGAGGAATTACAGAAGATCTGCTATTTCTTTTATTATCAATGCACTGAAGCTGCAATCTTTGAAGATTATTTCTTCTTTCGATATTCTGTAGCAATTGTTCATGAAGAAGCGTGTCTATTTTTTTGGATTCATTTTCGTAATTTTTTTTACATTCTCGAAGGCGGTATTCATAGTCAGCTATATCTTTTCCAATATTTTTTATTTTCTCTTGAGTTTCAAGGTTGCTTTCTTTTAGAAGTTCTAAAGATATATCTTCATGCTCAATTTGGCCTTCTAAAGTTTTAATTTCGCTTTCCAAACGTCTTAAGCTGTCTGTGTTATTTAATGCTTGGATTTCTTCAGAAATTTGAGAGATTTGGACTTCGTAATGTGAAAAGTCAGGCTTTTCCATATTCAAAATTGACTTTTGAGTTTTGTCAATATCAGCTATAAGCTTGAGGATTGTATTATATTGAATCATTTTATTTGAAAATTAATAGTATGTATTCATATTTAAATGACATTAATTTTAGTATTATTCAATAGTCAGCTCAATAAATAATTTGTTTTATTTTAAATGCAGCTAATATGCTTTCTACCATATCTTCCAGTCAATTTCGTTTTCTCCAGTTTCCCTTAAGTATTCATTGACTTGGCGAAAAGGGTGATCAAAAGGAGAATAACTTACAATAGCTTTATCCTCATTCTGATTAATAAATTTAAGATAAGGCATTGATAATTTTCCAATAAGAACTCATATCAACCCTTTTTTTCCATTTTTGAAAGTTTCAATTATTTCTTCATATGTCACATGATTTCTTTTCATAAAACTAATGTCTGGTATAATTACCCCTTGCTTTGATCAATTTTTAAGACTAAAAATGCAGAAATCAAATATATATTTCATAGAATCGCTGTACTCTTTTTGGTAATTAAATAATTTAGGATCGTTCTTTAAATAGCTTCTCATATCAAATCAATAATCATTATTAATTATTATGACTCTTCTTTCCTCTAATGCAGGATACTCAAAAGCAAATTTAGGGGGAAAGCCCTCAATCTGGAAAATCATACAAAGAATTGACTCAATATAGTTTTTTTCAGAGTCTTTAAAATAATGTTTAATTGGTCTAAAGGCATGAACCCAACTATGTAGGTTATTCTCATTTGTGAAAGACATAAATTTTAAAGATAATATATTTTGCACAGAAACTGTTCCTTTTCCATTAATAGGAAAATTAAATTTTTTAAATTCAACGTTTTTCAAATCAAATTTATATAAATTGTTTTTGCATAAAATAAATGCAAAATTACCATAGTTAAAGCTGGATGATGGGAAATAATGATTTGGATTTAAGGTGGTTTTACCAATGATATTTCATTTGTATGGATTTAATTCTTCTGATATCATAATAACACCAGAATAAGTTATCATAAAGAAACTTCTATCAATTGCTCCTACAAAATTTTCATATCATAGAACCTTTTCAGAAATAAATGAAATAGAATTGATGCTGCAATCATATATAAAAGTTTTGCTACCTACATTGGATATTAAAATTTTGTCTTCAATTATTGCACATGAATAGCATTTATATAATTCCATGCAAATTCCGCTCAAGCAAATATTTTTCAATAAATTGTACCTTAAAATATAAAAATAATCGAATATAATATAAACATTGTTTTGGTATTTTATTCCTTTTATGTTTTTGCAATAATTTTTATAAGCTCGAAGGCGTATTGATATATTATTAGGTAAATTAACCCAAGACCCATGGGCTATCTTTCCATTATTATCAATATAAAAAATTCTTCCTATATTCACTTGGCTATCATAACGAAAACATAATAGTTGTTCATCAGAAATTTGGCAGAGAGTTTTATATATAAATTTTCTTCTATCCTTTGGAATTTTGATTTTATTTGACTTATAAGCCATTGTTCTTAAGTCAACCTCATACAGTTCGCAGCTGCTAGATGAAGCATCAAGAATTGTGTTCATGGAGCTTTCCATTAATTTATTATATTTTTGTTAAGCTTAGTCCGAGTTTTCTAATTAAGAAAAATTTACCGAAATTAAGAAAGATTGAAGTTTTTTTGATAATTAATATAGGCTTCAAAATATTTATTGAAAAGTTTAGATAATTAAATAATATATATTGAAGTAACTATTAAAATTGAAATCTTACCCATCAAAAGGAAGCTAAAATAATATCTTAATGAAATACGTAGATTTTTTCTGTAATTTATTAAGAATTATATCCATATTCTCCAATCAATTTCTTCTTCTCCAGCTTCTTTTAAAAATTGATTAACCAACTGAAAAGGTTTATCTTCAGGATCATAACTATAAATCACTTTATCCTCGTTTTGATAGATAAATTCATAATAAACTCTTGAATTCCTGCCAATTAATAACCATATCAATCCTTTTTTTCCATTTTTAAATATTTCTATAATTTCTTTAATTGGCGCGCCTCTATAAACCATTCATGAAAGATTTGGAACAATAACTCCTTGTTTTGATCAATTTTTTAGACTGCGTATATTGTTATTCCAATAATCTTGCATACTCAGGCATTTATTCTTACAACCAAATAGCTCACGATCATAATTCAATCAGTTCATTAATCCATAACTATCTTGGCCATCAATTATTATTACTTTTCGATTTTCAAATACAGGATATTCCACTAAAAATTTAATTGGGAAATCGCTAGGATTAAAGGCTATCTGCAGAATTTGTTCAATATAATTTGTTTGGTTAATAAAATAATGTTCAATAGGTTTAAATGCATCAGCCCAACTGTTTAATTCTGCATTAATTGTAATATCTATAAATTTTAGTGACTGCATTGTATACTCAAAATAAGGTTCTTTTTTTCCAAAAGCAAAGTGAATTTTAGAGAAATTAAGATATTCTAAATCAAACTTATAAAGATTGCCTTTGCTGAAGAAGTAAGTCAAATTGTCATAATTCAACATATTAGATTCAATAAGATTTATACGATGTAAAAAAATTTTGCCTAAAAGTGTTCATTCGTATGGATTCAATTCTCCTGATTTTACTACAACCCCTTGATAATCTATTAGAAAAAACGTCTTATTAATAGTCCCTATGCTTATGGATCATAATGATTGGAAAGTGAATGCAGATGAAACTGAGTTGATGCTACAATCATATATTAAAGCTCTTCCTTGGCTTCCAACTATTAAAATTTTATCATCAATTATTGCTAATGAATAGGCACCAAAATTAATTTGTAAAACAGTTGAACAAGTATTTTTGAGTAAATTATACCTGAGTATACCACAGTGTTGTCCCATAAGGTAAACGTAATTTTTATATTTTATTCCCTTTACATTATTATAGAGGTATTGACAGATATGTGCTCAGAGTGCTGCAACTGTTTTTAGAAAATCAAAGAAACCTCCATAAGAAATATTTCCACTACTGTTGATATAAAATATCCGTCCTTTTTTAAAGGAATTGTCATAGTAATAGCATAATAGTTGGTCATCTGAAAGTTGACAGACAACTTTATAGTCAATTTGCCTATTTTTTAATTTTTGAATTTTAGTGCAACTATAAGTCTTTGTTCTTAAATCTACTCTGTGAAGCTGGCGGCTTTTGGGTGCAACATCTAGTACTGTATGTATAGTGTTATCCATTTAGCTATTTTAATTATTACTTTCTAATAGAGAAATTTTCGTGATATCAAATATATTGTGAGCCTCTTCATTTTCAACCGTAAGAAAGCAGCAAGCTGTTTTTCAGGGTACCTTCTATTCTTAGCTCGTAATAATCTCAGCTTGCTTTATTTTTAAGGCTTGGATTCACTGAAAGATGGCAGATGCATGATTACATTCATATATAACGCAATTGACAATATATTAATATAATTTTGGCACTTATCCCTTTAAGTGTTTTATAATAATGTTCAAGATTTGGGACACTGTGAATAGTTTTTTCTAGCTAAACCAAGCATCCCTATTTCCCATTTTTATTGATATTAAACGTCTTCCTTTGTAAAAAGAACTATCATATTCATAGCATAATACATCCTCACCAGAAATTTTGACAAAGAATTTTATATTCAACTTATATTCTATTTAAAATTTAACTTCTTTTGAATTTCAAGCCATTTTTCTAACATCAAACTCATAAATCTGCTGTTTATGGCATGAAATATCAAGAATTTGATGCCTAAATTCTATTTTATATATTTATTTGGATTTTAAAATATGAAATAATTATATACAAAAAAATTTAGCTATATATAAGTCTATCTAATAACTTTTCTATGAGCAACAGTTGCCTCTCCTCCAATTGACGATCTTCTAATTAACTTATTAGCAACCCCATCAACAGGGTGATTAATAACCACAGAAATATCACGGATATCTTCAACAGAAGAGACAGGAAAAATATGATTATTTTTCGGAATTTCTGTGACATTTTTCAAAAATGATAGTCTTCCTTTTCCTTCTTTATTTACCTTTTTCAACCATGCATGGTTTAATGCTTCTTTGGCTGAAAGTCTTAGCTCAGGCTCAGGTTGGCACAATTTCAATATGAGGTCAGCTGCATCTTTTGAAATTAATTTCCAATGGATTGGAGCAAAATAAATAATCCCCTTTTTATTTGCTTTCAAAATTTCTTTGAGATCTTTACCAGGGAAAGGAGATCTCCCTGATAAAATCATAAATAAACATACTCCTAGCCCAAACATGTCAATTTTTACCCCATATCTTTGTTTTTTTAAAATTTCAGGGGCGATATAGCCTGGGGATCCACACCTTATAGTTTGGTCGTTGCTGCTGCTAATCCCAGACAGTCCGAAGTCGAGAAGTTTGAATTTTAAAGGATTTTCTGAACAGACAATAATATTTTCTAATTTTATATCTCTATGTACAATATAGCTTTCTATATTTTTTAAGTTTAAGTTTAAGGAATTATTCTAGCACCCTTTGTGCCTTAAGTCTTTGTTTACTTGAGGTCCAGCTACATTAACAGCTCTGAACAGCGATAGGTGGACCGGCCTAACTGTTAAAGTTAATAAGCCCTTTCCGACTTCTCTTGTCAGTGCCAGCCTCAGCACCGACCTCTTCTCTTCAATCCGAGACTCTCAAGAAGCTTGACTTCTCTCACTAAACTCGGATTAAAGGTCCATCCTGTTTTGAACAGGTGCTAGAACCTATCCCTAACTGGCATTTTTAATACTGTGCTTTCTATATTAAATTAATTCTTACTTAATTAAGGTAATTCTTATAATATTTTAATGCAGATTTTATTTTTAAAAAATGCCCATGCTAAGCTTAATCCTTGATTGGATATTTTTAGAATGGAGGTAACAAAGAATATCCAGCATATCATAAAGAAATATCACAGCTTTTTTTTCAGAAAATTTTTCAACTTTCATTATTTTTTGCAGCATATTAATCCCCGGGACATAATCCATAATCAAATGTACATGACCCTCACTTTCATAAACTCTATATAATTTCGTGACATTTGGGTGGTCAATCATTCTTAAAATCTCAATTTCGCTTACTACGGTCGATACAGCCCTTTGATTAGTAATGTATGATTTATCTATGGATTTTAAAGCATAGTTGTCATATGAATCTAAATCGTCAACTAAATATACTGTAGCGTAGCTTCCTTTTCCTAGAGTTTTGATAATTGCATAGTCATCTTCTACGTCTGTTAGAATTGAGACTTTTGAGAGCATGCTAACCCAGATATCTAGATCTTCGGTATTATCTGTGTAAAAGTCTTGAGAATTTTCGTTTTGGTGGAGCTTAAAGCCTTGTCTTGCTATATGGGAATTTACTTCTAGAAAAGGCTCTAAAATTTTCCATCTGATATTTGATACTGATTCTAGATCTTTGTTGTTTTCTTTATATGTAGTTTTGATTAAGTATCCAACGATTGTTATTAGAAGTTAGAGAAAATTAATTATTTTCTAAGGGATTTAGAATATAAGCAACAAGGATTGTTAACAATTATAGTGTATTACAGCATATTTATATAATGAACTAGTTGTCAGCACATAAAAATTGTTCTGAAATGATCCTTTTCCATTTGTTATAAGCAGATTTCCTTGATGAAGTTTATTTGTGTTAATATCGATTATAGACTTCTCATCTGGCTTGTGCCAAAAAGCACATGACTTATTTGCATCTTCGTCGATTTGTCGAAAAATTGATAATTTCATAATGGTTTTATTATTTTCTGAATCGGTCATTTTTATGACGCATACCTAAAAAAATCTTTTCTAATGGTTAGATAATATACATAAATGCGATGACGTCAGATGTGACAGTTCCTATGTAATTAGGGGGTGCAGATCGTGTACTTTTTAATAGTATGCATTTCATCAAAGAAAATTTGGTGAAAATTTTCAAATACTATACCTTTTGGCCGTAATTTAACTGGTTTTTCGGTCAAATGTCTCACCATCAAAATGTTCGAATAAAATTTCGCCTAGGAAATGAGTTATTTGGCATAGTGCGGGATAGTTTTTGAAGCCAGGAGTTGGCCCAGCAGTATTTGGTATCCTGAAGGAAGGGACTCAAGCACAAAGCACTTTTTGTGACCAGATCCAATTGGCAGTTACTCGCGACTTCGTTTTGCCAGCTGACCACTGAAGTTGAATAGGGTGAATTACTTGTATAGCTGTTGTGGTGGTTTGCCCCGAATCGTGTAAGCGGTTGAGTATTTTATAGGGATGACCTGGAAAAGGGGGAGGCAGATTAGATTAAACAGGCGGACTCTCCATTTCAAGACTCTTAACTAAGAGGAGCGATAAGTGGTAAGGGCGATAGGCAGGGGAGTCACTAGACAGTCTAAGGGACAGTTTGAAATGATGAAGCCCTTGCAAAGGTTTCGACTCAATAGGGGATTCCACTACTGAGAAGTCAGGGGTTTCAGCCTAGGCTTAGAGTTGCCAAAGGCAGAAACCACCTAACTCGATTTCGTCGCACAGAATGTCAATCGTACAAAGTGGGGACCTTAAATATCTATAGCTAGGGAGGATGTCTAGCACTGAGCTTTTTTTGGCTTGCTTTCAAACTAAAAAAGCCCCGTGCTAGATATCCTCCCTAACTATATTGCTTAGCTTGACTTAACTAATGGTTAAATAAAAAATAGAGAGATTGCTACAATTAAGTCTTATTTTTCAATTATATATTTATATAATAATCTAATTATCAATCCTAAATTATATTGGAATATAAAATTATAATATTTCCTGAATTACATCAAATAATTAATAAGGCTAATTGAATCAAACTGATGCCACCTATTGAAAGCATTTTCATATGAACAAATTATATTTATTATATGGTATTAAATCAAAAATTAATTAGCACAAATAACAATTTCATCAATATTAAATAATTTTATTTCCAAAAAATAATTATCCTATTTCTAAATTTTCTATTGCCATATACATTTTACTTACTCAAAATTTTTTCTGTAAAAATAAGATAATTTTTTATTTTTGTTTTCAATTTTGTATACAAATTAATTTATACTGTCAAAAATTAAAAAAATTAATTAGAAATTTTATTATAAAAATTTACTTTTATATCAACATATTTTTATAAATTACAGAATAGATGTTAGCATTCTTTACCCCATAGTCCCTATTTATTATTTAGCGGTGTGAAATGGAAGGTGTGTCTGAGGCTCAAATCCAAAGCGTTCTTACCATGCTTACAGCAGTTCTAAGCCCCAATAACGAAGTCAGAAAGCAGCAGGAAGTCTTGCTTATGCAGCTTAGAAATGAACATCCAAATGAACTCGTCCTTTGCCTTTTGCATATCCTTAGACACTCTCCTGACTCATCAATCCGCACTTTATCCTCAGTCATTCTCCGTCAGCTTTTCACTTCTCTCCACTCCTCCACCAAAGTTTGGGACAAATTAAGCTCCCAAGTCCAAAATATCGTCAAAACCCATCTTCTTGAGTCTCTTGAGCAAGAAACCTCATGGCCAATTCTCAAAAAAATCGGCGAGGTTATTGCAGAACTTGCAGTTTTACTATTTGCTGATGAAGAAACTAACAAATGGACTGAGCTTCTGCCGTTCCTGACCCGGTCTTTTACAGGACAAGGAAAACAAGCAGCAGCAGCCTGCCACATTTTAGCGGGTCTGTGCACATTCTTTAATGATGAGCTAGTAAAAGAAAAAGACAGCCTTAAACAAGTGTTTATAGCCCATTTAGCCAGCAATGAATTAGAATTAAGGCTTTCAGTCCTCAATTTTCTCGGCAATCTATTAGGAATTGCTGAAAAAGACGATATGAAATTCTTCTGGGATATCATCCCAAATATGCTTCTTTCAGCTTTCTGGATCATCGAAAACCACCAAATCCACGCAGAAGAAGCCTTAAACCACCTCAGAGACCTTGCAGAAACTGAGCCAAAGTACTTCAAAAACCGCATCCAAATTGCGTATGAATTCGTCGACAGGGTTTGTAACTTGCAAACTGAGAACTTAGGAATCAAACATTTAGCCCTCGAGTTCATTGTCGCTTTGGCTGGAAGATTGAACCTTGAGTTCCAAGAGAAAAAAGACATTGCAACTAACCTATGTACAAAGATTTTCCAGATGATGCTTAGTATTGATGAAGATGTTGACCCTGCCTGGGCTTGTCCTCCTGAAGGGTTTGAAGAGCCTGATGACGAAGATGAAGAAGGAGTCGAAATTGATTATGCAAAACTTGGAAGAAAACAATTAACAAAAATGCTAGAAGGTGTAGGAGAGTCATTTTTGCTCCCTACAGTCCTAGGACTAATTCAATCTGCACTTACTACTCCTTCAGAAGACTGGAGAGTAAAATATGCAGCCCTTATGACTATTTCAGAACTAGGCCAATTCATTGAAGAAGCTGAAAAAATCGCTGAAATCGTCCCAGTTCTCCAAGCCCATACAAGTCCAAATCTGCATCCTAAAATCAGATATGCAGCCTACCATTGTATAGGTCAGCTAAGTGAAGATTATGAAGAAGAATTCCAATCTGCCCACCACCAAGCTGTAGTCCCTCTATTAGTAGCTGGAATTGCTGACTCAATCCCAAGGGTTGCTGCAAGTGCTGCAGACGCTTTAGGCAAATTCATAGAAAACTGTGGCCCAACCCTCGTCTCTGAATATATCGCTGGCATTATGCCAGTCATTATAGAAAAATTCAGCCAGCAAAACTGCTCTATTGTAATTGAACAAATTTTAACCGTAATTTCTAACATTGCAGACTCAGGAAAAGAGTGCTTTAACCCTTATTATCAGCCTCTGATGGTCGTTTTATTAAGAATTATCAAAGCTTATACATCAAAAGAGTACCAAAGAATCAGAGGAAAAGCTATAGAAAGCATGACCATGATCTGCACATCTGTCGGCAAAGAAATGTTCAGCCCTTATGTGACTGAAACAATAATGCTTCTCAAAGAAATCCAGGACTCAGTAACTGACTCAGACCCACTTAAAGCTTACTTGTTAGGAGCTTGGCAAAGAATTGTGGCAACTCTACAAGCTGATTTCGCCCCATATCTTCATGGAATTCTGCCAGGACTTTTAAGTGCTGCAGGAGCGTCTGCAATAGTCTCAGTTGAGTCAGAGCCTGACGCACTAGTAGATTTAGCCTCATTAGTTTCTGACGCAAATAAAAAAGTGTCTATAAGCACTTCAGATTTAGAAGACAAAGACCTAGCTCTGCATGCTTTAATTACAATTATTGACGTTCTTAAAGAACTATATGCGCCTTATGCAGAACAAACTAACACTATTGTGCTGCCATTAATAAATTACACACCTAACGAACACATAAGGCAAGCAGCTGCCACGTTGTGTGGGTCTCTTATTAATTCAGTCAAAGCTTTAAACACTCCTGAGTCAGACCAAGCTGTTATCAATATGGCCCGGCTTTATTTAGGAGCCCTTTGGCAAGCGACTGCAGTTGAGCATGACACAGAAACTATTGTCGCTCAATTAGCAGCTATAAAAGTCATTATAGAAGGACCTAAAAATAAGTTCATGACACCTGAAGAAGTGACTGCTTCTGGTGAAAAATTAATTAAAATGCTTGAAACATCATTAGACAGAAGAGCCAGAAACAAAGCTTTAGATCTTGGAGAAGAAGACAGCGAAGATGAGCTTATTAAAGAAATCAATAAAAACGAAGAAGACTCTTTACACACACAAATTTCTGAAGTTTTAGGATCTTTGTTTAAAACTCATAGAGAATTTTCATTGGAAATTGTGAATTTCTTATATTCACATGTATTGAGCAAGTTCTTAGCACCTGACACGACTGATGAAGACCATAAATTCGCGATATTTGTGATTGATGATGTGGTGGAATTTGTTGGACAAGATTTAGCTGGTGATAAATGGAGCTCTTTGGCAGAAGCCTTGGTTAGGTTTACTGCTGATTCAAATGATGCAGTTAGACAAGCAGCTTCATATGGAATTGGAATTTTAGCTATTTTTAGTAATGCTGCTGCCTTTGCACCGTGGACTGATCAGATATTGGTTGCTTTAGATAAATCAATTAACTTCCCTATGGGAACAAATAAAAAGTCACATGGGCATGCTAAGGATAATGCAGTGGCTGCATTAGGAAAAATTATTAAATATCAGTCAGGAAGCATTAACTCAGCTACAATAGTCCCAGCTTGGGTTAATTTATTGCCACTTAGACGTGATAAAGAAGAAGCTAAACTCATGCATGACTTATTAGCTGATATTACTATTAGCAATATGGCTTTAACTATTGGCGAAAATAATGAAAGACTTGAACATGTTGTAAAAATCTTTGCAGAAATCCTCGAAACTAAGCTAATTAATACTGAAACTGTACCAAAAGTTAAACAAATCATACAAATGATCCAAGCTGCCGGTATCCCTACACTTCCACAAATCTGGGCCACTTTAACAGATATACAAAGATCAAAACTAACCAAAATAATGGCCTAACAAATTCTTTAACTAACTTCTTTATATAGCAATCATTATTAATTCAAAAATTTTGAGATAATTTAACGTATTTCACGAAAGGAAATCAATTGGGAAATTACTTTATGAAAATAATATGTCTAAGTTTGGCTTAAAGACCTCTCTTAAACTTATCCCTACAATAAAGACACAAAGATTTGATGAGACTGTAGAAAGCTCATTATGTACAGAAGTAGAAAACAGTTTTTTAGAAGAAACAAGTTTTAACAGCGACATTGATATGGAAATACGTGCAGAAATAGAGGCGAAGTTTAGGAAATCGACTACAAATACAAATTATGTATTCCCAAGAGATACCAGCTTGGCATCATCAAAAAAGGATTTAAAGAAGCATCTTTTTAAACCTTCGACAAGGCCAAAAAGTGTTTTGAGATCTATGAGCAGATTAACAGTGGAAAAACCTTTGAAGTCCATGTCAAAGACAAACCTATCTAGCGAGGTTTCCACGAACAGGTCAACTATTCATAGCATTAGCCTTCAAAAATTGTAAATTTCATACAGAAAAAAGAAGCAAGAAATTACTGAAACCAAAAAGCCATCAAAATCGCCGCTGAAGCTAAAATATATGCCAAACCCAAAGCAAAACACAAATATTTCTCATAGCAGAACCCGAAGCGATGCAATAAGAACCAAAACCCCCATATACTCTGTACATAGAGAACTTTCGCCTGAAAAATCAATCCAATTGCTGAAAAACAAAATTTATGGAATGAAAAAACTCCCAGACAACCCTTACAATTTTCCCATAAAGATACCTCATCAGACTCCTCTTAGAGACTTAAGACATAAATACACGCTATCCATGGGAAGTATCATTCCAGGGAGTACCGGGCGCAGCTATATCAATTAGTTTGTTAAATAAGTGTGCTCTATGTAATTTATTTCCTTACTTCATGTATTTGAAACATAATAAATGGCATCAGCGTCACCAGAAGAAATCCGCGCAATATTAAGGGACGATAGAAAGCTACACGACATCGCAAAGGCTGCATTTGATGCTGTGGATGCTGATCGTTCTGGATTTATTGATGAGCCTGAGCTTAGAACAGTAATGTGCAGTGTTGCAAATGACATTGGAATGGATACACCTTCAGATAGCGATGTTAGAGATGTGCTTAGAGAGCTTGATACCAACAGAGATGGAAGAATCAGTTTAGATGAATTTAAAGTCCTTATTCGACAAGTCTTAGAACTTATGGCATCACAATAAAGGAATCTAATAAAAAATAAAAAACTTATTGTGAAAAGGTAACTTATCAGTTAAATTAGTATTTAATAGGAGATATCAAAAATGAAATGCTTTTATTTTTGAGTATCAACTATTCATTAAAGAAGCTGGTTTGGAATGTTATGAGCTAAGCTCAGATTGCAATAAAATAGGATTATAAAGTGTAAAGAATCTATATTAAACTATGGGCTTTGCATTTATGACTGAATTTAATATAATGATGAATATTTAAGCATAACAAAGCTTACTGTAATTATAAGCTTTAATTTCTTAAAATAGAAAATATAGAATAATTGAGAGATATATAATATACACTTTGGTAAAAAATGCTTGAAACCTGAAGATTATAAGATGTCATAAGCTTGAAATGCTTTATTCAGAGTTAACTGTAAAATGAGCTTTTTTTAAGTATAAAAAAGGATTTAATACTGTAATCCTCATATTAAAAGTTCTGAATAATAGAAAGCTAGAGTTTAAACTAGAATGCTCTAAATGCTAATTATGATTATAGTTATTTATTATTATTTTCCCACACAGCTGGTATCCTCCGCTGTTCAGTTGAAAATACCAAATATTACATAAGAATGCAAGCACAGCTACCTTGATGACTGCTTTTCCTACGCAGCTTTGCTTGATTTTCTCATGAATGTGGAACTTCATCAGGCGTGAATTCAGCGACTCGAACTTCATGGTACTTGTCTAAAATAAGTCCTTCGGATTCGTCACAAGTTGGCTTATTCTTGAGTGATGATTTATTCTCTAAGATAATAGTTGCACTCCTTTTTGAAGGATTTTTCATTGCGGATTGAGATATGACCCCACTGATCATCTATGATTTTATAATTATTGTCATTATTGATGCACATTAGATAATAGAGATTCAAATTTTAATTTCTCGAAATTAAAATAACAATTATTTTATTTGTGAATTTTGAATCACTATTTTTAGTTTTCAAGAAATAAATATATATTCATTTATTTAACTTATCTCAAGTAAATTAAAATTTATCGATTCAGTGTGTGAAAACTGTTTAGATCTAGCTCACTCCATTAAATTAGACTAAAACAATTTTATAAAAAACTAATATTTAAATTTTTTTATAAAAAAAAATGGTTCTAATTTAAAAGGAGTAAGTATGGTGCCTGGCTATCATTTAAAACAGATTTTGGTTTAATCTCTAAATATATAAAAGTATCGAGCTTAGTCCTGCATTCTATAGCATAAATAATTATCTATTTTACTATAATATAAACTCATTTTCATTTAATTCCTTTATTTATTACTAATTCAAATTGCAAAAATTATTTAAAGCAGTGACTCATTCAAAATCGCAGTCCCCGCTTTTTTGAAAACCTGGTTTGCATCATTTTTATGTAGCATATGATTTCTTCTCACCACATCACTTGACTGTGACCTATGCTTCTGCATTCATCCTTCTTCATGTGTTTTCCCCAAAACTCGATTAGCTCTAAAAATCTCCACATTTTTTTCATGCACCCTTTTCTTTTCCTCATCATCATACAAATGTTTAACAATTTTCGGATGAATTTCAAGCATATAAATATCGCTGCTGCAGTAGCATGTATTACTGACCCCTCCAAATATATAAATTCTTGACCCAGAACTTGCCATGCAATGCCCTGATCTTGGGGTTGGGATGCTTCCTAGGACATTGACTCTAATTCATAATAAATTGTCAAGTTTTAATAAATAGACGTCGTTAAAGCAAGTATAGCTCGTTGTATTGGCTACATCAATTCTTCCACCAAAAATAACTAGAGAATTCAATCTGTCATTATAAACCATACTGTGGAGGAATCTAGGGGATGGTGGAATTCCTTGTGTTGAAGGTGTTGACCAAAAAAGCGGCCTCGCTCCTACATTTAACACTCATAAATTGCTATGGGCTTTTTTGTCAGGGCCTATCCCTCCAAATACATAAATTCCTGGCATTTTAATTTTTGATTGTATAGAGATCGGAATACTATAAATGCTATAACTCCCAAATTGGTCACTATTAAGTATAGTGGCAGCTGTATGAAATGCGTTTTCCTTTGGCCCATTTCCTTTAATTTCGATTGTTTTCCAATTATTGTTGACTAAATTTAGTACAGCAGCATCAGCTAATAAATTGTTTTTTTGGTTCAGTCCTCCATGAATAAACATATGTTTCCCCGCAATAGACGCGCAATGGTATTTTCTGGTCGCTATATAAGTGCCTTGGGTTTTTATATACGTCCAATCATTTTTCTGAGGTGAATACACTTTGACGCCATTTAAGCATTCTCTCAGTTTGTGGACCGTATTAAAATTGGTACCTCCTCCGAACACTACGATGGCTCCGTTATATTCTAAAGCGTTATGTCCAAATCTTGGGTCAGGTTCGCAGCCACCTGGATATAGTTTTTCCCACCTTTTATTTACTGTATTATATACATTAATATCACTATTAATGCTTCGGCTTACTCCACCAATTAAATACAGTTTTGCTCCAATTGATGTCAATGTGGCTTCTTGACGGGTTTCAGGCCTTCAGCCTATTGAGTCAATTTTACTTCAATAGACATCGGATTCGTCAGGAATTTCGTCATAATGGTTAATTACTTCATGGACTGAGGGAGCTTCTTCAAAATCCTGAGGCTTTATTGGAGATTCAAGCTGCCTGAAAGGAGATTTTCTAATTGTAGGCATTCTATAGGTACGTTGTCGGTCTATTTGTGAGGCTTCTGGGATTTGGTGAGGCATTTGTGATCGCATTGATAAGGCTTGGATATCAATTTCATTTGCTTGCTGACGCTTTTGTTTGAGGAGTTTTACAATTTCATTTGAATCAGTTAGGTAAGATCGAGAAAACATTTTGCCTAGGGCTGTGTTTTTGAACATACGGAGTTGTTGCTCTTTAGGGGAAATTTCGCTTTGGGAGTCTTCATCAAACATTGCAAATTAGCTTATTCCCCCTCTGTGAGCGAACAAAAAAAATTTTGTTCACTCGTGGTGAGGTTATTTTTTTTTGTTAAAAAATTTATGCATAAATTGGAAAGTAAAAATTAATTTAATTTGTAAAATTTATTTTTGAAAATACAATCTGCTTAAAATTCAACAGAATAAGTTGCTTATATATCAATCAACATATTTTTCATACAATTTTTTTTTTGTCTGCTCACGAACAAATTATAATTTAGTGAGAAATATGGTGGCGTCATCGGCCGACTAGGCGGAGAGTTGAGGTTGACGAACTTATTTCTTATATAAGTAGGGTCTACAGCCTTAACCATTACAGCCTGGGAAGTGCCTCTTGCAGCAAACCTGCCCGATATAGGCCTCGGGGAATTGCAAGAATGAAGAAATTAGTTTGATGGCATTTCGATAGGAGAAAGCATTCTCGCTATAGTTATCAAGCTATTGTCCAACGCTGTGACGATAGAATTTCGCCCCAGTTTGTTCTATATTCAGGAGAAGTGGGGAAGATTAACTTAGCTTAAAGTCCCCTAAACAATGTTTATTCCGTTCACAGAGAGTGGGTTTTTACCCCAAAAAAATAAGGATTTTTTGTTCGTCATGGAGAGGGGAGTTATTAGAGAAATATAAAATGAAAATTTTGGAAAATAATGTTATAACTGCCTAAAAATACACCCATTAATTATAAAAGACTTGATTTATGCATCTAATATTAGAATTTAGTTATTTTTTTATAGAATCTATATATAATTTTTAGTATATATTCATTTTTAACAGACGATTTTAAAACATATGAAAGTAGAGAAGATAAAAGAAGTATTGGATACTCCTAATACACAAAAAGAAAAAAAAGCTACAAAACAGCTTATCGATTTAAGCAAAAGCCCTATTCTTAGAAAAGAAGTAATTGATACAGATGAGGATATTGCAAGCTGGAATTTAAAAAATGATTTCAAAATTCAGTCTATAGAAAAGAAATTCATGCATCCCCAAGTTAAGGCAGGCGTAAAACCACTCAGCAAGCCCACAGTTAAAGCCCAGCCTCAAAAACTTCGCCCTATAAGTTTAAAAGAAAAATCCATCAATAAGCTGAAAACTGAAAAAGAATTAATAGAAATTCCGCAGCATAACAAAGAAAACAATTCACTAACTGGCTCAAAAGACGTAAAAAAAGTGTGAGAAATTCTAAAAGAAGACCGTAGAGTTCCTCTAAGTTCTATAATCCTCAACCCTGCTCTTGTCGAAGTCAAAAGAACAAGATTTTCAAGAGAGCAAACCCCTATCCATATTCTGATACGAAGTAAGTCACGGCCAGTATCTGTGGAGCGAGAAATCCGTAATAGCTTTTCTAATCTCGGCATATAAACTATAGCAGTTGCCCGATGATGGCGCTCAATGCGCCATCATCGGGCAACACCAGACAAGGGTTCACAGTGGAAATGGATTCAACGTGTGAAGCCCGTTTTAGCACGTGGAGAATCCTCCTCATTTCCACGAGCCAAAAAGGGCTCCACACGTGGAACCTATTCCACATGTGGACCTTTGTTTGGTGTTGTTGCCCGATGATGGCGCATTGAGCGCCATCATCGGGCAACTGCTATACTATACCATCGAGTACAGGAGTCATTTAAATTGAATTATTTAGCCATTTAACCTATAAAATATCCCTATTAGCATAAGAAAAAGCTTTGATAATGAATTTCCAAAATATGCTAGGTAAAAAAGAATCGGAGAAGATTCTTCATGTTCATAAATAATCATCATAACGCATAAATGGTTATAAAACCATGTCTGAAGGTGGGGATTGGCATTTCCAGCTTTTCGATTGCTTTGCAGCTCCATTAAATTGCATATGGGCTTGCTGCGTACCATGTGGAATCTGCTGTCAACAAGCTACCACAACTAAACTTATAATAGACCAAGAAGAAAATGCGCCTACATTTGCTTTTTTATTCGCATGTTTGGGGTGCTGTTTTGGAGTAGCTTATAATCGCCAAAGAATTAGAAAAACTTTGGGGATAGGAGGGTCTTATTTAATTGACTGCATTCTTGCTTTTTTTTTACCTTGCTGCACAATGGTGAGAGAGTGGAGAGAAGTGATGACTGTTAAAGGACTAAAAGAAGATGAATTTGTGTGGAAAGCTTGGAAGGGGTACTCCGCAATTTAATCTAATTTAATAAGCTTAATATTCTTTTCAGTTATATAGAGATTTCCCTCTAATAGTCCATTTTGTATTAAAATTAATTTTTTTCTGGACTATTTATGGTAAATTTTTATATATAATTTTTTTACCTATTAGCAACAGCCCTTCTTCTTGGCTCCACCCTGTGCTTTCTGAACTCTCACTCCCGTGTTCGTTGCCCCCAGCGCTTCTCCTAGCTTTTTATCTTTAATTTCTTTCGCAATATGCAGAAAAGTCTCATTGACATTGATATTAGTTTTTGCGCTGGTCTCGAAAAACTGTATGCCTAACTCATTTGCCAAAGCTTGGCCTTGTTCTGTCGAGATTTTTTTATCAGGCCTATCACATTTGTTTCCTATAAGCACTTTGGCGACGTTTTCGTTGGCATGCATTTTGATTTGCTGGACCCAGTTTCTGATGTTGTTGAAGGATTTCTCATCAGTGCAGTCATATGCAAGAATGATTCCCATGGCGCCTTTATAGTACGTTTGCGTGATGGTTCTGAAGCGTTCTTGGCCTGCCGTGTCCCATATTTGGAGCTTGATGGTTTTGCCTTCGATGTCTATTGTTTTCAGCTTGAAGTCGATCCCAATTGTTGTGAGATGGGAAGCTGTGAAGTTGTCGTCTGAAAAACGAAGGAGAAAACAGGTTTTTCCTACACCTGAGTCGCCAATGATGAGGAGCTTAATGAGGTAGTCGTATTGAGTTGAGCTGCGAGCCATGTTGAAAATTATAACTACTCCAATAGAACTAGTCAGAAGAGAATATGAAAATTAAGAAATAGAGGAAGGGAATGGGGATAGGAAGGGGGATGAGATTTAAAGAGAGATTAGGAGAGGAAGAAGATGAAGAAGATGAAATGGAATTTTTAAATCAGCCAAATGTTTGATTTCCATTTTTTATTAAAACGGGCATTGGCCTACTATAACCTGATCTTTTATTTTTTCAAACCTCTCCATAAATTTTCGCATCATTCTCAATTCTATCTTGAATTTTTGCCATCATGGCATGCCTAGTAGTGACAGAATTTTTGCCAGGAAAATAAAAAACTACCAGGAAGGCCACGGAGTCGCAGGGGGCAGAATTCCGGGGTGGAATGCGGTTTGGCTAACTGGGCCTCCTCTCGACCCACAGACAAGAAGACTGGCGGCACAACACTAATCGAGCACTTCTGGAGGAGCATTATGTTGCCTGCAAATGCAGAGGTAGTTCCAGAAGGAGGTATCGGACGAATCCCTCATACCCTGAGCACTACCAGGCGTTAAGAGAGTCCTTTGCTGAAGTTTTTTGGTCCAAGCAGGTTCAGTTTAGTCTCCACGAAAGATATCGACGTCATCATTTTTGGTAACGCCAACAGAAAAGGGCGTTAGGTGGCTTTAGTGATTAGCGCCACACGAGTGCGAAGCTGAAGCTCGACTGAATCAGGGGCTGAAGTAAACCCTTTAACCCTCTCTAACCTTAACTCTCTCTCAATTCTATCTCAACATTTCTCAACTATTTTCCTTTCAAACCTTCAACCATACAAAGTTATTGATTTTCATATTTAAAAAAAGATTATGAAACTCATTATAGATAAAGATAAGAATTATTATAATACTAGCATTATCTATGTTTAGTGGCTTCTCTATAAGTTAAATTTGACCAGATTGACTCATTTTCATCAAGAAAGCTATAGACTCTCTCAGGATTGTGCCTTGCATAGTCTCTTAATGCCCAACCTATTGCTTTCCGAATAAAGAAATTTTCATCACTGGCTTGGGATTTGGCATAATCAAAGAGTCTTTGTTCATCAGTATCGTCTTTTCAGCCAAGCTGATGAAGTAAAGCAATTCTTCTTACCCACATATTTTCATGTAAAATAGATTCGTCCATAATATTTTGAGCGTTTTTATCACTAGCTAATGATTTGCGTAAAATTTTGTTTATGACTGAGCTAAGCCCATCAACAGAGTCCCATCATGACTTTTCTTGGGCTAGTCTTATTAGCTGCTTGATGTTTGCTAGGCTAAATTTCAAATAATTCTTAGCCAAGATATCGACTGCTATGTATTGGTATTCTCTTTGGTCTACTTCCCATAGTCAATTAACTAGCTCTTGGCCTATATTAAAATAATCTTAATTTAACAAAACGTTTTAAATTAATCTAATAAACCAAATTTATTTTTTATAAATTTATTATTCACTTAAGTAGAAATAAATTATTTCAGTATAAAAGAAATGGATTGGAATTTTGATAAGATATATAGGGCTTTCCCTTGAATAGCCCGATAACGGGCTGGCTTCATCCCGTTATCGGGCTATTCAAGGGAAAGCCCTATATATGAATATTTTATAAATTAAAACATTTTAAATCAAGGTAGAGAATAAGTCTAGAAGGTCTTTAACTGAAAGTTTTTTAGTTTCAGTAACGAGGTCTTTTGTAGCTTGGCGCCTTTGAGGAGTTTTAATTCCTAAAAACGAAAAGTGGTTTTTCATGTAAGATGCCATTGGTTTTGCTAATCTAGGATCTGCAGCTGCTTTTAAGGCAGCATCTATGTTCGTTTTTATTAAGTTGAGGCTCATTGATGATTTTATTTATATAACGCTATTCCTTTTCACATGACAAATCTCACATTTATCAAGCTAATTTCCAAATTCCTAGCCCAACCAGAAATCTCAGATATCATAGTTTCACTTAACAATGGTATAGAAATGAATAGTTTATTATTAAAATGGATGATAGCAAAGATTGACTTTTCTCACATTTTTCTTTAATAAAATTATCAAATTCTTTTATTGGCATTTAAAAATTGGATCAAAAAATAAATATTTCAATAAAATAATTATTAATAAAGAAAGAATTTAAGTTTTATTAGAGTATTTCAAACGATGCTTAGTAGCTTCTCTATATGAAAGGCCAGACAAAATAGACTTATTTTCATCAACAAATTTATAAACTTCTTCATGGTTAAATTTTGCAAAATCTCTTAACGCTCACCCAATAGCTTTTCTAATAAAAAAATCTTTATCATGAGCTTGAGAAGTTATATAGCCAAATAATCTTTTAGTATCTGTTAGCTGCTTTCATCCTAGCTGATGTGTAATTGCAACTCTTCTAACCCATAAATTCGAATGAATAATCGAATTATCCATAATTTTCTGAGCATCAGGATCCAAAGATAAACTTTTCTTGATAATTTTATTTATAACTAAAGTCATATAATCTACAGAATCCCAATAAGGCTTTATGTGTACAACATTTAATAAGTAATCAACGTTTTCTATTTCAAGTTTTTCTAAATTTTCAATTAGCATATCAGTTGCAATATATTGATATTCCCTGTATTCTTTTCCCCAAAGCCAATCTACTAGTTCAAAAATTTGACGCTGATTAAGATTCTTAGTCTCTTCTATAAAGCTTTTTTGTAAAGATTTCCTTTGAGGTGACCAAAGTCCTAAATAAGGGTATAAATTTTTGATATAAATTCCAATTCTTTCTGCGTCTTTTATACTTCTAGCTGCTTCTAAAGCAGTTTCAAGACTAGATTTCAATACATTTAAGCTCATGTATTATAATTCTTTTACTAATAAAATGTATGGCTAATTAACCTTAATTAAGATTATAGGTTAAAATATGTATTTGCACTATCTGGGAACTCTGTAAAGATACCATCAATATTTTCATACAAAAGCTTCAAATAAACCTGCTTAGCTGTAAAACCTGCTGGTAAAGTATCATCTCTTATAGTCCATGGATGAACAAATAAATTGTTCTGATGTGCCAAAGCCACAAAACCAGTGCTATCATACTTTGTATTAAAAATAAACCCTATATCAGGGCCGACCCCATGGACTATACTAGCATACTCAGTCATATTATATGGCAGGCCTGAGCCTGAGTCAATTAAATAGACTAATGGAAGATCAGTTTCTTTTGAAAAAAATTCTAAAGTTTCTAATTCGAAACACTGTAAAATAATTGGACATTTTTCATTTGCACCTTTTATATCATCTATTCCAAACTTCTTTAGTGTATTAAGTAGCATTTGTTGGACTGGAAAACCTTTAATCTCCATCCGTAAATTTTTGTTTGCTCATGGAGGGGGTTAATTTTTTTTTAAAAAAAATTATATATAAATTTGATAGTGAATTTTTTTTCAAAATTAAAAAAATCCCTATTCGCAAAAATTGGAAAGTAGATATTAATATAATTTGTAAATTTATGTTTTAAAATGCAAGCTGTTTAAAATTAAACAGAATTAGCTAGAGATTTCATCATACTAATTATTACTTATATATCAAAATATTTTTTTGATAAATAATTTTTTTTTCCTCATAGAGGGTGGGTTTTCGGGCAAAAATAAGGATTTTTCCAATGGCTTTGTTCACTCACGGATGGGGAGTTAGAATTATAATAAGTAGGATTTTTTAATTCAATATAAGCCCCAACTAAGTTTTTTTTATTTCTTTTTCTGTTTTCGTTTTCTTTGATTGCCCATTCTAATGCTTCATCGTTATCGCTATCATTAACTACTTAATTTTTGATCAGAATTTGATCGGTATACCGATCTGAATTAATAAGCTTATTTGAGGCCGTCGCGAGACAGTATAGCGACTAACTGACTTAGTGTACTGCTCCCATTCTCCAGGTTCCAGAGTCCTCCTCTCCTGTTGTTGCAAGTAACATTTTGACGGTCCGTGCCGTTAGAGTGTGTAGGTTTGTGACTTGTTATCCACTTGCTCTTTCTCAGCATAAGCTGATTCTGTGCCTGCAACTTTGTCTTGATCCTCTACAGAAAGTCCATGGCCAGGTGTTTCAAATGGGAAAAATCCACTTACAGAGGGAAAACTAATGCTTCATCAATTGTGATTTTTTCAAGCAGGTAATTAAAAGTTTTAGGTCTAAATGACAGTCTTTGTTTAGCTCTGAGCTGCTTAATTTGTTCTAGTGTAAAGTCTTCAATAAACCAGCCAGTTTCTGTAATATTACCTTCATAGGTTTGGATTGTTTTTGTAGTGCGCAGGTATGCAAATTGAGGGAGTAACTCCACATTGGAGGTTTCATTTAAAAGATTGTCATGGTTAATGACCAAGTGAAAATCTTTTGTAGGGTTCAAGTCAGGCTCTATATAGTCGGCTGACATATAAGCTGCAACGTCATAAGCTTGCAAAGTATGTTCAGGGATATAGCCACTTGCACCTCTGTGAGCGATATTAAGAGGACGTTTCAAGTTTTGTAAATAAGGTGCTGGAGTCTGTTTTGCTATTGCAATAGAAACGAGAACTGTTAGAAGCCACATTGGTCCTAAACTTTTAATAGCAAAATTCAGTAGAGAAAATTTGAATATGGATCCTATTAGCTATATAAAAATTTCTCTGCCGAATATTTAATAGTTCTTATCTCAATTAAAAAAATAATTACTTTTTTTAATAATTAATGCAGAAAAGAATGTTATTGAAATATAAATAAGCAGCATTTTTATTATCTAGGAGATTTAGTCATATACAAGGCAAATTAATCTTTGGGAATTTTCAGCCAATTTCTTACTTAAAATTGAGGAAAATGGATAGAATATAATAAGCTCTTTTAAACATAGCGTCACAATAATAAAATGAAAAAGCATGAACTTGATGATGATCAATGGGATTTTCTCTGCACAAATAGCCCAAAATTGGTTGTGAAGAACATTACTAATGATTTAAAAAAGGCTACACCATCACTTTCAACAAATGCAAGCTCAGCAGATGGGCATTCAAGTGTTAACATGTCAGGGAAAAATGCGACGGATTTAAATTTATTTGCGAGATCTTCAATTACTCCTACTAAACTTAGGCTTCAGAGCCCTAAACCACCAACTAGAGATAAGACTCCACAATTTCCATATACAAGACCTATGCTTAAATATAAATCGTTAACTAAGAAGATCTTGAAGCCAAATTTATTAGACTCAAAAAATAAGTATGAGTCACAACTTAATGTGAGTGCTGAAAATATTAAAAATTCGTCTCAAAATCCTATGAAATTCAGGATTAAAACGAAATTGCAGCCAGCATTAACTGGAGATCTAGCTCATTCCTAGGAAATAAAAATAGTTAACATAATTTTTATTTAAAAAAACAGTTTGAAAATAAATAATCGAACAAAAAATAATAAAATTTTCTAATAAGAGAGTAAGGAAAAAACTTGAAAGGTTGGGACTTTTTTCCTCTAGAGACTAATAATAATGTTAACCATTTTTGGATTATACACAAATCTTAACTAATTAAACCTTATAATATTGTTAATTTATTTTTAATAATCAAATAAAAATACTGAATAAATCATAATCTTTCTTGCCTTAATTTTCACAAATTTAATATTCTTATGAATTATAAAGATTCCATATTTAAATGTCTGAAGAAGTAATCACAGAAAGGCAAGGTAGACCTCAGCTTCGAGTTATTGAATACAAGACTCACTCAAGCACCACATCCCCTCCAAATTTTCAGCTGAGACCTCGCAATAGATCAACTGATGCTCCATCTTCAAAAAATATTAACTTCCATGAGCGCAACATTAAATATCTTAAAACTTTGAAAGAAAAAAAGGACCAGAGGCTTCAAGACCTCGAGCAAGAAAAACAAAAACTTGAAATCACCAGACAAAGACTAGCTTCTTTAATTTTAAAACGAAACGAAGTTAATAATAGCAAAGAAGAAAGGCCAAAAACTGTATGTGAAAATGCAAAAGAAGAAGAAAATGATGACAAATTCAAAACTGAGGATTTTAGTGAATCCAGTCAAAAATCGAATAATTTTCAAAATTATTCCTTTATCTATATATGAATAAGCCAAAAAAGCAGTTAAGTCATTAATATTTTTTGCAAACATTTATATATAGAAATTATATTATAGATCAAGATATCACACTCTCCTCGAAACTCTTCAAGAAAATAATAAATATAAACAGCAATTAAAAGAAATAGAAGAGCAAAAGAAATTGAATAATATGAAGAAGCTTAAAGAAGATCTAGGATTTGTCAATGTCTCCTCAAAATTGTTTAACCCTACCATTTCAAGTATGATTAATTCAAATAATTTATCAGAAAGTGAAATCGCTGAACTAAAAGCATCAAAATATGCATCCTTTGTAAATGTAAATAAACCAAAACCAAAACCACAGACCCCTTTTAAGCCTGCAGAAGATGATAAAATTAAGCAGAAATTAGCAAGAGAAGCAGCAGAAAAGATATTTAGAAGAGCTCAAGAACACCTAAATCAATTAGCAGAAAGAAAAATGATAGAGGCTAAAAAGGAGTCAGAAGCAAAAGATAGAGAATTAAGGATGAGGCAAGCTTTAAAAGAATCAGTTTTAAATAAAGTCAAAACCAATGTGGTATCTAAAGAAGAACTACCAGCTCCTCAGCAATCTCCAGTCAAAAAGCCTAAAAAATCTGACGAAAAAATCCTCCAAAGACTTGTCCAGGTCCCCAAAAGATGGCCTGGGTGCACAATTACAGACATCTCAATTTTCAGAAAAAAATACAAGCTCAGCGAAAAAGATAAAATTTTTGTGATAAATGGGACTTATCCTGATATAAGAAAAGCATTGCTTGATAGAGGTAATCATCAAATAGTAAGACTGATTTGAAAATCCAGACGTAAATAGCCCTTGTTTTGATCTTATTTGGACAGTTCGAAGAAAAGACATTGATTTTCCAAATCTACAAGAGCATCAGCTTTGTAATCATTTTGATGAGAGCACTACGATAACCACAAAGGCAGGATTATCTAAAAATCTGAAAAATTTAATATGATTTTGCAATGTTGATATTGATACATTTTATCCTAGATGTTTTGAGGTAAGTGAGCAGCCAGAACTTGACGATTTTATTACAGAATTCAAAGCTTTGAGGGCTGAAGCACTATTGAAAAAAGCACTATCTGGAATAAAGATTAAAGAAGAGAAATTAAGGATAGCGATTTCTATATGTCAAAGACGACTAAAAGACTTGGATGAGCTAGTTGATGATCCGAATATTGATGGATGGGAACTTGGTATACCCAATTCTGGCATTTTTTTTTAAAAAAAATAATTAAAAGTTAAAATAGGGTATTTTTGATATTCAAATTCATTAAATTTTGGATAAAAGAAGATGAATGAGCAATAATTTCTGACAACACCAAAGATGAAGATCTTTCAGGGCTAGAAAACCCTCACCTACTCCAACAAGCCCGAGAAATCGCTCAACTCATGATGCAAAAATTTCCACAGTTCAATATAAACGGCTGCCTCAATATTTGAATAGTAAAACCTGCAGGCCTATCACGTGGCAGAGGTATAAACTGCTACAACAATCTTTCAGATATTCAAAATCATATCCAAAAAGAAGGAGGATGGGTCGTTCAAAAATACATAGAAAATCCCAAATTAATATTAAGAAAAAAATTTGATATTCGTCAATGGGTTTTAGTTACATGCTGAAATCCCTTAACAGTCTGATTTTATGAGCGCTGCTACTTAAGATTTGGCGTTGAAGACTTCACCTTTGACGATTTAAGCAACAACTATGTGCATCTTACCAATAACTCAATCCAAAAAAATTCTGAGCTATTTTATTCTTCAGAAATTGAAGGCTGTATGTGGCATTCCGAAGAATTTGCAGAATATTTAAGAGAAGAAACAGGCAGAGACCTATGAGAAGAAGATATTAAACCAAGAATAAAAAATATTGTAAAACACTCATTGGAATGTGTACAAGATATGATTGATAATCGGAAAAATTCATCTGAGCTGTTTGGGTTTGACATAATGATTGATGACAATAATAATCCATGGCTTATTGAAGTAAATGCGAGCCCAGCTATGGATTATTCTACACAAGTAACTGAAGAGCTTGTCCATTTAGTTATGGAAGATACTATTAAAGTTATGGTAGACTATCATTTTGCTAGTAAAAAGAAAAAACATATTGAAATTGATACTGGGAATTTTTCATTACTTTTTAAGCCAAAAGGTCCTGTAGAGAAGCCTATCCAGTCTTATGGGCTGAATCTATTATGTGAGGGCAAGGCAATAAAGTCATTTTCTTAAAACCTAAGAAAATTATTATAAACTAAGAATAGTTAATTAAAAAGCATCTTCATCATTAGGGATAATTGGGAGGACTTCTTTTGAGAAGTCTTCAAGGGAAATATTTCTTTCCAAGCTATTTGAGTATCTAGCTAGCAATAATTTCCTATCAAAACTAGTAGTTTGGATTCCTACTCTGTCAAGAGCAGCCATTAAGTCGTTATCATTTATTTCTCCATCCCCATCAGCATCAATTGCATTAAATCTCATCCCGATATCTGCGTCAGGCAATGAATTTAGTTCATTTCTTTTGTCCTCAATTTTTCTTTCAGTATCAAAAATAACAGCAAAAAGCTCTACGATTTTTCTTAACTCCCCCCCTCCGTGAGTGAACAAAACCATTAAAAAATCCTTATTTTTTGCCCCAAAAACCCACCCTCTGCGAGCAAACAAAAATTTGTTTTAATAGAACAATTTTTTATGGAAAAAATTTTGATATATAAGTGATAACTATTATCATGAAATCTCGAGCTAATTCTGTGTAATTTTAAAACAAATTTCGTTTTAAAACATAAATTTTACAATATTTGCCTTCCAATTTTCAGAAGTGAGATTTTTTTAAATTTCGAAAAAAAAAAAAATTCTTTAAATTTAATAATAAATTTTTTTAAAAAAAAAAATTTAACCGAACAAAATTTTTTTGTTTGCTCACGGATGGGGGGAGTAAACATTCTTCTGAAAAGCTCCAGTCTTCTTTTTCAGCCGTCATGAATTGGTATTCTTCAGCTTTAGGGTTTATGATGTCTTTTATGGCATCTAGCGATAGCTTCATGACGATATCTTTATTGCCAAATCTTTTAAATAAAATCCATAAATCGTCATTTGTAGGGTCAACGCCGAGATCTTTTAAAAATTCGTCCATATCAGAAATAAGGATTTCTCCTTGGCCACTTTTATCGATTAACTCGAAGAATTTTGGGAGAGAGAATTCTTTCATCATAGCGAGGTTTTGGCGGTAGTATTCGATTCTGCGCTCACAAAGAAGCTGCAAAATGAGAAAGTTTGAAACTTCGTTTTCAATTGAAGTTTCTGAATAAAGCTTTTTTGGCTCAGCTTCTCTTTGTATTTATCAATAAATTGATTTAGAAATGACGCTGACATATTAGAGATAATATATCTTTAATAAAGGGGACCTGACTTTTTATTATAATATACATTTTATAATGAATTTTAATACATTTTCTGACTCTTTTTCTGGGGTTTCATAGTTTTGCATATTTTGTAGATCTCCAACAGTGAGTTCTTTTTGATTGAATTTTGGACTTAAAATTTGGTTTTCAGGGGATAAAAGATCTTCTTTTTCTTCTTCTAAATTGTCTAAATCTTCTTCGTTTAAACACACAATTAAAAATGGCGAGCCATCCGACCCGTCCTTCTCCTGTACCCTCAGGGACTACGGGGTTAAGAAGTAAACGGGGCCTGGATATTGTGTCCAGGGTGGGTTTTTTTTACCTTGGTCGGGACACCACGACAAGGTTTTTTACCTCTCACAAAGACAAGAAGACCAGAGCCGATGTATCAGGAGTCAAACTTCAGGACTAGAAGGAAAGTGAGGAAGCTTGTAGTGGAGCTTAGGGGACCTGAAGGAGATTCCGGGAGGCTACTTTTCCCCCTCCCCAGAAAGGACGGCGCCGGGTCACTAGACCCTGATCAAGGAGTACCTGGGTGAGTCTCCCTGTTAGATGGCGACGTCACCATTTTTGGTGACGTCGACAGAAAATGGAGTGAGCTACAGAGCCGGTGCATAGGGCGCAAGCCTGAAGCTGGCAGCGCTGGGTAGAGGCTGAAATAAACCTCCGTGACCCGCTAAAACTAATTAATCCAATTAATCCAATCTTCGTTTAATTCTAGCCTCTTATCTTGGTCAGATGAATCTCCTCCTTGCTCTACTTTATCTTCAGACTCACCATTAAACTTTATAGGCTCCTCTTCTTTCTTTTTTGGTATTTCTGGTTCCTGATGACTTTCTTCTTGTTTTGGTGATGGCCTATTAAAATTTTCATATGATTTACTTACTCTCACCCTCCATGAGCGAGCAAAACATTTTTTTCCACTCATGGAGGGTGGGCCAAAATAGGTATTTTTCAAATTTGATATATAAGTGACAATTAATATAACGAAATCTCTAGCTAATTCTGTTTAATTTTGAATTTTACAAATTAAATAAATATTTGCTTTCCAATTTTTGCGAATAGGGATTTCTTTAAATAAAAAAATTTATTTATAAGGGGGAATTAGATTTTCGTATGGTTTTTCTGGGCTTCCATTTGATTTTCCGAAGTTTTGGTATGACTTGCTGAGTGCAGAAGCCCCAAGATTGCTGCTATGCAAAGGCAATAAAACATCAAGAAATTCTTCAAAAGTAACTAGCCCATCATCTTGGGTATCAACTCTTCTAAGAAAGCAATCCATATCACTCTGGCTTAAATAATGCCCGAATCTTCTTGTAAAGTCTATTATATCTGCTTCTCTTATATATCCTTTTTCTGCTTTATCAAGCGCTAAAAACGCTTTTCTAACTGTATAGCCAGGCTCTCTATATAAATCAGCTTTTATATTTTCAAGCTCTCTTTGCAAAGTTAGCTCTTTTTCAATTAACAATTTTAGGCTGACTTCGTAGCTGAAAGTTTCTCGGTAGAAAAGTCTTCTACTCAATGCGATATCTCTGGAAATGCTATTTGTGGATGGTAGCACAAGCTGAAAAAAATCTTCGCGATTTAGCCGTCCGTTAAGTCCAGAGCTGTATTGCCTTACTAGTAAATAGAAGTCATTATCGGAAAATTTAGCGCTTTTATCTCCTAACTCCCATATACATAAAATGGCGTATGGCGACCGACCCACCCTCTCAGTGGTGGTTACCCATGTATATCCGGGCATGGTTTTTGGAGCCAGGAATTAGCCCAACAACGTCTGGGACCTCGAAGCGAGAGGCCTAAGCGCGAGAGCCGCTGTTTTTGCGACCAGACCCATGGGCAGTTATTCGTGACTTCTTTTTGCCAGCAGCGCTCAGCCCAGTGAGTGCCCGAAATGAGGCAGGGTGAATTACCTGCCTAAGCTGCTTTAGTGGCTCGCCCCGAATGGCGAAAGCTGTTGAGTTCTTTCTCGGGATGACCGGAAAAGAGGGGAGGCGAGTTAGACACCAAAACGGGGGTCTCTCCAGTTGAAAAGGTGCCCTTCAATGGGCAGATCTGGCGGACGACGAAGCGGAGTTGGCGTAAACTTAGGCGACGATCCAAGTTGGAAATGGAGGTGGTCAGCAAAGCCGGTATGAGACGGCCCTTGACAATACCTCTACCGAGAAACCGGGGGTTTCGGCCCGGGCTTGGTGAACGCTCTGCCACCACACGGGAAACCGTGGCATGCGACCTCGGACGTAGTAGGGACCTTAAATACCCAGCGTAATCTTAATCTTAATCTTAATCTCCTAACTCCCCCTCCGTGAGTGAACAAAACCATTAGAAAAATCCTTATTTTTTGACCAAAAGCCCAGCGTGAACGTATTTTTTTAATAGAAAAAAAAATTTATGAAAAAAAATTTGATATATAAGTGATAATTATTATAATGAAATCTAGAGCTAATTCTGTTTAATTTAAAACAAATTGCGTTTTTTAAAACATAAATTTTATAAATTAAATTAATATTTGTTTCCAATTTTGTGAATTAGGATGTTTTTAAAATTTTGAAAAATAAAATTTATATATAAATTTTTTTTAAAAACAAATTAACCCCTCTCCGTGAGCGAACAAAATTTTTTTGTTCACTCACGGAGGAGGGAGAGTAAGTAATCTTTGAAGTCTCTTGGTATGAGAACTCCTGAATCTCTGAAAGAAAGGTTTTCGAATGCTTTATATGGATTGAAATCTGGATAATCGCACAGTCGATTCCTTAAATATTCGACACTTCTTTCTCCTTCTACAATCTTCATTATCAAGCTACATAGCTGAATTTCAAGTCTTGAATCTAGCATTGGCAGTTAACGGAAATAATTATAATAAATTACAAAAATAATTCCAAAAATTAATTTAATTAAAAATATACACTTTGCCTTGTATTTTCATTAGAAAATAACTTAAAATTATTATCAGATAATTCAAAGTACAAAACTATAGAGCTGATCAAATAATTTCTATCTGCCACAACACATAGCGGCCTATGTTTTTTGAGGAGATAGCTAAATAAATATGAAATAATTAGATAAATGGCACAAGAAATAGAATCAGCTTTAAATAAAGCTTTGGAAAACGTAACCACGATTTGTTCAAGCACTGCAGAAAAAGTAGAAATTTCGCAAAATGAACTACATAAAACATTGAGCGCCTTAGAAGAAAAACTTCAAGGAATTAAAGAGCTGTCTGCCATTATTGATGAATCAAAAATTACAGCTGCATGCGAGTCTATTGAAAAATATAAAGCCAGATTAGAAAGAATAAAAAAACGAACAGATGGAATAAAAATCAGAATTTCTAAGATAGAAGAAAAAATATCAGCAAAAAAGCTATAATTGAACTAGATTATGAAATTAATTATTATAAAAACAAATAATTACCCTCAAAATGAAAGAAAAATTTATTTTTCACGTTAAATTTTTACAAAAAGTACTTTATTTTCATTTTCCCTCATAAATCTAAATTTAAATCACATTAAATCCTCCTTTCCTTATCTTTGCAATAATTTTTAATGGCGTTCATGAAATATGACCCTGGGTATGACTTCTCCAATAAAGGGATTGATTGGGAAGAATACCAACGTGAAGTCCGTCTCAGAACTGATGCAGTATGGGAGCGTCAAAAGCTTAAAGACTATTTTCGCTTATTCTACAAGATTTTCTACTGGGACCCTAAAACAGAGCAATACTACATCACTATGCCTCTGCATAAAAACTATAACTCCCCAGATGGCTGGCGTTTTAAACCTCACCACGGCTACAACCCTACAGGCAAATCCAATTCATACCAGAGAAGCAAAGCTAAAGAATTCGGCACAAGAACAGTCTCCCTCAGCTACGCTGACACGTTAAGAGACAAAAATACTGTCTGTTTCTTCCGTTTTAGAGCTTATAAGAAATGCGAAGGAAATACTCTGCTCCCTCAAATTCTGGAGAAGCCTGGAGAGAAATTCAACCCAGAATGCTACCAAGAAATGCTAGATATGGTAGAATACTGCAGCAATGTGCAGCTGAACTGGCTTTCTGATATGTGGCACCATATGAAGATGAACCAAGATAAATCGGTATTCAGCAATAATGATGAACTGAAAATGATGATTGATGAATTCGATAATCCAGATGTGGACGTCAAGACTTACTAAGCTAAATAGCAGCTTTTAGGAATTTTAGGTAATAGATGTTTTAATAAGCTGATGGGAAATGGGTAGTAGAGGTTTTTTTGAAAATATTTTAATTATTGAAAGAATTAATATGGAAGCTACTTGTGACCTTTCGTGACTGTTTAGAGGGGATTTTCAAAGAGCGTTCAATCTAATTGATACTAGTCCAGCATGCAAGTCAGAACTAATTAAATTTTCCTAGCTCTCCAGCGAAAAAAAAATTTTGTTCGAGCAGAAGGTTTTTTTTTTAAAAATTTAGAAAGAAATTTTATAGTTTCGAAATTAAAAAAAATTTGAAAGCAAATATTTATTTTGTTCAAAATTAAACATAATTTATTATATTAATCATCACTTATATATCAATAAAAATTTTTTTGTTTGTATGTAGGGTTATTTTTGGGATTTTTCAAATTTTTTTTTTTCACTCATAGGTGAGTAATGGAAATGTATGAAATTGTACTGAAAAAATCACATTAAGTCTTCTAAGAAAAAATGAAATGCCAATATATCGGGAAATAATTGGAAAATGCCAAGCAGACATGGATATCTCAAAACAATTAAATATAGCTCCAGAGGACTGAATACAGCATAGAATTATAGATTATGAAGAGCATTCAGACTTTTTAAAATACAGCGTCTGTGCCAAAGTTAATGGAAAAATCGCAGGATTAGTAACTGCTGCACCTAAAGCCTCTTATCCTGAAAAATCATTTGAGAGAGCTAGGGCAAGAGAATTTTGGAAAAAAATTGATTTTATTCATAAAATAACATCAGAAAGTCTGCCTTTTATATTTGATATGTCTAATGACAATATTTCAAATAAAAAATATGTCAATCCTAAAGAAGTGCTTTATGCATCTAATTTATCTATTTTGCCAGAATTTAGGACAGCAAGGCTTACAATTTATATCAATGCCATTGTATCAGCATTGGGGTATTTAAATGATATGAAATTTTGTTATGCTTGCTCTTTAGATACAAGATTTCCTTATTGAAAAAAATTTAATCCATGAATGGTGAAAACTACTTATTATGGAGATTTAGTTGTAGATGGAAAAAGAGTTTTTCCTAGGCCACATCCGAATCAAGTTCATACCCTTCTTGTACTGCCATTAAAATCGAATCTTATTAATCCTAAACTTTAACGAAAGATTTTTGTCATAAAATAAATAGGAATTTGTGCAATTTTTTATTATATAAATAGATTATTTAGCCTTAATGCTTAGACTAGTATTTTAGTTTATTGATTCTTATTTTTCTCCTTCTTTCTTTTCGCCTATCTTGTTGAAATCAAATCCAGAGCTTGATCTATGATTTCTTGACGATATTGGGCTTCTTGCTCTCATAGGAGGAAGTGGACTAGCAGTTCCTGCAGTGGAACTTCTAGGGCTTGAGTTTCCACTGGTGTCTTGGCTTTCTTTTTCTTTAACCCATTCTAATTAAATAATATAATTTTTTTAATAATTTTTTTTATATTAATTATTCTATTTATTGATCACCTTGGAGCTTTAGAAAATTCTTCAAACGATATTCCTGCATTTTGGAAAAGCCCAGTAACACCTTTATTGAATTGGCTGCTTCCAGGTGGTCTCTGTGCAAAAGCTCCTCCAACCCTTTTCCCTTTTTCAGCTCTCAGTTTTTCATTATCCCTTACAAGTGACTCTCTTCTTTTTTCTGACCTCTCTAACGAGTCCATAGCTTCATTTTTTTGAGCTAATAAATGGTCTTTTTCCATATTCCATTTTGCTCTTTCCTTTTCAAGGTCTAAAAACAGCTGACCTTTTTGATGTTCAGCTTCTTTAGCTCTTTTTTCATAATCAGCAAGTTTTGTTTTAAGCTGTTCTTTTTCGTAGTTTGCTGATTCACTGAGTTCTTCAATTCTTCTTTCTCTATCTTTTTTCAAAGCGTCAATTTCAGCTAATAGTCTTTGCTCACTTTCTGATAAATCTTTGACTCTTTTTTCAAGAGACCCTGACTCACTTGATCTCCCTCTTTTAACGAGTTCTAGTTCTTCTTTTACTGCTCTTAAGTCTCTTTCAAGGATTTTATTTTTATCAATAGTTTCGCTATCTCAATTGAGCAAAAAAAATTATTTTTTTATTAATAAAATTTTATTTTTTTTTTTTTTTTAAAAAAAAATTAATTGTTGAGGTAAGAGATGAAGCATGAGCTTCCTGCATGTCTTTAATTTGAGTTGTAAATCTCGTTTCAATTGAAGAAATTAATAAATTAGTAGCAGATTCTTGTTTTTCTTTTTCAGCTGCACTTCTTTTTTGTAAGTTTTCAACTGTAATATCAAACTTTCTTTGAGATTCAGCTAAATCTGCTTTTGCGGAATCCCTCTGTTGGGTTAGGAAGTTAAACTTATTTTCCCATAAAATTCTTTCTCTTTCAAAGGCAGAATTTCTTTCAGAAATGTCTTTTTCCATTTCTTGCATCATGGTTTTAAGTCTTTCATTTTCTAAGTGAACAGACATCTTGTCGGTGCTTTCTGAGTCCTTTTTCTCTTTAAGCTGAACTTGAAGATGTTCAATGTCAGCTCTTAGGCGATTTTCCATGTCTTGCTTTTTGGCTTCTAAATTAGCAAGCTTTTCAGATAGAACTTAACTTAATTATGGAGAAGCTCCTGTAGCACCCACAGGTGTGTTTCTCGACCTATTGTCACTCAGCCACCTACCGCCATTTCTCTCGAGCACCACTTCTTCTCCCTCGGGCTTGATTGTTGACCTAATCGACATAGCGCTCCACCAAACCAAGTGAAACTTGGCCAAATACACATTACCGAGCATCATCCTCATTCCATAAAGTCCTTGGGTCACCCCAGCTATAGGTGCTAAGAGGGTGGGTTGGCCGACAAGCCATTTTAATGTATATCTCAATCTTTTCAGCCAGAACTGCTTTTTCTTTTTCTAAGCTGCTTATATTTTTTATGGTCTATAGTTTTTTCTCTTCATATTAGGCAATAATATAATTTAATTTGCCGTTGTTTAGAAAAAATTCCTTATATTTCCTCTTTGCTTACAAAATTAATTGTTTTAAGAAAACAAATGCCTCTGCCAATAAGATATCGCTCAAAAAGCAAAGAAAATATATAACTATCTATTATCCAGAGAAATTAATAAATCAATTTTTTGAAGAACTTGTAGCCAACTCTTTGAGTGATTTTTTCTTTTGGTTCAGCTTCTCTTCAAGACTTTCTTTTTCTTTTGTCAATTTTTGAATCGTTGTCGACAATTCTTCTCCAGACTCATCTTTTAAGCTTTTTAATGTTTCATTATATTTTTCTTCAGCTTCCTGCAGTGACTTCTCTAAATCACTAATTCTTTTAGCCTTGAATTCATTTTCCTGCTGAGAAAGTGCCATTTCTCTCTTAAAATCGCTTTTCTTCTGAGTGTATTCATCATTAATTTTCTGATAAGACTGCTTTGCAAGCTCGAATTTTTCAGCCAAAGTTTGTTTTTCTCTATCATATTGTTCCTTTACATCAGAGAGTTCAGCTTCTTTATTTGCCAACTGGGACTCTAATTGTTCTTTTTTATAAGAAACTGAGCTTAATTCTCTTTCTTTTGCAGCAAGCTCACTAGCCATTTTTTCGACTTTTTCTACTAGGCTTGCTCTTTCTGAGTTCATTCTTTCCTGCAGCTGTTCCATTGACAAGTTATGAGTCTTTTGCATAGCTTCAATTTGTTCTTTGTTATCTTTTAAGTATTTTTCAAGGGTTTCAATTTTTTGGGTGTCAAGTCCTGATTGGTGCTTCAATTGGGTGATTTCATCATTATAATAAGCTTCTAGGTCATGTAGCTCGTCTTCTTTAGCAGCCAAATCGTCTTCATATGCATCAGCTTCTTGTCTTAATCTGTCTTCGTATTCTTCAGACATAATATTATACTTCTTATCCGCCCTTTCTTTTTCTTCTTGTAGCCTTCCTTCCATCCTTTTCTTCTCTTCTTCATAAAACTCTTTAAGCTGTTGATACGAGCTTTCAGCCCTTGCATTTGCAGCTTGGATTTCATCATTTGTCTTTGTCCTTAGCTCTTCCAATGTATTTTCCAGTGTTTTTATTCTTTTCTTTAATTTTGCTTCAGCCTCTTCTGAAAACTGTTGAAGTCTCTTTTGCAGTTCATTGCATTGCTCCTGCAATTTATTTCTGTCTTCTGTAACAACAGTCAGCTCTTCCTGGAAATTTTTTTCTTTATTGCTCCATTCATTGGTTTCTACTTTAATTTGGAACTCTAGTTCTGCATTTTTCTTTAATAAATCTTCGACTTGGCTTGTGAATTTCTTTTTGGTGCTTTCAATTTCAATTTCTTGGCTTTTCATATCTTCCATGTATTTTTGGCGCAATTTTTGAAGCTGAGCTTCAGTCTCTTCACGAGCGTTTTCACCTGAGGTGGCTTGGATTGAACGAAGCATGTTTGCGTGCTGTCTTCTTTCTTCTTCAAGCTGAGATTTAGTTTCTTCATAGTGCTGCTCTGAAAATTCTAATTTTTGAGCTAAAATAGCATTTTCTTTTTGCCATTGTACTTGTTGGGATTTTAGAGTTTCATCTGTTTGTTTGAATTTTTGGTCGACTTCTTCAAACTTTGCTTGAAGCTTGGTAATTGAGGATTCATGGTCTCTGACAAGTTCTGCTATTTTTTTCTTGGTCTCGTTTTCTTTTCTATCTAATTTATACTTTTTTAAGCTAAATTAAGCTATAATATATTTCATAAAATATGAGCGTTAATTTAATATAGATTATTATAGTTTTCAGCATTTCTAATTGTGATAAATAATCATCATTCATTGATTTCAGCCTCAGCTCAGTTTCTTCCCAATTAGCCTTGGATCTTTCATATAAATTTTCTTTTTCTTCTAGCTCCCTTTCTAGCTCAGAAATTTTTTCAGTTTCTGACTCAAGACGAGACTGGTAGTTTTTAAGCTGATTTTCGAACCTGGAATGTATATCTTTTACTGAAGAAGTATGATCTTTTTTCTGAGATTTTAAGTCATTCATGTACTCTTTTTCTCGCCTTCGGGATTCTTCTAAGCTTGTTTCTAGATATTTTATTTTTTGGTCTAATAAGGCTTTGGCTTCTTGGAATTCAGCTTCTTTGTGGTTAACTGATCGTTCTGCATCTTTCATTTTTTCTTCAGATTCCCAAGCTTTATTGTTAGCAGATTCAATCTGTTGTAAAAGCTCGTTTTTGGCGTTTTTAAGGCCGTTTCTTAGCTCTTTTTCGACTTGTTCTCTTTCTAGCTTCATGTTTTGGACTTGCTCTTTTAAATTTTGTTCTTTAGCAGAAAGCTCAGCTTTTTCACTTATAGCAGCTGTGTACTTTCTATGCCATTCATCTTTTTCCCTCATAAGATCTTCTTTTGCTTCTCTTACCTCTGTTTCAAGCCTCATTATTTGGTCATTTGTCAACTGGTCTTTCAAATTCAACTCATTTGTCAGATTTTTTAAGAAAAAATCACTTACAGCTGAATACTTACCTAACATCCCCCCTCCTTAGACAATTTTGTTCATTAAAAGAGGGGGAGTTTAACAAATTTATATATTTTATAGTAAATTTTTTTTTTTGAATAAAAAATCCATATTCGCAAAAATTGGAAAGCAAATATTAATTTAATTTGTAAAACTTATGTTTTAAAATGTAAGCTGTTTAAAATTAAACATCTAGAAATTCATTATAATAATATCACTTATATTTCAAAAGATTTTTTTTATAAAAAATATTATATTTAGGGTGTTTTTGCCAGAAAATAGGGATTTTTCCAATGGTTTTGTTCGCTTAAGGAAGAGGAATAAGCAAAATTCTAATAAAATTTCATTTCTAAAAGGCCCATCAGGTCCATGCTCAATATAAAACTGCTGCAATTTTCTTAAATTTGCCTCAAAATCCAAGAAACTTTTAATTTCCCCATTTTTCAATTTTTGGTCAATAACTTGGAAATTGTCTGTTAAAAATTTTTCACATTTTCTTTGGGCTTCGAGCTCATTGTCAGCTTTAAGACCATCATATTTTTGAGCAAGGGTTTCTTTAAGCTGCTTTAAATATACATCCCTGTCAGTCCCAACAGCAATTTTATTAAAATGATCCATTGCGGCTTCTTTAGCCTCTTTATGCAGTAACTTTAAATCTTCTTCATTTATAACTTTTTAAAAAGATAGCAAGTGGTGAATAGGTCCAGGACGGCTTGTGAGCTGATTCCAGCCCAAACTTAAGTGAATTCTTTTAGGATGTTCTGGACAGGACTTCATAGCAGGATTTTTTCATTGACCCTGAGACAATATACAGAAAGCGCAATATCAGGCTCGCACTTCTGTGAAGGAATTTTAGCTGTATCAGGCTGATATCCCAGAAGGAGGCGCGAAGGCATTTTACCCGTACCCTGAGCACTACCAGGGGTTGAGAGAGAGTTAGTGCTACAAGAATTAGAGATCAAGTCACAAACATGGGTGAGTCTCTGAGAGAGATATGACCTAGGTAACTAGGGCCACTTGAGCTGAAGCCTGCGGTAGATGGCGATGGCTGAAATAAGCCCTAAGAATCGCTAGAATTTAATCTCCTCTAATCTTCATTTATAGGAAATCTGTGGGATACGCTGCTCATTAGAATTTTTTCATAAATATCTTGAGCATCCTCAACAGCTTTGGTACATTCTGTTTTACATATGTAATTCCAAGCACTTTCTATATTAGGCACAACGCCAATATTGATAGCTTCTATATAATTTTTGACTAAATTTGCAAGCATTTCGCCATTCAGACATTTATTGTTGACTGTTTTCGGCCTTATCCTTCCGATAACCCTTTTTCTTAATTGTATCACTTGTTCTTGGAATTCAGGTCTCAAGCTTTCAAGGGGTTTTTCTTCTAAATTCTGTAGGTCATCTTCCTTAGTTGTAGGTCTTATTAGGGTAAAGCAGTCTCTATCTTTAAAGAATTCTTTAAGAAGTCTTCTGATTCTATTTTTATCTTCAATTGAATCTGAGAACCCTTTTTGAGGTTGGAGAGCTTTTTCAAGATATTCCTTAGGTGTTAAGCTTTCCCCTTCTGAGTCTACCAGTTGAAGAGCAAAGTCTCTAACTTTAATCTTATTATAAGATTTATTTTAAATTTATTTTTGCATGAGTATTAAGTTAAAATTTCAATTTTTAAGACAATTTAATTAGCACTATTTAAAAATAATTTCTTAAGGAAGAATAAGCACCCAAACAAAGCTTGGCATATAAGCTGCGTATTCTTCACTATCAGTCTCATCAGATTGCCTTGTTTTTATATGAATATGCTTTGTCAAGTTAACCACTAATGACAAATTCTGTAAAGCGCTTTCATCTATTGCCCCAACTGAGTTGTAAATAAAGCAGGAGCTTATTAAGAGAGCCAGTGAAAAAATTCTAGTGTCATGATCTGAGTCTTCATCAAGAGCGCCTATTCCTTCAGAGTCCAGGACCACAATAGAGCATATCTTACCATCATCTGTTGTTCCTGGTATAGGTCTTCCCCAAAGCCAAATCCCTTTCGTGCAAGGGTTAATTGAAGGACCTACACCAAAGCCGCCTTTTTGATCTAACAAAACTCGATTCAAAAGATATAAAAGGCCGCATTGATTGCCTTCATTTTGTTATATTATCTTTAGTCCTTTTACTAAGCCAAAAAAATTATTATTTTAATATAAATAAAATAAACCCATTTATATTGAATACTTTAATCATATTTTTATTATAAAAGCCCATAGTAAGTGCTAAATCGCTGTAAATAAGGTTATGATTTCCCAGTCCGATACATTCCAGCAACACCAATGATTGCTATTGGCGATGACAAAGAAGATAAGAATGCCATTGCATCCGGGTTGATTTCAAATGAATTGCCATCAGGAGTATTGTGAATTAATGGAATCGCTTCATCAACATACTCAAAATGTCGAGGACTATCAGTCGCAGAGATTGGTGATAGAGGAGATCTACTACCCTCGCCAAGCTCACTATCCAAATTCTTTCTTTGAAAGATATTTTGTTTTTTCAGAATTATTGAAATAAAATTATCGATTAAAATATTTATTATTGTGCAAAACCTCTCGTTATAGAGAGAGTTACTCATTTTAATTTTATTTATGAAGAATTGGCCTTTATTTTTTATTGTAAATTTTTTGATAATTTTGGATAGAAAAAATATTAAAAATTAGTCACTTGTGTTTAAATTTTCATTGAAGGGTTTTTGCCATGTAAATTTTCTAATAATGATTTCTTCAGCTCTAAAAAGAGGGTATAAAGCATGGAGAGTCTATGATACCAGCTTGATTGTTCTCAATAAATATTACAGCTGCAAAGTTAGGGTTGAAACCTCTCCAGCACAATTGGTCAAGGTCTTTGGACCACCTTCATTTTGGGACAAAATGGAAGGAACAACAGGTTATTACGACTTTGAAGATGAATACCTCGATCTTTTTAAGCTAGCCGACAAATATGAATGCAAAGAAACAATAAACTTCAGCCAATTGAAGAGAGGTGATAAGGGTCCATACCATTATTATTAAGATTTTTAAAAGCTTATGGTCAGATATTTGAGGGCCTTATTCCCTTCTATATCGCTCCATAGCTTATTGTCAGTTTTGCACGGCCTTGCACAGTGCTACTCTTCTGGCGATGGTTTGAGCTTCTATTGAAAGTCAGAAGGTGTATATCACCTTGCCGCATGCCAATATAGGTTGCTTTTATTAAAAATTAAAAAGTCGAAATTTCTGGTCTGCTGTTAGTTTAATGGGAAACTGAAGGCAATACCTGGCATCATACTGACTATACAACTTCTGTAAGCGAACAAAATAATTTTGTTCGCAAACACACAAGACAGTAAATTCTTTTTAATATATTTTATATTTATAGTATTTTTTTTTAAAATTAAAAAACCCAAATTGTAAAATATTGGAAGGCAAAAATTAATTTAATTTTGTAAAGTTTTATGTTTTAAAATGCAAGCTGTTTAAAATTCAGCAGAATAAGCTAGAGATTTCATGATAATATTTATCACTTATATGTTAAAAATATAACGTTATAAAAAAAAAATTTTTATATAAAAGATTTTTTGTTCTCTCAAGAGCGGGTTTAACCAAAAAATAGTCACAGAAGGGGGAGTGATTAAATTTCCCAATTCGCCAAGAAACATCTCTGGCATTACTGGAAGGACCCTTTTCAATTTCATGTTTTATTTTCCCATTGAAAAGTCTGACTGATCAGCTCATAAGTGATGCCCACTAGCAAGTAAAGCCTGCTCGCGTACACTTACCGACACAGGACTCCTTTCTCAAGGTCCCCACCTCTTTCTTGCCACTAGATAAAGCCTTATGCCAATTTATCAGCCATTTTAATGAATATAATAAAAATCCATACCATTTTAAGAGGAAAGACAGGGCCATTCCCAACAATTGACGAATTTTGGAAATCAAATACCAAATACAAATTCTGGCTATATGCAAACCAATATGCGGATAGCAAAAGTATGGCTGAATGGATAAATAATAAGCTTGCAGAAGACGTTGACATCAAAAAAAAAGTAGAAGATCTGTATGGGCCAATTGAAAATTTTAAAAATTATGACAAAGATTATGAGCTGGATAAGGAATATGCGATATTCAAGTATAACAGATTGAATTGGGAGAAATAAGTAATAAGATCTTTTAAAGATTTTTGCATTTAAATATAGGAAATTCCCGATGATGGCACTCAATGTGCCATCATCGGGCACCTACAGTAAAGGGTCCACTTTGGAAATGGGTTCCACGTGTGGAGCCCTTTTTGACACGTGGAGAATCCTCACTTTCACGTGCCAAAAAGGGCTCCACAGGTGGAACCCATTTCCAGTGTGGACCCTGAACTTTAGTTGCCCGATGATGGCGCATTGAGCGCCATTATCGGGCAACTTGTATATACGTTAATTCTCATTTCCGACTCAATATATATATTGATCAGAATACTAAAAAGATTAAAAAGCTGTCTATAACCCATTTCCCTTTGTATAGAAGGGTATTCCACGTGCTGATCTCCATATTTAATGGCTCTACTTTTGAATTTTATTTCGCACATTAAATAACCTTCCATAAAAAGCGCGACAGATCATATTTAAGAGCTAGGGAATATTCAGTGCGGTAAAAGCCTATTTTTGAATTTCTGCATAAGAGATCTAAATTAAAATCTGATATATAAATTAAGAATAACGGTCTTATAAAAATCGTGTCTTCACACGACGACTATTTCATAACGACTATTTTTTGTTGGGCCTATTTTGTTTTTTGGCCTATTATTTTTGGCCTATTTTTTTTGACTTTTTTTTGGCCATTTTTTAGCTATTTTTTACTAATATTTGGCCTAATTTCCATCTTAATGATTTTAATTAATTTTTAATGTATTTTAAATGATTTTATCATTAAAAAAATGCACCTTTAACAGATCTCTCACTCCATGAATACTAATTCATTGCTTTTTAAAATTTCGAGATTTTAGATTTAATTAGGATTTTTCCACTTAATTTACTCAATATTAATCGCGTAAGGAAATATATCTGTTACTCAATAATTATTTAGTTCTCTCAGCAGCTTCATGAATGAGCCTCGACAGAAAAAATAGGAGGACAAAAAATTAGGCCAAAAAAATAGTCGTTATAAAAATAGTTTTCGTGTGAAGTAACCTATAAAAATATATGGGAAATTGCTGTACAAAAAATCAATACAATGATATGCAAGACAATTTAATATACCTAATTATAATGAATAAATTCATATTGGTTAGCCATTACTTATAGGCATGTTTTTTATTCATTATAATTAGTTATATCAATAAGAACTGAAGATTGATTTGTTGGAAATGAATACTTTGATTGAGCAGGCTATCATCGTAATATTGAATTTGAAAATTATACTTTTTTCCAAAAAGCTCTCTATCAAGGATGAAAAGATGTTGATCTCAACCAAAATTTTATTGAAGAAACATCAAGCCCTCAATTCAATAACTCAGCTTATTTACAGCTATGTCTTGATATTCGAAAAGGAGTCCCTAACTATTTAATAAGAAACGTGATTTCAAAATTAATTACTTATGATAATGATGTCGCCAAAACGGAATATTATGATTATACAAATCAATTGGATCCCGATTTAAACTTCCTACTCTTCAAATAATAAGAAAACTTGCCTTTGAGCGTCAGTTGTTTTAATAAGATTTATTTGATTTTGATTAAATAGTTAATAAATACCCTAGCTACTTAAATTTAATAGAATTAAATGGATTTTCTTATTATTTATAAGTATTATTGCAATATTGTTCATTTTAATATTTTCTTAAGAAGGACTCAAGGAGTTAGATCTCCCTGCTGAAGATGATCCACTTTTTGGGAGAAAAGATTTATTGAACTGTTTTTTAACATATCGAGGAGCTACTGCATGCAAATCAATACTCTATGTAATTCATAAAAAAACAAGCGATATCGAAGTATGCTTGATTTTACCTAGAGTTACACAGATTTTGCTTTGATTTATGAAAGAGCACGAAACCTATCAAATTTTACAAGTTCTTATTGCAGAGTCTCGAAATAAAGAAAAGTGTCAAAATTATTCTTTCCATTTTCCTTTGACAGATTTTCAGCACAAAAAAGTAGTCAAGAAAATCTTTAAAAGAGTTAAAGAAAAAATGGGTGAAATCCAAATTAATGAAAAATGTGTGAAAAAAGTTATAATCCTTTATAATAAATATAATTTTGATATATATTATAAAATCATTTATTTATAATAAATAATTAGATATATAAAAAGATATCGCGTTCAATATGCTTGTAGGCTATATATCGCCATCATTTTATCCATTAATTTTGATGAATTTTTTAGCAGATGGAATAGGGTCAATTATGAAATTTACAGCTGCAGTTGTATATTTAGCTCTAAAACAATGCGAAGAATTAAGAGGAGACAGTAAAACTATTCCTGATTGGAGATCTTATACTAGGTCTGAAGTCATTATTTTTAAAATTCTAAAAGTAATTTACATTTAGAAAGCATTCAAAATCAACATAGAAAAGTCCAATAAAACAGATACAGCCAGTGTAACAGCTGATAGATAATTTTAATTATAATTAAAGTGGTCTATCACAGCTAGCGTACTTCTGATGCAAAATAAAATAACTAGCTCTTTTATTGCTTTGATCAATTAATGTTGTATAGTTTTTACACCTATTCATTCCTCGTCTCAAATTTTTCGTTTTTCTTGCTATTGCTTTTTTACTTTTCTTGTTTAATTGCAATAAATCATTACAAGAGGCTGAAATATTCATAAAAATTTCTTCAGAAGACCTTGTGCCAGAGCTGGTTTTTGGTTTAACTGTTGAATGAAATGTAGATCCAAAATTATTGATTTCAGGGCTCATTGATCCTCCATAGCTTAATTTTTGTCTGTTTGTAGGCTCTGCTGTACGAGCCCTTTGACCAGCTTGAAAATTTTCAATTGCTATTATTGGAGAAGTGTCTTCAGTTCTAGTTACAGGAAAAGGATTTTTCAGGCGTTTTTTACTTTTAGGCTTCTTTTTTATTGATAAAGTTAGTGGAAAAGGAATATCTTTTTGGTCGTCATAGATTTTTTTGGTTAAGTTGTTTATAACTTTTTCTGGGGTTCTTAAAAATTGAGACGGTAAAGTTCTTGATGAAAATAAATGGTAGCCACGCAATTTTGGTGTCAGAACTGCAAAAGAAGTGATGGGAGCAAAATGCTCTGCTTTTATAGATTTTTTCCCTTTCTCTGGAACAAATAAGTTATTTAATGAGCTTGCTAAAAACTCTTTTCTAATAAATTTTTTTGTTTTTTGGATTTCTTCAATTTTTGACTCAACATATGCACCATTAACTCCCCCCCTCGAAGTTCGACCAAGATATAGGGGAAATTCCTATTTTTTTGGAAAATTAAACCCCCCTTAAAGTTCGACCAAGACCTATATAAATTTACTAGGAAAATAAGCAATTTTTCAAAAATTTTTAAACTATGTGGGGGTGAGCTTGCGATTTTTGTATTCAAGCTCTAAAAAAGCGTTACAAAACCATCTTGCACTATTTTTTCTAACCCTACACCCTCTCAACCATACAGAAGAATATGATAAATTTTTTTTTTTAACTACTAAATTATATAAAAAAAATTCTATATAATTGTTTTTAAAAAAATTTTTCTTAACCCCCCTCGAAGTTCGACCAAAAAAATCTTGGTCGAACTTCGAGGGGGGGGGAGAGTAAGATTATTTAATCCTTTGTAAGAAAAAACTGATTCAATTGCTTTTGAAATTCGTGATTTTGATTTATGATTTTTTGAGTCCGACATTAATTTATAGCTAATTTTTCCATAAGTTAATAAATCTAAATTATGATTAAAAATGATAAAAATTAAAATTTATCAAAATATTAGCTTAGATTTAACTGCTCATCTGAAATATTTTTCGTAATATAATCTTGTTAAATATGTTATTTGTTTTTCATGGTTTATTTAGAAATGCTTTTTGTTTGCTAATAAATTAATTCTTTAATTTTTATTTAATTAATAATTGTATTAGCGCAAATCCATTTATAAAAATTGATAAATTTTCACACAAATTTAATTAAAACTCTAAATAAGAATTAATTTAGTTAAGCGAGGTCTACTATTTTTTGCCTAATAGAAAATGCAAAAATTTATATCATAAAAAAAGTTAAGAAAATTTCTTTTATTTGATTTGTCGGATTTTATTCAGATTTTATAGAAATAAAATAGAATTATCGAGCAGAGAAATAATGCTAGCAATAAGCAATGCTTTTAAAAGTTTTTATTCCGAAGAAATAGATGTGACATATTTGATAATAAAAAACTTTCTAATATTGCCTGGCTAACCTGATCAGAAATACACTAAATTAGTTCACAGCTTCTTATATAAAAAATTAAAGCTTAATTATCCTCTATATTTATCTAAATTCTTACTCCCCTCCGTGAGCAAACAAAGCAATTTTTATCCCTCTAAGAGGTAATTATTTTTTTAAAATTATATATATAATGTTAAGTGAAATTTCTTTTCAAAAATCCCAATGCAAAAATCTGAGATTAAAAATTAATTTATTTTGTAAAGCTTATGCTTTAGAATTCAAGCTGTTAAAAAATCAACAGATGTAGCTAAAGGTTTCATTATGCTATATTTTTCATAAAAAATTTCCAAAAAAAAACTTTTGATGCTTTTTTGCCAAAATAGTGATTTTTCGAATGGCTTTGTTTGCTCACGGTGGGGGGGTTAAAATCTATTTACTTTTTCCAAAACAGTATATTGATTTAATATATAGCTATAATTAAAAATTAATTTAAATTCCTTTCTAAATGGCTTCATTTTTATTTCTCTTATAATAATTATTTCACCAATTATCCTTAATTTAAATCTGTTTCAATTGCTCAATAAATTCTTCTTCATATTAAATTTCTGACTAGTGCTTTGCCCTTGAGTTTAGACTCCATAGCATCTTCCTTTCATGATGCCAAAATTCTAGTTCCGCCTTATCTATAATATTTCATAGTCTTTTATCAGAATCAATGGAGAATATTAATTTTAAGTCTTAATCCAATATAAATGCAACACATTAGTAAGCTTATAAACTTTATAGATTTCTTTTGGATTCTTCTTCCTGGTGGGAGTTTCGAGAAGATTCTTCCATTTTAATGAACCTTATAAACTATTTAAAAGAGGAGAATGGAAGGAGAATACAAAGGAGAAGAAAATATTACATTATCAGTTCCCTGCAATTACATATACTTTCCGACTTATTTCCAAAATTTGATTATACCGATACCACAAATTTCATCTCCAGCCTTGGAGGAGAATAAAAAGAAATATCAAAGGACTTGGGACAAAAGACACATAGAATTTCTCTACCAGCTCTCCTATGAATTTTCTCGTAACTTTCATAAACCTATTGAAGACCTAAAAGAGACAGATCTATATCAGATCGCAGCTCAGCTCAATCGCTCTCCATCCCAGTGCTTGAATAAATTAAGGGAAATTATTGCGACCGGTACACTGAGGCCTGGGACTTGGTCTGACCCAGAAGATGCGATCATAAATGAATGTGTAAAGAAAAATAAAAAATGGGGTTTTACCGCTAAGGAAATCAATTTAAGAGTACACAAAGGGATGAAGGTGAGGACTGGTAAGCAGTGTAAAGAAAGATGGAATAATCACCTTGATCCTAATGTAAATAAAGGTCCATGGAGCAATGAAGAAGACTTAAAATTGCTGGAACTGTATAAAGCTTTTGGGAATAAGTGGAGCAAGATCTCACAAGCATTGAAAACAAGGACTGAAAATAGTATCAAAAATAGGCTGAAAAGCTTAATAAATGTAAAGAAACAAGAATTAGCTAGCCTCGAAGGCTCCAACATAACAATCGAAGAACTCATTGCAGATAGGAAAATCCAAGATTCAATGGAGAAAATCTCAAGCAATTTTGCTAACTCCCCTCCGTCTAACGGTAGTGAGTTTATTTAGTCGCGCTTAAAGAGGATTAAAAAATTTATGCTGGAAATTGTATAATTTTTTTTTCTTCTCAAATTAAATAGAACCCAGGAAAACAATTGAATTTTTTCGATGTTGAGCTATCTAAAATTAATAAAAGGCATTTTATTATTGACTATATAAAAATATCCTTTAGTAGAGTTTCTTAAAAAATATAATTTTTCTAATGCAATGCTCACTTAAGAGGATTAAAGATATTCAAGACTAGCATTAAATTATTTATATTACCAATCCACACAAATAAATTTATTTAACCAAATAGGTCTTCGCCCATATCTATTTCTTCATTATTCTTCTGTACCACTTCTTCTTCAAGTTTCGCAATTTCTTGTATCACTTTATCTCCTATTTTAGATCCTTTAGAATTATCCTGGGATTTTTTCCTTAAAATATTAGGACTCTCTTCTTGACTCATTTTAAAATCTTTCAAATTCTCATTTTTCCGTAATCTTTTCGGACTTTCTGAGTGTTTCTTTGTATTTTCTTCAATTTTCGGCAGCAATTTCATCACTTGGCTTTCTGACTTAAAAAGGCTTGGATTACTTGCCTTGGTTCTCCACGTCAAACTTTTCTGAGAAATGCTTGATAAAAGTGCTTTTGCCCCTTCTTCTTCATCGCTATTGTGGCTACTATTATTAAATGCTAGTCTGTGAGGTCTTTTCTTTATCCCATACAAGCTTTCATATATTTTTTGTTTTCATATTTTTATATTGAAATTCATTCCAATATACTCAAATAGTTTTTTAACTGTATCAATTGTGAAGAATTCGCTTTCGTTGTCGTTTAATGATTTTCTTGCTGAAGATGCAATCATAATGAGTGCTTTAATAAAATCTTCTTTATCTATGACCTTTTCAGATCCATTTTTATGCTTGGTAATGGTTTTGAATATGAGCTGATGATCATATGTTTTGACGAGCTCTGGATGAATTGCAAAATTGGAGCAAAATTTATTGTAAATTGAGAAATTCATATTTCATAAGGATTCTTCTGCTTCTATTTTGATTTGGGACTGCTTGCAATAAGTAGAGTATGCTAATTCTATATGCCCCATATAATTAGCGATAAAAGACTTGAATTCTTCACTTTCCATCACCTGTGTAATTTCTTGTTTGGCTTGAGCAGTCTTTTCATGGTCTTTTCTTGCTTCTGCGATAATTTTCGACCCCATTTTCTTTGAAACTGCTAGCTCTTCTTTTCTTATTTCATCTTTTTTCGACTCTTTTTCTCTTTTTGCTTTATTCTCTGTCATCTTTACACTTATAAGCTTTTCCAGCCTTTCTGCGTGTTCTTTTTTCTTTTCTTCGGCAATTTTTTTTAATTTTTCTTTTTTCTGCTTCATTTTTTCCTTCTCTTCTTTTTCTTTTTCCCCATCAGCTTGCTGCTTCTGTTCAGCCCATTGCTTTATCAAATTTTCTCTTTGTTCTTTTTCTTTCATTTCTTTTTCCTTCTGCTTTCTCTTTCTTTTTTCTTGGTTTTCTTTCTCCATTTTTCTTCTTTCTAAATCTTCTCTTAGCTTTTCTTGTCTTTCTTCTTTTGCTTTTTGGATATTTTCTTGTATAATTTGGTACCTAAGCCTCCTTTTTTGTTCTAATTCTAATTTTTTCTGTTCGTTTTCTTGTTTTTCTCTTTCTTTTTTCGCTTCATATTTTTCTTCAACTTTTAATTCTTTTGTAATAATTTTGCTGGATTTTAAATAAACTGTATGCAAAAGATGCTCAAGGGTAGCAGCGCATTCTTCATATATATTTTTCTCATCTTGTGGACAATGGGCTAATTCAAATTTCAACACAGGGGAAAGTTTAACAACTTTTGGTGGCTGCGATGTTTTTATTTCTTTTTTTAAGAGCTTCACTATATTTGGTGGCCTATTGATAATTTCAGGTGGCTTTCCTATACCTTTTGCATAATAAGATGGAGAAAATTTTACTTGTGGCTCTAAAATATGAAAGCCTATATTAGAAAAAATTTCATCAAGGAGCTCTATAGCCATTTTGGTGTTATCATTAATTTCCACTATTTCTGGGACATTATAAAACAGCTCCATATTTAAATCTTCAACTCTTTGGTATCCATCAGGCATAGGGGTATCAGGATCTTCTTTTAATTTTGCATTTAAAGCTTTGATGATATCCTTGTCGCCTCTTCCAGGGTCTGGCTCATCATATAGCTCTGTAGAAATATTTTTTTGGACAAGGTCTTCCCTCATATGGTCAAGCAAACTTTTTGCTGAAACGACTGCAGGCAAATGTGAGTAGTCTTTTGAGCCTCTTGAGAAGCAGAAATAAGCAATTTGGCAGAAAAGACCTTTAAAGCCTTCATAGTCTACAAAATCTACCTCAGAGAGTTTCAGGATTTTAAGGTTGTAAGCTTTAAAGAGAAACCTGAGCTCCACTTTTGTCATTAATTTAGGGATCACGCCATGATCTTTAAGGATTTTTATATATTCTGACTCAGTAATCCTGCTTTTTCTTTCTGCTAGCCAGTCGAAGTCTGAGTTAGTTTGCCGCTTTCTCACATATCCGGTACCTGAATAATTTTGAAATAAAACTTTTAATAATCTGGAGTATTTTTTTAGTAGCAGCCTAACTGCGTTTTCTTCATCAATTTCTGCTTCACTGAATTCTCTTATAACAATATCTTCTGGTACTGTTGTATATTTGATAACAGTCCCCTCATCGTACAGCGCTACTTCATTATTTTCTCTGGCTCTGCCTTGTTCAATTTTTCTGACTTCTAATTGTTTTTTTATTTTTTTCTTTTTAAATTTTAGCCTTTTCAATTTTTTTTCTTCTTCTTCTTTTAGCCTTCTATCGATGCTCAGTCTTTTCTTTTTCGCTTTTTCAATTTCTTCTATAGCCGTATTCCATGTATGGACCTTTCGTTGCTTTTCTTTTTCTCTAGTTTTTTCATCATATACTACAATTTGATAATTATTTTCTACCTGATCTTCTTCTTCTCTATGAGCCTCTTCTTTTATTTCTTCAGGATCCTCTTGAGGCTCTGGTGCAAAAAGCCCAGGGTTTTCAGTTTGAAAATCTCTTAATAAGTTATCAGTATCACCTAGTAGGCTTACTCCGCCCCTCTGTGAGTGAACAAAAAAATTTTGTTCACTTATGGAGGGGGTTAATTTTGTTTTAAAAAAATTTATATATAAATTTTATAGAAAATATTTATTTTGAAATTTAAAAAAATCCTCATTTGCAAAAATTGGGATGCAAATATTAATTTAATTTATAAAATTTATATTTTAAAACGCAATTTGTTTAAAATTAAACAGAATTAGCTCTAGATTTCATTATACTAATTATCAATTATATATCAAAATCTTTTTCAATTAAAAATTTTTTCTATAAAAAAAAATTTTTGTTCACCACGGAGGGTGGGTTTTTGGGAAAAAAATAGCAATTTTTCTAATGGTTTTGTTCACTAACGCAGCGGGGGGAGTTAGCACAAAAATAATTGATTTACAATTTGTGCTGTAAAGCTGATAATAAGCGAAATTTGTTTGAAGCAGAAGTTGGCGAATTTTGTCATTTAGCCCGTCCTGCCATTGCTGTATTATTCAACTAATTAAATCCATTATAGAATTTCTAAGTTGCTTTAACTCAGGATTTGACTTATTTTGTTCAGCAGACAGGACTAAATTAAGAGAATATCTCACAAACATATACAAATACTCCTGCATCACAGTTTGCTCAATAAATCTTGCAGCAAGATACGTAAACGGGACTCCGCTAGCTTTACAAAAAATTAAGCTATTCACATAAACTTTTCCAAGAATATCAATTAGTTGTATAGCATGCTGGATTAGCAGCCGTGGATGTTGAGCAATAGTGATTAAAAAATCAAAATCAAATGAAAAATAATCCTCTTCATATACTTGCAGCTTTTTAATTAATGGGTCTAGTAAAATGCTGATTGGGATAGCTTGGTTATTTTTAAAAATAATTCTGAAATTTTCTGTCATAAATTCCCTCATCATACTTGATGAGTAATTTTCTAGCAACAAAAATGTTAATGCACGGTAAACTATAGGGGCAAACTGGCTTTCTTGGTTAGCAAAAAATTCGAGGAGGTTAAAAAGCTGAGCTATCGCTATGCATTTTAAGCAGAAGCTTTGGTCTCTTGATACCCTGTTAAGGAAAGATATAATTGAATTGATCAGTAATTCGTTTTCACTTATTTTGCTGTAAAGCTGAGTAATGATGCTGACAAGAAAATTAATGGCTGGTACTCTTTGGTTATAATTGTCAATACCATTTGAGTCTGCTTCTCTTATGCCTAGCTCTCTTCAGTATGCAATGACGCCAGAGCTGATAATTTCTTGGAAAATGCTTTCACTTTCACTTAAAAAAGGCAAAAAATCGCTCATTAAGTTGATGTATTCTGTAGTGTTGGTCATTATATTTCTGATGTGAAGGGTGAAAAGCTCAATAAAGTTGCCTTGGCCAATCTGCAAAAACAGCTCTATTACTCCTGAATATAGCTCAGATCCTACACGTTTAAGAGAATGGATGCACATTTCTAGCGCAGATTGGTATTAAAAGTAAACTTATGACAGGTTTGGCTGCTGCCTATTTGTAACAAGTCACCAAGGATCCCTGAAGGGCGTTCACTCCTCTTTGGAATGTAGATAGGAAGAAGTTCTTCGAGCTAGATGACTAGCAGGAAGAGTATCTGCTGAAGCACTATTTTTTCTTCACCGCCTGACGTCATGGAGTCTGCGAAGAAGAATTCTGCATCTCCGTCTCCTCCTTGCCTTGTGTTGAATGGAAGGCAGTAGACTTTATGGCTGATGCTTGAGTTGAGCGAAGGTTGTCCGCACAAAAATCCCAAAAAATGGAATTTCTGGCCAACTCTCTCTAAAAAGGAAAACAAAAAGCTGGGCGTAACTCCCAGTTCCACGCTAGGAAGATGCCTAAATGACCTAGGAATTGTCTGTAGACTTCGCTGGGCTTTCCTTCTCCAACTCTGAGCTCACCTTTTCTCTCGAGGAAAATCCAATCCTGAAAGCTGACTAGGGCTAGGTTCTGTGCATTACCAAAATTGCTCCCTAGCATAGCTGCCAATTTCTGGTTTTTAGAACCCTTGCGGGCATAATCAAAATATGCTCGAGGCTTCATTGCCTCCCATCAAATGCCCGTGCCGAGACACCATTTTATTAATACTGTAGATTTGGTCGCCTGTGAACCACTTCCAAGCTGCTTCTAAGAGCCCGATTTCTGAAAATTCTAAGGCAAGCTTAGAAAAGACTCGGAGCGTCCATTCAATGATTTCTATATCTTTAGAGATTAAGCCTGGCTTAAGGGCTGACATTACGAAGTTCATGGCTCCTGAGTCAAGTTCATTTGATACTAATTCAGCGAGTCTTTGGGTGTTTGAATATATGTCTTGATATCATAGCATAACAGGCTCGAAACTGCCTTTCAGCCCTTTTGCTATGATATGAGCTAAGTATTTGTAGCCCTGGGCTAATAGGCCAGCTCCTTGTTTAGGTTTTAGTTCGAAGTCTTTGCAGAGAGAAACTATTAGGTACTCTAAACAAGTATCAGCTTCGAATAGTGGCTTTGTAGTATTAAGCTGGTCAATAGCAAGCCCTTCTTCACTGCTTGATGGCTGAGGTTTATTATATAGGATTTTGCCTTAATTTAGCCTCTATCAATGAAATAAATAATTTTAAAGATATAATGGAAAATGCAAGAAGTTTGAAACCATTCCATTATTATGGTAAGAAAAGGATTTATAAAAATTGACACAATAATGGATGATATAATTATATTTCTATAAATATCTTGTCAAAAAAAGCTTGCTGAGCAAATCTCAATGCTTTCATGGACAATTTTATATGACCCCTATAATTTCTATTTTCATTATTTTCCTTCAAGCCGACCTCTACATTATAAATTTGATTTAAAACTTCTATCAGCATATCTCTATCCCCAGCAATTATTAAACTTTTTGTATCTGGATCCACATGAATGCTAAATAACTCTAAAGCTGGTATTAGAACATTCCAGTTATAAAGTTTCCCAGATGGAGAATTCACCTGCTTGATTGTGTTGATTTCTGGCATAGGAGTTTTCAGACGGTCAAGATTATTCTATATGTCGGTTACCTTAATTTGGTTCAGTCTTTTTAAAATGACTTTAAAACTCTGGCCACTTTCTAAATTTAGCACGAGGCTTTCAGGGATCGTGTTAGGCATGTTTGGATAGGTGGTTTGAGAGAAAAGGCCGATGTTGAGTAGCCAATTATATAAGTGTTCAGGTATTTCCATATTATATATGCTTATAGCAAAACGCTGACTCCCCCCCCCCCTCCGTGAGCGAACAAAACCATTAGAAAAATCGCCATTTTTTGACCAAAAACCCACCCTCCGTGAGTGAACAAAAATTTTTTTTAATAGAAAAAATTTTAATGGAAAAAAATTTTGATATATAAGTGATAATTAGTATAATGAAATCTAGAGCTAATTCTGTTTAATTTTAAACAAATTGCGTTTTAAAACATAAATTTTGCAAATTAAATTAATATTTGCTTCCCAATTTTTGCAAATTAGGATTTTTTTAAATTTCGAAAAAAATATTTTTTATAAAATTTATATATAAATTGTTTTTAAAAAAAAAAATTAACCCCCCTCCGTGAGCGAACAAAATTTTTTTGTTCGCTCACGGAGGGGGGGGGGGAGTGAGAAATATAATTTAGCTTATCTTAGGTATTTAATATATAAAGAAAAATCCTGTTATATATTACTAATCCATAATAAATAAATTTTCTTATCTGTATTAGCCTTCATTCTTTTTATTCAAGAGAACTGATTTCATTCTCCCCACATCTTTTCTGTCTTCCTTGAAATCAATCATTGACGCTACCTTTTTCCAGCTGGTTGCATCTGTGTATCCTTTTTTCTGTTGTGCTTTCATTTTTTCCTCTTCTCTGTTCAGATCTCTTTTCGTTTCAGTCATTTTATTTCTATCATCATACCATTTCTTTAATTCTTGTTTAGCTTGTGCTCTTTTTTCGTCTTTTCCTTTTCTTTCTTTTTCATCTTTTTCGTACAGTTTTTTCATTCTAGCATTATTTTCTTGGTCTCTTATTTCCCTTGTGAGTATTTTTTAAAAAAATTATGATAAATTAAAAAAAAATTAATTTTCTGTTTATAAGAGTTAGTCTAGTTCTTTCAACTTCTTCTGGATCTTCTATTGTCATCGAAGTTTCTTGAATTAAGCCTGGTCTTCCATTTGGATCTGTTTTAATTGGTTCAGGCTCATCATAAAATGGATCCTTAGACTCATCCACAAATATATCATGAGATTGTTCACCTTCAAAAGGATCAGGTCGATCTGAGTAGCCATTAAACACATTTTCTGCTTGGTTTTGGCTGCCAGTAAAATCAAAATTCATCATTTCATCAGTCTGTACTTTTGGATTGCCAAAGTCAATTTCTTCATCAAAACCTTCCATTATTTAATATCCGACATAAAATAAAATTTAACTATCTAAGTTATTTTTTAAGCTGATTTATCTATAAAATATGCTTTTTAAATTGATTTTATATACGATTCATTTATAAAAAAAATGACTAAATCTTCTCAAGCAAATACAAATTTTTCTGCTATTTAAAATTCATCAGAATAATTCCTAATTTTCAATACTTAAAAATTCAATCTAAAAGCTCCATTTAGAGAAATATTCTAATTATCTTATCCTTGAACTTCCGAAAACATGTATTCACTTTCATATTCTTTTAAGTACTGTTGTGACCTCTTCAAATCAATAAACAACGAATAAACTCTCCTCACATCTGGGACATCAACTTCTGAAGCTTTTCTTTTTCTCGCTACAAGCGATGAAGTTGTGATTAGCTGTATTGAATATCTCAGCGAGGTATCTAGTCCAATAGTTGTCAATAAATCCAGAGCTTCCTCAGTCATTTCTACATCTTCTTCTTCACATCGGATTTTCAGGATACTTCGGATTTCTTCTTCTGTGTATGGTCTCGTCATAATAATTAAACTTCTATCAAGTACACAAATTTCCCTTGAATTTTCCAATAAAAATCTATATAAAATCCTACTAGCCTATTTATTAGAAATCATTATAAATCAATAGGAACTCCATGGGCTCCTCTATATTTAGTTCCTCTGATCTGCGCAAATCCTCTATTAGTTGCCATGATGATAATGGGCGCTGCATCACTTTCCATAGCTCTGTTTAAGAAGCTGAAACATTCAATATCAAGCATATGAACTTCATCAATAAACAAAACTCCTGGGACAATTTCTGCTTTGCCTTCTTCTCTCCATTCTGCAACCCTTTGGTCAATTTGTTCTCTGACCTCACTTCTGATTTCTCCTGTATCCCCAGCAAAAAGTGCCAAAAATCCTTGTGCTCGGCTGTTTATTACATCAATTTCATGCAAAGTGACAGTGTGGACGACTTCTTTTCGTTTTTCTAATTCTCCTTCAGGGCATTGTACAAACCTAGCTTGGGCTCCCATGGCGTCATAATCTGAAGCTCTAGCGAAGCTTCTGCCAAGCTTGCTAATTTTAGATGATGCTTTGTCAATAGTGATCACATCCCCAGCCACTACTTTTTCTCTTTGCAGCTGTTCTATCATTTTGGCTCCTAAATCATAGACAGTTTCCATCTCAGTGGTTTTCAGTATCAATTTTCCAGCTTTAGCGCCACTGGTGACTGATCTTTCGATTTCGATTTCGACGACCTCGCCTTCAATGATTTCAGCTTCTTCTTTGATACGGACACCAATGGAGCGGCGGAGGGCTTGGGTGAGAGCTTCAGTCTTGCTCATTTCGAGCGAAAAGATTTCACTGCCTGCCATCATGGTTTAAGTTTAAGTTTAATTTGAATTACTCTTGGATGCAGTCTCCTGGCTTGAGGTCCAACTTGATTAACAACTCTGAGCAACGGTAGGTGGGCCGGGCCTAACCGTCGAACTGTTAATGTTAATAAGTCTGTTAAGACTTCTCTAGTCAGTGCCAGACTCAGCACTGACCTCTTCTCTTTCTTTCAAGACTCTCAAGAGGCACAACCTCTATCACTAAGCTTGAAAATAGGTCCCTACCTGCGGAGCAGGAGTTAGGACCTATCTCTAACTGACATTTTTAATATTGTGCCATCATGGTAAAAGGAGTGTCATCGCCTAAAGCTTTGGCCATACCCATTGCAATTGCAGTTTTTCCAGTGCCTGGCTGGCCTGCTATTAGAATGGCGCGGCCTGCGATTTTTCCTTCTTTGATCATGTTAAGGATTACTCCAGCTGATCTTCTGGCTTCCATTTGGCCAACCATACCTTGAGAAACTTGACGAGCCTCAAGACTGTCATCTAGGCCGAGACCTCGGATGTGGGAATGGGCTCCGATTCTTTCCATTCTGGTGAGATCTTTCATGTCTTGGACTTTTGGCGCTTGGATCATCTGGAAAATAAGGATTCCCCCCCCTCATTTGTCCAATTTTCTAGTATTTTATCATTTGTCCATTTGTCCATTTTTCTAGTTTTTTTTATAGGAAAAAAAAATTTTTTAGGACCTCATTTGTCCAATTTTCTAGTCAAAAATTTTGATAGAAAAAAAAAAGAATTTTCAGGACCTCAATTGTCTCATTTTCTAGTTTTTTTACAGTAAAATACTAAAATTTAGGACACTCGAAAAATCCAAAAATGACTAGAAATTTGGACAAATCATTTTTGACTAGATTTTGGGACAAATGAGGTCCTGAAAAATTTTTTTTCTTACTCCCCCCCCCCCCTCCGTGAGCGAACAAAAAAATTTTGTTCGCTCACGGAGGGGGGTTAATTTTTTTTTTTAAAAAAAATTTATATATAAAAAATATTTTTTTCGAAATTTAAAAAATTCCTAATTTGCAAAAATTGGGAAGCAAATATTAATTTAATTTGCAAAATTTATGTTTTAAAACGCAATTGTTTTTAAATTAAACAGAATTAGCTCTAGATTTCATTATACTAATTATCACTTATATATATCAAAATTTTTTTCCATTAAAATTTTTTCTATTAAAAAAATTTTTGTTCACTCACGGAGGGTGGGTTTTTTTGGTCAAAAAATGGCGATTTTTCTCTAATGGTTTTGTTCGCTCACGGAGGGGGGGGGGGAGTTAGAAAAAAAAAACTAGAAAATTGGACAAATGAGGGGGGGATCCTTATGTATAAAGAGATTAAAATTAAAATGCTTTTAAATTAGAAAGGTAGTTTATGGGAAGAGGTCGAGGATGGGGCTGATTTTAATGATAATTGAAATAAAGAGGTCGAAGAGTTTGGGTTTGGAATTTTAAAATGGGAAGTTTCATATGCTAAATAGATTGAGGCATTATTGGTGGCCTTGCACTGTGCTGATTACCTGATAATGGCCTCTACCCGAATTTTCTGTCATTTGTCGGCCAAGATGTAAACTTGAAGATAACTCTATCGCACTAGAGAATTTTCCAAATGGTTAGTGGGTGATTTAGGAAATTCTTGCTTTTCCAGAAAAAAAAATCTGACTTCGATTAGCAAGCGCTGCTACTCAACCAAGGTTGGCTAAATCAGGGCGGATACAATTACCATGCGCCTTTTCCTTTCCTCAAGGTTCCCATTCTATTAAGCTTTCCAAAAGCAGGAAATGAATTACCACACCATTAATTTATATAGCATTGATGATATCAATCAGCTGATGAAAGATAAGTAGATTGAAATTAAATTGCTTCAGCCTAATAAGATTAATACAGTACAATAGAAAATATTAATCTCTTTTAATTTGGTAATAAAAAGCTTGCTTGCATGCATGCTTGTTTAAAAGACGGAATAGTTTAGTTGTTTAAGGACTATCTTGCAGGTTTTTATAGTCTTGACTACTAAATTCTTTTAATAACTTTAGCACTATAATTAATTTTTCTGTTTTTGAAGGAATGTACAACCTTGGTATGATATCTAAAAAAATTTTTTTTTGCGATTTTCTTTATAAATAGCTCAAAACTCAGCAAAATCTCTTGTCAAATTGCAGGCATAGAATAGACTCTTAAAAATGATGTGAAGAGCCAGCATACACTCTTAGCACCTGTAGCCAGGCGGGGGTCTAGGGAGCTTGTGAAAGGGACAGCAACGTGTGGTAAGAGTCCGCCTATTTTACTTGGTCTGGTGGAGTTCAATGTCGGGATGACCAGCCGCAGACTTCTTATCCAGGTAAGATTCTACCTCAAGGGAGGCTGAAACCCGGAAGTTGGAAAGGGACAGCCCAGCAAGGTTAAGTGATTCTTCGCCATCGGCCAATTTCCAAGCTTGATACCAGAAGTTGCAAATGGGCTACAAGTTTTATTCAGCCGATAGCCTGACCAAAATATCACTTTTGGATTTTCGGGAAAGTTCAACCCATTGGCATACAGCACAATGACTCAACATCTTTACCTCTGGGTTGCGAGTGAAGCCTTTTTCCAGAGTGAGCAGCACATATCTTCAAGCCGTGCAATCGTATTGGCAAGAAATAAAAGGTTCAAAAGCCGATATGACGGGCGAGGAGCTACTCTATAATAATCTATTTAAATTGCAGGCATAATATAAATATAAATCAAATTAGCTCCAGGCTTTTTGTTGAGTAATTAAACATTTTAATCAATAAAAATGGCCACCCGACAGCGTCTTAATAATTTGAAATATTGGAAATCATCCTGCACTACACTTAACTGAACTTTTACTGATAATTTAGAATTATCTGTTATTATTCAAGCCAACTTAAATTTTTCAGTTATTTTTGTTTAATAAAAAATTTTCGAATTTTCCCTTGTTCGCGATTTAGCAAACAATTTAGTTTTGCTTCAAATTTATCCTTGCTTATTAAATAATCGAAATTTATAGGTTAATTTTAAGCAATTTAAATACGCTAATAAATGATTTAATAATCAATTTTACGTTAATCTTCTAGCTCTAACAGGAATCCCATTTAATATAAGTGGCTTTACAGACGAAGAATTGAGATTAGCCACTACAATCCGAAAGGCATCGTTTGTGTAGTGGGAACTGACCTCATTTATTACCAAATTTTTGAAGTAAATGGTGGAGTCTTCCTTCATTTCTGACTCCATGGTCCCTCTTAGCACTTTTTTCCCTGCAACATTCAAGTCCATTAGTTTTGGTTTTCTATCCATAGAATAGAGAAAAACTCTAAATCTCGGATATTTATGAAGGTAGACTGGCTTCCCTGATCTATCCTGGACATAAGCTTTTAGCGAAAACCCTCGCTCTTTATACAACACTTCTGGGAATTTTTCCACTAATTTTAACTCATATTTATAATTGTTTTCTTTTGAGAAAATCTGCTCACTAGTTATGCTTGTTTCCATAACTAGATCCTTATGCCTTGTATTTGAGAGAAAACGCCCTAGAGATTTCACCTCATTGAAAAATGAACCAACTCTCTCTAAACATTTTGAATTATAGGCAACGATGTCTGAAAGGACGTCGTTTTGATAATTTATTATAGAGAGATATTGATCTTCACTACAGCCATAAGGCATACCTCCTACTGTAGCATAAAAAGAGAGACAATATTGGTGATCACACACCGCAGGCTTGAGAGAAATAAGGCACATATTTGTTATTATGGTGAGTTTATATCCAGAAATAGAAAAATGGCTAAAAAATTATCAGCATAAATAAGGGTTTCTTAAATAAATACTCAGTAATAGTCAATATGAGAGAAAATAAATATAATTCAATTAATTCATGCGCTATTTAATTTTTTTTGGATTTTTTTACTTGTGAAGTTAAAATTAATATATATTTAACTAAATTTGATTAGCTGAGACGTCCTTTTTATTGTCATTTTGGATGGCAATAGTCGATTAATTTCAAAATGGAAAATAAAAAGCCAAAATATAAAGGCAATTATTTATTAAAAAATATAAAGAATAATGCTTATTTTAGAAATAATTACGAATTAAATAATTTTACTGATATGCTCAATTATGATTAGAAGTATTGATGAGATTAGTATATTGAAAAAAATTCCTGTTTATATGATATTAAATAATTAATATTCAATAGTATCAGAATTTCTAGGTTTTTTCACTGTTCATAGCAAACAATAGCAATGATTAATGGCCAGCTATATCTTGAAAATATGAACATTATCATTTATTTAAATTTAAATCTTTTTTGATGCCAAGGTTTTTGATTAATCTTATTATTTTGAAAATATTTTTTTTCAAGTATAACTATACATAAATAGATTATTTTTTAATTTTTCTTTGAGTTTTTGGAACTTTGAATCCTTTTATGTTTAAATATCGGATTTTTTCAGGCAATATCGCTAAATTGTTAAGATTTGGCAAATCTTCTTTACTTGTGAGTCATGAATTTTTTATTTTGATTTCTTTTAGTTTAGGCAGAATTATTATGTTTTGGTTTGAGTTTTGAGCTTTTGGATTAATTATTTTTGGTTTAGATGCTGATCTGCAAGAAACAGTTTGCTCGCCAATTGATTTTGGCCTTATTCTTTTCCTCATGACAAAATTATTTGTCAATGAAATTTGAGGGTTGCTCAGATTTATTGACTTCCCCCATTTAAATTTTTTATACTTTACATTTAAATTGGAAATATTTTTCAATAGGAAAAAATTATCGGTAAAAAAACTAATTTTTTAAAATTAGCTTTGACATAATTAAATACAAAAAGTGTAAGCAGAATGCTATTTTAACAGTTTTCAATTAATTTTTTTGAATTAATTATTCGTAAAATAAATTTAAATCCAAAAAGATTGTGCTCAATTTATATTATTTAATTTAGAAAATTTCTATCAAAAAAAATTACCCTATAAATTGGAACAAGATTTTTTGTTCCAATTTAAAGGGTTCGGCAGTGAGCTATTGGTTGAGGCTGAAATATCTGGCTCTTGACTGTATGAAGTTTTTAGCGGACTTTCCGATGAGTAGCTTAAATTCCAATTGTCTAATCAAAATTGATAATCTCTATAAAGGTTTTTAGGTTTAGCAGCCTTATATAAGCATTTAGTCAACGAACTTGCTCTTCTGTGGCATGATTTTATCGAAATTTGTAACTTAGCAGGGCATGTATATTCCATTTCCTAACTCTAAAAATTAAGTAATTTTTACTTAAATATAACTACCTAAGCCTCAAAATTGTCTATTTTCTAATAAAAATATCATTTCTTACCAATTATAATGAACTTATCACAATAAAATTTAAAATAAATAAACCGCCTAAATTTTACCACTCAACAGTTAAGAATAGCACCTTAATATTCCAATTTAAAGGAAAATCATCATAACTCAATTAAATTAATTTCACAAACATAAAATTTCTCATAAAAGAATGGCAGCTTATAATAATAAATCCATGGAAGCTGAAGACTTGCCGAAGAAAAGGAAACACGAAAGTAGCCATTGGTGGGAAGACGACCTCGAAGACAAGTCCACAATTAAATGAAATTCACTAGAACATCATGGTGTAATGTTTCCGCCATTATATCAGCCTCATGGAATGCCTATTCTTTATAATGGTGAACATGTATCCCTTACTCCAGAACAAGAAGAAGTCGCCACAATGTGGGCCTCAGTCGTTGGAACCGAATGGGAAACAAAAGAAATTTTCAGAAAAAATTTCGAAAAGAACTGGCTAAGAGTTTTAGGCGAAAACCACACAATTAAGAGCCTAGATGGCTGCGACTTTAAAGGGATCCAGGCTCATATTGAAGCACAAAGAGAACTGAGAAAAGCAAGACCTACAGAAGAAAAAAAGGCTGAAAGAGAAATTAAGCAAAAAATTGATGAGGAAATGGGATATGCGATAGTTGATAATGTAAGGGAAAAAATATCGAATATTATTGTAGAACCTCCTGGACTATTTAGAGGAAGAGGACAGCACCCAAAAGCAGGGTATTTGAAAGCAAGACTGTCACCTGAAGATATCACTATAAATGTTGGGAAAGGCAACAAAGTACCAATATGCCCACTTCCAGGCCATGCCTGAAAAAATGTGACTCACAATAGCACTGTGACTTGGCTTGCATTTTATAAAGACCCAGAGCTTACTTTTTCAAATGTAAAATATGTGTATTTATCAGCATCCTCCAAATTTAAAGGACTTAATGATAAGCTGAAATACGAAAAAGCAAGAAGGCTAAAAGAGTATATTGAAGGAATAAGAGAAAATTACCACGGGAAAATCCGTTCAGAAAACGCTCTTGATCGACAACTCGGCTCAGCTTTGTATTTATTCTTTTTTTTTCCATATTTTCCAATTTTTTATTATTTTCGTTATTATAATTATTACTTTAATGCAGTATAATCGATAAACTTGCATTGCGTGTTGGCAATGAAAAATCAGAAGATGAAGCTGACACAGTAGGCTGCTGTTCTTTAAGAGTCGAGCACATAAAGCTTGAAGAGGACTATCACATTACTTTAGATTTCCTTGGCAAAGACTCAATGAGGTACTTCAACACAGTACAAATCATCCCTGAAGTCTATGAAAATTTAAAAGGCTTTATTAGTGGAAAGGATAAAGAAAATGAATTATTTGACTTAATTACAACAACCTCACTTAATGAATATTTAAAGAGCTTTATGGAAGGGCTTTCTGCAAAGGTGTTTAGGACTTATAATGCATCTATTTGTCTGCAGCAGCAATTAGCAAAATTTAATGAATTAGATCAGACTGTAGAGGAAAAAGTGAAATTTTATACAGATGCCAATAGGGAAGTAGCTATTTTGTGCAATCATCAAAAATCTACTCCAAAAAATTTTGATGCACAAATGGAAAAACTTCAAGACAAATTAAAAGAAAAACTGGATATTATCGTTATGCTAGAAGACCATATAAAATTCCTAAAGAATGGAAAAAACCCAGTTAAAACTGATAAAAAACTGCCTACAAATGAAGAAAGCGCGAGAAAAGCATTAGCCAGAGCTAAAACAACTGTGAAGAATATGGAAATTAGGCTGAAAATGAAAGATGATAACAAAACAGTTGCGTTGGGGACTTCTAAAATTAATTATATGGATCCGAGAATTACTGTAGCCTGGTGCAAAAAAGAAGAAGTCCCAATTGAAAGGATATTCCCTAAAACTTTGAGAGCTAAATTCATTTGGGCGATGTACGCAGAACCTTCTTGGCAATTCTAATGATAAGCTCTCATAAAATTAAATATTTCATTAGGCAATTTTTTATAAATAAACCTAAATATTTAGAAATAATAAATCTTATAATGCCGCCCCGTAGTGCCTAATTAAATTATGGAAGTTTTTGGTCATAATCTTTCAGATGTCCTAATTCAAAAAGAAAAAGAGCTCCAAGAAATCAGCAAATTAAGACTCCTTCAGCTAGAAGACAACTTACGACAAAAAGATTTAATAATTGAAGATTTAAACCAAAAAATGCTAAAAATGCAAGAAGATTTTAATTATAATGTTCAATTAATTGATGAAAGAGACTCAGAGCTCGCAGAAATTGACAATAAATTTGAAAAACTGAAGAAGATCGTAAAAGAGAAAGATGCTGAATTAAGCGAATTAAAAGCAAATCATTCTTCACAAGATCAAAAATTTAAAAGCGAAATTGCTAAATTAAAAACATTATATTAAAAATGGCGAACCAGCCCAGCCCCTCTTAAGTCTTGAGCTGGAGTATTACAGGGTGCGCAGGGAAGATGAAGATCGGGAATATGCATCTGGTCAGGTTTGTACTGATTTGGTGAAGCGCAAGTTGGGCTAGCTGACCGCTATTTAACTCCAAATCAGGTTTTTTTTCTCAAAGAGGAAGGGAGCCGAGAGTTGGAAAGGGTCTCTCAGCAGAATCAGTGGTATTTTTCCTAACCAATCAGAACTATTCTCAGCCTGAAACCAGGTGCTATGCCTGGTCTTTTATTTTCATTTTAGTTGATAGTCGACCAGAAAATTCAACCATTTTTAATTTTCAATAGTGAACAACCTTTGTTGACACATGGCGAAGCGACTCATCCTACTACCGGATGGCTTCATCCAGCGAGAGTTTTCTTTGCGAGGTCTTGCGCAAACTGGCGAGAAGTCAAAGGGTGGTTACGAGTAGAGATAGTCCTTCGGGAATTGCAGCAGGGCTTTTCGATAAGTGTTAATAAATTAAAGCAAATTAAAAGCCCAAGAAAAATTATTAACCCAGTCTAGGGAAGATTTACGAGCTCAATTTAATGAATTTAAATGGCAAAAAGAAGAAGAAATTCGATATTTAAAGCTAAAAATTGGAGATGAGAATGGAGAAGCTGAAAGGATTATTAAACAAAAAGAAGAGGAATTTAAAACAAACAAGCTAGCATTGGTCGAAAAATATGAAGCGATGCTAAGAAATAAAGAAGAAACTCATAGTAAAATTGTGCTTGAGCTTGAAAAAGAAATAAAAAATTTGACAACAAAATTATCAATTCAAACCGAAAAATTAGAAGAATTTCAAATAAAAAACAAAAACTGTGATACTGAAGAAAAATTAAAAGAGCTAGATGATCTATACAGCCAAGACATCGCTAAGTTTGAGGCACAGTTAAATTACAAAGATCAACAAATACAAAAGCTTATTGAGCAAGTTAAATATTTCCAAGAGAAGCTTGAAGAATCAAAGTCTAAACTGCAAAATGAAATTTCTTTATTGTCTTTAAAAGCCCAGTTTTTAGAAAAAGAAAATTCTAAACTAAAAGCAGCCCACGAAGAAGAGCTTAAATATACCAACCAAGCTAACGAAATGCAAATTCAAAGACTTAATTCTTCTTATACAACTCAAATAAACCGACTTCAAGAAAGACTATCAGCAGCTGAAGACGAATCTGAAAAATCATATATAAAAGGCCAGCAGCTACGAGAAAAACATCTCCAGCAAGAAAGAAAATCAGCACAAGAGCTCATAATGATAGAGGAAAGCCACAAAAGAGACATCATTTCTCTTGAAGAAACCATAAAGCAGTTAAAAATTCAAATAAAAAATAAGCAAGAAGAAATAGAAAACAGCAATGAAAAAATCCAAAATTGGAAATCAAAAGCTGAACAAAATGCTGAAGAAGTTAGAAAATTAAGGATAAATTTACAAGAAAATGAAATTAAGCTACAAGGATTAAAATCAGATATTGATAGGCTAAAAAGAGATGAAAATAATGTACAGAAAATTAAATTTGGGTATGAAGAAAAAATAAAAGAGCTGATAAATAAATTTGAAAATAATGTAAGGCCTATGAGCCCAATTAGTAATGGCAGTGAGAAAAGAAGGCTAGAAGATGAAATAGAGGAATATAAAGAAATTATTTATCAAATGAGAAAAACAATGGAAGAAATGAACCAAAAAGGCTTTACAGGGGATGTTGATATGAAAAACCAACTTGAGGATTTTCAGCAAGATTATAATAGAATGAAATCAGAAAGAGACCAAATTGCTAGCGCAAAGAATAGATGCGAAATGGAGTTAAAAGAAATAAAAATGATGTAAATGGTATTTAGGAATGAAAAATTAAGAGGAGAAATTTCAAGGCTGCGATCAGAAAGAGATCAACTGCTACAAATAAGCTCTGAGCTTAATTCTGAATTAAAATTATTCAAACCTGATAAAAATGATGGAGAAATTGATCAAGAATTTTCAGAAATTCCGCTTGATAATATAGAAAATGAAATTCCTGCCAGATCCTCAGCTGGATTTTCAAATCCAAGGCAGCTTTTAAAATACGCGAATTTTGAAGAGATTGCTCAAATGACCCCTGAAAGAGACATAGAAGAAAAACAAGAGAATTTTGAGAGTCTTGTTCAAGGATATGCTAAGCCTATTATTCCTTCAAAGAACACAGAAAGAGAAACTCTTTCACAAAAATTGACAGCTGAAAAATTAAAAAGCTCTAGTATAAGAAAAACACAAGCCAAAAAACCAGCTGTTAGAAATTATAATATAAAAAGACATTATTTAAGATTTATAAGTTTTACGTCCTTTAAGGGGTTGCACAAATTCAGAGCTTTCCGCTACATCTATGCAACACCTGGCCCATAGGCCACTGGGGCGACCAAGACGGCATCATATAAAAGACAACTAAAATTTAATTTCATTTGGAAAAACAAATTCTGATAGAAATAGGAGCAATTTTATATTTAATTAAATTTGTTGTGACATTTTATAGTTGATATTTTAGATGAATAATGATGAATAATAAATGGCAGCATAATCGGCATTGACATACAAAAAATTGATTATTAAAGTTAAGACTTCAAAAATCAAAAAAAATTAATCTTAAATTATTATAGCATCCCAAGTTAAAATATGCAAATATAAGACTACACTATAATTTCATAAATGTATTCTCTAATAATATTACTGCTACCCAATTAAAATGAATAAATCATTAAGTAAAAAATCCAACACATAAAGGTTTTTCCCTCACACACTTCTATCTTTTCCCCAGAATTATTTATTTTTTAATCTTGGAATAATATTCAAAAAATCAAATCCACAACAGTGTAGTAAGATGGTAAAATAACATCATGGGGTGCGCACCGACCTTAGGGAAAGCCAAAATTAAAAAGATGAAAAATATCGAAGCCGAACATACGCAGCCCCAGCTGATTTTAGCGCTTCGAAGCAGATCAAGTTCCAATGATTCAGAAAGTCTGTTTGACTTTCTCGATAACAGAAAGGTGTCTTTATTCACTGTGAGAGAAGAAATTTCTGCATTGGAAAAATCCGCTAACCCTTCATACTTTGCTTCCCCAATGGCTGCAAATGGCCTGAAAGAAGTAAGCTGTAACACTCTCCAAGAGTTTTGACAAGGAGGAACAAAGGTGAACTAAATATAATATAAATATTTTAAATAGAAGCTAAAGTACTTGTGTTAGTTTATAATTAGTATTTGAAAAATGCTCAGAAGGTCTTGGTAGATTTCGAGTGAAAATTGGAAAATATGATTATTTTACATTTTGCTTTAATGGCTAAGGTAAAAGATATTTTCCAGCTTATATTAATTATTTAGATGTAAAGAATAATTTTATTAATTTTAATCAAAGCAATAAGAATGATTTTTATTCGGTAAATGATCCAGTTATTAAAAGATGAAGAAGTTAATTCATGATGAATAAGCCAAACTTTGTCCTAATGTAAATGAATTATTCAAATATGCTATGCCAGCGTATTTGGATTTTTACTGTAACCTACCTCGCAATTGCTAGTAGGCACACTGCTCTTCAAAGCTGAGCTATGTGCAAACCTTTAATAGGAGAATCGCTTGACATGAACTCAACCTGACTGGGCGCTATGGACTTTACCTTTTTATTATGTTATGCTATAGGAAACTTCGTAAGCGGGACCCTAGGAGACAACACTTCTTTATCAGCCATCACTTCAGTAGGAATTGGCCTCGGAGGACTTGTCTATTTGATTAATGCACTTTTAGGTGCAGTTTCTTTCAGCAATCCATTAGTTTTTGCAATATTATTTGGTCTGCAAGGAACTTTTCAATCTTCAGCTTGGCCAGCAACTGTAGCTATAATGGGAAATTGGTTCCCGAAATCAAGCACTGGAAAAATTGTAGGACTTTGGAGTTCAAATTCATCTGCAGGACATCTTATAGGTGCTCAAATGGCAGCAGCACTTATATATTATGGAGTACGATGGGAAATTACAGTCAGCATATCTGCTATATTTATGATAATTGTTGGGCTATTATTCTGGTTTTTTGGAAAAGATAAGCCAGATAGCTCAGTAACCGAAATGCTTTTAATAAAAAAGCAATCAGAAAGCAGGTTTTCGACTGATAAAAAAGGGATTAGCTTTTGGAAAGCATGGCTTCTCCCAGGGGTCATTAATTATTCCCTATGCTATGCCTGTGTGAAAACCTTAAATTATGCAATTTTAATGTGGCTTCCTTATTATTTATTTGATTCTTATGATATGAATAGTGAATATGTAGGGATTATGGCAAATATTTATGACATAGCCAGCTTGATAGGTGCTTTTGGATTTGGCTGGGTGACAGATAAACTGGGATCAAGAGGGCCAACACTCTTTTTAATTATGTTTCTTACGATTCCGACCATTTGGTGCTTTTACGCAGTTCCTTATGATGCTTGATGGCTGTTTTTCATATTATCCTTTATATTAGGAGCTTTTGCAGGAACTGCAGGACATTTGATAACAAGTGCAGTGGCTATTGATATTGGGAAGCATGAAGATCTCGATAAAAGTGAAGAAGCACTATCAACTGTGGCGGGGATTATTGATGGGACTGGAGGATTAGGAGCAGCAGCTGGACAGATACTTATTGGGTACTTGGCCAGTATTGATTGGATGTATTCATTCATATTTATGGTCATTACATCAATCCTTTCAGCAATTCTGCTGATGCCGATTGCGTATAAAGATTTAGTGCATAAAAATCAAAGTGATGGAAATGATAAAACGGATATTAAATTGGAGTAATTTAAAATATAAGAGATTCTTAACCTAATTTTCACATTTCATAAACTCATTTATTTAGGTTTTTTACTGTCAAATATATAAGATCATTAGGTAGGAGTTGCCGAAAATATCTAAAAGAATTCTATTTTTTGAAAAACTGATATATATGTGAGGCTTTTAAGCATTAAATTTAAAATAAAGTTAAATGAATTTCATAATATCATTATTTTAAAATAAATTAAAAAATTTTAATATTAAATTGCAATTGCAGTTTGCTAAGAAAATAGATCTCAAATATAATTTTTAAAATTTTTTATCCTAAATCAAATTATAAAAATAAGATTTCATTTCGAAAACGCTGTACATCTTGAATTAAAAAAGATGGATAAGAATGACCGAGGCACCCGATAAGTATCCAGAGGGGAAATAATTAACTTCAATCTTCTTCTGAAATGTTGCAGATTTAAAATTTAAGTTCTTTTTTTGTTATAAAAGATGAAACCAATCCCTCATCTTCATGCAAGGATATGAACTTTTACAATAACCTACCTAGCAATCGCATCACGACATACAGCAATTCAAAGCTGGTCAATGGTTAAACCTGAGGTAGGAGCAGATTTATCGATGAATTCTACATGGCTAGGAGTGATGGATTTCACATTTTTACTATGCTATGCTACAGGGAATTTTATCAGTGGAAATCTTGGCGATCACACATCATTATCCGCAATAACATCAATCGGCATTGGTTTAGGTGGTTGCGCTTACTTTATTAATGCCCTTTTAGGAAAACTGAATTTCAGCAACCCTTGGATTTTTGCAATTTTATTTGGCCTACAAGGAGCATTTCAGTCATCAGCGTGGCCAGCATCAGTCGCCATTATGGGAAACTGGTTCCCAAGAGACAAAACAGGACGAATTGTTGGCTTTTGGAGCTCAAATACTTCAGTCGGACACTTGCTAGGAGCTCAAATGGCGGGATTTTTATTAGTTTATGGAGTTTCTTGGGAAATCATTATCAGTATTTCAGCAACTTTCATGATTTGTGTAGGACTAATGTTTTGGTTTTATGGAAAAGATAGGCCACCAGAGCATGAAGCTGAAGAAGCCTTACTATCAAAATCCATGACGGAAAATAAAATTATTTTCAAAAATGGTATAAACTTTTGGAAGGCTTGGAGACTTCCAGGGGTCCTTTATTACTCCTTATGCTATGCATGTGTGAAAATGCTTAACTACGCAATACTGATGTGGCTTCCTTATTTCTTAGATGACGAATATAATATCGACAAAAGATATATAGGGTTTATGGCAAATATTTATGACATTGCAAGCATAGTTGGAGCTTTTGGGTTCGGGTGGCTTACTGATAAACTTAAAGCAAGAGGGCCCACACTTTGCTTAATTATGCTGTTTTCGATACCAACTATATGGTGTTTTCATATAGTCCCACATGATTTATGGTACTTAATTTTTGGAGTTTGTATATTACTTGGAGCTTTAGCAGGGACTGCTGGACATGGGTGATGTTAAAATAAAGTAAATGTACTTTTTCAACCCTTTCCCAAAACCTATAAAAATGACTGTAATTTAAAAATGTTCTTTTGCATAAAAAAGTATAAATGGTACTTTTTGAATATTTCCAAATAGGGTTGAAAATAGTAAAAAGTGTTTAAAACAGCAAAAACAGAGGAGTACGTATAAAATCTATATTCTATCAAGATTAAGCAAATTTAAAAAAAAAGCTCAAGATGGGATTGTATAATAAAAGATATTTTTTTCATACAAAAAGAGGATTTTTTAAATTACAGAATTTTTAACCTCACCCGCAGGACATTTGATATCAGCAGCAGTGCCTATTGATATAGGAAAGCATGAACACTTAGAAGGAAACGAAGAAGCTTTGGCAACTGTTGCTGGAATTGTGGATGGCACTGGAGGACTAGGAGCAGCCTTTGGGCAAATACTAATCGGATATCTGGCTTCTTTTGATTGGATGTATGCGTTTGTGTTTATGCTTATTGCAGCATTTATCTCACTTTTATTGCTCATCCCAATTTCCATCAGAGAATATAAAGAAGCAAAACTTATTAAAACAAATAATAAAATAGTTTAAAAAATTCCCATAACAAACAATCAATAATTACTATTTTCTATTATCCCTAATTGCAATAAATATATATTCCTGTTATCAAAGATAACAACTAATCTTTATCCATAGTATTTATATATAAATCCCCAAACCTAACCTTACAAAAATTTCGAAAACATTCTTTGAATTTATTTTTAATTTTTTATAACATCGTTTTTCATGTTTTCCTCCCTGTCTATCAGATGGCCTAATATGGCAGCTAATATACTTAAGATGGATTCATCTAAATCTTCAGCTCCTTTAGAAGAAAACTTATCAAGATCTTCTAGTCTTTCACAAGAAGACTCTTTTCACACTGCTCCTGAAGAAGAAGCAAAGCAAGAAAGCGACAAATTCTTAGATTTCGGATTATTGCAAAATTACATTGTCCAGTTTATCAGTGATTTATCTCAAAATCATGACTTATTAGCTGACGCTGATAGTGAAATAGCTCCAACACTGACTAAAAGACTGAATAAAGAAATAAAGGTGCTGACCAGAGGCTTGCCGTGCACTTCAAGTTATTCTATTTTTATAGGAGTAGATTCAGCTAATATGAAGCTTATGAAAGCACTAGTAGCAGGATCTGAAGGAACCCCATACGCGCATGGACTTTTTGAGTTTCATATAGCAGTCCCTAACACTTATCCCAATTTCCCACCTGTTATGAGCTTGCATACAGGTTTGGTAAATACCGTCGCATTTAATCCGAATCTCTACAATAATGGATATGTCTGCTTATCAATTATTCTTTATATTCACTCACTTTTATTAATCCCTCTCTTTTTTCACTATTTTTTATTAAAAATAATCATAACAATAAATTTATTTTTGCAAATATTCCTCATAAAGAATATAAATACTTGGTCAGGAGATCCTGAAGAAATGTGAAGCCCTGACAAAAACCTACTACAAGTCCTTCTCTCAATCCAAGTTTTAGTCATGGACAACCAAGTAATCCAAAAAGAGCCCAGCTGCTCAGATATGGCAGAAGACTCAATTGACAACATTATTTACCAAAATATAATAAAATACGCCACTATACAGCACACAATGATAGATGTTTTGAGGAACCCTCCAAAAGGCTTTGAAAATGTTGTGGAAAATTATTTCAGGATAAAAAGGAATGAAATTTTGAAAAATATTAATAATTGGCTAGAAGATGCCAGAGGACAGGGCATTGAATATACAATGGACGATATGGCTGCAGGGTATAATGAAAGCTTGTATTTAGCACTGAAAAGTGAAGGATATGCAAATGCATTGCAGAGAGTCGCGAGAGAGCTGCAAGACGAATTTATTGAGAGATATGGGTCTGTGAATGTATATATTAATGAAATTGAAGCTCAGCCGATGATGTATGGAGATGATTATGAAGCGGGAAATCTGAATTTACCGACAATTTTGATGAGAGAGCCATCGTCTTCTGATCCACAAGCACCGGGTATATAAATAGAATGGAGTCTAGGCTGGGTATTACTGAGAGGGAAATACATTTTATTCATATCCGAAAGGCTTTGACAATCCTGAAATGGACAGCAATGCTAGGAATTCTGGTAATTTACAGAGCCTAAACCTAGTCCGTTTTCAGGATTGGATTTTACCTTGAGGAAAAGGTGGATTCAGAGATGGAAAGGGAAAGCCCAGCATCTGCAGGCAATGCCTAGGCCATTCGAGCAACTTCCTAGTGTGAAGCCAAAATTTTCTTTTTGCCGATAGTTGACAGGAATTCCATTTTTTGGGATTTTTGTGCGAATAGCCTTCCTTCAGCCCAGGTAGCATGCCGCATAAGTCCATAGCTTTTCCACTCAGCACAGAGTTGATAAGGCAAGTATGAGGTGGAGACACAGAATCCTACTTAGCAGGTGCCATGATGTCAGGTGGTGAAGAATAGGAAAGGCGATGTCCGAACAAGCAAGCTCTCTCTGTAGTCGTCGCAAAGAGGTTGAATCTCCCTAGAGATCCTTGGTGACTGTGCTACCAATAGGTGAGCAAGCCAAAACCTGCACTTTATGTTCAAGCATAAGATCCACAAGCCCCAGAATCTGTACATCCTTATTTTCAACACTTAGGAGACCATAGATTTAATGCATCCGATTGGGATGCCCAAAATGCGACGACTTATTGTTATGATGCAAGCACACTTAACCAGCAAGGGCTTGCGAGGATTAATAAAGAAATTAAAGCATTGACTAGAAGTTTGCCATGTGAGCCCTCTGGAGCTGTTTTTATAGGTATGGATAGCTCGAATATGAGCAGAATAAAAGCCTTAATCTCAGGCACTGAGGATACTCCATATGAGCATGGGCTCTTTTTATTTGATATTCCTTTCAGCTTTATTTATTTTCCTATTATTAGCTTTCTTATAAAAATGATCCAGAACTATTAATTCTCCATAATTGGGAATATAAAATTACCTCAAGACTATCCTAACAGCCCACCTCTTATGACTATAAAAACTACTGGAAACGGTTTACATCGATTTAACCCTAACCTGTATGACACTGGCTACGTCTGTCTATCAGTAATAAACACCTGAGACGGTGATCCTGAAGAAATGTGGAACCCAAGCTATAGCACCCTCCTCCAAGTATTTTTATCAATACAAGCTTTAGTCATGAACCAAGCAGTCATTCAAAAAGAACCTTCCTATGAAGGCTACTCAATAGACAGCAAAGAAAACATGGAATACATCATGATTGTCAGATATGGAAACATAAAATATGCCATGTCCGCTATTATTCAGAATCCGCCTATTGAGTTTACTGATGTAGTAGTCAAACATTTCGCTATCAAAAAAAAAGAAATTTTGAAAACTGTCGAAAAATGGCTTGATGAGGCTAAAAATTTTGTGTTTGAAGGGTATGAATATTGGCTGCGTGCCATTTTTTCTGCACTTTTTTGACAGTCATGCGTGCTAAGCAGCAATTTACTAAAAAAATTTTTATATTTAGGCACTTGCTCTTAAAAACCGTGAAATTTTTTCTTAAAAAAAAAATTTTCTAAAAATCAAGAATCATGAATATTTAATCTCAAGCCACAATGCTCACACTGTAGGGATTTTTGCAGAAAAAGGAATATATGAAGCCTTTTTAGAAGCTGTTGAAGAGCTCAAAGGGCTGCTAGAGAATCTTCCTGAATTGTAGAGATTAGAGTAATAGGCTAATTATTTTCTTTATAGCTTTATTTAATCCATAATTATTTTTCATGGGACATTTCAGCAAAGCCAAGTTCTTGAAACTTGCCAAGGGCTACTACGGCAGAGGCAAAAACTGTCTTTCATTGGTAATTCCTCGTGTGGACAGAGCTCTTCGGTTTGCCTACATCGAAAGAAGGCTTAAAAAGCGCAACATGAAAAGTAGCTGAATAATTAACATTAACGCAGCCGTGCGCGAGCACGGCTTACCATACTCAAGATTTATCTATGGCCTAAACCACTCCAACATCGAACTAGACCGCAAAATCCTTTCAAATTTGGCTCAAAATGAACCATTATCCTTCAAAGCTATAATAGATGAAGTAAAAATCCAAACAAATTTAGGGCTAGAAGCCAAGTCACATAATCTTGAAGCTTTTGACAATGCTATGAAAGAAGGAGTTGTCCTTGCGCCTGGGCAGCCATTACCTCCTATAGAAGAAGTTTATAAAGCAGCAAAAGGAAAAGAGCTTCAATGGAGAAAAGGATTTGAGCCTAAATATAACAAGCCAAAGCTGCCGTCTCTAGAAAGAATCAATGAATTAAGGGAAGTAGGGCTCTGGGAAAGTGATAAAGAAGAAGAAATGTATGAAATCCCACCTGATAGAGTTAAGCCTGAAAGGGAAAAAATGAAGGGAGAGCCAGAGAGAAAAGAAATTAAAAAGCCAGATTTATCACATATTTATGATCCGAAGGTAAAGGTTGAGAAGCTGAAGTATATGCGTGGATCTAGCAATCAAAATAGACATCTAAAAGACAAGCTAACTGAATAAGTAGATTTAGGATATTTTTAAAAAATAGGGAGATGGAAAAGGTGTTAGATGTTTTCAATTGATTAATAAGATACTTCTAAGGGTCAAAATTTTATTATTAAGTATCAAGCATAGCATTGGAGCCATTCTATAGCTTTCTAGTCAATGGACTATATATCTTAAAATTTTAATCTGTTGAGTAATTGTCTAAATAGGGACATTAATCTAAGGCAAAGTAAAAGAGCAATTAAATTGTAGCCAATTCAAAATTGGAAATAGAAAATCTGATATAGAAGAAAAACTGAGTGCAATAACAATTTTATGAGAGATTCTCTGGGAGTTTAATAGAGACATGCATTTAAAACGCTTAAAAACTTAAATTTTCAGCTTCTTATAATTTTTCGTGTCTAGCAAGCCAAGATGCTTAATATCAATAATATTTGCTTAAGAAATAAGCATCTTGCTGAGTTGCTGATATTTCTTATAAGTCGAATATTTAATTAGAGCAGCCTTAGCAAAACTTATTGAATTAAATTTCTTTAAAATTCTCCATTCTGCTTTCTAGAAATCTCTTTATAAAAGAAAGGATAGCCATATTTTTTCAATGAACACTGCTTGATACCCATTACATAATTAATGTGCCATACACAAAGCTCTGATCCAGACGACTTCAACAATTCTTCAAACAATGGGAATGTCCATAGTTCCCCAGCAAATAATAGTGAAGTTTCATATGAAACTGTTTTAGCCATCATCGAGGCAAACAATTGTTTTTTAGTTTCCGTTCTAGAAAAGTATCAAGAAATGACTCAAACTATGAATGAATTTGAGCTTACTCTGCAAGATATTAAGAGCAATTCAGCTACTGGAAATTATTATTCTTCTTTAATAAACTTCAGAAAATATTAAAATATTACTAAATGATTATTAGTTTATATTGTCTGGCATAATTTTTTATATATATTTTATATTTATTTTTATATAAATTTCCCTAAAACTACACTAACTATAGATTGAAGAAGCTCTTGCCTCATAAAGCATTTTTTCATAGATCTTTTGCCCTTCAGGACATGAACACACTGCAGGTCTTCATATATTAAAATAGGCAACTTGGAATATATTCTAAATATGGACTACCAATAGTCGCTCAATGTCTGTATTTGAAGCTATATAACTTTGAGGATCAATATATATAAAATAGCGATATGAACTACCCTATCGTTTTTTATTCAATAGTGTTTGGGTTCTTTGAGTAATCATTTGTCTGAGCCTTGCGGCTTTACCTAAGGGTTGCGGGTTGTTGTGTATATCTTGCTGGATTTTCCCCTGTTATAGCAAAATCTTGGATTTTCCATGGACCTTGGGACACTTTTTCTCTGAAGCCACAAGATACCACACTAGCTTGGGTGAAGCCCTTTCCTAAATTATGAGCTCTAAGGTCCGAGGCAGCATCAGAATCAGGCTAAAACTGGAGTATAGATATCCCCGGTGCTGTGCTGACACACTTCTGGGGGCTCGACTTGCAACAGATAGAGTAATGCTATTCTTCAGTAAGACACTATCGGTTCAAGTCCCTTAATCTTTAATTAAGCTAAGCTACGCTTTGAGGATTCAATGGGTCACAAATGCATAGAACTCCAGGGGACTACTTACTCATTACTGTATTAATTCAAGTATCTCTTAAATTAGGAAGCTCTGGGTTATTCACAGCAATTTTCCTTGAATAATCAAACTCATATCCATAAAAATACAAAATTTTTACCTCAATTTTATCTAAATTTTACCTTAAAATTTTCAAGAAATTTACCTTCCTAATATATAAAAAATTCAAATTAAGCACATATACAAAAAATATCTGCTACCTTATGAGAATCATTGCCAAAATCTGCAATCCATTCAGGCCCTTGTGACTGATAATACCAAGTAATCATCAACAAAAGCCCATACGAGCTCAGCCCTCTCTTAAATGGCTCATGGAAATTAGAAAAATAAATAAGCTGCTTAAACAATAAAGTCACATGGCGAAGTGTATGGTACTGTTTTAGCAAACTTTTAACAAAATCTGAACAAGCCAAGCCACTATGTCTAGAGTCTTGTACAGATATGTCTACTTGTATCACTCTTGTGTTGTACAATGTTTTCACTTTTAAAAGAGGAATTGAAGCAGTTAAAATATCATCAATGCTCTCGACAATTTCAAGAGATTTTAGCTTACTCCCCCCCCATCCTTGATCGAACGACTCGCCATCGTTCGATCAAGGATGGGGGTTAAAAAAAATTTTTTTGGGAAAAAAATTTTATATATATAAAATGAAAAAGATATATATAGATTTTTTTTATTTACTTTAAATAAGAGGGTTAAGAGTATTTAATAATTATTTTTACTGCAAAAAATTGAATTAATTTCATAAAAATACCAATTTTTAATATTTTGATTTATTAGTTACCCTTTTAAACTGTATAAATTTTAATTTAAATTAAATATTTTTTTAAAATTTTAAAGAATCTCTATTTTATTAGATTATGAGCTTTTAAGCCTATGCTGATGTCTAAATCACTTCGGATGGTTGATTTCGCAGCTTTCTGTCGTCTCAAAGCTCTGAAAACAACTTCATTAGGCACATCTTCCAAAGCATTTGATAACTAATATTTTTTATATATATAAAAATTGTCATGATATGAAAATCGTTCGATCAAGGATGGGTTAATTTCCCCAATTTTTAGGAATTTTTACAGTCAATCGTTCGATCAAGGATGGGGGGGGAGTTAGGAATAAGGGATTGTAGCACTTGGGATGGAGAAATTGTTAAATTTGTGATGACAAGGTCAATGTCAGAATGAGGAAGATGGAGGTTTGTTTCGAATGAGCCGTAGATTTTTACCTCACTGTTAGAATTAGGTTAGATTAACAATTAGGTTCTTTTTTAACTTCTCACCTAGATCAAGCTTTAGTGAAAACCAGCTCAGCTATCGGTAAATCTCTATAAGTATGTCAGCATTTCTGCCAGAGACAACTCTCATCTGGCTCTTGATAAGGAACTTTGTAAACAGCTTATAAATTGGCGGCTGCTGGTTTAGTGACTATAATTCCAGCTGGGGATAAACTTCCTAATAGTCTTGGTGCAAACTCTTCGTTATAGACGCAAGTGTTTTCTAACGGCAAAACCCTAATTCAAACATATCAATCAGGAAGGTAAAAATCTTCATTGCCTGGCGAAGGAGGTTGAGACTCATCTCATTTTGGCTTCAGTTGCATCAAGCCCTCAAACTCTTAGCCGATTCGCATAGAACGGTTTGGTTACACCGCCGCTTTATTTTGTACATCACTGTCAGGAAATTCCTCTTTTATATTTGCAGATATGCTTAAGGCATTAACTAAAATTTTTTGCTTTATATAAAAAATATTTATTAATTCAGATAATAATAAATATAATCTCCACGTTAAATTATGTTATATACTTACTTACTTGCTGTACAGCTCCCATCCTCCAGGTTCCCGGGTTCTCTTCTACGGCTATCGCTGGCATCACAACGGCTCCTGCCGTTAGAGCACATAGGTTTGGTTCTTGCTCCATCTCAGCTTGACTGATTCTGCTGTCTTGAGCCTTTGCAGTACACCAGTGATCAGGTGCTGCTGCAAGAAAAATCCCTTCTAGCTGTGCAAAATCCACCTTCAGAGTAAAAACTATAATCTCCACAACTTCTCTATATGAGCTATCTGATTTTCTTGCCCAATTAGAAAGGTCATTAAGAAATTTTTTACATTCTTGCTGAAGATGCTGCATCACAATCTCATGAGTGTGCACTGTTACTGGTCTCATAAACAAAGAAGGGTTAGGCTGGTTAGCAAGCTTTATAGAGTATAGCCTATCATCAACTTGAGGTTCTTCACTTGCAGCAGGGGACTGTGAATTTGCTTTTTCTAAAGCTTTTAGCTTATCCAATAGCTTTTTCTTGTTTTTTCTTTCTTTTTCAAGCTCATTTTTAAGTTTTCTGTTTTCATCTTCAATTGATCCTTTTTCAGGGATCAAAATTTTGAATTCTTCTTCTGAGGAATGTGAGAGGAGCTCTCTGGCACAAGAAATGCAATATAATTCATTAGTCTTTTTGCATCTCAAGCAGGAGTGGATTATTGGAGCGTTCCCATTTGCCATTTCTTCAGCGCTTTTTTCATGGTTTTCTCTTTTTCTGTAATTTTTGACTCTGTTGTTTTTTCCTTTGCTTTTATTGTTATCTTTTTTATTTTCTTCTTTTCGTTGTCCGTAACCTGTGAGCAAGTTAAAAATATTGCCTTGGGCTTCATTAATCGGAGTTTTTCCTACGTTATTTTGAATCCTAATATTTGCTCCTCTTTCTAATAGTAATTCAACACAATTTCTATAATTATTCCTCACAGCCAAATGCAAAGGGGTATCATTATTTATACATTTTTATACTAAATTCGTGTTTTTATAGATAATTATTATAATTTTAATATACAATTTAAATAATTATATGTTTTTCGCGTTAATATCAGCTCGACTTTCAATTAATTCATTTACAGAATCCACAAAGCCATTTTGCGCAGCAAAATGAAGAGGTGTAAACCCTTGTATGTCCGGAACATTTGCATTAGCTCCATTAGACAGCAGAAATGAGACAATTCTTATAGGGTCGTCTCCATGTTTTTCTAATGCATGTGTCAGAACACTTTTTTTTTCTCTATCAAGAGCTCCACTGCTACATTTCAATTCAATCAACATCCTTACTTCCCTTTAAGTACAAGCAAGATTTTCTGCTCATGGTTAATTTTTCTTTGAAATTTGGTATATAAATATTTTTTCGGAATTTTAAGTATTTTAATCAAAAATCTAATTTTATAAAATTTATTTTTAAATGGAAGCCCTCTAGCTCAATATTTTCTTTAGCAATTATTAATTACATATAAAAATATTTTGCATAAAATTATTTTTTATTAGATGTTTTTTGCTACTATTAAGGGAATATTTTCCTAACTAGATTAAAGGGGACGGTTACAAGCTCAAAGTCTCCTATTTTTGCTGCTTTCATTAAAAAAGAAATCCCGCTACTATCTCTATAGTTGGGTGATGCCCTAGGAAGCAAAATTTTCGCGATTTCTATATGAATTGGAGATCCTATGTTAAGGGCTGTCCATAAAGCTTTTGATATAGTTGGTGGATCAAAAGGGTATCTTTCTATCAAACATTTAACTTCGTTTATTTTTCCTAATTCGGTAAATTTGTGAAGATCTGAACCGTTTGCCATTTAGAACTTTACGAAATATTTTTATATGTTTTTGGTATAGTTTCAATTTTAATAGTATTTAGGGAAAATTAGAAAATAGAGAGAGGATAAAAGATAAGGGAGATTTGAAAGAAAATAAAGATTTTTGAGTATTTATTAGGTAATAAATGAGGTATTTACAAAGATAAATTTTATTTTATAAAATAAGCTATATAAGCTATTTGTAAAGGATTCTTATCTTCTACTCTATAATTTTCTAATAGAAACATCAAATAATTCATTATTATCATAAAAAACCTCTAAATTCCAATAATTTTATATATTGGCCACAATCTGTTCCTACAACGTAAAATATAATTAATTTCTTTTTAAAACCCCAGCCTTCCTATTAAAATCACATTAATTTACCCCAAAATTTATTGAAAAATTATCTTGATTTCATCTATACGTGTGAAAACATGGTGATAAAAATAATGGCTCTCAAGTCCGAAAAGCTTTTCAACGAGATGGCACCAATTCTCCAGACAACTGGCGCAGATCTTGTCAAAAAAATTGGAGCAATCTACCACTTTGAAATCCTTGCAGCTCCTGGTGCTGAGCCAGTTGTTTTTACAATTGATCTCAAGAACGGAAATGGGTCTTTTGCTAAAGGAAGAGTCGGAACTGCTGATGCAACATTCACCATGACTGATGACGATTTAATTGCTGTCGCCCAAGGAAAACTCAACCCACAAGTCGCCTTTATGCAAGGAAAGATGAAAATTAAAGGAAACATGGCAAAGGCTAGCAAATTCACTCCTGATATTCTCCCTAAATCTCCAAAACTTTAATTATTTTAGATCTTGATTTTAATATAGGTTTTTAGATGTTAATTTATGAGCCTATACGGAAATATAAGGAAAATATTGGGAAAATAAAATCTGATTGAGAGCTTTTATTGATATTTTTTGGTAAAAGTCTCACAATAAAGTAATTTTTGATAAACAAATATTTAAAGATGTTTCATATGTATTTATCTTTATAAAAATATTTATAAATAAATCACTGTAAATAGAGAGCTATCCTATGCTATAATAATTGCCCGAGGATGGCGCTATGTTGCGCCATCCTCGGGCAATTCAAAAATGGCCCCACACCGGGAATTGAACCCACGTGTGGGGCCATTTTTGGTGTGTGTAGAACACATCGACTTCCACGCACCAAAAATGGCCCCACATGTGGGTTCAATTCCCGGTGTGGGGCAATTTTTATATTATATAAGTGTAACTTCCAAAAAAAATGTTTCAATAGCTAAATAGCAATAATTAACTGTAAATATAACAAAAATAACAAAATTTATTATTGTCAGGGCAGTTTCTCTTCTATGCTTACTCCCCCCCCCCCCTCCGTGAGCGAACAAAAACCATTAGAAAAATCGCCATTTTTTGACCAAAAACCCACCCTCCATGAGTGAACAAAAATTTTTTTAATAGAAAAAATTTTAATGGAAAAAAATTTTGATATATAAGTGATAATTAGTATAATGAAATCTAGAGCTAATTCTGTTTAATTTTAAACAAATTGCGTTTTAAAACATAAATTTTGCAAATTAAATTAATATTTGCTTCCCAATTTTTGCAAATTAGGATTTTTTTTAAATTTCGAAAAAAATATTTTTTATAAAATTTATATATAAATTTTTTTTAAAAAAAAAAATTAACCCCCCTCCGTGAGCGAACAAAATTTTTTTGTTCGCTCACGGAGGGGGGGGGGGGAGTTAGTTAAAATATTATCTCAAAATAACAATGTTATATATTTCATATTAAATGTATAATTCAATGAAAACAAGACATAGAGTAAAGTCATCATCTCAGCCCTCATCTAGTAACACAACCCAAGCTTCACAAATATTAAGATCCAGCATAAGTAGTCAAGTTTCAACTCCGAAAACCCCTAAAATTTCATTAACTCCTCCTTTAAGAGTGAGCCAGCTCTTTAAGGGGACGAATTATATTTGATTTTAAAATATCATATAAAATTATACATACGGGAAACATTGATGCTGGTTAATCCTATAAGTATTCTATTTCTTCTTCAAAATAAACCATTTAAAGAAAAAAAAATCAGATATTGGCTAGGAAGTAAATAACAAAATATATATTAAAAGTATACATAAAAAATATTTTTCGAATTTAAAAAAACCCAAATATGGAAAAGGAAAATTAAATTTAATCTATAAAATCATGAATTATATAAGAGAGAGTAAGCAGAAGAGCAATGACATCTTCTTCTAAGTCAAGTCCCAATCAAAATCCAATTTCTGTTATATCCAATAGCAATATTGTGAGCGCTTTATTAAAATCTGATAGAGAAAAAATACCGAAACTGCTTGCTAAAAGTAGTGGTGTGTCTTATATATTAGATCCAATATCAAAAATGCCAAAATCCAGCTCACCTGATTTATACGAAGCATTAGGGATAATTTCTGATTTTGACTTATACTGTTACTGTACTTTTATCATTCTTTAATCCTTTTAAAATTTATTAATTATTATTCTACTATTTAAAGCTAAAATAATGTCTACTATATATCTGATTCAGAACAACCTAAGCCTATGCATCGATCTACATTATCAATTCCTAATTTAAAAACATCTGAAAACAAATATGCTTAATTACATAAAAAAAATATTTAAACCCATAAAAAATTTAAAAGCCTAATTTATAATAAAATACCATATTCATCCCCAGAAAAATTCGAATTTGGTGCCCCAGCCGGTCGAAAAGATGTCGAATTGTTAGCTGAATGGGTCGACAGAATGCTTCTTAAGCTTGCCGAAGAAACTGCAGAGCCTGAAAAAATGCTTGAAGAAACCAACAGAATATATACCACATGTATAAATGAAATTATCCGACAAATTACTGTACAATGCAAAGAAAGAGGAGAGCTGATCACAACTATATGAAAAGCCTACCAAAATGTTTTTGAAAGAGCTTTGAGAATTAGCCAAGCTAAACTAATGCTCACCAATGAAGAGCATATGAATGACAAAGTAAGGCTCCAAAACCATTATAAAGAACAGATAGCACAGATGGAAAGGCTTATAGAAAAACTCAATGAAAATGTGGAGCAGCTGCATAGAGATATAAAATTTAAAGATGATACTATTATGGTCAAAACTTTTAGAGAAGAAAGATTGACAACTACACTGCAAACTATTCAGGAGCATTATAAAGCTATAAAAAAAGAAATTCTTATAATAAAAGAAGATAATAGAATTTTATCTGCAAAGTTAAATTCGACCAATGCTAAATTCAAAACAGACTTGACTTAAATTGTTAAAAGGTAAGCTTGAGCCATAATTTTTAAGCGCTGAGGATCTCATTAAGGAGATTCAACAGATTTGTGACCTGATTTCACCAGGGGTGGCAGTGTCTTCTCCTTGCCTTTAGGCTTCAGTGTTTAGTGGGTGGAAGCAAGAGTTGTCCACACAAAAATCCCGAAAAAATGCATTTATGGTCGACTCTTGGAAAAAAAGGGAACCACATAGCCTAGGGCTTAACTCCGGTTTCAACAATGGCAAAGTGCCCATTAGTCTAGGCATACCTGTAGGCTTTGCTGGGAGACCCTTTCCAACTTCCGTGCCACCCTTCCCTTTGAGGTAAAATCCATCCTTTAAAGTGGACTTTGTCTAGGCTCTGATACATCCAGAATTGCTTACCTAACATTGCTATCCATTTCTGGGATGGCAAAACCTTGCCAGATATAATTAAATATGTGCTCGAAGGAAGTCAGCACCCGGCGGCGAAACGCTGAGACCACATATTTAATTATAAATTCAAAACAGACAATAAAGGCAACATAATCTTGGAAAATCATAAAAAAATCAAACCAAAAGACGAAGGGTTCATCATAAGGCAGCTTACCAAAGATCCAGTGCTTACTCCTATAAATGTGATCATAGAAAGAGAAAATCTAGCAGATGAAATCACCTACAATGAGAATCAAGAAGAAGACGTTTTTAAGCAAGAAGACTATAGAGATAAAGGAATAGACGCCCCAGTAATAAAAACTGCTAATGAATTATTGCAAACAGATGTAGTAGACCTATGCGGTGAAAGCATTGGAGTAAAAGCTCGTAAGAAAAAAGCTGAGTCAGTTGTGGAGTCTGATAAAGAATCTATAGGAGATATAAGACTTCAAGAATTTGTTAGACCTATTTATAATGAAATAATTTTTTGTCTCATTTTTCTATAGTAAATAGATATGATAATCTTATATTTGTTATAAATAGGCATAATTTATTAGACAAAGCTGAAAAAGAAGAAATTGATGAATTCATGGTGTTTAAAAAATTAGAAGAAAAAGACGAAATTGACATTGCAGATTTAAAAAGAAAGCACAATCACGTAAAGCAAGTTGTTTATAATGTAAAAGAGGTAATTGGCAAATAGGGATATTTACAAAGAAATGAACTATCAAAACATGCCTCATTCGCCGCTATTATCATCATTGTACAAAGGTCTTTCTCAAGCATTAAAAATTTTGGTGAAGCATCCTTTAGAAAATATTCCTGGATTTGATGATAGTTCAGTTGTAGAAGATGATGCAACTTTTAAAAAGAAACAAAAAATGCTATTTTGTCCTAGATTAAGTTTGCTGAAAATCTAATTAAATTTAAATAATTATATAATAATGCAAAAAAAACCCTGCTATATTAAATTAAAAAATCATACAAACTATCATAGGAAACGAAGAAGACAAAAAGGACAAAAATCCATATGAAGAAGAAACATTGTCGATTATCAAAAAAGTCTCCACAACTCCTATATTTAAACTCAAAAAAGTGATGTTTAAAAAAATGCTTTTAAAATTAATCACTCAATTTTACGATGAAAGAATCCAAACTAAGTCCAAAAAAGAAGAATTCGGTGCATTTGTATTCACTGTATTAATGAAAAAATACGTCATGAAAAAAGCTGCAGAAAACAGATTTAATCATTTATTATCAAGCTGTATGAAATATAGAACTATAACGAGGGTTAGAGTTTTTGGAAGGTTTTTGGGGCTTTATGATAGCTTTGATGGAGGAGACCTTGAGTTCTTTTTAGAAGCTTTGTCGTCGCTAAATAATTCTCCATCTGGAAAAAATATCCCAAATCAGGAAAATTCTGAAAAACATTTTGTGCCGTTTGTGAGGTGTGTGGAAATTATGAAACTTTATGAGAAATTTTTTTCGAAAGAAGATTTTACCGACATTAAAGCAAAGCTAGAATCGCTGAAAAGTCATGATACAACGGGATTTAATAGGCATGGTATAATAGAAATTGATGCATTTTTAGAAATACTTGTAGATGCTTATCGTATTCATAAAAATCAAGCATTATGCTTTAAAACGGTAATTATCACAAAGTTCTGGAATCACGGTTACTCTTTTTATTATTTTTAATAAAAATAAAATTAGTCTTATTTTCTTATAAAGAAATAAATTTTGTAAAAATTATTTATGAAGCTGCAGATTTAAACGAAGATGGCTATCTTCAATATCAAGAATTTGATTTACTGCTAAAGCATATATCAGCTCGTCCTTACTCTGTAAGCCTAGCTAGACAGCTATTTGATGCCTACGCCGAAACTTTTCTTTCAGAGGAAGAAGAAGAAGTCCGAGCAATTTCTTTTGAAAATTTAGCTGAATTAAACACAAAACTTAGAATTTTTTCTGGAGAATCTTTATATGCATAATTATGATGAATAGCCCAATAAGTAGTATTTTTAGCTAGTCAATGTAAATCCGTTTGCAAGATATTTTGTAGGCCAACTGATATCTAGATAACCAAAAAAAAATGCTTTATCATTATTATTAGTATATAAAATTTCACATGTATCTAGTCCTGAAGAAGCTGCAGAAAAAATCCAGCAATGTGAAGACACCTTGGAAGAAAATTTTATTGAAATTTTATGGAGGTTTAGCGAATGTGAAAGCTGGAACCAATACCAAGAAGAAGTCCAGCATTTATTAGAAGCAATAAAGATGAAAATATATTCACGTAGCAACCCATATCCAGTTTGGCTTGCATATAGGATCATTGAAGAAGAATCGAAACGAGCTATTGTACATGAAAGACTAAAAAGCTTTATTCCAGCGTTAGGGAATTTATTTGAATTTTAGTATTCAATTTTGATGTAAAAATTAGTCCTAGTAAATAAAAATATTTATAAAATTTTCCAAAAAATTAATTAATTATTTTTTGTGCATTTTTTACACAAATATTTACCGAAAAAATCACCTATACATGCGAGATGAAACAATGCATGACACTTTGCACAATTTATAAATTCTTTGTCTGGGTTTTCTGGCTTTTTGCAATAGCAGACTCTTTTTCACCTTGAGAAGGTAGGGTTAACGGTCTTTTTCTTAGGATCATAAGATGCTCTTGTAAAATACAAGTCAGAATCACTTTTATCAAGAGTTTTATACTCTTCTAAGCTTACTACATCAACTTTACAATCAATGCAAGCTAGATCAACATTTTGAATTAGGTTAGAAATAAAAAGCTCGTTGGACCCTAAAAAGTCATGGCTGAGCTCCAAGTCTTGTATTGCACGATAAAACCACTGAATTTTGCAAGTTTTGACACCGGATTCTTCATAATTAAAATATGGCGTCTTCGTCTGGGCATGGCCTCCCGGCCATGCAGCCTCGACACATATTTTAATTATATCCGGCAGGTTTTACCAATCCAGAAATGGACAGCAATGCTAGGTAAGCAATTCTGGTAATGTACAGAGCCTAGCCCTCAGTCCGATTTCAAGGTTGGTTTTTACCTCGAGGGTAAGGAGGGTTGGATTTGGAAAGGGCAAGCCCAGCGGAGTCTGCAGGTAATACCCAGACCAATCGGGCAACTGCCTAGCGTGAAACCGGGCGTTACGTCCCGGGATCCAGATTTTCCTTTTTGCCGAAAGGCCTAACAGAAATTCCATTTTTTGGAATTTTTGGATGGTCAACCTCGTGACACATGCAGCAGCCGCAGAAGTCCATAGTCCGCCCACTCAACACTGGACCCGAAAGGGAAGGAGGAGACGTCCGAAGCAGAACTACACTTCAGAAGTGCCATGGCATCAGGCGCTGAAGAAGAAGAAGAAGAAGAAAGGTGGTGTCAGAGCTGAACACTTGCCTAGCGATTCATTGCCCCAATTCGATCAAGGCGAAGCTGAAGACGGCGCAAAGCGGATGAACCACCCGTATGGGTAGGTCCTTGGTGACTGCGTAAACCAATATGGCAGACGCCTCCCTATAAGTTTAAGTTTTAAGACACCGGATTCTTCTTTAATTTCAAGAACTTTTGCTATTCCTGGGTGGGTGCCTTCTAACTCAATTATGTTTATAAACTATTTTGTTTTATTTTATAATTGCTATTTATTTATATTTTTTAAAAATTTTTCTTATTAATTATTAGCCAAAATGAGGCTGCATATACAGGATAAGCGAACAGAGCAAATATCTCCTGTCTTAATTGATGGCATTGCAAAATCAATGGGAGAGGAATTGTATGAGCTTGATGAGTACATTTTTTCAAGCTTAAGAAGCTTGTAAGCAGCTTGAGCTTCTTGAAGCAGCCTTCTTTTGTGTAAAGGTAACAGTCTTCCTTTTTGCATAATTGAATTTAAAAATTATTAATTTGGGGCTTTAGCTGATTTTTTCCTCTTTCGAATAAAGACTTTTTAAATCAATAGGTTTTACCGCTTAGGTATAAATTTTAATTTTATCGTGAATAAAAAATAAGAACGCCAATAGTTGAGTTTAGCAAAAGCAATATTAAGATACTAAAATTTTAGCTATGAAAAGAGAGACAGCTAAAAATAGAATTGCTATTATCTAAGAGAAGAAATATAGTATAAATTCGATGATAGACAAGAATAAGAAAATGTGAATAAGGCATCCAGCTTAAATAATCTTGTTTTAATATATCAGCCACTTTATAGACAGATCTTTAATTATCAATTATATAGCATATTAATTTAATATCATAATCGTTTTTAATTACCCTCCGTGATCGTGCAAAACTATTGGAAATATTATGGGAAATTAAATCAATCCATTGTTTTTGTTTAATAGGTTTTTAATAAATAATAAAGATTATAATGAATCTCTAGCGAATTTATTAAATATTAAACAAACTAGGCCCAGCCAGATCGTACTAAGCCCTTACTTAATATAGCAAAAAAATTTCTCGCTCAAATATGAAAGTGAGCTAGTATTTAATATTTCAGATAGCCTAGCCATTTTTCTTTATAATGCTCTTTGCAGCCAAGTTCTCGCGACAAAATAAAAGCAGCATTTTCATAATTAAAATTAAAGTTAATTTTAATAGAGAAATAATTTTAAAAATAATAAAACTTTAATCAAAAAATATGACATAAACCTAATATTTTCTAGCAAAAAATAAGTATTATTTATAATGGTGAAGATATTTTTGTTTCTCCTCTGGCACTTCTGCGAAGCAATTTTATTCACAGCAGGATCTTGTGCTGGGTTTCATCGTGATTTGAAAAATCCATCTATATGATATTCGATAAAACGTTTAAATCCTGATGCATTCATATGACTTGGAGATGCAATATATTCAGATAGAGGAGATAATTTATTCCAAACAATTATCCCTAATGAAGAAAAACATTGGAAACTAAAGTATGATGTTCAAAAAAATGATGAAGGCTATAAAGAACTTAATCTTCTGCAAAAAATAATTTATTTTCTGAATTTTTGGGCTTAATATTTTTATGCTATATTAATACGTTATATTTATGCTGATTTTTATCTAAGCAATGAGAGCTTTTTAATTATTAAAATATAAGAAAAGCATATCCTAATAAAATAATTTAAAATGAAAAATTTTAATTTATTACAATTCAAGAAAGTTAGAGAATCTACAAGAATTTTAGGGGTTTGGGACGACCATGATTATGGACCTAATAATTCAGATAAAAACTTCCCTTATAAAGAATTGTCAAAAAAGCTATTTTTAGATTTTATTGATGAACCAAAGAGCAGTAAAAGATATCAGCGAGAAGGTTTATACGATTCTTATTATTTTACCGAAAATGACTTGAAAATTAAAATAATTTTATTGGATGACAGAACCTTTATGGATCCCTCTAGCAATGAACATGCCGATGTCTTACTCCCCTTGGTCATTTAGCAAAATTTTTTAAATCACTAACCAAGGAGTCTATTTTTTTATAAAATTTGACATTAAAATTTATATGAAAACAATTTTAACTGATAAATCTAATTTGATTTATAAATTTACGTTTAGAGCGCAGGCTGTTTAAAATTTAATATATTTTGTTTTAGATTTCATTAATTATATAATGTGTACCTAAAAATGTTTTTATCGCTGGTCAAAGGGTAATTTTTCCCAAAAAAGCGATTTTCTAGTGGCTTTGCTCGCTAAATAAATGGCTAGTTAGGAGAAATTCAATGAAAGTGGCTTGAAAATGAATTAAGCGACACTGTTGATCTCTATTTAATAATGAATGGGCTACAAATTAATGTAGAAGGAAGGCTAACGAATATAGTCGAATTAGACTGTTAAATCTTCTAAATAGCCACCCTGGTGTAATTTTAGTTTTAGGCGATGTCCATCATTCAGAACTTATGAAAAATCAATGTTATAAATACCCAATATATGAAATCACAACAAGTGGACTTACGCACTCCGTAAAGACCCAATGGGGATTTATTTTTCCCATCCAAACGAATACCTTGCAGCCATTTACCTATAACATAGGCAGAAGAATCTTTATTAAAAGTTTCGCAAGCATAGAAATAAAAAATAAAGAAATTTCTATTGATTTCAGGGATTCTGATGGTATTTCTTTGCTCCATCACAAAATTCCTATAAGTGAGCTTTATGAGCCAGCTATAAGAAGCTATTTATGTGACCAGACAGTAAAAGAGAGGAATATAAAGCATTGGCTTACTCCCCCCTCCGTGAGCCACAAAAAAATCTTGTTCGCTCACAGAGGGGGTTAATGTTTTTTTTTAAAAAAAAATTATATATAAATTTTATAGATTTTTTTTTTTTCAAAATTTAAAAAAATCCCACTTCGCAAAAATTGGAAAGCAAATATTAATTTAATTTGTAAAATTTATGTTTTAAAACGCAAATCGTTTAAACTTAAGCAGAATTAGCTAGAGATTTCATTAGAATAATTATCACTTATATATCAAAAATTTTTTTCATAAAAAATTTTCTTCACGGTGGGTTTTTAGGCAAAAATAGGGATTTTTCTAATGGTTTTGTTCGGAAACGGGGAGAGTTAGTTATTGTTGGTGTTTTACTCCCCTCTACTGATCTATATTTTGGTTTTCATCAAATTTATAAAGAAATATTCCCATTCTTATTAATTATATTAGATAATAAAAGATGCTATTTTTTCAAAATCTCCAATTGACGCATTTGGGTCGCAAGGAAGATCAAGGATCACTTTCATGGTATCAGGAAGCACCTTTTTTACGAGTTCTTCGGTAATATTCTATCCCTAACAGAAATAAATGCTTTTTATTGCTAAATATTAATAATTTAATGCCAATTCATGCTAAATTATAATAAATATTAATTACTGTACTATAATCCATTGCTGGGCTTGTATTAACTTCAATCAACCAAGGCCTAAAATTTGAATCTATCATAAAATCAAACCCTAGCAGTTCAAATGTATTTTTCTTTGCCGATATTTTGGCTTTAGCAGATTTAGCAGTATTTATAATGATATTTTTAACATCAGGCAAAATGGTTTTATTCCAAATATCATCTTTATTTTCTTCAATCAGCCACTCTATAAATTGATCAATGTGCCACATGCTGTCTTCTGCTTTAAATGATGGACTATATTTTGCGATTGAATTGTTCGTTAAATGTATATAAGGATCCCCCCCTCATTTGTCCAATTTTCTAGTCTTTTGTCATTTGTCCATTTTTCTAGTTTTTTTTATCCAATTTTCTAGTCAAAATTTTCATAGAAAAAAAAAAATTTCAGGACCTCAATTGTATCATTTTCTAGTATTTTTAAGGTAAAAAACTTAAATTTAGGACATTCGAAATAATCCAAAAAAGACTAGAAAATGTGACAAATCATTTTTGACTAGATTTTGGGACAAATGAGGTCCTGGAAATTTTTTTTCCTATGAAAATTTTGACTAGAAAATTGGACAAATGAGGGGGGGATCCTTATAAATCATCGATTTCAGATAAATCATACTCTTTAACTGAAAAACGTAAATAACATTTCTTATAGAAAAATATTTCAAAGGTGTTGAAACAAGTAATTAAGACCCACTGCCGTATATCAAATTTGCGTTTATTGATAATTAATGGGTTTTCTATATATTTTTGTATAACCCAAGAATTGTTTTTGGTGTATTCTAAAATATCGTCAAGAGATCTATAAAGCAGAATATCTCTTCCTCGTGATTTGAAGCCAGGCTTAACAATTCATATATTTTTAGTACCATGAATTGAATATTGTTTATCAGTTTCAAGCATTCTCAAGCAGTCTTCTACCTGTTTATCAGCATTTTCTTGGTTTTTTTCTTCTATTGATAGCTTTTTCTGCAAAAATTTTAATGCTTTTATCAAATCATCACTGACTACTTGGCTTGCATTTTCTTTATATAGCTTTAACACTGACTCAGCTTCATTTTTCTTAAAAGCTTCTATGAACTCATCTGGAGAATCTTTTGGGCCTACAATATAGCACTCAGGGAAAAAATCATAAGATATTGGGAATTTTTTTAAATTTCTGCAGATTTTCACTTTTGTCGATAATTCATTTATGTGTGCTATGTGATTAATAATTTGATTTGGCCTAATATAATCAGGGAGTTTTGCGTTTTTCACAAATTTTAATGTAAATCTATCTCTATTTAAATCATTGCATTCTCTTCAGCCTCTTGATTTTAAACATGAAACAATGTCTGGGTAATCAATATCTGCAACAAAAAGCCTTTCGGCTGCTGGAATGTGCTTAGGTGTTGTACCAGTTTGTTTCTTGTTGATTGATTTTATAGTCTTTAAAAGTGGGAATTGATTTTTTATTTTTGATCCATAAGGCAAAGCGGCGTCTTGGAATCGAGTGTTTTTTTTAAAGGAAAAATTTGGTGTGAAGCTTAATGAAATTTTTTCTTCTTCAAAAATTTTGGTCTCGTGAATTTTGATTGCGCTGATGTCTGGGTTGTTTGATTTTTTATGTGCTCTACTCTGAGTCATAGAAATTCGTTTGGGTGTTTTTTTTTGATTTCCATCAGCACTAATCATAATATGCTATAATAAGTTTAAGCTTCTTATAGGAATGGAAGCATAGTATCTTATTTTTTAAATAATCAGGATACTGATATTTTTTTTTTTAGTACTATTAAAGTAGGCAGCATATTTATTGACGACATTTTACTATTCGATATTTTCGAATTATCCTTAAGTTCAACAATATGAAATAAACTATTTTTTAAAACGTATCTTGGCTATAATAATTTATGCTCAATATAGGTAGATACAAGAGATTTATATTAGATTTTTTAATTGCTTTAGATAACTTCTTTTTAAGAACTTAATAGCTAAAAATTAGCTTATTTAACATTTATATTCCTTGCGATTTATTATTTATTTTCTGCAATGTTTCCTTTTGCATTGATTTTCCCACCTTTCGAATTTAAAAATTATTTTAAAGCCTACCTGAACATGATGGATTATACTCTTCTTAGCACATCTCTTCTAAGTCTTTTCGTAGCCTGCTTATCAGATATATTATATACTGAGCTAACTACGTCCCTCACCTTGGAAAACTTATTCCCTTTTGAGAGTAACAAAAATATAATACTTACTCTACAACATAATTCTACCATACTTAAAATTTCCTAAAATTTATTATATATTTTATTGTTAAAGTTTTACTTTTCCTTTGATTTTTCCTCCTTTCACATTCAATTTATTTTCTCCTTTTTCTCCAGCCTCTTCTTCATTAGCTTTCATTTTTGACCCTTTTAGTGAAATCCCTATTTTTCTCTCACTACTGCTATTTTCACTTGAGCTACTGCTTGATTTCTTTTTATTTTTGGATTCAGAAGCTTTAATATCAGCTTTAAAAACTGGAGTTTTGCTTGCTTTGATTCCAGGGATTTCTGTTTCTGCTTTTCCTCTTAATTCTTCTAATGAGCTGCTACTTGAAGATCTTTTATTTTTGATTTTGGCATTAACTTTTGGAGTTGCTGTTTTTGATTGAATTTTAGGTTTCAAGCCAGGCTTGCCAGTTTCTATGTCAGATGAGTAGTCACTGCTTGAAGATTTTCTTTGTCTTGGGAGCTTTAGCACAATTTTATGCTCTTCCTTAGGAGTTTCGGCATTGATAACCAAGGATTTTTTGCTGATTTTATCTTCCTCATAAACTTCTCCTTTAGGCTCTTCAGATGAACTGCTATTGGAAAATTTATTTTTTCCCTTTTTGACATTAGCTTTGGCTTCAATTTTAGGAAGATGAGTTTTTGCTTGTATTTTAGGCTTCAAGCCAGCTTTTTCCAGTTTCTATATCTACTAATAGTTATTTAGGTTTTAGCGTGCTTCTTACTACAGCAGGATGATGTAGGCATGCATAACCCACCCTTTTAAATTCAAAATTGGTGACGTCAGCAGCCATCTTGTCTTGCAAACCTTCCAGAATACCCCACAAAAAGGCTGGGAATTCTTTTCAGGCCACGTTTAATCTTGCCTGAGCCTGACTCCAGCGCGTGTTCCGCCTAAGGGTCGCCCTCCTCAGGTGTATCACGTAGCAAAAATCATATGTCTCCTTTTTTCCTTGAGCCACCGAATAACCCGGCGCAGTAATTCCATATTGGCATTGTGGATAAGGAAAACTATCCATATAATATCACGAAGAATGAAAGGCTGCCTGTGAAAGCCACTCTGCACGTAGCCATTTTATTATCGTTCCAGTTTCTATATCAGATGAATAGTCACTGCTAGAAGACTTTCTTTGCTTTGGAAGCTTTAGCGTTAGCTTTGGCTCTACTTTAGAATTCTCAATTTTTGGAGCAGATACTCTAAAATTTTCTTCATCAGAAGATTCACTTATCTGCTTTTTGCTTTTGGTCTTTATATCAACTTTTGGAGAATGTATAATTGTTGGGACTTTTTTGTTAAGTTTGATTTCTATTTTCCGCTTTACATTACTTTCGTCTGAAGAACTAGAGCCTTCACTTGATATTTTTATTTCTTTGGCATCTCTTTTTGAAGCATCAGCATTTATTACAGTTTTTTCTTTAGATATTTCTTTAGATTCTTTCCCTTCTTTATCTGATGAGCTTGAATTACTAATACTTGAGGATTTATTTTTAATTCCTATTTCTTCCTTTTCACTTTGTTCCTTACTCTCATTTTTAAAAAAAAAATTATAATTAAAATTATTAATGAATTTTCAATAATTTTTTATTTTTCTTTTTGGAAGTTAGTGACTTTACTTTCTTCATTTTTTGGCGTTTTCGCTTTCTCATCATTTAATTTCTCTTTTTTCTTTAATTTCGCTAAAATGTCTATTTCAACAGATAAATTCATGACTGTTTCATGAGCTTCACCAGATGGTAATTTTTCAACTTCATATTTGTGGTGGCTAAAATTTTGGTCTTCTATATCTGGAGAAATTTTAGCAAAATCCAAATGATGCCAATTAGCTGTATGTTTTTCTTTAAATGCTACTCCTGGGTAGTTTATAAAGATTGGCCCTTTTCCTGGTATATAAATAGCTGGATAATGTTCTGTCAATGAAAACCCTATAACCTCCATAGGTTTGAATTCTGGTCGTGGGTCGAGGGAAAATAATATAGTGAACTACTACACTGACTGGCACGGGGTGCTTTTGGCTCAGTTTCGAGCCAAAAGCACCCCGTGCATGTCAGTGTAGTTAAATATAGCAATATAGGCTATGTTTTTGGGTTTTTGGGTTATCACCTCCAGCAATAATAGCATGCCCAGAGCCAGAAGCACAAATCGGGTTAACAACTTTAATTGGCAACCTAATTTCTTCTTTTTTTACTTTCAATGACTTGCAATCCAATGTGAACACTTTTTTGCTAGACCTCAGCTTTCCTTTTGTGTTGATTCTTTGCCCCCCAACAAAATAAATTTTTGAATTAATCATAAAGCACCCAGGATATAGCAAATCTTTCAATTTATACATTTTCATATTGAATTTACTGTTAAAATGCCTATAATTATTTTTTTTAAAATTTAATTTTTTTTATTATAAATTCTTTGGATATTGGATTTTCTTCATGCCCTTTATTTGCTTCATCTAAAAATATTTCCCAATAATTTTCATTAACATTATACCTCATCACTGAAGCGCCTGAAACTCCTATCAAGGATTCTTCATCTTGTATGACCGCTCCAACATAAAAAATCCATTCATTATACTCCAATAATACCCCTTCTTTGGCAGAAATCGGAAGCCTAGCAATTACGGTCGCTTTTTTACTTTTGCTATCTATAATGCAAGCATTATTTGTAAACATTCCTGAGCTATCACTGCCCCCAACCACTATCATTCTGTCATTAGAAATATAGCCGACTGTGGAATCGGCTCGGATTTTGATTTTTGACTTGAACTGATGCTTTTCAATTGATTCAGGTGTCACGTGGCACAGTAATTTTTTTGAACGGTTCAGGTAATCAAAGTCAGGGACTCTAATATGGGCAGGCTTTTTTGAGGCAACTGCATCTTGCTTGGCAGTGCATGTACCCATTTTATTATTCTTATTCCCCCCTCCGTGAGTGAACAAAACCATTAGAAAAATCCCTATTTATTGCCCAAAAACCTACCTTCCGTGAGTGAAAAAAAAAAATTTTAATAGAAAAATTTTGATATATAAATGATAATTAGTATAATGAAATCCTGAGCTGATTCTGTTTAATTTTAAACAAATTGCGTTTTAAAACATAAATTTTACAATTAAATTAATATTTGCTTTCCAATTTTTATAGAAGTGAGATTTTTTAAATTTGAAAAAAAAAATTATAAAAAATTAGCCCCCCCGTGAGTGAACAAAATTTTTTTGTTCACTCACGGAGGGGGGAGTTAGATATTTTGTAAGATTTATTGAGAATTCCAGTTCATTGATTATACTGGCTTTTATAAATGACGAAGCTTAAGCTTAATCAAGGAAATTTTAACTGATTTTAGATTATTTTTTAATAGCCCTTATCATATAATACACCTGAATTTTCGTTGCGAATTGGGATATATCTTAAAATCTGGGCATAAGACATATAATTAGATTTTCTAAAATAAATCTTTCATTGCTATTGAAGGATTTAATTTAAAGAAGTTTAGACACTTTATTTAATAAAGTCATTAATTTAATGGCACTAATAAATAAAACTGAATAAAAATAATAAAATTTATTATATCTCATACAAGAATAAGCAAATTTTAGCAGAAAGTAGAGTATAAATTTTATTATTTTCATAATTGGTAACCAATATTATATTTAATTAAATAATCTCACCAGGCAAATAAATATTAAGCTTAAAAACTTAAGAATCTAGCCAACTTACAGTCATATTAGATAAAAGAAAGATTTAAAAGGATTATTTGTAGATACTAAATCTAAAAATAAAATCAGATAAAGGATTTTATAAAATACTTTCAGCTATTGATTATAAAATAATTGAACCTTAAAATAGCATATACAGTTTTAGAGAGACGGGAAAAACCATTTTTGGATTTCTGGCGAGCCGCCGGGAGATGGCCATATTATTAATCTTAAAAGAATTCTTAGCTACTTATGGGTCTCTTATCTCTTCATTAAGGATTCTTTCCCTATGGCTTGATCTGTTCTAAGTCTTCTACAATTTGGGCAGAGTTCAACTGAGTTGTTGATGCACCCTGGGTGGAATGAACAGCAAGCACTGAACATGAGAACAGGGCAGCTTGAAAGACATCTTCCGCAGGGACGAATGGAGTGATCTTCACCGAGAACCATGCTGTTTGGCTCGAGAGAGAGTATCATCATCATCATTTCTGCCAGATTTTCTTATCCTTGGTAAATGAGCCATCATGGCTGCAGTCAAACGCGAGCTTAGCATTGTAATAGGCGGCGCAAGTTCTTCTCTTTGTTTCTTCATTCTACTTCTGGGTGAAACAAAGAGTTTTCAGGGTCGTAGTAGTAAGCGAGAGTTTTTAAATAGTTTGTGCCTAAGCGTCTGCGTCAAGAATTACTCATTAAAGAGGATGGTCGGATTATGTGAGATCGCAATAGCAAATATACTTACTGCGATCCCCTTTGCACTGAGGCAATAGGACTTCAGAGCGCTTAGGCAAAGGGTTGGTTGATAAATACGCAGATGCCAAGAACTTTAAGCACTCCTTGATAGCTGGGAGAAGTACCCTTGCTGCAGTAAATCATAAAGGCAATTCTTATCATAGGGGTTCTTCTCAAAAGTGGACCTATAATTTCCAAAGTCTGTAGCTTAAGGCGACCTCTCCATGTGACCTTCTTATAGCCTATAGTTGTTGATTTTAGTGGAATAGATAATGTCATATCTTTAAATTAAAGGGGGATTTGAATTTATTATATTATAAATGGTAAAAATATCAAGCCTAATACTCATAGCAAAACAAGAAGACCCTTACAAAAAGCCAACTTCATTCAGACAGTCGATATTTTCAACCTAAAGAATAATCATGAACCATTTCAAGTTGAAATCTCATTAAACAAACTTTTCCAAGAGAAAATAGCTCGCAATGCACGCACAAGGTAGTGAAAGGTTACAGAAAACACCAAAGAGTTTCTTGATGGCTTTCAAGCCGTAATCCTAAATTGCTATCGTGGGTCTGAACACGGAAGCGTTGAGAAAGAAACTCTTGCCTTTTCATGGCATTAGAATCTATAGATGAAGAAGATATAGAAGCATACATAATAACCGGCGAGATGGATGACTTTTAAATTCAAGGAAACAACCCAGATATAAACTTAACTCGTCTATATTCCTGCCACCCTCTTGACGATAAAGATCTTGAAGAGTTCAAACTGAATGAACGAGATCTAAAAAAAGTAAATGTCTTTCGGCTTTGGGATGAAAAATTTTTATGTGAGGGACTCTCAGTATGAAAATATTCTACCAATCAAGCTCTATCATTGGCACATAAATCATTTTTATGCTACACATTTTGAAATAGATAAGGCAGCACCTTCCGATCAAGAAAGTTTGAACCTATATTCAGAAGAATGACTGCAAGAAAATTATGATAAAACGCTACTACAAGGTGCCAATGAATATACATGCGAAATTTGTGCGATTATTGCAGCAGTTATAGGAATAAATGGAAAAATAAAGGAAACTCTAGAAGGAAGTTGAAAGAATGGCGGCTATTCTATTGCGATGCTTTTCAAATTCCAAAACATTATCTGCGAGAAAATAGCAAAATACCAAATTGGAGAAAGAGGTGAAAAAGTTTATCTTCTTGTCCATTTGCAAAATATCAGCTTCTGTTGGATATGGGAATAGAGGTAGTGTCACAACTAGAGATTTAATAATACAACGAAACTGCTGTTATTGCCTAGCATTGCTTATGTATTGTTTATTGGCAAGCCAAAGAAATCACTCGTATTCTTAGTGAGTATAAATTTGGAATCTACAGGATTAGATTTATCCTTATTGAAGCATATTAGTCCTATCGGATGGGATAATGTAATTTTATATGGCGAATATATAATTAATAAAAGTCTCATCAGAAGGTAAAATTATTTTATAAAAAGTTTAGCGGTAAAAATAGATAAAACATACAAAAACACAGCTGTAGGCTACATGAAAAATAACAAAATTTGATATTTTTTATCCAAAAATTTATACTTACAATAAAAATTTTTTTTACAGAAAGTTAAAATTGTGACTTAGGCAGCTTTGCAGAGTAATTATTGAAAATTTTTTTATGGAAAGATTTTAGAAGAAATCGAAAAAACTAGCCTATGAAAGCCATATATTTACTCAGCTACAGCCTTATGCCACATTCCTACATAAATGTTGCTAATTCCCTAACTACTAAAGCATCAAAATAAACGATAGTATAAATTGCTTCTAAAGGTCTATTCTGCCAACTCCTTACTTTATCCATTGCATTATCCATTGCATTATCCGTAACTCTGTTGATTATGCTTTCACTAATTTTTGCACCGTATAGTTCGTGGATCTGGATTTTAATATCAGATAGACTTATTCCCTTAGTGTACAATGATAATGTCTTCTGATCTAGTCCATCAATTCTAGTCTGACGCTTTGGTACTAATGCAGGAGTAAACTCAGCATGCGGGGTACTTCAAGGTCTAATACGCTGCCTTCGGTAATTAAACTCTTTTTTCCTACATCATTCCTACTATTTTCTGTTTCCGCTCTGCTATATTTGCTATAATCTAGATTCTCCTCCATTTCAGCTTTTAATGCTCTTTCAAATAGATTCTTGTTTAGTTGTTTTAACATTCCATCTTTAGCAAAAATCTGAAAAAATCAGTATCTTTGTCTATTAGCAAATCTGCTGCTGTTTTATTTTTTCTTGATTAATCTTACTCATGCTATTTCCTTATAAATTATTATTATTATTAATATAACCTATTTCAGAAATTAATTCAGAGCCTCATATTCAGCTATTTGCGTCCTGATATCCTCACGTATGTGTTCAGTGATAACATTTAAAAAGTTCGTATCTAGTAAGGTTCATTGTTAACCCATGGTCCATCCATCCTATTGTCCACTGTACGATATAAGTGATGATCATTGATGCCATATCTACAGCCTATTTCAGGTAGTGCATAAATGCAACAATATAAATCATAAACACTTCTGAGATGCTCACAATAATCACTTATTTTATATTCTTGAGCAAGCTGTCTCATACTATCCCTCATCATGTCTAATTTGCTCAATAAAGGTATATCTTCTAGAATCAACATAAGTATGGATGCTATTTTGTGTGGTGGAACATGATGAGTTTCTATTAGACTGTGTAATTTTTTTATGTGCTCTCTTTCCACTTTTAAATATGCTCTCAATGGAAATGTATTTTTGTTTACTGATTTCGGTTCACGTCGCATGTTTTCACCTTTTTAATTATGTAGTCTTTATTATATGTTATATATTAAATTAGTTCGAGCGCCCACTATCGTAGTCATTTACCCCTTGTGCTGTCCGAACTCTTCTAGTTTTTCACAGAACTTGTTCTGTTTTTATTCGAAGCGCTCCCACTTATTCGATTTTTTGTACCGAGTCTTTGTATATCCCCTAATATTGGTTTTAGTTCTTATTTCGTCTGCGGGCGATCTAGCGATACGTCCATATTCTTTTTGCCGATTCATTATTATCTGACGGTGGGCTCCTTTTATAATGCCAGATATTTCTCCACGTATACTCTTTAGCTTCTTTTTAAGATTACTTGGTATTGAATCGCTCTGAGATCTTCCATGTTGTCCTACCGTATTGATTCCAAAATGTGTACCTTTTGAAATAAATGAAAATGGGATCAGAAAAATAAACTGAATACATGGAAAAAGTTTTTCTGTTTTAATGAAGAAAATGAATGATCAGTGCTTTCAATGCTCAAAAAGAAAAGACAGATTTGAATTTGAAGATGGATTCTTTGGATATTCTGAAGCTAAAAAAATTATTCAAGAAGAATTCTGATTTCTATATGATCAATCAAGCGATCAAAATACATTTTTCAGAGAATATTATAGCAATATATCATAATAGAAGGATCTAGAAAGAACAGACAATAAAATCCGCTATCGGCTTCAGCAAAGTAAAAGGTTTGTTGAGTGTGCATTTGTTTGAAGAAAGGAAAGAAATAAGAAGGAAGCTTATTCAAATTTAATCGAAGTTGAATTCCAAAAACTATAGATGGATCAAGGCTGAGTTTATGGAAATTGTGGATATGAAGGAATACTATCTTATGAAGAATTTGAACAGAAGAATCTTATTCTCTGAATGATCAAAAACCAACTAGCAGTTTGAGATGTCAAACTTGCATGGGACTTGAAACTTCTGGAGTTTTATAGTGACAATTTATGAACTTATGATTGGATTGAGTGCAAATACAACCCTCAAATAACAGTTCTGGATCACTCTCTTCAAAAAGACGGAGAAGATTTCTGCTTACATTGCGCATTTATTATTATTGCTCTGCACTTTAAAAGAGAATATTCTGGAATAATAAAGCCAAATACCAATCTGAACATCTTTTTGAAAAAAATCAAATTAAGAAAATCAGTGTTTCTGCAGCCTTCAAGGTTGAAAAAGTACAATCAAAGAATGGAAAAAGAAGGAAAAATAGTTTCATTGTTGGACTCGGCGATTAAAACAATAAGAGAAAGCATGCTGTGATAGCAATTGATACTGAAGAAGAAGATCAAATACAAATATGGCATGGATGGTCGAAATTTCCAGGGCTCATAAATAAGCCTTTACTTCGCAGAAATATTTTTCTTACAAACCCACAAGGAATGGTTCATGAATTTACTATTTGCTTCAATAAACATTATTTCCGAGCAAGATTCTAGTGTAAAATCTCGTAGATCAAAACAGAAATCTCATAACTATATTAGAATCCTCAAGAAATTTAAATAATATTAAAATTAGATTAGCCCCCAATATTAATTCATAAATGGTTAAAAGATCAATCAAAAATTCAAGCAGGAAACAGTGGGAAAATTTATTATATACGATGGACTCAATTTGAATGATGAAGAATATAGGGCAAATGACACTGTCATGATAAATGGGCATGACGATGAAATCTCATTCGGCAAAATTATAAAAATCTGAAAAAGGGAAGATCCTGAAGACTTTATAATTGTAACTATTCAGTGATACTATAAACCACAAGATATCATACTAACTCATCCATGCAAAGAGAGAGGGAAGTATTCGAAAGTGATCATCAGGAGGATATATGAGCCGAATCTATATATGACAAAGTCGAATTTTTATCATATCAAGCATATTTTAATTTAAAGGAGTACGATTCATTAACTTATTACCGCGGATTTTATAATTCAAAGACCAAACAATTGAAACCTTCATTTGAAAGCAACGTATGAGAAAAAGTGTGCATTTGCAGAAAGACTCTTAATCCAGATGACAAGCATGTAACTTGCAGTATTTGCGATCAATATTTTCATGTCGAGTGTGTTGGGGTTTAGCGAAGAAATGAGAAATTGACTTTACGGATCTTGCTCTGCTAATACCGGCGAGAAGCAAGACTTATTGATAACAGAAGATTAAATAATTATTTATTTAATTCATATGAATAAATTACTCTTTTAAATATAAAATTCTTAATGAGCTTTACCAATGCTGTCTCTTCTTCTTACTTGCTCTGAGCTGTTGCTGCAATCGCACAGTGGGCAATTTCGTAATTCCTACGATTTGTTGATTTCTATTATTTCTGAAGCCCATATTTTTCGAAATGATCTTAACTGGGAAACATGAGCAGGGATCACCTCTAACAACCCAACCATTCCTACTGATAGTAAAGTCATCACTTCTTCTCACTTGCTCTGAGTTATCGCTGAAGCCGCGCGGCGGGCAATTTCATATTGCAAGCAATTTTTAATTTCAGAAACTCCAAGGAGTTGGCTAAAAGAGCTTTAAGATGTTCGTATGTAGAGATCGCTTTAAGTTCTGGACTTTAGAAATTGTAGCTTTAATCTTGAGAAAAGCATCTGCACTGCTTATTTGGAAATCTATCGAGCCGCAACGGCGCACAAATTGCAACAAGTTTTTAAATTTTAATCACATGCCTAATTTTATTTTCGCTAAAATCATCTACTATAGGCTTTAAGAAAGTCGTATGCAGAGGTCACCTTAAGCTCCGGACTTTGAAAATTGTAGCTCCACTTTTGAGAAGAGCATCTGCACTGTTTATTTCAAAATCTATCGAGCCGCAACGACACACAAACTACAACAAGTTTTTAAGTTTAGGATTATGCATTATTTATTTCCGCTAAAATCATCGACTACATTAAATTCCCTGGCAAAAGTCAAGATAAACGGATTCTCAGTTTGTTTATTTTTCAACTCATTATATTTTGGCTTGGGCTCACTTACGCCATTTTTATGGCCTATTATACCTCCAGAACAGGTATGGCTCGACCTGAAACTCCTCCTCCTCCTCCCCTCCCCCACCCCCTGACGGTTTCAATTAAACGACATTATTAATTCAAAATGACAAATCCCTCACTAAGGATTTGACAAGTCAAATTTAATTTGTAGATTTCAATAAAGTTAAAACTGTCAGGGGTGGGGGGAGGGGAGGGGGGATTCTAAGGTCGATCTATAACCGTGCTCACGGTATACCAGAATATTCTGATTCTTATCAAAAAATTAACGAAGAGGTTATTTCCATATGAAGATAAATTTCACATACTAGCCAGATTTGATAAACCAGCTTCATTTTGGTTTAGCAAATTCTGATTATTATTATTTTTATAAAGTAAAAGATGCTTCCTCAAAGCAGCCACAAGCTAAATGTAAGGACTACAAAGATTACAATATCCCAAGCACTCGGACCCTATAATAAGAATTGCCTTTATGACTTACTGCAGCAAGGGTACTTTCTCCCAGCTATCAAGGAGTGCTTAAAGTTTTTGGCATCTGCTTACTTATCAACCAACCCTTTGCCTAAGTGCTCTGAAGCCCATTGCCTCAGTGCAAAGGGGATCCTAGCAAGTATTTGGCTATTGCGATCTCACATAATCCGACCATCCTCTTTAATGAGTAATTCTTAACGCAGACTCTTAGGCAGAAACTACTACAACCCTGAAAACTCTTGGTGTCACCCAGAAGTAGAAATGAAGAAACAAAGAGAAGAACTTGCGCCGCCTATTACAATGCTAAGCTCGCGTTTGATAGCAGCCATGATGGCTCATTTACCAAGGGTAAGAAAATCTGGCACAAGCGGTATGCAGTTAGAAACGTTGAAGAAATGATGATGATGATGATGATACTCTCTCTCGAGCCAAACAGCATGGTTCTCAGTGAAGATCACTCCATTCGTCCCTGCGGAAAATGTCTTTCAAGCCGCCCTGTTCTCATATTCAGTGCTTGCTGCTCATTCCATCCAGAGTGTATCAACAACTCAGTTGAACTCTGTCCAAATTGTAGAAGCCACGCTTTGACACTTAGAACAGATCCAAGCCATAGGGAAAGAATCCTTAATGAAGAGATAAGAGACCCATAAGTAGCTAAGAATTCTTTTAAGATTAATATGGCATCTCCCGGCGGCTCGCCAGAAATCCAAAAATGGGTGTTTCTCGTCTCTCTAAAACTGTATATATATTTTACTTAAATATTATAACGCAACTAATTTCAATTAATTCATACAAATAATGATCAAAAAATTTATTGTAATTATGAATAAGTCCGATCGTATAAGATTGTATATAATCGATGAAGCGTCTCCAAAAAAACCATCACTGTCCCTTCAAGTAGTTTTATATCCACCACAAATGACTTTTGATACTTATAAACATCTATTTGCATTTTCAGCGTATATGCCCCACTAATATTCCTGACCCTCATTTTGAAATTTGTAATAAATTTCCACTCAAGATTTGCATCTTTTAAAGCCGCAAATAGTGTCATCATAAAGGGATAAGCCTCTAAATCTGTGCGAAATCCATAAACCCAATTATCAGGAGGTCCATCTTTATCAATATAAAAATCGATATTTTCTCCAGTCAAAGACGAGCCTTGTGTCGAAATTTCAAGGTTTGATAGATTTTTTTTCTGCTTAAAAAGTAAATTGACACTGTTTACAGGGTCGCCATTTCTTATCCTCATGTCATTTAATTTTTTGTCTAATAGCAGTTCATAGCATACAACCAAGCTATCATTTTTTCTGTTTATTATTTTATCTCTAAATTCTTCAATTGTATAGTCTTTTGCTAATGGAAATTCCATGCATCTCATTAAAATTTCTTCATCAATTAATCTATAGCTTTTTGAGGTAATTCTATTCATTTCCAGTAGGCTAGGATTATAATTCATTTGAAATCATGGGTGCTTCTTTATCTGATTTATAGTAATTCTTGCTATTGGATCAGGCTTGAGCATCCTTATGATTAAATCTTTTACTGCGTCTGAAAAATGATAAGGCATATTAAAACTAGCAGCCTTGATTTTTGCGAATAAAGAAGGAATACTGCTGTCGTCAAATGGTAGATGTCCTGCTAGCAGCGCAAATAAAACGACCCCAGCACTTCATATATATAATTTTATAATAAATAAAAACTAGGTCCTGGCTACCATTTTTTTCTATATATTCATAATAGGAAAACGGATAAACAGTCCAAAGTTTTTATTTATTATTAAAAGGTATATCAACTTCTGGGCCACAATATCTGTTTCCTGAAATATACTTTATAAATTAAATTTTAAAATTATCCATAAAGAAAATTTTTAATAAGAAATATACATAAATAGTATAATTTCTGGGGCCGCATAATTTGGAGATCCACAAGATGTCTTTAAATAATCCCCATCCGGCATCAAATTCGAAAGTCCAAAATCAGCAATTTTTATATTCCCAAACTGGTCTAATAAAATATTTTCAGGTTTTATATCTCTATGGACAACTCTATAAGTATGGCAATAATCAAGCCCAGATATGATTTGTTGGAAATACAGCCTGGCTTGGTCCTCAGGGAGTCTTCCATTTCTGTCTAACAAGTTATAGAGTTCTCCGCCTGGTAGGCATTCCATTACAAGAAAAATACAAGTTGGGGTCGTAATTACATCATAAAGCCGGATTATGTGGGGATGATGAAAAGATTTGAGGACTCGGATTTCTCGTTTTACCTTAGAAATCATGTGTTTTTCTACTAAAACCCGGCGCTTTAAGACTTTGATAGCTACTTTCACGTTTGTCAATATATGCTCGGCAACTGTTTAGAGATTACGCTTGACTTGTCCAAATGTTCCTCTACCTAATGGACCTAGAATAGTGTAGCTTTCTAAGCTTGACATAAAAGAAAAATTTATTAATAAATATGACTAGCATTTGGAGATATAGCTCATTATAAATTTTTAGGACATAATGGTGTTTTACATAAAAATTTATTTTGGGAGATTTTTGGAAAAATTAAATTTTTAAATAATTAATTTAGGCTTATTTGTGGATAGATTAAAAGTATGTTTTCAGAAGAGATAAATGGCTTATAAAATAGCAGATAAAATTTATTTGTTAAATACTTGAAAGAAACTGCTTTTTTTTATTGCCATATTCTTTAATGATGATTTCATAATCCGATACAAAATAACACTGATATTTTAATAATTTATAATAATAAAATGGCTACTTACGGAATTGGTTTACTCTGTAAACCATTCCTCCGCCGCGGTATTTATTATTATGGGGTTCGGTTTATCCAGTGAACCTTTATCCACAATGTCTAATATGGCTTTCTCGCATAGGATAAGACGGCGACCCAATGATTTTAGGAGGCATAGGAGTTTTACCGCTTGACACACCCGAGGAGGGTGATCCTTAGGCGGAACACGTGCTGGGGTCAAGTTCGGACGAGGCAACGCTGCCAGTGAAGGATTTCTGGCCCTTTTAGCGAAGTCTTCCGAATGCCTGCTAGACAGGATGGCTGGCGTCACCACTGGGAGTTAAAAGGGAGGTTCTGATATTACTCTCTGCGGAAGAAATTGCCACTTTAATCATCTAAATAATTGAGTAAAAAAAGATATTTTAGTAATTTATTTAAATTTTAGGTACTTTTTACTTTTATTATATGCATTTATAGCTTCATCTATTAATTATTATTGACAATAAGAAATTCTATTTTTCCATTTTAACACCGCTTGAAAAGTTGCAAATGGCTAAAAGATAATAAGCTTTTATATGAATTTAAAACCCAAAGATATATTTATTTATTAATTTTTTGTATCTAAAATAAGAAAATTTACTTAATCTTGATGCTTTTCACAATATCTTTTCTAATCCCTGTACTTTCACCCCCATATCTATCTGTCTTTGGTCTTTCTACATATCCATAAGTAGACTGACGTTTCTTTACCTTTTTCAGGTACTTCATTTTGTTTTTGACTCTTACATTTCTATCAACCTTTTTCCTCTTTCTTCTGATTCCTTTATTTTTAAGTATTGCTTCTACTGAGCGTTGATAATTATCATCTTTAGGCTTTTCATTCGATTTTTCATTCTTTTCGCTGATTTCCACATGTTTTGCTACTGGGACTTTTGCTTCTTTTTTAATTGTGCCTGATTTTTCTTGCTTTTCAATATTTTTGTTGAGTTTTATAAGGTTTTTTATTGTGTTTATCACTGGGTGGTTAGATGCTGGTTTTCCATTCGCTTTCAGCATCACATAAAACGAAAAATGCATAAATAAAAGGTTAAATATTTTTTGTCGTAAAGCATAATAACTTTGTCCTTCTGGTGTTATCTAATTTATATTAAATCCTTCTATTTTTTTATTTATTTAATATTATTAGCCATTTATGCTAAAAAGCTTAAATTTGCTTTACCAAATTTTTCATTCATCTGCTTATACGATTCCAGCGTATATTGAAAATCCTCAATACAATGTAGCAGCTCTGGTGAATGCCTTTCCACCAATTCAATCTGCTCATCCTGAGTCAGCTCATTAAAATCTAGCTCATGAGTGGCTAATTCTGGGATATAGTCATCTTCCCCTATAAGTTGTGCCCTTTCCTTCAGCTTTTCTATGGCGACTTCTTCTTCATTTTCTGATTCAGAGCTTTGGTAATAATCTTTCCTATCCCAATTTTCCATGATAATCCAGAGAAATTATATTTAAAGCTATTTATATTTATCAAAAGCTTCTTTTATTTGTGTGGAATCTAATCCTTTAGTTTCTACAAACTCAATGAGGAAATAAACAATTCCAAGGGCGCTGATTACAGCGTAAACCCAAAATGCGATGCCTATAGAAAACCAAGAGGCAATGTGAGGAAAGGTAAAAATTACTGACTCCCCCCCCCCCCTCCGTGAGCGAACAAAACCATTAGAAAAATCGCCATTTTTTGACCAAAAACCCACCCTCCGTGAGTGAACAAAAATTTTTTTAATAGAAAAAATTTTAATGGAAAAAAATTTTGATATATAAGTGATAATTAGTATAATGAAATCTAGAGCTAATTCTGTTTAATTTTTAAACAAATTGCGTTTTAAAACATAAATTTTGCAAATTAAATTAATATTTGCTTCCCAATTTTTGCAAATTAGGATTTTTTTAAATTTCGAAAAAAATATTTTTTATAAAATTTATATATAAATTTTTTTTAAAAAAAAAAATTAACCCCCCTCCGTGAGCGAACAAAATTTTTTTGTTCGCTCACGGAGGGGGGGGGGGAGTGATATGATGACTATTCAGTTTACGCCAATACAAATACTTATGGCTCGAGATGTTAAGATTTCCCCTGAATAAACCCAACAGATTGTGCCTAAACCGATTGACCATGCAAGTACATATAATAGCACAAAAACTAGGGATGGGATTGGCCCAGACCCTGAAAACTCTTCTGCAAATAACCCAAGGAAAAACATAGTAATAAACATGCCTCCATTTCCTAATAAAATCAATGTTTTTCGATTGAATCTGTCGACAACTGGGAATACTGCAAGAGTGGAAATAACGGTCACAACCCCAAACACAACTGTGTAGGCACGTGACTCAAATACGCCGCCGCCTAATTCACTAAAGATTTTAGTGGTATATGCAAATAAAGCGTCAACTCCAGCAGCTACTTGGAAAACGTTGACTAAGATTCCAAGTCTCATCATTTTTCTGCTTTTCTTGCTGCAGCATAGGAGCTCTTTATAAGTATAGTCAGTTTGACGCTTTGAGTTATCGATTTCTTTTGGTTTTTCTGATGTTGCAGTCTCTGGGACTTCTTTTTCTATTGCTTCAAGAGTTTTGTCGCGGTCTGCTGACATGGAAGCTCTGAGTTTTTGGATTACTTTGACAGCCTCATCTTCGTTATAATACTGCATTGAACTTTTTAATGCTTTTTGATCCTGCTTTTTTGATAAAAGTCATATAGGCGTGTCTTCTTTGTATACCTTCCATAAAACAAAGAATTGAAAAGCTGTAAACAAGGCTTGAAAAACAAACATAAATATTCACCAATAATTCAAAGGATCAGAATGATAATCACCCGTAGGCAAAGGTAAAGCCATAGCATAAGCTACCATAATTCCTACAGCAAGTATTAATCCACACAAGCTTCCAATCGTCCCCATAATATCAGGTGGTGAAGTTTCCCCAATATAAAGTGGAGATAATACGCTAAATGACCCTGTTGTATAGCCTGTAATAAATCTCCCTAATGCAAATGCTGAAGTATAAGGACATATAAAAAATACACACCCAAAAATGTTAATTACATCCATCAGCATAAGGGCTTTTCTTCTACCTATTTTTTGAGCTATAGTGCCTGCAAATAATGCACCAAACAATCCTCCAAATGGCATCATAGCAGCCATGATTGAAATATAAAGATTTTCGTTACCACCCCATCCTAAAGTTGCTGCGACATTTAATTGATTTGAGTTGAAAACTCCTGTGTTGTAGCCAAATATAAATGAGCCGATGCTGGCATTTAAGGCAATTTTCCATACGATTTTTTTATTATAAGGCTTTGAGTTTAGTTCTTGGTAAGCCATTTTTATAAATTAATTCAGAATTTGCTGTTTAATTAGTGTGAATTATAACTTTATTTTTGATGGCAGCATTTCTTTGAGATATTGCAAAGTCTTTATAATATAGAATAGTCCAATTTTTAGATTAAATATAAATTTTTGACTAGATAATTAGATATTAGTTATTAAGGAATATACATGAGAAATAGACTTTCTCATTGCAGCTTGAATAAATAGCTATATTAATCATAATAAAAATATGGCTCTCTTTATCTACAATGTCCTAATGGGATATAAGCTTCATAAACATGTAGGATTCGCTTAATATTTAATTCTATCCTAATTTATAATTTGAATGATTTTATTGCTACCTGAAAAGTATCCTGCAACACTTTTGAGTTCATTTCTTCTAACCTTGAAGCTAAAACCTGGTTTCTTTCCCTCTCTAAAGACAATCTTGACCTCACATCTCTTCATTCTCTCAGCTTTTCTTGTATTTCATCTTCAATCTCTCTCAGCTGCTCAGTAAGCTCATTATTTCTCTTTTGCAAGCCGTCAAGATTTTCATCAGCTTTATAGGTATTTTTTTTACTTGAGCTTTGGCTTGAGCTTCTTCCAAAACTTTGCTGAGGCTCTTCTTCAAGTAGATCATCTTTTAAAGGCTGAGCTTTAAATTCAAAGGAAGGATCAGATGGTTTCATTGCTGGAGCTTTATCAAAAAGGACCGGTTCAGGGGGTTTTGCGATATTTTTCATCATTAAAGAGTCATCTGGCTTGTCCATGTTTAGTTTGATAGGCTTGCTTGGGGCTGTTTGGAATCCTAAGCCGAAGGGGTCTGCAGGCTTTTGGCTTGCTTGCATTCCGAAACCTCCTGAATTGTCAATTCCAAAGCCGACAGAAGGAAACGAAGCTGATGTTGCATTGATTCCAAATTCTGAAAATGCTTCAGGCTTAGGTGGCTCTATAGGAGCAGGTTCATCAATTTTTGCAAAAAATATTTTATTTAACACCTGAGGAATTTCATCAGGAACAGGCTCACTTAGCGCTTTAACTTTTGATGCTAAATGCATAGCGACGATAAAATGATTTTTATTTAGCTCGCCTGAATCATTCGGGTCACACATATTCCAAATTTTTGCTAGATATTCGCTTTTAGCTCCTGTTCTCGTAAGCAGTCCATAAGCTTCATCAGCAGTCAAAAATCCTTTCCCCTGTGACACCTGATTGAAGAATTTTTCATATTTATCTTTATCATCATCTTCAATATCCCACTTATCCTTTACAACCACATTAGACTTGAAATTCGGTAAAGCAGCTGGCGTATTTGCATAAATTGCATCAACATTGACTGGTTTTCCTTCTTGTGCAAGAGCTATAAGTCTTAATGCTACATAAAATCTCTCTCTATCCAAAAATGACTCTCCATTTGGCGTGCATATTGTTCAGATCTCTTTTAATTGATCTGTTGAGATCCCTGACCTTTTGAAAAAATCGACAACTTGGGCTCCTTCTAAGCGGCCTTTACTTTCTGGATCAGCTTGAGATAGGAGCAAGTTGTAGAGGCCACGCTCGCGAGGTTCAAGTTTAACTCGTAAGGGAGCTGGTGGAGGTGGAGGAGGCTGCTGATAGGATGGTATTTGATTGCTGTAGACGTTGGTTTGGAAGCCTCCTCCGTACATCGGCTGGGGTGGAGCTGCTTGCATTTGTGGGAAATTTGTTTGCCAAGCTGCTGCATAATTTGGGTTCATTTTGATAAATTAATATGCAAAAATTGAATTTATTTTAATTGCGTTTCAATATTGTTTAAGTGATATATTATTAAAATTCTTTTTGGAACGTTGAAATCTTTATTTAAAATAAGATAAACTTGTTAGGCAAATAGATCTCATTATTGGACCTTAATTGTTCTTATTAATAAGTGTCTTAAGAAGTTTGGATGATATTCAATCTATATTTAGTTTGTTTCATAGGCTTTATTAGTAATTCGCTAAAATATTGTTATATTTTATGGAAAGTATTTTGGAAAACATCAAAAGAAATATCCCATCATACTCAGATATCACAGCAGAGCAGCTTAAAATAACAAAATTCACCAGTGCAACAAATCAAGTGTTCAAAGTTGAGGCCCCTGCAAAGCCGTCTCCAATAATATATCGAGTTTTTGGTGAAGTTCCACTTATTCCAAAGGAAATCGAAAGGAGAAGCTTTATGAAAGTTTCAGCGTCAGGGCTTGGTCCTCGATGTTTAGGAGTGGAAAGCACATTTAGAATTGAAGAATATATTGATGGGACTGCATTAAGCCGTCTTGAGCTTTCTGACTACGCAAGCCAAATGGCTCATGAAATTTCTGAATTTCATAAGATAGAGAGAGGCTATGGAGAATCTGCCTCATCAAAATTGATCAAAAACTGAAGCAATATGTTTAGCTCAAAAATCAATTTATATAAGGATTCACTATCTTTAGACAGACAAAGACAGTTAGAAGATTTAAGATTTTTAACAACCCCTGAAGGCTTCAATGAAGTTTCACAATTTTTCCCAAAAACTGACTCCTTGGTCTTTAGCCATATGGACGTATCATACCAAAACATCCTTAAATCATCAGAAAAGCTATGAATAATCGATTATGAATATACTGATCTAGCCTATCACGCTATTGATCTTGCAAACTATATTAATGAAAGACTGTTTGAATATAATGTTTTTCCTTTTGAATTTCACCCTGAAGATGAAATGTCACTGGCTACTCAGCATGAATTTGTGGAAATTTATGGAGAAGAAAATGGGTTTGTATATGAAGATTTGTGAAATGAAGTTTGTGGGTGCAGGGCAGTTGTAAATTATTTAGGAGCTTTGTGGGCAGCTAATATGTTTAAACCACAAAATGAGTATTTCCTAGACTATGCACAAATTAGATTTAGCCAATACCAAAGATTTTCTAATCTTTATTAACAAAAGAAAATTATCATGCACAAAATAGGATTTTTAAATATCTAATAAAAATGTCTTTAGCCTAAAATCATCATTGTCGAATATATATAAAAATTATGAAGTTTAACAAAAAACATTAAATAATCAGCTTTATAAACCTTTATTCTCATTAATTTCATATATTTGTCAAGCAAAATTCCAAATATTTTATTTTTTAACGTGTCAAATCATTTTAAATATTAATAATATACAAGTCTGTGAGATGGCTCAAAAGTACAGGAAAAATCAAATAAAAATTCCAGTTTTGAAAACAGACTCTATTACTAGTGCATATTCAATTTCCCATATAAAAAATCTCAAAAGCATAGAAGAAGTCAAAGAAAACGAAAATTATGGACCATCATTTACTCATGCAAAAAGAGGTCTTTCTAATAGAAACCCTGCTATAAATCCACAAGTTGAGCTACCTCTGATGCACAAAGATTTTGGGTTCTTCCAAAAATTTTTCGATAAACTGAAAAATCACCCAGAAGTTTACCAGTATTTTAAAAGACAAGCATGCCAAAAAGGCATTTTAATAAAGAAAATTCAGACATACAGAGAAAATTCAACATCACTCTCTAAAAACAGATATAATAGTCCTCATAATGAAAACAAGAGGTCACAGTCTTCAATTCATGATATGTCTATAACTGATCGAAGATTTACAAGAAATAACAAACAATCAGTGGAAAATATATCAGTTTTATACACAGAGCCAGATAGGAAATCTCATAATATTTCTCTCGACATTATTACCCCAAATATGGGGAAAAGTAAAATTTATAAAAAAAATAAATTCGCTTCAAAACAGAGAAGAAAAGGGGTTTTCACTATATGTGTAGACAGATCAAGGCCAGAGGTATTTTCAACGTTTAAAGTTATAGCAAAAGATGATAGCATGATTTCAAGAGAAATTAAATTAAGCAGCGAAAATTTAAAAGAATATTTGCTTAATAGGTACCCAAGCGAAATGGTTGAGGCAATTTTAAAATACTTTTATTTGGATAAATACAATTTTAACAAATGACTTGTAGAAATTGAAAAAATAATTAATTACCCTGATGAAAAAATTCTGAAATTTTGTTTTGATTTGTATGACTTTAATAAGGATAATTTTATTTGTTATCATGATGCATATTGTGCTATGTCTGCTGATGCACTGAAGATTTTTGAAAAAGATGTGCTTAAGTTAAGGGAAGCAATGAATACAAAGAAAGCGGCGGGCTCTGAGTCTAAAAAGTCCATTAGAAATGAAAATGATATAAGACGAAGAGTAAGTTACTTAAATACAGGCGACACAGAACAAGCCGACACCTCTTTGCAGTTTCCCACAAACAAGCCTGAAGCTCTATCTCTCCCTGAATTTTCCAAAATATTTACTTACTTCAAGCCTCATATATTTGATGACATTATGTCTTATTTATTAGGCTACAGTATTAACAACAGCTATCACAAAGACCTCACCCCAAAAGCCCCTGAAAGGCGGCCAAGTGAAGAAATCCTTATGGATATCCTTTCTAATGAAGATAGAAAGCGAGAATATGAATCCCAAACCAATTATTCATATTATAATGAACTAGAAAAAGCTATGTTTCTATATAATACTACTGACCGTCAGTTATTATTAGAAAAATTTGAAATGATGAGATGTCCTTCATTTAAAAACCAAAAACTTATATCATTGAATTCTATATTAGAAAACTTGCCCAAAATTTTTGGTGCAAAATGTGACCATGTCTCTAAATGCTTCTATAATTATTTATCAGGGCCAGGCCATAGAGATATCACGAAACCAAGCTTTTTGATGAAGTGCTATGTGATTTTGAAGGTGATTTTTAGACAGGAAGAGCCATCAAAATTTGCGTTTAGTATATATGATAGAAATTCAGATGGGCTGCTAACTTGTGATGAAATAAATGACATGATAATGTCTTTACCTCAAAATACACCAATATATGAGGAATGCCAAGTGTAAAGCTTAATTAGATTGGTAAACGAGTTTCTTTCAAGCATTTTTGGAAGAAGACGTGCACAGCTCTTAGGAATTGATTATCAGCTGTTTTGCGATTTAATTCCAAATTCTTTATTTATCCAGGTATCTTAATAATTAGGAATTTTCTCAGTCATTACTGACTCCTCAAAATTCTTTACCTAGGAAAAACTTGAGTTTTACTAATAAAATTTGTTAAAAATTTATTTAAAATAATTTTAAGCTGATAATGCAAAAAGCTCGAAAAAATATCCCAGAAAATATATATGATATCCTTCAAAAAGTAGACAGGTCGAATTCAGAAGTAGAACAACTATTGGAGTATATGCAAACTCTAGAGGATTTAGCAAGTTATACGGCTGATTTATCTAAGCGTGCTCTCCATCAGCTTGCCCTTAATTTTTATTTAGAAGAGTACACTCCAGGCCAAGAAATTTTTCATAAAGGCGCGAAAAGTGATAAACTGTACATAATTCTGAGAGGACACCTGAATATGATAGATATCACGTCTGATGGATCTGAGAAATTAATAGCGACTCTTCCTAAAGGGAAGATGATAGGAGAAAGAGGACTAATAAGAGACCAGCCTAGACAGCTGTCAGCTGTGGCTAAAGGATATGTGATATTGCTTGCATTGAATGGTGACAAATTTAAATCGCTTATGATGATGAACGTATCAGCTGAGTTAAATGATAAAGTGGATTTTTTAAATATATAGGACAATGGATAATTATTGATATTATTATAAATACATAGCAACGATGCTGTATTCTTCTAGCTTTGATATGCTAATTGAATGCTAAGTAGCACTCTTTATTAGTATATGAGAAAAATTTAATGCGATTTATAAAGAAAAATAAGCTTAAGAAAAATTTTTGGGCTTGGCAAGATATCCTCGTCCACAAAAAACTAAATAATTTCCATCTTCTCAGCATAGTATATATATATCCCTGATTTCAAACTTTATTCAAATAGCATAAGAGAAAAAATTGCTTATGCCTTTGAGCTAACCGAATATCATAAAAAAGACTTAATAGTCGAAGAAGGATCCTTCAGCGAAACTTTATTCTATATTATAGATGGAGAATGTGTACTAAGCAAAGGAGTCCCTCCCAAAAGAAGAAATATCATGACTGTAGGTAGAGGCTGCAGCATTGCAGACGAATGTGTGCTGCTAGGGAAAAGAGCTGAATTCACCGTTTCTGTATGAACTGAGTCTGCGAAATTTTATAAAGCCAAAAGGGCTGATATTTTGCCTTTAATTCCTGAAGAGGTTATGTTTAAACTTGTAGGACTGAGCAAAACAAAATTTATTAGTAGAAATAATGTGAATGATAGAGCTAGGCTGCAGACAAAATCGAGGTCAGGGAAAAGAGCACAGGTTTTTCCACTAGCAAGCCAAAGAGCACAGAAATTGATAACACAAACTTTAAGCAGAAATTCTAGCATCCATATGATAACTCCGATTAATGATAGCCCGAAAAATTTTTATAAAAATACTTTGGAAAAGTTAAGAGATATCACAATTGAAAGATTTTATAAATTTAATTTCAAATCAAGCAATACTATTGCAGAACACCATACAATCCGTGGCCGATTTTCACATAGAAATTCTTTATAAATAATTAATGTATTATTTCGCCTATATAAAATTAAATATGAGACCTTGAAGGGATACACCGTGACCGAATATTCGCTAATTTCGCGACTAATTCATTTCATATCAGGTGCATATGAGACATATGGTCGGTAAAAGACTTCCCCAGGTCTGAAAAATGCAGATTTTCAATAAGTTGGTTGTCTAGTAATATTCGTCTCATTTCAGATTTTACTTGAAAATTCAGATGAGCGGCTTCATCTTTTTGTTTTTCAATCTCTTTGGATTCTTTATAAAGCATTTTTGGGAAGGCGAGCTCTTTGTCCGTTTGGAGTAACCCTGGATCAATATTGGCATGTTCTGGCTTCATTCCTCATTTATATATAAATATATGTATAATAAATAAGGGTTGGCTATATAGGAAAATTAATTGTATTTTTTTTGCATTAAAATTTGTGTCTGGATAATAAGTTAGTGCTTTTTTTATATAAAAAAGGGAAACAAGCTAATAAATATTTAGGCTTATCCATTATAATAGTTGATAAATATATTTAGTATTATTAGCATATCTCCATTAATCCACAATTTATCTTTTTTCTGCTGCAATCTCTGATAACTTTTCAAATAATTCGATAATTTTGTATCCCTTTCTCTTGCCATTTCTTTTAGCGGAATAAGTTCATTATATCCATACTTGAAAAATAAATTGCAATAGCTTTGGATTAAATTTGCAGTATCAAAAGTATGAGCTGACCAATGAAAAAACGACTCCTTCAAGCATCCATACAAAGGCTTAGTTCCAGGTATATCAGGAAGCTGCACCTGTATATTCTCCAAAACCTCAAAACTTCTTGCAATTTCTGTTATTCTCCCTGATAAATCTTTAAAAATCGCCACAATTTCATCAGTCTGTCTTTTTAACTTTTTTTTGGTTATTTCTGTAATATTAAGATATTCATCAAATTTAGAATTTTCTTGTTCTACAATGTATGGATCACAAATAGCATTTCCATCTAAAGTTCAAAAATTTTCTAATAACTCAGGTCTTTTTACCTTTAAGCTTTCTTTTTTTACATTTGCGAATGCTTTTTCATCATCTTGGCTTAAAAATGATACTAAATATTCGCATCTTCTAAATAAAAAGTTAAGTTAAATGCTATAAGACCAAGAGAGGATTAACTGTCTGACTATCTGGCGTAGACACAACTAGCCTAAGGATTAGCTCCCTAGGTTAGACCCCTCTTGCGGATGCACCGCTAGTCCTAATAGACAAAGACCAAGTGGAAAAAGTCTGTCTAACCCATCTGGTACGGACTCGAAAACCTTTGGGGAGAAACTAATCTTCCCTTTTCTGCAGGCCACTCAAGCCTGAAGGACTACTTAAAGGTGACAGAGGTACTCTTTTCAGTTTAATTGTGATAAATCCTAAAGCTCCATAAGGAGTTCCTTGGAGTCTTTTTCTCTTCTAAATAAAGGATTTCTTACAATTGCAGCAAGAAACCTTTGTAAATATGACTGCTGCTTGCTTAAAGCTTCATTTTTAGTAGAATTCATCACCCTTTTCGGAGGATTTGGAGGCACATAATTGGCTGGATAAACTGTTGCTAAAATATTCCTAAGCCAAACAAAATCTTCAATTTGCCTTTTTACGATCCACCCTAGTGGCTGTGTGACTATAGGAAAACTGATTTTTGCTGAAGAAAACATCCCGCCGCTAGAAATTTTGGCACTGAGTAATCATTACTTTTCAACTTTTATTTCCACAAAATCTTGTAGAGAAAGCGCAGTGTCTGGTGCCTTATAAGTGGTTATTGTATAAATAGGTTCAATCATAAATGGCAGCGTATGCTAATTTTCTTCTCCTTTGCTCATTTGATTATTTTGAAGTTTGGTTTTCCAGAGAATCCTTATTCAGCTGCATCAGGTCAGCAACGAGGGGTGCTCAGTCTCCCAAATTGATCAAAGGGTTCACGGGGGCTTAGGGTTTAATCCATTCAGCACACCTGAGGTGACCTTTAGGTAGGACACACGCTGGAGCTGAGTTACACGCGGCAGCAACGTTCAAGGTGAGAAGTGCAGTTGGGCCAGAGGCGGAGAATGGTGGAGTTTGTTTTAATTACTGTTGATATAAAGCTTCGAAAGAAGCAAGATAACTCATGATATCACCAGTCTGGCTAGCCATTTATAACGAACGGTGCGACACCATACCTTAAATATCATATGATTAAGTAAGTATAAAGAGATACAGGCTTTTGCTTTATTTCAGGGTTTCGATCTTCTCTAGAATCGCTTAAACTTCTGATTTTGTTGGGTTCTGTAGTAAGCAGCTCAGTCTTAATAGGACTTTCAATGGTATCTAATGAGCCTTCTTTGCTGAGTTTTGGCTCATTTTCTGATATTTCTTTTTGTTCTTCTGCAATTGTATGAAAAACTGATTTAAATTCTTTTACAATTTCTTTAAGTTCTTCTAAAGTCCAGTCATCAATATTTGACGATTTTTTTTGGTCACAAAATAAAATAAAATCATCAGTGGAAAAATCTTTTTCAATGATTTCTTCCCTAAGAAAAGATTGCTTAGCTGCTCTTAAAACTTCAATAGAGGTTTCTTCCATTTAATATATAATTTGCAAAATTTTATGTATATTTATAGTTTTATTTTTTGACCTGGGATTGGGAAATCTCATGTGTTTTATTATCATTCATAAAATAAAGATATAGCCTGGCCTCGCTTTGGCTCAGGCTACTCAGACGTTTCCCGATGCCAATCAGGGAGCAGCATTTGTTGGTAAAACCAACTTCCAAAATGGCAAGCCCACTCCTTATTAGAGATTTGACATATGGGGAGTTGGTTTGCAACAAATATTGATAAAGCCAACTCCTCGATTGATATCAAGAGACATCGGAATAGCCTAAGCCAAAAAGAGGCTCATGCTATATATTAATAAAAATGGGTTGCTGTTCAGATAGAGTTAAGCCAAATGAAACCATCGCTATAACAAAGGAAATTTCTATCAAAGCTAAAGTAAAAAAAGAATTTTCTAAACACAAAAAATCAGGAAAATACCAATTGAGAGGCGAAAGCAAAGAAGAACTTTTCCTTTCGATGGTTGTAAATCATAAGTTACTTAATGATGTAAGAATCATTTAGAAATTAAAGAAATCCAATGGAAATTTAGAAACTAAAACTAAACATCCTGGATTGAGTAGGAGGACGACAAGGACGTCGACATGGACACAACTTGAATAAAATAATTTAAAAAATTAAGATAGTGTTTATAGTTTATCAGTCTTAAAAATGGCGTCAGTTATGCTTGGTAAAGGCTCGCAACTAATTGTAAATGCTTATATAAATTAGAAGCGAGATTAGGACTATTAAAGCAGGCGCTAGCTATATTGGCGACGAAGTCACCAAAGACCTCCCGCAAGGGAGGTTCTACCGCTTTTCGACTCCAGCCCAAAGGGTCTATCCTTCATATGGATGCCCTTCTGTACCTTCTGTCTCCTTCTTACCTTGAGGCTACAGTCTTGAGTGCTTTTGGATTTCTGAGGTCCTGCTATGGACGATTGGAGTAGCTTGATTCCAAGGATACTTGGAGTCTATCAGGTGCCTAAGTGCCTTCCATGAAAAAGACTGCTCCCTGGCCGAAACCCCCAGTTTCTCGGTAGAGGAATGTCCATAGTCCTCAGATTCAAAGGACGTTGCTGAACACCTCCATTTCCAACCACAGGAAAGCAGCCAAAACCTATCGGATGCACATCACTTGAGCCTGCACTTGATTTCGTCCCAGAGTCCGTCCCAATTTCTCCGTAGCCATGAGGTATGAATTGTTGCACAGAGAGGGTAGGTTGACACGTGTCGCCATTTTAATGTATATAATTAGAAGCTAGGAGAGGTCTTTTAAGTCATTTTGGAGAAAAATATGAAATGCAGATGCTTGAATAATTCATAATAATTACGTCATTAAATAATATTTTTACTTTCAATAATGAACATTTTTATTAAGATATTTAGTAATTTGATGAAAATTGAGGCTAGTTTAGGGTAATATTTTGGTTAAGAACCCATTTGTATCTTGTAGGATTATGAATAAATTTGGACTCAAATAACTCTATAAGGAATTCTGGCCGAAACAGATTTTTCAGCTGCTTTCTACTCCATTTAATTCAAGGATACTTTTCTTACATCTTCTCTAAAAATTTCTTCAAGCCAATGTTTAATTTAAAGCTTCTAAAGAAATTGTGACATATGGTATCTACAATTCCAATCACCAAAATGACAAACTTCATCATTATTGGATAATACTTTAAAGAGTTTTAAGCTTCTCTGTCTTGAAGGTTTCTCAGAAAACCTCTAGCTTTAGCCCCACAGTTTCCAGTATTTAAATTCTGAATTTGCTACATTTTGTTTGTTTTTATATATTGGTTTCATTTTCATTAATGAAATAAAATTAAGTTCATAATAAATGATATAGGGTTTTACCCTGTTTAGCCCTATATAATAATTTTTTTATATTTAGTGACTGCATTTTATGCGTCAAAAGCATATCAGCAAAAAATATAAATAGAAGGTAAATACCCGATGATTATTATAAAATTTATTTTGATAAATCTGTCTAATAAAAAATAGCTTGCCTAAACATGTTTAATAGCTTTATTTGTTTTTATTACTTCTTCCTTTAATTGCTTTCATTAATTTTGCCCAGGAATATTCGATTATTTTCAAGAGCCCAGTTGTCCTAACTGCGTGCTTTATTTGTTGACTAGAATAATACGCATTTTTCTGTGATACAGAATTAAATAAAGCTTCTTCTCTGGTCTCGTTTTCCAAATATACTAAATGTGGATTCTCCTCCTGTATTCATTTAGGCAGCTTCTCTATCAATTTTTCGATATCTCATTGCCTCTACCTAAACCTTACCTCAAGGACGCCGTTTTCTAAGCTTAATCCTAAATCTTTTATATATTTTTCATATAATGTCCTAAATTCCTTCATATTTCCTTCAACGATATTTCTTATTTTATTAGGGTCTTCTACCCTTCTATCACCTTTATAAGATATTGTGGTTATTTTCTCATAAAGTTTATCTTCAGTAGTAAGAGAAGGAAGGGTTAAGACTGCAAAAGCTAGAGCTGACTTTAAATTAGTAGTTTGTGCTTCTATTACTGATTTATCTTCTACTAATGCAAGGGTTGGCTTTTGGAACCTTCCCGCTAAATAAAGAGTATCCCAGTTCCGTAAATCCTGACAAAGATCGTAAATTTCGCACACTCCGTATTTAAACTTTTTTCCTTCAAATTCTATAAGTGGATTATAATGAATCCCAGCCGCTTTTTTTACTGATGAAATTAAGTACTCAGCTCCAGATTTTAATGCTTTTTGTGAATAATCTGATGGGTTTTCCTTCATATTCTCTTTATGCCAAGTCAAAGAATCCTTTACACTGATTATCAGGTCAATTTGAGCATTGGGATCTATACCTTGCCCTGGTTTTTTAAGAATCGTAGAGCCATAAGCAATTATATGGTTTGCTGGAGGAAGTTTATTAAGAAATTTTGTGATATGTGCCATATATAGATCCGCATAATCAATTTTATGACTCTAAAATAATAAGGCTTATATGGAAAGGCAGGAAAAGTGGCTTGAAAAGCTTGACCTTATTTCGATTCTCAGATGGGCAACCTCAGGTCTGCCATCACAGAAATTAAAGTACGCTGGGCTTCTGATCCCATTTGACAATGATTATATCCTTTATGATATTTCTACCAAGTCTAAAGGGTGCGATGAAGACAAAACATATATAAAAGATGATCTTATCCGGACTAACATTAGAAGAGGTAACTCAATTTTTGTTAAGCCTCAGAAAGAAATAAAAAAATATCGTTTTATTGGCTAATTTGGCTTTCTAAATATCAGATCTATTATTATATTGAAAAATAAAAATAATATTTTACAGAAAATTTGGCCCATAATCAATATATAGCAGGATATATTGATCCTGAAAAATTAATCAAGGATAATGGAAAGGATATTATTATTGAAAATATTTTATGGGCCAGAAAAGGGCTCTCGAAATTTTTTGACTTATCTATTGAATTTCTCAATCACCGGCAAACTAAAAATTTAATGCTGACCGGCAGCTTTTCAGGGTCATTCCCTATCTCTTTATCATCCTCCCACAAAGAAGCTATCAGAAGAATGATCTTTTATGAAGCAGAATTCGCTTTATTAAGAGAAGGCGCTACTATTGATTTATATAAATTGAATAAAGCAAATGGAGAAAACGCCCAGTTTTCGTATAGCCCTCATTTAAATGCCTGGATTATTGCTTCAAAAAACGTAAGCTTAGCTGCAAGGGTTTCTGAGGACCTCAAAATTTACTCAAATAATCGATATGAGTTTGTAAAAGTAATAGGAGAAGAATGGTTCAAAATTTTATTAAATTTAAATGAGCAGGAATTAGAAGAACTTAAACAGGATTTAACTGGCTTTACGATTGCAGGAGAATATGTAGGTGATCTAAATCATCAGCATTTAGTGAGATATCAGAAGATTGATATAATGTTTTATGCATATATTAATAATGAGTCTTCGAGGCCGTGTTTGCCACCTTTGAGGGCTAGCGCTTTATTTGCGAAATATAGGCTGAAAAGTGTGAAAATGGAGCATGTAGGAAATTTTGCGTCTTTGGCTGTATTTTATAGTGCACTGGAAAACTTGTATAAAAGTATTTCATCACAAAGTCTTGAGTCTGAAGAAGAGGGGAGTGTTATTTATATATAACATTTATAAAGAATGCAATGGGTAAATGATATAGAATTTTATTTATTTTAAAAACAAATAGATTGGCATTATTTATTATATTTTTAATCTTATAAGAAATTTTATAGTCAAAAATGACCATACCGAAAATCATTTGCTTACATCAGCTTCTGAGACAATTTCTCAAGAAAATTTCGATTTTTATATGAATCCTGAATTTTATTCGGCTGTCAACAGCCAAGAAACCCTTTCGCTTTGCAAAATAAAAACTCTTGAATACAGAATATTCAGAAAACTGAGACAAAAAGCAAAAGCAATATCATCAAAAAAAAATCCAGCTAATGCCCTAATATTGCTTACTCCCCCCCCCCCCCTCTCCGTGAGCGAACAAAAAAATTTTGTTCGCTCACGGAGGGGGGTTAATTTTTTTTTTTAAAAAAAATTTATATATAAATTTTATAAAAAATATTTTTTTCGAAATTTAAAAAAATCCTAATTTGCAAAAATTGGGAAGCAAATATTAATTTAATTTGCAAAATTTATGTTTTAAAACGCAATTTGTTTAAAATTAAACAGAATTAGCTCTAGATTTCATTATACTAATTATCACTTATATATCAAAATTTTTTTCCCATTAAAATTTTTTCTATTAAAAAAATTTTTGTTCACTCACGGAGGGTGGGTTTTTGGTCAAAAAATGGCGATTTTTCTAATGGTTTTGTTCGCTCACGGAGGGGGGGGGGAGTTAACAAGCTAAAAAAAGAAGTAAAAGATTTAGTTAAAGACTATGAGCTCCCAAGGCCGCTTGACTATTACTTTGAAATTGCAGCAACTGCATTTGAGTATGTAAAAGAAAGCAAATACATTGAAAGGTTCAAAAAAGGGTATATCGACTTTCTTGATAAAATAAGACAAATCGTGGATGGTGTCGCTCCAGTGCCATTTTTAAGCCATGAAAAAAGCATTGAAAGAAAGCCTTTATCAATTATTATAAATTCTCCACCTTGCTTTATTACCCCAAAAGAAGCAGAATTATTTTTAGATGTCTTAAAACCTAATGAAGTAGTTTACCAATGAAACGAAACTTCAAAAGTCGAAAAAGGCTTCAAATTATGCTTTTTGTCTCACAGAGTCAAAATCAGTAAAAATTTCAAGCAAAATGCTTTAATTGTGTTTTATGGGGCCACAAGTGAAGGCATTATAAGATGTGAAGAGGAGCTTAAAGCATATGCAAATGCAAACCCTTCAACTGTTCCTTCATGCGTGCTTCCATTTTTAAAAAGAAAAGATATTGGTCCTAGGCTATCAAAATTGTTATCAGAGTGGACTACTGATAAAGAATTTTTACAAAATCAATATCCTGCCTATGTAATAGATGCAGAAAATAAGCCTATAAAAGAACTTTTAGAAATAATTCAAGAGAGAATTGAAGAACTGCCAGCTCCTATTGAAAATGATATGCAAAAAGTAGAAGAAGAGCAGAAAGAATGCCCTGAAAAACCCATATGTTCAGGTAAAATGGCTTATATAATTGTTCCTATGGGAATTCCTTGTATGGGAAAAGCATCTTTTCTGGCTGCTTTACAAAGGTATTCAGATGAAAATGGGATAGTTCTCAAGACAATTTGTTCAGATGATATTAGAAATCGCTGCATGTCAGAATACATGAAAAAACGTAGGAATTATGACAGAGAAAAAGCGTTTCGAAAAACTCATAATAGCTCTAGGACCACTTTTTTTGACCAGCTTAAAAATGCAACAATGTCAAATTCTCATGAAAAACAAATAATTTTTTTAGACAAAAATCACCCACCTAAATCAATAATGTGTACTTTGCAAGAAATTAAAGCTGTTGAAGCTTACTCCAATTTAAAATTAATTGCACTAGTCCCAGAATGCCGTGAGCCACTTATAATTCAATTACGAAATAAAAAGAAAAATACTTATGAAATATCGTTATCAATGCTAATTCAATGCTTATTAAGAGTTAGAGATAGAAAACAGCATGATATTATAAATGGAAAACTCTTTCATAGGCTTTCAATTGTATTGATGATGTATCAAATGTATCAAAATGTTAAATTTGAAGATTATTTATCAACTGGATTTTCCTATATAATGAGAATCCCATTTACAGACGAGTCAAGTTGAGAAATCGACCCAAATCTTACAGAAAGCATCATAAAAGTTCTATCAGGCTTCGATAATAATGAATTTCCACATAAATCGATTGTTACCAACCTTGAGCAGGAAATCGAAAAATCCACATTGAGTTTCCCTATAATTGATCCATACCCAGCCTTATGTGAGCAAATTAACTTGATTTTAAATGGAAATTCTGAGACAAAAAATGATGAAATTCAGCGTGAAAAAGCTCCAACAGCCATAGAAATAGAATTTAACGTGAATAGTAAACCTGGATTAATTTCAATTATTTTAGAAAATTTAGAAAAATTGGCTTCACATTATGAAGACCAAGAAATTAGGTCAGATTTAGCAGAAATACATGAATATGCAAATAATGGTAATAAATCCATATGAAATGTGTGTGATGAGCTGCTTCATACTGAAACAGTTAATATAGATAAGAATTACGATGAAAATTTGGAAGAAAAATTACATATAAAGTCAAGAGTAACACATATTATTTATATCCCAAAAAATACAATTTATTGCTGCTCATGTATTGATGTAGAAAATGACTCTTTCCCTTTAAAAAATCTTTATATCCCTGTATTAGCCTATCAAAATTCCCAGCCAATAAATAATTTCCAGCTAAAACAAGTCATCATAAGCGAAAATTCCCAAATAACAGAAATCCAAGTTGACGAATCGCCAAAAAAAGCTTATTCAATTCCTTTATCTGAACTCTACAAATTAGAAGGATCTACACAACTTTATTATTAGCCTAAATTATTTTCATAAAATTTATTTCCCTTTAACCATTTTTATTTTAAATCGTTTTGATGATATCACACCAAAAATAGGTATTTTATTATCTTATAATTTGGCGAAAATATGGGCATCCTAGACTTCTCACGTACAATTGAAGACTTATACGCAGACTACGGAAAGTATCATACCACTGCAATGTAAATTTTACTTAGAAATAAGATAATTCACGTTATCTGTGTCCCTCAGATTCTATATACATTAATCAGCTTATTCGCTCATTTTTCGTGGCGTATTGGGACCAACCCGCTTACTGAAATTCACCTCGGTATAATTCCTTTGGCAATAATTCTGTTACTTTACATCAAGCTCGATTTTCCTTCAGGATTAGTCGCAGCTGTCCTTTATTCGGCTCTATATTTTGTGGGTAATTATACATTCATTTATTACGGTCCAAGCCACCTAAAATTTGTTGGACTTGTCCAACTCATTTGTTGGGGACTTCAGTTTGCAGGGCACGCATTAGAGAATAAAAGACCAGCGCTGGTAGACAACATTTTACTTACTTTGGCAGCTCCTTTGTTTGTTGTGATTGAAGTCATGTTTTTCTTTGGATATAAGCCTGAGCTTCATAGATTATGTGAATCTACCCTCAATAAAAAAGATAAATAATTAACTATTAGTTATGGTAAAGCTTGTGTTTGCACTTCCCAATAAGAAAGCATGTGCGTGCTTCGACCCACAAGTGCCTGAACAAATCTCTATTGCAACAGCGTAATTCCCTGCCACAAATCTGTCACCCAAATCGTCAATTGGCCCACTAGATTTCACATAAAAAGTCTGTGTAACTGGCCCAACTGCAAAACCTGTATTTAAAGTGTCCATGGTAATAGCATCATAAGGTGCTGGAGGCTGGACTGTGACTTTAATATTTCCAGTGCCTGTTCTGCTTATAACCTGGAAATTTATATTAATTGAGAACTCAGCCCCAAGCAAAGCAGAAGCAGGGGTTACTGTTGCACTGGTAACTGTAATATTTCCTCCATCGACTACTGGGCATTGTCCAACTACTTCACAAAAATAAATTGGATCTAGATCTGCTGATAAAATTGCATCTGTAAATGCTTTGATTCCGACGTATTCGCAGAGGCTTTTACAGAAGATTTTTTCTATTTCAGAGGAAAGCTCATCACATAGGCCTCTGCAGTCAGCAATAATGTAGTTGTTTACGATTTTGTTGTAGAGAATGGATAAAGAATCTTCCGCGAAGGATACACAAGATGAGCAGAGAGTGGTAGCTTTGACGGCAGAAGAGTCTCGAGTTATGGGAGATACTGCTAATCCAAAGCTAAGAATACTAAGGAATAAAGCGATTTTCATTATTAGATTTATTATTCGCCCAATTTTTGTATAAAATAAATAAAAAACTAATTAGTATTTATGGCCTATTATAAGGCTAGAAAAATTCATACATAACAATTTGACAAGGAAAACTGATCAATTAAAATTTTAAACTTTAGATTTAAGTTTCCCTAAAGGCAAAAATCCATTTATACATTACCTTTATATTAACAATATGGAACAATAAATGTTATTTGTTCTGTTGAGAACTGCTCTCCTCATCAAAAACAGTCTAATATTTCAAAATTTCGCCTAAAACTTCAGATTCCGCTTGGTTTCTTTTACAAACTCAAAAAACTATAAATTTATACTTATAGTAAAATTAAGCGTATATAAGCAAATTTACCTTCGTCTTACACTTATAAACTTGAAAACTAATTTTTTCTCAATGCATACTGAAACTTCCATAAATATAGATATCATCAGAACCATAATTCGTGAATTTCCCATAAATTCAAAATCCATATATATATCAAATACCGTAAAATTTAATATTAAAAATAATTCCATAGAAACTCCCTCAACCCTAATTTTCTGACTTTTACATGTAATTTTCTTATTGCTGTTGCATAGCCCTCCTTTCGCCTATTAATGACGAATTAGGATCTAATATGGTCTAATAATGTTTGAACGTAAATTCAAAGCTATCATTCTAAAAATCCTTGGAGAATTCGTATACTATTTTAAATTAAATTCTGAATGCTAAGCCTATATTTCTTACTCCCCCCCATCCTTGATTGAACGACTTGCCATCGTTTGATCAAGGATGGGGGTTAAAAAAAAATTTTTTGGGAAAAAAAATTTTATATATAAAATAAAAAATATATATATATATATATTTTTTTATTTACTTTTATATAAGAGGGTTAAGAGTATTTAATAATTATTTTTACAGCAAAAAATTGAAATAATTTCATAAAAATACCAAATTTTAATATTTTGATTTATTAGTTACCCCTTTAAACTGTATAAATTTTAATTTGTAATTTTTTTTAAAAATTTTAAAGAAATCTGTATTTTATTAGATTATTGAGTTTTTAAGCCTTGGTTGATGATTAAATCACTTCAGATGGTTGATTCCGAAGCTTTCTGTCGTCTCAAAGTCTCTGAAAACAACTTCATTATGTACATCTTCCCAAGCTTTTGATAACTAATATATTTTTTATATATATAAAAATTGCCATGATATGAAAATCGTTCGATCAAGGATGGGGGTTAATTTCGCCAATTTTTAGGAATTTTTACAGTCAATCGTTCGATCAAGGATGGGGGGGGAGTTATTAATTAATGTCAATTCAGTCAAGCAGGCTATAGAAGATTTCGATGATAGTGAACTTCAAGTCGATAACTGGAGTGGACATGTCACTCAAACTAGACTAAATATCAAACCAAATGGCCTAAGATTTCTAAGTCGTTTGATTGGCATTGATATAATTGTCGTCAGAGGAGTGATAGGGTCCCTTCAGCTAAGCTTTAATTGACGAGCTTTATGGCGTGAGCCTATTCGTCTTACCCTTGAAGATTTATATGTTGTATGCAAGCCTCAAAATCCACCAGACCCTACTTTCTTTCAAGATAAACGAAGAAGAGCTAAAAGATCAAGACTAGAAGACTTAGTCCAAAAAAAGAAATTTCAAAACCCCAACAAAACCTATCTTCAAAAACTCGAAGCAACAGTGTCCGATAACATTTGCATATCATTGAAAAATGTTCATTTGAGATATGAAGATACTATATCTAATCCATTCAGGCCTTTTGTTATAGGCCTTACACTTGACAAACTAGTTTATTCTCCTAGTGATTCTAATTGGGTGAAAAATTTTATTACCCTAGAGCTGAAAAAGCAAGCACAAAAATCCTTTATGGTATTAGAGCTGGGACAGTTCGCATTTTACCATATATCGAAATCCTCTGAGTTGTTTAGCTTAAAAGCTGACTGATTAAAAACGCTTTCCAATGAGAAGTTTGCGGGGATTATGTTTCCTTTTATAGCTCATAGAGATTATGTTCCTCAGATATCGGAATATTACTTATTAAAACCTGTAAACGCAGAGATAAGAATCAGAAGAAGTTTAAAGCCACCTGCAGAGTCAGATATCCCTAAGCTGAGTGTTTCTATAATAGTAGAGGAAATAGCTTGTGCATTAGAGGCTAACCAATATCAAGATTTGTTGATGTTGGGCTCATTTATATCACTACATAAAGTTCTTGGTCATCACATTGTAAACCGTCCACTCGTAAGACCAAAATCAAAGCCGAGAGATTGATGGATTTATGCTTTAAACATGGTCTCGGAAAAAGTTAAGAAAAAAATTGTTCCCTGTACTTGGGATTATTTTAAATTCAGAAAAGAAAATAAACAGAAATACATCAATATATACTTATAAGCATTGACTAAAAATATTCCCAGGGTGTTAGGGTGTTAAGGTACTAGAAATTAACGACTAAAAACTCAAAGATTTAGTCACAATAAATTGGCATATATCAACTCACACTTGTAAGAGAATATGAATCAGAAACAGGTAGAGTGTTTCCAAATTTCACAAAAACCCCTCAACTGAACTCAAAAAACAAAAAAGAGCTAGACATAATGATGCTGGAAATTGAAGATCACCACAATGTCGAAGAAATTTTGCTTTTCAGATACATGGCTGAAAGAGAACTAAGTTCGCTTAAAGATTCTAAAAAGAAAAAAGGATGGATTGAATGGGGAAAAGGCTGGTTTGTTACTTCTACATCAGCTGATGAAGAAGCCTTTTTAAACACTTTGGTAGAGTATTCAGAAATGATGAGCCAAGACGCTGCAGCACCTTCAGATTTTGTTAAATATTTTGTGAATTTTGAGTTGAGAAGATGCTCAATATCTCTAGCAGCTCGACAAGTCAACGGACTTCAAGCTTCATTTTTGAAAATTACACTGGACGAAGGAATTATACATAGACAAAAAACCAAAACTCTGACAGAGACTTTTCTTGCATTAAGCTCATTAAGAATCGTTGATCCATTTACACCTATAGGAAAATTTATACAATAAAATATCTATATCTCTATCTTATAAGACCTCCTATGTCCTAATTTTCATTATAAATCGGCTTATAAATGCCTTATAGCTTTTAATAATTACTTAAATTCAGCATAGAAAATTATTCAACCCCAAAAATGTTGACGAGTCCTTTTTTTTCCATGAGCCAGGATTCGAAGTTGAAGAAGAAATTTTCCCTGAAGAAAATGATGGTTTCCCTCAGTTCGCCAAGCATGAGCTAAAAGTTGTCCCTCTTTTCCAATTAATGCTAAACGCTGACACAAGTGAAACTATGAGCTTGAAAGTAAATATCCAGCCATTAGAAGTGATTTACAATAAACAATGTGTAGAAAGGATCAATGGATTTTTAAAAATTCCTGAAGCACTTGCATTATTTGAAGCTATAGAAATGCAGACTATGAATCAGCTTGCTAATTGGAAGCTTAAAACACAAGCGAGGATTGAGTATATCATAAAAAACCATCTGAAGCTGGAGACTGATATAAGAGTTTCTGCGCCTGTTATCATTATTCCACAAAATCCACTGAATGAGGAAAGTTCACAAGTGATTTTAAATTTGGGGAATTTTAATGTAATATCAAAGCCACGTGAACTGTCTTATGACCAACTTATGAACCGCAAAAACTCAGATGTTGACGAAAACGCTTATTATGACCATTTTGATGTGACTGTTTCTGATATCAGCGTAATGCTTCTCCCTCCAGAAGGCCGAGGTACCTGGACTTTAGTTGACAAATTCGATTTCATCATGCACGTTTCTAAGTCAATCATCCCCAAAGACCCTCATTTAACCACTATCAAAATCCAGGGCGAAATTTCTGAATTAACAGCCAAAATATCAAGAATTCAATATATGCTGCTACAACAGTACAAAGATGCTGACACAATCTCTTCTGTAAGCGGGTCATTTATGGACGATATTAATTATAAGCTTCCTGAGCCAATTTTAGATGACGAAGAAGACGACGAAGAATTTTTTGACGCAGAAGACCCATATGAGGATTTATACCAAATTTAGGTAATTTTTGACAATTTTTATTAAAAAAATAATATATAGCATATTAAGGAATAGTGGCTGAAAATGTAAAATTCCCATATAATAAAGAGCACTTTAATGTTGAATTTGGCGTGAAAAGAATGAATTTTATTTTATTAGAAGATAAAGAGATAGAGGAAGAAGAAAAAAGCTTGCTAACGTTTACAGCAAAAGATTTGCTAGCTGGAGCAAGCATAGAAGAGTCAAGAAGGAGGTTTTGTGTAAGACTTGGAGGGATTACTGTACAGGACTGGATAGAGTCAAGACTTCTGGTTAGCTCAAATCAAGAGAGATCAGATTTAATTGTGGTAGAGCTGACAAAAATATTAGAAACACATCCAGATTATGCCTTGTCAAAAATAAGCACTTTTCTCACAGCAAATCTTTCACATCTATATATAAACTATTTTGACGAGCCAGTCAGAATTGTATTAGGCTTACTGAAAAAGAAATCTGCCCCATCTTTCCCTAAAATCTCTCCAAGTCTTAACATCCTTGCCAAAGTTTCCTTAGAAAACGTGTCTCTTAAACTTAATGATACAGCCAGAGAGCTCACAGAATTGCACTTATCATATGCAGATTTCCATTACACGTCTTCTGAAGTTCTCCGCTGCAAATTGGGAAGGCTTACAATAAAAGACTGTTTAAATTCTTGCTTTTTCTTTGAAACTAAAAATAAAGACTTATTAGAGCTTGAACTTTTAATAGAAGAGGAAGAAAGAACACTAGGAATCAAGCTGAAATCGTTCAAGCTAATTATGGTTATGGACATGATTGAAGGACTAATATCATTTGTTCTGTCTTCTGAGCTGTTTTCTTATATGAAAAAAATTAAAAAAGCAAAAGAAATCAAAAAGCCAAGGACTTATTCTTATAATGCTGAAGTAATCCATCCCCAGCTTGAATTTTTAGACCCTCAATCCAGCCAAGGATCATGTGTAATTGACTTTGGAGAAATCAATACAAACAAAAACGCTGGCGACGAGCTCACCTTCAATATCCAAGGCAGCCAAATTTTCACTATAAGAGAAGACGAAGAAGGCGAAGTCTACCAAAATTTCTTAATAAAAGATTTCGAAATGAGCTTAGAGTCATTTTTACCTGAAGTCAACCTAAAAATCAGAAAAATAATTGGCTCTTCCTCAGCTTCCCAAATTTCTTTTTTGCTTCAGCTTTATTCTAACTATAAATCCCACTTAAAAGATATAGGCCAAATGCTTCATTTGTCAATCCCAAAGAAAAAAGAAGAAAAAAAAGAAATAAAGTCTGACGTAAATTTAGAAGCAGAAAATGTTGCGTATTCTTTTGCACATGGGCTGAAGCTGAAACCACAAGAATTTAGGCTAAAAGTCCATGCAGAAATTGACGTTGTAGAGCTGGCGTGGTGGACTTTGTTTCATCATAAAGAAGATAACGTAGAATCAGCTTGCTTGTCCTTAAGCCTTTCTCAGGTGCTATTAGACTATAACAAAAAAATTGGCTCAAACTGGCTTAAATTTGCAACAAAATCCTTAAAAACCGCTTTCAAAATTGACGCATTTGGGCTTAACCAGCTTATCCTTTTACAACAAGAAAGTCTTACCCAAGAAAACGCTTTAACCCTCGGTTTCCAAATCCTCCCAGACTCCTATATAATAGACCTAGACATCTTATCTCCCCGCATTATCCTATCCCCATGCATTCTTAAAGGCTTATTATTAATTTCTTCAGAGCTTTCTTTATTACTCCCCAAATCCAAAAAAAAAACACCTATAATTTTGTCAGGCCAAATGCAAAATTTCCAATTATTAGTTACAACAGATAGCATAAATGGGCCACAAGACGAGGAAGATAAGTTGGATCCTATGAAGGACCAGGAATATGAAGAAAAAAGATATACGATTTTGCAGATGTCAGTAGAATTTCAAGATAATAATATAAATGTCAATGACTGCTGTGTGCTAATTGGAAGTAGCGCTGTAGCTGTATATGGGGCAGAAATATCAGGAAAGCCGTTATTACATCCTTTGCAGATTAGGTATAGAGGGAAAGATAGTAAAGCTTTGCTGATTTCAGATATAGGCATTGATTTATCGTTAAGCCAGTCAGTTTACTTCCAAGAAATGATGAAACAGTTCAGCAGCATTATTCCAAAAAGAGAAAAACAGGTAAAACCTACCAAAATTGACTTGAAAATTGAAATCCAGCAGATTTTGTTAAGCATTTCTCACGATTTCACCATCTCAAAACACTCTGCAAACACCTATTTCATGCTTCGCCTTGATTCTCCTTACATTTTGCTCTCAAGCACTGACACTCCTCTAGCATTTTCTACAGGTTTTGCATTTTACTATTACAACCAGCAGCTTTTCGACTGGGAGCCTTTTATAGAAAACTTCCGTTTTGGGATAGAATACAACACCCAAGGTGGCCAGAAAAAGATCCAAGTTACTTCTCAAGGCGATTTTAATGTAAATGTCAGCTATTCGTTTATTACTACATTCAGTAACTTTTTGAAAGGATTTGAGCAGAAAGACTATTTTACTCATTTAGGCTTATTAGCCAAGTCAAAAATGCAGATTAAATGGGGATCAGGGTACTCTATAAAAAATGAGACAGGACAGCAGATTAAATGTTGGATTGATAATAGGCTAATTATATAGTAAAATAAATAAATATGTGACTGCTTACTCCCCCCCCCCCCTCCGTGAGCGAACAAAAAAAATTTTGTTCACTCACGGAGGGGGGTTAATTTTTTTTTTTAAAAAAAAATTATATATAAATTTTATAAAAAAATATTTTTTTCGAAATTTAAAAAAATCCTAATTTGCAAAAATTGGGAAGCAAATATTAATTTAATTTGCAAAATTTATGTTTTAAAAACGCAATTTGTTTAAAATTAAACAGAATTAGCTCTAGATTTCATTATACTAATTATCACTTATATATCAAAATTTTTTTCCATTAAAATTTTTTCTATTAAAAAAATTTTTTGTTCACTCTCACGGAGGGTGGGTTTTTGGTCAAAAAATGGGCGATTTTTCTAATGGTTTTGTTCGCTCACGGAGGGGGGGGGGAGTTAGTTTATGCTTAAAAAATGGTAGAGTGATTGAAAATAGGATAATTCAGCACAATGAAGAGCACGCTTTACATTTTGAAGAAAGAGACGAGGTAGAAGGATCTGCAGTCACCATGTTTAAACATAAGCTCAAAAAACAGAGAGGCTACAGGATAAAATCAGTTTCTATACAGATAGGTGAGCTTCCGAGACTAAATGATATATGTATTGACAGAATTGGCTGCAAAATCTACAATATAGCTCAGCTTGGCGCACATTTTCACGTCCTCTGTGACGTCTTATCAAGGCATGGCGACAAGCTTCTTGTAATTCGGTCTCCAATCCAGCTGAAAAACAACCTCAGAGTCCCTATTGACGTGAGACTTATAATGCCACTAGCCTTAAACAAGCTTAATGAAGAAGACTATTTCAATATCATAAGTATCCCACCCTTAGCCACCGTCCCTTTACCTATCACAAATTCCTATTTCACCTCCCTTCAGCTCAGAATTTCAGGTTTTTCATGGTCAGAAAGAAACGAAATTTCCCATGCAGACGAACCAAAACTAATAGAATGCCCCAATAAAGCATATAGAGGCTCTTCAGTTCCTGATATCCAGCCTGCAAAAAAGGCAAAAGCTACTGAATCTGTGGTCCATAGAAGTGCCTTTGCAAGCTTTAAATATTCACTGCTGGAGTTTAAAGATGATACTGAAAAATTCTTTGTAAAACTGTATACGTTTGAGCCAGGATTGACGGTTGAAAATTATTTGTGCTGCCCGCTAGAGTACCAGTGTATTATTTTGAATAGGAGAGAAGGGATGGAGTTTTTGGAGACTGATATAAAGACTAGTGGCTCTTTGGAAAGAGGAGAAAATTTCCATTGGCTGGAAGCACCACCCTATGGGTCTGTTGGAGTAGCTTTGAGGATACCAGGGTATGATTGGAGTCCTATGCTAAATATTTTTGAAGAAGACAAGCACATCTACCAATTCAGTCGCCGAAACATGGAGCAAGTCAACATTTTCTTAGAAAGCAACAAAAGTGACGGCACCTTCAGACTCCTCGCCTATGCCCAGTACTGGCTTGAAAACCACACAGGGCTTCCTCTGCTTTTCCAATATATAGAAAAAGACTTCAGCTTTGACATCATGTCATTGCCTTATACAGTAGAAGGCCTTCATTTTGAAGAATACCAAGAAAAGAAAAAAATAGGCAGCTACGAAACAGTCCTCAATGCTTTTGGCGAAAAACTGGATTTTGAATATGAAGGAGTCAAGCCTTGGCTGCATTATAAAGAAGCTGATAAAGTTGGCTTAGGATCGCTTATAGAAGAGGAAGAAGACGAAGAACAAAAAAATATGGTCAACATTAGGATGTTTTCGGCAGATTTGGATCAGCCTGGAAGTGGGACTGCTGCTATAAGAATTGCGAATTCAGAATGGTCAGATTTGTTTAGAATTGTAGGAAATGAGCCTAATAAAAGCTTGCTCACTGCAGGAGGGCATAGTATTTTGGCAGTGGAAAAGTCAAAATATCATATGAATTGTATGTATAGTTTATGCACCATAATAGATGCTATATCCCCAGCAGAATACCAAACAGAAAAAATATGGTCCAGGGCACCTGCCTTATACAGTCTAAGTCTGATTAGGCATCTTAAAACCATAAGCGGAGATTGTTTTTGCTTTTCAAAAAAAACCTGAAAAGCACAACTTAATTTGAAAAAATAAAATGGATGATTTTTAATAATCTAAAATATTTCAGGCGCTATATGAGGTAGCGATGAGCTTACAAATAGCAGAAGAGCCTTTTGTGAAAACAAAAATTATGCTTTTTACTTGGATTTAAATAAAAATGTTTATTTTACATATTAATTTATAATTATTATAGAAAAGAATATAAGATTTACCCCAAGATTTGTTCTGATTAATAAAATGCCACAAGTTTTATTGCTGACTCAATTTGAGCCTAATATAGATTTTAACGGTGTATGTCGGCTGCTTCCAAATGAAAGATCAAGCTTCCATTGGCCAGACTGCAGAAGAGGCCGAGCTATTTGTGTAAAACTTGAAGATTATGGCTGGGCATGGTCAGGGAAATTTTTAATTGAAGAGCCTGATGATTTTGTCGTCAGAGTCAGAAATCTGCATACCCATGAAGAGATTCTTATGCACATTACAATTACCCTAGAGGAATCCACTTTGCATGTATCTCTTTTCTATTAATTATAAATTATCAATATTAATAATATATTATTATTTATTTATTATAATTTCATATAATTTTCCAAGATACCTCTCATTCCCCTCCTTACAGAATTGAAAATCTCTCAATGGAAACTATTGAAGTCAACCAGTCTAAGACCGACTTTATCAAAGTCCTCAAACCTTTCGAAGTAACCAGCTACGCATGGGACGAAAGACTCCTCAAAAAAGTCCTTACCGTCGCTCTCCACAACCAAAGCCAAAAATCCTCCGTCATCATAGGAAAATTCAAGCTTGACTCTCCAAAAGACTGTGAACAAATCCACCTAAAATCCCATGGCTCCCACCCCTCCCATCCTTTATTTGTAGACATAACAACAGAAGGCTCCACCAAAGTCCTCACAATCCGTCACAACAAAAGTGAAGAGGACTATTTCAGCCAATCCCACCTAAATTATGAAAAAAATGATTTTATATTAGAAATTAATTTTTCACATTTCGGGATTTCTTTGATAAATTCGACACCCCAGGAGCTTATTTATGCGACTTTTAAAGGACTGCAGTTTAAGCTTGACCAAAATAATTACGATAATATTTATGAGCTTTCCTTGGATTCGGCACAGATTGATAATCAGCTGTATAGGGTATCAAATCCAGTTATGCTGAGCCCAATGGAAAATCATGAGCAGCAGCTGTTAAAAATAAAAGTAAGGAAAAGGCAATCGACCATTTCGAACCAAGAAGTTGACTATTTTAAATATATAAAATTTTCATTGCAGCCTGTAGATATATATGATTATAATAAATATAAATATTATCATAATCCGAGAATAGCAGATAGAAATTTATAAGCTCATTGTAAATAGGTATATCAGAATTGACGGGTTTATTATTGAATATTTACTTAACTATGCCAGCGAGATTTCTGAAGTAATTGGACCTTTATACAAGAAAGAAAACGAGGTGGAGAAAAAAGTGTTCCATTACTATTATTTTGATAAAGTCCTCATAAGCAGCTTGACGCTGAATTTGACGTTTTCGTCGATCCCTTCAATGTTTAAGAATTTGAATATGATTAACCCTATAAGGATGGCTTTTATTATTTTCGCAAATATTGGGAATGTCCATTTGAATTTTAATTCACTGAAAATTACTCATAGACATTTAACTTTATACTAAAACAGCTAATTAAACTATAAATTCTTCCTTTTTATAATAAAAAAAAATTAGTAAAAAATAAAGGCATAGACCTTTTAACCAGACACATTTCTACATTTTACTACTCAGAAGTCAAAAGCAAAACTTTAAGGATTCTCAGCTCAGCTGACGTGCTTGGAAACCCAAGTGAGTTTGTCAGGAATATCCGCATAGGGCTTATTGACCTCATAACGCTTTCTGGCCAGCCTACCTTTTCAGGCGCAATGAAAGGCATTTCTTCTTTCTTTAAGCATACCTTATTCGGGGCTTCAAATTCTGCTTCAAAATGTTTCGATTCTATCAAAAAAGGAATCTACGCTGTTTATGATGACGACAAAAACAATATCGGCAAAGGCTGGAAAGTCGCTATGGCTATAGCAAGAACCGCTTTATTAGTCCCCAATATTACTATAAGTCTTGCATCAAGCACCGCAAACCATATAAGAGACGCCATTCAGCAGCAGCACCCTATTTTACGACAAAGGCCACCACGATCATTTTTAACTTCTAGGCTGCTTACACCTTACTCATATAGTGACTCAGTAGGACAATACGTGCTTTCTATGGTAGAACAAGGCAAATATTTAAGCGAAGGGATTAAGTTCCATTTAACGCTAGATTCCTCTGTCATTGTGGTCACTTCTAGAAGGGTTTTAAGTGCCATTGTGGAAAAGTCGAACGCGCAGTGGAAAGTTTTGCTGCTGTCAATCACGATGATAAAACAGACGGAAAAAGGATTGACAATTTATTATTTTGGGAATACAAGTCCTGGATTCCAACAAGAAAAAGTGGAAATCAAAGGGCAAGCTGCACAGCTGGAAAATCTTCACAAGATATTAACTTCATTAATAAGGTAATAAGTCAGAAATATATGATTAAATAGTAGGATAATGCTTCAGGCATAAGAGGAGTCAATAGTCAGTGCCTTTTATTGGACCTAAAAAGACAGTCTCCGTATATATCAGAGTGCAAATGGTGAAAATAAGGTTGCCATTTTGGATTTCCGATCTAAACCACCTGTATAAGGGATTAGCTCTTTAGAGCAGAGTCAGCAACTGGAAGGTGCCCTTATTGTCCCGATAAGGAAAGACCATGTGTAGGTAAAAACCTGTCTAGACCATCTCTCAGGGACAGAAATCTTCGGGGGTAAAACAAAACTTTACATTTCTGCATCTTAAGGCCTAGTTCAAAATAGACAGAGGCCCTGCTTTCAGCTTCATCAGGACGGGTCCGATCTGCTCTATAGGGAGTGCGCCGGAGTACAATTTCCGTCAATATCACTATTTTATTTTATAATTAAATAGGATTTAGTTAAACGTAAGCATTTTTTCTCTCAGCATTCCTTGATGCTTTCACAATTAATATGGTGGAGCGACGACTAAATATGCTGATGATGATGCACCACCTTGGTCGCAAAAGTTGGTTTATATCCTAAGCCAAAATTCAGACCCTTTAATCCTAACCCTTAGCGTACCTTGAGCGCCGTATGGGTAAAACCTTGGGAGTCAGCTGGTGCCGACTCCATAATCAGACATTAGTTATCTGGATGGTTTTTGGGCCACAGTTTTTTCCTTGTGGCACTAGAGGACGTGGCTTCCTTTTCCTGGGAGTTATCTCTTCCAAGATGGCCGATAGGAGGTATTGAGAGAACATTTACCTCCATAGTACCCAATTGTGTACTGACAGAGTGTCTTTCTAGCCAGTCGATACTTTTGGTGATCACAGTGCAAACCCTGCTCCTAGAGAAGAGATCACTGATCCAAAAAGGAGCGGAATTTCCTCCCGGCAAACAGGTTGGGGTTGGTCGAAATCCTGCGGAGGCATCAAATCTCGAAGACTTTTAAGACTCTTAATTTAATTTGGTGCTTTCTTTTTAAGGAATACAAAATTTTGCTTTTTTCTTCCATTTTGCCTGAAATATCGTCCAGCTGGGCTTTTAATGAGCCTAGATCTCTATTTTCATCGTCTGACATCAGCAGTAACTGCTTATACATACCATTTAATTGTGAGATTTCTCTATCCAGTTCTTGTAAGGATCCCCAACCTCATTTGTCCAATTTTCTAGCCTTTTTTTCTAAAAAAAAAATTCAGGACCTCATTTATCCCAAAAATCTAGTCAAAAATGATTCGTACCATTTTCTAGTCTTTTTTGGATTTTTTCGAATGTCCTAAATTTTAGTTTTTTTACTTTAAAAAAAACTAGAAAATGAGACAATTGAGTCCTGAAAATATGTTTTTTTTACTATCAAAATTTTGACTAGAAAATTGGACAAATGAGGTCCTAAAAAAATGGGCAAATGATAAAAGACTAGACAATTGGACAAACGAGGGGGGGATCCTTATTCGGAACTCTAGTTCTCTTTCTTTATTTTTATTACTATCTAAATACGATGGAGACTTTACATGCCTCCTTGGCGTAAATCCTTTTGAGCTTCTTTCTGAGCTTGATCCTTCTGAAACTTCTCGCTTATGTTTGCTTGTTTTAGGGATTTTTTTAAAAGATGGCTTTTTTAAGCTCATAGCGAATTTTTTATGCTTTTTATTTATAAATAAAATTCTTTTCATGAATAAATTTATTATATTTATAATTAAAATAAATAAGATACGTTTTTTTGAGCTTTTAGACGACAATGATCTTTCTCTCATAGAATTATTCAATAAAAATTTAACCTGATTTTCACGCTTTAAAGAGTCAACAAGCTGCTCATTAATTTCAGTGATATCTTTTACATAATGTCTAGTTTCTATATGTTCTCTTTTAAGTGCGTTTCTGGCTTCTTCATTTAAATTGTTCATCTTATTAAGCTCAGAGATATGCAGCCTCAACTCTCTTATTTCAGTTTCCTTTTTTGTTATCATTTCTTGATAATTTCTATTTGCCTCTTCTAGTCTTCTTTCTTTGTCATTTAATTCAAGCTTAGTTTTTCTTAATTCTTCTTCTAAGCGGTCAGTGTTTTTCTTATTTATTTCTTTTTGGCTATCTAAATTCTGCTGAAGCTCATAAATTTCTTCATTTAAAGAGTCAATCATTATGTCTTTTTCTAGGATTTTTCCTTCTAAATTTCGATTTTTTGCTTTTTCAGCTGATAATGCTTCTAGTGATGACTCTTCAGAATTATTTTTGGAATTTAGCAGTTTTTTAAAGTGTTCGGCTTGTAATGCCCAGTTTTCTTTATCAATTTTATATTGGGCCTGAACTCTTTTATTTTCTTTTTCTATAAACTCACATTGAGTGTTTAAAAATCCTACTTGGTCTTCTAATTTAATTATTAATGCATTTTTCGCTTTTAAAACTTGGTCACATTCGTAGCATTTCTTTTCAAGATCTTTTTCATTGTATACAGCCCTTTTAAGCTCACTGCTTAGCTTTTGTTTGTCTTCATAGTTTTTCTTTTCTAATGTATCCATATCAGCTTGAAGTTGATTTTTTGCGTTTTCGACTGATTTTAGCCTGTCTTGGAGTGCCTTCATAGCAGAGGCAATTGCCTTACTAAAAATTAATAATATATTAATTTTTTTTAATTAATTTTTGCTTTAGTAGCAAAATTTTGGCTTAATTTACTATAAAGAGTTAGAATTCATTGATTCTTTTTGTTGCTCATACAATTCAGGAGTTTTACTATACTGTGGAGACTCATATATCAAATGTGACGGCATAAGTGGGCTGCTCCTCGACAGCTTAAAGCTTTCTTCCTGCTTCTGCAGCTCATATTCTCTATTCGGACTCGCTTTAAAGCTATACCCAGCAAATGGGTCAGAATCCAAGTTGTATTTTTTGACGAGCCCTTCAATATCACTTTCAATTTTCCTATGCTCCATAGCTTAAATTTAAGTAAATTAAATAGAAATATAAAGACTTGTCGCGAACGCAATATCTCTTTTAATCAACTCACAGGCAGCTTTTGCTTTTCTGTCAAGCTCGCCATCTCCCATAATTTCTGCTGCTTCTACAAACTTCCCTAGAAGGTCATGCAGTCTTAAAATTCCTCTGACGATATTTCCTTCTTTTATATCAGTAATTCCGCATATATCAATAAACGGTTTTCCTTTAGCCCAGAGATAGGCGACTTCTACCAGCCCCAGCTTGATTTTTTCGTCCATTTCTGACTTGATTTCTAAGTCTTTTTCTTTCTGTCTTAAAGTTTCTACTAGGTTTTCTATCATAGAAATCGCGTTTTTTAGCCCTGGAGAGACTTCCTCCCAGTTTTTGTCCTCAGTTTTATTTTTTTCTTCAGTCACAAAAATAATGGTCACAGCTGCTAGTTCTTCTTCAGTCAAATTCATATGGATTCCATTAAATAGCAATTCCACTATCACAAAATTATAAGGGTTATTGAAAATCCCTAAAACTCTGCCTTTTAGCTCTACTATTAAATTGGCGTCAACGTAATTAAACTGTTTGAGAAGGTTTATTCTGCAGTCAGACTCCAGACTTGAGCTTTTCCTTTCTTCTTCTTTGGCCCGTTCTATTTTTTCTAACTCTTCACGATATTTGAAAAGAAGAGTAGATTTTATGAAAATTTCGTGTCGGGAAGGGTCGTTGAAACAAGGGTGGGTAAGGAGACGGAGGACAAGCTCGTCTTTTTTGGCGTGCAATGGAGATTTTTCTTTGTAGATTTGAGAGCTGGAGAGGGAATCGGACCGGGATTTGTAGAGTAAAGCTAGAACTTCTTGAAGCCATTCGGGGCTGAATTGCTTGATTCTGAGGCTGGAGGTGTGCTTCTTTGTGAGGGAGCCTTTGTAAATGGTTATTAGGTCTGTTAAGCTGATTTCTTCAATTCCCCATTTTCCACCTGGGAATTGATTGGGGAGAGTAGGGACTATTCCATTACAGTCAAAGACGAGGCAGCTGATTTTGCTACCTTTGTTCAGCATGACTCCAGGCAAATTTGCAGAGCCATTGATAAGAACTTCTACAAAATATCCTTCACCTGGCTTTTTGCCTAATTGGTTAAACCCTGCAGAAATGTCAATAATTTCTCTTAAAATCCCCAAAAATTCCATCATAGCTCCTAGTTCTCCTGCTTCGTATCTTCTTTCCATATCTTCAAGACTTTTATCAAGCATCAAGCTCTGTGTCTGTTCATTCAAGTTCATAAATGTAGAATTTGACAGAAAACTTTTAGACACCAAGTCTTCCATTGACATTCCTTCTGTATTTAGCACATTACAAATCTGGTTATATCTAATCCTAAATTTACTTTCTAGCTTCCTCGGCTCTGAATGCATTATTTGGTTCAAATCTCTGCTGCTTGGAATTTTTGACGAGTCCTTAAAAAACATGATAACGCTTCCTTTAGTATCTTTCCCTCTTCTGCCTGCTCTGCCAGCCATTTGTGTATACTCCCCAGGGTTCAAATATCTATGGTCATGCCCATCAAATTTCTTTAATTCACAAAAAACGACGGTACGTGTAGGCATATTAAGGCCCATCGCAAAAGTTTCGGTAGCCACCAATACTTTTATCAAGCCTTTACTGAAGAGGATTTCTACAATTTCTTTGAGGATAGGGAGGATTCCACTATGATGGACACCTATTCCGTTGCTTAATAAGCTTAAAACAAATTTTATTTGAGGGAGCTCTCTGTCTATTGGGTTAAGTCTGCTTATAGCTCGTTTTGTGAACTGCATTACAATGTGTTTTTCTGCTTTATTAAGCAAGCATACCTGAGACAGTTTTTCGCCTCTATGGTCTACCTTGTCTCTGGAAAACGCAAAAACGACACAAGGCAAAAGCTTGAGTTTTTGTAAGGACAAAATAAGGTCTTTATACTGCTGATCCTCAGTTTTCCCTCTAACCCTATATCTGCTTTTGCTTCTTCTGTCTTTATCTTTTCTTTTTACTGCGTTTTTGCCTCTGTTTTCATATGAGCTTAATTTTTTTATCGCTTTTTCATAGTTTTCTTCATGATAATTTCCTTTGTCGTCCATTAGCCTAAAAAACTCGCCTTGGGCATATATAATATGTTCTAACGGAGTCGGTCTTTGATAGGTAATTTGAACATATACAGCCTGTTGCCTTACTCTGCCAACCCAATCAGAAAATTCCATATAGTTTGGCACTGTAGCTGACAGCATAACAATTCTGACATAGGGAGGCAGCATAATTAAGACTTCTTCCCATACAACTCCTCTTTCTACGTCATTTATATAGTGGACTTCATCAAGGATCACCCATTCTAAGTCACGAAGCCGACTTGAGCCATTATAAAGCATACTTCTTAGTACTTCTGTAGTCATAATGACACAAGACGCGTCAGGATCTACGCTGACATCTCCTGTTAGGATTCCTACATCTTCAAAAGTATTTTTAAACTCTCGGTATTTTTGGTTTGATAAAGCCTTAATTGGGCTTGTATAAATGACTCGGCCTTTTCTCATTTTGGCTAGGGCTATTGCGTACTCAGCGACGACTGTTTTTCCTGCTGATGTGTGGGCAGCGACAAATACGTTTGAGCGCTCTTCTAATCTCATAATCGCTCTCTTTTGAGGTTTATTTTTATAGAATATTTTTAATAAATCCACGTCATTGGGCGAAAAATTTTTTAGCATTGGTTAATTTCTAGAAAAAAGGGAAAATCCATATAAATAGTGTCTAGAAATTCCTAGCAGGGAAATTTTCTATAAAATTATAAATTCTCTTTTGGAAAACATCTAGCTCAAATGGATAGGTAATAATTGGAATTGGGACTAGTGTCGGAAACAATGAAATGTCTCTGATATCTTCAATTGCATATTTTGTGCCTTTTTTGGCTACAGGAGCATTTGATAAATTTATAGGAGTCTTGGTTTCTTCAATTGGGTTAACTAATTCATTTTCTCCCTCCTCAGAAACCCTAGGTCCAGCTTCATTTCTATCGAGATTTCAGTCAAAATTTTTTTCTGTACGTAGCACAGCAATTACTTCTTCTCTGGCTTCTTCTTCAGAAATTTGGCCTTCTATCATTTGTTTGACTTCTTCTTCTATTTCTTCAATATTTTGTTCTAAGAATTCAGGCTCTTCTTGGTATTCATCTTCTATGATATCTGAGTTTGGCTCCACCATATCAATTATTATTTTCCCGAATATATTTTTTGATTAAATGTAGGAAATAAGATATTATAAGCTTATAATTTAATTATTTATAATAAATAATTGATAATCAACTTCACTCAATTAGCGATTTGTATTAAATTTTTTGGTATGAATATTCATAAGTATGTTTGAAAAAATATATAAATAGTTTAGCAGCATGTCCTCACAATGGAGGGTGGTTTGTGTATATCTGAATGTAAATTTTTTTGGTGTGGAGCTATCCATAATTAAATATGGCGTCTCAAACTTGGGTCTGGCCTCTCGGCCAGACAGTTTCGAGCCCTATTAATTATATCCGGCAAGGTTTTGCCTAGCTAGAGATGGACGGCAATATATCAGGTAAGCAATTCTGGCAGTGTACAGAGCCTGATCCCAGTCCGTTCTCGGGTTAGGATTTTACCTCGAGGGAAAGAGGAGGCTTGGAGTTGGAAAGGAGAAGCCCAGCAGCGCCTACAGGTAATCCCTAGGCCATTCGGGCAAATCTCTAGCGAGAAACCGGGAGTTTCGCCCCGGGCTACAAGTTTTCCTCTTTTGCCGAGAGTCGGCCAGAAATTCCATTTTTGGAATTTCCCAGCAGACAACCCTCGTTACAGAGAAAGTAGCTCAATCATGAGCCGTCGAAGCCGGAACATTGCGCAGGAGGCGCGCGTTGGAGATCAAAGCTAGCTGTCCCAGCAACTAGTGGGCCCCGAGCGACGAGAGCGTGGTGGTAGTCCTGGAAGAGCAACCCCGTAGGAGACGTTAAACGTGATGGTTAATAAGTTAATAAGGTGTGGAGCTATCTAAGAGGGGTTAAACGTTTAAGCCAAAGACCCAACACTATTCCAGCTGATTAATGGCCTGACTAGAGAGCTCCAGAATTGCTTGGTGAGCTTGTCGAGATTGCCGCAAGATGTTAAAATTTTCTTTTAAATAATGCAATGGAAAAAGAGAAGGAAAGCTAGGAAAAGAGGTCTCATGGTCAGCTAAAAAATGTTAAAATGGAGTGATCTAGCTGGCTCGCCAGGTTTGGCTTAGAGTGGCGTTTGGTAACAAATGGAGAAGCTCAGAAAAATCCTATAGGCAAACAGGGCTTTATGTCTACTGAGAATCAAAGAGCTTATCAGACATCTTGCTTGTGACTACCCTAAAGCAATCCTATGATTGACTTGCTATAGTCTTATCCGCCTATGTGGATTGCTATATGAAACGATGCAGCCCAGAGACTCTAAACGATTTCACTTAATCTAATCTATGTTGAGAAAAAAGATGAATCCTTCAGCTGTGGAATCCTTGTAAAGAAGCCAGTCCCACCCTTAATAGTTTTCTTAATAACTCCACTTTGTTTCGGCTCAAAAATCTCTGGCGGTGGACTACTTGGCTCTAAGTCATCAGTCACTTTTTCTTCCTCATCCTCTACTATTTTTTCATATTCTTTATTTCTTGATTTCCTTCTTCATTTAAACATAAAGTTTTGGTTAAAGTTTTTCTCATCTTTTTTGTTTTCGTTGATTAATGAGCATCTATCTAAGAAATTCCTGTATTGTCTTTCAAGTACATCAATCTGCCTCTTGCACTCTCCAAACGTCTCAAGCTCATTTTCATACCCTTCAATCTGATTTAACTTCTGCCAATTCGAGTCAAACTTAATTTCTAAATCAAATTTCATTTTTTCTCTCATAGCTGCTTGCTGCTCCAAAGTTCTTTTTGCGGCTTGCAGATTTTCCAATATTTCTGATGGATTTTTTACATGTGCTTCTTTATGGATTTCTCTATACATTTCCTCTACGTTTTCGACAAAAATTTCATAAGCCTTGGTAAGCTCATCTACACTGCTTTTTAGTTTAAAATTATTTTCCAATTCTTTTGATAGTTTTGTTCTGGTTTCTTCAAGCTCATGAATGACTTCCATATATTCTCCGCCTTTACTGTCTTCTTTGTCTTTGATTTCGTCTTCTTCTGAGTCAGATTCATTGGTTGTTTTGGTGATATCAAGAGTGTCGCTTGGCAGAGAAATCCCTTGCTGGCTTATAATTTTTTCGAGCTGCTCAATTCTTTTGTCTTTTTTTTCGATTTCCTGCTGGGCTTTTTGGAGCATTAGCTTAAGCTCAGACACTGTGTATTCTCTGTTAATTTTTGGCTTGTTTTTGATACTTTTTGCCATGATTCCGAACCTGAGAGTGCTGACTGTTTCAGATTCGTTGTAAGGGGATGGAGAGCAGGTGATAATTAGGGAAGTTTTTGAGTTTCCTCCTAGCTCTACAGCCATTTAATAATAAACATTTTTTGCTCTCTATAAAAGTAAAAAACTATATGAAAATTTTGTTATTTTTTTTTTAATGCTTCAGGCTATATCAATTAAAGGATTATGAGTAGATAAATCGCAAAATAATTAAAGTATAATATAAAATATTTTATCAAAAGCGTTGAAAATTGTTAACAAGTATAACGCCGAGACATGGATTGCCAAAGTTTAAATAATTTATTTTCCCCAAAACATATTTGAAAAAATATTCCGGACTTATTGGGATTTTAAAAGAATGGGAAAACAAAATGATATATTATTTAGAAGTGTTTGAATATATTATAAGCCATTTGTAATTGCAATTAAAATCAATTTTAAATTTGAATGCTAAATTTGTTCATTATTAAATGTGAGAAAAAATTCGGAAAAATCGCGGTTTCATTCATAATTAAATGGGAGAGGGTTAAAGAATCTTGCAGAACTCTTGTTAACTTCGAATCTCTATAAGGAATATGAGAGTTTCCTTCAATTAATGAGGTAATAACCATTCCTAATGTAGTCAGCGACTTATTGATATTTTTAGCTTCACTAAGTCTTTTTCCTTCTGCCCCAGTTTTTGACACTTTTTCACTCCCAGCCAAATCAACAATATACATTTTCCCAGTTTTACTTGACAAGTCTAGCGTATTCGTCTGCTGTATCGTCATAATAAATATCGAGTGCGACCTACTTGACTCGGAATTCATATTGGTATGGCCAACTTCTCTATTTTTGAGCCCAATTTTCATTAGATCTAAAACTTCCACGTTATTTGACACATAATGAGTACTGAGTCCTGAGATGTAAACTCCTCTTGCTTTATCTTCATGGATTTTCAAGTTATCTTTAGAAGGGTCTAATAAGTCTTTTATTCTTTCTAACTCCCCGCCTGCATGAGGGAGTAAAATTTTTGGCTCACTGGGAATTTGTTTTTTAATTTTTATAATTTTGTATTGATTTTTTTTTTCAAAATTCAAGCTTAAATTATATTTTTACTTATAAAAATAAAGTTGTTTAAAATTTAATAGAATAATTGAAGGTTTCATTATAGTAATTATTATTTATAAACAAAATATTTTTATAATAATATTCTTTTCTCGCTCACTGAAGGAGCTAATTTCTCATAAACTCAGGAGGAGGGAATAAATAAATTTCGCAATATCCTACCTTTACTGAAAACTCAATATGTTCTTCACTATTTTCAATCTTATTGAAAACCGTATAAATCATACGTGGGATGATCCCCATCAGTTGAATATTATCAACATCTGGGCCGTTCATAGTATAAGTTTTGCCTGAAGAAGTTTGCCCATATGCAAAGATGGTCCCATTGAAGCCTTGCATAACTGATTCTACGATTTTTATACCTGAACAGTCGTAGACTGTAGACTGTTCGGTGTCTGGAGGAAATACATAGTCAAATGAAAATTTCAAGGTCCCGAAGTTCTCGTATTTCTGGTTGATAACGACTGTTTTGCCATCTGGGAGAAATTCTGCAACAGAGTCCATACTAAATTCTTTTTCTTTTTCGTTGAGGGGTCGAAAACGGCATGCAACGATAACGTTTCCTTGACTGTTTGGGTCTGCAGGTCTAGAAGATCCTTGTCTTCGCATAGACATTTTAATTAGTATGTCATGAATGGAACATTTAAATTAAAAAATGGTAAATCGGGTATAGAAAATACAAAAAATTAAGGAAATTTTTAATTTGCTTATAAATGATTTTTTGCTAAAATGCCGATTATATGTAAAAAATTAATTTAATATTTTATAATTCAATAAAAATATAGACTCTTTCTCGATAATTTTTCCTGCTAAACATAATTATATTATAATAATGCATAGTAAGAGTAATTTTTTAAAGGTTATCAAATAATATTGCATTATAAGCACTAGTTTTCTCTTTTAGGTTTTAATTAAGATTAAAAGAATATCACCCTTAGGCCAACCATTTTATTGAGTTGCGCATGGACCTATATTTACATTTTGACGGGTCTTTTCTCTTGCTTTTTGGCGCCAGAGGCTTATACTTTGCTTGCAGACAATAGTAGCTTCATTTCCATTGCCACCATAAGCATTTGGCTCATTTAACAGCACAATAACATAACTAATAAAAATTTTTGGAGTTATGCATGGATTTCATTGAGAACCAAAAACTGGATGACATACATTTCCAGCACTTCCAATATTTGGATGGTATATAGGAGTTTTGAAACAAAATGAAGGAGCACTGCTTGGGTAATTTGCTGGAAAATTAATTTCAAATCTAAAATAGCCGCCTTCAAAAGGAGACCCAGGTGGGCCATAGAGAGTTCCTTCCCATTTGTAATAGTTATTTCCAGATATATTAACAGTTACCCTAAGTTCGGGATGAGATTATAAATCATAAAGATCGCTCATAAGTCTTGCTAATCCAGTCATTTGCTTATAATTAATTTGTAGAAAGGAAAATGGAGATACTATTTCCATATTTTCTAAAAATTAAATTAGTCAGATTATAAACATTAAATTTCAATTTAATTTTAATTATCATAGAGTCTTTATCGAATCCGAATCCTTATAAGGCACTATCGAAGAACTCACCAATTATAGCAGCATCTTCAAAGTCAAAGCAATAAGAAAATGCCCTATATAAATTGTGCATTTACAAGCGAAGAGCTTTTTTTGCATCTTTTTCTAGTAAAATTTACCTTATCATCTTTTGTCTCCTTGGATGTATAGATATGAAACATTTATTTTCTAATGTCTTACAATTTTTATTTTTTTTGAGGTTTGAAAAATGCTCATGATTGGGTTGAATTTTCATCGCAATTTGCTTATTTTAATTGAAGAATTCTTGTATATTATCTTTGCTGCCCACTTCAGATAAATACGTCCTGCTTTCCTGCGTCTTTTCTATTCTCGCTCAATGTAAGTAACAATTGCTTCCATTTTCTATAAATATTAACTTCCCTTCGACAAATAAGTAAAATCATTGAAAGCCCAAATGGCTTTTGATAAAGGTCACCCTTTGCAAGCTATCAAAAATTTAATTTTATATAAAATCCCTTTTGTTTATTTTTGAAATTTGGATAAAATGAAGGAAATTATTAGGCAAAGATTTATTATGCATGAAATTGCACTCAGAAATATGTGAATTGGATGAAAAATCAAGGTGAAAAGGAAGAGGAAATTGGCAATTTGATAAAGAATTTTATTTATGGAATTATGAGAGCTAAAGAGGAAATGCTGAAAATCAGCGTTGGAACAATGTAAAATTTTCTTGTAAAATATTTTGATGTATAAACAATAATAATTATGATGGACCGATTTGAAATTAAAATGACTTAAATCTAAAACATAATTCATAAATTAATTTACTTTCCCATTTTTTATGAATTTTGAAAATTAAATATGCACAAAAGTTTTGCCGCTTATAGAGCAGGAGTTAAGCAGACGAATAAGATTTTTATATTTTTGTGATGATTAATTTTTCGCTAAATTAATGTTTTAAAATCCCAAATTCTGAAATTTAATGGAATTACTGTCAAAATATAGAATAAAAATTTAAATCAAAAAATTTATTAGATGCTCATAAAAATTAAGATTCCTTGCTCTCGGAGAGGTTGAAGCATATAATTAAATGCAATTTATCTATATTTACTGAATCCAAAATATTCCGCAATCCTTCCGGTGCAGACTCTGATTGTAAAAGCTTGAATTTTCTGATTAAACATTGAGTTCTGAGCAGACTTAGCAGTTTTTTGATCCTTGAACTCTGTTCTTAGGATGTGAGTTCTAATATTTACTATTTAATTATTTATTCGTATAGATGATATAAGTAACTTATTCCGAATATGGCAAAATATTAATAATATGTATACATCTGCCTAGCTTTCTCGTCTTTGAAGTAAAAATCCTAACTAGAAGTGCCTAATTTTTAAGATAAGATTTCGAAATTTAAGCTGCCTGCTTAAAGTTAAAGAAATGCTTTTATTATTAATTATTTTATCAGATATATAATTTTGATAATCTTAGATTATAACAAAATTTATTTATATTATCTTTTAATCCAAAAATTTTGATTTTTCAACTACTTCTTTTATCTCTCTAATATCTTTCTCTTTTTAAATTATTACACAAATGAAATTCAATCAACTTAACAATGAAGCTGAAAGTGACCCAAACGCCCAGCCCAATTTGCAGTCAGAAGAAACCAAAGTAATAAAATCAGTTGATCTCTCTCTTGAGCTCACAAATAGAAATTCCTTTATCCTAGGCACTGAATATGGACTTGATAGTGCAGATCCCTATATGCCTTCATATAAAATTGATATCCCCTTTTCAGTGAGCTGCAGCACAGTCCTTGATATTTTTACCAAAGTTGTGACCAGAAAGCGCTTCCAAGTAATTGAAAAAACTACCAATATAGCTACAGCAGTTCACAAAGAAGGATATGGCTTCAAAGATATCATCCTCTGCTGTTTGCCAGCTGAAGAGCGGCAAAAAGGGATCATGTCCGCCGTAAGGCTCTCTATTTCTATCAATGAGCGGAAATGCACACGAACAGTTATGCTAAAAGGCATCTATGGGTTCCCGCAAACAATTTGTCCAGTAGTTGAAGATTTCAAAGTAAAAATAGAAGCAGCGTTAGAGCAGCCGCCAGAAGAAAGAGAAATTTATATGAATATCTCAAAAGAGGCTGAAGAAGAAAGCATAATGACTTGTAAGCACGAGAGCTCATCTTATTACCAATTTCATAAAATTTTGTCTTCTGAATCATATACATTAGGAAAATCAATTTCTGATTTTATCAGTTCTTTTACAAGCCAATATAGAAACCCACAAGAATCAGTCGGATTATTACCTCAGCCAATAGAGTCTATCAAACTTATGGTAGAAGACTCAGTAGAAGCTTTATTTAGTCACTATAACTTTGGCCGGACAAATGCAGAATCCATGATGCATTTCTGCCGCCCAGCTGTCGAAAAATACATGTATGGGAAACTTTTTCCTCATTTATTTGATATTTATAAAGCCAAAACCAGCCTAATTGAGCAGAAATTTATAGAAAAAAGGACTCAGATCTTAGAATTCAACGATGAAGAAATTTTAGAAAAACTGCAAATTAATGAGAAATATAGGCTAACAGGGGTCACTCAGCCTTATGCAGAAGCAATTGAAGCTTTACGGAAGCTTGAGCAGACCTGTATCCCAGTAGAAAAATTAAACTGCTTGCTAAGTATGGTCGCAGCAATGAAAACCTGTGTACTAGACTATTCCAAAGGAAAAGATGAGCTAAACTCAATGGACGATGAGCTGCCTGTGCTAATGTACATAGCTATAAAGAGCCAAACACAGTTTATCAGTGCTGAGCTGGCTTTAATTAGTGACTATGTAGGCACGAAGTTTGAAAACGAAAAAAGAATTATCGTAAATTTAGAAGTAGCCATAAGATACATAGCTAATGAATTTGAATAAATAATTATCTATTAACTTCTCTAAGCTCCATAAAGTTGTCAGGCCTTGCTTGTCTCTTCTTGTGATAATAAAATATTGAGGAAAGAATCCCAAATATTACGATCGCAATAAAAACAAATAAAAACCATCAACTGCCGTTAGATGTGTTGTAGTTTGTTTGGGTTTTGGGTAAGATGATAGGAATGTAAGGAATATATGATAAATATGACTCTGGGTATCTTGTATCCACAGCAACCACGTTAATAATGGCTTCTTCTGATGTCTGGATTATCGCTTGCGTTTTGTCTTTTAAAAGGACTTCTTGAGCTATGGTCGCCTTTTTTGCCATCCTCATCCCACACACAGACTCCATATGTGCAAAACTGCTGGAAGACTGATATAAATAATACTCAACTCCGACGTCTGGAGTCGACCCATCATCATATTTTACCTCTTCAAACAAAATCCTGTAAGACTTTTTGTCTTCTTTTTCATAATAAATTTTCCCTGGTTTCAATCTTTTAGGAGATTTCTCGTTAGGTCTTAATGTTTCTGTGATAATTTGGAAAGAGTTGCCATGGCTTGATTCTCCGTTACTCATAGAAGAAATACGCAAGAAATAGCCTCCTTTAGCTGACCGAATGGTACCAAGAATCATCCCGCTAGTAAAATTGATGACTTCTAGGTCAGGGAGGGACGATTCAAAATTATTGTAAATTTCTGACACTTGGAGCTTGGCGTCCCCTAAGCATGGGATTATATAAATGTTTAAAATAGATATAGGTGTTGGCTATAGTTAGCTAGGTAAATTTAAAATTTTTAATTAATGGGAAAATTAAGGCATTTTTATATAAATTTGGAATGTGGATATAAAAATTCGCTGGCGAAAAATCTGACTCTGTGCGATGGATGTGCTGGGAATTTTGGGACAGCTCAAGTATATCATAAGGAGAAGTGCAGAAAAACGAAAAATAAGGCTTCGGCTGGTAATGAGAGCCTGAACTTATAAGAAATAAATATCTCCCTGCCTTATCTTGAGGTAAGAAAAAGTCCAATGAGTTATAAATCAAGTCATAGTTGCTATCAGAATCATAAGAAATTTCTGCACGATTTTGTGTAGGAAAGTCAATAACTTTGTTTTGCTCCTCGAAATTTATGTAAACAGCAGGCTTGAAATCATCAGAAAATGTAGTTAAAGAACAAAATAATGGATATATATTTATGCATTTTTCTATAATTTAATAAGATTATTTTATAGCATGATTACATATTTTCCCATAAATTATGAGATTATTTATTATAAATAGAATAAATCCAAAAGGTCAACCCCAAAGGAGAATTTTAATTCATTTTCTTCTAGAGAAAAAGTCTGAATATATTGCCCAGTCAGATAAATTACTGAATTTTTCGCAAAAGCTACAAAAGAAAATTTCGATACTTCACTCGCCAAAATTCCTATATAAAAAGTCCCATCACTATTTTCCTTGTCATTTTTTGGTATAATTTATGCACAATAATAGATTGCTATACCCCAGCAGAATACCGACCAGAAAAATATGGCGTAGAGCATCTGCCTTATACAATCTAAGTTTAATTGAGCATATTAACCAATAAAATGGAGATTTTTCATTTATGTTTTTACTTTTCAAAAAAGCTGGCAAGCATACATTAATTTTAAAAATTAAAACTATGGTCAATAATATTCTAAAATAATTCAAGGGATATATCCTCACAATTTCAGTATTTTCTTTTGCTGTACTTTTCCATTGATAGTTATTTAAAGTTATTGGCAATTTCTTTCCTACTAATATCATGATTTTGCCATATTCAGTGCTTGCTTGGAATTCTAGATCACTTTTTTCTTCGACGATAAACATGTAATATTCCCACTGATTTCTCTCTAGATATCATTTGGATATTACTCCATTTTCAACGATTTCATTATAATATAGTGTATATCCCCTTTTAGAGTCTTACTCCCCCCCCCCTCCGTGAGCGAACAAAAAAATTTTGTTCGCTCACGGAGGGGGGTTAATTTTTTTTTTTAAAAAAAAATTTATATATAAATTTTATAAAAAATATTTTTTTCGAAATTTAAAAAAATCCTAATTTGCAAAAATTGGGAAGCAAATATTAATTTAATTTGCAAAATTTATGTTTTTAAAACGCAATTTGTTTAAAATTAAACAGAATTAGCTCTAGATTTCATTATACTAATTATCACTTATATATCAAAATTTTTTTCCATTAAAATTTTTTCTATTAAAAAAATTTTTGTTCACTCACGGAGGGTGGGTTTTTGGGTCAAAAAATGGCGATTTTTCTAATGGTTTTGTTCGCTCACGGAGGGGGGGGGGGAGTTAGAGAAAAATATCTCCATAAAAAAACAATCATTTTTATATTGCTTAAAAATAACTATTTTTTTAAACCATTTTTCCTTTTAAAAATTTTCCTATAAAGCTCTATTTGAGTGCTTGCAATATATTGATTTTTAGCATTTATATAAAATGAGCAAGAAGCGCCTTGAGAAAAAATTCCAATTGCATAAATACAATCTTGGCAATATAAAGGGTCACTATGAGAAACTGTAAGAAAAGAAGCATCATAATTGCCTAAAGAAGACCATTTAAAAGAATGTAAAGTTGGCAAGCAGTCATTGTAATTTTCTGTATTAACTTCACATGTGTTTATCACTATAAACGCAGATCCAGCTACAATTGACAGCCTAAAAGTAATATCTGTATCTAGTGTATTGTGGAATGAAAAATACCCAGGAGTTTTTGGAAGAATATATCCACTTTGTGGCTGTCCTTCTAATAAGGGAACAATAGGGTTTATCTTTGTAGTCGCAAAAACTGAGTATTCACAGCTAGCTTCACAGCGGACTCCATGATTTTTACTCACTCCCCTTCTGAAAGAGCTAACCATTTGTAAATTCCTAATGTTTTGGGAAAACACACATCCATCAAAAAATTTTTTTAATATAATTATTTTCTATAAAAATATTTTAATTAAATTAGATCACTAGCTATTAATTCTAACAGATTGCATTATAAACATAAATTCTTTACATATGAAATTAATTTTTACGGCGATTTTTTAAATTTCAAAAAATACTATTAGCATTTATTAAAATAAAAATTAACCCTCACCCAAAACAAGTAAAACAATTTTGCTCCCTCGTAAATAGTGAAGCTAGTTATATTTCCATTGGCAGAGATTTCTTTGATACTTAATTACGATAAATTCCAAATACTATCTCTATCATACAATGGCCTTATCGCTAGTTCGCGTTTCACGACATCGCAAAGGTACTCCTGCCGATGAGGGCTAAATGTGAGTAAGAATGCTGTCAGCTAATACTAAATTGCTCTTATATAAGGTAGGCAAAATCCCTTCCTCAAGGTCCCTGCACCCCTTCGACGTGGGATCAGCTACAGGAGTTAAAGCGGGCTCTCATCTGCCATTTTAAATATATATGATGTTTCTGATACTGTTTTTCAAAATTTTCACATAAGGTATTACTTTGCAAAACAATAATATTATTAAGTAGTTTCTAAAAATCAACCAAATAGTATCCAAGAAATGCCTGCCAAACCGCTACAGCGGACTCCTATATAAAAAATCCCTTTCATTGACTTATCATCCTTAAAATATTTATCAGCAGAATTTATAATCAAAGGCTTTGTGTCACGCGAATTCAAATATAGTGTGCACCACTTTATAGATCTTCAAGGATAATGACTATTAAAAAAAAATTAATTTTAAATTCTAAGAAAACCTCGAAATTTAAGAATTTCATCTTAAATTTCCTATTTGGCATTTCAGAATATTTTAAAATATCAAAAAATGCTGGCTTTAAGGGTATTTTTTCCTCAGAAATCAATAAGGAGTCCAACACTATACCACTGACTCGCATTTGCAACTGTAGGACTATCAAATGATACATCCATTTCTGCCAATTTCCCAGAAAAAAGCGTCAAACTAATAGTCAAGCTTATAAAATTGTCAAGGGATTCAAAAGTGTAATAGCTTGCGCGTCTATTAGCATCTATAAATCCTTGTGTTGGCTGGCTGTCTAATAAAACTTGTGAAAAAATCTGCATATAAGAGACTTGGTACTCACAAAGATCTCCATAGCATAACAGCCCAGCTAGAAATGCGCATTTTTCACCTTTGCAACGGGAATTTATCATTTCTGGAGTTGCATAAATTCTGTCTTCTATAAGTGCTGACAAGGAAGACCAGTCATGGTGTGTTTGATTAACTTTTTCCCATTCTGAAGGTAGCTCACCTTCTTTTCCCATATCTATTAATCTTAAATATAAGTCTGCATCCCCTTGGAGTGAGAGTAAGCTAACATATAAAGGTTTGGTTTTTTCAATAGTGGAATAGTAATAAGCAATTTGTTTTGATGACATCTGACTATTTTGAGCCACTCCATTGCTAAGCAGTATTGGGCTATATTTAGAGGTTGATACCAAAATTGAATATTTTGAGCTCTGATGGCCGTAAACTGCAATATAGATAAGACAGTCTGTTTTGCATTTGGTTTTTAAATTTTCCCATCCTAAAACAATGGGAATAATTAATACGGTGGCGACGAAATATGTCCTTACGGAGGTCGCTCCACTTTGGGCACCAAATGGTTTTATAGCCTAAACCAAGGTCCAGGCCCTTTAGCTCTAACCTTTAGCGAGCCTAGCGCCGCCGTATGGGGTGGATAATCTTGGGAGCCAGCTGGTGACCATTTCAGTCGAGTATCAATTACCCGGATGGTTTTTGGCGACGGGCCCTTTTCCCTACCGGTTTCTGAGGGCCGTAGACCTTTTTTCTTGACTTTCACCTGACCTCAGGGTGGCTAACAGGAGGCATCGGGCTAATCTTTACCTCCATAGCAGCCGCAAGACGTCTCCAAACACAATAGGAGTCTTTTCTAGCCCGTTGGCACTCAGGGATATCGGCGCAGGCCCTAGATCTTACTAGTAGACCATTAGAGACAGGGTTCAGGCAACTGAATTACCTCCGGCGAGCAGGTTCTAGTGGTCGCTTGCGTGGGGAGGGATCAAATCTGGAAGACTTTAAGCCATTTAATATTAATCTTAACACAATAGAATCAGAGCCAAAAGAGATGCTTCTTTCGTCATAGCGGTCTTTTGATAAATCTGGGTTCCCTATGCTTATATAGAGATCTGGGTCACCTGTAAAAGAAGTTAAAGCAATCGTGACATCAATTTTCTCTTGGCTTGGATTAAAGGTTCATTTGTAGTAATTGTATTTATCTTCGAAGACTTCATCATATCGGATAGTCTCTTCTACTAATTCAAGGTAAATATGATCTGTTTGATCATGTCAATTAGATCTGATCAGATCAGGGAAAATATGACTCTCAAATTCATAATAAACAAAATCTTGGATTTTTTTGATAATGAATTAATTTTAGTATTAATTTTTGTATGGTTTGCAAGCTATAATCCAGCAAAAATTAATATAAATTTTCTTACTGATTGGGGGAGTGAGATTCTTCTTGTTCATTTGCAGAATTGCACAAGACTCCATATGCAGCAAGAAGAATGGAAATAAACATTATTTTAGTTGGATAATATAATAATATGCATTAAAATTTATATTAATAAAATTTAACTCTCCCATCCTTGATTGAACTTACAATTGGAATTTCATAAAAAAATGGTAGAATTAATTCCATCCTTTATCGGACAATTTTCATTTCGGCAAAAATAAAACCCTCCCATATCCTAACTTAATTCAAGCTTCTTTATTTGATAATAATGAATATTAAAGATATTGCGGTAAAAATAAATTCTAGCCATTTTAATGTAATTTTTAGCATATTCGCTAATACATTGCATACAACATCTCTTGTGGCTAGCTCATAAAATATGATTTATAGAAAAAAAATGTAACATAAAATTTTTATAAAAATTATATATGATTTTTTTTAGAAACTGTTTTAAACCCGTGTGATCTATTCGATCAAGGATTGGGGAGTAAGTATTAAAAGATATTTATGGCTAAGAGAGTCAGTAACAATGGAAAATCCAAATCTTTCTAAAAGCTACTTGATCAAATTTATGAAATATAATAATTATTATTAAATTTAAAGTCAAAAATGAATTAAAGCATGATAAAATGATGACTTATAGAGCAATAAATCTTCCTTCAATTGAACTAGCTTGCTCCAACAAAATATTTGTCTCCCCATCTGATTATCAAAGATTATTATCTCAGGTCGAAAAAGAGCCGATTTATGTGGAAATTTCTGGTTTTGTATTTATAGCCCAATCTCATCCTGCAGTGACAGAAGGTATCGCAATGGGCAAGCTTATCAGAAAAATATGTCACATAAGTCTAATTGACTCTTTTGAGCTCAAAATATTCAATTCTCCATTATTTTATCTTGGATTAATGAATATTGATGTTGAGCTACCCCAGATTGGCCCTACGATTGAGATTTCTAAAAGACTGCTTGAAAATGCATTCATAATTAAAATATGGCGTCTTCTTCTGGGCATGGCCTCCCGGCCATGCAGCCTCGACTCATATTTTAATTATATCCGGCAAGGTTTTGCGATTTCAGAGATGGACAGCAATGCTAGGTAAGCAATTCTGGTTGTGTGCAGAGCCTAGCATTAGTCTATTCTCAGAGGTGGTTTTTTCCTCATGGGGAAGGAGGACACGGAAGTTGGAAAGGGGAAGCCCAGCAAAGTCCTTAGGACCAATCGGGCAACTCCCTAGCGTGAAACTGGGCGTTACGTCCCAGGCTACGTTTGCCGATAGCCGACCAGAAAATCCATTTTTTGGATTTTCGGAAAAGCAACCCATGTTAGCAAGCAAGTAGCTCACTCATGAGCCGTTGAAGCCGGTGACGTTTGCCCTAGCTGCACCCTGGTGCAATAAAGCAGGTTGGCCCAGCAACCTGTGGGCCCGATATGGTGAAAAGCAAGCGGTAGACTTGGGGATGGTCGACCCCGTAAGGAATGCTAAGCGTTATAAAATTCTATGTAAATTCTATATAATGTAATGCTTGAAAATGCATTCAGAGAAAACATGAATGATTTAGTTTTTAACCAAAATCAAATCTTATTTCTTCGTTTTCGAAATTGTCCTCTTTTATTAACAATTTGAAAGGTCGAAGGTATGAATTTAATAAACCAAGAACCACAAATAGAAAATTTTCAATGCCAAAGAGGAATTTTACATCCTCAAACCCTGATTTTATTTAACACAAGATCTTCAAACTTATGCTTATATTAAACCTTGTATGGATATTATTGGTGAAAAATTATATATAAGGATTATCCCTGCAGTAAATATGATAAGAGTAAAATTAAAATAAATAATTCTCTATAATCTCAAAAAAAGTATTTATTGATAAATCAATATCAAAATTGCACTAATTTCTGTTAAAAATAATTATTTAAGCTTTAAATTAATACAAAATAATTAGCGTAAAGAGTAATAGAATATACAAAGATTTTTATATTTAAAAGTCTTATTCTTAACTAACAGTTGTATTGGCTGCTTACTTACTTGCTTACTTACTTACTTACTTAATTACGGTGGTTAGTTGAGGTCCACTTTGCTAGCTCGGTTACCAGGGATCCCACCAGGGGATTCATCCGCTTTCAGGGAAGTCTACTTCCGATTGCCGGAAAGGCGGGTTGCCTGGCCGTCATCTCCTCCTTGCCACTTCGCAGTGGCTCCAATCTTAAGTGGGCGGACTATGGGTTCCCGGGATCTTACTTCAGACTGCAGCGACGAGGTTGCCTGCATAGAAAATCTAAAAATGGATTTTCTGGCCGGCTGTCGGCAAAAGGAAAAACTTGTAGTCCAGGCTGTAACCCCTGGTTTCACGAAAGTTCAGTGCCCGAATGGTCCAAAGGACTTTGCTGGGCAACACCTTTTCCAACTAAAAGCCTCCTTTTGTCCTCGAGTTAAAACCAAAACCAGAAAAAGGACAAGGGCTAGGCTCCTTACACCACAGGAGTTGCTTACTTAGCATAGCTGCCCATTTCCAGCTTTGTAAAACCTTGCCGGATATAATTAAAATATGCGCTCGGAAGCTGCGTGGCTGGAGGCCATGCCAGGTGGACACGCCATATTTTAATATGTTGTTTTGGCTGCACTGCAACAAAGGAACTGTAAGGGTTCGTCCACTTTGCGATGCCCATGCCTAGGCTTGTAGAAATCAGATGATTCGATGACAGAAGACTTGGGCAACATTCCTGTTCCTTCGACTACTAAAGCTGCCAGAGCAGGTGAGTGAGTATGAGTGAGGCACTCCTCCTTGGCTTGCAGACTCTGGTAAGTGGGCAAACTATTGACTTCTGCAGACTTGCCTCAGGCAGATTGGAGAATTAACCTTTTCCCGAAAAGCCCTGAGTCTAACTGGCGCTGGCGCCTTCCCTAAGCAGCGGCAGGAAAAAGACTTACTCCCTGCTACAATCGCAACACCTGGTATCACTGTGAGCATTGCTAGCTACATCTTTACACAGAAACTAAGTTAAAGCCTACTCAGACATACATAAGCACATATCAGACCTGAATCTCCACTTATTTCTCGCCCAATTCGCCTTGTCAATGAAGAAAAATTTGCGTCTATAATATATTAAATTTAAAAGTCGAATATTATACTATAATTTTCCATATAGAATTAGCTGTTTCCAATGAATTTATATAAATAAATTGATTAAAATTAAGTTAAAAATACACGTAGGAATAATAAAATGACCACTTATAAAGCAGTAAACCTCCCTGCAAATGACCTAGCTTACACTAACAAAGTGTTTGTCTCCCCATCAGAATATCAAAGACTCCTAGCCCAATCCAGAAGAGAGCCAGTTTATGTCGAAATTTCAGGTTTTGTGCTAACAGTGCAACCTCATCCGAAGCTGACAGAAGGTATTGCAATGAGCAAGTTCATCAGAGAAATGGGCAGAATCTCCTTAGTAGATAATCTTACACTCAAAATATTCCAATCTCCAGCAGACTTTTATCTTGGGTTTGCAAATATTGATGTTGAGCTTATCGGGAGAAAAAAAGGTGGCTCAGCTGTTGAAATTCCTGAAGAAGTTCTTGAAAGCAAATTCAGAGAATGCATGAATGACATGGTTTTAAACCACAACCAAACCTTACTATTTGATTATCAAGGAATGCCTTTACAAATGACAATTAAAAGGCTCACAAGTATGGATTTAATCAATCCAACGCCTCAAGAAGAATCTACTCCATGCCAAAGAGGGATTTTACACCCTCAAACTTCTCTGCAGTTTGAGTCAATATCCCCAGTAAATTTATACTTATAAAGATAGCTGCATTATTATTAATAATATAATAATACCTATTATCAGTCTGACTATTTATATAAATAAATATAGAAATTATCAGCCAAAAAATCAGGACAATCAATATTTTTGATAGCAAAAGATTCAATTTTGAAGAGCTTGGCATCGGCGGGCTTGACAAAGAATTCCAGTACATCGTCCGTAGAGCTTTTGCTTCTAGACTGCTCCCACCTCAAATTATCCAAAGACTTGGCTTAAAATACGTAAAAGGGATGCTTCTTTACGGTCCTCCTGGCACTGGAAAAACTCTTATTGCCCGACAAATCGCAAAATGCTTAAAAGCAAGAGAGCCAAAAATCATTTCTGGCCCAGAAATTTTTAACAAATATGTAGGCCAATCTGAAGAAAACATCAGAGACCTATTTAAAGAAGCAGAACAAGAGCAAGCGGCCAAAGGTGACAAAAGCCAGCTGCATATCATAATTTTTGATGAAATTGATGCTATTTGTAGACCAAGAGGAACCATTTCTGGGTCCACAGGAGTCCATGATACAGTTGTGAACCAGCTTTTATCAAAAATTGATGGTATAAATTCATTGAACAATATTTTGATTATTGGGATGACTAACAGAAAAGATATGATTGATGAAGCTGTTTTAAGGCCGGGAAGATTAGAAATTCATGTAGAAGTAGGATTACCAGACGAAGAAGGCAGACAGCAAATTTTAAGGATCCATACTAAGAAAATCCAAGAATATGGAGCACTTGCTGAAGATGTCGACCTTTTAGAAATCGCAAAAATCACCAAAAATTACAGTGGAGCTGAAATAGAAGGCCTCGTAAAAAATGCAGCAAGTTTTGCATTTGGAAGAGAAATAGATTTAGAAGACTTAGGAAAAGAAATTAATGTAGACAATATCAAGATTAGAATGGCAGACTTTATTAAAGGAGTGGAAGAGTACAAGCCGCAATTTGGGATTGACGAAGCCGACTTAAACAGATATATCAGAGGAGGCATAATTAATTATGGAGAAACCTGTGAAAAACTAGTAGAAACCTGCAAAACACTTATAGAGCAAGTAAAAACTAGCCCAAGAACCCCATTGATGTCAATCTTGCTAGAAGGCCCTCCAGGGACTGGAAAAACAGCATTAGCCGCAATGCTAGCTCTTCACAGTGGTTTCCCATACGTAAAACTTGTATCTCCAGAAAACTACGTCGGTTTTACAGAGTCAGGTAAGGTCACTGCAATTGCAAAAGTTTTTGAGGACGCTTATCGTTCCCCTCTCAGCTTAGTTGTCCTTGATAACATTGAAAGACTTATAGAATACGTGACTATTGGTCCTAGATTTTCCAACCCAATTCTGCAAGCCATTTTAGTCCTAACCAAAAAAGTGCCTCCACATCCTGATAGAAGAATTATGATTATTGGGACCACAAGTAATGCTACTTTTCTAGAAGATTTAGACTTAGTGAAATCATTTAATGTGGTGCTAGAAGTGGTTCCTTATAAGGTAAATTAAAATTCCTATAAAAATGACTGTAATTTATATAGGATAAATTGTAAATACCTGCTAGAAGTCAAGAAATTAGCCAGCAGAGCAGAAGTAGCAGCTGTGTTGAGGAAATACCCAGTATCAGAAGAAGAGCTTGCTGATATTTTGACTGATATGACAGCAATTTCAATAAAACAGCTGATGTTAGCTCTTGAGATGAGCTTACAAGGTGAAGAAACTCTTACGAAAGAAAGATTCTTGAGCTGCTTGAACTCCATTTTATTATAAATAAAAAATTGGTAAAATTAAGTGTACAGGGCGTTGATTGAGGGTTTGTAGAAGAAAGAGACGTCAGGGTCTCTGAAGTCACTGTCTTTGGGGGAATATTTATTCAGCTTTAGAGTTGAGTAGTCGTCAAATGTCATTTTAAGCAGTCGCTGTTGGGACTGCTTTTTAAACGTTCTTGTTTGTAGTGCCATATACTTTTCTATATATAATCTTCATTTTATTTTTTATAAAAAGTATTTTTATAATAGTGCCTTCATTAAGCATAGCTTCTTCTTGCAATTCTTTTTGCTCTTTTTCTAAATCGTTAATTTTCTGCTGAAGTTTTCCTGTGTTAATTTTCCATATAGCCATAATTAATTTCAGTTTTTTAGCCAGTGATTTATAAGTTTTGTATACATTAAAATGGGGGCCGTGAGCCAACCTGCTCCTCTTAGCATTTGTAGCCGGTAGGCTCATTGAGAATGCTGGGGAGCTTGCGGAACGGAGGACAGCGCTTGAAAATGTGTATCAGGCCGGGTTCAACCGACCGCGAGCTCACATCCAGGACAAGGTTTTACCTCGTGGGGAAAATGTTTCGCTGATGCTGGAAAGGGGAACTCCAGCAAGACTAGAGGTTGTCACTTGGCAAGTCAGACACAATCCTCAGCGCGATACAGGCATTGCGCCATAGTTCCATTTTTGTCGACAGCGATCAGAAAATTCGATTTTTCGAATTTTTCAGAAAGGTCGAACCCCGTTGACGTTGACGGCCCAAAGTCTCTGACTCTAGGGTAGCGAGTGCAAGTCTCGTCCGTGAGAAGCAATACGGTGGAAGGCTGATATGGGCTCCGAAGCAAGCAGTGGAGCGTTATACAGAGTTGATTAGTGGCCTGCTGACCTGTAGGGGACTTCTCTATAAGTAATTTAAGTTAAGATTTATTATAAGTTTCAACAAAACTCCCTTTACTTTCAGTTTCTTCGTTTATGTTTTTCCTCAAACCACAGATAAGAGACCAAAATTTATTTTAGGCTCATTTTTCTGATGAAGCAATATTTCCTGAATAAAGCTGGGAATCTAGAAGAGGTATTGAGCGGTTCACTCATACTCTGAGCCCTCCTAACAGTTTAAAAATTTTTTTGTCGCTGAGCAGACCCAAACACAATTGGCAGATTCTTCCTGAGAGACTACCGATCTCACCATTTTTGTTGAACTCAACAGAAAAAAGGTGTTGTGTGGCTGGATTCGGGCTACCTGAGCCTGAAGCCTGCCTTGACAAAGATGAGCTGAAATAATTCCCCTTTACAATTTAATTTAATCTAATCTAATCGTTTATGTTATTTCCGTTCGTTTTTAAGCTTTTTATTTCTTCTTCAAGCTTCAGAATCCTTATTTGGTACTCTTTCATTTTATTTTGGTTGCTTATTTCTTGTTCTTCAGCTTTGTTAATATTTTTCCTATATCGAACAATTTCTCGTATCATGCTTCCGTCAGTGCTTAAAGAAATTTTATCGTTGCTGGCTGATATAGATTGGGATTTATTTAGCCTTTTGTTTTCTTTTTCTAGATTTAAAACGGTTTGCAGCTGCTCTTTTATGTGTAATTGTAACATTTCCAAGTATTCGTCTGCTTGTGGAGATAATGAATGTCTTTTTTCAAGAAAGGATTTATCATTTTTTAATACTTTTAGCCACGATTGCGCTGATTTTAGGTAGTTTTCACTATTAAATTGTCCATTTGCTTGCAGAGGTATTAAGTTTCTTCCAGTGCTTCTGCTTCTTCCAATGTCATTGTACTTATTTTTCATTTTTTTGAGCTCTTGGATTGGTTTTTCATATTATGTATTGTTTCATTTGGCTCCTTTACGCGACGCCTGCGCCATAAATATTGGTCCTAAAAGACAAAAAGAAGAAACTTAAACATTGTGAAGGAAATAAAAAGAGATAGCTTTCTCTTTAAAAAGCCAGTAATAAATTTAAAAATCGGTGTTTTTATTAAAATTAATAAATTTTCTATCATCTATACTTATGACTTTTCAAATTAATTTTAAAATATTAAATTCTTTTTATAAGCGGCAGTTATTTCTGCCATTTAGATGGGCTCTGCTTCTGTAAATATTTGTATGCTATTTGCAATCTATAATTAATTATAAAATTTATTCATCCCAAGCTCAGTATTTCAGAATCTATGCATTCGTTAGGCTTTACGCTTTCCTTCAATTTCCTATTTTAATTGATTAAATTGACCTCTAATGGCATTTAATAATGAACGAACTGTTACTTCTCCCCCTTAAGAGTGGAAAAAAAATCTTTTGCTTGCAAACTAAGAGGACGAATGTTTTTTTCAAATAATTTATTGATTACTTTTGATTTCGACTGCTTTCCCTTATTAATGAGTCCCTAACACTTCAAAAGGGCATTTCATATTAATAACAGTATGCAAAGCTGCAAAGAATATTTAGTGGATGAATTTTTAAAAAACAAGCACCCTTCTCAAATTAATATAGCTTTTTTCACAAACATCCCAAAGCTTGCAAGCGATTTAGAATTTTCTCATCTTCCTATCAATTTAAGTGAAGAAACCTTGCATACACTCAATGGATTGGTTTCTCATCAGTCCACGAAAGACAAAATGATCAATTCAAGAATTATGGAATCATGCGGAAACTTACTCCCTCTTAAATATAAACTGTTAAAAATAAAAATATTAAGTGATTGCAATATTTTGAGTTTTAATTTATTTTTATGAAAAATTAATTCAAAAAAAAAATATACTCAGTGTTTCAGCTGTCTAAATAACTCTAAATTTCCAATCCCTCCATTAAATTAAGTCAAAACTCGTATCTTCACACGACGACTATTTCATAACGACTATTTTTTTTTTTGGCCTATTTTTTTGGCCTATTTTTTTTTGGCCTATTTTTTTTTGGCCTATTTTTTTGGCCGATTTTTGACAATTTTTTAAACTATTTTTACTAATATTTGGGCATAATTCCATACTAATTGTTTTAATATAATTTTTAATGTATTTTAAACGATTTAACCAACAAAAAATGCACCCTTAACAGATTTCTTACTCCATGAATACTAATTCATTGCTTTTTAAAATTTCGAAAATTTTAGATTTAATTAGTAGTTTTTTACTTAATTTACTAAATATTAATCGCGTAAGTAAAAGTCTCTGCTTCTCAATTAGGTTTTAGCCCTCTCAGCAGCTTCATGAATGAGGCTAGGCAAAAAAATAGGCCAAAAAAAATAGGCCAAAAAAAATAGGCCAAAAAAAATAGGCCAAAAAAAAATAGGCCAAAAAAAAAAATAGGCCAAAAAAAAATAGGCCAAAAAAAAATAGTCGTTATGAAATAGTCGTCGTGTGAAGGAACCGTCAAAACTATTTATATTTTTTTCAATGATAAAATTTTCTATTAAAAAATTAAATTTTATTTTAATTAAAAGGGAGGGGTTACTAAATTCAGAAAACTGAACCGTGAGAATGGAAGCTGCTTATTTAATCGGTGGGCTTATTTTTATGATGCAAGGCAGGAACATTATGATATTAAACGACGTATTCCCACCTTTGCAAAGGCACTTAACAGATGAGAATACAAATGTAAGAGAAGCTGTCGCATGAACATTATGCAGGCTTTCAAATTCAAGAGACGGTGTAGCTAAGCTTGCTGAAAGCTGCACAATCATAACAATGGTAAGCGCATTTATCAATTTTTCTAAAGCTCCAAAGACCAAAAATAAGATGTGCTTGCTATACTTATTAGAAGCCTTTATTAACATCAGCGAATATGATATAGGGATTGAGCCAATGCTTGGAACAGGTCTTATGAAAAGTTTAATCAATTTTTTAAAACTAGCTAAAAAATACAAGGAACAAGAAATCGTTATGATAGAAAGAACCCTCCATGTGATTTCACATATAACGATACATCCGATAGGGAAGATTGAAGGGACTGATGAAAATGCTATTAGTGCTGCGTCAAAATATATAAATAGCAACAGGTCATATGAACAAAAAAGACTAGGGACTGCAGTTATTATGACTGTCACAATTGAGCTAGAAGGGAAAAACCAAGCTGTTGGATTAAAGAAAAATGACAAATTTAAAGTGTTAGAGAGGCTGTTTGAGTTGTTAAAAGGGGAGCATGAAGATATAAGAATCAATGCAAAGCAATGCTTTCATAATATTGCTGACTTGCCTGAAGGCTTTGATAAATCGGTCACCCTCCTTTCGTCAAATTTGCCAATTTTAGATGAAGTTTTTGGTATCAGAGCTATAAAACCTCTCATCAGGCTTCTCCCTAAGCTAAACACCTATGAGAATCCTCCTCATATTAGCCCTCAAAAGTTGCCTTTTTACCAGCAATATGTAAAAGCAATAAATTTCCTACTTCCCCTTTCATTGGAAAAATTATATTGAAAAAATTTAGCACCCATTTATTGGGGGTGGCCATTTTGGTGAATCAAGAAATCAACAAAAAATCCCATGAATCCAGTGATTTCTAAATAAAATCCACAAATTCTCTAATATCTCCAAAAAATAATTCTAGATTTCTTTGATTTATATTGATAGCTTTGGACTTTGGTGGATGTCTTGATCAGATTTTTGAGAATATTAATTTTTCCTCTTAAATTGGAACTGTTTTTTTTAGATCAGAGAGTTAATAGAAAAATACGAAGATGCTGAAAGCGAAGCTATTGACACTCCTAATATTTCTCAGAAACTAGGACCTTTCTTATCTGAGGAAAGCGGGGTCAGCAAAGAGACTTCACAGATTTTGAGGAAAATCTGCATAAAAGATGCTCATAATAAAGAAGTCCTTAAGAAATTTATTAATGACTATGGAGATGAAGGGATTAAGCGGAATATGGTGAAGTATCCGAACTTAATGAATATAATTTCATAACGAATTTCTCTAATTTATGATAAATTTTGAGAAGATTGCGATTATTTAGGTGTTTTTTGGCTTGTTGGTAGCAACTTTACATGCTTCTTGAATTCCCATTTGTAATCTTTAAGAAATGGTATGGCCTATATAGGGTGTTGACTTAGTAGCAGGTGGTAAGAAGCCAAATCTTAACAGACGCAAGGTCACAACTACAAATCTGTATCTCCGTCTCCTCCTTAAGCTTTATAAGTTCTTAGCTCGCAGAACAGACTCAGGCTTCAATAAAGTCATTGCTAACTGACCCCAATTAATATTGAATTAAAACTTAGAGATGATTTTTAAATTTTAGTTCGTGGTAGTTAAAAAATTCTATACAAAAGTAAGAAAGCTATTAATTACAACAGTAATATTTTCAATAATTTTGGCTTAAATTAGTTTTATTTCATAAAAAAAAAAATTTAGAATAAAGATAACTTTATGAATTTTCCCAAATAAATAATGCCAAAAATATGTTCATTATCGATTTTTGAGTAAGAGATTGGCTATGTCTAGGCACAACAGGCCTCCACTTTCTCTTAAACTTACTTATTTAATTAGTATTTAAAGTCTTCAACCGCTGTAGAACAAAATGTCCTTTTGACTTTACGGGTTCTGACAACAAAACAGCATATGTGCTGCTCGAATCTATACCTAACTCGCCCTATTAATCAGCGAACAATAAAATTTTGTTCGCTTATGGTTTTTTTAAAAAATATTATATATATAAATTTTATAGTAATATTTTTTATGTCAAATTTTAAAAAATCCCAATTCGCAAAATTGGAAAGCAAATTTAATTTAATTGTAAAATTTATTTTTAAAATGCAAGGTATTTAAAATTAAACAGAACTAGCTCGAGACTTAAATATATTATTTATTATTTATATATAAAAATTTTTCTATTAAAAAAAAATTTGTTCGCTCACGGAGGGTGGGTTTTGGCAAAATATAGGGATTTTTCAAATGTTTTTATTAACTCACAGAGGGGGAAGTAAGCAAATGATACTGCAAGCCAAGCCAGCTGCCAAGATGGGCCCTGGCCTCACCCTTGTCATACTTAGCTCCAGTGTGTTATTTATCTAATTGCGCCATCCTTAGACGTGTTGAGGCAAAATCTTGAGTCTTAATGCCTTTAGAGCAGTCTCCTAGTGTTATGAGACAAGAGGCTAAACTATTGCTGTGGAGAAGTTCTCTATATAAAAGAAATAAAATTGCTTGATATAGAGAAAATTAGCAGAGCTAATATATCTCGAACAGAATGCCAAAGCTCTTCTCTTAAACATATTGCAAAATACATGAAAGAGAAAACCAGCAAAACTTGTGTGATTGTAGGATCCGTTCTCGACGACCCTAGACTGATTCAAGTCCCTGAAGGTCTTCAAATTGTGACATTGAGAATCAGCGAGGCTGCAAGAGCAAGAGTTGAAGCTGCTGGAGGAAAAGTCCTCACTTTTGACCAATTTGCAATTCAAAATCCAACAGGAAAGGACACTGTGCTTTTAAGAGGCAAAAAGACTGCAAGAGAAGCTTATAAACACTTCGGAGCTGCACCTGGAACAAAGAGATCCAAAGCCAGACCATATGTTCGTACTCCTGCCATCTAACTTGCAAATTAATGTTTTTTTTAAAAAAATACAGCATAGAGATAAATAAAATTAAAAAAACAAATAATTTTTATATTTATTGTATAGAGCAGGTTAGCGAAGGAAGAAAGTTCGAAAGGGCAAGAGGTAGAAGATAAATCTATTAATTATTTCCTAGAACTGGATCTTTCATCACTGTATATTTCTTATCTGTGCTTGGCTTGGGTACCGAAATTTCTTGCTTTATTTCTTCTTTTTCTTCTTCTTTATTTTCTTCTTTAATCTCTTCAGTTTTTTTCCTTACTCTTCTCATTCTTGATCGAACAACACCTCTAAGTTCGATCAAGGATGGGGGTTTAAAAAATTTTTGGAAAAATAATTATATATATATAATTTTTTATTGTTTTGGTGTACTTTTTTAAAGATAGTAAGTATTAAACTCTTTTTTTGTGAAAAATTGTGTTAATTTAATTATTATAAAACCCCTTAACACCCTATAAATACTTCTGTCCCTTATTAATAGTTTTAATTTATGATAATTTTAAATTTTTTTAGATTATTAAGCTTTCGGAAGTTAATTCCATGCAGATTATTAAGAAAAAATGAAAATTACTTTTAATTTGCAAATGCAAACTATTAATTTTCGTAAATTATAATAATATATGTATATAAATTGCAATATAAGAAAATTGTTCGATAAAGGATTAGGGTTAATTTTCTCAATTTTTAGGAATTTTTTCAATGGAATTGTTCGATCAAGGATGGGGAGTTAAGCTTTTTCTTTCCTTTTCCTTTCTTTTTAGCTGACTGGCTATTTTTGTTCGACTGCAAATAAAACGGGTCTTCTTTCTGCTTTAATTTAAGTTCACTTCTCCTTTTTTTCCTCTCTTCTTCGCTTAAAATATCAGGAGGAATAAAATCTTCGTCCCTGAAATAATGATAAGTGACTGACCCATCTTCATTTCTCGTCTGGATTTCGTTTTCATCTATTTCTATAGGCACCAAAAGTGACTCAGGGGCAAACACCATCGCTTGAGCATATGAAGGGACTGGGCTTAAACAGGTAATTAAGCTGCCGAGCTTAGTTTTTTCTTCATCTGTAAGGTTTGCTAATATATTTATATAGAGTAACGACCGTTCTTGACTCTCCATAAAGTCCACTTGTTTGCTTCTTTCTTCAAGTTTTGCTTGGATTTCTTCTTTGAGATTGGGGTTAATTTCTTTTATTTTGACTAATAGTTTAAATGTTGCAGCAGTAAGGGCGTTGTGTACAGATTCAGGGAAATTTAAGATTTTCCAACGGTCTCTTAAGACTAATTCTAAAGCATTTTCTTGGTTTTCTCGAGATAAAGTGTCTCCAAACTCGCCGATAATGAAAAGCAAGGCATTTAAGGCTTCACATTTTTCGGATTTTAAAGATTCAAAATCTTGTAGAGTATCTATAGCAAGTTCTGCAGCTTCTGATCTAAGCTGCTCAACCCTTATCACGACATCAAGCATAATACTGCTTAGCTGTCCTTCATATTTAGAAGTTTTGAGCTTCAAAAATGCGCCTAAAATCATGAACATTCATTTGAAATCTTCAACCAAGTCATATGCTTTTATATAAATAAAGCAATTATTTTATAATAAAATTGGTTTTATGCTTATATATTTTAAAATGTATAATTTTCTTTACTTAAGAGATACAACCCAGTACTAAATAATTCTTCTTTTATATCAGAATTTTCGGATTTTTGAATTTCTTTTACGATTTCTCCGATAATGTCACAAAGGTTTTGCTTTGAGGTCTAATTATAAAATACAGTCAATCTTAGCAGAGAAAGAGCTCGAAGCCTTATAGTTAAATCTTTGCTTTGAAGAGCTTCAACTATAAAATGGTTATATTCATATGCTATATTAGGATGCTTTTTAATCATTTCTTGCAGCCCAGAAAGACCAAGATATTTTACTATATAAATTTTACAATTTGGGTCGTTGCTATCTATTTAATTTTATATAAATATAGCCTAGGTATTATATAGATAAATTAATAGTAATTTATTAAAAAAATAGTATAGAAATCCTTGAAGTTTTGACATCGCTAAGATCACAAGTTCTTCATTCTCATAAAAAGATGATATAATTGTCCTGATTATTTCATATTCCACAGACTTCGCTGGGGTGCTCTGCAGTAGCGTCTTTAATGGATCTATTAACCTTTTTATCAGTCTTGGCTCTACTTTAGTCAGCTCAACCATTGTTTTCAACAGCTTAATTATCATCCAGTTATTTTTTGTCGTCGTCAGCAAATCAAACAGCGCTTTTGCTGTAAAAAGTGCGCATTTAGGATTGATTCTTGATATTTCTAATATTGTATTCACAGTTGCTACCTTTACACCTATATTTTCATCCTGCAATTTCTCTGCTACTCTTTCAAACATCTGTGGTACTGCGTCTGGGTTATTAAAAAAAATTTTGAAAAACAATAAGCAGACCTTTTTCCTTAAGTCGGGCTTGGAAGCATTTAATAAAGTAACACAGTCGTTTAATAGTTCTGTAGACATAAAAGAATTGATGATGTTGCACAAGCAATTAACAGCTATGCAAGTATCTAAATGGTTTGCGGCTACGAATTCTCTGCGAAATACATTAGTAGCAAGTGTTAAAATGTCACTGGTAGATTTAAAGCAATTGGAAGCTGCCAAAAATCCCATTCGTTTCTGGGAAAATTTAGTAGAACTCATGACTTCTAAAACGTGAAAAGCAGCTCATTCCATGTCATAGCCTTCTAGTGAAAGGACAAATAGCTTTTTGATGGCATTTGTTTTGACTACAAGGTCGCTGCTTTTAACTTCTTCTTTGATTTCTGAAAACACAGTTGTGAGGAATGCGGTTCTGTCTACTTTTCCTTTTCTCAAGCCTTTGATCACGTCAACTGAGTTCCGAGAAAACATTTTTATTCGTTTTATTCATTTAAGAAATTGGAATATTAAACTTAAAATTTCACTAAGAGGCTAAATGCGCCTTGATGGAGTTCAAAATTCAATTAATATTTTAAATGCATTTGCATTTTTTAAAGCTAGTTAGTGCCACCTTTAGAATGTTATTGATAAATGCTTTTCTTTACTTCCCCCCTCCGTGAGTGAACAAAAAATTTTGTTCACTCACGGAGGGGGTTTAATTTTTTTTTTTTAAAAAAAATTTATATATAAATTTTATAAAAAATATTTTTTTTTCGAAATTTAAAAAAATCCCTAATTCGCAAAAATTGGAAAGCAAATATTAATTTAATTTATAAAATTTATGTTTTAAAAAGCAATTCGTTTAAAAATTAAAAAGAATTAGCTCTAGATTTCATATGCTAATTATCATTTATATATCAAAATTTTTCTCTATAAAAAATTTTTCAATTAAAAAAATTTTTGTTCACTCACGGAGGGTGGGTTTTTGGGCAAAAAATAGGGATTTTTCTAATGGTTTTGTTCACTCACGGAGGGGGGGAGTTAGTATTATCGGATGATCGGTGATATTGATTTTCCTATAATAAATGTTTTATATTCAGCCTTGAAAATAAGTATTTAGCATAAAATAATTAAAAAGCAAAAGATATGGTGTAATAAATATCAAATCAGGCAATTATTTATATGCTTAAATGCATGTTTCTTAATAAAATATGGCTTTAAATAGCAGTCAATAAAAGCCTATTCATCTTTATTTTAATATTTTTTATCAGCCTTTCTATTCTACTTTATTAAAATCATTCCTCATCATTAAAAAGAAATTACGTAATGTCGGAGCAACTAGGCTCTTTAGAGACATATTTTGGAACACCTATATTTGAGCTAAGCCAATTCTTGCAAACTAACAAAAATGTTTTCACACCCAGAAGCACTTTTTGCAACGATTATTCTTTTTCTAACTCGACCGGATTGAGGAAAAAAATTATTTAGTATAAAATATTTAGGCAAATAATTATTTTATATATTTCGCTAAGCTTATTGTATTCTAAACGTTAATTTTATAATTTTTTTATAAAAAAATAAACTCTCCTTGACAAGGAAATAATTTTGCTTGCTAAAAGTAAAGAAACCACAAGACCTTCTACACAAAAACGCAATAGCATGCTGGGAAGAATAGACTTATCTTCTCGAGAATATGATAGCTCACCTCGGGGAAGTATTTACCAAAACTCTATAAAAGATATCGAACCATTTCTCAAAGCAAGCACGAGGGCATATACAACTTCAAGACCTCGCCATAGGCGAAGCTCAAACTCAGAAGACTATGCGCATATAAAAAGTAAAATAAATTCATTGAAAAATCCCTGAAATTTATTTAATAAAGTTAAACTGAAAATTATTAGGCCATAAGTAGATAGGCTACTAGCCTGCCTATCTAGCGTAAACCCACCTAGCCTAAAAATTAGCTCCTAAGATTAGAGCTATCTTTCTTGCAATCGCCCCGTTAGTCCCGAAAAGCAAAGACTAGGCGAGTACATCTGGCAGGGACAGGAAAATCGTCGAGGGAGAAGCAAAACTTTCCTGTTAGGGAGGTACCCCAAACCTAAAGCACTACTTCAAAAAGTTACAGAGGCACTATTTTCAGTTTCGGGTCCTACCTACTCCATAGGGAGTGTGTCTCGGAATCCATCTTCCGTAGACGTCTCAATTTATTTCTTTATATAATAAGAAATATAGAAATTGATCATTAATTTATTAGGCAAGCATCCAAATAGGTCGGCCTTATAGGTACGTTTTGGTTGTAAGCCAGTTTGAATTTATAGTCTGATCCTATTAGCAGTTACTTGGGACTTCTTTTTGCAAGCAGCACCCCAGAGCGGCAGTGGTCGAGATGAGAAGGGAGTATCTGCTTAAACTGTCCAGCTGCATGCTTTCAATAATCGAATTCTGATCGGCATACAGATCACAACGATTGAGCTCAACCCAAGGACATTACTAGATTACGTCTCATTTCTTATCAGACTCCAAGGTCCTCTTCTCCGATTGTTGCTTATGGCATTCATTAGATATCGTAGGTTTTGAATACTTGTCACTGCTGCTCCAGTCACTTTGTCTTGACTTCGGTAGAACACCCTTAGTCAGGTGTTGCTACAGTAGAAAAGCCCTTTTAGGAGCGGAAATGGAGGAAGTCAGTAAAGAGTATCGCCATTATTCTTCAGATATTGGAGATTTCAGCTGGCAGTAATGCCTCATAGCATGTAGCCTAACTAAAAAGGGGACCTCAAACACTCTTAATAGTCTAAAATTACCATTTAATTAAAATAAATAAAATCCCTACGAAATCAGAGCAGTTAGTCCCACCCAAATCCAGCTCAAAGATAAAGTAAGAAACGAGCTGCAAATGGGCAATTATCATCATTTAATAAGGTCTATGCGAAAAGCTTTACGAGAAGATGAGCAAAAAATCAACCAACGAGCACACGTCAACATTTCGGCGTTTGAAAGACTAGCTAAAAATTTTGGGAGCAAAAAAGTTAATGTTTTGCCTCCAAAGGTGAAATATCAAAAAGATGAAGATGGAGTTATTCGGAATCAAGAAGAAGCGAGGTATATGACGATTAATATAGCAATGATAAAATGATTGAAAAAACGTGGATCAAGTAATGAAGGCGGCCTAGCATACTTAAAGTAGCAGAGTTGGAAATTATATACAATTTTATCAATATGCGGGTTTTCAGATAGAGATTCGTATATAATATGTCATCTATAAATAAAAAAGCATAAAATTTACGTGAAATTTTTTATTAAGAATTTTAATTAGCTTTTAGATCTTGGAATATGTGTTTATTTATTCCCCTTTTAGAGTAGAAAAAAAATAATAGAAAAATTTCTATTTTGGGAAAATAACAGGAACAAACAATTTTTTAATATAAAATTTTTGTAAAAAATATATTATAATATTTATTTAATGATTATAATTCAATAAATGTTGCATCTTTTCAATTTTCATAAATTAAATTTGATTTCATAATTTCAAATATTTTCAATATGAATTTTTAAATCTAAGATAATAAATACCCTTGGATCCATTTTTTTTGAGCGCTTACCATTGGGAGAGAGCTAGAAAATAGGACGTTTAAGGCTTCTCATCTTCAGCATTTGGCATAATAAGCCCACAGTGTTTAGCTATGCTTATTCTTGTCTTTTTATCATCTCTTTTTATTCCAATATTATAATCTTCTAGTAATTTTTTATATTCTAAAGTTGCTTTCTGTAATGTGATAAATTCGTCGACAGTCTGATCACTTATTCTTACTGAATTTTTTGAGGAAAATGCTTGCCACATAGGGTTTACGACAGACTTGAAAAGGTGCTTCTCAACGTAGTTCATTAACTTTTGAGAAGCCATTTCTAAGATAAATTTATATAATCAAAAATTTAATTTTTAAATATAAATAAATAATTATTTTATAAATTATAAGTCTTCATAAATTTTACAATGGAATAATTTGATTATTATGTATATTTATAGTTCTTTATAAATTTTCAATAAAAATTAGCATCACAAGCAAGAAAATTCTATCTAAAATGCCATTAAGCGAAGAATTTAATCTAACTCCCCTCCTTCTGTGAGCGAACAAGAAAAAATTTTAATTTTTATTTAAAATTTATATATAAATTTATAGTAAATTTTTTTCACCGAAAATTTTTAACCAATTCGAATAATTTTAAAAGCAATATGTAAAAATTATATATATAAATGCAAACAGTTTAAGATTAAATGGAATTAGTTAGAGATTTCATTATCTTAATTATAACTTATATAAAAATTTTTTTTTTGTCACAAGTTTTTCAAATGGTTTTGTTCGCTTCGTAGGGGAGGGGGGATTAAGCACATCTACTCTTAAATAAATTTGAAAACTAAATCGCCAAAGAAACTAAATAATTTTCTCAAACAGATATTTTTATTATTCTCAGATCATTATACATGCCATGAGATATTACGATTAATTCCTTTCTTGCTCTATACGATTATTAATATTATATTAAAAACCACGATATCTCATAGCCATCAATCTTCATTCTAATCTTCATAAATAATTTTTTTAATTTAAATTAGCCGGTAATAAATTTTCAAAATGGCAAACCAAACTGAAAACCAATGTTTCCAAGCTGACACAAAATTTGATACTCCACTGGCAAAGCCGTTTATCACATTCCCACCTGAAGCTTCAACTGAAATTAATCAAAAATCAATAAAAATCCCACAAAATTCTTACTATCAAAAATGAAGGCTGTCAGATAAAGTTTTTGATGGACGTTTCTCCTCAGGCTGCTCAACACCTATGACCCCTCGTACGCCAGCAACCAATCTTGACCGACTACTCAGAGAAATTCAAATGCCGTCTATAAAATCTGAGCATAAAAATTTCGAAGACCGCCATTTTATGAATAAAGAAAAATCTTGGTTCAATATGCCAGAAGCACCAATTTCTCAGCAAAATTCTGTAGAAGAGCTAGAGGTATGTAGATATAATCACGATTTTATTCAAGAATCCTTATTAGGAAGTGGGAATTTTGGCTCTGTATATAAATGCTTAAATAAACTTGATGGACTGCATTATGCAGTTAAACAAATAAAAACCAATTATCGGCACCAAAATATGCGAAATACTGCTTTACAAGAAGCTTATGCTTTGGCTACAAGTTCTACCTATGGAGATATAGCCTTATTACTCATATTCTTAGGTTATACAATATATTGCCAAAAGGAGTTACATTATATTCTAGATTTTTAATTTCTCTTTGGCCACATAGAAGCGCAAAATTGTGCAGCCTAAGGTACAAATAAAGCCATATAAGCTCTCAAGCTATATAACACTAATATCATACGCTACCACTCAGTTTGGATTGAGCATGATTTTCTCTACATTTCAATGGAGCTTTGTGAGTGTTCTTTATCTCAGTACATTCAGAAAAATCCACCATCAGAAAATACCATAAGGAAAATAATGAGAGATATATGCAAAGGACTCAAGAAAATCCATGCTAATAACATTGTGCATATGGATATTAAGGCTGATAATATTTTTTATAGCTTTTCTGGAAAGTTTAAACTCGGAGATTTAGGCTTGGCAAGAATAACTACAAATCTGACAGGAGAAATCCCAGAAGGAGATGCTAGGTATTTGGCATCAGAAGTCCTTATGCACCATGAAGAAGATAGTGAGCATATCCCAGATTTGACGAAATCTGATATTTTTTCATTAGGGGCGACTATTTATGAAATTATGAGAGGAAAACAGTTGCCGATGAATGGGAAAGAATGGCATGATATACCAGTTTATAATAAATATAAATAATATATAAAAATAGGCTTCTTTTTATTATAATTAGAATATAAGAAATGGGGAATTAAAATTTGTTAATGATTTTTCATGGGAATTAAAGGAGGCTATTAGAAAAATGATGAATAAAAGTCCTGAAATTCGGCCTAGCGCTGAAGAGCTTTTAGCGACGTTTCTTGTGTCAGATAAAGATAGAGAAATTAAAAGACTGGAAAATTATACAAAAGTATTAAAAAGACAAATAGAAGAACTTAAACATTGTGAAGGAAATAAAAAGAGAAAGCTTTCTCTTTGAGAAGTCAGCAATTAAATTATTTATAATTAATTTTTAAATTAGATATTTTTCTATCATTAGTAATATATTTAAAATGTTTATTATTTGTATTAAAATATTAAATTATTCAGCTGCTTTTTGTATAAGTAGCAGTTATTTTTAGCCATTTTGTGAGAGAAGAATTATCAAGTTTATAAAGCTTCCATAATCCTTCCTCATCCAATTATGCACCTCTGCTTCTATTAGTATTTAAAAACTATTTATAATCTATAATTAACATTTTAAAATTTATCAACCCAAAACTTTAGTATTTCTAGAAATTCAATATCTTCGCCTTACTCTGCCTTTCAAATTCCAATTTCAGTCGATTTAAGCTTATCAATAATGGTGGATAATAATGAATAAAGTTGCTTATGAAAGCCCAAGCTTAACTCCCACTACCGACTCTGCCTCCAAATACAACATCCCCTGCATGCCTCACCTAGACGCTATTGAAGAGTCCACAATAAAATCTATAGAGCCTTACAAGCTCCGTATCTGAGGAGAAGTTCTGTTTTGAGTCCTCGCCATATGCACTGGAGGACTTTATTACTTAATTGATCATTGGTTTCTTTTCCTTCATCTCCTTCTCCGTTATAAACGAGTCCCAGGTTCTGAAGCCAAGATGCTAGTCATAAAAACTATGTATTTCACTGATATTACCATACAAGATATCATTAATTAAACTTTTTGATGAAGTCAAGCACCCCTTCTACATTTTCCAGCTTTTCAGCGTTATTTTATGGTATTTTGAAGACTATTATGCCTACGCAATCTGTGTAATTGTGATTACACTTGCTTCGTTATTTTCCTCAGTCTATCAGTCCTGAAAAAGTATGCACGATCTCCACGATCTTGCTTTGAGACACGTAGAAGTCAAAGTAAAGCGCTCTGGACAATGGACCATTATAAACAGCAAAGAGCTTGTCCCTGGTGATTTAATAGAAATCCCAAGAGGCACTGAAATGCCTTGTGATGCTATTTTAATCTCAGGTGGAGCTGTTGTTGAAGAATCGTCTTTGACAGGTGAATCAGTCCCTGTAATAAAAGACTCTTTGCCTTATTTAAATGATAAAATTTACAATGTAGAAGCTGACAGACATTTTAGCTTGTATGAAGGGACGAAGGTGCTGCAGACCAGAAGCCATGGAGGCAAGCCAGTAGTCGGAATTGTGGTGAGGACTGGGTTTTCAACTATGAAAGGGAAAATGGTAAGGTCAATTTTATTCCCAAAGCCAAACCAGTTTAAATTTTCCAGAGATTCATTGAGATTTATTGGATGTTTAGCACTTGTGGCACTGTGTGGGTTTATAGTAAGCATTTATTTGTTGCATCAGATACCCCTTTTAATGAAGCAATTGTGCATTCTTTGGATTTAAGCTGTGCTTTACCCAAAAACCCTCCGTGAGTGAACAAAAATTGTTTTAATTGAAAAATTTTTTATAGAGAAAAATTTTGATATATAAGTGATAATTATTATATGAAATCTCTGGCTAATTCTGTTTAATTTTTAAACAAATTGCGTTTAAAACATAAATTTTATAATTAAATTAATATTTGCTTTCCAATTTTTGCGAATTAGGATTTTTTAAATTTAGGGGAAAAAAATTCTATAAATTTATGTAGAAGTTTTTAAAAAAATAAATTAACCACCCTGAGCCAACAAAAAATTTTTATTCGCTGAAGGAGGGGGAGGGAGTTAGCGACTTGTCATTCATTAACCAATGTAGACGAAAAATTAGTAGGAGATAAATATTTTATCCAAATTTTTGGTTAAAAATGATTTAAAACCTAATATGATAAATATAGGCCAAAAAGCACCAGGAGATACTCAAGACCTAGAAATATATAAATTTTCTGGATTTTCATATAGAGAGCCTAAAGAAGAAGAATCTGGTGTGAAAGCGATTGTTTCATCGAATTCGAATTCTGATAACAAGCAAGAAGAAAATTTAAGCGTCGCCATTCTCCATATCTTTTATTTCACCTCAAAAAGGAAAAGGATGGGTGTTATCGTAAAAAACCCAGAAAATAACCAATTTGAGTTCTACATGAAAGGAGCTCCTGAAATGGTCTTAGAAAGGTGCAGAAAATCTTCAATACCTGAAGACATAGACCATATATTATATAACTATACAAGATCCGGATACAGAGTACTCGCATGTGCTATGAATCCTCTTAATCCTATCCTTGACGACGAAATGAAGTCCCAAAAGCTCGAAAACCTTGAGCAGAACATGAAATTCCTCGGCTTAATTGTCTTACAGAATAAGCTCAAACCTCAGACTATCCCAACCATCCAACTGCTGCATAAAGCTGCCATTGATACTGTAATGGCAACTGGCGATGCAGTCTTAACTGCTATTTCTGTAGCAAAAGAATGCCATATCATAAACCCAGAAATTCCTGTATATTTAGCAGAAATGGTTGATGAAGAAATCAGATGGGAAAGATTTGTTAGTAGTGCTGAAGATGTGTCCAAGCAAAATATTTTAAATGAGCCACCTTGGGTTAATAATGAGCTTGGCGGAGATTATACGTTAGCGGTTACTGGGGTGGTGTTAAATGCCTATGATATATTTGCCAAAAATGGGGATGCTAATATGATAAAAATTTTTTATATATATTTTTATATAAATAATCAAAAAAAAATTAATTAAAATTTTATGCTAATGCCGAGTATTCGATAAAAGTCCTGCTTAATAAATGCAGAATTTTTGCAAGGATGTCTCCAGAGCACAAAACACTGCTGGTAAGCAGGCTCCAAAGCATAGGCCTCTTAGTTGGCATGTGTGGAGATGGAGCTAATGACTGCGGAGCTTTAAAAACTGCTGATATAGGAATATCCTTAACAGAAGCTGAAACTTCTATTGCAGCTCCTTTCACGTCAAGTATCCCTGATATTTCATGTGTTCCAATAGTTTTAAAAAATGGCAGATGTGCCTTGACCACATCTGTGCAGTGCTTTAAATTTATGGCTGTTTATTCTATGATTCAATTTACGAATGTCAAAATTTTATATACCCTTGCATACAATTTATCAAAATAAAGCTATTTATATTAAATTAAAAAACAGCTAATTAATCATATAAAATACACGTCCTTGGGAGTGGATTGACCAATAACGAATTTTTATCTCAAGATTTGTTAACAGTCCTACCTTTAGCTATGGCAATGGGCAGCACAGGGCCTTATCCTAAATTAAGCAAAAAACAGCCAACTTCATCATTAATGTCTGTCGCTGTCATAGGCTCAGTACTAGGACAGTCTATATTACAAGCTATAGGAATGGTCATTGTCTATGAAGTAGCGATAGCTTTGCCATTCTATGAGTCTGTAGACGACGCAGGCGACGACTACTTAAACGACGCCAATACCATTGTGTACCTTATGGCCCTGCTTGAACTTTTATCAGTCTGCGTTGCCTTTAACGAAGGAAAGCCTTGAAAATTTCCGGCTTATAAAAATGTTTACCTTATGGTTTATATTTCCTGTTTATTTTCGCTGCATATTTACTTGGTTCTTTGGCCTCCACAATGGTTAATGGATCTTTATAATGTAAGAGTTATGTAGATTGCATGGTTTCCAATGTACATGAGACTTGCACTGCTAGGAATTTGGGGTGGATACAGCATAGTCGCTTATTTCTAAGAACGGTATGTGATAGTATGGATTTATAGAGGCTGTGAAAAATTGAAGAAAAGAGGGAATAAGCGGAAAGTGGAGAATTTGACATTGGAAAAGACAGCGATCGACACCACCAAGTTCATTACTACCGAAGTTTAGGGTTTTAATTTCGTATCCTTTAGTAAGTAGACTATAGAAATTGATATTAAAATAGGATTCTGATTTTTATATATAAAAAAATATAGGAGACAGCTAAAAAGTTTTAAGTCTCAAGCTATCTTTATATAATTTTTACAAATTATATGAATAATTTGTGTCTATTAATTTCATATAGCCTGAGCACTCATATTGCTCTGATTGCTGCTCTCAAAATTTTGGAGTAGCTCATAAGCCTGCTGAGCTTCCTGGCAATATTAGGCTTGTGCAGCAATAAGAGTGCTCAGGCTATAGTAAATCTAGAATTTTATATGAAATTCATAAATTATGGAGCTAGGTGTTTTTGGTGCGACTATTGATCGGCATTATGAATCTCCTGACCATGTAATATTTTACGTTATTAAAGTATGACATACTTTGTCAAAAATATCATGAACTGTAGATAAACGATACAGCCAATTTGATGCTTTTCATAAAGATTTGCTAAAAAAATTTCCTGGGATTCCGCAGCTTCCAAAGAAAACTTTATGAAAAAAATACAGCAATAGCTTCCTTAATAACAGGCAGCAAGGGATAAATGAATTTTTACAAGGGATTTTATCAAGGCAAGATATCGCTGAGTCTGAAGAAATTTATATTAAATATATATAAATATAATTTTGCCAGCCATTACAAATTTTAATAATTCTCCCCTTTAAAATTGGAAGTCATCTCTTTCAATCTAAATAGCGTTCAACCTGCATTACCTCTATTTAAAATAAAATAATCTATTGATAAAATTTGATTTCGGCGACATTAAATTAGGTATCAATACTATTGAGTATAAATTATTATTTTACCTATAATTTTGCTCTATTTATTTATAGGGCTAAGAGATGAGAAGTAAGAAAATTCATATAATTTTAATATAAAAAAATTTTTGCAATTAGACCAATTTATCCCAAAGCCAAGATTCAATGCCCCTGAACTTATCTCTAAATTAGATACAGAAGGAAAGCCTATTTCACTGACAATTTTTAAAAGCTTGCTATTTGTCTGCTCAAAGTTAAAAGGAAATTTTCAACAAAAATCAGAAGAATCAAGCTTAGAAGAAGATGAAAAAAACGCTATAAATGGGGCAGTTACTCTAATGAATAGCCGCCAAGGCTATATTTATAATGAATCATGAAAAATTCCTTTTGCAACTGAAGTCACTTGTATGAGCTGAAATGAGCACTTAGACATTCTTTCAATAGGGACTGAGGAAGGAATTATTTTTTGTTATAGAGCAAGGACTGATATAGGGTGCACTCAATATGACGATTATTGTACTCTGACAAACCATAATAAAAATATTATTGGGATTGTGGTAAACCATACAAACTCGACACTTTATTCGTGTTCAGAAGATAATAAATTAATTTCAGTCTTATTATACTAATTCTTATAAATGTTTAAGTGCCATAGCTAACAATTTTAATGTTAATATTTAATAGAATGCTTTATAAATGAAGAAATTAATGAAATTGCAGAAGCCGAATTCCCTGGAATCCCAGTGTCAGCGGTATCTGATTTTAGTGCCTCAAAAATTCTAATTGCCACCAAATCTAATGGGATTTTAATATTCGACGTAGCAAGCCTTACACCTATATTTATACAGAATATTAATACAAATATTGAAATAATTTCTATGAATATTTGCTTAAACGGAAACTTCTTTATAGGAACCGGAAACTCTGAGCTGAATATTTATCAAAAAGCAGAGGGAAATAATTTTGAGCTCCAGCAGTCAATTAAGGCAAGGACTTTGCTAAGTGTAATGATTTATGCAAACAGCCGAGACGAAATTTTTGGAGGAAATAGTGAAGGAGTTTTGCATATATGGAATTTTACGACGGGGGTTTTATCATTTACATGGAAAGCTCATGAATCAGCCATTTTGTGTTTAAATTATATAGAAAATGAAGATGTCCTGCTTAGCAGTGCTGAAAACGGAGAAATTAAAGTTTGGAGGTTGCCAAAATTAACGAAGGATCCGAGCTTTTATGACAGAGGAAAATTTAAAGCTGAGGTGATATTTCAAACATAAGTGGAATTATAAAAAAAGATTGAGAAAGATTGAAGGAATATTAATAATAATAATTAATTAGAGCAATTTTAATATGGATAGGAGCTATAGGCAAAGCCTATAAACTGCTTTATAAGGGCAGAATATTGAAGCTGAAAACTCTCCAGTGGCTGGTCCAACTGAGGTGGTCAGACCAACAACTTGAGAGAGATCATTTTGCCAACTCTCCAAATTGGTTTTACCAACTGAGTTGGTCCAGCTATTCGAGAGTTTTCAGCTTCAATATCCCACCCTTATAAAGCAGTTTATAGAACTTACCTATATATTATTTGATAATCACAGAGATACTGATGTCGAAGAAGTTATAAATTTCCTTGATAATAATAATTATGCATTACCGCGTCCAAGACGCCTTAAATTTTTATTTTTCATCACAGTTTTTATGAAATTTTTTGCTGCAACATCTACTTCAATAATTTGATATTTCTTCATTCCCTTCTCCCCTTTAATTTCTTTATATTTTCATGAATCTAATACTATATCTAATAGAATAAATTTTCTTGATAATTGTCAGAAAATGAATAACTATGATAAAGTCTTACTATATTACAGCAAAATATTTATTTAATCATAATATTTTTATCTAATTTTTAACTATGGACCAAGACATAACCTTTTCTGAAGACTCCCATCCAAATTACTTCAACTTGATTTACATCAGAAAAGTGCTTATAGGCCTCTTAGTCCAAGTTTTAATATCAAGCTGCATTGCGTTATCATTCTCCCTTATCCACCCTCTCTATGTCTTTGTGGAAAAACGATTTTGGCTTGCTATAGCTGTCAAAGTTGCCCTGGTGCTAACAGCAGTAGCATTATTTAGGGTAAAAGAAATAGCCAAAAACTTAATTTTACTATCAATATTTGCTGGTCTCTTTACAATTTTTTTTGGATCAATGTTTGGAGTGGTTTTGTCACTTTTAGATCAGAAATTTGTTGTCATGATTTTGTACTTTTTTGTTTCGATTCATGTAGTCTCTGTTTTGTATTCTATTTCTGAAAAGGAAGCTTTTAATGTACGGAATGGGATTATTTATATGTTTTATATATCTTTGGTAAATGTAAGTGTTTTTATAGTTGTGGCATCTTATGAGAAATTATTTTTGTTTTTTGTCCCGATAGCAGTTGGGCTATCTCTATATAATATTTCAGCATTAGTATAATTGATGTATAACTACCATTTTTTGTTAGGAAATAGTGATTTTGCCCAGGTTTAAATATGCTGTTAATCTTATTCAATATATATGGATTTTTCTTAATCTTTCATTTCAACAATGTAATTGAAGGTAAATCAAGAAAAACCAAAAATGACAGATATATTTTAGTCGTTTTAAGCGTCTATATTGAACTTTTTTTACTTACTCCCCCCCCTCCGTGAGTGAACAAAACCATTAGAAAAATCCCTATTTTTTGCCCAAAAAATCACCCTCCATGAGTGAACAAAAATTGTTTTTAATAGAAAAATTTTTATGGAAAAAAATTTGATATATAAATGATAATTAGTATAATGAAATCTAGAGCTAATTCTTTTTAATTTTAAACGAATTGCTTTTTAAAACATAAATTTTGCAAATTAAATTAATATTTGCTTTCCAATTTTGCGAATTAGGATTTTTTTAAATTTCGAAAAAAAAATATTTTTTATAAAATTTATATATAATTTTTTTTTAAAAAAAAAATTAACCCCCCTCCGTGAGTGAACAAAATTTTTTTGTTCACTCACGGAGGGTGGGGGAGTTAAGTTTTATATTTTAGCATGGCTTAAAAATAAACACAAAAAAAGACTTACAAAAGAAAACTTAATCAAAGGCCCTACAAGTGAAATGAAAACTTTTAAGCCTTCACCAGTATAATTAAATTTTCTTTTTCTAACAAAAAATAAAAAATTTCTTTCTGTTCCGAACTGGAGGATTATTGATTTTATGGTTTTATTTATTAATCATATTGTAGCATTTTTTCATGCTGCTAAGAAAGGGAAAACTATAGTAAAGAGATTGAAATTGTGGAGATTATAGGGATTTCTTTAATAAATGTTTCAATGCTTTTTATATTATCCTGCGTTTGTGGACTCAAGCTGATTTGGGAAGGTTTTATTCCTTGAATTTTTTTGGTTTTATGGAGGATTTCTGGTCTACCACACAAGGAAGATATTGCATGGGATTATAAAGAAATAAATAAAGAAAGACTTATAGTAGGCTCGATAAGTGTATAGTGAAATACACTATATAGCACGGGCCTTTTATGCTGGAACTTGAGCCAAAAACGCCCCGTGCTATATAGTATATTTCACAATATATGTTAGCTGCTTCCTAGTATAGTGAAAAGCAGTGGCAAAATCGAAATGTTGCTCAAGCCTTAGTAGTTGTTATTAAGTTTCTATAATTAATAATTTAAATGTAATAAATTAATATAAGGGCAGCTTAGATTGATTTTATTACATTAGTTAAAAATTTAATCATAATTTATCAAAGATGAGGTATGCTATTTTCAAATAATAAAATAATCAAATAAATGCTAATTTAGTTAAAATTCTTATCTATTATTATCTTCACATTATGAAGATCGATATTCATCTTTACTAATTGGCCTTATTTTTAACTGCTCAATATCTATATCAGCAACATCAGGAAACTGCTGCTTGACTTCGATTTTAAGACCTCTATTGAACTCGTCAGTTTTCACAAGGACAAATTCTGTAGCTTTCGTTATCAGCTGCTTTATTTCTTCTTCTGACCTTCCCTTTGAGGCTTGCTCAATGTCGCTTTTCAGCTCTTCAACAACACTTGAGCTGATTTTTTTAGGATCATAGGCTATATCAATAGCTATAGAGTATTCAGTCGAGTTTAAATATATCATATTATTTTATTTATTTTTAAAAAATAAATATCTCTGATAGTTTTTATTGCAAATTACTCCAGAAAAATAAATTGATAAGTCCTAGTAAATTCGAAAAGGCATATTTTGACTTTAATTTCCATACTTTCAGCACCCCATTTCGACTACTAATAAATTCCCTAACTTTTTTCATGTATTCTTCATTCACACTTTTATCAATCAAAATTTTTGAATTATCTTCTATAATTAAATACCCTAAATACATCTGAATTACTCCGTTTATAGCTTGACCCAATGGGTCAAGCCACCACAGATTTGTAACATAGTATAGTGCAGAAGTCGCTATTGGAGTGCAAACCCCCATAACAGCTAAAACATTTTCTATTGCGATAGCATTTTGGATAGGATCAATATCAATTTTTTGGGTAATTATATCATAAGAAAGCTTTAGTCTACCTTTAAGTGATTCCTTAAAGCTCAGTGACGCTGGAAATTCCTTGATATTTCCTAAATTCTTATAAAATAGCCAAAATTCCACAAAACTTGACAAAAAAATAAGCTAAATAAGTATCACAGAAAAAGAAGCTGGGGTGATGGTAAGTAGCTCTGCTGCTTCTTTAAAGTAGAAAACCTGTGCCATTGGAGTGGAAAAGTTATAAACTCCAGACAAGAAAAAGCAGAGCCCAGGAACTATCACAGCAAGGTTTTTTATTCGTCCGTAGCCATAGTTATAATTGATATCTGGCAGCCTTTCTGAGGATTTGTTAGCACCCAGCATAACTAGATGGTTTAAAAAGTCAAAAAAAGCTCGCATGTTTTCAGCCTTCATTGCTTGGGAGCCTGAGACAGAGTAAGCACAAAACTTCAGGCAGTTTTGGAAAACATCAGCATAGAGCTCTCTCCAGATCATGGCGCGGTTACTGTCTTTTGGCTTGGTAAACCATGTAACTAGTTTTTTGATCATTTTTATTTAGAAACGTATAGGGTTAGCCTCCATTAGGCTCAGGCTCCTTTAAAAATCCTGGACGTTTGCAAAACCATAATAAAATTTAGGTGCAATCGTGGCAAAAAACCAAGTTCGGACTTTTTAATGAAGTCTAAGATCAAATGGAGGCTCATAGTATAACATTAATTAAATATGATAAAACAAGTCGCTATCGCAAAATTGGAGTCAGCCATTACAAGAGCTTCAAAAAGAACTTTAATTGAAGTAATAACTTCCCCCTCCATGAACGAACAAACTTCGGAAAAAATCCCTATTTGAGTAAAAACCTTCCTTATAGTTAGTTAACAGATAAATTTTTTTTTTAAAAATATTTGATATATAAGTGATAATTATTTTAATGAAATCTCTAGCTAATTCTGTTAAATTTAAACAGCTTGCAATTTAAAACATAAATTTTTACAAATTAAGATAATTTTTGCTCTCAAAAATTTGCGAATTCGAATTCCGAAAACAAAATCTATATAAATCTATTTAACGCTGGAACAAAAATATTTTTTGTTCTCTCAGGAAGGGGAATAAGCTATAAACATGAGCCGATGCGGGCAAGCACTGAAATTTCACATGCAAAAACAAATCCTAGAGAAATTTCAATAATAAAAGTAATTGACAGCAGCGTAAAAGAGCAGCCACTTTCAGCCTCTTTCAATGTGACATCCAAAAACACCCTTACTCTGCCCCCAATAGTTTCAAAAAAAGACTTACAAACCTCTCTTCAGACCATTTTCGAAACTAATGATAACACCAAAGATGCCCCACTCCCAAAAGAAAAACGCTCAGACAAGGCTGGATTTTTGCTGATTGGGGATGCTATAACTTTATTATCAAAAGACTCCAATGAGGATTTTGAGTTTACAGGGGTTATCAGTGGGGATGGGATATCCCATGTCCATCTTGAATGCATACCTAAAGAATTTTTTACAGAATTCTCCAACCAGGTGCTCTTTAGACAAAGCTTGTTTAGAATAGAACCGTCAAGACAGTATGGGTTTACAAAAACGGAAAGCATGAATTTTCTGCTGTAGATTACACTAATTTTTTCTCAAAAGTATTTAAAATCATTGAAAAAACAAATTTTGTAGGAAAATTATTTCTTTAAATTACTTAATAGGTAGCCGGTTTACAACCATGCTGCAGAATTATAAAAAATTAAAAAAGCAGGATCCAAAAGTACTAAAAAGGTTAAAAGAACAAGCTGATGAAGAACAAAAAGGAAATGAAGCAGAATTAGATTTAAGCTATGGCCGAAAAGTTACCTATGGGGAAAGAATCCAGCTTAGGCATCTTCATAGTGACTGCTTTTTGACAGCAAGCTTAGAAGTTGCTAGAGAACGAGGTTGCTTACAAGTGATTTTAGATCATAAAGGCTCGGAAGGGTCTTGGTTTGAGATCATGCCTAAAGATAAGCTCAGACAAGAAGGTGAGCCTGTAAAATACTCAGATTTCTTTAAACTAGTTACCACAATGGAAAACTCCACCTATCATCTCCATATGGCAATTTCTCAGATTTTTCGACAGAATATGGAGTGCGAGCTAAATGCTTCCAGCAACTTGTCAATATGAAGGGCAAGAAAATTTATCCCAATCTTGATTAAATATGGCTAAAAACATATTAAAAAGATAATTTCAGTAAATATAGCATATAAGCCAATCCCAAATGAAAATCAACCCAAATTTTGTAGCGACTGGAGACTCCTTTCGGATTTTCCACAAACAATGTGAAGGATACCTGTCAGTTACCCCGAGAAAAATCGAAGAAATTTTGCCAAATGAGACCACAGAGGCCCAGCAAGAAGGAAATGAAGAAGTCTATGCTGTAAACTACAAAATAAGGTCAGAAGCTACAAAAGAGCCGAAAATGAAAGTTTATATAGAAAACAATAAGTCAAGTCTGTCTGTATGAGAATTAGAAAGGAAAAACCCATTTATTGGAGGACTAGCAGAGCCCGTAGGAGAGTACAGAATAAAGCACGTAGCGACTGGCATGTTTTTATATGTAGCAAAGTCAGGCCAGCTGTCATTAACTACTGACGGGAGCAATGACCATACTTTATTCAAAATTCTTCCAGAGAACTATGATAGCCCATATTTGACTTTTAAAACCCTATCCTCTATGGCTATAAATATGCCTTACAACACCCTAAAACTATATAGACCAATCTATCATAAAAAAATATAGTAAAATTTGAGAATATCAAACTTCAAAAAGTACTAAAAGCAGGCGGCCAAGAAACCTTAAAAAACTTTTTCCAGACTATGAAAACAGTTGAAGAAATGGAAGTAAAATTAACATTTAACAGAAAACTCGCCACAAAAACTACATTTATATTAGAAGACGAGCCTGAAGAATCAACCATCCATATATACCAAATCAGCCGAGTTATACCCAAACTTGTGAGTTTTTACTATTTTTTAAGCACTTGGGGCATGGTCAAAAGAAACGTGGCCTATATTTTGAATTATGAATTGGCAAGAAGTACTGAAGCTGAGCTCGAAAGACAATCAGAGATGCTGGTAGAAATCATGAATAATTTGAGAAAAAGAATACTAAAAGATGACCCTTCAATGATGTCAAATCTAGTGGACAGACAAGATGCTATTAGACAGTCAGGTCTTCTAGACCTGATCATAAAAATAGTGCAGCTAATTGAAAGTAGACTGACACTGCCGCTGAAATTTCCAAAAGAAAGCATGCCAAAAGCAATAAGAAGATCTAATGTGAAAATGCTTAACGAAATAGTCAAGCTGCAGATTCAAGAATATTTGAATACGCCACAAGTTGTTGGAGTTAAGCATTTATTCTATATTAATCTAGGCCAAATTTAATTTTTTATAAAATTATTTATTTTTTTAAAAACCGTTTTATCTATTATAATATATATAAACTTGCAGTAAAACTCTATGAAACCATTTTTCTCTGCATCAAAAATAACGCGCAGTCCTGCCAAAGCTTAAAAGTGTATGATGAGTTTTTAAGCTCCCAATTAAGCTCATACAAGCTACAGGTCGGAGTCATATTAAAAGAAAGCTTCAAATATTCAGTCGACATTTTCTCTAAAGCAACCCCAGAACAGTTCCGCAACTGAATCGAGCAGATTAAGCCTATAAATGAGCTGGAAGATAACATAGAAGAGCAAGTCATCACTTTTAAAATCCTCGCATCTTTATGTGTCCACAATGACCGTGGTGTCCCGAAATATCAGACTATTATAGAAAAAGAGCTGTTCAGCAGAGAGTCTAAGCTTGTCCAATTTTTACTATCAGACGGCAGACCATGCATAAAAATTTTCCAGGACTCAAATGCGTCAGTTCGTGAATTTATGCTGAATAACCCTACACTTCAAAAAATATCAGTCCCACAAGATCCTGAAGCGCCAATGCCGAATTTATTTTTTATTTCTTCATTTACACCTCATCCTTTTTTAGTAGGCTATATATCGTCAATATTAGAGCTTTTAGCTTCAATGTGTATGTCTCGTAATGAATCAAGCGCCCAGAAAGTAATAAAAGAGATGAATTTGACGTTTGAGCATATTTTTTCATGTATGTCTAATCCTAATGTGCATAGTAAACTGAGGAAAAATTATACAGCACTTTGCAGGATTATTTATATTGATAGGGATCCTTTAGTTTCACTCACTGACTGTACAAATAGGACCTTTTTTTGGAATTCAACAGAAAATAGAATAGAAGACGAAAGGGATACGCCGAGTACAGAAGTAATAAGCTCAATAAAACGGCTTGATAACTCTAGTGTGCCAATTGCAGCTTTAGCACAATGGCTAGAAGAACTGTGAAAAGCACCTAAAAATCCTTTTTCTGATGATGGAGAAGAAACAAGAAACCAAAAAATAAGCTTTGTGATTGAAATAATTGAGCTGTCTAAATGAATCGTAAGTCTACAATATGTCAGCTATTTTTTCGTCAATGAAATTACAGGTCCATTAATCAAATTGATTGACCATAATAAATATGATAGTAAAGAATTTGAAAATACCAATTTGCATTGGTGCTCAGAATTAAAAAATAATCTGAAGCCTTTTGGAAAAGAAGAAAGCCGCCAAGACAATCTTGCAATAGCAGTTTTAAGCTTCTTTCAGGTTGCCTATGCTATGAGGACTAACAAGCAGGTTTATGAAGTCCTAAAAATGTTAGAAGACGTCGATCGGACAAACAATGCAGAAATGATGGACACTATAAAACAGTCTATCTCAAAATTCAACCACACAAATTACCAAAAAGCTTTAAAAAGACACAAGCGGAACCGAAGCGTTGATATCATGGTCACTTCAAAAACTCCTTTGCTATTTATGAAAAATAGGATTGCGCCTGACTCTGCAAATCATACCTCTGATTCTATTGTCAACGAATTAAATGATTCCTTAAATTTCGACGCAATGCTGCTAAACTTATTATTCAATAATTTCAATAAAACTATTAAGCAGAAAAGTTTAGAACTGATTTTATTTAATTTCAATCAAAACTCAATTCTGCATGATGCTTTAAGTGAAACTTGCTTATTGCCTTCAGGACCATTAAGAGATATTTATCAAAGAATGAAATTTATTATTTTAAAAATAAATTATTATGCAAAAAAAATAAAACTTTTGACGGACACTTTTGATGTAAAAACAGGGATTAAAGAAGACCAAGAAATAAGGAAAATTAAAACTAATACTAAAAACAATGTTGACGAGCTTGAGCATATTATTTTTAAAAAAGGAGACTCCAACCAGATGTCGTTTCTTCAAAAAATGGCAAAAAGTTTAACCCTTTGTGAGTGAGCAAAGCCATTAGAAAATTCCTTTTTTTTGAAAAAAGATCTCCTTGAGAGCAAAAATCTCTTGAAGATAAAAATGCTTACTCCCCCCCCCCCTCCGTGAGCGAACAAAAAAATTTTGTTCGCTCACGGAGGGGGGTTAATTTTTTTTTTTTAAAAAAAATTTATATATAAATTTTATAAAAAATATTTTTTTTCGAAATTTAAAAAAATCCTAATTTGCAAAAATTGGGAAGCAAATATTAATTTAATTTGCAAAATTTATGTTTTAAAACGCAATTTGTTTAAAATTAAACAGAATTAGCTCTAGATTTCATTATACTAATTATCACTTATATATCAAAATTTTTTTCCATTAAAATTTTTTCTATTAAAAAAATTTTGTTCACTCACGGAGGGTGGGTTTTTGGTCAAAAAATGGCGATTTTTCTAATGGTTTTGTTCGCTCACGGAGGGGGGGGGGGGAGTTATAAAAATATTTAATATATATAAGCGGCAATTATTATGGAATCTCTAGCTAATTCTGTTTAATTTTAACAGCTTCCATTCAAAAATATAAAATTTATAATAAAATTAATCTTTACTTTCATTTTTGGGTATTTGGTTTTTAAAAAAATTAATATAAAAAATCAAAATCATTTGCTCGCTGATTGAGGGACAAGTTAGGAGCTCATAATGCGTTGTTAAAATTTTTAAAAGATGATTGGGTATGGATCTCAATAACTCCAGAAGGAAATTCCAAGCTTGACCCAGCTTACCAAGATTTGTATAGAAGCATTTTTGGGGCACTGACTGCATTTTGCTATAAAAATTACAAAAATCAGATGCTGCTTTATGATAGTGTAAAATTAATAGTGAATTTTTTAGGAAATTTGGTAGGCGCTACAAGGGTGCTAGCAGAAGTGATATCATGCAAAAGAAACAGCCAAACTGGAGGACTAATCATTCAGCATATGTTTAAGAGTATGGAAAGTCGTGAAAACCCTTTAGAGCGTCCACAAGATATTAGAGTGATGAAAGCACTTTTATATGACGAAAATCATCATTTTTATGCAATTTCTCAAACACATGTAATCGGTTAGCACGAATAATAAAAATTATAATAAATTTCTCTATAAAATTGACGGTAATTTTTTAATATGTATTTTCATTGCGATTCCAATAAAAAATACCATGATTTTTAGAGTAAAAATTTAATGTAATTTACCTTATTGTGACATATTTTTGTTACCTGTAATCAAAGCTTTACTAAATACAAAAAAATTATATAGCATTTTTTCATGTGAAACTGGCTGAGATTTATCAAAATATACAGCAGAAAACTTGAAATTTTATGCGAATATGATTTTACTGCTAGCTTCTTCAGCAGTTCATAACCCATTTACCACTCAGCAGTGCAGGAGGCTAATTCCTTATCAGATTTTATTCAAAGAATTAAGATCTTCAGCTCTCCATCTAAAAATAAAAAGAGCGTATCTTCATTATTTTTTTTACGTTTACTGCATGACCTCTGATGGAATAGTCCGTGAAATCCCAGGCCCAGTCTTAGAAGAGCTTCTTTACCGAGTAGTTCTTCCTGATTTCGAGATGTATACTAACTATTTCGTCCACATGCCAGTCCTCTGTCGAAAAAGTCTCTACAAAATAATCATGCCCCAAGGCATAAAAATAGACACTCAAAAATCACTCCCAAAAGGCAAGCAATTAATGATAAATCTGATAGCTAACTTCACCCCCAGCTCAAAAAAGTTCCAAAAACAGTTTGACGATTTAACTAAAGAACAAGTCGAAGCTCTGGACTACTGGAAATATATATCATCAAGAATGCCTTACACACCAAATATCGGAACAGGGCTATTATGCTTTATTAAAGACTTATCAATAGAGCTAAAATCAAGCGGAGATGTCCCATCACCTGAAACTGTAGAAATTTTGGAAGAAATAAGAAGCGAGCTCCAAGCCCTCCATGACTCTCTTTTTGACTTAAAATTCGAGCATGAAGACTTAAACGTGGATTTTTTTATAAAAGAAGTCAGAGAAGCCAGCTTAGAAATTCCTTATTATATTATTGAAACTGGAGATGGTGTGCCTGTCCACAAAGGAGAAGAGGAAAGCTTTAGATTTATGCTGGACAAGCTACAAAACTATGTGATGCACAATAATCTCCCGCTTGAGGAGTTTTTCGCAAAGGAGCTAGAAATCACTGATGATGCAAACTTAGACAGAAATGAATTTATCTCCAAAGTAAAATGGTTTATAAGGAAAGACATAAGGACCAGTCAAATTGATGGAGCTATTAATTTTATGGACCCTGATGGAGGAGAAATTAGATTAGATTAGGGATGAGTGTTTAAAGACCCTAATTTCTGAAGCACGTGCACTCCGCAACGAACGCTATCCTCAAGGAAGCATGAGCCTAGCCGAAACCCCTGATTTCTGAGTGGAAGTATTTTTCTACTTGATCTGAAAGCCAGCTTCCCTCTGCGGGTGGGTTTTGCCTCTTATAAAAGGCTTTTTACCCCTTCTATAAGGGCTTTTTGCCGTCGCAACACCTAGCCACAGGTGCCCTACAGAGGGCCAAGATAAAGCAACTAGTGTCGAATCAGCTTATGCTGAGAAAGAACAAGTGGCGAGCAAGTCTCTATTATACGCACTCTAAGGGCATGGGCCGTCCACGTGCCACCGGCAAACTGGAGAGGGACGACTCTGGAACCTGGAAGTAGAGAACCGTACAGTAAGTTCGGCAGTAGCTAAGCCGTCTCGCGGCAGCCTCGGGTGAACTCGATTTAATTCAGATCGGTATACCTACCAGAATTCTGATCAGAAATTAATCTGGAAAATCAGATTTTGCAGGGAGCCTCCATATTCAACCCAAGAGTGAAAATTTCCCAGCCCTGCGTAGCTTCGGCCGAATGTCCCATTTGTGGAACCGTTTTAATCTGGAGAGACTAGCCCTTGAGATATTTGTTTAGCACCCGCTGCTGTTTCTGGGTGCTACTGGTAAAAAGATGCAAAAACTATTTCTAGAGCCAGACCACTAATCAGAGGTAATAGTGCTGGGCCTCTCGCTTCAAGGCTAACGAAATCTTGGGCAGCTCCTTGCACCAAAAAATAATATCGAACACTTGCCATCTGTGAGTATGGATTTCTCGCAATTGGCAATTTTATGTATATACTTTAAAGAGGAGAAATAATTAACGTTTATTTATTAGTCCAAGAAATGAAAGAATTTTTTATAGGTAACAAATATGTGGTTAAGAAAAAAAGAAACCCAGAAAAAGAAGTGTTCAAAGAAGAACCAGAAGATATAAATAAAGTGTTAGAAGGAGTTTTAGCAGAAATGCATAAAGAGAACCAGCAGTCTACAACAGAGCTGAAAGGGCTTATAAGAAAAGTAAAGAAAAGCTTATTTGATGAAGCTCTTATTAAGAAAGATTACACATCTTTATTGAAATTTATGAATAATCTGGAGTCAGCGTTCCAAAAAAAAGAACATAAGATTTATTTATTAGAAATGTTTAAATATATGCTGATTTTCCAAGAAGAAGCAGGAGGAGATGGCGCAGATAAAACGCAAAAAATAAAAACTATCCAGAACTTGTTTGCAGATGGCGGGATTATTCAGATGGCTATTTCCCTTATTAATAGAGAAAATGATACCCAGCTGATAAGGCAAGCGTTTGAGCTGTTAAATAAATTATTAGAACACAATAATTTATATATAAAGCAAAAACTTCTAGAGTATTTAAAGACATCAGGAGCCACCTTTGAGCTGTTTACTTTTATTAAAGTCCAGCTCCGCATAACAAGGGACTATTTTATGGATTATCAAAAGAAAAAAGAAATGAATGAAGAGTTAAAACGAAAATTAAGCTCAATGAAAACATTTCTGCCTGATTATATCCCACAAGCAGTTCAGGATTTCCCTAAAAGAACAAAGGATACTGATTTGACCATCATCATTTTATTATTTTTACAATTGTGCTGCGATAACTGTTATCTTCCATTCCAAGACTATTTGAGAGAACAGAATGACTTGAATATAAAAGTCAGCATTGATTTGGTAACTGAACTAGGGCAGTTTATTATAAATATGGTTGGGCTCAAAGAGCTGAAATCACTAGATGATGACATGACCCCTGCTTGCAAAGCTGTTCAGCAGTGCTTGTGGACACTAGCTGATGTCTGCTCTGGGCCATGTGCATCAAATCAGCTGTTGCTTGGACAAAGACGTAGGCTATATAAATTTATGAACTGAATTATTGGATTCCCCGAAGTTGTTGTCAAAAAGCCTAGTGCATGGCTTCAAATATTTAGTGCGTCAGTCAAATTTTTGAATTCTCTTATAGAAGGGAATTTAAATAGAAAAGTGTCAAAAATATTTTTCGAAGAAATCAGCACTGAAAATTTAGTTCAGCACGCCACACTTATTTGGAAAGATTTAGTGGCTGGAAGAGAAGACATTATTTATCAAGACGACAAAGGAAAGTCGTATTGGTGACTGAGATTGCTAGAATTATCAGGGAAAAAATTAGAAAGTTTTGAAAAAAATGTTATTGAGACTGGCTTTGATATTTACATATTGATTTTGTCACTTAGAAAAGCCCATAAAGACCAGCTAAAGAAAAAATCTGAATATAAATCTTCAAAAATCAATCTGGACCCTATGGATTTTTTTAAATATGATCATAAGCAAGAAATAACTATCAATCACAACGAAGATGCAGAAGTGCAAAATTTTAAAAGCTTATTCGGGTCTTTCTTCAAGCGTTTTTCTGGAATTTTCCATAGGAGGGGAATAGTTAATGCTACAGTAGTTGACATGCAAAATGCTTATCGCTTTTACTCCTCCAACATTGCAAGTGTAGAAATAAACAATAAAGGAACATTGGCAAAAATTTATTTCAGGGTCCCAAACCAATGCAGATTTTTGACTGTGAAATCTCGAAATGAGCTACTGCATAAAGTAAGCAGAAATTCATATCAGGAGAAAATTGATGATTTTATTAATAGAAGCAGACTATATGAGGTAGAAATGTACCATCAGCAAAAATTAGCGAGATATCCTTTTTTAGACGATATGTGCTGCAATTGGAGATTATATGGCAAAATTTCGTATGGGGCTGTTATTCTTTTAAATATCATCATTTTCTTCACAGCTGCACATGAAGGAAACAGCCAAACTGGCAAGTGGGTTTATAATACAAGTGATAGTGTAGCTAATTTTATTACAGCTTTATCAGTATTACAAATAATTCTGGCGTTTATGATATTTGTGTGCTATATTATTGAATATTTCCCAGTTATTGTGTATCAGCAAAAATCAGAAACCAAAAGCAAACAAATGGTGGAGTATATTTATAACTCAAGATTTGAAAAAATACATGGGACTGTTCTGATGAAAGAAATTATATCGAGAACGCAAGACAAGCTTAAAATTTCGATTTATCCACTGTTAGATGATTTGCTAACTGTTGCAACCAATGAGGAATGTATTTATAATTTCATATATCTAGTTATATCAATTTTGTCAATGGTTTTTCATATTTGTTATGCTTTGCTGCTGCTAGATATAGTGAAAAGGAATCCTGACCTATCAAATGTCCTTAAATCAATTAGGTTTTCCCTTGAATAGTGCTACAAGGCACTGTCCTAGCCTGAATCGGAGGGTTTCATTATATGAAGCCTAAGACAGCGTCTTATAACGCTATTCAAGGGAAAAGCTATTATGCCTTTCGATTATTGTGGGAGGCTGTTGGCATGTGTAGAAATTCTCCACATGCCAGAAGCCTCCCACAATTATAGCAAGGCGCTATATATATTACATTAAGATTAATCTTCCTCTAGTTTAATGTCCAATACCACATCACCTGCCTGGGCTTCCGTCCCTGCTTCTGGGTTTCCAGGTGCACCGTCACGTCAGGAGGCACGCGGCTTCGCCCCCTTGATGGTCTATAGGCTTTGGATGTTCAGAAAATTCTAATTCCGTAAGGGGTAAAAGTCATGTGCTACACATCGAAGGCTCTTTCTATAGCTGGGATAAAATCGATTGGAAAGCCAAACCTCATAATCATAAAATGCAAAAAGAGAATTTTCTTTCGGGAGACCAAAAAAATCGAGCAACGCCATTTATTATTATTATCAAATTCCTTAAATCAATTACTCTGAATTATAAGCAGCTACTAAAAACTGTTGCATTAGGAGTTATTGTAATTTATTTGTTTAGTATCATTGCATTTTTGAATTTTTCTTTAAATTATGGAGAAGATGTAAATAATTCAAATGCAAATACGTATTGTGACAATTTGTGGGAGTGCTTTGAGTCTACTTTAATTTCAGGGATTCGAGCCGGAGGAGGGATTGGTGATGATTTAAGGGAATCACCTAGAGGTGATAAAAACTACTGGTGACTGATGATTTTTAATTTGCTGTATTTTATATTCGTGATAATTATTTTGCTGAATATTATTTTTGGCATTATTATTGACACCTTTGGGGAGCTAAGAGACGAAAAGCAAGAAATGCAAAGAGATATTGAAAATAATTGTTTTATTTGTGGAAATGGGAAATTTCAGTTCGAAATTATTCTTTTTTTGATAAATTTTCTTTTTTTTAATAAAATAAAAAAAAATTAAACAAATTTATAGAAAATGGCATAAAAGAATTGGCTGGCTTTATCATATACAAATCGAGCACAATATTCATGCTTACTTAGCCTTTCTCGTGTACATTCATCATAAAAATCTTGAGGAATGCACAGGTGCTGAAAAATATGTAAAAGAGCTGATGGAAAAAAATGATATTAATTTCTTCCCTAGGAGCTCTATAAGTCTAGAGGAAAAGGATGAAAGCGATGATGAGCAAGTATCGAAGTATAAAATCATAGAGAAAAAACTAAAGAAGATAAATGAAGCAGTTAAAAAAATCAAGTAATTTCATGATATTATTAAAAATCTTGCCTTTTTATATAAATTTAAACATAAAATATTTTAACAAGACTCAATTTACTTGCCAGTTATGTCAACTAATTTGATCCTTCTTTAATAAAACTCAAATTAATTGAATAATATATTAGTATTTTGGTATAGGCTTTGCCTATAAGTAGCCTGATATGGGCTTAGTATGAGAGTTGGCAAATGAGCCTCTTATAGCACAATTATTAAGTCTCTAATCAGTTCGGACTATTTTTTTTTACACAAAATGATAAAATCGTAAGAAGGTAGCTATAACTCCTACAGCATATATTACTAAGATATATATATTCTTTTTGTTTCTAATAACTATAAAGTTTAGCATGCCTTTCCACTTCATACTTAAACCTCTTCTCTTACAGTATTTACATTATTCTAATAGACCACAAAAAATCAACTCCTCAGTCCCAAATTATATCAGACTCCATTTATAAAAATGATTAGAAATAATTCTCACAAAATTTCGACAAAAAAGCCAAAAACCCGTAAATTATTGAAGAAAAAATCAAAAATCAAAAAAAATTCAACAGTCACCGAAGGCGATTTTCACAGTTTTCACAACAATTTAAACTCTTCAAAACCCTCACTTTCTACCGTAAAATTAAGAAGACTTTTAACAGAAAAAGACTCCTCAGAAAAACTTCCAGGGAGATATTACACCCCTAAAGAGCTTTTAAAGGTTTCCAAACAAATTAACGAAGAAAGCAAGCCGCATGTAATTAGTGTCGATGAATATTTTTATAACAGCATTACAAAAAATATTGACATCTCCAGTGATGTAGAGCATATAAAATCTTCACCTTTAATTAAAGATCTTGGCGACCTTAACAAAAATGATAAAAGGATGCTCGATACCTTAAAAATCAAAAAAGGTCCAAAACGTCTCAATTCTCAACCAAAAACAAATATTTTTGCGAAATTAACAAATGCCCTTGATAGGTTGGAAACAGAAGAGTCTGAAAGACTGCGAAAACAAGGGAATGTTTTTATGTCAAAAATGAACACAAAATCATATAAAAAGCTACTAAAATCGGTAAATTTGCCTTTTGCAGATCATAAGAGGGTGCCACCTCCACAAAGTAAATGTTATTTAGGAATAAAATTTAGAGCTCCTGCACTGAAAAAGACCTGAAGCTGTGAGCTTAGTGACGATGATGAAGAAACTGAATATTCAATAGAAAATAAAGGGAAAACTAAGAAAGATAAAGTAAATAAAGAAATTGAAATCATTATGGATGATCTTCAAGAAGAAATCAAAAAAATTGAAGATTACATATACAGAAAGAAAACTGGAGACATTTTTAAGAGAGAAATTGAAGTAGGAAGCCTAGCGAAATCTGTTTGAAAAATGAGGGATGAAAGACCTGCTATTTCTGTTGACGTTGCGAAGCTATTTGATCGTTTGGCAAAGAGAAAAACTGTATGGATGAATTCAAGAAAAGAATAACTATAGAAAATAGCATTTTGGTAATTTTATATGGAAATCCTTGTTAATTTAATCGTCATCAACATAAGGATCGCTATTTCTTTTAAGCTCTTCAGTGTATTTTAAAGCATTGCGCTTACTTTTAAGCTCTTCAATGTATTGTAAGCAGCTATATCCTAATTGCTTGCATTTTTCACATAAATCGCTCTTGTGAGCTTTCTCAGGTCCTTCACTTTTGGACGTTTTGCTTCTTATTAATGGAGTCTGAAGGTGAGGATATATACTTTTTCGCAATGATTAGGCAAATATATAGATTTATTTATCAGTATCGGCGACCATTTAATTTTGGCTATGAACCATCACTAAATTGTAAATATTATACATTTATGTTGCATTTAAGACATTGCTGTCCACAGTTTGCCCAACTATTGCCGCTTGACCATGTTCTCTTGCATTTCTCACAGCGAAAATATCCATATACCCTCCATGGTCCTTGGTATTGAGTTTTGCAGCCATCATCAAGCCTCGAAGAACTGCTTTGGCCGTTTCTATATCTTGAAGAATATCTCCTAGGTCTCCTACCGTTTCGTCCTCTCTCTGACTTCCCAAATACAAATGTAGAACTTAATAATAATTTTTAAAAATTATTTAAGATAGAAAATGTTATGCAGCATTTTTTGATATCCACATTTAAAATATTCCTTATTCATGATGGAGTAAATTATTTGAGCTTCTCTGTTCACCTTGTGAATCTGAATTTCGAATTCGATAATATCTTGTGGAAGGGTTTGCTAACCTCGAACTTCCTCTTAAGCGAGAAAATCTATATCTGCCTCTTGAAGAGCGCATTTAATATAATAAAATATATTTTATATATGTCTTAGCAGCTTACTTTTAAGAAAATTATAGAAATTTTACCATTTTAAATTTGGCTAGTAATGTTTTGAATAATTATAGACATTTATAAAATCTAAGAGGCAAAGCTTGAAAATTTATATATCAGGCACTTATATTTATTTCTATTAAATCTTAATCAAGTATTTATCAGAAATCAATAAATAACGTTTTAGCATTTTTTTAAATATCAAAATAGTTAAACTGCTTGATTGCGCCCTAGCGGTACCGTGTGGCCTATCCTATTTTACTCTTTCATAGTAATACAAATTTTTGCCCAAAAGAAATAGCACAGTGTAAGGCTGCACCTGGTGGTGCTGAAAAGCAATTGATAAAATTTTTTGTTGGAAGCCTACAAAAATTTCTTTTGTAATGATTATTAAGATTAGTATTAAGATGATTTTGGAAACATGTATTAAAGAAGCTAAAATAATAAAAAATAAAGCTAATAAAATTATGTTCTTCATTTTCTTAATTCATATTAAAAAATTTATGCAAAAAGACACTATAGCATAAATTTAACCTCGCAAAACTTATTAATTATTTAAAACAGCTAAAAGCTGGTCTTCAACCTCATTTAGCTGTTGTTCATCTGGTCAATCCTGAGTTATTATCCTTAGCTCTTCTACATGCATATCAGCTACTTGAATATCCTGCTTTAATTTCAAATTTTTATATTTTTCATTATAAAGCTGCATATGCAGCATACGGGCTTCATCAACTAAATTTTTGTCAATAGAGGACGACTTATTTATTTCTTCTTCAGCTGAGGAATATTCAGAAAAAACTTCTTTCATTAAAAGCTCTGTAAAAATCCTGCTGCTGGACTCAGTGTTAATTTCGATTTTGCTTTTGAGAGCTGCAAGGACTTCGTCGATTTTGTTTGCTGGGACTTTTAAAGCTTCCATTGTTTTAGCAAGGCCTATTTGGACTGAATTGAGCCCACAATCAAAGCCGTCTAAAAGATATTGGATGATTTGAATAGGGTTGAGATTTTCAAGTGATGACATTCCCGCTTTTTTTTATATTTAATTTTTTGGAAAATATGAATAAATTTTATCATATGTTAACTCATAATTAATTGATAATTATAAATTTAAAGAGAATTATTATCACAATTGACCACTGTATCAGAGCCTGCACTAATTTAAAGCCAGCAATATAATAAAAGATTTTCTCCAAAAGGTTTGTTTAAAATGCAAAATATGTAACAAAGATATCTTTTAAGTTTTTATTTATCTTTAAATTTTCTTATATCTTTATTCTTATTGGGATTTTATCCTTTACCAATCTACTCTTAAAAAAGAAGATGCAATTTCTCAGTTTATATAATAAAACACTCTCCCATAAAACATGAAAGGATTTTTCAGCAAAAAGAAAAAAAATCGGGCTGATTCTCCTGAGCCTTTACCTGCATCACCCAAAGTAAGTCAGCCCCGATGCTCAATGATGCCATCATCACTAGCACCTATCAATACAGATGATTTAAACCCATCAATGCCTCCAAACCCTTCGCCAACTGCAACTAATCCTCGATTATCTTTAATTCCAAATTCTTTTCCATCATTAGAGGTTGATAACAGTATCCTTGCTTCCCATAATTTTCCTATATTATTACCCTAAATTATCTCTAAATCATTATACAGAAAAACATAATATCAAATCTTTGAAAGAAAAAATTTCTGACTATGATAAAGAAATCACCAAATTATCCAAAGATATAGAAAATTCCAAAGGATCCTTAAAATCCTCTTACCAAAAGCGCCTCAAAGAAAAAAAATCTCAGCGCCTTGTATACGAAAAACAAATGGACACTCTAATTACAAAGCAATTTTCTTTGGAGCAGAAAACTTTCGACTTAGGAATCAAAGGACTTGTAAAGCAAGCATTAGGTATGAGGATTATTTTGGATAGGAATAAAAAAGAAGAAGAGCAAAAAGCTCTCGAAATTTTAGAAGAAACGAAAAATGTGATAGAAGAAGTAGAAGAAATCAAGGATGAGCTGGCAAGCTATAAAGTCGATGTAGAAGAAGACCAGCTGGATATGGAGCTTGAAGATATGTATGAAGAAGTGAATAAGGAGCCTGAGAAAAAAACAGAACCGCCTTGGTATTTGAACAAAAGTGAAATTAAAAATGTAAAAGTTGTTACGGAATTATAAGTAAATTGTTCAATTAAAAAATTATAAAAATGATTATAGTCGTTGGAATAAAATTTCTTGGTACTTTTCGAATCCTTCTTCGTTAGAAAATAAAATCTTTTTAAAAAAATCTTGTTTTCGCTTGCTCTGGGTGATTGGGATTACTCTACATATTTTTTCTAGTCATAGTGCAGAGTTTTGGTCGCCTTCTTTTGCCAAATTAATTAGTTCATCAGCTAAGTCATAATAAGTATTTTCAGTTAAGTTTTTGCCCATTACTTCTTCTAAATTTAGTTCATTTAGCTTCCTTTTTATTACTTCCTTATCTTTGCCTTTTAGAATTCTATACCTTAATTATATGAAAATTATTGATGTGTAATATTTTGTTAAAAAAATATTGTAATTAATGAATAAAGGGATATTTATCACAGCTTCATAGTCTTGAGTCAGCGCAGCTCCTTTTTTGGCTGACTTTTCAATATTTTTCCTTTCCCCTTCTCCATCTAATTTGTCGAATCCAATTGCAAGGCTAATCGAAAGTAAGTCGTTTCCAATTTGTTCTAATAAAAGTTCATGTTTTTCTTGGTTTTCATTTATGTCAATTAAATTTCGTTCTTTAATCTGTTCAAATTTGTTCATTTCTGAGTTTAAGCACTCATTTACTGTGCTCTTGAATTTCTCGCCAATCTTTGGCATCAGACTATTCAGCACGCTGGAAACCAGCCCTGAAGAATCAATTACCGAATTTACAATTTCATTGAGGATTTTTTCTGAAGTTCTATTGGAAAAATCACCAATGAATTGTAAAGCAATTTGATTTTCAACTTGGTCCATATGAGATAATCAATATAGCAAAATGGATGAATTAGATAGAATGAAAAATATAAATTTTAAGTAAATTAAAACAGCATGAGAGATGGCTCACAATATATAAGCCATTTAGATTGAAAGTAATCACAAAAAGAAATTAGGTCTTTATTGTTGCCTATGATAATTTTATTCAAATAAAAAATTGAAAATAAAAAAGCACTTAGGATAGCGATAAATAGTAATAAAATTCGGGAATTCATCTTAGATGCTAAAATAAATGCATATCTAAATTTTCGAACAAAAAGAGGGAAAAAATAGCAGCCATCATTCTTTAACTCTTTTCATCTTTCCATTCTCAAATAATTTTAAGATTTAGAGTTTAATTCTCCTCTTCTTTATAATGTCTAAGTATTATTGCAATTATATTTAAATCAGAATAAATTTTTATACCAGAGAAGAAATAATATTAATTAATATTAACTTTCTTCCAGAACAAAGTTTTCTCTTCAATCTGCTTCATTACATTTAAGCACAATTCTTCTCTATAAGGTGGTGCTATAACCTGAACTCCAAGTGGCATTCCAATGCTATTTCTCATATTATCTTTCATAACTTTGGTCCATTTTTCGCTCGTTTCCTCATATATTTGCTCATTCTGTCTTACACAATCAACAGGAACATTGCCTGCTGGACAGTCTAGCAAATTAAAAAACGTGACGTAAGCAAACGAAGGGAATAAATCTTCACAAGAGTCAAGAATTGTTGCAGGCACTGGATATGGCGCAATGATAACATCAATTCCTTCTTGAGCCCATTTTTTGAAAAATTCTTGTTTTATTTTTTCAATTTTTATTAAATTTTTTACATAGTCGTGACTGCTATGTAAATTGGCTGATTTTGACAAAAATGAGTCTTTTTCGTGGTGGGTCAACGATTTAGCTTTTTTTGGGTAAATATTGGCATCATTTGAGCTCATAAAAATACTTGAGAATAGCTCGTTTATTGTTTCCATATCAGGTAGCTCTATTTTAACAAATTCGTGGTCTTCTAAAGCCACTTTGGCGATATAGATAGCTGCTTCCATACAGCTTGGCAAAGGTCAATATTTATTACTTTCAATATACCCGATTTTTAGTTTTCTTGAGTCTTTATACGCTTTTTCATCCCATGGAATTCTTGGTATATTATTTTTAATTGAATCTCTCATAAGGGTTATTTACATATATTATTGAAAATATCTACCCAAATACAGTCTAGAATAATATATGCTCATATCTCTCTGATAAACATAATCACTGCAAACAGCTTTCATAAACGCTGCACAATCATCTGTCGATTTTCCCATAGGTCCAATCCCAACTGATAAGCCAGGAAAATCTTTAAAAAGCCCATCCTGCCCAAGTTGGGAAATTCTTTTAGACGTCGCTCTCAGCCCGAAAAGCCCACAATATGAAGCAGAAACTCTAATACTGCCATTTAAATCTGAGCTTATAGTTAAAGGTGCGCAGCCTAAAACAATTAAAGCAGCATCACTTGAATCACCAGTGGTGCGATAATGAGAAAAAGGATTAGTAGCTTTTCCAGTAAAGGAATTATCAGTTTCATAGAGTCTTATGTCTTCTGGCATAGATCCTGAGATATAAAAAATAGCACCTTGTTGGCGTAAAGCTTCTATTATTAAGGAGTCTTGTGTATATACAAGATTTTTATTACAAATTGATGATTTCATTCCTCTGACTGAAATATTTTCTTTTACACTGATGGGAATTCCATGGAATATTCCCCTCTTAGTTTCATATTTGAGCTCTCTATCAAGAATTTTAGCTTGAAGTAAAGCTTGTTCTAGGCTTAAATCACTAATGCAATTATGCTTTAGTGCTTTTTTTAGCCTGTGAAAGTAAGTGATGAGCAGCTCCTCACTTGAAATTTCGTACTTATCTAATTCTTTGTATTAGTTTAGAGATTAAAATATTGCCTTTGCCTTCTAAGAGGCTGTTCCTTTTAAAGATTTATATTAATCCCTTAGAATTAAAAAAAAAAATTCTTATTTAAATAAAATAATTGTTTATTAATAAGAAAGTAAGGCAACTCGCAACTCAAAAAGAGAATCAAAAAGAACATCTTTTTCGAATTCTGAGGAGATATGAGGGAGTTTTGATAGATTTTCAATTATGGTTTTAAATTGAATTTTGCTTTGGTTCGGTTTCTTGGTTTTTTTAAAATTGAATTTTGATGTTAAATGAGTTCTGGTTAGATAGCTAGCAAATGCCAACGCTCCAAATCCAACAACTAATAGAATCCCTTTCACTTTTTCTGTCAAATGTATCTTGAAAAAAGCCATTCTCAAGTAAATCTCCACTTTAAAATAATTCTGTATTAGTGCTTTATTAGAGTTGTATTTTTGATAGAACAAATTATTTATTTAATTAAATTTATAGAAAAATGCCTTAATTTTATTATTGGTAACGAGTAAGTATATAATAAGATTTATTGCTATTGGACATGAATTATGGAAATATTTTAAAAAATCAGAAAGTGAATATTTATATCTTTTGAAAAAGTTTTAATTATTCTTTAAAATTATTGAAACCAAAATATTAAACTAGGTCAAATTTTAATAATAATTGCATTTTCTTGAATATTTTATATTTTTAGACTAATAAAACATTCCTTCATTTTTATTAGAGAAAATTTTATAAAAGCTGTTTTAAATAATTTTTAGAGCTATAAAAACATAGAAGTCAATAAATTCAATGATACCTTCTAATTTCAATTATTATTAAACTAATATACATTATTAAATTTTAAATTTGATTAATAATAGTGATGATTGCAACTCTTATTAATAAGCTCTACATTTATAAAATATATATAAGAACTATTAAAACCGATATATGAAATATAATATTGTGAAACCTCATCCTCAAAGAAAAAAACTGCCATCGCCCATAGCCATTAAGTTATTACGCTCATATACTCTAAAATCTCGCTCAGACTACTCATGCCGCTCTTGTAGTCTAAAATTTAGAGGCTCTTCTGACGCTTCGTGATTTTTTACAACCCAAACCACAATCAATTTATCATAAAATTTTGTTTCCTCATGATCTAGCATTTGATAAAGCTTCTGAACAAATTAAAGCTTCCAATGAACCGTAAAACATTAATCTGAGCCAATTTCAGTCAACCCTAGATAAACAAAGCTGAAAGAAAATATGCTCAGTTTGAAGCTGATTTTTTGCATCATTCAAAGGTTTAAATAAGCAGTATGGGAAAGATTAAGAGGTTCAAAATAAGTAATCTCTTAAAATGCATCGAATAAGATCATTTGCAAAATTTGTTGGAAATTTCTTTATAGCAAGTATTGATAAAAAATCCACCAAGAAAAAAGTACTAAAGGTAATAAATTATGATTTGCTTGCAAAATAAATTTATTAATAATCTACTATATTTCATATTGAAGTCTTCTTTATTAAGTGAAACTCACAATAAGCCATATTGCAACCACACATTTCAAAAATATCAAAGACACGCAAACTTCTAATTTTGACTTTTCTGCTTAAAATATTAATTTATTTAAAATTTAATATTCCAATCGTTGCCTTTTTTCCTTTTTTGCTTTTAACTCCCCCCCCCTCCGTGAGTGAACAAAACCATTAGAAAAATCCCTATTTTTTGCCAAAAAACCCACCCTCCGTGAGTGAACAAAAATTTTTTTAATAGAAATTTTTTTTATGTAAAAAATTTTGATATATAAATGATAATTAGTATAATGAAATCTAGAGCTAATTCTGTTTAATTTTAAACGAATTGCTTTTTAAAACATAAATTTTATAAATTAAATTAATATTTGCTTCCAATTTTTTGCGAATTAGGATTTTTTTTAATTTCGAAAAAAAATATTTTTTATAAAATTTATATATAAAATTTTTTTAAAAAAAAAAATTAACCCCCCTCTGTGAGTGAACAAAATTTTTTTGTTTACTCGCGGAGGGGGGAGTGAGATTTTTTGACTTTTACATAAATTTTTTCCTTACAAAAAGAATGTTCTATTAAAACTAATAAAAAATACCAGGCTTGCTGTTAATTGATATCCACTTATATGATTGATTTAAAATATTTTATGGAATCCAAAATATGATATTCATTCTTTGCCATAACAATATTTGAGTTTACTGAAAATAAGTGCCTTGATATTTTTGAATTATTTCAAAATTCAATATATAATAAGCAGTTTCAAAAGATTTAAATTGGGAAATTCTTGAGCTCTCATCAATTTTAAGTTTGAAATACCCTAAATTCATTTCATTCCGAAATTAAAATTTTCACCACCAGAATTAGTAAATATGCAATTTCACCATTCCGATCCCATGAAATCTGCAACAGGGTCTCCAAGTATGCATGAAATAGATGAGCATATCTATATTGGAGACTATACAAGTGCAGAAGACTATCAGAACCTAAAACGCAGCGGGATCACTCATATAGTTGAGCTCTTCACAGTCCCTACCCCTACGGAATTTCGAGCGGCATTCAATTACTGTTCGGTTCCAGTTCCTAGAGGAAAAAACTACACAATTATCCCAGCTATCCAAGAATCTTTGAAATTTATCCACAAAGTAGTGTGCCGTGGAGAGAAAGTGCTGGTCCATTGTAAGTTCGGACGAAATCGAAGTGTCTCAGTAGTCATTAGATTCATTAAAATGGCGTGGCGAACCAACTCACCCTCTTAGCACCTGTAGCTGGGATACCAGGATCTTATGGAAGAGAGGATGACCTTAGGTGATGCATATCCGCCAGGTTTTACTTGTTTGGGTGGAGCGCAAAGTCGTATTTGGTCGACCGCAGCTTATTTCCGTTTGAAGGTTTTAACTCATGGTGGAGATGGGCTTGGTGTTGGAAAGGGAAAGCCCAGCTAGTTTAAGTCACCAATCGGGCAATTTCCTAGCGCGATACCAGACGTTGCGTTCTGGTGACGAATTCCATCTTAATAGACAGCTTGACCAGAAAATCCATTTTAAGAATTTTCTGGAAGGGCAACCCAAGTCTGACGCGAGGCACGATGACTTAGCCTACACCACTCGCAGTTCGACGCAAGCCTCAGGCGACGAGGAGTTTACACCTAAGGGTGGCATAAGGCGGCCCAACAACGGGTCAAAAGTGGAGAAGCACTCCATACGGATGCTGCAGGGAGCTTTTCAATATAACTGCCCCCCCCCCCCTCCGTGAGCGAACAAAAAAATTTTGTTCGCTCACGGAGGGGGGTTAATTTTTTTTTTAAAAAAAAATATATATATAAATTTTATAAAAAATATTTTTTTCGAAATTTAAAAAAATCCTAATTTGCAAAAATTGGGAAGCAAATATTAATTTAATTTGCAAAATTTATGTTTTAAAACGCAATTTGTTTAAAATTAAACAGAATTAGCTCTAGATTTCATTATACTAATTATCACTTATATATCAAAATTTTTTTCCATTAAAATTTTTTCTATTAAAAAAATTTTTGTTCACTCACGGAGGGTGGGTTTTTGGTCAAAAAATGGCGATTTTTCTAATGGTTTTGTTCGCTCACGGAGGGGGGGGGGAGTAAGTTAAACTAACTAACTTAGTAGTCATTGCCTACTACATGGCAGCGAAAGGCTGGTCATATAGAGAAGCCTTAGATGTAATATTAAAGAAAAGAGAGTGTGTGAAGCCAAAAATCATTTTAAAACAACAAATTGAATCAGTCCATGAAGAATTGGCAGGTTACATTGAATTTGATAAAGAATAATATTTTGAGTCTATTAGCCTATGTGCGAAATTTTTATACTAAAAGTATTGATTTTATAAAAATTTTTATTGATTTGATTTAAGGAAAATTTCTCCATTTATTGATTGAATAATAAATAATAAAAATTCAAATCGAAGTAAAAATTTTGAAATTTTTAATTTTTAAAGCAAGTCTGATAGATATCAGTTTGTTGTTATTTTTTGAAAAAATGTTTTAAAAAATATTTTTGAAATATTTTTCAATTTGTAGTTTTAATTATATAGTTAATATAGAAGCCATATACGTTTTCTTAAAAACTTCGAGAAATTTTTAATTCGGTTAAAATTATAATAAATGGACATATAAAACAATTTAAAAATGAAATAATAATTAGCTATAGGGCACTTAATTAGATATAGCATGATACTCTCAGGCCAACGCTTGGGATATTTAATTAGATTATTTTAAGATACCAAGAATATAAATTTTACTAGAACAGATCTTATGGGGAAGAGCCTAGGCAGTTTTATTTTATCTTCTATTTTTATATTTTGATGGTGCTCGAGAGTTACAGATCTCCCAAAAGTATATAAAACTACTCAAAAATTAAAACTGCAACTTGAATTTATTACTATCGCTTAGTTTTGAACTATAGCGCATTTAATATTTTTGAGGAGCCAGGCGAATAAAGTAGAAATTTTATTAAAATTGCAATTTTGTGTATAATAAAAATATTATGAGAATTTTAAAATTATAAAAAATTATTTTTATAGCTTTTTCATGGATTTTAATTTATATATTATGCTTTCAGCCTGAAGAAGTACTGTTGTTTAGCTTAAACTTAAATAGCTAGCTGCTTCTTCATTTATGAAAATTTAGAGGAACAGTTTAACTTATTTTTTCGAGACTTGTCTACATTAGGATTTGTGTATATTAATTTATTTAATATAATTTAAGTTTAAGTTTAATGAATTTTCTCCCACATTCAGTGCCTTCTATGTCTTCTTTTACTTGAGGTTCAGTTGCAATGACAGCTCTGAATAACGGTAGATGAACCGGCCTAACCGTCGAACCGTTAAAGTTATCAAGCCCTTTCAGACTTCTCAGGTCAATGCCAGCCTCAGCACTGACTATTTCTCTTCAAGTCGGTACTCTCAAGAAGCTTGACTTCTCTCACTGAGCTCAGTATATGGGTCCGGCCTGGTAGATCAGGACTCGGGACCCGTCCCTAACTGCTATTTTAAATTCTGTTTAACATAATAAACTAAAATTCTATAAAAATCGAGCTTAGATTTAACGAAATTACTCTTATTCAATATAATATCAATACTTATTTATCTTATTCTAAAAACAGCAACTATATGCATAAAATGGGAATGGCTACCGACTCCTCCTCTCAGTGACGGAAACGCACGTATACCCGGGCATGGTTTGGGGCATCGAGTTGGCTCAAGAATATCAGAACCTCGAAACGAAAGGCCTAAGCACAATTCCACTGGATTTTGATCTGATCCTATGTGCAATTACTTGCGGCTTTTTTTTGCCGCTCAGGCCACTGGCGCTGTTGTGGCTCGCCGATTTCGTGGACGCGGTTGAGTCTTTTTCAGGGATGACCTGGACTAATGGGAGGGGAGGCAAGTTAGACTCTTCAGTCGAAAAATTGCCCTATTAAGAGGGTAGATCTCGCATTGTAGAGGGCAGTGGCGATACCGTAAACTTGAGCAACGCCTTGGGCTGGAAAGTAGGAGTTCAGCTAGTCCTGTAAATGGCCTTAGACCTCACCTCAACAGAGAGTTTATGCCCTGGCTCAAGATAGTTATGCTATTCCACTCTGCGAATAAATCCGGATTCCCCTTCTAACAATGCAGGGATCTTAAAGAGCCATTTAATATTAATCTTAAATTAAAAACAGCAACTATCTAAATAGCGCAAATTCACACCGAAAACAATACAAAAATAAAAATACTGATAACATAAGACGATATGTCCATTTTTTTCTTAAAAATTTTTATCCATATTCAATTTTAGCATTCGAACCCTGCACTGTATTGAGAAATTCCAAATATTCATATCGGCCTCAATGAAAAATAATAATATGATGTGCCATAATCGCACAAATTGTTTATTCGCAATAATAATTGACATATTTAATGAATAATTATAAAAAATAAATGTTTGCACTTTTCCATGCCAAAAAAAGCCTCCCTTCTCCAGTGTTTTTCAATTGTCCTACTGATGTGGGCTTTGAAACCTCTTCGCCAAATGCATGTGTTTATTGTGGCTTATGCTTTAATAGCTCTTATGAAAAAGGGCTGCATTTAAATCCTCCCACAGGAACTCAAGCTTACCATATAAGTTCCAGCCAAGACCTACCTAGAGATAACTCCTTCACCAAAACGCTCTCAGATTCAATAGAAGCAATTCCTTCAGAAAACAATTCGAATTTGGCAACAGGCCAATACTTCTGTAAAGTCTGCAACAGAGCCTTTGAAACCTTTAAAGGCTACAAGCAGCACCAAGGGAAGATGCATAGAACAAAAAGAAGAAATTTTAAATGCTTGAAATGCAGCCGAAAATTTGTCAGTAAGTACGCATTGAAGTTTCATAAGATCCAAGTCCACGAAAAAGCGTTCAAAGTGGAATGCGAACACTGCAGCAAAGTTTTATACAACAAATATCATTATCAGGTGCACCTTAAGTCTTGCTTTTAACTAAATAAAAATTTAACATATGAAAACAAGCAAGACGAAGCCAATTAAATTAAAAATTTTTTTTTTGAGTTATCGGAGACAATCGTGAAAAAAGAATCCAGGCCAAGTAATTTTGGATGGGGTCAGGTATAGGAGGAAAATCACGATCTCAAAGTTTTTTTTTATCAGCCATGAGACCATTTACAAGCAAGATTTTCCCAGTTATAATGATTTGCAAATCTCTAATGAGAAGGAAATAAGTTGGCTATATTTATATATAAGGTTTATAAGCTAAAATTGAAGCATGGATCAATTTAAGAAAGTCTAAATTTTTAAATTTGCTTAAAAATTAAGATATAAGATTTAGAATATTCTATAGCGTCATATCTCAATATGGAAAATAAGGATGATTTAGATTTATGAGAGGAATGCTAAAATTATATAGCAAGATATAAAGAAAGAATAACAAAATTTATTGAAAAAAATCAAAAGAGCTTGCTTAGTGTTGACTTTTTAAAAAAAGAATATTCTAGAATTCTAAACAATATCTGTACAGATATAGAGAATATCCTATAAACTTCATTGCAAAAGTGAAAAGGAAAATAGAGCACAGTTGTTTCCTATTTTTGATTAATTATCAAAACTCTATAGTCTTCATAGTTAAGTCCATTTGTAAATTTCCAAGGACAAAAATTTCATATTTAATTTGCTTAAGCTATTAAAGTATTAAGCTTAAGTCATTTAAGTCAAAGTATTACAGAAAGAATTTTTCTAAAAAACCGTTTTATATCATTTCAATAATTTCTAAAAATTTATAAGAAATAGCTTTACTTTTTATTAATCATAAAAGCATATAACTCCCCCCCCCCCCTCCGTGAGCGAAACAAAACCATTAGAAAAATCACCATTTTTTGACCAAAAACCCACCCTCCGTGAGCGAACAAAAATTTTTTTAATAGAAAAAATTTTAATGGAAAAAAAATTTTGATATATAAGTGATAATTAGTATAATGAAATCTAGAGCTAATTCTGTTTAATTTTTTTAAACAAATTGCGTTTTAAAAAACATAAATTTTGCAAATTAAATTAATATTTGCTTCCCAATTTTTGCAAATTAGGATTTTTTTAAATTTCGAAAAAAATATTTTTTATAAAATTTATATATAAATTTTTTTTAAAAAAAAAAAATTAACCCCCTCCGTGAGTGAACAAAATTTTTTTGTTCGCTCACGGAGGGGGGGGGGGGGAGTAAGGAATTAAATATAAATTTTCTTATATTTATATTTTAATAGATAAGATTCATATATATCTCAGTGTTTTATACTTAATGTTATTTTTATGATTTTGCAAGTAATTTTAATCTTTTATTTAATTATAATTTTGAGTTAAACAAAAATAACTCCGAGTGTTTGGATATAATTGTATATAAAATGTTCGTTACATATAGGCAGAGCTAAAATTATTCCTTTTAATATTTGGAATTTTTAATAGAAAATGGAATTCATTTTCGAGATGATTTTTGCTTCTTAAATCGTATTGAAATAACTAAAAATTAAGAGTTAAATTTTAAATCCGATTTTATTGAAAAAACTCTATTTTTTGAGAAATAAAACAAAATTATAATTTCTCCTTTTTGTATTTAAGCAATATGATTTTTTAATATACATCAAAGACTGCAGCCAAACTGTGTGCAATAAATAGGGATAATCTACCTTGTCTTAAAAAATTTTTCTGGCAATTTCTAAAAAATTTAAGTGCGTTAAAAAAAAAAAAAACTTGCATAAATTATCTTTAAGGATTTATTAAATAGCTGTTAGCTGAATCCTTATGCTGACAGTCAATGCTAATAGAATTCCAATAATTATATCACTTAGGTAATATAGTGATAAATTATTCATTTCTAATATAACTTATAAGTAACAAAATTAGAGAAGCCAACTTTATTACATATTGCACAGGATCAATTGAATTGCAGAATTTAAATATCTGCTATACTAATTAATAAAAAAAAGAGATGCTCAATAATTTAAAATATTCATGCAATTGTAACTCTATCTCCTATGCCTTAGCCAAATTTTGTTACAATTCTCTTTGGCGTATTCCAAATTTCCACCTTTCAACGCTTTACTATGCGTGCTGGATAAGCTTAGTGTGGATTTTACATCTTTCCATACTATTTTGTATGGTATCTTTATAAAAATGGAAAATATGACTATTCTAGAAAAACCTTTACCAAAAACAATATCTCTTCAAATTATTCACAGCGATGGTTTTCAAAATGTTTTTACTTATACCTGCCCCAGATGCAGTTTAGAGTTTGCAACAATGTTCGACCTTGGTCTGCACTCATTTGGCTCTTATGAATACACATGCTGGAGATGTTTTAACCAATTTCCAGAAAATTTAGGAACCGTCAAGGATAATGAATGTTTAGAAGAAGCTGACGACCAATCAGTTCATGATTTAAATGATAATGGCCAAGTATTAACTGGCCAGATGACACATTACTGCGATTTATGCCAAAAAACTTTTAAATCAGATAAAGGGTTTCAACAACACATGGGAAAAATCCATAGTTCTGGATATAAGAACTCCAAATGCAACAAGTGTAAATGCAGATTTAAAAATAAGTATGCGTTAAAAATGCACAAAAAGCAGGTCCATGAGAAATCAAACAGGGTAATATGCGAAATTTGTAAAAAAATTCTATATGATAAATATCATTTGAGGGTTCATAATGAGAAAGAGCATGCAGTCGAATTACTGCCTGTTGATTAAGCATTAGTATTTATTTAATAAATCCGTACAATAATTTCAATATAGGGTTAATAAATCCTTATAATAATTCCAAGTTAGGATTTATTAGGAATGGATTAAATTATTGAGATTAGCTTAGTTTCGAGCGTGGACTGCTGGTTTAACTTTGTGACACATGGTGAGGAGAATTAATGGCATGATTTCGAAAGATGATTTTTTTCAAAAGATTTTTAAGACTTTTCAATATATGAGGATCAGCATGAGCTAATTTAATTTTAAATTTTTTAATATTGAAGCTTCTATTTCTATATATATTTTTCTAATTTTATGCTCTTAGCAGTCTCTTATTGTTTATTCGTATTCAGCTTCATACGATTTTAAAATAAGCTAGGTTAGGTTAGGTTAGGTTTAAGATGTGTATTTATAGTCCCTACTTCCATGCGTGGCATTCCTCCGCGCTCCTTGAGGAGCCGTGCTGGCACGAGCGAAAAGGATGGACTTCCATCACTGGTTCTCTGAGCCCAGGCCGAAACCCCTGGTTTCTCGGTAGTGGGTTGCCCTATTGAGTCGTCAGCCGACTGGCGCTGGGCACCACCATTTCCAACTCAGTCTTCCGCCCCGAATTACGCCAGTCTTTGCCTCCGGTTGGCCAGATCGCCCCGTGAGAGACCCTTTTAACTGGAGAGACTTGTGCCCTTGAGATCCCAAGTCTAGCTTCGCCTCCACTCTTTCCCGGATCATCTCCAAGAAAGAACTCACCCCTTACGGGATTCGGGGCTAAGCCACCAAGTAGCCGAGGCAGGTAACTCACCCTGCCTCTTTCGGACACCGAGTCTGGGCCTCGGCGCTACTGGCAAAAAGAATGCGAAAAACTGCTGTCCGGGTTAAGTCCCAAAATCAGCGGAAATTGGCTGGGCCTCTCGCCTCGAAGCTAACTCTTCCCTTGAGTAGCTCTCCGCATCCAAAAACCATGTCCGGTATGCATAAGGACACCCGCCACGGAAGGACGGTCGCTCGTCTCCGGCCATTTTATGTATATGATTTTAATAAGTTATAATAATTTCTAGATTTACACGTGCAAATCTTAAATCAATAAAAAAACTTTCTTTATTAATGTTTTAGACTTAAATAAAAATTCTTTAAATAATTAGTCCTATAATTATTTAAATGATAATTATTATTATAAGAAAAATTAAATTATATCTCTTTATTTAATTTAAGCTAAGCCTGCTTCTTGACTTCTTTTTTCAAGATCAGCGATTTTATCCTCCTTAATCTCGCATATTTCTTCTAGCTGCTTAATTTTAAGCTCCATAACTTCAATGGTTTCCCTGAGCTGCTGGATCATTTCTTCTTTTTCTATTAGTTCACTTGGCAGCACTTCATCATCTCTTGGCCTATCTCCATTATTTTTTAGCTTAGGCGATATAGAATTTCTTGGCTTGTTTTTAGCTAAATAAATTTCAATCTAAATATTCCTTACTTTTTCTTTGAAGATTTTCAAAACTTTTTCAATGGCTTCTGGAACGCAGTTAACTATATCATTTATAGCTCTTACGTCCATTTGAAAATCCAATCTACTAAATCGTCGCTTAATGAGAGAGTAAGTCATTAAGAAAATCGATTATGAATTGCAATTTTTCTATTGAACTTTGTGCATGAATTACATTTACATGCTAAGTTAAGCCATAATGAAAACTCAAAATGTGGTGGAAATTAAAAATTAGAGTAAGGATAACTGTTTTAGAAAATTAATCCCTATGAGTAAACAAAGGATATTTTAATATAAAAAAATTTCCCTATATAATTTTTTGAAATATAAGTTAGTTAGCTATTTAGTTAAAAGTTTTATGCAGGCATAAGCTACCAATAGCTGGACTATCTTGGCATCAGGAAGGCGATTTACAATGGTTTTTTCACGCAGCACCTATTTCATAACAGCTATTTTTTTGCCTATTTTGTTGGGCTTTTATAGGCCTTTTTTTTTGGGCCTATTTTTTTGACTAATTTATTTTTGCTAAAAATTTTATAATATATATTCTGCCAAAACAATAATAGACTAAAATTAATTGAAAATCACCTCGAAATAGTCAATTTGGAATCATTTCCAAAGCAAATAGACCAACAAAAGTTCAAAAATAATTAAGTAATAAACATTCTAAAAATAAAATAGATCAAAAAATAGGTAAAAAAATAGGTCGAAAAAAATAAGCCAAAAAGAAAATAGGCCAAAAAAAAAGTCTCTTTATAAAATATTCGTCGTATGAGAGCACGGACCTACACTAGGCGCATACATAACTGATTGCAAATGGTGTAAGGCCCAACCAAAATTCCGAATAGCCAAAAGACTATGTGAGAGGCAAAACTGTATAGCCCATCTGGCAGGGACAGGAAAACCTTTACTCCCACCCCCCATCCTTGATCGAACGATTGACTGTAAAAATTCCTAAAAATTGGGGAAAATTAACCCCCATCCTTGATCGAACGATTTTCATATCATGCAAATTTTTATATATATATATATATATTAAAATATATTTGCTATCAAAAGCTTGGGAAGATGTACATAATGAAGCTGTTTTCAGAAGCTTTGAAACAACAGAAAGCTACGGAATCACTATTCGAAGTGACTTAGTCATCAACCTAGGCTTAAAAACTCAATAATCTAATAAAATAGAGATTCTTTAAAATTTTTAAAAAACAATTTTAATTCCATAAGGAACAAATTAAAATTTATACAGTTTAAAAGGGGTAATTAATAAATCAAAATATTAAAAAATTAGTATTTTTATGAAATTAATTCAATTTTTTGCTTTAGAAATAGTTATTAATTACTCTTAAAACTCTGATTTAAAAGTAAATAAAAAAAATATATATATATAAATTTTTTTCCCAAAAAAATTTTTTTAACCCCCATCCTTGATCGAACGATGGCGAGTCTTTCGATCAAGGATGGGGGGGGAGTTAGGGAGAAACAAAATTTCCCTCTTCGGCAAGGCTTCCCCAAGCCTCAAGGCCTACTTCATAAGAGATAGAGGTTCTATTTTTAGCTTCATCAAGATGGGCCCAATCTGCTCCATAGGAAGTGCGCCTCAGAGACAATTTCTTCAACGTCGCCATTTTTATTTCTATTTTGAAATACAGGGATGATTATTTATTATAGCTTGATTTTAGCATGAATTTAGAAATTAGTATTTAAAAATTCAAAATAAATAAACAGAAAATAAAATTTATTAGAAAAATTAGCTCTATATATACCAAAAATTCAGGCTAAGAAGGAGTAAGCACTTTCTTATTCAAAGTTTCCCAATTTGCTAATTTTTGCCTGGCAGCATTTGCAGGTGGATAATTGTGGAGATCTATAATTGATGGGATAAAATGTTTAAAAATTTCAGCAATGAGGACGCCATCAGAGAAATCTCTAGCGATGTTCCTTTTTGGTCTTGATAAGGGTATTGAATCTACCCATTCGTATATTCTGGTAAGTTCTTCTTCCTCCAAAACCTCTGCAGGTTTTGACATTTTATTCTTTATAACTTACTAGATATTTTCTGAGCCTTTAAGAATGGATTTCACTTCAATTAAATAGCACTTAGCGTTATAAAAAAGATTTAGCCAGAAATTGAAACTTTAGCCTAGTGCTCTTAAATAGGAAATAAACACACTGTGTTTTATTCATAAAAAAATTAAAAATTTTGAGATGGAAATAAATTAGTTATACAGCTTTCCTGGTGATGGCGCGCAATGCGCCATCACCAGGAAAGCTGTATAAATGTGAAAGATAATAAAATAGGGAAAGCTTTTGAATTTGGGATATTTTAGATACTATAATCTAAGATTATCGCATCTTTCAGCTAATATAATTATTTAATTTTACGAAAAATTGATTATAAGATCCTGAGTCTATAACTACAAAGATAAATATGTTTACAATAGCGCTATTTTTGATATAAAAAATATATAAATTTTCTTTTAAAACCTAACTATTTCAGAGATACAGTTATATTTTTAGGCCAAAATAAAGATGATATTAATAAACCAAAGCATAGCAATTCTTTAAATTTAATATTCTCACCAAATTATTCCATCTTTAACAGTAAATATTTAATGTTCCTTTCAAGCTATCGCCGTCCTCCTTCAAACTATACTCGTTCCCAGCCCAATCGTCAAACCCCTACAACAGTCTCAGGAACTTCCATTTCAAAGCCTCGTGGTACCAAGCAATCCACTGACCCAAAACCATCAAATCCTGTCCCGCAACGCCAACATCTTCCCACATTTAACCCTCTTCCTCCTACAAGTGTCCCTGATGCCTCTCGATCTCCCGCAATAAAGCCTCCTTCTCAGCCTTTTGAAGAAGAAATCACAATCCATGTTCGTGACGAAGCAAAGCGAATAGACCGAGATTTCAAATGATTATTATAAACCCTCAAAGGGAAAATTACAGTAAATTGACTATAATTTTTATTTTTAAAAACATATTAAAGAAACCCATTGTAAAAAGTTATCGTTATTTTAAAGAGAAAATTTAACAGCTAGGTGCATTTAAGAAGACCCAATTTCAAATGCCCCAAATCAATCCTTATCTCAAAGATGAAATACTTTGAATCCCACCTCTTAAGTTGCCAATCAGTCGAAGACTTAGAAATAAGCGTCCACTGCGATGTAGATATTTTTGAATGGCTTATGCAATATATGATCCAGCGAGAAAAGCCGAATCTGGAAATCAGCAAAGTGATTTCCATTTTGATTTCTTCAGAATTCTTACAGATGCAGTCATTGGTTAATGAATGCTTGGAATTCATCACAAGGAACCTTGAAGAAGTAGTCAAGCTGCCCATCGACATGAGCTGTCTAAACCCAAGCATAATAAAATATGGCGTCTTCGTCTGGGCATGGCCTCCGGCCATGCAGCCTCGACTCATATTTTAATTATATCCGGCAAGGTTTTGCCATTTCAGAGATGGACGGCAATGCTAGGTAAGCAATTCTGGTGGAGTACAGAACCTAGCCCTAGTCTATTCTCAGAGATGGTTTTTTCCTCGTGGGGAAGGAAAAGCACGGCAGTTGGAAAGGGGAAGCCTAGCAGAGTCCACACGACCATCGGGCAACTCCCTAGCGTGAAACTGGGCGTTACGTCCCAGGCTACGTGTTTTTCCTTTTTGCCGAAAGCCTACCAGAAAATCCATTTTTTGGGTTTTCGGAATGGCAGCCCATGTCACAAGCAAGTAGCTCATCCATGAGCCGTCGAAGCCGGCAACACTTGCCCCTAGGCGCACCTTGGTGAACGAAGCGGACCGGCCCAGAGGTCTGTGGGCCCGATGCGACGAAAGGCGAGCGGAGGTCTGGGCTTTGCCAACCCAGTAGTGGACGTTAAGCGTTATAATTAGTAAGTTAAGTTAAGTCTAAACCCAAGCTTACTGAAACAGTTGGCAAAAATGGTAACTCCTGAACTGCTCGATGACGTAAAGGACAGAAAAGATAAACTCACCAGCAAGCTTTTTATGAAGAAATTAGAAGAGCTGCTAGAGGACGACAATAATATTTTGAATAGGTGCGTCTATTGCAATAAATTATACACAAATGAGCAACACGAATGAATGATATGTGAAAAAGCCAGAATTTTCATTGATTTTCATGGAAATGTCATTGCAGAGCACGTCGCTGACAGAAATTGGGAAATTAATAAATTTTTTTTATTTTTAAAAGACCAAGGACTTACATGGAGAGAAATTTATTGGAAAATCTGGGCACGGCTTCAAGCTTTTTACTGTAATGTGTGTGGGCTTAAATTTGTAGCAGCTGAGCTAGGACATTGCAGCTACCACCCAGAGGAGCCAAAATTCAGCCATGGCAGCAATATTGGTTTCTACCAGTGCTGCCAACAAAAAGCTATCAGATTTGATACTTCAATTAAAAAGAAAGGCTGCTGTGGAAGAAATCATGTCCCGCGCGATAAAATTCACTCAAAAGAATATGAATTTCTAATGAAAAACTTTACAATTATTGAAGAACCTTTTGAAATGAAAAATGACAGAACTGTTTCTATTACAAAAATGGTGCAAATGTTTGCGACAAAAGCAGATGCTGTAGAATCAGAAGATGAAGACGAATTAGATGAGGACGAAAGAACTGACGAAAACTCAGTGTCTTTAAAAGAGGAAGAAGAGAAAAAAATGAAGAAAAAAATAAAAGGGAAAAATGGAGACTTGAACCCGAGAAAACAAAGGGTTTGAAAGCTTGATAATTTAAGACTTGGAGACTTTACAAATATGAAAGAAATGTGTGACAATTTAAGCAAGATGAGAAAGAAAAGAGATGTAAAACCTAATCCTAAAAAAAAATAAGATTTTGTTAATTTTCTATTAACTTTAAAGCGCCCAATATCTATTTTCTAAAACAATCTTTATTTTAAGCCCCCGATAATTAATCTCATGAGGTTGCCTTACGGTATGGTCATAAACTTCGAAGATTTATGAACTCCTGAATCTCAGCTGAAAACTTGATGGTACGGCGCAATCCGTAAAAACGAGCAAAAAGACAAATGCTTTATATTAAAACTCAACGGCCGATTTGCCTATGCCAACGAAAAACTTGAATTCACTCCAAACATCAACGAGGACGCCTTAGCTTTATCTAAAAAATTAACAAATGACTCATATCGCCAGCTAAAATGGGCAAACAGAATTTCCCTGCTAGCTTCATACTGAACCAACATGGCAAAGACAATGAACAGCTTAACACCTGAAGAATTTGAAGAAGAAAAAGAAAAGCTCAGAAAATACATCCCAGACGCCATCATTAACAACCAAAACTTTTTTTCTGAATTGCTGAAAAATATAAACACCATGGACTACCCCAATTACAGTTGGTTCAAGCCCATCAAGCCAAGGCCAGCAATTTTATTTTATTTAGCTGACAAAGATAAATTATGCATACACACTGCATATGCCCAATATAAAAATTCTCCTTATCCTAATAGAGGGGACTATGACGATCTGCCTGAGGAGCTTAAAGAGTTATATGAGGAAATTTATAGACTAGACAAAATTAGGTACCATGCAGAATTACTGAAATGCTCAAATGCACAGTATTTGAATTATTTAACAGAGGTCATTTCTTTAGGAGATGTATTTAAATGTCCATTAGCAAACGGATTAGGAGAAAACACAAGGATGAGGAAAAAGGTGTCGGTCTTTATGCAGATTAAAATTGAAAACTGGATTAGTGCACTTATGAAAAAAATGGAAGAATTGTTTAGGAAAGCACGATGAGGCAACAGAAAAAATTCAGTTTTAAAGCTGGCTGTTAATGAGTGCCTTACGAAATTCCCAAAAGATCCAGAAAGTCCAATTGTGCATTATACAATGTGTGGAGAAAATTTGAATGAAAATAAGCCTGTGCTTTATATAATTGAACAATCAATTTTCCATCAGGAGTCTTGGCTGGAGGCGAATGAAAACACTGAGGAGCCTGCCAATTTTCTTAGTGACCCACTGTTTTTGCCGTATATGTGTGTGAATTTAGGACATGGAATTAAGGCGAAACTGTATGAAATAGAAGATGCTTTATTTGATATTGGACGGTAAGCAATTAAATGATAAATATTCTACTTTTATAATAAATTAAATGAGTATTAATGAAATGCTTGGCTTTTAAAATTTTATAATAAGCCATAAATTAATTTTTGATTTAGGAACAGATCCTTAATTGGAAATAATTAATAATGGATTGGCTTACACAATTATCAAAATTTAATTGATGCAAATAAGGTGATTTAGAAAGTATTTACTTATGAAGGTTTTGTCGGCAGTTATTATTTAGTCAGCTAATGCCAATAGAGTATATCCAGCCTATTATATTTATCTCTATGATAAATATGATTTTGATATTCTACCCGTCTTACCATCACAAACCTTCCTGCAGATACTAGTAATCAGAGCCTAATTTTATTATATATTGAAGGCCCCTTATAATTAATGCCTATCAATTTGCCTTACGGTCTGAGTATTGATATTGACAAATTATGATCCTCAGACTCCAAGCTGAAATACCTATGAAGTCACTCTATTCGTAAAAATGCAGCCAATGCCAAGTGTTTCGTTTTCAGAGTAAATGGCAGGTTTTGCTATGCTAATGCCAAGCTTGAGATTACTCCCAATATTAATAATCAGTCCTTATCGCTTTTCCGGGAATGGGAAAATGGAGGAGACGACGTTGCAGAATGGCAAAAAAAAGCTGAAAAAGTTACCACATATTTAAAATCCCATTTTAAGCCTTGGACATCTAAAGAAGACAGAAAGAAACTTAAATTATATGTCCCAGAGGCAATTCTTAAAGACCAAAATTCTGTGAGAAAGCTGTTTAGGACTATTCTAGGACGAGATAACAGATTATACAGCTTATTTGAGCCGATCAGGCCTCGAGTTCCACTGATTTTTTATATTGCTGACAAGTTCAAGTCACCTCTATGTGATTTTTATTACCAAATCTTCAGCGGCTACCATTCTGTTAAAGCAGAATTTGACGCATTGCCTCCCCAAATTATTGAGACCTACCGAAAAGCCTACAAACTAGACAAGCTCCGCTATGAATCAGAAGTCATGAAATGCTCAAACGTAAAGTACCTTAATTTCTTATCTGACGGCCTCTCCCCCGCCGAAGTCTATAAAAGCTACACAGGCCCTCTCAGCGCCCAAAGCGAAAACTGCATAGTCTGAAAATTTTCTTTATTTCTTTCTATAAAAATTGAGAACCTTATTGACGCTTTAATTGTAAACTTAAAAGAATTCAATTGATGCGGCTATCATAATATGAAAAAAGAGCAAGTTCTGCAGTACGCAATCAATAAATTCATAAAAAATTATCCTAACAACGAAAATGAGCAGATAATGCATTATACAGTATGCTTAGAATTAGTGCTTGAAAATTACCCTGAACTGTGCATAATAGAGCAGTCAATTTTGCATTTGGAATCATGATGTGAGGCTGAGGACGACTCTATGGAAATGATAGACTTTGCAAATATGTCGCTGTCTTCTCCTTATATGTGTGCAAAGCTAGGGCGAGGAATTAAAGCAAAATTGTATGAAATTGAAGATATTCTGCTTAAAGGGAGCTGCACGAAATACTCTCTTTGGGTCGATGACTATAAGTTCATTCTTTCGAATATAATGAATATCACTGAGTTGCCAGAGCCAGATAATAATCATCCTATTATAATATTATAATCATTTTTTCCTATTTTTTTGAATTTAAGCCCAAAAATTTTTTATTAATTTTTACTGATTAAGAAAATAATAATCCCTCAATACCCCTGAATTAAAAATCCTTATTTATAGCTTTTCAGCATAAATATGAATAATTTTAGATCCCCTTATAATTAATGACCTTAAGACTACCATACGGCCTCACTGTGAACTTCGAAGAAATGTGGACTACTGAATCTCAGCTCAAGCATTTATGGCACAAGGCAATCCGCAAAAACATGGGCATGCGAAAATGCTTCGTTTTTCGGCTCAATGGAAAATACGCCTATGCCAACGCAAAAGTAAAGCTCACCCCAGATATTAACACCCAATGCTTATCTTTATGCAAAAAATGGGAAAACAGCTCAGATCGCCAGACGAAATGAACAAATAAAGCCCATTCAGTCGCAAATCATTTTATAAAGCTGAGGGAAAGGACATGGAATGAGCAGTCTATCAAGTCTAATGAAGAGAAAAAGCGACTTAGGACGTATATCCCAGAAATAATTCTTGACAACCCAAACACTTTAGGCACACTATTGAAATCGACCATGTGCAAGCCTGGAGAAAACTATAGTTTTTTTAAGCCCACCCCAGCTAGAGCTCCACTTATATACTATATTGCCGATAAATTCGGCTTATGCCTCTACAACACTTTTTTCCCATATCGAGACTACTACCACAACGCCAAAAAAGAATACGAAACTCTCCCAAAAGAATTTAAAGCACTTTATATCAAAGCTAACGAGCTCGATGCTTTAAGGCACCAAGCAGAAACCATGAAATGTGCTAGCGCCAGCTTCTTGAATTTTCTAAACCACTCTATATCCTGACGAGAAATCTACAGAAGGCCTTTTTCCACCATTTTCGGCGAAAATTTGCGGTCCATGAGCAAAATCAACGTTTTTATGCCAATCAGGGTGGAAAACTGGATCAGCGCCATCATAAAAAAAATTGATAATTTATGCAAAGATGGAGCCTGGAGAAACAAAAAAAATAAAGTGCTGAAAGATGTTGTCAATGAGCTAGTCAAAAAGTACCCAAAAGATGAAGACGCACCGCTAACACATTATACGCTTTGTGGAGAAAATTTGAATAATTACACACCGACACTTTTTGTGATCGAGCAGTCTATCTGGCATCAAGAGTCGTGGCTGGAGTCGTCAGAGCTTGTAGGAGACGTCGTGGACATGCAGGATTTCCCACTTACAAGGCCTTACAGCAATGTAAACTTAGGCTACGGGATTGAGGCAAAACTGTATAAAATAGAAGATGTGCTGTTTGATAGCGGATATATGAAGAAAATTAGGGAAGTAGACGACTAATGATAATATATTGAGCTAATATGCATTATTTAATTATTACATTAAAAAAGGTTATAGAATACTCTTAAGGTATCTTTTGCCCCTATAGTGATTATTATATGTCTCAGGTCTCTTTTATCATTTGATAATTGATGGCATTCTCTCAGCTTCAGCAGTACGACTGTGGGTGCAAAAATCGAATACTCAGGGACTTTTCGCTTCCTCGCCCGGAAGCACTCATAGCTTTGGTTTTTTACCCCACGCTTGACCCCAAGGCAGCCAAAAGTGTTCCATATAATCACTCGTCCTCTTTCAGTACTCGCAATCACATGTCCAATATCCTGCGAAAAAGAGGCCTTAATAGGGAATTTCGTAAAATGGCCACCCTTGTATTTTTGCATCATAAGATTTTCTGTAAATTTATACAGCCTGATCCTAGAGTCATTAGTAGTAACCAGCACGTGTTCACAGTCCATGAATTCTACAGCCGTCACCTTTCTGCCTTTACTCCTTAGGCCACTTCTATTCCTACACAAAATGGTATAGCTATGCCTCAGCCTCAAGTCTGTGCTTCTTGACTCATAAATCATCACCTGCCCTTTAGCTAGCCCCGCAGCCAAAAACTGCCCCTCTGCAGAATAAGCTAACGAAAAAATGTGATCAATAGTCTGGTAAAACCCTTCAATTTTCCTATCAGGCAACTTATAAAGCCTGATAACTCTATCTTGGCAAGCCGTGACAAAATAGTTTTCATTCATAGGATGAAAGCAGCAGGCATTTACTCCACAAGGGTGCTGGAATGTGTCAATTGAAGACTCAGAGCCGATTAATCATAACTTAACTGTTCCGTCCAATGAGGAAGATAATAGCCTAGAGCTGGTACAGTCTCAAGAAATGCTGGTAACTGCTCGTGTATGCTCACTGAACATAATAAACGGAAAAGGGTGCAAAAGCTGGGTGTCTCCATTCCTGAACGCTGAAATTTCATATACTGAAGTTACGCAGCATCCTCCAGAAATCGCTAAAAATCTCCCATTAGGGCTGAATTTCATGATCCAGAACTCGCTTTGGCTTTTTTGGGTCAGGCCTAGCTCTTGGCTCAGCTGAAAATTTTGGAACTCGCAAAATTCTTTGTCCCTTTTTTTGTACTTTGGGAGTCATGGAGAATGGGTCAAGAAATCCTCAGTTTGTGTCACAGCTGATGCAGAATTGTTAGAAGTCATGCTCTGGGTGTCAGAAATATCGTTATTAAAGTTAGCATTCCTAGCTGAGTTGTCGTTGACCATGTCTGCTGATTTCTCAACAGCATCGTAGAACTCTTCATCACTGTCTTGGATAGTTTCCATTTATATTATTTCTCTTTATAAATTACGCAAAAAATGTCAAAAATATCCAAACCTAAGTCAAAAAGTGGTTACCATAAAAAAAAGTAATTTATAAGGCATTTTTATATTAAAAAATTACTGTAATTTACCTTTTGTGGTAATTTTAATCCCTCAAAAAGTAGCTTAAGAATGGAAGCTTATACCCCGACCCCTTCCAATATCCACAAGGTCAGAAGTCTTCAGAACTTTTCCACCCCGACAGCTCAGAAGAAAAATGTACAAATAGGAGATTTTAGAAACAAAACTTACTTGTCGTATCAGCCGGATTCGCTTATCCACACTCCTGAGCTGGGCCAGAGTATTTTTAAGCCTCGAAAGCTGCCGAAACTGTCAATTAACAACCCAGTTTTTAAAAACCAGCCTGCAAACTCAGCCCCTGAAAAAGAAAAAACCTCCCAGAGCTCAAGCAGGCTGAAACCATATTTGAGGCAAAAAACAAACATTTCAGTAAATTCTGCTATAAAAAACCATGTAATTTCATGCACTTATAAATCAAGGACTGGAGAATCTTTGGGGAAGCCAAAAGTCTTTAACCAAGACTCCTTTATAGTTAAATCAGGGCTAAAAGGGGTTAAAGGGCAGTATCTGTTTGGGATCTGTGACGGGCATGGACCAGCTGGTCATGAGGTGTCACGGTTTATAAAGGAAAAATTCCCAATTATTTTTGATGGAAAATTTACTGTCAAAAACCCTGATCATGGGCAGATAAAAGAAATACTGGGAAGCTCAATAAGGGAGCTTGCTAAAAATATTGATAATAGTAAAATTGATGTGGAAAGCAGCGGAAGCACCTTGAACTCTGTTTTTATTAGTGGGGATAAAGTAGTCTGTGGGAATATAGGGGATTCAAGAGCTGTGATTGGGACTTTTAAAGAGAGATGGCTGTGGAAAGAACTGTCTAGAGACCACAAACCTAGCGAAGAAGACGAAAAAGAAAGAATCATCAGTGCTAACGGTAGGGTTGAGCCAAGAAACATTCAAGGTCACGACGTAGGGCCTGAAAGAGTGTGGCTTGAAAATCTAGGAATGCCAGGCCTTGCTGTATCCAGATCAATCGGTGACCGAATTGCCCACAGAATTGGTGTCAGCTCAGTCCCAGAGTTCACAGACCACTGAATTGTCCCAGAAGACAAGTTTATCATTATCGCCAGTGACGGGATTTGGGAGTTCATTTCTAGTGAAGAAGCTGTAAATATAGTAGGGAACACTTGATACGCCGGCAAAAGCGACAAATGCTGCGAAGTCCTTGTAAATGAAGCTGTAGATCGATGGAGCGAGCATGGGAATAATGTAGACGATATCACCATTCTTATTATTTTTCTTAATCCCCCTCCGTAAGAGAACAAAACCATTGGAAAAATCCTATTTTTGCCAAAAAACATCCTACATGAGCGAGTAAAAAATTTTTTATGAAATATAAGTGATAATTATTGTAATGAAATTAAACACCTTGCATTTTAAAACATAAATTTTACATTAAATTAATATCTGCTTTAAAATTATTCGAATTGGGATTTTTTAAATTTTGAAAAAGAAAATTTACTATAAATTTTTAAAAAAATTAACCATCTCTATGAGCAACACAAATTTTTTTGTTCGCTTGCGGAGGGGAGTTAGTTTCTCTAATAAGAGGTGAGGGGACCATAATTAACAAAGTTAAAACATACCCTTATATAGCTTTTTTCCTGCGGATTACTTCAGATTTCAGCTCTTTTGGCAGCTGCGCGAATATTTTTCTGATATCGTCTTGATGTTTTAGGCAGAATTCTACGCATTTTTCTTTGAGCTCGATGGCTTCGTTTTCAGAGGCTGCGTCCCAGATTGCTTCGAGGTTGTCTTCGTCGATGCATTTTTCAAGCTCGATTTGGATGATTAACTTGAGACCGTTGACTCGGTAGAGGCCAGCGAGGTAGAGGAGTTCCATTATGTGCTGGTTGTCTGTTTTTAGCTTTCCGGTATAGAGATATAATAGCATGCTTTTTACAGCTTCATATGAGTATAGAGATTTAAAGTAAATTGGCTAATAGAAAATATAGAAATGGTGATGGGAAATTTAAGGAAAAGGCTATATCCGTTAATTTGTACTTCGTTTAAAGAAGCTTCAAGCATTGAGCTAGTCAACATTGCACTAAATATAGGAGATCTTGCACCTAATATTGATTTGTGGACCTTAATCCTTTCTCCACTGTCAACAACTACGTTTAAATCGCTTACTTCCCCCTCCGTGAATAAACTAAAAATTTTTATTCGCTCACATAGGGTTAAGTTTTTTTTTCTTCAAAATTTAAAAATTCCAATAAAGTAAAAAATTAATTTAAATGTTTTAAAATGCAAGCTTTTAAAAATTAAACAGAATTAGCTAGTGATTTCATTATAATACTTATTACTTATATATATCAAAATAATTTTTCTTAAAAAAATTTTATATTAAAAAGGTTTTTTTTTCGCTTAAGTTGGGTGGTTTTTATCCCAAAAAATAGTATTTTTCCAATGGTTTTGTCGCTCAAGGAGTGGAAGTTAGATTTTCAGTATCAAATAGCCTTTCTAAATAAATTTCAGTCGCATTCCTCTTATAATTGATCGGCTCTTCATTAGTCCTATAATCCAGCCACTGAGTCATCAGCTCTCTTTTCCTTTCTTCTTCAGGGCTGATTATTCTTTGTTTCGGCTCCTCAGGCAAAGATTCAGACTTTTTCTCTTCCAATGCAAATTTGCTCATGACAAGTCCGAGTTCTCGTTTTTCAGCTAAATGCTGCCTTCTTATGATTTCTTCGTGGGAAAGTTCTTGCTTTTTGGGAGGACTTATAGGTTTTTCAATGATTTGAGGAGGTGCAGGGTTTCCTGATTGGAATCTTGCTAGCATTTTTTGGCGTCTTTCTTCATCTCTTCTGGCTTTGTCGGCTTCCAAATTAGGGTTTGGAAGATCTTGGATGCTTGCTTGGGGATTTTCTTCGTCTAAGCGGCCACTTCCTCCTTCAAAATGAGGCTGCATGTAGCCATTTGCTTTTAATCAGGCTTGAGAAGGCCCATCAAAGCCAAATCCTCCGTAGAGTCCTGGCTCGTTACCTGTTCTTGCATGTGGGAATTTTGGTTTTTGAGGAGAGTCTTGGGGCTCAGTGTCAGAATCTGAATCCATTTGGTCAAGCACAGATGCCAACCCCCCACCCCCCCACCCCCCCTAGTATATATAGATCACACCCCCACCCCTATGTTAATAGATCCCACCCCCACCCCCTCTATCATATAGGTAAAACATATAAGTATCAAATCTTACAAATAAGAGATACAAGAAAATTTTAGTTAATTCATAAATGGATTCATAAATAGATTCATAAATAAAATATTAATGATCATAAGTATATTTAGCATAGACTAATATAGCCAATATATTAGTAATACATTTAAAATAAAATAATTGCAAAAAAAATTGTTACATAGAAAGGAATCAATAAATGACTCAAAAAATATTTTGATATCTCTTATAAAGTCTTTTACTACCCCCATTTAATAACGAACACTTTTTTGTTCCTTATGAAATGGGGTCTAACATATAAAATTTTTGGGAAAAAAATATATATATAAAAATTATATTAAATATCTATGATTTTTTTATATAAAATAATAATAAAAAAATCAAATGATGACAACATAAAAATAAAGTACCTGAATTCTATAAATTTAAAAAAAAATAATCTCCTTCATGAGCAAACGATATTTTTTGTTCACTTACGGAGGGGGAGTAAAGCACCATCTTAAGATTAAGCCACTATTAGCTCTTATTTATTATTCTTTGCTCGATTATGCTTGTCTTTATCTTACTCTAACTACTTAAAATTAATAAACTGTAAAGACTAAATTAGCTTATATAAATTTTATAGTAAATTTTGTTCGTTATTAAATGGCCTAACTCCCCCCCCCCCTCCGTGAGCGAACAAAAAAATTTTGTTCGCTCACGGAGGGGGGTTAATTTTTTTTTTTTAAAAAAATTTTATATATAAATTTTATAAAAAATATTTTTTCGAAATTTAAAAAAATCCTAATTTGCAAAAATTGGGAAGCAAATATTAATTTAATTTGCAAAATTTATGTTTTAAAACGCAATTTGTTTAAAATTAAACAGAATTAGCTCTAGATTTCATTATACTAATTATCACTTATATATCAAAATTTTTTTCCATTAAAATTTTTTCTATTAAAAAAATTTTTGTTCACTCACGGAGGGTGGGTTTTTGGTCAAAAAATGGCGATTTTTCTAATGGTTTTGTTCGCTCACGGAGGGGGGGGGGGAGTAAGGATAAATTTTTACTCCCCCCCCCCCCCCTCCGTGAGCGAACAAAAAAAATTTTGTTCGCTCACGGAGGGGGGTTAATTTTTTTTTTTAAAAAACAATTTATATATAAATTTTATAAAAAAAATTTTTTTTTCGAAATTTAAAAAAAATCCTAATTTGCAAAAATTGGGAAGCAAATACTAATTTAATTTGCAAAATTTATGTTTTAAAACGCAATTTGTTTAAAATTAAACAGAATTAGCTCTAGATTTCATTATACTAATTATCACTTATATAGCAAAATTTTTTTTTCTATTAAAATTTTTTCTATTAAAAATATTTTTGTTCACTCACGGAGGGTGGGTTTTTGGTCAAAAAATGGCGATTTTTCTAATGGTTTTGTTCGCTCACGGAGGGGGGGGGGGGAGTTAGAAAAAAAAAATGACGGTTTTGTTGGTTATTAATGGCGGGGGGGTAGCTAGCCTGCATTCTTTGGAAATTTTTGACCTTTATATGATTTAAAACACGAGGTATGTGCTTCAAAGTTCATTGAAAATATGCTTCCTTGTTAGCACACTGTATCCGATTTTTTTTTTATCCCTATGACTTTGAATTTTTTATGCTGTGAGCAATTAATATGTTTTAATTGCCTTTAATACAGTTTACATTATATAGGGGGGGGTGGGGGTGGGGGGTGGCATCTATTAATGGATGGGGGTGTGGATGGGATCCATAGATGCAAGGGGGGTGGGGGTGTGATCCATACAGGGGCGGGGGGTGTGATCCATACAGGGGGGGGGGGGTGTGATCCATACAGAGGTGGGGGTGTGATGTATACATCCAAACTGGGGGGGTGGGGGTGGGGGGGTTGGCATCTGTGCTTGACCATCCATTTAATAGAATTTATAATGAAATTTATTGCTATAATGCAGCTATATATTCCTTCAGCATTACTTATTTTTGGATATTATAGCATGTTAGCTGACGATAAAAATTACAAATTCCAGTTTTATCATTTTTAGCAGGATGATTTAGGCATCCTTTTAAGTCCCAAGTTAAAGTTTTAGATATTCCTACGACACCATTTTATCTGGAGGGGCAATTTTAAGCTTCAACAACTTCAAAAGCCTATCCAGATAGCACCACGAGACACGTGTGCTTGCTTAGCTGCACAGTTCCGGATAAGGGTCTTCCTCTCTGAAGCCCCAAGTGCTTACCCTTAATTTTGCTAAAGCTCAAGGATCAGGCATACCTTAGGCTGTTACTGATTAGATTATTAGCCAAATAATTAATTGATAGTTTTAACTTCAGAATCAAAATTATTTCTCAGTTTTAGATTCTCAGGACTTGTCCATATCATTAATTTTGAGTTATTTTAAGCCCTAAGGATAGATTCTAACTGCACTGTATAGAGTAAGCCTCGAAGATCGTATTTTGCCCACCAAACCAAATTATCTCTATAAACGGTTTACAGTTTTTAAAATAATCGCGCAATTTTGGACAATATGCTCTCTCTTAGGATAGTATTCGAAGACTTCTAAAGTACTAATTTTCGTCTGTTTTCAAGTGTAGATATAAATAATCTCTCAATATGTCATAAATTTACCAGCATCATTCTAATAATTCCATATTTAATCATTCTGATATGCATCTTAGCTTTAGCAATGTTCCAGAATTAATTTACGATAGGCTCATTCCAGAAGCTTCTAATATTGATAGCCCACTTCTCCAAAAAATCATCTCTATTAATTGCAGCAAAGACTTGAAAGATCTTTTGGAACTAGAAAACGAAGTATTTACTTATGCCTATTCACAATGTATATAAACGTTCTAATCAATCAGCACTTCTATTTCCTATGAAATTAGATAAAGGCTGCAATATATAAATGTCTGCGCTTATTATAAATATTATGTGAATCTCAAGACAAGTTAACTCGCACTCTTACGATTTTATTATATGAGTCTTGCTGTTTTCAAGTATCTTTGTATTCTAATCCCTTTAATTCAGAAATGCTAGAGTTTTCTATTGATAAGCTTTGAAACATCAGCAAAAAATGCCCTTATTTTATTAGAGAAGATTCAATTCGAGAAATTATTCATCGAATAGTTTATGTTATTACGAAAAATGATATCGAAGAAAGCCCACAAAAGTGGTTAGCCCAAATAAATCGGCTTAAAAGTATGATGTTTTATGTATTAGACGATGAATTAGCTGAGCTGGCTAGCAAAAATTTCAAATATAAATATAAAAATATAAAATGGAACCTCAAGATAATTTCAGCTTTTGAATGAGTTGGGCTGGCTATTCCATTGACCAAAAGATCAAAACTTAAAGAAGCGTTTGCATTTTTCTCAAAAATATTTAAAGAAAATGAAATAATTAAAAAATCAAGCTGATATAAAAAAGAGAAATTTTTAGGCTGATTTAGCAATATGGATCAGTCGCCTACTACTGTGATTGTTGCAAAGCTCGCTTTTGAGATATATTTGCCTTTGAGCGAATACTTAAATAATGAAGATTTATATGATAAGAATTGATTTAAAATAGAAAGAGATCTATTTTTAAATTATTTAGGAAATTATCCAAATGAAATAAGAATAGCACTAAATGATGCAATGAAAAAATATAAAAAATATAAACAATCAAGCCAAAAATATAAAGACGAAAATTTTCATAAAATTCAGAAGATCTTGTCAAAAATTATAATCGATGACCCTGAGATATATTTGGATTTTCAAATGCTCGGTATTTTTAAGCTATTCAAGCCGCTTAAATTTTATCCAAAGTTAATTTCATCACAAAAAGAAATTAGGTATGGTATAATATTGCATTTAAATGAATTCTCAGCACCGGAAGTTAAGGTCCGGAAAGCAAAAATCATTACAAATCAAAAAGAAGTAGCTGTAAAAACTTATTCTTGCAAAAATCGTGATTTATTATATAAATTCCAAAAAGAAAGAGATATTCTGCACATGCTTTCAGGAAAACATAAAGTATTTTTGAAATTTTATGGATCATTTTGGTCAAAAATAAATATAAATAATGAAATTATTTATTCGTTCTCAATAGTAATGCAACTATGCGAGAAATCTTTACAATATGATATAGAAAATAGTGTAAATTACTCAGAAATAAAATGCTGCAATACAATTGGGAAGATACTTGAAGGGTTTACAATTTTAGAAAGAATGGAAGTTTATCATCATGATATCAAGCCTCATAATATATTAATTACTAAAACAGGAAACCCAAAAATCGCTGATTTCGGAATAACTATACTTGGGTTAAAGTGAAATTCTGCATACAGCCAGTCAAAAGATGATTTATTAAAAGGAACAACTTATTATATATCTCCTGAACTTGCAGAAGCCCGCGAAAATTTAAAAAAAAAACCAAACTTAAAAATTACTATTAACCCAAGATATGCTGATATTTATTCTCTGGGATTAGTTTTATCTCAAATTTGAAAATTGAAATTGCTTCATTCTAAAAATGACCAAAATTTTCATGAATTAATTTTAAAAATGCTTACTCACCGCCCCCGTAAGCGAACAAAAAAATCTGCTCCCTCAGGTACTCAGGTAGGGGTTAATATTTTTTCCGAATTTAAAAAATTCCACTTCTTGAAAATTGGAAGGCGAAAATTAATCTAATTTAAAAAATTTATGTTTTAAAACGCAATTTTTTTTAAAATTAAAAATAGAATTAGCTAGAGATTTCATGATACTAGTTATCACTTATATATCAAAATTTTTTCCCATAAAAATTTTTCTATTTAAAAAATTTTATTATCACGGAGGATGAGTTTTCGGGGATTTTCTAATTGTTTTGTTCGCTCATGGAGGGGGAAGTTTAATAAAAACTATTGGGAAAGACTTGGAATGTATTCAGTGTATTTTCTATTTTTTAATTTCCTAGGTAAAGATAGGCCTGATAGCGTTGAGAACCTATCGAGTTTTGAAGCCGAAGAATTTAATCAGGAAAATAATTTTGATTTTCCAAAAAAATATAATTATATGGATAGAATTTTCAGTAACTGTATTTATAAGAGTCCTCCTGAAATATGAGGCAACTTTAAAAAAGAAATTATCATTAGTGGAACACTTATCTCTGATAAAAAAGATGTTGGAGCAATAATATTATCTAATCCTAATCATATGGAGCTTATCCCTTATGAAAAAGAAGCTCAAACCTGATTGAAAATTTCAAAGGAAAATAATAAAACTATTCTATTAGCTTTTAAATTACTCCATATAAATGACGATCAAGAAATGCTAAGTAAGCTTGTAATGGTAACAGAAAAAATGAAAAATAATTCATTATATGATGAAATATTTATTAGAGATTTAATTGAACAAAAATATTCTGAAAACGAGATATTGAAATTTTTATGTGAGCCATTCATGAAAGATTTTTTAAAAGTATTGAAAAATGCAGATATTAATTTAAATAATGACTTTACGAAATCATTTATGGAGACCGAAAATGGATTTAAATTGGTGCCTTTTATAAGAAATGAAATAGAAGCTTTCTATAATTTATCCGAAAATAGAGAGATTTCAAATTTTATTTCGCTAGGTAAAATGATTTATAGTATGGCAACTTTAAAATTTGATTACCATGATTTCATTACAGAAATAGAAACATTTGCAGAAAACTTGATACATTCTCATAGGAGAAAAGAACTTTTATTAAAATTCGAAGAAATTCTCATAAAATTCATCGGAGAGATCTCTTTAAATGACTATATATTATTCTAATGAAATTTTTATTGTTTAATAAAGCAAACCAGTTTTTTATTAAATATTAATTAATCTCAACCCTTATTACTATTAGCAAAAGATATTATAAAAAACTATCCGAGAAATATTATTTTATTGCATAAGTGGCTTACCTTGATGTCATTTTACTTAGCCAGAGCTATTGCAAGTATTTAATAATTGACCAATTCATCGCCCATGATTGAGCTAGCAAAAACTAGGCTCCAGTGATTAAAAATTCCCAATTAGCATTAAGATATCAGGTCAGCAGTAAGGTGAGCTTTTAGCTTGATTTTTCTAATAATTTAGTTGTATAGCCCGTTCCCGGCTATAGATCGGGCTATGCCCAATCTTTGCCGGGACACTCGAGGAGTTGTCTGCGTCAATTTTGGGGGTGACGAGTCAACTCCTCGAGTTGGCAAATCACTATATGGTAGCTATCTGCCAACTCGGGGAGTTGACTCGTCACCTCGAAGTGACACAGACAACCCCCCGAGTTTCCCGGCAAAGATCGGGCATAGCCCAATCTATAGCCGGGAACGGGGTATATCTTAGCCTTCAAAGAGAAGGAATTGAAGTGAAAGTGAATATCTTGATGACAAACTCTACTACTTTACGGTACTTTTCCACATGATTATGGACATGAATGCTTTGGCTTGATCTCTGGAGCAGCGAGGAAAGATCTCCGCTCGACTTCCACCAAACCAATGATTAAAATAGATAAATTAATATTTTATTAAGTTACTAAACTCTTTTAATTCATTAATAGCATAAGCTAGATATTCTTAATTTTGCCAAAGTTTAAAATGCTATTTTTAATTATTTAAATAATATTTTCTATAATTCTGCTTTCTATTCAATTTAAACAATGGACCAAAACAATTGCCAATTAAAATGATTGTTTTTCCTATAAAATCAATTATAAAAGATTAATAGAATTTACATAATTTATTTAAAAGGCCTTTTTCTTTCTGCTGATTTCGAATTCCTTTGTGCAAGTGGAGATTTTTCCAAACTTGTCCGGATTTTACTCTGTGAAGAAATCGTCGGCTTGAAAAACCTAGACAATGGAGAGATTTTCACATGAGATTTCTGGTCGTTTTCTTTGTTTTGTTTTATAGAATCACTAGTAGAAATCGACGTTTTTCTGTCATATACAGCACGAGGGGTATTTACATCTGAACTAGGAGGTGAAAAGAATGTCATTAAATGATGGGAATTAAAGGAGTCTTCATTATCAAGCGAAATAGGATAGTCAACTGGGTTTGATAATTGCAAAAAATCTTCAAGAGCTATTAGATTGACCCCAATTTTTACCACGACCTGGTTATTATGAGCTTGGAGGTAAAAATCTTTGCCATTAATCGAGTACAAGTTATTTTGGATTTTTGTCAAAGTGCCACGGAACTTGTGCCGACGGAGGGTATCTTGGACTAAGCTATGGAGAAAAGAGCTTTGCAGTTTCTGCAGCTCATTTTGGGACTCTAAAAGTCCGCTCGCTAAAGCTTGTTTTTCTCCATCTGCAGCTACCAATTTCATAGTCAAATATTTCACATGCTCTTCTAATTTCTCTTTTCCAACCTTCAGCTCTTCAATTTCCTTTTCTTTTTCTTCCCCATTTTTCTCAAAACTTCTCATTTTTTCATCTTTTTCTTTACTTATTTTTTCTAAATTTTCTATTTTTGCTTCCAATTCTTTGTTTTTCCCTTGCAATTCTTTATAGCTTTCATTTTCTTTATCACAGTTTTTGTTTCATTCATTTCCTATGCTTTCCAGCATATTTTGCAGTTCTTTTCTCCGCCTTTCTGACTCAACTAAGTTCTCTTTAGTCATTAAAAGCTCTTTTTTAAGCTCGCTAAGCTTGGCTGTCGTAATTTCTGCTTGTATCCTTGTAGAGAAGTCGCTTAATTGCTTCTTTTCTCCTTCCAGCGATCTAGTTGCCCCTTGAAGCCTTGTGATTTCATTCATAGCTTCTGTAATTTCTATATCTTTTTGCTCTAATAGCTTTAGCAAAGAATTTTCTCTGGTTTGAGACGTCTCCATGGCTTCTTCAAATTCTTGAGAAATTTTGATAATTCGTGAATCCTGCGACTCCCTTCTGTCTTGCTCAAACTTAAGCTGGGTTTGGCACAAGTTCAGCTGATGTGTGAGTTCCTGGGTTAACGCAATCTGTTTCTTACTCCCCCCCTCCGTGAGTGAACAAAACCATTAGAAAAAAATCCTATTTTTTGCCAAATACCCACCCTCCGTGAGTGAACAAAAATTTTTTATGGAAAAAAATTTTGATATATAAATGATAATTAGTATAATGATGTCTAGAGCTAATTCTGTTTAATTTTAAAACGAATTGCTTTTTAAAACACATAAATTTTATAAATTAAATTAATATTTGCTTTCAAATTTTTGCGAATTAGGATTTTTTTAAATTTCGAAAAAAAAATTAAACCCCCCTCAGTTAGTGAACAAAATTTTATTTGTTCACTCACGGAGGGGAGGGAGTTATATAAAACCCGCAGCTTATCTGAATTTTCTGTAACTGAAGTGTCTGGGTCTATAGAAAAAGTATCATGGATTGGACTTTCGGGAGACTTTGAGCTTGAAGTAATGGACGCGTCTAGATCTTCATTGTACTCGTCATAAGACGCATTTTTATCACAGAGAGAAATTCTTGGCATCGTTGACTCTAAATTCTCTTTGATGACGCTGTCTACTGATATTAATAATCTTGGGCTTTTTGTTGATTCCGGAACTTCGCTTAAAAAGTCTTCAGACTTATTAGTAAATATTGGGAGTCAAATTGTGGTATTATAAGGCACCTTTTCCACTGAAAAACTGACACTGCCGTAGCAGCTGTCATCGTTGCTCATTTCTTTGATTGATAATCTTACAGTCCCAGTGACAGGTAAATCCACAATATTTTCGTTACCGAGGTTTATCGGCGTGATAACATCTAAAAGTCTGTTTTCTACTGAAATATAGCACCCCAGTGTCTCTGTATTCCATGGTCCTTCTGCTTTAAGCAATTGAAACTCAAGGACATTTGACATTATTCAAATTTTAACGTAAGGAAATTATGTTAAAATGGCTGATATTAATATTATGAAGTCGTGTCTTTTTCGTCAGCTTTCTCGTTTAGCTGGGTCCTTTCTACTACATATGCCCTAGAAAAGAAGAATAGCTAAATAAATCTTATAGAGTTTGGCCTTTTATCCAAGGGTCCGTAAATATAAAATCCATTTTGACAAGAGAAGTCTAATATTTTTAGACCTTCACATGTCAAAATGGATTTTGGGTCTGGAATTCCTATAAAAATAGGACGAGGTATTATACCACCCCACAGAAAAATAAGAAAAACGCGTACAAAAACTCCCACCATCAGTTTGATGCTTCAAAAAAACTGTCGAAACCTACCAAAGCGACAACAAACGTAGTAAGTGTCCATGTGACTGCACTAGTGATTGCAATCCCTTTGTCACACAAAATATCAGCATTATAAAGCCACATAATCGGGCCTATTGAAATTTCAAAGAAAAACATGAAAACAGCAATTATTGCTATTTTCGTTCCAATTAAGACTTGGTTATCTTCATAAATGCTGATCGGCTCTAAAATGAGCAGAATAATATAGCAGCAGCCCATCCCCACTGCTCCAATCTCTAGCATCTGTTTTTTGCCTTTGTGATAAAGGAAATACACTATCAGAAAGGCTGAACTTCAATTAATAATCCCAAAAAGAATAGTAAAATAGTCACGCGAGCTTTGGCTTGAGTCTGATTTTTCCATCAAAGCTGTCGAATGGTATATAATCATATTAATTCCTGTAAACTGCTGCAAAATCGCTACTGTGCAGCCAAGTTTTAGCCCACGCTTATGGGTTTCCATTGTAAATAAGTCTTTATAACTGACTACTTTGTTTTCCTGATCAGGGTTCGGGTCAATAATATTCCCAAAGGAATCTTTTAAGTCTTGATTATAATAAAGCCAACTCATTAATGCTATAGCGTCTTGGCGACGGTTAGACATTCACAGATAAGTCGGAGTTTCGTTATCAAATTTTCAGTACATTAAAAATAGGTGTAGGAGAGATATAGCAATTGGGAATGAAAAAGCTAGGGCATTTGTAAAGGCTGAGTGGGTTTGGCAGGCTAAAGTTCCTAGACAGTAAGAAATTAAAATGCCTAGAGTGATCATAACTTGGTTCATGGCTGCTAAACTGTTATAGGTTTCTATAGGGGTTAGCTCTCTGACTAAATAGAAAATACTGTAAAGGGGAACTAAAAAACTTGAAATTCCTGAGTTGAGGCCACATATGAAGTGGCCAATGTCAAATAGAGGTGTAAAGTAGTTGGCATCATCTCTATAGCTGGGAAATTTGCCATTACCTATTCAGAAAATGATACTAACGGTGCACTATTTATATCATACAATTCCTGAACCAATAATATTAAGGATATCGCTACATAGAAAAGCCTTTAATCTTCCAAAAGAGCCGCTTATTCAAGCTCCCAAAAAGCAGCCAAAAATAGCTCCAAATGGCATTCATATTTGGAAGAGAAATTTGTTTGGACTGTCATGATGAAGTCTTGCTAAAAAAGGGTTGAGAATTCCTGCATGGTAGCCTTAATAAAATCTACCAAATAAGAACGAAGATAAAGAGGCTGTGACAGCTAAACAATAGAAATATGAGCTGAGTTAAAATTTACATCTTCATTGTTGATTATTTCAATTATAATTATTACAGAAAAAAGTGTGAACAATTAATCAAGATTACCACTATTAAGTCAATAAAGAAAATTTTAATCAAAAACAGAAATTTAGGGAGCTTGGGGGAAGAATTGGATAAAAAGGTTTTTATAGATACTTTTAGAGAAAGGACAATCTGCGCATAATGGCTGGTTATTTTAAAATACTTTTAAATTATTTCTTCTTCAACTGTTGGGTAATATCTTTCAAAAGATTTTCCCTGTCCTTTTTGCTGAGCTCGTTTTTTTCGGTGAACTCTTTCACAACATCTTCTGCAGAGTCAGTGCTGCTGAAATGGATAATTTTAGTAACCCCTTTTACTGTAGCTTTAACATTCAATTTTTTCCCAGCAGCCTTATTTGGGGCTTTTGCTTTAGTTTCTTCGATTTTTTTAGTTGATTTTTGTTTGACTAGTTTGGTTTCTTCTTCAACAGTTTCTCCATTTCCCTCATCTACTTGCTGGCTCCAAGGAGTCGTTTTTTCTTCTTCAATTTTCTTAGGGACCTCTTGTGGAGTTTCAATTTTTTTCTCTTCTGCGATAGGCTGCCCAATACTTTTTCCTTTTTTATGATTAGTTTTTTTCTCTTCTTTTGGAAGAACTTTTGTGTCGTCTTTGCTTTTTAAAGAAGTGGCCTCATTTTTTTCTTCTTTGGCAGACTCTGGCTCAGGAGATTTTGGGACTGTTTTATGTTTAAGTTTTGGAGTTTTTTTAGATTTTTGCTCTTCTTTGGGCTGCTCTTCGATCGTTGAAGAAGAATTGGATTTCCGCTTCTTTTTAGGGGCTGGCTTATCTTGTTTTTCTTCTTCAGGGTTTATTGGAGCAGCTTCAATCTTGACCTCTTCTTTTGTAGCAACTGGCTCTTGCTTTACAGTAGCTATTAATTCTTCTTTTTTCTCCTCAACTTTTGGTTCAGGGTTTTGCTCTGCTTCAGCATTTATTTCTTTTTTAGTAGTAATTTTTTCATTAGATTTTGATTTTTTAATTGTTTTTGTAGTTTTTTGCGTGCTTACCAAGGAGCTATGCTTTGCTTCACCTCGAGTTTTTTTCTTTTCTTCTGTAGCTGTATTTAGTGTTTTTTTTAAAGTAGATTCCTTTTCTTGTTTAATTTCTGCACTTTCTGATTGAGCTCTTATCAAATCCAAGCTTTTAACCATTATTATCTCATCAGTATTTGCGTGGAGTTCTTCCTTGTTTTTCACAATTTCATTATTAGGCTCAGCCTGCTTTTCAGGGATAGAAGTCCTACCAGTTGTAAGATCTGATATATTGCTAAGACTTTGAGACTTTCCCAATTTTTCATATTCTCCAATATTTTGGATTTTTATCCCAACTTTTTTGCCGATTTTGGATTCTTCTATATCATTCTTTGGAGTGGATTCTGAGCTTTGCCCTTCTTTGGAAGATTTTATGCTTCCTGATCTTGGCTTAACAGTCTTTGACTTAGCAATTTTCTTTGGGGAACGTTTTGTTTTGCTTTCAGCTGTTTTATCTGCTTCGTTTTCTTCATGAGGCTTCTCCTCTTTTAGATCTTCTTTTATTTCTCTCAGTTCAGGTGCAGCTTTTCCTTTTGGCTGCTTATCTTCAGCTTTTGGCTCCGTATCAGCAATTTTGAAGTCAACTTTCTTCTCTTGAACTTTTGCATCTGCAGGTGCTATTTCAGGTGGAATTTGAGGTACCTCTGCTGGCTTGGTCTCCTCTTTATTTACTTTTAGCTCATCTTTTGCTGCTTTCTTTAGCTTATTATCTGCTTTCATAGCAATGGTTTTCGACTTTTGAACTGTCCTTGTGTCTTTTAGCTTTTTATCTTTCGCAGAAAAACTTATTTTCGATAGACTTTTTGATTTCAGCACTTGGCCGTCCTCTTTGACTTCTTCTACTATTTTTTTGCTTTCTTCCTTCTTATTTTCTTCTTTTTCTTTTGTTTCTACCTTTTCTTCAATTTTCTCTAACTCAACTTTTTCTTCTTGAGCTCTATTGATATGATTTTCAATAATTTCATTTGGTTTCTTTTCAACTTCTACCTCAGCCTCTTTCTCTTCTTCAATTTTCTCTTGGATTTTTCCATTTGCCTTATCGAAATCAACAATTTCGTTGGGACGCCTGCCAAGTTCTTTACTAACGTCATCTAACTCCCCCCCTCTCCGTGTGTGAACAAAAAATTTTGTTCAATCACGGGATGTTAAATTTTTTTTGTTACAAAAATTTATATATAAATTTTATAAAAAATATTTTTTTCGAGATTTAAAAAATCCTAAATCACAAAAATTGGAAAGCAAATATTAATTTAATTTATAAAATTTATGTTTTAAAAAGCAATTTGTTTTAAAAATTAAACAGAATTAGCTCTAGATTTCATTAAAATAATTATCATTTATATATCAAATTTTTTTTCCATAAAAAATTTTTCTATTAAAAAAATTTCTGTTCGCTCATAGAGGGTGGGTTTTTGGGCAAAAAATAGCGATTTTTCTAATGGTTTTGTTCACTCACGGAGGTGTGGAATAAGCTTCGACTTAAAAAATCGCTTTCATCTTTAGAAACCAAGCTTTTATCAACAGAAAAACTTTTGGTGATTTCGAATTTTTTTACAGATCTCCCCATCTCATTTTCATTTATTCTCACATCCACGCTCATCGGAAGAGATTTTTGTATAAACATTGACTGCCTCTGTCTTAATGTTCCAATAGTCGGCTGAAAAATTCAGCTTTTTACTTTGAATTGCTTTTTATTTTTGTGTTCTTTCTGCACAAATCTATCCACTGTTTGGGATCTCATGTTGGAAGTGTGGATTTTTACACTCTTCTCACAAAGTGTAGGGGCAAATGAGAAATCGGTGCAGCCGTTTAATTTATACAGTTCACTTTCCAATTTTTCCTGCAAAGTTCTGCTCCGTGGATTCACACTTTTGTATTTTCCTCTATATTTGCTGTCTCTTGTTATCGAAGAAAAAGCTCCTTGGCTTCTTGCAGTTAATGCTTGTTCTTCACCACCACCGAAATTGTGAAGCATTTATTTTTTCCTATTATTAGATTTCTAATCTTATTACTGATTTCTTTTATGTTTGTTTTTAACGATAAATTTTATGTGCCACTAATGGACTTTTAAAGAGAAACGAATAAAAATTAGAAGTGGCATTAACACTTTTTGGTTTCTGGAATATAATAGAATGAGCATACAGCACTAATTTAAAAGAATGAATCTGAGGTGTTTGAATCATTTCTAAGCTAATTTGAAATTTTCAAAATAATGGAATTGGCTAGGCTAATCATTTAAAGATGTAAGAAAAAATATTGCACTTACTTTGATGCTGCTAAACAGTATCATTGGTCGTTTTATTGTATAATAAACTTTAAGTTTATTATACTATGTCTATTGTTAATAATTTTTATTGCTGCATGATTTGCTATCATGATCCTATTTGAAATTGCATTATTTGCAAATGTTGAGAATTTTACATTTTTTGCTTTATTATTTTGTTTTCCCTTCTTTAAGTGTTACCCATTTTTGTTATTTAAATTAAAATGTATCAAGCCAACCTCCTGAAATTTATAAATTTGGAGACCTAGAAAAATTCGAATCTCAATATATTTCAATAATTGCGAGGGAAATAATTCAAAGCAAACTAGTCGATGCTCTTTCAATATCTATATTCTTCATTTATCTGTTACACAATTAAAATGGCGAGCCATCCGACCCGTCCTTCTCCTGTACCCTCAGGGACTACGGGTTTAAGAAGTAAACGGGGCCTGGATATTGTGTCCAGGGTGGGTTTTTTTTACCTTGGTCGGGACACCACGACAAGGTTTTTTTACCTCTCACAAAGACGAGAAGACCAGAGCCGCAGAATCAGGAGTCACACTTCAGGACTAGAAGGAAGTGAGGAAGCTTGTAGTGGAGCTTGGGGACCTGAAGAAGACTCCGGAAGGCTACTTTTCCCCCTCCCCAGAAAGGACGGCGCCGGGTCACTAGACCCTGATCAAAGGAGTACCTGGGTGAGTCTCCCTGTCAGATGGCGACGTCACCATTTTTTGGTGTGACGTCGACAGAAAATGGAGTGAGCTACAGAGCCGGTGCTTAGGGCGCAAGCCTGAAGCTGGCAGCGCTGGGTAGAGGCTGAAATAAACCTCCGTGACCCGCTAAAACTAATTAATCTAATCTAATCTAATCATTTATCTGAAAAAAATTGATTTAAATAAATGCTCTGCTCAGTTGCTTCTAAAAGACTCCTATCGCCTCTCTTATTTGCATTTTCAATTATTTTTTCCTCTTTTGCTATTTCTTGTTCGCCTTTAATTTTAGAGCAATTTTCTGCTTTATTTCAAGATATTTATTTTCACAATCACAAAAAATTCTTCAATTGGATTTTTCAGGATTTCCTTACCATAATGAGATGCTGCCTGAGGTTGCGCTTGGCCTCATTTTGAGTTTTTCTCTCTTCATCCACCTTCATCTAAAAGTATCTTGAAAGAGATTCGGCTTACTTTTCACTTTTTTCTTTCTATATCTTCTGACAAAATCCTGACCAAATTGACCAAATTCATTTTAGTAAGGCTACAGATTTCTATTTTACTTTTCAAAACTTCATTATCTTATTTATCTTTTTCCCATTAGTAATAGCTTCATTAGAAACACTTTCAGATACATCACTGAATATTTGAGAATTTCGTTATTTTTTATTAGATTTATTAAACTGATTATATTTCTTCTCAATCTCCTCTGATAGTATAGCTTTTTCTTTAGATGTAAAAGATTTGTGAATATGTAGCCAAGTAAGAAATGCTGAAAAAGCCAGCGAAGATGGAATAAGAATTAATGCTTTTTGAATTGGATAAGTCTTTCAGACTGAGTTAATAAAATAGCTTGCACCTAACGAGAAGCATGAGTAGCCAAAAAATATTTTATTTATCCTATTCATAGTATCCTCTACTTCATGATCTGGATTTCCACTCATATTATTATGATGAAAATTCTGGAATTTTTATTTTATATATGCATTATCTATTGAAGTTGATGCTATACCCTCCATTATCTTGCTTTTGTACCTTGAAGTTATCCAAACTTAACCCAAATTTCCCTAGCACAGTATTCCCCAAGTCCTTCAATTTTCCCATCATTTCTTCTTTTTCCTTTTCAAAGGACTCTTTTTCCGCTTTTTCGACTTCTATTTTAAGATCCTCGCTGATTTCGCCTTTTTCCATTTCTTCTTTAGCTTCTTTTGGCTTATTTTCTTGCAGAAGAATTGTGATTTTCCGTTCCCTTACCTTTTGATAATCAGACTTCAGCTCTAAGGCTCTGTCAGCATAGTCCACTGCCATAGTAAGCTCGCCTAATCGGTAATAGCAGGAACTGATATTTCCGAAGCAAATGGCTTTTAGATCGTCATCTGCATTTTCAATAGCTATAGCGCTTTCCCGAGGATGGCGCGGAATGGCGCCATCCTCGGGAAAGCCAGGAAGGCACCCACACGGGAACTGGGAGTTCCACGTGTGGATGCCATTTTGACATGTGGAAGTTTGGATCCCACATGTCAAAAATGGCATCCACACGTGGAACACCCAGTTCCCGTGTGGATGCTTAGTTGACTTTCCCGAGGATGGCGCCATTCCGCACCATCCTCGGGAAAGCGCTATAGCCTATAGCTTTCTATAGCTTCAGGGTAGTGACCCTCCTTAAAAAGCCTGTTTCCTTGATCTTTAAGTTCTGCAGGTGTGAGTTCCATAATTATTTACTAAAGTTTCTATTATATTATCTTCACGGTCAGTGATTGGAAGCCTTTATTCTCCAGTTCCGTCGTTCCGCTTAGGCTTTAGCATGCTTCTCAGAACTTCTTTCGTGCATATTAGCTTCTTTGTCATCTCATTATTTTCGCTATCCATAGCTGCATTTAAAGGATAAACGCTTCTTTCTCCCAGCTCGTTCATATAAATCATCAGCATGCTTTTGCAGCACACTATTAGTTCTGTCTTGTCCTGGAAATTTACCTGGACTAAATTATTGCTTAACCTGAACAAAATAGCATGGTCTGTCGTGAACCAATTTTTGACATAAATCAAAGGCTGAGTCATATCAAACTTTGTTTAAGGCTCATCCTTAGATAAATAGTTTTTGAAATGCTGCAGTAATGTAACTTTCTTTTTTATCTTGTCTGGAAAAGTTTCGAGGGTGTACGTCGTAATTTCTAGGTCTCTTGAGCGGCCTGTTTTAGGGATATATTGGAAAAAGGAGCCAGCTGGATCTGCATTATTTTAGTGGAGTCGTTAAAGAAGACTCCTACACAGGAATTTGAAAATAAATATCCTAAACCATATTTGCTTGAGTAATCAACCCAGCTTTTTACCCAAATTTGAGGTCCTTCTCCATTATCAGGCGGAATATAAGAAGAATAGTAAGCTCCCAGCTCCGGAGTCCCTTCACAAGAGCTGTCTCTTGACCCTCCACGAGCAGTTGCAGCAGTCACTTCCGTTATTGCTGTTTTGCAGTTTTCATTGTCTGTCCGAGATAATAAAGGAGATTTCGCTGATTCAGTCTCCATTTTTGCCGATTCGGGGGGTTCCATAATTATTTACTAGATTTTCTATTATATTATCTCGCGTTCAGTAATTGAGGAGTGCATTCTCCAGTTCCAGCCGTCTGCGAGGCTGCAGCATACTTCTCAGAACTTTTTTCGTGTATATTAGTCTCTTTGTCATCTCCTTATTTTCACTATCCATAGCTGTATTTAAAGGATACACACTTCTTTCTCCCAGCTTGTTCATATAAATCACCAACATACTATTGCTGCACAATATTAGTTCTGTCTTGTCTTGGAAATTTACCTGGACTAAATTATTGCTTAACTTGAATAAAATAGCATAGGGTGTCGTGCGCCATTTTTGGACATAAATCAAAGGCTGAGTCATATCAAGCTTTGTAAATTGCTGAGTCATATCAAGCTTTGCAGAAGGCTCATCCTTAGATAAACGCTTTCTGAAATGCTGCAGTAATGTGACTTTCTTTTTTAACTCGTCTGGAAAAGTTTCGAAGGTGTACGTCGTAATTTCTTCGTCTCTTGAACGGCCTGCTCTAGGGATATACTGAAAAAAGGAGCCAGCTGGGTCTGCAATTATCTTGGTGGAGTCGTTAAAGAAGACTCCCACACAGGAATTTGAAAATAAATATCCTAAACCGTATTTGCTTGAGTAGTCAACCCAGCTTTTAATCCAAACTTGTGGTCCTTCTCCATTATCAGGCGGAATGTAAGAAGAATAGCAAGCTGCTTTCCTTGCCAGATTTCCCCTTGCTCCCAGCTTCGGAGTCCTTTTACAAAGGCTGATTGTTGAAGGTAGTGAAGAAGACCTCTTTGTTTTAGACCGCATCTTTACAGATTTGGGGGCTACCATAATTATTTACTAAAGTTTTATTATATTATCTCACGGTCAGTGATTGGAGGCCTGTATTCTCCAGTTCCAGCGCTCTGCTGAGGCTGTAGCATGTTTGTCAGAACTTCTTTCGTGTATCTCAGTCTCTTTGTCATCTCGTTATTTCCGCTTTCCATTGCTGTATTTAAAGGATACACGCTTCTTTCTCCTAGCTTGTTCATATAAGTCACTGGGTATACATAAATTTTCCAGGCAAATTACAATAATTTTTTTCTGTAAAATGGAATAAAAGATCTAGTTTTAGATTAAAAAGCAGATAATTTCATAAGAAAAATTTACTGTAATTTTACCTCATACCTAAAGTCACCAATATAATTAAAACGGCGACATGTGTCAACTTGCCCTCTTTGCGCACAGTCCAGACATTCCTACAGTGAGCTGGATTGACTGCAAGCCGAGAATTAAGTGCAGCCTCAAAAATGTATATCCTGGTAGGTTTTGGCTGCTTTCCTGTGGTTGTAAGCGAAGGTGCTCAACAACGTCATTTGAATACGAGGGCCCATGGGCATTCCTCTACCTAGAAACTGGAGTAGAGTCTTTTTCTGTAGCTATCGAAAGAAGGCACTTCAACAACCGATAGACTCCAAGAATCCTTGCAATCAAGGTACTCCAATCGCCCGTAGCAGGGCTGCAGAAATCTATAAGCCGTCTACTCAAGACGTAAGCCTCAAGGCAAGGAGGAGACAGAATATACCAGAAGTGGCATCCACCTTCCAGGAAAAGACCTTCTGGGCTGGAGTCGAAAAGCGGTTGAATCGCCTATATGGGAGGTCTTTGATGGCTGCGTCACTAATATGGCTGAGCCTGACTTTAATCACTTAATCTAGCCTGACCTAACCTAACTTAACCTTTAAGTCACCACTTTGCTTTCGCTGCACAATATTAGTTCTGTCTTGTCCTGGAAATTTACCTGGACTACTTTATTGCTTAACCTGAACAAAATAGCATGGGCTGTCGTGAGTCATTTTTTGACATAAATCAAAGGCTGAGTCATATCCAGCTTTGTAGAAGGCTCATCCTTAGATAAATGCTTTCTGAAATGCTGCAGTAATGTAACTTTCTTTTTTAGCTCGTCTGGAAAAGTATCGAGGGTGTACGTCGTAATTTCTTCATCTCTTGAGCGGCCTGTTCTATGGATATACTGGAAAAAGGAGCCAGCTGGGTCTGCAATTATTTTAGTGGAGTCGTTAAAGAAGACTCCCACACAGGAATTTGAAAATAAATATCCTAAACCATATTTGCTTGAGTAGTCAACCCAGCTTTTTACCCAAACTTGAGGACCTTCTCCATTATCAGGCGGAATGTAAGAAGAATAGCAAGCTGTTTTCCTTGCCGTATTCCCACTTGCTCCCAGCTCCGGAGTCCTTTCACGAGAGCTGCCTCTTGACCCTCCACGAGCAGTTGCAGTCCCTTCCCTTGTGGTTGTCTTGCCATTTTCATTGTCTGTCGGAGTTAATGATGAAGACCTCGCTGTTTTAGACTGCATTTTTGCAGATTCTGGGCGGCCTCTGATAGCTTGGGTTGGGAGCTCGAATTGCTTTATATAGCTTGACGAAGGTGGAATAGCCAATGTCCCAGCTTGCATTAATTTAGGAATTACGTTTTTCGTAAAAAAGGATTGCTCCAGCACCTGGTCTAGTGTTGGCCTCATAGCAGGGTCATTAGTAAGCATCATCGAAATCAATGATTTTGCCTCATCAGATACTGAGACATGGTCAGGGAATGCGTAGGCATTCATCTTTATTCTTCTATAAGTAGTCTTCACATCTGACGTCTCAAAAGGCGGCTTTCCTACTAATAAAGTATATGCAAGCACTCCAAGGCTCCATACATCGACTTCATAGCTGTGGCCTTGCTTTCCATCCAGCACCTCTGGGGCGATATAATTCGGCGTCCCACAGATCGTCCTTTTCCTCTCCCCATCAAACTCCAGCTTGGTCGCCAAGCCAAAATCCCCTAATTTCAGCTCCATTTTGTCAGTCAAAAACAAATTTCCCAGCTTGATATCCCTATGAATTACTCTATGTTCATGCAAGTACTTTAATGCAGAAATTGTTTGCGACAGGTAGCACTGGGCTTCAATTTCTGTCAGCCGCTTCCTTCTGCGCATCAGCTCATTAAGAGTCTGGTTGGCACAGAGCTCGAGCAGTATATAAACGTTTTCGTCGTCCTCAAAAAAATGCTCGAAACGAACTATATTGGTATGGTGCAAAGACCGGTGGATTTTAATTTCGCTCATCAACTTTTGCCTTGCCCTTGCTTTAGAAAGAGAAGCCTTAGGGATGACTTTGGCTGCGAAAACTTGTTTAGTGTCCAGGGACAAAAATTCGTACACCTTGGCAAACCCCCCTTTCCCGAGGAATCTGCCTTTGGTGTAAGACTTAATTGCGACGTCTCCGTTGACCTTGACAATTCTCTCTTCAATGATTTGGTTTTCTTGTGAATCTTGCGATATGCGACGGGTTCGTGAGCTCATATATTCAAATAATATGAAATATGGACGAAAAATGAACTGCAGCTGCAGTTTAGTGAAAATTAAAGGGTTAGCACTTAACTATGAAGATAAAATATGAAATTGATAATGGCTGTCACAGTCTTAATTTTAATCTTAATTACGGCGGTTAGAATCCGCTTTGTTAACTCGGCTACCAAGGATCCCTCCAGGGGATTCATCCGCTTTGCGGGGACGTCTACTTCCGATCGCCGGAAGGCGGGTTGCCTGGCCGTCCTCCTCCTCCTTGCCACTTCTAGGCGGCTCCAGTGTTGAGTGGGCAGACTATGGGTTCCGGGGCTTGCTTCAGGCTCCGTCTACAAGGTTGCCTATTCCGAAAATTTCGAAGCGCGAATTTTCTGGTAAGGCTCTCGGCTAAGATCGAAATCCAAGGCCCGGGACGTAACGCCCGGTTTAACGCTAGGGAGTTGCCCGATTGACCAAGTGGTGTCCTTGGCACTGCTGAGCTTCCCTTTCCAACCTTGGTCCTCCACTTTCCTTGAGGCAAAAGACTTGGTTCCAGAATGAGCTGCGGTCGACCTAATTCGACATTGCGCTCCACTGCACCAAGCCAAAACCCAGCCGGATACACTTTACCGAGCCTCTTTTCCCCTTCCACAAGGTCCCCGCCAGCCTGTGGGCGTGCGGCTACAGGTGTTGAAAAAAAGGGCTGGTCCGTCGACGCCATTTTAATACGTATGGCTGTCACAGTCTTTTTCATTTTATTCTCCTCAGTTTCTGCTTACCATATACAATTTAACACTCCAGTTGAGGCTACAACGGTCTCGTGCTCAGCTTACTCGTGTGCGCCCTTTAACTTTAACATGCCTACAGGTTATTGTATGATGAAAAATAATAGCACTTATTATTTGAGGAGTTGCCAGTCTACGACGGCGACGTATTGTAATCCGAATAACGGGTCGTGCATTGTGCCTCCAGCTGCAGTGCAAGCTTTGGCGTATCCGGGGGAAGCGTGTGCATTGAATTCAGATTGTGTATATGGAAATTGTTATGCGTATGTATGTAAAGGTTTGGGGAAAGGGGTGAACTGCACTTCTCATGAGCAATGTGACCCTGGGCTTTATTGCTCTCTAAATTCTATAGTTCGTAAGCTCCTTAAGAATTAATTAATTGCTCTCCCTTTTTGAAAAGGAAAAAAGTACTTCAGTATGGCAGACACTTTAAGGACTGAAAGGGCTGATTGTCTTCTATAGGAATCTAAAGGACTTCACAAACTATACATGTCAAGAGCAAATAGCGGCAAATGGAAGTGGATGCAGAAGCAGCTATGACTGTAAAAATTATGCTGGATGTAACATGACTTATTCGATGGATAACGGAATCTGTTTTGCCTATGCATCTTTGGCGATTGGGCAAATTGTAACTGATTGTGCTAATGGATTTTCTCAGATGTGTAAAACAGGGTTTTGTAAAGTTTCTGATTGGTTTGGGAATTTAGGGGTTTGTGCGACAGCTCCTACAAGTGTGGCTCTTCCTCAGGCTTGCACAATATACACTGATTGCCAAGGAACAGATGGCACTAATCTTTATTTAAGTAGCTGCTCATGTGGGTATAATCCAAAAGGAACTGGCTATTGCGCACCTTTTATTGGAGATGCACCAGGGTTAAATTTAATTAGCGCCTGGAAAAATGCTATAGTCAAGACTGACAACAAGTGCAACACTTTTAGAAGAGGCTCTACTTTGTGTTTAAGCAGAGTTGGAGCATTAAGTGATATTACAGCTGCGACTTGGAACTTTAACAACTATTCCAAAATTCTTGAAAATGATGCTTGTATTAAAGCTACTGTCACAGAAGAGTACTGGAATGCTCTTGACTCATCACAGCATTTAATTGCTTTTGCTATAATTTATAGCTTATTAATTTAGTTACTTTTAATAGCATTTTTAAATAATGCAAAGTAGAGCTCGCTCCTTATTCCAAATTTATAAAACCAGAGTCCTCCAGCAAAATCGTTTTGATTCATTTTTCGCCAAAAATTTGGAGCTTAAAGAAGTAAGTGACGAAGGGAACTTGGTACTCTCATTGAATGTAACTCAAGAGGTTTGCGATTATAATGGAAATCTTAGCAATGGAGCTATGTCTTCTATAATGGACACAACGACTGGTATGCCTTTATGGCTGCTAAATACAGAAAAGAGAATGACGTTAGGAGTGCAGCTGACTGTGTCATTTTCAGGTAATGCCAGAATTGGGGATGAGATCTTGATTAAGGCAAAGTGCCAAAGATTTGAAGGGGACATGGGATACACCTATGGAGAAGCTTATAATAAAGATAAAGTGATTGCTACAGCACTGCACACAGTTTACTTGCTAGGAAGAAAGGTGCAGCTAGGTGACTAATAATAAGCAATATCAATAAATAATTAAATTTCTAAGAATATGCAAGCAAAAGCATTTAGCGCATTCCAAAGGCTAAAAACAATGGCAACTCAAAAGCCCTGCTTTGGTCAAATACTATATCCCCATCTCGAGCTCCTTGAAGTTTCGCCAGAAGCACATTTAACATTTTCCTTGCCTATTCATAAAGACTTTTGTGATGATTTTGGCTTATTATCAACAGGAACACTTACAACGCTATTAGATGCGACCACAACTCTAACTGTTTGAACCCTTAACGAGTCCTCCACTTTAACCTTAAGTGTTAACATGAATGTATAGAAGTTTCCTATGTTTGGCGCTGTAAGGCCGATAAATTCTGATCGGAATTTATCGGTAGGTTGCACCAAATCAATGCCTTGGTCGGACCAAAAAGCGATTTGGTCCGACGAACTTGGAAAGCTCCTGGGAAAATGTCTGCGCTTTTAGCGCTATATAGAGGAAACCTCTATATCCTTTTATGGATCAGCCAAAATCGGCGAAATCATCATCTTGAAATCTAAGTGCACTAGCATAGAAGGGAAAATTGCTTACACCCAAGGAGAAATCCATAAGAATAACCAACTTATAGTATCAGGGCTACAAAACATAATTTTAACTCACAAAAATTTACCAAATTAATATTTTCTAAATAAGTGTCGTGTGCTGCCGAGTATGTTCATTCCTGTCAGTCATACTTCCAAGCTTATCAGATATATTTCCAAGCTTCCTTCTCATCATAAACAGCTTGCCTTCTTTTACTCTGGTTTCTGAGTAAGCTCCTTTTAGCATCCCTTTTAATATTTCTATTTCTTTGTCTTTGTCGTCCAAAATATTTTGATACTCGTCTTCATTTATTTGACTTTTTGCCTGAATTATGGTATCTTTGAGCTCTTTGAGCTCTTTTTCAAGCCTTAATATGTCTTTGGATTTTCGTACAAGTTCGGTGTCTTTTTTAAAAATTTCTTCACGAAGTACTTCATTATATGCCAATTCTTTGCTGTTTTTATATATATCTAAAGGCAAAGTCTCGCTTTGGGAATTCGCGTGATGATGCTGCATTTGGCTAATTTTTTCGTTTAAAGTTCGGTTATGTTCCCTGATTTTTTCAATTTTTTCAGAGGCATGGGCAAGTCTTATTTTCATTTCTTGAAGCTCTATGTCCTTGGTGTCTCTTTCAGCAATTGCTTGTTTTCGCTGATCTTTGTATTTATCGTTCTGGGATTTTATTATATTAAATTGATTTTTTATTTTTGAGGTGCTTTCTAAAAAGTCACTTTTAAGCTTTTGATTTTGTGGCTATTTCATAATAATTAATTTTTGGCCTAAATTTCTTGTTTTTCACCTATTTTATTTTGGAAAATAGGCCAAAAAACAATAAGCCAAAAATATCCGAAAACAATAGAAAAAAAATAGATGAAAAAATAGGCAAAAATAGAATAGGTGAAAAATATAGGCAAAAAATAGGCAAAAAAAAATGGGCAAAAAAATAGCTTATGAAATAGGTGTCGTGTGAAGGAACCTTTGATTTAGGCGTGTTAATGTATCTATTTCCAATTGAAGAGTCTCAATTTTTTCGTTCAGCTCAGTAATCTGAATCCTTTGCTTACTCCCTCCCTCAGTGAGTGAATAAAAAAATTTTATTCCTCACGAAATAATATGAATTAGTATTAATTAATTTGTAAAAATTTTTAATAAGTTTTTACCCAAAAAAGCAGGGAATTTTACAATATTTTTGTTCACTCGCACAGAGAGAGTTAGAATTTTCTTCTTCTAGTTGTTCTATTTTAGCATTTTTGATTTCTTCATTTTTTTGATTATTATTTTCCTGGTGGAAATCAGCGGAATTTAAAGAATTTTTTAATTTTTCATTCATTTCTTGAAAATCAATGCAAAATTGAGCTGCTGATTTTAGCTTGTTTTCGAGGTATTCTTCAGATTTTAAATCTGCAAGTAAAGAATTCAGCATTTCTTCGTAAGCTAATATTGCTTCATTAGCTTGGGAAAGCTTTTCTTTAATGCTCTCTTGTGTGGCTAAATAAGATGTATTTTCTCTTTTTAATTTGGATTTTGATTTTATAATACTGTCAATTTCTAGCTGCAGTTTGTCTGCAAATTTTGCTTTTATTTCAGCTTCATAATATTTCCTGTAAGTTTCTTGTAACTCTTCACTTAATTTTTCAACTTTTTCTTGCAATTCTGAATTAAGAGATGACATTCTTGTAAACACTTCTGAAATCTCTTTAATATCTTTTTTTATTTCATTCTGGCTGCTTTCTTTAATTTCTAATTGAGATTTTAATTCAGCAATTTTTTCTTTAGTTTCTTCGATTTCTTTTTTCAACTTTTCTTTTTCACTGCTTAGTAAGCAATCGCTTTTTCTGTACTCTTCAATTTGTTTTTTATAATTCTCAATTGAATCTCTTGACTCGCTTTCCATCAGGTTTGTGTTTTTTAACTGGCTTATCTCATCTTCTTTAATCTTCACGATTGTTCTGACTTTTTCTCTGTGAAAAACAAAATTTTTTATCGCTTAGAAAGGGTTTTATGTTTTTTAATATATTATTTTTTTAGTAATTATATGTAAAAAGAATTACTAATAAAAAAATCACAAAGAATTTTACTATATTTACACATTTTTGGGAAGAGAAGTGAGCATCAAAATTGAGTTATTTAGCTCATTTATGTGATGGTCCCTTGCAATAAGCTGGTCTTCTAAATCTTTATTGAAATTTTGGGTTTGGGTTTCTAGTAAGTCTATAGCCTGATTCCTGCTTTGGATCGGGCTTGCTGATGTCTCCCCGCATCAAATGGAGAGTTGGCGAGCCAATGGTTGATTACAAAGCCAACTCCCCAGGTTGCAAACCCTCTTGTGATTGGAGATTTGCCATCTGGGAATTCGCTTTGCCAATAAGCATTGGTTCGTTAATTCCCAATCTGGCATTGGTAGACGCTAGATAAAGCCCGACTCAAAACAGAGATCGGGCTATAACGTTCTTTTTCTTGATGATTCAGAATCTTCAACAGTTCCAAAATTTCCAGAGGATTTTAGTTCAAATTCCAGCTCATTTTCGGCTTGTGTTTTTTCTTTAAAATCAAAAGGAGAAGGCAAACTTCTTTCCAGCAATAAATCTTTCGAGGTTTGTGAGGCTGAAGACCTTGGTCGATATCGTCTCATGATTTTACTTAAAATATTATCCTTAGTGCTATTATAACTAAACAAGTTAAATCTAATTAAATGTAATAAGTATCCAAGCAGAATACAAAGAAGAATTAAATGATAAAAGTAGATCCGAATATGTTCGTCTAACACAGTGCATTTTTCTATTTTATTATTTTTAAAGCCATATAGATCAAGCCTCTCTGCTATAGAAATAAAGATCTTTTTCTTAAATAAACAAATAGCTAAAGAAAAAGAAACTCTTTTTTGAAGGTGTGATTTGATATTAAGAAAATGAATTGGATCTTTTTGCTTTATAAAATGCAATTGATATTATTGCTCTACTAAATAAAGCTAGTTAGATTTATTATTTCTAGTGTCATCATTAGTTTCATTATTAGTCTCTTCATCAGGATCAAAATCGATTTCATCATATTTGTTGATGAGCTTTCTAACATAACTATCTCTTCTCTTTGCGCCAGTTGTGTAGCCATAATAGCCAGTTATAAAAGGAAATAAAATCCAAAAAGATCCCTTAAATATTCTTAAAAGTCCTTTGCTTTCAGATAAATAGTTTGGATTTCGTATGACTGATTGCTGGATTATTACTGCTGCTCCAAATGAGCAAGCTGTTATGTAAAAATGTTGTTTGATTTTTCTATCGAGCTCTAATAAATCCTCAAAATCGATTCTTTCAATGTTCTCATCTATCCACTGGTCCATTTATAAGATCTATATCAAAAAGCTTCATTTTTAACTATGCTGGATAAAATTCTAATTTGCCCTTTAAAATAAATAATATAAGGTGATAGGGAAATTAATGCCGCGGACTAAAGTAAATAATAAAAATGCAAAGATTCAATGATATTTAATTCATAGTTTGATAAACAAAGAAGCCTTATTTTATCGTTAAATAACTTTGCTAACTTATAAACTAATTTATTATCATTATTTCTGGTGCAATTAAGGCTCATCAATTTCAATTTTATTCTTCAATTCTTTTAATGAGACATCCATCATGTCAGCAATACCTCTTAAGAACTCATTAAACATTCTCTTTCTCTTGGATTCTTCCTCCCCTCTTTAAATTGGAACAAAATATAGGTAAAATTTTTTTTTCTTCAGGTAAATAGTTTCGACATAGGTAAGCGGAAGGAGTGCAAGTAGAATGCTATTTGAACGCTTTAAACGCTAAATTGATTAATATTTTAATTTAATTCTTTAATAAAATAAATTAAAATTCACAATATCGATATCGTTTAATTTTTAAACAGCTATATTAAATTTTTTAAAAAAAAAATAGCACCTGAAAAAATTGCAACAAGATTTTGTGTTCCAGTTTAAATGGGGAAATTCAGGCAAAATATTTTTCCTTCGAATCTCCAATGCTTTGCTTTCTTCTTCTGTCACGCATCCTGCATCTTTTAACATTTGGACTTCGTTTTGCAACTCTTCTACCTCTCGATTTAGCTCACTTAATGCTTTTTCAATTTCTTCCATACTTAACTCTTCATCTAATTCTTTAATTTGAATTTGAATATCTTTAGTTTCTTCTTTCAATTTATTCATCTCCTCTGTTTTCTCAGCAATTTCATGATCCATAGCTGCAATTTCGTCTTCGCTTGCTTGAGGCAGTGATTCTTGATTAACCAAATAAATACGAGCTTTCCCAAAGTCTTTGGCTTGAATCTTCTTTAGTTCAGTTAGTCTATCAAGTACCTTCGCACAGTTTGTTTTTTTCACAGCGCCTCGAAGATTGTCAGTAACATTTAAAGCGCTGTAAGGTCTATTTTGTCTTACCATATAATCCAAAACAGCAGCTTCTTCATCTGTAAGCTCTATCTTTGGAGGACTTTTAACCTTTTCTTTTGATTCTTCGTTTTCTGTTTTGACTTTTTTCCTCTTTTCTCCCATCCCGCCTAAGATTTAATTATAAATTATGGCTGCTTATCTTTTTTAATGAGATTTTAAATATATATAAAGATTAAGTATTCAATTTGATATATAATTATTATAATGATAGCTTATTATAACCAAATTTTATTAACCTGCTTTTTTGGAGTAGTTCAACACGGTCTCGGCCTAATACATCATTAATAAAATTGATATCTTTTTCAGAAAGCTTTCATTCATCTCCAGTAAAAGCATCACTTTCTTGATATTCTTTCTTCAAATTATAAGCCCTATTAAAGTCCTGCAAAGCAGCTGCTTCTTTTCTAAGATCATTAAATACTCTAGCTCGGTTGCAGAAATGCAAAGGATTATTGGGTTTAAGCTTGATTGCCTTATTATAGCATTGTATAGCTCCTTGATATCTCTCTAAAGCATAAAGAGTATTGCCTTTAGCATTATAAAATTTGGCTTTATATGGCTTGATTTTGATTGCTTTGTTATAGCTTTTTACTGCTTCTGGGTATCTTCCTAACTCATTTAAAGCATATCCTTTCTTCCAGTAAAGATCAGCATTGTTTGGATCGAAATTGATTGCTTCGTCATAGCATTCGATTGCTTTTAGATATCTTTCTCATTCATAAAAAGCATTGCCTTTTAAAATATAAAAATCAGCATTGTTTGGATTGAGTTTGATTGCTTCGTCATAGCATTTGATTGCTTCTAGATATCTTCCTAAACTATAAAAAGCGTTGCCTTTATGATTGTATAAATCAACATCGTTTGGATTGCGTTTGATTGCTTCGTCATAGCATTCGATTGCTTCTAGATATCTTCCTAACCTATAAAGAACGTTGCCTTTATTATCGGAATAAATAGCATCATTTGGATTGAGTTTGATTGCTTCGTCATAGCATTCGATTGCTTCTAGGTATCTTCTTAAATCATAAAAAGCGATGCCTTTTTTACTGTATAAATCTGCATCTTTTGGATTGAGTTTGATGGCTTCGTCATAGCATTCGACTGCTTCTAGTTTTTTTCCTAAAGCGTTTAGAGCAATACCTTTTACATTGCATTCATCCAGATAATAAGGATCGAGCTTATACTGTTTATTGCATTTTATTGCTTCAATCTTTTTACCTACTCTTCTAAGTGAGACTCGCGTATTATAGTAAGCAACATCAATAATAATTTTTTGATCTAAATTAAAATAATAATATTCTCTAGCTGATGAGAATGAGGAAATAGTTGAGATGCATATAAATCCTTTATTATATGAGCAATAAACTTGAAAAGGATAATCGATTGCTGATTTTCCTATTCTTCTCCAATTCGAGTAACTTCCAATTTCGCTTTCATAGATTGATCCATAAGAGCATTCAATCAAATACAGTCTCTCTAAATTTATCAGGATCTTTCTTTTCTCCTCTTCAAACTCATAAGGAATTGTCGAGAATGAGTCAATATCAATCGAGTATAACAAAATTTTGCTATTTTCATATCCAGAAATCAAAATATTTCCATTAAATATTACACTATTGCATAAGCAATCAGCTCGCGGAATTGGAGTTAAATGAATTCATCGATTTCGATCCAAATCGAATCTACTAGATAGAGTTAACAATTTTGATGAAAATCCTCCAAAGCAATAGACGCTGTTGTTGAGATAGATATAGGTCACTCGATGTTTTATTGAGTCTCTGACAGAGCTTAACTTTTGGGAGATGAAAACGGGAGAATGATTATAATTTCTGTTGGGCTTGAGAAAAGATGGAATGGGCTATATAGATTATTGGATTTTCATGCATTCTCCTGCTATGCAATGTCATATTGAAAACGCCAATACTTGAGAGATGAATTGCAGTTTGGGAACATATCATATCATTTATCCTGTCAATATTCAAATTCAAAAGATTATCCATATGAAATCATCATTCTTTAAAACCAGCACACATGACGAGAATGAGCAAGGAGTTCCAGTTGGGTACTATTTCTTACTGATTTGTTTTAAGAAGTGCTAGATTGAGTTGCCTGAGTTGAAATTTAAATGAGAGTGGTACCTTTTTAATGGATATTTAAAGCAAGATAGAGTATAAAATTGATAAAAAATAACTGCAATTTTTCTGTTCCAGATGGCAGCACTTCAGCTCCACCATTCGCATCAATCAGCACTGTAATTCCAGAAAGTAGATTATTGCCATAACAGAATAGCTTGTCATTTGGAAATTGAGTTATGCAGGTGCCTGAGTCTAGTGGTTGTGGAGTCTGCAAGATTTTGACTTCTTGGGTTTCAGTTTCAGTCTTATAAATATGCAAACAAGTTCTATTGTTTTTATCATCTGCTGTAATATTATAAAGAGATGTCTTTTGTTGATAAGCATTAATATAATCTTGGTAAGATTTCATTAGCGGTGGATCATAAAAACTAGTATTAGTCTTAATCGCTGAGTGTGCTGTTCTGTTTGGTCTACTCAAAATCTCAGCTGCTTTATTTCTTAATGTGCCTATAGCATTTAGAGTGCTTTCTGTTTCATTGGGTTTCCTGTTGAGATCATTAGAAACAGTGCTTATTTGAGAATTATGCAAGCTTGTCTCGATTTCTGAGTTATTTTTTATCGGCTTGTTTACGTTTTCGGGGTCTTTTAAAGTCTCACTGTTTTCATTTATTATCAAGGAAATCAAATCCTTAACGTTTTCTGACTCTATATTTGCTGACTTAATAATTTTATTATACATTTCTGGAATATTTTGCATATTCTTTTTTTCTAGATATGCCCCACATATTTCTGTAAAGAAGGATCTATTTAGACTATCTAACTTTTGATTGAATATATAAAACAGCTTTGCACCTTTATATCATTCTCTGCTAGGTATGGTCATCAAATTTACTTTCTCAATAGCTTCTTGAGGCTGTAAACTCAATAATCTTAAAATTGGATCTTGTTCTGACTTTAATAATTTTGTAGCTTGGGAAATCTTTGCAAAGAAATCATTTATTTCATCTGAGCAACAGTCCAATTTGTTTTTGAAATCTCCTAAATCTTTCTCTGAAATGAAAAGTCTCTGGCTAAAGGATTCTATAATTTTTCTTCTTAACTCGCTATATTTTGAATTTTCTTTTGTAAGGAATTCAAGAATTGCTTCTTTTGTCCCTTCACAAGGCTGCATAAAAATAGATTCAAGATTATGAGATCTATTAGGCAAGTTTGCATGCTCCACAGCATGCACTTCACAAGATAAAGTCTCAGGAGAAGAGCATTTGCATGCATACCCAACTTCATTCACACACCCTGGCCCAAAGCATTTCTTCGCTATCATATAATAATTATTAGATAGCTGATTTTTAAAGCCATATGCATTACAACCCTTCTTCAAATGGCTCATAAATAGAAACTCTATGTTTCATATTACCGCAAAATACCAGAATAGTCGCAATAATTGAATGATAATTATGATTCAAGTCTCATATGTGAGAAAATTTGTGCTGAAGTAAGAACAGAATTGCATATTTAAAGAGTTTAGGGCAATAGTAATTTAAAATAGAGCAGCTGATATAAAAAGGTGAGCTTATACCGGCCTTAATTACTATAGGGCTTTCGCTTGAATAGCCCGATAACTGGCAAGCTTCATCCCGTTATCGGGCTATTCAAAGGAAAGTCCTATAATTTATTTCTTATGTGAGTGCAGTAATGGACTTTCCAAAAATTAATGGCAAGTCAAATTAATTTTTTTCAGTCATTTTGTTTGCAAATAATGGATTGGCAAGTGAATTGAAATCGGAATGTGTGAAAAAATTAACTTTTGGATGGGAATGTAAAATGGAATATCAGATTTTACCCAGATATCCCTTATAAATCAACCTTTTGTCCTATATTAGCTTTTCTTTGAATAAAATCTCTCATTTGATGTTAATCTTTTGATTCTGCTCTGAAGAATTCCTTTACTTATTTTTTTAATTAGGATGAATATGATGGATTATTGCATCTCACTTACAAGACAAACTCATGATTAATTAGCCAACAAAAGAATTACAATTCATAGCATGCTGCTATTATAAATAACAATAGAGTATCACAGTCAATTACAATTATAGAAATTTCCCCATAGATGGCGCAGTTTGCCCTTGATTTGTCCGCTGGGGAAATTTTTTGGTTCGACCAGTCCCATATGGTTTGGTCAAATCAAAAAATTTTTCTCATGGGCAAATCAAGGGCAAACAGCGCCATCTATGGGAAATTTCTATATATTATATCATATAATCATAGCACTAGAGAAATAAAGTGCTTTATTTGTTGCTTACAGTGATATGACACATTTTTTCGATGCACTTGAGAATATTAAGTACAAAACTTTAAGCAAGATTCCACGCCAATCATTACCAAAATAGAACGTTAAATAATGCAAAGATCAAATTAGATTTTACAAAGTAAAAAATGGACTTCATCTACTTATCACTAATGGTAAACTCAGCTGAGATAAGAAATTTATACAGTATAGTATAAATTTTAATTATTAAACTAATCACGACTATTTAATTTGATTTAACAGCGTTCAAACAATTTATATAATTCTTCAGTCGACACCAAAGGAATAAATGCTTTCCCTTCAGCAATATATCGAGCATCAGCCCTTAATCTTCCGTTTATATATGGAAACAAAAAATTTTTGTAGAAATGTGAGTAAGGCTTGGCTATTTCGCCATCATTTCATTCCTCAGGCACTCTTGAATAAAATCATGCTATAAGCTCGCTAATCCCATTCAAACATTGCTTCTCATGCATCCAATCTATATTTGCTGCAAGCCTCAGCAAAAATTCAGGTAGGTTATTAATATCTGGCTGTATTTGTCCTTCAATGAGCACAGGAATCTTCACTAATTTATTATCTTTAATAGAAATCGAAAAATACTCATCTAAAAGCTCAGATTTTTCATTTAAAAGCTTCGAAGCTGAATTGCAAAACTGCTCTATTGGAGGATGTTTATTTTGATCATATCCAATATTTGGGCTTTCTAATGCAAGTCTAATTAAGTCATTAATTTCCAAGTCTGAGTTTTGAATTTCATAGTGAGAAAGTTGAGCGAATTTGTCTAATATGAATTGATATGCCATCGCTTCGAGAATGACTGGTGCAAAACAAACATATAGGCTTGTACCATGCTGAATTAAGATTCTATTTCTATCAATTGCTCCAACATAGCTAAAATCGTTAAAAATCTCTTGTTCTCTTCCTATCTTTATTTCTTCTTTTAGTTCTTCAGAAATTATTCAATCGTGGAGTAGGTGAGATAATTCCGAAACTTCTAGGGGTCATTTCTGTGAGAGCACTTGGAGGAACTACGGCTTGCGGCGGAGGAATTTCTCAAGAGTGGGGCTTGGCTGGATAGGCTTCCCCTCAACCCACAGACAAGAGACCGACGGCGTAGCATCAATCGAGAGCTTCTGGATGGCATTCCACTGCCTGCAAATGGCAGAGGTAGTTTCAGAAGGAGACATAGGACGGTTTCCTCATACCCTGACCACTACCAGGGGGTAAGAGACTCCTTTGCTGAAAATTTAGGTCTAAGCAGGTTCGGGTGAGTCTCCCTTTCAGATTGATGACGTCTCAATTTTTGGATCCCCATTTTAGCCCCCTAATTAACTCTCTCTCTTAGTTCTTCAATTGAAGTTAGATTTTCTTCACTGACTTTTGATGGAGCGTTAATTTTATTTACCAAAAGCCACTCAATTTTTTGATCTCTGCTGTTTTCCCTTACTTGCTGGCTTGGAACTGGGCCTTTTGCTTGAATATTAGTTAAGTTTCTTATATTAAAACTTTTACTTGTGCTGTTACTCTTCAAAATTTCTTGGATTTTATTTTGAATTTCTGTGAAAATGATATTCTGATGACTGAATCTTACTTCGCGCTTGGTAGGGTGAACATTGACATCGATTTCACTGGGTAAAATCTTTAGACTTAAATATACAAAATAATTCGAACTTCTTGGGCAATAACTCGTATAAATACCAATAATCATGCTTTTTAATTCTTTGCAATCTACTAACCTGTTATTGATAAATAATACAAAATAACTTTGCTTTCACGAATAATCGTTGGATGAAATTAATCCCTGAAATGAGCAAATTTCGTTTTGAGTTGGAGGAATTTCGAGAATTTGAGCAGCCAAACTATTTTCATCAGGCTTCAGAATTTTAGTGATAATTTCTGTTTTATCTTCTCTCCCAGATGTTGAGTACTCTAAAGAATCTAATTTTAAAACTTTAAAGCCAACATTGTTATAGTGTAATGAATATTTTTGAGCAATGTCTAGGCAGCTTTTATATTCTTCAACGTGATTACCCAATGCCCTCAATCTCTCATGCATATTACTAAACATGTTTTCTGACTTTATAAGTGTCCCTTTATCTAAGGCAAAAGGTTCAGGTGCTTCAATCAAATTTCCATTCAGAAAAATCCCTTTATAGCCTAAAGGTTCTCCTTGCTTTCTGCTACACACAGTTACCTTCGAAACTTGTGAAATGCTACTTAAGGCTTCTCCTCGAAAACCAAAAGTTGTAAGAGACGATAAATCGTCATATGACTGAATTTTTGAAGTTGCAAAACGCTTGCAAAGCAAAGGATAATCAGCTTGATGGATACCAATGCCATTATCTGTAATCTGTAGTAAAGTCATTCCTCCTTCAATTAGTTTTATTTGAATTAAGGTGCTTTGAGCATCTAAAGAATTTTCTATAAGTTCTTTTAAAGCACAGCTTGGCCGCTTAACAACTTCGCCAGCGGCAATCTTGTTTACTGTTTCGATATCTAGCTCTCTAATTACCGCCATTTTACAATTATAATTTTTGCCACGCAGATTATCCTTATTTTTCAATGAAATATTAAATATGAAAGATAATATTTGAATTGCTCAATTAAAAAACGTTTCATTTTTCAGTCAATGAAGAGAGTTTTTTAATTGAAAAATTCTAGAGAAAATTTGAAGATAACGGCACAATTTGCCAATGCGACTGGAAAAATACTATGTAAATTTTACTATAAGAATACTACCTTAATTTTAATTTATATATAAATAATATGAATTTCATCAGAATCATATTAACTTATGCAGTAAAAATAAAGTATAACTACAGTATTAGCTGGCAGCTTTACTCCATTATTTAAACTTCATTATTTAACTGATTAATATTAAAATGAAGCGTTTCCCTCTAATCAGACTTTCTCACTCCAGCCAATCTCCCAGAAAGCCTCGCTTAAATTCCTCGCTGACTTCTAAATCTTTCAAAAACGAACAAGCCAAGCGAAAAATGTAAGCTTAAATTAGAAAAGAATTATGCTGCACCTCACGTCTAAAAGTGAGAGACGTAATTGAAATCGATGACAACTTAGATCTATCTCTTACTTTGGAGACGCAAAATTCTCGCACTAAGTTTGGGTATGATATTTCAATTATAGATGAAATCAAATCATTAGAAGAGCAGCTTGATACTCAAGAAATAGAGCTGAGAACATATAATTACACAAACAAAAATGATCCGAAAACTGGAGAAGTTGAATGGCAAGCGTACACACATTATATGCAAGGGATCATTAACTCTGTGAAGAAGCGAGACCAAAGGATAGGAAATTGCCTAATAAGAGGTCTCTCAGGATGCATCCGTGCTGTTAGCAAAATCCAAAATAAAAGACCTGAAGAAAAGTACATAGCATGTGAGTCGTCAAGAAGGTTTACAAGAGAGCAATATACACAAACCTATTCAAATTCACAAAATTACACTGAAAGCAGCTTTGTTGACGATATCTCGCCAGAAATAGAGGCGTTAAAGAATTTAAGCAAAAAAATAAGTGATTTAAATAATGAAGCGCTGGCAAAAAAACTAAAAGACCTTTATGAATCTTTAAGGATGATGTATAGTGATGTGCCCTCTCCTTGTGAGACCCCTAGCTCCGACTCCCTTTAAATTGGAACAAAAATTCCAGTTCCAATTTATTTTTTTTTAATAAATAAATTTATAATATAAATTGAATTAAAAGTTGAATTTTAATTTATTTTTATAAGAATTAAATAAAAAAATTCATTCAGTGTGAAAAATTTTTAAATAATATTCTGTTGCACTTTTTACATTAAATTGGTAAAAGCTAATTTTATAAAAATTTGTTCTGTTAGAGTATCTAAAAAATGGGAATTCACCGATATTTACTCCAATTTAAAAGGAGAAGTAAGCTGTTCGAGCTGGAAAATGGAGAAGTGGCAAATGACATAAGGAATACGATGAAAGCATTCCAAGAAGAGCTGCAGTACCAAATAACAAAAAAACAGCTTCTCAAAATCAAGCATGACCATTCGGTACAGACTGATTTTGAAGTTATGGATGCTTCTATGTATGGTAAACTACAAGAGCAGTTCACTTCAAAAGAAGTAGAGCTTTTTCAGTTGAAGTACAGATATGAGTGTGCATTGGAGGAAAATAAAAAACTTGAAGAAGCTTATACCAGATATCAAAAAGAGTGTGAAGAGAGCCAAAGAAGAATCAAAGTGTTGGAGGATGAAGCTAAAAATGTATTTGATAGGAATAATAAATTGACACAGTATGAAAGTGATTTAAATTATCAGCTTATTGATTTAACTCAAGGTATTCAAAAAAGAAAAGAAAAAATAGCAAAGCTGAGAAAAGACCTTGAGGAAGCAGAAGAAGACATCGACCACAAGAGAGAATTAGATTAGATTAGAACGATGTGTATTTAAGGTCCCTTCTTCCATGCGTGACATTCCTCCGCGCTCCGTGAGGAGCCGTACTGGCACGAGCGAAAAGGATGGACTTCATCACTGGTTCTCTGAGCCCAGGCCGAAACTCCTGGTTTCTCGGTAGTGGTTTGCCCTATTGGGTCGTCAGCCGACCGTCGCCGAGCACCACCATTTCCAACTCAGCCTTTCGCCCCGAGTTACGCCAGTCTCTGTCTCCGGTTGGCCATATCGTCCTTTAAAAGGACCCTTTTAACTGGAGAGACCGCCTTAGGTTGTCTAATCTGCCTCCCCTTTTGCCAGCTTATCCGCTTGACAAAATCCTCAACCGCTTCCGCGATTCGGGGCAGACCACAATAGCAGCTTGAGCAGGTAAGTCGCCCTGCTCCATTTCGGGCACCCACTGGCTTGGGCGCTGCTGGAAAAAGGAGATGCTACTAACTGCCCTAGGATCTGGCCACGATCAGACGGGTCTGTGTTCATCCCTGGTTGCCACCAGGGTCCAGATACTGCTGAGCTAAGTCGCTTCTCCAGAAAACCATGCCCGGATATACACGGGTTACCGTTACTGAGAGGAGACGGGTCGGTCGCCATATACGCCATTTTATGTATATACCACAAGAGAGAAAAACTGGATAAATTTAGAAATGAATTGGATGAGACTACAGAGCAACTTGAAGTAAAAACAAAGAAACTGGAAATTGCAGAACAAAAGCTGAGCATAATTGAAAGGGCATGAAAAACTGTTCACAGAAGAAGTTTCATGTATGAAAAAGAAGGGCTCATTGAAGCTCCAAAATTAAAAATTGAGGCTATAAGCACGCTAGATCCTATCAAATCCAGAGTGAGAGAAAGGTCAATAACTCCGAGCCCAACGAACATTTTTAGGAAAAGAAGTATCCTTTCCCCAAGTCCAATTCCTTCAAACGCAGATTCTCCTGCACTTGGGCAGTCTGAGTCATACCAAAGACTTCGGAAGCAGGTTATCATTGAGAATTCAAGTGGTTTGCTATCTAACATATCAGGAGAAAATGAGTTTTTAAACTCGCTATCTGCAGAACAACTCGAGTTTTTTTTCCGACTGCGATCAGAAGAAAGAGAAGAGAAATTTAGAAGTAAAATCGCCAACTTAAGCGAAAACTCCAAGGCAATCCAATATATTTATGTTGAGCCAGTGACCGAAGAAATGATCGCACAACATATTGTAAAAAGGAGATACACTCAAGCTAGAGAGCCACCTGAGCGAAAAATTGTAGCTGAAGAAACCAAGGATGATAGTTTCGCAGAAACTGCCAGAATTCTTGCAAAAGACGCTGAGTTTGAAATGCTCAGTCCAAACCTGAAAATGGATCTTCTGAAAGCTATGGAAGGACATGATACAGAAAAGTGTGGAAGTAACTGTGTTCACCTGAAACGGGCAATGATGATCAAACAAAAAGCCAGAGGCGCCCCATATCCATTAAAGAGAGCTACAATTGCTAGTATAAGATAATATAATTAACCAATTTTCACTATTTTAAGCTGTCCAGGATTTCTTGATAATATCCCCGTGCCCATTTTTTTATTTTGCGTCATGCGATTTCTGGGTTATCTTGGATTTGGAGCATCCTTTTTCTAATCACGAACTGGATTTGTGTTGAGCGACGTTGGTGCTCTATTAAGTATAAAAATACATTTGGGCTCTGCTTTATGATTTGGTTGGAGCTGAGATCATTTCCTACTTCTTCAATTGACATTGAAGCAATGGCATTTTTGTATTTGCGCACATATCTTTTGTAAGTAATAAAGGTGCTTTCAGAGTAAGGGATCACGTCGATCTCAGCGTCTAAAATTTGACTCCCTTCAATAATAGTCATTTCTTCTATAGCATTGTCTCAGCCTACTCTCCTAGATGGGACATTCAAAGTTTGTAGTATCAATTCTGTTGAAATTAATGCACTGAAGGTGAGCTTTATATGGCAGTAATAGGAATCGTTTTCTTCAAGCATTTTCAAATCCATTAGGTCGTCAGAAACATAGGAGCTCCAATCAGACCGTATCAGAAGCTTCTCTACATAGTTCAAAACACAGCGTAAATACAGTTCTTCTTCGACTAACTCTGGAATTTTGTCAAGAATAAAATCACTGTTGCAGTCTTCCTCCAAATCTCATTCTTTCTTAAAAGAGCCTTGATAGCACATTTCTAGATGACTATTTCTTTTTCTGCTACGCCTCTTAAGGCTTGTTAAAGGCTTCTGAAAGCGAGAATTCTAGGCTAGATCTTACATCTCTATATTCACAGCATCCCATTATAAAATGAAATAATTTAATCAATGGTGACTCTTGAAAGCCTTCCACTCAATATCTTCAGACATCACATAATTTGCTTTATCTCTTCTCCTGCTGACTTTCTATCTCTCAGAACACTCAACAAAAAATTCTTAAAGATGTTTTCTGATCTTAAACCTGACATACAATCTCTATTTTTGCAAAGAATTGAAGAGTTGACTTGCATTTATCAGCAAATCGGCTCATTTAACTCTTCTTCCATGATTAATATTGATTTATTGCTATCAAATCTTTTTAGCGTCAATAAAGATTTATGCAAACTGGACTTCAAAAAACTGAATATTGCGAAAAGAGGTGTACAAGTGGCGTTGGCAATTATTTATTGTTATATGAAAAACACTATGATTATTCCTTCACCAGAAGAAATAAGAGAACTTATATATGAGCCTGATTTTGTCACACATTTGATGTCCATGACACCTGGGACAGTAGATGAAGGGACTTTTGAGCTCATGTCAAAAGTTATTGAAGAAGTGTATAGCAACCCTGAGCTGGAGATTGAGGATAGGAACGAAAGAACTTTAGGACATTGGGTTCAGCTATTCTCAAAATACTTGGAGCAGTTCTATAAAATTAGGGACGTCAAAAGGCTTGGGGGAACAATAAGAACGAAAATTTCTTCTATCAAAATGTTTATTGAAAAAGTGCAAACAATTGAGGGTTCGTCTATAATTTTGTAATTTAATTATATTAAATCCTAATAATACAATTATCTTATAATTTAAAATATTTAGCAGCTATATAAAAAGGTCGACAATTAACTTTAAATAAATGGAAACAGATTTCTATCCTTCTGCAAAGAAAAGAATTATTTTTCCGTGAATTGGATATGTTTTGATTTTTATAGTATGACTTATACTTTTTATTGTCAATTTAGTAGTTAGTGATGCAGATGGGCCTGATGCTATTATACAACTTCAGGGTTACGATCCGGATTCAACTAAAAACTTTTTTAGGATTATGTTCATGTTTATCCCATTCACTTATCAGCTCTATTACTTACAGCCACATTCCGAATTGGACCCTTTAATGGGAATAAAAATTCTTATCGTGGCAAATATTCTTGTATACTCTAGAAGCATTCTGGCTATGATTTATGCAAAACCTTTGCCATATCTTGAATATGAAAGCGTCGAGGGCTGGCAGTGCTTGCTTGACTGAAGTATGCCGAGTGAGAGAACAATGGTCACTTTTTCGGTATCTCTTTATTATATTTTACTACTGAAATCATTAAAACGCAATGAATATCCGACATGGGTATATCTAGCTCTTGCTGGCTTTTTCGCTGCCTGAAACTGCCTGGTTAGTATCACTGAAATAATTATAGGGATCCAAACTGTGATCGGAATGTTTTTAAGCATCTTTTGAGGTTTGGTAATTTTAATTCCTTTTATTATTTTTGATTCAAAATTTACAGAGTTAATTATAAATGTGCTTGATAAGCCAAAGCAAGGTCTGGCAATATTTCACATCGTCTTTGCGGCCAGCGCCTTTTTTGGGCTGATTTTATTTGAAACAAGGAATGCAGAACTTTCTGACACATGGGAAGATATAATCGACACAATATGTCACGACACAATGTCTTTAACGAGCAGGAACATATCTGCTTATGATTTACATCAATCAACAATTTTAGCCATCCCAACAGGAGCTCTATTGGGCTTCGTAATTTGCTACAGAACGTTTCAATGTAAATGGTGAGGCACTTTAACAATTTATCACAAGATAATTAGGGTAATTTGCAGTTGGGTGTACTTCAATGTGGGAAACATTTTTATTGTAATTTTTCAATCGACTTCATCTACTAATTCAAGCTTGAAAAAAGTGACTGATACTTTTGGCTTGACTGAAGTCATCAAAAATCCATATTTTCTATTCTTTTTTGACTTATTCGTATTTTATCAAATGGGATGGATGCTCACATATCTTTATCCTATTGTGATTTCTGGACTTAATCTGTCTAAGCCGGTTGAAGTAAATATTCCTAACTTAGACTCTGAAATCTCATTTGAAGTTAGCGATCCTACGAAGCGTGAAAGAGCTGATATTGATAATAATTAGAATAATACCATTTTGTGTAATTTTCAGTTATTTTTAATATTTTACACCGATAATTGTCTCATATGAAATCTGACCGTTTCTTAATCTTTAAAAATCGTTGACATAACGATTTATGTATTGACTACCGCTGTCTGAGAAATTATTAAAATAATTTTATGAGGCTTTATAAAAACTCGAAGTTTATCTAAAATAATTGAACAGCTCTTTAAGGATTTCTCTTTACTTGCTTAGTTGAATTGCATTGTTAATCATTGATTTATTTCAGAGCAACAGAAATAAATATGGCCATCCCTCATTTCCGAGTTGATACTCCCATCCAATTACTTGAATGTGAGCAGGCTTGGAATGCTCTGACAATTCAAGAAAAGCTTTACGCATACCACTTTTCTCTTGCTTGCTGGGAAGGCAGCAAAATTACTTTCTTCCAAAAGTCTTACGAGTCCCCAGGCATCTTTCTACTCTTACAAGAACTTTTCAGCATTCCCTATCTGAAAGAGAGAGCACTACAAATTGGTTTCGCAGAAGAAGACTTAAATTTACTCAAAGCTTATGCTTGTGGAGTTTATACCAATTTTGGTAATTATTGGGGCTTCGGAAGTAATAAACTCGTCCCTGAGCTTGCACAGGAAAAATTTGACAACCTTGTAAGAAGAATTGGGACTCCTAGAATAAAGGATATTTGGGCAAAGGTAGGAAATTTGATTTATGATAGGAATCCTCCACTTAATAATCTTGAGTTTTCTGACAGAGGAGGTGTGAGCTCTTATTACTCTTACAATGTAACTTCTTCTGATGCAGAACTTGTAAAGAGGTTTCTGATTAGCATAAATCTTAACTTAACTTAGATCATGATAAATTAGCACCTGGCCAGTTATGTCGGCTTTCCTGCCCCTTGCTTCGTTCCACCCTCTGTCTTGCCATTCCGATTACACGGACTAAGGTATGTGGATGAGAGCTTGCACTCTCAAACAAGAGTGCTGCTGTTCCAAAAATCTAAAGTGAATTTTCTGGTAAGGCTATCACCAAGATAAAATTTACCCAGGACACAACTCCCAGGCTTTCCCTTTCAAATTTCAGGTTTCATACCCCCTCGAGATAAATCTTGGATGTGAGCCTGAGGTCAGTTACCTGACACTGCGATCCATCAGACCAAGTAAAACCCTTAAGGCACTCTCGCTCTATGCTGTTATCCCTCCAGCAAGGTCTCATTTCCATCTTGCTATAGTTGCTTAGAGGGCAGACTAGCTTACCATGTCATTTTAAGTATGATCAGCATAAACCAAGTAGACTTGCATTGGAATAGTAGGCTTTGGAAGGTTGACGGCGTTTTGGATGTAAAAATTGCAAGCAATCGAGGGCAATGGCTACCTTGCTTACTGCCCACTCCATGAGTGAACTAAACCATTGAAAAAATCCTATTTTTTTACCCAAAAACCAACCCTCCTTGAGTGAACAAAAATTTTCTATGAAAATTTTTTGATATATAAGTGATGATAATGAAATATCTAGCTAATTCTGTTTAATTTTAAGCAGCTTTATTTAATAAAAACGTAAATTTTGGAAAAAAAAATACCTAAATTTTAACCCCCCGTAGGTGAACAAATTTTTTTTTGTTCGTTTATTGAGGGGAGTTAGGAGATTATGAATTTGAAGGTCAGAAAATCAGGATTTCTAATGGAGATTTCTACATATTCACCCAAAGAATTATCTCCCACTTATCTAATGCTCTTCCGTATTCTGCAAACGAGCATCAAGAGAGAATGATCGTTGATTACATCAAGCATTTTTCGACTGGCGACATAAAAGATCATAAAAACTCTCAGAGACATTGGATAAAAGACAAAGGCCCAGTTGTTGAAACCAACATCGGCTTCATTGAAAATTATGTGGACCCTATGAACATCAGGTCTGATTTTGAAGGATTCGTCAGCATTGTCGACAAAATCGTAAGTTCCAAGTACTCCACTTTAGTCTCCAAAGCTGCAGAAATCATCCCAAAGCTACCATGGGGCAAGACCTTTGAGAAAGACCAATTTTTGAAGCCTGATTTCACCTCACTCACTGTTCTCGCATTTCCTGGCTCTCTTCTTCCTATAGGCATCAACATTCCAAATTACGACGATATAAGACAATCTGAAGGGTTCAAAAATGTGAACTTGGGAAACGCGTATCCTAAAGTCAACCTAAAAACACTTCAATTTGTATCCCAGGAAGATGCCCAGATGATTGAAGATCTTTTTCATACTGCCGGAGAGCTTGCAGTTGCTCTTCACGAGCTGCTTGGTCATGGATCAGGAAAACTCCTATCAAGAGATGCAAATGGGCATTTTAACTTTGACACAGAAGCCATAAACCCCGCAACTGGAGAAAAGATTGACTGCTGGTACGAAGGAGATGAAACTTGGTCTTCGAAATTCGGAAGCCTTTCAAACCCATATGAGGAATGTAGAGCTGAGACTGTGGCTGTTTATTTATCGTGCTTTAATGAGCCATATGAAGCTTTTGGAATCACTGAAGACATTGAAAGATCAAGAAACATGATTTGGCTCAACATGGCTCTCGGAGGACTGAAAGGGCTGGTTTTGTATAACTCAGAAGCTGGAAAATGGGGTCAGGCGCATGCATGGGCCAGATATGTGATTTTTAGAGTTATGCTGGAAGTAGAAGGGCTAGTAAGAATTGAATTTACAGAAGATAACCAGTTCATACTGAGAATGGACTACAGCAAAATCCCAACTGAAGGCTTTAACGCCATTTCCCGCTTCCTAACGAAGCTAAACTGCTTCAAAGGCACTGGAGATGTCAGAAGAGGCACTGAGCTTTTCAATCACTACTCCCAGATGGACGACACTATATTAAGAGTCCGCCAAATCGTTATCAGCAACATGAAGCCACGAAAAGCCAACGTCCAATGCCACCTAGACTTCAATGGAAGTTTTCCTGAGCTGATCAAGTTTGAGGAAAGCATGGACGGGATCATCAGGTCTTTCCAAGAAAGATTCCCTACCTTTGACGAAGAAATGTACCGCCTGTGGGAAGAAGAATTTAGCTTTAATCGTCATTAAGTAGAAAATAATTACTGAGATAAGATTAGCGCAATAATTAGTCCGTAGAGTCCCAGCGCTTCTGCAAAGATGAGTATCAAGATCATGCCTACAAAGATTTTGTCCTGCTGTGCATTCGCTCGAACTCCTGCGTCTCCTACAATACCAATTGCCATTCCTGCTGCCAATGAGCTGAGTCCACAACATAATCCTGAAGCCAGGTGTTTGTATCCATCGTAAAATGAGTAGTCGTTGTCATTGATCTTTTGCACTAAAATGACTGCGACAATAAGCCCGTAAATACCTAAGACACCAGCCATGACAACTGGGATAATTGATTTCATGATCAATTCGGGCTTAATCACACCCATTGAAGAAATTCCAACGCCACTTTTGGCAGTTCCGTAGGCTGCACCGAGGTTAGCGAAGACAAGAGCGCTTGATACTCCCATGAATCCAAAGAAAGCTTGAGTAGTCACGTCTGTTGTTGACATTTAATTTAATGGACAATTACTGAGAAATCATACACTTAAAAAGCAATTTATATGAAAAAGACAAATTTATTCTTCTATAACTAGATTTATATCGGCGCTGCTAGGACGAATTTTAAAAATTTATAAACAAGATTTTTGCAAAATGCTAATTTTGAATAAAAAACTATCAAAAATTAATATATGGGAAAAAGCTTAATATAAGCCAAAAATTGCACAAAGCATACATCATAATTCTCATTGCCATTAGTAAAGCTACCCGAATTTATTAGCACAGATCAGATCCTAGCTCTTAATACCAATTTTCAATGCATAATAAATGAAAAAATTGATTTCCCTTTTGAATTTACAAAGAAAATGTTTATAATAATACTCTAATTCACAATATTAAAATAATATGGGAGAAAACAGACTTGCAGCTATTTTAGAAGCGTCACTCAGAGCTGACGGACAGTTGGAAGCAGAGGAAGCAAACGAAAAAAAGACACAGCAAAGCATAGTGCCAGTTGAACCTAGCAGCAAAAAGCCAGCAAGACCTGGAAGAAGAATAGTGATGAGCAAAGAAAAAGAAAGCTACATCAACCCAGAACCGAAACCCCAAGATGATATTATGGAGTGCCTAAATGATGTGCTTATTGACATAGCTAGCCCTGAAGATCTTTCAAATCCTTTTCAAAATCAAGAAGATTTAAATGCACATAAGTCTTTAGAAACGCCAAAGTTCAAAATTTCGCATAAAATAGATGCTACTGAGTCCAAGCCAAAAGCAGCTGGCTCATCTAGTGCAGCATCTGCAAGCCTTAAATCTAAAGAAACAGAACAAAAACTTAAATTGCAAAAAGCCAAAAAACCGACTGAGAGTGAGCCTAAAGCTGCTGCAATAGAACAGAGCCACCCAACTATCAAACTGCCTGAGGTTTTAAAGCAAGAACCTAAAAAGGAAGAAAAGGCTAAAAGCTCTGAGTTCGATTTTAAGTTTGGGAGCAAAAAAAAAGAGAAAAAGCAAGAAGTTGCTGAAGAAGACGTTTTTGAAGAAGATAAAATGGGTGAGGCCTGAGAATACGCCATGTATAGTGCTAATGTAAATGAGCAAGAAGAGTCTGAATCCGGCTCAGACGAATTCGACGCTGATTTTGAAGGAGAAATTGTGATCGCTCCGATAGCAGAAGCTGAAGCCAAAAAGCCAGAAAAGAAGCAGGAAAAGACTAATAAGTCTAAAAAAGTCGATTTAAAAACAAGAGGAATCAAGGCCCAAGCAAAACTCCAGCAAATGGAAATGAAAGCCGAAATGAATAACGAAGCGTCCCATGAAAAAGAAACCGAAGTCCAAGAATCCCAAGTTGTCGTAAATATCGACGAATGGGAAAACGTCCAAGAAGTCGCAATTGTTGAAAAGCTGGAGACAAAGAAAGTTAATGAAGATTTCGTTACAATCGAAATTTCAGAAATAAAATCTGCCGATAAGCTCGAAAAAAATCTCTCCATGGAAGACCTAGAAGCCCACAATACAACCCATGCACTTTTCTACAGCAGAAATTACACTGTTGAGCAAGCGTTATCTCAAATCGAAGAAATCAAAATTTCTGATGAGATCCGCCGGACTCTGATCCCAAAGAAAAAATCATTTTTCTCATTCTTTTCTGCGTGCTTTGCACCAAGTATGCCTAAGCTTGACCGCGAGAGCAATGCAGAAAAAGAAAGGCTACTTGTATTGTCGTGTACAGATTTCGATTCATCCCAAAGTTTCCACTTGTCTATGATTATGACAGTTTATAAAATAATTACTAGCTCTCAATCAGACTGTCCTATAATAGGTCCTCATTGGATGGAAATTGGATTTTCAGGCAGTAGTCCTCAGGATGATTTAGGCGAAATTGGACTGGCTGGGTTGTTATGTCTATTATATATGGTGAATAAGTATTACAAATACTCGAAGCAAATGCTGCTTGCATCAAAAGATACGTTCTGTGGCTTTCCTTGGGCAATTGTACTGCTTGAGCTAGCGAGGATAGCAGTTTCTTGCTTGAAGGAAGGTAGGCTTAACAAGCTGATAGGGAAAGAGAAGGACTTATACCACACTTTTCTGAGGTTTTATGCAGGGATCGTGCTTTACTGGTTTGAATTGCACAAAGAAAGGAAGTTCCAGTTTGACCAATTCCTAAAATACAAAGACATGGTTTATGAGCAGGCTCGAAGGGGTCCTCATAAGCTACTAAGCGTGGGGATTGAAAATTCTTCTGACAATAAAGGCTTCAATCGGCTAAAAAACCACGTTGCATCGCTGTCAAATGCAACTAACTAAATTGCTAAATATTTACCGATTTAAATAAATATGTGCTGCAAATCACCAAAGCGTCAAGGATCGCCCACCTTAAACACGTCGTCTAAAACTGAGTCCAAAGTGGTCCTCCTTGGCGACTCAGGAGTGGGGAAGTCCTCGCTTCTATGGAGATTTGACAGGGGAGAGTTTAATGAAAATCATGAAGTTACAATCGGAGGCGCATATTTGGAGAAGAAGGTAGCCTTAAGCAATGAGAAAATGGTTGTTCTAAACATCTGGGACACTGCTGGGCAAGACAGATTTTTATCATTGATGCCTATGTATTATAGGAATTCAACTGCAGCGATAATTGTATATGATGTCTCAAACCAGCACTCTTTTAGTAGAGTCCAATATTGGGTAAAGACACTTAAAGACCAGGTTCCTGATTGCTTGCTATATCTGGTCGGAAATAAAGCAGACAAAGAGCCTAAAATGGTTGATGAGTTTGTAGCTAAGGATTTTGCGACTGCAAATGGGATGGATTGGCTGGAAACCTCAGCTAAGTCCGCTCTCAACGTCGATTTATTGTTTAAAAGAGTAGCTGAAGGAGTGGAAAAGGTGAAATGAAATTAATCAGCAGATTAGCTAGCTTTATGTATCCTGAAATAATGAAGATATTTATAGAAAAGAAGCCTGCTAACTAATTTTGTTTTCTATTAAATAAATTTCTATAAATCCTCATATCAAAAAATCTTCACGCAACCATTTTTTAATTACAAGAGAACTATGTGTTGCAGATCTCAAAAACGAGCTGATGGGTCTCTTCTCAACTCAACCCTCAAGGTTGAGTCCAAAGTCGTGTTCCTCGGAGACTCAGGCGTCGGGAAATCCTCTCTCTTAGTCCGATATACACGTGGCGAGTTCAGTGATGCCCACGAAGTAACAATCGGTGGAGCATTTTTACAATCCAGAGTTGACACCGGTGACGGGAAAGTCACAGTCCTAGACATTTGGGACACTGCAGGACAAGAAAGGTTCAGAGCGCTGATGCCTCTTTATTACCGAGATGCCGCAGCTGCAGTAATTGTATATGATGTGGGCGACAAACGATCTTTTGAGCGAGTTGACTACTGGGTGAACACCTTAAAGGCACAGGTTCCTGACTGCTTGCTGTATTTAGTAGGGAACAAAGCTGATAGAGAAAGCAAGACAGTTGGAGAAGACATCGCAAAAGCATATGCGAACGAACATGACATGGAATGGTTCGAGACTTCAGCGAAAACTGCTTTAAACGTGGATTTGGTATTCAGAAGAGTTGCAGAAGGAATTCAAAAGCTCAAGGGAAATTAATAGTAATATAAATGACAATTCACTAAACGATTCATGAACTGCCAGCTTTATTTGGCTTTATATTTTCTAATAAAAGATTAGCAAAGTTAACCCAATTGAAAAAGTCAGAGTATTTTTGAATTATTCTCTGTATATACTTTAAGCTCATTGCAAAATTCGATTAAATTTTTCTTTTTCAGTGTTGTAATGATCCACTGAAGCACTAGTTTCTTTAGTTGTAGTTTAGATGAAATTTTGATTAATATTTTCTCCAAAATTCCTATTTGAGAAGAATCTTGTCGATACTTGATACTAGTAAAAGTTTTAGATTAAAAATAATTAGACTTATGCATATTTTAAATAATATTAGTTCAATCGATAGCAAGTTTAATTTGAAATTTGTTGAATCGATATATCCACCCAACCTTTTTCTTAGAATTTTATGAAATATTGAGATATAAAGAAGGTTTTTCATACTCCCGTATGATAGAATTCCATTTTAATCTTTAAGCATTCTTAGGGGGCACTATAGCTCATACCCCTTTATAGATTTCTATATCGAGCAAAATGTCCTGGCCTCTTGAACGAGAAAAACAGACTCTCTCAAAGAGATGATCTCAATCTCTATATAAGTAAGTGCTAAAAAGTGACATGTCAAAAAATGGTGACAAGTGAGAAAAAATTTGACAAGTAAACGCGTCAATTTTTAAAAAGGTCTTAAAAATTTAATAATAACGATAATAATAAATACATAAATAATAAATGATACATATAAAATTTTATTAATAAAATTAGATGCCATTCTCAGCTTCTCCATACTGGACGACATCTTGTATCAAGAATAAGTCTAAAAATTATTGGAGATTTTGAGAGATGTCTCAACAGAAGTAATAACTAATGGAGACCTTTGATGGGTTAAAGGGGGGAGTCGCACTTTTGAATTTTTCTCTAGGTAATATTCATGTCAGTTTCTCTATACTGGACGCCATCTTGATGACACCTTATATCAAGCATAAGTCAAAAAATTATTGGAGATTTTGAGAGATGTCTCAACTGAAGCAAGAACTCTTGGAGCCTTTTGATGGATTAATGGGGGGAGTCGCACTTTTGAATTTTTCTCTATAAACTTTTTCAAGCCAGTTCCGCAATACTGGTTGCCATCTTGAATCAAGCATAAGTCCAAAAATTATTGGAGATTTTAAAGGATATCTCAACTAAAGCAATAACTCTTGAAGATCTTTGATGGGTTAATGGGGGGAGTCGCACTTTTGAATTTTTATCTATAGACTTATTCAAGTCAGTTTCTCTATATTGGATGCCATCTTGATGACATCTTGCATCTAGCATAAGTCCAAAAATTATTGGAGATTTTGAGAGATGTCTCAACTGACTCCCCCCCCTCGAAGTTCGACCAAGATATAGGGAAAATTCCTATTTTTTTGGAAAATTAACCCCCCTCAAAGTTCGACCAAGACCTATATAAATTTACTAGGAAAATAAGCAATTTTTAAAAAATTTTAAACTATGTGGGGGTGAGCTTGCGATTTTTGTATTCAAGTTCTAAAAAAGCGTTAAAAAACCATCTTGCACTATTTTTTTTCTAACCCTTACACCCTCTCAACCATACAGAAGAATATGATAAATATTTTTTTTTTTTAAACTACTAAATTATATAAAAAAAAATTCTATATAATTTTTTTTAAAAAAATTTTTCTTAACCCCCCTCGAAGTTCGACCAAAAAAATCTTGGTCGAACTTCGAGGGGGGGGAGTGAAGAAATAACTCTTGGAGACCTTTGATGAGCTAACGGGGGGAGTCGCACTTTTGAATTTTTCTTTAGGATTACTCATATCAGATTCTCCATACTGGACGACGCCATCTTGATGACATCTTGGATCGAGCATAAGTCCAAAAATTATTGGAGATGTTGAGAGATGTATCAACTGAAGCAAGAACTCTTAAAGAATTTTGATGGGTTAAAGGGGGGAGTCGCACTTTTGAGTTTTTTTCGAAGTATGAAAGTCGTAGATATTTATGATTTCATTATTTCTCTCCAAGATGTCTAAAATGAAATGCTACATTTGTGTTTGATTAGGTTTTATATCAGAAACCAGATTTATTGGGTGCTCTCAGTCTAATTGGGCATCTTAAATTTAAATTTAATTTTATAATAAAGCCATTTTTAAAATCGGCGCGTTTACTTGTCCACTTTTTTCACACTTGTCACCATTTTTTGACATGGCACTTTTTAGCACTTACTGATATAGAGATTGAGATCATCTCTTTGAGAGAGTCTGTTTTTCTCGTTCAAGAGGCCAGGACATTATGCTCGATAAAAGAAATCTATATAGGGGTATGAGCTATAATACTTTTTGTTATAGCAAACATAAGATTTTTTCTTCAATTGGACTTGCAATTCAAACCCCAGCTAATATAAATCGTGCGATCCATTTGGAACCAAGATATATTAAGAATTTTCCAATAGACAACAAAGATTAAATATTAATTTGCTGATCTTAAACAATTATAATGTGTCTCGTGATATTTAGTTTTTGCAAGATATGCTTTTGTCAGTTCCTGAGCTTCAGTCTCTTCCTGCTCATTATATCTAGAATTAAGCAGATATGTTCTCAGCCTCTCTGTTGTGTGGTGGTTATTTCTGCTCATTCATGCTACTAATAGAGTTATTGGCCTTGAATATCCAATGTGTTCTTGAGCATGAAAAAGCTTCAAGTGGGAAAATTCATGGGCAATCACGTTTGCAATCCCTGATTCATCAAGATCTTTAATAGCGCCTGAGCTTATAAATGCATCTCCTGTGGGAAGAATGTTTAAGATGAATTCGTCTGACCTTAAGAAATGAAGCTTTCCAGGTAATTTTACTGGGTAATTTGCAACGATTTTCTTATAAATTTCTTCAAGAAAAGGAAAATTTTCTTCTTTGTACTTTAAACTCATCTTTTTACCTCATGTCTGCATGATTTTCCTTGCTAAATTTCTTTCGAGCCTAATGTCAATGCCTTGGAAAACTCATCTCCCAGAAACTTCATTTGGCTGGTAATATTTTGAAACTATGCCTGCTACAGTAACACCTGGGATAATCCCAATGCCTATTAGAAAAGGTATTTTCATTAAGATGAAAAAATTATGATTTATTTGAAGAAAAATCGTAATAAATAAGCCTTTTAATAATTAATAGATGGAATTTATTGACAAAGATACAATTAAAGCAAACAAACCATTACTGAAAGCTTATGATATTTTGCCTTTTCTAAAGTACCAAGTAAAAGTGATAGGGTCTCCTGGCATGAATAAACCTCAAAGCAGTTCAAAGCCTGCTAATTCAGCTCGAGGCAACATCTGGGGTTTTAGAAGAGAAGAATCTTCGATTCCTAACACAAATGGCTTTGCGAAAATAGCAAAGCAGTCGAAAAGTCTCAGAACACTGAAGACTGAAAAGAAAGCCGAGGAACCTGAAAGTTTTTCTTTTTTCAAAGACGAAATTGGGATCCAATTCTCTATGTTTAGCAGCAAGAAGCTCAGACTTCCGATCCCAAACTTTCAGATCCCTACAGACAGCGAAGACAGCGAGCAAGCTACCGCCAGAAAGCAATCTACCTCTAAATCAAAACGGCGAAATCTATCAATTCCAGTATTGGGGAACGTGGTCACAGTGCCTCCTCCCCCCACAGAAAGGACTCCTGAAAAACTCAAAAGCGAGCGCCACTGCTACAGCAGCCGAATGCTCCTCAAGCCTATTGGCAAGCTCTGAAAATCCAAAGGGATCAACATTGATGAAGTCCCAGTATCCCACCAAGTTTCAGAACAAAGCATACAAATAAAAAGGCAAAAGCCACCAAAGCCCAAGCCGAGAAGTACTGCGATGCTCAGGAGACGTTTTTCTCAAATAGATTTAATTTCCTTATGTGTATTCAACGAATATCATGACAGTTCATGTCATAATTAATACTAATGAGTTACCATATTTTATTTATTAGAGAATTTGTTTTAGTTTCGAGCTCAGGCTTGGCTGAGAGCATGAAGGGGATTTTTAGGACTGTCATGGTTTCTGTGGCTCTTTTGATGACGTTGCTGAGGCATTCTTTGAGGTCTTCTGGAGGGTTTCAGGTCCCTAAGTCAATGCAGAGCTCAAGCTCGGTGTTGATGTAGACGACGAAGTCAAATTTTAAGCCCTTGAGCTTGCTGATTTTGACGGCGAAAATCCTGATGCTGCCTTCAGCGTCAGTTGGGACAGCTTGGCCAATTTCTATATACCCCAGAACGTCTTGCTCTTTTCGCTCGACTTGCATGCCTTCGCTTACTCCCCCCCCATCCTTGATCGAACGATTGACTGTAAAAATTCCTAAAAATTGGGGAAATTAACCCCATCCTTGATCGAACGATTTTCATATCATGACAATTTTTATATATATAAAAATATATTAGTTATCAAAAGCTTGGGAAAGATGCACCTAACGAAGTTGTTTTCAGAGCTTTGAGACGACAGAAAGCTGCGAAATCAACCATTTGAAGTGATTTAGTCATCAACCTAGGCTTAAAAACTCAATAATCTAATAAAATACAGATTCTTTAAAATTTAAAAAAAAAATTTTAATTTAATAAGGAACAAATTAAAATTTATACAGTTTTAAAAAGGGTAAATAATAAATCAAAATATTAAAAAATTGGTATTTTATGAAATTAATTCAATTTTTTGCTGTAAAATAATTATTTATTAACCCTCTTATTTAAAAGTAAATAAAAAAATATATTTTTTATTTTATATATAAATTTTTTTTCCCAAAAAAAAAGTTTTTTAACCCCCATCCTTGATCGAACGATGGCGAGTCGTTCGATCAAGGATGGGGGGGAACTAGTAAGTTGTAGAAGCTTTTACTGAATCTTAATGGTGAGCTGATAATTGCTGAGTCTAAGCACCTGCAGACTGAGTTTAGCTGGCTATTGAACACCATTTCTCTGATTTCTGCTCAAAATCCCTCTCCAATGCCTTTATTGAGAGTTTCCGATAAATAACTGCTATATTCTCCCATTAGTTCAACCCTGCTGGCTCCGGAGAAATAGGAAAAATCAATAGTTACAGTGCAATTTTCGTCTAAAAATACTTCAAGATGGTCATTCAAGTTATAGCAAAGATCAGCAAAATCGCCAATCAGCTTTTGAAGTCGATAAATCCTATGTGACGATAAAACTGTGTCAAGCAAGCCTGAAAAATCTGAAGTGAACTCAAAATTAAAAGGGATCGGTGGGGAGTGGGAAATTATAATATAACTAAATGAATTTCTTCTGATTGATCCATTATGATATTCAGTATAATTAGCCATTAATGGTATACAATATCAGAATCTTTTATCAAGACTTCAAAATAAGACGGGTAGTATTGCGGCCAATAAGAAACTTTTAAACTGGCCCCAGGTATGTAATTTATAGTAATAATAGTATTTTGCTTGGCTTGCCTTTGCAAGTTTTCTAAAATTCCTGACGCGCAAGTTCTTTTTAAGTGTGTGTCCAACTTTACCAAAACTAATGGGTCTTGTGGAGGCTTTAAAAGGTTCTGCATTTCTTGAAAAATCAGGTTTTTCTAATTGACGGATACTTGATTCACATTAATTTGTTGCGTCGACAGCTGAAAATCACACAGCATCCACAGGAGTTCTTTCTTTTCTTCACGCAATGACACACTGAACTGAAAATCATTTCGAGTTGCATTGAGTTTCCCATCAGCCACCCTACATCTCAATTACTCTAATGTAAGCCCAGCTGGGTGATCGACTAGCAAAGTTTTGTGCTTTAAATACTGTGTCAGCTTTGAAAGAGGCACCTTCTTTGGAGTTATCACGCTGCCTGCCAAAGGAAATCCTCTGTACTCTCCTCTGCATAGAATATCAGAAGCCTCAGTTAAAGCGAATCTTGGCGTTCTTAGCCGATATAGCTGCTCTGAGTGCAAGACGCCAAGCATCCAGGCCGTTTCTTTATATATACGAGATCTATCTCCGAGATAATCCTGAAGCTCAGGGATTTTAGACCATAAAGCAGCATAGGAGCGGGACCATGATATTACCTTTTTAAGCCTTTTTAATAGAGAGCGAGTCCTGCTGCAATATTCTACAAGTGCATGCCGTTTGGAAGCAGCTCTAGTTAATTCATGAAGTTCTCTTGCGAGGTGCTGACTCCCCCCCCCTTTAAATTGGAACAAAATATAGGTAAAATTTCCACTTTTTTGGTAAATTAACCCCCTTTAAATGGAACAAAATTTAATTTTATAATAAAAAATTTTATTATATATATAAATCATAATTTTTATGTAAAAAGTTTTGATATAATTTAAATGTTTCTTCTTAACTAAAATTAAAAATTTAGTTATATCCTGCTCTTGCTATAGGAATAGAGTATAAAGAGCATCTTATTTAAATAAATTTATTATCCTTAATTGTAAATTTTAAAAAAAATTTAATGTTTTTTGTTTTTAAAAAATTTTCAAAAAAAAAATTTATTTTTTTTTATAAAAATGATATATTTTTTATTTAAATAGCATTGATATAAATTCAATACGAATTCTTTACAAAAATTCAAAAAATTTTACTTATCTCTTGCTTTATTTTAAAGAATAGAGTATAAATAGCATCTTATTTAAACAAAATTAACACTTTGATTAATAAATTTTTCTAAAATTTTTTTTTTTTTAATTTTTTTTTATCAATAAAAATAATAATTTTTGTGTAAATAGTTTTGATACCAATTAATAGTGGCGTATTAATTAATAATAAAATTTTAGTTATACCTTGCTTTGTTTTAAAGGATACAGAGTAAATAGCATTTTATTAAACAAATTTATTCATCTAATTCGATAAATTTTGAAAATTTTTGTTTTTTAAAATTTTTATATAAATTTTTTTTTTTATAAAATATTTTATAATTTTTTTTTTTTTAAAAAAATTTTTCTTAACCCCCCTTTAAATTGGAAATTTTTAGTTCCAATTTAAAGGGGGGGAAGTGAGAAATGCAGCGTATCAGGTCTCTTAGTTTGACTACTTCCATTTTAATTATTTATAATTCTTCTTCTTCTTCACTTCCTGCTTCTCGCTGTGAGCGGGCCTTGAGTCTTTCTTCTTTATGCTTCTTCTTGATCCTTTGTTTTTCTTTTATTTTTGCGATTTCTGCGGTTTCTTTGACTCTGGATATCACTTTCTCAGTCAGATCTTCTTCAGGGTTTTGGCTGAATTCAATGCTTTCTTTTTTCTTCTTTTTCAGCTGCCGCTTGCTCATGAAGTCTTCTTGGATTGCTTCAAGCCCAATTTCTTCTAAACCGTGATTTTTCCTTTTAATTTGGAACAAGTCTTCGTCACTTTCAACTTCCATATTTTCTGCTTCATTATTTTCAGGCTCCTCTTCATTTGTAATTTCTTGAGCCTCTTCTTGAGGTTCTTCTTGAGGCTCGTCTTGAGCATTTTCCTCTGCGAGTTTTCGCTTTTTCTCTTCTTTTTTCTTTTTGATTTTTTCTTTGAGGATCTCTAATTTTGTCTTTTTCCTCGTTTCGCCATCGCCTTCTACTAAACTAATATTTGGGTCTCCTGTTAATCCTAAAGATACAGAAAACTCTTTGAAGGGCAAGGCGTTGAAGTTAAAGACTTCTTTATTTGGGTTTAAGAAAACTGATCTCACGTAGCTTTTGAAGTAGGTTTCTGCCAAATGTTTTATAGCTGAATCTTCTGCCACAAAATTGGCCAAATTATTCACAATTGAGTACGTCTTTTTAGGGTTTGGCTTGATTTTTTTCATACTTATTTTCCTCTCTTCTAAATACTCAATAAATTTAATTTCTGATGGTAAAAGGAATAATAACGCATTTCCGCCTGATTTATATCTAGCAGTTCTGCCAACTCTGTGTATATAGGATTGCACATCTTCTGGGCAGTCAACTTGAACTACCCAATGTACTGCTGGGAAATCTAGCCCACGACTTGCTATATCAGTTGCGAATAAAACAGCTTCAGGCTTCTCCAGAAAATTAAAATAAATAGCCGTTCGTTTGTCCTGTCTTTGTCCTCCATGAAGTTCCATAAGTGGAATCCCAGGGTGCATTTTTTTGAAAGTCTCATAAGTGAACCTCACTTGTTTACACGACGAAAAAAATACCAAAATCTTGCATTTCACATGAGATCGAATAAAGGAAAACAGCAAATTAAGCTTGTGTGGGAGGTCGATTACTATATAATGCTGGGTTAATTTTGATTGTGTACCGATGTCTTCTTTATTAGGAAGCACGTTTATATATTCAGGGCTGTTAAGATGCAGCTTGACTAGACTTTGTATTGATTTGGATAATGTAGCAGAAAATAGGAGATTTTGTCTGTGTGGAGGAAGGTACTCTAAAATGCTGTTTAGTGCTTCTTCGAATCCCATTTCCAGAATCCTGTCTGCTTCGTCAATTATAAGCATCTGCAAGTTGTCTGTCCTGAAATCTGACGTTTCCTGCATGTGCTGCAACAGCCTTCCAGGCGTGGCTATCAAAATGTTCATCATTCCTATCCTTTCTTTTTCGTGCTCTAGGTCTTTGCCACCGATCACAAGACCCACTGAAAATTGGTGCCTTTCGCCGAGCTTTTTCATGGTCTCAAACAGCTGGATCCCAAGCTCTCTTGTAGGAACTATAATTAAGCACCCTAGCCCATCTATTTTTGACCACTTTTCTCGGTAGAGTTTTTCTAGAGCAGGAATCAAAAATGCAAGAGATTTGCCAGAGCCAGTCAAGGCAGTCCCTAAGACGTCGCGTCCTGCAAGTGCATGGGGGATAGCGCCTCTTTGAATTGGCGTCATCGTTGTTCATTGGTTTTTGATGCATCCTGATATTGTGTTTTTTGATATGGGGAGTTCGGAAAATTTAAGCTTGATAAATTCAAGCTTGTCGCTGTCTTTTTCGTCGAGAAGGCCATATATGCCAGATGGTGGAGTTTCGGCTTGAATCCTTTCTTTTAGCTTGTCAGCTTGTGGGAAAAAGTCTCTGTCTCTTTTAACCATTTTATGTGAGGTATATGAAAGCTATTTATTAGCAAAATCTTATGTTAAAAAATAGGGCATTGGGATGATAATGAGGACTCTATTGCGAATTTGGGGTCTTCCATTGGATCTTCGTAACGCTTTCCATCTTTAAGTAGCTGTTCAATTTTGAAGAAATTGATGTCCATTGCTCTGATATAGCCTTCACAGATGTTATCAATTTCCATTTCAATTTCGTCAATAGTTGGTCCACCATTTGTGTCTTCAACCAAAATTGGGAGTGAAGTTAGCGCTAGGGTATGCTTATAGCCTCTTAAATTATATAGACAACAAAGATAGTTGCATTCTAAATAGGCACCTTGAATGTTTATTCAACTAAAAGAGGATATTATTACGAGATGTATTAGCTTCAGCTGCTTTTTTTATTTCATCTTCTACTTCTGTGTCCTCTTTGAGTTCTTCGAAATATTGGGTGGGTATCTTTATTGTTTCATTTGGAATTCCTCCAGTTTTAAGTTTTAAATAATTTTCTAAATATAGCTTTGTATGCGCACTTGGGGCTTGCTTCCCTAATAAAACTGTTGTGAAGCTTCTTTTGGCTAAAATTTCTCCATAAGGCGCAGGTTGCACTTTTTTAATGCAGGCAAATTTTACTTGTTTATACATCCATCTGAACAAAAGCTCCTTTTTATAATACTGAGAAATAATTGGCTTTGTTATGAGGTAAGTTTTCTTTAAAAAATCCTTTGGGGCTCCCACCATTGCTGCCTTGATCAAAACCACCGTAAAAGCGATAATTAGAGTAAACTGAGAAGAATCGACCCATAAGCAATCTTCTTCGTTACTAAATCTTGCGGCTGGGTCATAAGTAAGCTCTCCTGGAAGGTAAATCGTGAAAGATACATTGTCAGGATGACTTATGACGATTTTTCCCATATAATTAATCCCGCATATGCTCATTGGCTCTTCAAGAAAGACAGCTTTAAACTTTTCGTTTGGTGGGGTGACCTTTGTAATTGCTCGTGCCATCATATCGTGGTCTGTAAAGTCGATTTTGAAAAATGATTTGGCAGGATTGTACTCATAAAGATTTGGGACTGAGTTCAAATTGAAGTTCAGGATGTCTTTTAGTGGAATTGCTTCTGACGTAAGATTTTCGTCTTTTCATTCTATGGCAGTGTTAAATCGACCTTCTATAACTGCCTTTTGAACTAAACTTTTTCCTAAACTCTCTGTTTTTTTTGTTAAAAAATGGAATTTATATTGAAAATTGTTAATTTCAGTATAATTCCTTTCACAATTTAGAGTAAGATGATGCTATTCATTTAAATATCGAATTATGGCATAACAAATCATTTAACTTTTGCTACATTTATAATCAAATTCCTAATCATACCTAAAATATAACATTATAAACATTATATTACTAATTATTTTACAAAACAAGATGGAAAGAGAAGATTCTTTACAAATCGACAAACTGCTCCTCAGTAGCCTTGAATGCCCTGCTTGTAGCAAGCTATTTATGCCCCCAGTTTATCAATGCTTCAATGGTCACTCAATCTGCAAAACTTGTTCCGAAACAAAAGCCACATGTCCAGAATGTTCTCTGCCTCTGCAGAACAAGTTCCGAAATATTGCTTTAGAAAGAATGCTGGAAAGCATTGAAGTGGTCTGCTCCTTCAAAGGGTGTGGCAAACGTTTGGTTTTAAGCCAAAAACGAACTCATGAGCAGGTCTGCACGTTTAATCCAAATATCCCGTGCATTTTTGACGAGTGCCAGTGGGCTGGTGAATGCTTAATTGACCACATCACTCTTGTCCACCAGGTAAAACAGTTTGAAATGGCTTCCAGTGGCTCTGTGAGAGGCTGGAATTCAAAAACATGGAGAATGGCTGACTGGGGCTACAGCATTTGGAAATTCGCGGATGATGTAATTATAAACAAATCGTTTTGTAGTGGAGACACCTTTTATCTGCACCTATATGATATGGGAATACGGAGGAGGACTTTGCGATTGACGACTGTGAACCCGGAATACCAAGTGGATTTCTTTGTGAAATCTGAGCCGATCCAATACTTCAAAAATAAATATATTTGGTTAAATAAACTTCGATAAAATCATTTAATTAAGATTAAGGCTGTAGCATATGAAATTAGCGTCCAAATTAATTTAATCTTTATTACACGGCACTACCATTTCACATCAGCATTAAAATTGCTGAAAAATATATACTAGAATCAGCTGACGAGCTGGAAGAAGGCTATAAAAGGTTATCAATTCGAGTAGAAATCCTGGGAGATCAATAAATTCATGTTAGATTATTGAATAAAATAATTCTTTATTTTAAATATTCAAACTTTTATGGTGCAAAATAACCTTTCAATAGAGATAAGAAGCGGTTAAATTATGGAGTCTTATAAAAATTATGAGTGGGTTCAAAAGGTCAGACTTGGAAGCCATGACTGTTGAACAGCTGAGTCAAATGCTGGAAGACTTACTCCCCCCTCTGTGAGTGAACAAAAAATTTTGCTCACTAACGGAGGGGTTAATTTTTTTTTTTTAAAAAAAATTTATATATAAATTTTATAAAAAAAAATTTTTTTTTAGAGAAATTTAAAAAAAATCCTAATTCGCAAAAATTGGAAAGCAAATATTAATTTAATTTATAAAATTTATGTTTTAAAAAGCAATTCGTTTAAAATTAAACAGAATTAGCTCTAGATTTCATTATTCTAATTATCATTTATATATCAAAATTTTTTTCCATAAAAAATTTTTGTTCACGGAGGGTGGGTTTTTGGGCAAAAAATAGCGATTTTTCTAATGGTTTTGTTCACTCACGGAGGGGGGGGAGTTAGAAAAAGACAACGAGACCATACGAAGGGAAAACAAGCTCTTCGAAAGCTACATAAACAACAACAAGAAAAACGAACCCATTGAAACTGAAGAAGAAACCAAAGAAGTCGACAAAAGCAGGAAGCGCCGAAAAGGCGGCCAGCAGCAGATACAAGAGGTCCGCACCTTATCGCTTCAGGAGAAGTATGACATTGCAACTGGAGAGCTGGAAGAACTTAAGAAGAAAATCCAAGAAGGCCAAAAGAAAAGTGAAGAACTGCTGGAGTGGCTGAAAGCGGTGCTTGATGAAATTGATATGAATATTGCAGAAATTAAGCGAGAAGCCCATGAGTTCAAGCGTGATATAGTCTTGGGCTCTGAAAATTCAAGAACTGGGAAAATCGTCGCAGAAAGACTTATAAAGTATATTGAAGAAAAACTCAGACAAAAAGATATGCTTATTGAAAAATTCCAGCTTCAGAATCAGCAGCTTGATAGGAATATTAAGAAAGAAAAAGCAAAAATCGCGAAAAAAGAGCAGGCAAGTGATGATTTACAGTTTATTGACTTCCATCAGCTTCAAATAGAAAATAAAAAGCTTGTGAGAGATATTGATGACAGAAATAAACAACTGCTATCTTTGAAGGTCACTTCTGGAAAATGCACGCTGAGACTAACCAATGTAAAAGAAACTTTGCAAAGGGAAGAAAAAAAGCTTGAGATGCTGAAACAAGAAATAACTGACGCTGACTCACAGATTAAAGTCAACACGAAAAGTATCCAAAAAGTGAAAAAGACAGTGAAATTTATTGGAGAAAAGCAGAGAAAATTGCAGTTACAGAAAAATGATCTGGATAGTCTTCCAAGTGTGTCTGATTATATAGACTTGAAAGGGGAAGAAGACAAATTGCTGCTGCAGGTAAAGACTTTGGAAAGAAAAATAGCTATCGCAAAGCCAAATTATGAAAAAGCTATGAAAAAAATAGAAATAGGTCAGGCTAATTCTTAAATTAAACTGTTGTGAATTAAAGTGCTTATCAATTAAGAAGAAGTACTTCATTAACCATATTATAAATGAACTCTATAATTTAATTAAATACTGAGGTTATATTATATGCAAAAATTACTCTTTTATATAATATATTATTGAGTCAATTATATCAAATAACATAGTATTTATTCTGGATAGAGCCAGCAGATTCAGTGAGTTAACTAACTCCCCCCCTCGAAGTTCGACCAAGATATAGGGAAAATTCCTATTTTTTTGGAAAATTAACCCCCCTTAAAAGTTCGACCAAGAACCTATAGAAATTTACCAGGAAAATAAGCAATTTTTAAAAAATTTTAAACTATGTGGGGGTGAGCTTGCGATTTTTGTATTCAAGTTCTAAAAAAGCGTTAAAAAAACCATCTTGCACTATTTTTTCTAACCCTTACACCCTCTCAACCATACAGAAGAATATGATAAATATTTTTTTTTTTTAACTACTAAATTATATAAAAAAAAAAATTCTATATAATTTTTTTTAAAAAAATTTTTTCTTAACCCCCTCGAAGTTCGACCAAAAAAATCTTGGTCGAACTTCGAGGGGGGGAGTAAGGGTGATGGTGGGGATTGATAGTCTGTTTTTGTTTGGTCAGATCAGCTATAAGGAATCACCTTTTCAATAAGAAGTTCATGATTTGAAAAGCTTGCAAAACTTTAGTGGGTGTTCTTCATAAATTTATGGGATGGAACTTCACCTAAGGCAAGCAATTTGTTAAAAAATAATTGACGCTAACTCACTCATCTGTAAGCGAGCAAAAAATTTTGCTCGAACACAGAGGGGGTTAATTTTTTTTAAATTTTATCATAATAACCCCTTGGTCCTCCTTTAGATTTATATAAAAAATCTAATTGGGAAGGATTGAACTATTTAAATTCAAGCCTTAAAACCTTTCACCCCAAGATATTTATTACAACTCCATAAACTAAAAATAGCCAACAAAATAATCAAAGTATGTATGCTCTATGAAGCACTTGCAGGCTATGCCTTAAAATTGATGATTTATTAAGAAAGAAACAAATTTACAGAAAGTGCTGTTTTATAGTTATTAAATAGTTTTCCACTTATTTTAAAGATAATTTTTATGCATTTATTGATTTATTGCATTATTTAAGAGCTGTTAAATAGAGGTATTTATTTTAGCAGAACTATAAAAATTAAGAACCTTCTTGAATAATTCAAGTTTAAGTCTTTCACAATTCACTTTTGAAGATAAGGCTTTATTATGCAGTAAAAAATAAAAGTAATTTTATTTTAACTAAAATTTCGAAGACAAAATGGAAGAACACTATTTCCTGCAAAAAGAAAAATACTGCTTTGAGAAATTATAAAAAAATATTAAATTTAATCGATATTGAGAAAATTATAAAAACGGCCAAAAATTAATAAGTGATGAAGAAATTGCTTAAATTATTTTTATAAATTGGAATATAGATTCGAGTTTATTTTATAATACGGATCTCCTTACCTATTGAGACAACCTAGGCTCTATTATAAAAAGATTACTAAAAAAATAACTAAAGAGAAGCATCAATTGCCAAAACTAATTGAAGAAGACCAGATAAATATAAGATATATTATGGCAAATAAATGATTTGGTTCGAAGCAGATACATTATAGTGGTGCCGTGAATTAACCCACTCTCTTAACTCATGCAGCTGACATTCCACAGATGTGTGGAGGCCTTGGGAGAAAGGAGATATGGTATTGAGAGTGTACACATGGTAAGTTTTTACCTGGTTTAGTTGAGTGCAACGTCGAGATAAAGCCGACCGCATGTTCGCATCTAAGTCAGGTTTTGACTCATAGGGGATGGAACTGAGTGGTTAGTTTTCCTAGCCAAACGGAACTATTTCCAAGCATGAAACTAGGAGTTATGCTCCGGGCTTCAGATTTATATTTTGACAGAGATTCGTCCAGAAAATTCAACCATTTTAATCTAATTATACTTATAGCAAGTCCGCTGTAATTCCTGAAAGACGATCTTCTAACCCTAACGCTTCCTGCCTGCTCGCAGTTCGTGTTTCACGATATCATAAAGATTGCTACTGTTGGAAGAGGTCTGTGCTCGCTCCCCAAGTAGTTGGATGATTTGTGTCACGCGCCGCGTAAAATTCAAAATGATTGGATTTTCTAGTCGACTCATCAAATGGAGATCCGACGCCAAAGAACTTCTGGTTTGATGTTAGGGAATAGTCATGATTAGTCAAAAAGTGTCTCTACTCTGCTGGGATAAACTCTTTTACTTCTGAGACAAAAAACCTGATCTGGCGTAAGCTTGAGATCGGCTAGCCATACATTGAGCTTCACGAAGCCAAGTAAAATCTGGCTGAATACACATTCTCAAACGTCATCCTCCATTCCTCGTGCCCCCAGTAGATGTGGGCTCAGCTAGAGGAGTTAATAGTGGGTCGATTGGCTCGTCACTCCATTTTAATGCATTTCTAAAAAAATCAATCACCTTGAATTTTCCACAGTTGTCAACAACTTATGGTTACGCACTGCAGGGTGGCTAAACTCTTCCAGCTACGAGTAGCGAGTGCAGGTCCTTGCCACCAGGATCAAACTTCGAGATCTTGTGAAACACGAACTGGCGAGCAAGTGGAGAAGCCTTAGTGAAGGAGGCCGTCTTCATAAGGCATTGGACTTTTCTATAATTATAATTAAGATGACGGTTTGATTCTAAACGAAATCCAATTAAAATATTCCCAAATTATGAGCCAGACTTCGCTGGAACCGAATTCTATCAAAATGCAACTAATCAGTCACTAACTGCTCAAGATCTAGAAATTAAAACATCTGCAATTTTAAGCCGAAATAATAACGATACACAAACAGAGCAAGAGTTCAGAAGAATCCGTGAGTGATACAATAATCAAAATAAACTAATAGCTCAGAACTCAATGAAGCTTATCAGAAATATATAGACGCCTACCATAAAATCACATCTATTTATAGATTATACAATAAAGAGAATAAAGCAACTCTCTTGCATATTTTAGACATTGAAAAAATTAGAGAAAGATATATTGATTTGAATCTGTCTGAATTAAATCCTTCAAAGCATTTGCAGACTGGCATATGCATACTTCGACTTCCGAATGATGAGATATTTTGCTTTGGTGAATGATGAAACCTTGGAATAACTTTTATAATTGGCAGTGATTATAAAGTTCGAGCATTGCCAAGAGGGATGCCTTGCTGCTACTCTTCAGCTATTTATATCAATAGGAATGTTTATTGCTTTGGAGGTTATAATTATAAAATGACATTTTTCTCCGGCAGATTTGATCTGGATAAAAATCAGTGATTTAAAATAGCTCAAATGCCGATAATTGATATGGATTGTCGTAGTGTAATATTTAACGGAAATATTTTAATATCTGGATATAAAAAAAATATTTTGGTATATTCCCCTTATGCTAACTCTTTCTCAACGGTTCCTTAGAAGCGTTGTTGGGGAATTGGAAGTTTGTAGAAATTCGCAAAATGCATATGAAAGATATTGCTTTAATTGATGACCCACCTCTGGTATCAAGTGGATAATTCAGTATTGTTTCTTCTTGTGATGTTGAGGAGCTGCTAGAAATTTGTACCGTTTAGATTTTTTGAATTTTTATGTTACCCATTTAAACAGCCTTGCAAACAAAGTTTGTGAAAGGATCGCCGAGACTGAAGAGGTTACTAATAGTAATATCAAAAATGCAGAAGAAAACTTAAACAAGACAATGACGGATCTGGCCAATATAAAATTGCAAAACTGGTAGCATTTCTTGAGTTGATTCAAGACCTCAAGAAGATGCTAATTGAGTTTAATGAGAGCTTTAACTAAAATCATCTAAACTTGTTACTAAACACTTTAAAGTTATCTTTATATAGCTATAAAGATAATTAATCTAAGATTCCTAATGGATTTCATATAAAAATGGAAAGACGCATTCCTCCCTTTTCCCCAGTGTTTCGAGCAAGTCGTGAAGATGTCAAGAGATTTAACTTGGTCAAGCTATCCAACGCCAAAAGTAACCATCAATTGAAAATTGCTCAAGACCCTTGAACCCAAAAATCGTTCTTAAATAAGTCAGAATCAGAAAATAAAGCATTTAAAAAATCGATAAAAACTGCTGAAAGCTCACGGCAAATTAACGGTGATCGGCTAAAAGTCGATTATACAGGCTTAATAAAAAGCCAAAGCAGCTACAGAATTTTGAAAGATAAGCTTCCCAGCATTGAAAAAGAAAGAACAAATAGTCCAAATTCGCCTATAAATAATGAAAATAAAAAGGAAAGAATCTTAAGCCAGCTCAGTCACTTGCCAACTCCAAAAATATCGACCAGAATTAATTTTACCCCAAAAATTGCTGATAAAACTTTTAGTGACACTACTCGAATTCCTCAAAAAAAGCGAAATGTCATACATTCTGTATGTTCTAGGACTGGAAAAACTGCTGGAAAATTAAAAAAATTTAACCAAGACAGTTATATTATATGCACAAATTTCTGCTGCTACCCAGACCAATATTTATTTTCAATTTTAGATGGGCATGGAATATATGGGCATATTGTCTCAGACTATGTCAAAATTAACCTTCCTCAGTTATTAGAAGGATATTTGCCTGTCATAACAAGGCCTCATTTCTTTAGAGACAACTCAGCTATAAATTCTACTGATATGTCATCTTTAAAGCAAGCTTTTAAAAAATGCTACGCAAGGCTTCAAAAAGATTTAGTTTTAAAATCCCATATAGATATTATACATTTTCCTATAAATATCTATTTTTAAAAAATAATTTTTTATATTTTTTTTATTGTTTATAATAAGAATAGTTTTTCAGGCACCACAGCTTGCACTGTGCTTATACACGAAAATCATCTTTTCTGTGCCAATGTAGGTGACTCCAGAGCTGTTTTAGGACAGCTAATAGATGGGCACTGAATCGCACTTGCATTATCAAGAGATCATAAGCCTAATGAGCATTCAGAAAGGCTTAGAATAGAAAAATCAGGAGGAAGGGTCGAACAAATGAAAGGTAATGAATAATCAGATCCATCCGGAAACCATGTAGGACCTTACAGAGTTTGGCTGCAGTCAGAAGATATCCCAGGTCTTGCAATGGCAAGGTCACTAGGAGATGCTGTTGGTGCAAGCGCAGGAGTAATTTCTGACCCAGAAGTAAACGATATTTACCTTTCTGACTGCGATAAATTCCTTATTATAGGCTCAGATGGGGTCTGAGAATTTATCGAAAATTTAGAAGCTGTAGAAATCGTTGCCAAATTTTGGGAAACTGGAGATGCTGAAGGAGCTTCCCAAAAACTGACAAAAGAAGCTTATAAGAAATGGAAAAAATTGGACGTGACTGATGACACAACTGCAATTGTGGTGTTTTTGAACCCAGTGTAAAAAATAGATTAATTTAATATGGATGTCCCAGTTGAAAGATTTTTAGCATGGCCACCGTTTTACACTTTGCAGCCTAATCTGGACACCAGATCACAGCAACTTTATTTGTGGACACAAATATTGTTGGAATATTCTCAGAAGAATAGGATTTATATAGCGACGTCGCATGATTTTCATGATATAATGAGGAATAATGAAGTAAGTAGATCATTAAGCGAGGAGTTCAAGAATGTCTTATTTGATTATATGCTTAAGCAAAAAAATGCTATTAGAGAAGGAGAAGCCTATATGATTTTTTGGAAAAAGCCTGAAGCTTGGGGAGAGCAAGTATATAGATGGGCTGTTGACAGTGGAAGAGTCGGATCTGTTGAGACTGTAGAAGGGCTGGTATCTGGCGACGAAACCACAAGGGAAGAGTTTTATGGGATGCCAGTTAACTATATGATGGTTATTTTAAGATCACTAGAAAAATCAAGAAAAGCAGAGCTCTTTCAAGTCGGCGAAGGCATGGCTGTTAAGTTCTTCTAATTTAATGATTTGCTAAAACTCAATATAACCTAATTTACTAATATTTCAACTTAAATGCCTTTAAAAATATGCTGGGCATCCCGCAGAGGCCTCACAATGGCTTGTCTTGACGGCATTTTTAATCCGGCAGCATTTCCACACCCTTGAACTATTGTATAAGTCCCGCTCATAAAAGTTTCGACTATTTTTAAGCTTTCTACTGACAGTGTTTTTATTAGCTTTACCAGAGCTATTTTAGCTCCTTCAGAGTTTGGGTCACTACTCCAATCCACACATACAAATTCATAAATCGCCCCGCTAACATTTTTTATTGCCTTCATAGGCCCAATATTGCTGAGCAGCCTAATAATTTCATTATCAACAATATGCTGGTACCACAGTTTCCACGTTTTTATCAATGCTTGGTGGATATCTTTTACACCTATCATTTCAATTCTGGACAGACAAAAATTGAATTCTTCTATTTGGAAAGCATTCAATACATTAGCGCCTGGGTACCGTCCGCCTACTGCATGTGGGATGTAGTCTAGATTTATTTCAATTGGTTCAATAATGAACTTTTGGATAAAGAGTTGGGCTTTAGGCTTCTGGATTATGGCTGCATCGTCAGGAAGGGCTGCGGTTCTCCTCATCAGAGTTTGTTCTTCTGGCTTTCAGTTGAATAAATCCAAGAAAAAATCGACACAGTTTTGGTCAATGTTTAGCTTTACTGGGAGCAATTTTATATAAATTATAAGTTCTTGGTCAATTGAGTACTCAGGTCGAGGTCAAGCACATGTAACTTTAGTTTGAAAAAAATCTGTCAATGGGCTCTTATTAATGTTATCTATTTTTAGCATTTTTTTGACAGAAGTGTCCTTTATAAAATCGTGGATTTCTATATCTCCGATTGAAATTGATACAATTCATGAAAAATGAAGAATTTTTGGGAATCTAGCAAAAGTGAAGCCAATTTCATCAATTTTGAATTGGATAAAGCTGGATAAATTTCTTTTGGTCCCACTTCTTGCTTTATAGGAAAAATCATTGCCAGAGTATAAATTGATAGAAAAATAAAAAATACTTAATGAGAGTTTCAGACTTGGGGTTCCATGGTAGGTTCGCAATCGATGAAAATTAGAATTTGATGTATTTTTTGAAGGATTTTTTGGCAGTTTTGTATGTGTATGTATGAATTTTGTGATATTTGGCAGAGCCATTATTTTATTATCAAATTTATTTTTCAATAATTTTGGCTTGAATTCAGGGCTCAAGTAATCTTGAATATTTATATTTTTTATTCTTATTGAGTCTTTCGGATCAATCATCAGCCCAATCACAGAAACTGGGTAAGTGTCAGAGTCGTCACTGCTTAAATCTGAGTCTTTTCTCAGCATTTCTGGAGGCTCTTCTTCTCCTTTGAAGTCGAAAAAGCTATTTAATAATGAAATTGAGTCCTTACAGAGATGCATAATAATGCACCCAACATTTATATATAAATCAAGCATATCGCTATTTCTGTGACAATTTTTCATATTTTCACTGATAAAAATATTGCTTGTAATAGCAGTGCAGTTATGCGAGCCAATTAAACATTCTTCTGTAGGAAAAAAAGGCTCTTCACCAGTCTCTTCAGTATTACTGCGTATTTTTGTTCCGTATAGCTCAAATGAGTCGAGGGAAAATACTAATACAAACCCTTTGGATTTTAAAATTGGGTCGAAAATAGTTCATTTTAGAGGCTTTTTGAAATAAATATCGTCAACTTTAAAGCCTAAAGCACTTTGAAGATAAACTCGAAAGGTGCCGAGAGATAGATAATAGGCTGAGGATATTGCGCTACCTACCACACTTGATATGTGCCAGTCTTCAATAAATGACAGTAACTTTCCATCATCTGTAGCATAATCAATCACTATATTTTGGAGAAAAATATTTATTTTTGAATATTTTTCGTCTTTTTTTGGAATTTGGACATCAAACCCTTTCAAAAATCTAGAAATTCTCCTCAAATCTTGCGCAAAAATAGCAAAATCAGTCAAATTAAAATTAAATTCGCTATTTTCATTGGTTTTTTCAAAAATTATTTCAATTGCTGCATCTCCTACAGGCCTAAGCAGCTCTTTTTCTAAATAAGTCCCTTCTCCTTTTTTGGCAGCAGCCACAATATAATTTTCTCTATTTAAATAGCAGTTTTTAAACACATATGCCTCAATTGAAATCAAAATAATTGAAATAATTGGCGAACTATGAGGATTTGCCGCATAATTTATTGTATTTGATATGCTGGAATTTGGGGTGTAAAATGAAGTTGTCGAGTACTGCCGAGGAGAATTAGGAAATCATAAAGAGTTATCAGTAGATGATAAATTTATAATGGATCGTTTTATGCTGATTTCTCAGTACGATGGTGATTTTTTAGTAGAAATAGGCTTTTTGAGATTGGTTGGGATGAAGTAAACTAGCTGTTGAAGTGAAAATGAGTTAATTTGGATTTCAAGATAGCTTGCAGAGATGCGATTTATATAATTTACAGACTTTTTTGACCTGTTTTCTTCTGCTTCGTTTCTTTTTTTGGGGTCAAATCTGAATCTATAGTCGTCATTTTCTGAATATATTTCGGAGATTTTGGTGTTTTTGGGGAAAGATACTCTTCCTTGGCCAGGCACATAATAGCGCTCATGGGTTTCGACCTTTTGTTCTTCAATAATTATTTCTTCTTGGCTTTGCGAAATTCGTTCATATTTTATGTCTGGGATCTTCATAATGTTAATTAATTCAGTCTCGCTTGTAATGTATATGCAGTTCTATATTATATATGAATATTAAATATTAATTAATTGACTATCTTCTATATGAAATAAAATTCTAACTAATAAAATCCTTTCTAATTCCTATTAATCTTTAATACATCAAATTCTTTAGAATTCGCTAAAATATCATTATTATTCCCCATGATTTTTATTTTTTTTAAAATTCCCATCAATTTCCAATTACTTTGTGAGCAACAACAAAAGCCATTTTCACTTGAATTATTGTCATGCTGCTGGTAGTCGATTTGAAAGCTTGGCAATGATACTAAAAAAGAAAAAATGCTGCCGTTGTTTGAATTTCCATTAAAATCTAATGAATAAATCAAGTTTTCTAGCTCAGAAATTAGTATTAAGTCCAGATGGCATTTCATTGTGGCTAATTTTATCTTGAAATCATTTTGTGATTTTTTAATGCTTATATCTTCTTTAATTGTAGGCAGAACATACCCTGGGGAGCTCGGTAAATCGTCTCTAGACTTGTAAAACTCTATGACGTTTTTTATACAAAAATGCTGTTTATTGATATCCACAGCCCAAAAATCGAAATTTCCCACTTTTGGCTTAAAAAATTCACTGAAAAAAGATTGCTTTGCTGACTGATAAATAGATGAGGACTCCAATGCAGGATTATTTGCAAGGTGACAATACTTCACCCCGAAATTCTTTACTTTGATATCAGTTGACAAAAATTGTGTGATTGCTGAATCATTGAAATATATCAGTAAATGTGAATGCGGCACCCCTGGATAAGCCCCATCCTGGTAGTCTCATCGCTTTTTAAACCCTTCAGACTCCTCCAACAGCAGGGCTACATTAATTGCCTTCAACCTAAATTTCATTGATTTTTTCCTAATTTCTACTTTTGACTCTGGCTCTATAGACTCAATTATTTCTTCTTTAATTTCCCTATAAGTCTCCATTAGCACTGATTCCTCATTAATTACTAATGTACTTTTCCTAAGCCTCGAGAAAATATTTACAATCACTTTTAATTGTTCCATACAAATCAAAGCATTGATTTTGGCGACGTCACCTTCTAGAAGCAGCATTTCATTAGTTATGAATATTCGCAAATTTATCGGGTGCTCTATGAAGGCAATATGGGAATAGTCAGAAGGCTCATAAACTTCGGCGTCGTTTTGCGTGACACTGATTCGGAAACCTTCTATTCTGGCTGATCTGACTATAGAAGCTTTGTTGTCGCTTAAGTCTTTCTTCAAAGAAGCCTTGTTGATGGTAATTTGAATGAAATCAGAATCGTTAGGGTGGGCTCGGATTCGAATTTTTATCATGTTTATTTCGAACGTGATATTTGATATAATATTTCCAATAGTTTTCGTAAATATCCCTACATTTTGTTGGCTGGCCTGCTGCTGGTCTGAAGGATTTTTTGCATTTTGATTTAATATGACAGGAGATCCTGATTCACCAGCACTACAAAGCTCTATTACAACATCACCCATTTGCACCGAAACAGGGTTATGATTTATCTTAATTAGCGACGGCAGTCTTATATGGACTCTTGAAATTGAGGCACTTTTTAAATGTAAACTGCTTTCTGAGAGATTTTGGTTTATTGTAAGTGGGTTAAGCTTAAGATCTTTTAATATATACAGCCCTTCTGACACTTTAGCTTGAAAATGCTTATGGTCTAGCTCATCTAGAAATATTCCTTTATTTAACCGAGAGAAAATATAGCTCAGCAGTTCCTCTATTGGTCTCGTAAAAAGTGGCATTTTATTTATAGATTCTCTATGAATTATTTTTAAACCTAAATTTTTAATAGAAAAATTCAAGAAATTGCCGATTTTCATATAAAATTAGTGCAAATTGATTTAATTTTGCTTATGAATTGAAAATATAATTAAAATGACTGAGATAGAGGCTTCGAATATGCTTGTCGCTATTCGTGTACGGCCTCTGAGCCAAAAAGAGACTAGTGTTAATGATAAAGATATTATAAGGGTAGAAGACCATCTCCTTATTGTCCTGGACATGAATGATTTTGAAGACCGAAAAAATATTCTTCATAGATCAAGGGAGCAGCGTTATGTCTTTGATAGAATTTTCAAGGATGCGGCAAATGAAGAAGTTTTTCAAAGTACAGTCCAAGACTTGATCCACCCAGCACTGTCTGGCATCAATGCGTGTGTTTTTGCATATGGACCTACAGGTTCCGGGAAAACATATACTATGATTGGTACCAATGATGACCCAGGAATCGCAGTTTTGACTATTAGAGAGATGTTTAAACAAATTGAAAGTGACACTGATAAGATCTATGAAATCAAAATTTCTTATGTGGAAATTTGGTGAAGACATAATAATTTATCACTATTTTTAATTTTTTTTTAAAAAATTTCTAACACCCTAGGAAATTTACAATGAAGCCATCAGAGATCTTTTGATTCCCAACTCAGGCTACCTTGACCTCCGTGACGACCCAATACGAGGAGTTGTGATTGCAGGAGTTTCTGAGTTTTCAGTTGAAAGCACAGACCAAGTCATGAGCTTGATCACAGCAGGCAATAAACGAAGGACAACTGAAGCTACAAACGCAAACCAAACTTCATCTAGATCCCATGCTGTTTTCCAAGCTATGATTTCTCAGCGCGACAGGGTTACAGATACAGTCCTTGACGTCTTTCAAGGCAAGCTTTCACTTATTGACTTAGCAGGCTCTGAAAGAGGGACTGTAACTGAAAACAGAGGTCTGCGGCTGCTTGAAGGGTCAAAAATCAACAGGTCTTTGCTAGCTCTCGCTAACTGCATTAATGCTCTTGGCGACAAAACAAAAAAAGGCGTTTTCGTGCCTTATAGAGACTCAAAACTTACCAGAATGCTAAAAGACTCCTTAGGCGGAAACTGCAAAACCATCATGATTTCCAATATTTCCCCAGCCGCGTCTCAATTTGAAGAAATTGTGAACACATTAAAATATGCCAGCAGAGCCAAAAATATCAAATATAAAGTACAAGCCAACAAAAAGCTTGTGGCTCTCCACATAACAGAGTACAAAAACATCATTTCTGTAAGTTTTATATAGGATTTGCGCTCAGAAATAGAATCTTTAAGGTCCCAGCTGCACACTAATCCAACTATCCAAAGTAATCCAACTGACTTTGGAGAGTGCAAGTATCATAGTAATAAAATTGAAGAAGACATTGAGATGAAAAAGCTGCAGGCTGAAATTTTTGAAAATTTCCAGGAGAGAATTCAGCTAAGACGGGCTTTATTAGAATTATACTGTTAAAAATTTTATTATGTTTAATTTTTCTATGACTATTATCAATTAATAGTGGCATTATCTTTTATGGGCCGATGCTATATTTACCATATGAAATAGGCTAAGCTTCCAATATTAAGAATTTTCTATTTATTTTAAATGGGGATATATAAAAATATATAAAAAAATACATAGGAAATAGTATAGAAGAACAAAATTCTTTAAATGTCTTAGAAATCAAAAGAAGACAAGCTGAAGTCCTTATCTGAAAACGGCAAGAAGAGCTCAAAGACTTGCCTAAATACGAAGAGGGGCGGCCTTTATCAGCAGTTCCTCCACACGTAAGAAAGCAGTTTAAAGACATCCAAATGCTAAAAGCTAGCACTGTAATTTATAATTTAGGATAAAAATAACCAAAGAAAAGAATTCATGCTGGTGCAGCTTCAAGAAAACATGGCACGAGGCACCCAAATCAGAAGTTCAATAGGGACAAGAGTCCTTATACAAGACAAGCGAGACTTCTTAGAGCTACTAATAAAAAGCCATATCCTTGAGCAAACTAATGTGGAGCTTGAGGTGCAGCTACTAATTCAAGAAAAAACAATAACAGATTTACAGAATTTGGTGCTTTCACAGAAAAGACTGTTAGAAGAGCAAGGAATTGACGATGGGTCTTCACTGTGAAATAAAGTTGATAATTTGACCCCACCAGTAGAAGAAAGCTTAGAAGATGTAGAAATGTCTGAAGAAGAATTATAGGCATTACAAAGGAATTTTATAAATAAATATAAGAAATTTCCTTTTTTATATAAAAATATAGATCAGATTTCAGAAATTTTTGATAGGGTTGATTAAAATAGGACAAAATTGGATGGATATGATTTTACTACGCCAGCAGACGAAGAAGAAGAAATTCCTATAGAAGAAGACGAAGATTTTGAAAGAAGCGAGCTATTGTTAGCGACCAGCAAAGTGTCAGCTGATATTGACAATACTGATAAAGAGATGGGAATGATGCTACAAGGCAGAGCGCTCATTAAAAAACAGCAGGAGACTGAAAGCAAGGTCAAAGCAGAAACAGTCCAGCCTAAAGTGGACCTTGGGCCGAGTCCTGGGCTTGGACTAATTATCAATGGAAAAATCATAGATGATGGACTTAATAATAAAAAACTCAGCGTGCCAAAAGCAGTAAAGCCTGCAAAGAAAAAAGGAGCTGATGTATATCGTAAGAAAAAATAATGGTTAAATAATATCATTAATTACTGGGATTTCTGGAGTTACATGGGCTGCCAAGTCAAATATTTTTGATAATTCGTAGGTCTTTTTATCAAATTCGTGGGCTTTTTTATCAAAATTTTCTAATAATTTTTTCCGGAATATTAAAGCTTCTAATTCTTTTTTTTGCTTTTCTAAAATTTCTTGGTATTTTTCTTCTTCCATTTTTTCTTGTTTTTTTCGCTTTTCAGCTGCATCGTCGAATAAAAGTTTATTTTTTTCTTTATGAAGCTCGAGTTTGGCGAGGAGCTTGGCTTTTCTGGCTTCCATTCTTTTTTGGAGATTTAGCTCTTTTTCTGATAAATTGGACTGATCGGGTTCTTTTAATTTTTTTAATTCTTCTTCGATTTTTTGTTTTTTTAGCTTTTCAAAGGTGAATTTTTGTTTTGCTTTTTCTAGGGTGAGGCGGAAAAAACCCCGCTGGGTTTTTTTCCGCCAACTTTTTCACCGTTAAATTTATAGAAAATTTTGAATTTTCTCCAGATGGCGGAAAAAAAACCCCAGCGAAAACAAAAACCGTCAAAGTCAGAGGAAAAAAACCCCAAATGGTGCTAAAAAACGGAGGAAAAAACCCCAATATACAATATAATTAAATGCTTAAAATGATAGGCAAATATTAGAGAAAATACAAATAAATATTTATAATTTAGTTACAATAAATCAATTAAAACAATATTAATATATAGATGTATAGATTTATTCTCAAAGTAACTATAAAGCTATGATTAACAAAAATAATGGAAAAATATAAAAATCAACTATAAAAAAAATTTACGATCAAAACCTGGCGGAAAAAACCCCGAAACGGTGCAAAAACCAGAGGAAAAAAAACCCCGAGTATGGGGTGAAAATTGGCGGAAAAAACCCCCAATTTTTTTTTTTATACTAATTTTTTTCAAATATTATCAGTGAGGATAGATTTTTAATGCTTATTACCTGCTAATTAATTAATTAATTATTAAGCTATTTTATTCTAGTTTGTCAATCTATGGGCTATTTATATATTGCTAGATCATTCAGCGTTCTAATTATAAAAAGTTATTTGAATAATAAACACAAGAAGGTGAAAAAATTACTTTAATACTATCCAATACTTAAGCCATATATTTACTTTCGATGCATCATGTACTAGCTCATCTTGTATTCACCTGCGACACAAACTGCACTAGCTCATTTTGTATTCACTTATGGCATATCCTGCTCTTGCTTATTTTTTATTCGCCTGCTACACATCCTGCAGAGATCATCCTGCATCCAACTGCGATATATCCTATATAGATCGCTATGAAAGAATACCTTAAGAGGTAAAATAGCGATCTTACAAGTAAAATTGGCAATGACAATTGTTATTTTTATAGCAAGTACAGATTTCGCTTGGCAAACTTGTTCTATAGATTGTATTTGCCAAGCCGAACGTGAACTGGCCCATACAAATGTCTTTGCCATTGCTAGAAGAATTTTTAGATAGCTACTTTCGGTCTTTAAATATATTGTTCTACAGAGATCAAAATAACATATAGGAGCTATGCTAGTTCACCTTGCATTCACTTCGACAAATCCTGCACTAGCAAAACGTGTACCCGCCTGCAGCGCATATTACTAGCTCACCTTTTATTCATCCTCGACATATCCTGAAAAGCTCATAATAAAGGAAGCATATAACTTAGTCTTAACCTGATTAATGAAACTGGAGCAAATATGCTGAATTGTATCCGCTTCACCCATTGTATTGAATATTTATAAATCCACAAACATAACGATGACCCCTCAATATTCATGTCTATTGCAACAAAAATTTTTAGAAAAAATCTTTATGCCTATTTAACACAACATTTTTATAAAAATAATTTAATGCATTTTCTCTAGGTGAGTTTCTCAAAAAAACCATAAAACAGCGCTGCTTTAGGCGTTCAATGACTTTCTCATCGAGATTTTGACGGCTATTGTCATTGCTCGCCATTTTTATTAAACTTATCTTGCTAAAAATACGGAAAAATTTAAGATGCGCATCGAAAATTTGTTGCAAGAAGTAAGAAAATTATTTTTTCTATATAAAAAAATTTTATATTAAAAAATTGCATTTTTGTTGCAATAGACATGAAGATTGAGGGGGATCATCGTTATATAAAATCTATCCTCACTGATAATATTTGAAAAAAATTAGTATAAAAAAAAATTGGGGTTTTTTTCCGCCAATTTTCACCCCATACTCGGGGTTTTTTCCTCTGGTTTTTGCACCGTTTCGGGTTTTTTTCCGCCAGGTTTTGATCGTAAATTTTTTTTTATAGTTGATTTTTATATTTTTTCCATTATTTTTGTTAATCATAGCTTTATAGTTACTTTGAGAATAAATCTATACATCTATATATTATATTGTTTTAATTGATTTATTGTAACTAAATTATAAATATTTATTTGTATTTTCTCTAATATTTGCCTATCATTTAAGCATTTAATTATATTGTATATTGGGGTTTTTTCCTCCGTTTTTAGCACCATTTGGGGTTTTTTTTTCCTCTGACTTTGACGGTTTTTTTGTTTTCGCTGGGGTTTTTTTCCGCCATCTGGAGAAAATTCAAAATTTTCCTATAAATTTAACGGTGAAAAAGTTGGCGGAAAAAAAACCAGCGGGGTTTTTTCCGCCTCACCCCTTTTTCTAGGATGTCATCTCTATGCTTTTTGCCTCTTTCTAGACTTAGGTTAAGCCTGAGTAAGGTGGAGTTTAAGTCTTCTTCTAAAGATTTTTCTCTATTTTTTAGATTTTCTCGAATTTTCATAACTGTTATGCTTCTTCTTTGTCCGCGTTCAGCTTTCTCTTGTGTATATTTTATATACCTCTGTTTAGCCCTATCCATTTTTTCATCAAAAAATCTCAATTTCTCTTTAATCTCTCTATAAGGCACTTCATTATCCAAAACAGGTCTTAATTTATTCACAAAAGACATTGTCCTTGAGCAAGCCTCATTAGTTGGGCTTAGGGAGACCCTCTCCTTCCTCAAAGTCATTCCTTTCCCTCTGACCTTTTCCAAATTTTCTTTCGCTTTTTCCATCTTCAACATATTTTTTTCCTTTATCATTATTTGTCTTTTCTTTACCATTTCCGCATGATTATTTTCCAAAATTTTAATTTTTTCAGCTTTTCTCTGCTGTTTTTCAAAAATTTCATTTTGCAAGTCAACTGCCAATTTACTTGCCCTTTTCGTTGCTTCTTTTCTTCTCTGCTGGTTAAGAAAAATATTTTTATGCCTTTGCTCGTGGATTTCTAGAATTGCTGATAAATTAGTAGGTGACCTTGTGCCACGAGATGGGGAAATTTCTGTGTCATAGTCGCTTATGCTGTTATTTGTAGGGTCAGATTGGCTGCAGCTTGAAATTAGCTTGTGGATGTGCTTGACGAGGTCTTTCAGCTTAGAAATTCGTTTTTTTTGATAGTGGGTGTATCTCAGTTCAGTTACTTCTGGCAGCGCTTTTTCGTCTTCGAAGAGTTTTAAAGGCTTGTGGTCGATTTCTGAAAAACTGATATTGAGGTCATTTAATGCGTTATCTAAATAAGGCTCATAACTACCAGAATTAATTTTTTTAAAAATACCCTAAAATTTCATTAATTTAAACTTTTTATGTTATAAAGATGTGAAATTCAGCTAGATAAAGCATAATTCTTCAGCCTGATGTGACAAAGCCATGCATTTTTCATTCATCTGTATTTTTTAAGAGTTAAAATGACGTAATTTTATTTAAAAATGTGTTACTCATTAGTTTTCTCTTCTTTTTTCTTGTGTTTAAGGTTTCTTTTCTTAAGTGCAATTGTTTTGATGTCTTGCTGCTGTACATGGAGCTGGCCTCTTTTCTCTTTCAGGGTGTTAGTAGTAATATTTTTAACTTTCTTTCTGAGTTTCGGCTCTTTGCAGGCTTGCTTGAATTTTGATTCGTCTGCAAGCTTGTGCCTTCTCAGCTTAAATACAATACTTGGCCCTGCTTCCTGTAGCCTTGGTTCAGTCCTTGCTATTCTCTACATGTATAATTTAATTTTTTTTAAAAAAAAAAAAATTTATTATAAATTATTTTATATAAGATATATATGATATTGCTTAAAATAAATTTTCCCATCTTGTGTCGCTGAAATTGCAATAAGCTGCTCACAGCCTCTGGCGTCGACTTTATCTATTGGCCTTCCACTAAAAAAGTCCAAAAATAAATTTTTGATTCTTGTATAAATTGAGTCTGTCTCGAAAAGGTCGCCTTGGAATAAAAATAAAGGCTTCACCCCAAGCTCTATTGGGACTTTAAATTGATTTGCACTGGTAAAATCTTCTACCTCGAACTCGACGATGTCTAAAAGCTCCTCTTCATAGGTGCGGCCTATTATAAGATTATTTGGCCTCTTTTTAGAGTTGCTGCCAAGGGCAAAAAGACATACGTGATTTTGTGATAAAAATTTTTGGAAATTCTCTGGGTTTTCGAATGGACGGGCTTCATTGTGTTTTTTGCTGAAAAGGGCTGAGCTAGGAGAGCGGAGCTTGTTAAGCTCTGGAAGCAAAGCAGAAATGACTGGCGAGGATTTATTGCCTTTAAGGATTATGGACTGCTTAGGTAAAGTTTCGATGATTTCCCCTTCTTCTTTCTTTTTGGTGATGGACTTTACCATTTATTTTATAATCAAAAATATATAAAAGCTTATATATCCTCTTATATAAATAGGCATTTAAGAGAAAATAATAAAATAAGCAAAAAATTGTCCTCAATATTTTACTATTAAAACTAGTCTTCATTTATGCTAAATTTCCCAAAAAATGTCTAACGATAATTTATTTCAAAATGAAGATACTCGCAATTATCTTAACGTTATGTGTTTTATCATCAACTGCCCTTCGAGCTAGCTCTAAACAAGAAAGTGTTGCTCATGCTGAGCCTTCCCTTAAAGATATTATTGAAAAAATCAAGCTCATAGCTACACAAACTGCACCTGAAAATATTCTAATTTTGTATAAATATAATAATAAATAAAAATAGTCACGTATTTATTAGAAAGAACTATATAATTGAGCCAGTCCAAGGAGCTGAAGAAGAAATTTCTCCAGACGCTTTGCCTTCTCCTTCCCTCCTTGGGGTTAACAGCTACGAGTTCTCTTATGACGACTTTGAAGATGATGGAGATGAGGATTATTAATTGGTAATTTTTTTGGTATTTTAATAAGCATTATACAATTAAAGACCTTCTGCCAACAAAAGGGTCAGGTGTTGTTGAATTTACGATTTTTTTAGCTCTTTTTCTTAAGTCAGCCAGGAGGATTGGGCTTTTGGATTCTTCAAGCTCTTGGTCTGCATATAAATCTTTTAAGTCAATCACGTCTTTTATGGTCACTGCTTTAAGGTCACTGATTCTGCCTTTATTCGGAATTAATAAAGAAATAGATCTTCAAACTTCTTCTTCAGTTTCTGATTTTTGAGCTAAAAACATCTGCAAATAGCATATATATTCTTCTATTTGTCCAAGAGGAATAGTAAAATTGTGCTGGTTTAGCGTAGAAATGTCATCAATGTCAGTTTTAGCTGACGAAGTCAACTCCAAAGGTGTTGTTTTGAGGGATTTTAAGATTTTCTATATAAAAAATACTTTGATTTCAGGCATAATTGACTGGAATTTTGTCTTTAAAATGTTCAGCTCTTGGATTTTTAATTCTTTTTTGATCCGAAATTCTTCTTGTTTGCTCCTTAATTTCTGTGTGAAAGAAATTAATTTTTCAGAGTCTTCAATTTTTGCAATCCTATAAGACTCAATAATTTCTCTAGTTTCGTCATGGGTTTCTGTCAGAAAATCAATTTCAGCCTGCAGCTTATTTATGTAATTATTTACTTCCTGGTATTGAGCTTCTGATTTTATACTGAATTTAGTTAATTTTTATGGTAAATAGCCTAGAAAATCTATTGGTGTATAAATATATTAAATACTATTTTATACAGTATATTAATGCTGTAGTAATTTCTTTTAAGCTGAACATCCCTTTTGCTTTCCCTATTTGCTCAAACGCGTCTTCTAAATTATCAATATGCTTCATGTAATTATCTAAAATATTTTTCTTTTCTATTACTTTACGTTTTCAATTCCTCAAAAGTTTCTGCAATAAGTCAGTTATAAATACCGCATCAACGGGCTTTTTAATTTGCTGAGAAATTCCTTCTTCTATTTTTTTCCTAATTTTGATACCTCTTTCTCTTTCTTCAGTAATAAAAAAGCTTAATTCATTAAATTTTTGGCTGTAATCATTGGTATTCTTTTGGCTTTTGCTTCTTAAATTTTTTAATTGAGTTTGGTTTAGGAGATCTGACTCCATATTGTGCGAGAGCTTATCATGTTTAGCAGAAACCCTCTGAGTTAAATTGTCAATAGTGCTGTTTAAGTTTTTTATTGAAATATGATAAGAAGTCTTGTCCTTTCTGATTCCGTTGACCTCTCCTCTGATTATTTTATTTTGTGAGCGAGATTCATTGAGATGGGTTGTTTCAAGGCCAAGTTTTTTTTCTAGCGCAAGGACTTTGTTTCGTAATTGATATTCAGATGACCCAGAATATAAAGCACTGTTGGTTTGGTTGAGGTTTTCTAGTTCTTTTTGCAGCTCTTCAATTTGCTGGTCGAGAATAATGGATTCTCGCTTTTCATACTCAAAATTTTCAGAAACTTTTTCTAAATTTTGATATTTTTGGCTTGTTTCGTTGCTAAGTGAATTTTTAGAAGGTTTTCCTATGATGGCACTTTTATTTAGATATTCCATAATTTAAATACTTTGAAAATGAAAATTAAATTGGCTAGAAAAGATTTGCTAATTAATTGGCCTATAATAATAAGAAATTCTCCATTTTCTGAGAATATCGATTTTATATTAAAATTCACAATTACAGGGATTAATAAATAATCAAATAATTTTAATTAAAAGGTATGGAAAATCTTTTGAATAAATATTTAAATATGATGCTTTGAGATCTAGAATATTTCTGGTTGACGAAAATGGCAACTCCTAAGAGGTTTCTGGCTTTTATTTGACTCTATCTAAATAGCAAGGTAATCTTAATCTAAATATTATTAAAGCTTCATGCTGGCTATCTGCTGATTTATTTATAAGCAAAATCAAACTCACATTCTCATAGTTCCCATATATAAGCTTAATAGAATACAAATAAATATCTCACCAATAAGGTCTCGCTCATGTTCTTAGAAATGCTTCTAATAATTTTGAATTATAAATGGAAATAGCTGATAAAGAAATCTATCTTTCTCCAGGCCCAACTTTTCCAGCTCCTCAGTCACCCTGGACCCTTTCTCACGAAATTATCCTACCTCTCTGAAAAGTCTGACCATCTAAAAACAGGTTTTTCTTAAATGGCCGTATAATGATAGGTCCTAAAGAAGACCAAAAATACCTGTTATGTACCTGAGCATTACTTGCATCAGTCTCAATTTTTTATTTCATATTTATCAGTCCCTACCTATGGATTACCATAAGCCCAATTCTCCCAATTATTGCTATGTATTGCTTTTTATCCTCAATGGTGTTTATTTGGCTTACGACCACAACGGAGCCTGGGATAATACCTAAAAAGCCTGTATGGGAAGTAATAGGAACTGTTCCTGAAGAATTCACAGAAGCCGTTCTTATAAGTCAGCCCAATAGAGGATACAAGTATTGCCCGACATGCAAAATTTATAGACCTCCGAGATCTCATCATTGCAAGTAAGTAAAACAATAGGAATTGCGGAAATTGTGTAGAAGACTTTGACCACCACTGCAGATTTCTAGACAATTGTATAGGCAAGCGGAATTACCGTTGGTTTATGTCATCTGTGTTCAGCTCAATCTCGCTTGGAGTAACGGAAATAACAGGTTTCCTGTTTTTCCTATTTTATAATGTAGGAGAAGACCACAGCCGAAGATCTCTTATAGAAGATGGCCCAACGATAATTTGTATAGTTGTCATAATTACGTTGTTTTCATTGATAATCACTGTATTTGTATCGATTTTGTGCATTTTTCACATGACACTTTGCATTACAGGGGAATCCACAAAAGAAAGAATTAAAGGAATCAAGGCAGAAAGCAAGAGAAGTTGCTGTAGGAAGAAGAGATCTTATTTTGATAGGATGATGCTGTTAAATAGCGCTCAAATTAGGAATATTGTTGATGAATATCCGCCTAATAGTGTTTAATTAATTAATGCAAAATTTTAAATTTTATGATGCATTTTTCTAAAATTGCTGCTAGTTATATGAGGATTATTTTCCTATTTTAAATAAATGGGTTTACACGTTTTAAAAATTAAGCTCTAAATAATTAATAATAAAATTTAACCATTTTCAGGTATTTATAAAATAAAAATACCCCACTTCTAAGTTTTCTCTATTAATCTGCAGTGCTATTTTAAATTTTAATGATTTTGCAATAAATTGAAAACTTGGCTTATCATCAGCTTTTTCAGTAATTTTTTAAACAACATTCATTGACTTATTTATTCTAAAATTTACTTATTCCTTGAGGATTCTTTTAGAATTTTAAAAAAAAAAAACTTTTATGAGTGATCCTGACCAAAAAAATGAAAGCATTAATTTATTGAAAAATATTTTAAATTAATTTTTAATCTTTATTCTTGATTGATGAAGTAGATTATTATTTGCCACAGACATTTTTTTATTGAGAATTCCAATAATAATAATAAGCTTTATGGGTTGCTGCTGTTCAACAAGGCCAGATCCTACAATAGAAAAGGGTCTTTCAAGCATGTCTACTAAATCTCTGAGGTCGGAAATCGATAGCAATACCAGTATCCCCGAAGTGCCTATAAGAAGAAAAAAAACAAAGCGCATGCATAAGCTCTCAGCAAGGCACACAAGCAATATATCCTCACAACCTTCATCGCCAGGAGGAAGGCCAAGATTGTCAGCTTTAAAAGCAATCTCTACTACTCCCCCCTCAAAGTGAGCAAATTTAAAAAAATTTAAATATAAATTTTATAGAAATTTGTTTTTGGATTTATTTTGCAAAGTTTAAGTTTTAAAAAACACAAAATTAAACAGAATTAGCTCGAGATTTCATTATACTAATATAACTTATATATCAAAATGTTTTTCCATAAAAAATTTTTGTTCGCTCACAGAGGGTGGGTTTTTTGGCAAAAAATAGGGATTTTTCTAATGGTTTTTGCTCGCGCTTACGGAGGGGGGAGTAAGACATCCCGCGCAAATTCTCCTAAAAGCCTATCCTTCAAAAACTTTTCGCAAAATTTTTATAAAGAATCGATTAAAATTAAATACACGACTGTCAAAAAACTACATAAAGGATTTTACGGAGAAACATTGCTAGCAAACAATAAAAGGACTGAGATAAAAAAAGTTATTAAAGAGTTCAAAAAATTGATAGTACCAGAAAATATACATGAAAAATTTATAATGGAAATCCAAAAATTTCGATGCCTGGTAAATATTCTAATTAGCTAGAAAAGCCTATTAAGGGCATTTTTTGGTTGGCAAGACAATAGCTGGCAGGTCATATTTTTAGCTTACGAAATTTAAAAATGGTAAACCAAAAAATGTTCTTTTTAATGGGTTATTCTTATTAAACATGCATATAATTTAGGATCATCCAAACATAGTTAAGCTGCTCGAAGTCTATGATACAAGAGAATGCTGGCTTTTGGTTTATGAGTTCTTCTCCGGAAGCAGCTTGCTTGATAAGGCTAATGAAATTATAGGGAATTCGTTGGCATGCTCAATAATGCAAGATATTTTAAGCGGCTTAAATTATTGCCATAGGAATAAAATTGTCCATTTAGGGGCTAAATTTTGAAAAAATTATTTTGGATTCAAAAGATGGGAGAATTAATTGCAAAATAATTGGCTTTTCCTATCCATGAGAATTAGAAGATTTAGTGAAATTTAATGAAGTGGTAAATTTTATTTAGACATATTTTATGGCTCCTGAAATATTAAGTGGAATTTATAATAATCCAGCTAGCGATATTTGGAGCCTAGGAGCTATTTTATATATAATGACCCAAGGAAAGCCTCCATTTCAAGGAAAAAACTCAGAAGATCTTTTGGAAAAATATGGCAAAGGATTAAGTTTTAATCAAGAAAATGGCATTTTAGACTTTAGTGAGTTGAGAGATTTGCTTACTAAAATGCTGAATTATGACTATAATACAAGAATTACTGTTGAAGACGCGTTGAATCATCCATGAATTCAAAAAAATAGCCAGTCTTTGGTTTCACCCTCTACTAATAATGAAGCAATCACTCGCCTTGTAGAATTTACTTCTAAAGATAAAATTGCAAGAGAACTTTTTTCATTTTTCAAAGTCAACCTTACAAACCAAAATGACCATCGCAAATTTATTGATCTTTTTAAAAATTTAGATAAAAATAAAGATGGGCAAATCAGTAAGAAAGAGCTCTTAGACGAAATTAAAAACCTAGATATCAAAGTACAAAATAGACTTAAGAAAATTTTAAATAGTGCCGACCTTATGGAGAAAGGCTATATAGAATTTTCAGAATTTTTAACAGCTTGCACTGACTGAAATACTGATGAAAATATAAAAAGATTCGAAAAAGCGTTTAAGCTGTGCGATAAAAGCGGAGATGGACAGTTAAGTCTTAAAGAGCTAAAAGCAAGTATTAAAGGGATAAAATCTAAAGAATGGGCTGAGTTCTTTGGGAGTGTTGATTTTGATCGGTCAGGAACAATCTCTTTTGAAGAGCTCAAGGAATTTTTGTTTGGGAAAAATCGTATTAGTCCAAAATATAGTAAAACAGTCTAATTATTTTAATTAACAATTTTGGCTATATTTTTAATATTGATTATGATTATTTTAAAATAGCTAATAAAATATCGCTAATGATGCATACTCCATAGTTTGTCAAGTATGCTAAATAAGCATCCATCTAATTAAATTGCTAATTATATATAAAAACTATTCATCGAGTTTTTAGTTAAGAAATGTATATGCCCATCAAGCTGAGATTTTTCTTTGAGTCTAGATCTGAATCCGCAAAAGACAATCATGGCTTAATTCAATCACAATATAGATAATGATTTTTTAACTATTTCCTATTTTCTAAAATTTTTCAACTATAATGCGGTCATAATCTTCGGCAAGTTGCTCTGGAATGCCTGACCCATGGAGTCTAATTTCTTGAAGGTTATTGTTTTGTTATTTCTTTGTGTAGCTTTATTTTGGGGTAAAATCATAATTATTCTTGTGATATGTGCTTAAAAGACTTATTCAAGTGATGATGTTAACTCTGCGATTGTTTAAACACTTATTGATCTACTGGCCTTAGCAACTGAACATTGGAAAGCTGGGGTAGATATTTAGAAGCGTCTTTTCCTGTTTCGTGAGGAATAGTAATAATTTTTCGAGGGGAATCGATATAATTCCTAGCAAATCTGATCCAATTATGAAACTCATAAAATTGAGCTTACTACTTCCATATGTAAAAAGCAAAAAATTTGGGTGCAGGTCAAAAAATTATCACTGAAATATGATCATTCAATATGGAAAAGCTAATTAAAAGCGCTTCAATTGCCTTCACGTTTAAGCTACTAAAATTTACAGCTGAATATTGAGAAGCCTGAGAATATAATTTAGAAGCTCTCTCCCCTATAAAGGTCATACTAAAAAAATTGATTTTTTAATTAAATCTTTATATATTGAATTTTTATTATTAAATTTTATGCTGTATTTTTCTAAAATCGTTACTAGTTATATGAGGTTATTTTCCTTTTGTAAATTAATTTTAATGATTTTGCTATAAATTAAAAACCTGGATTACCATCAGCTTTTTCATTAATTTTTTTTGATATATCCATTGGCCTTTTACTTTACAGTCTACTTATTCCTCGAGGATTCTTTTAGAATTTTAGATAAAAAAAATTGACTAAAAAAACAACCCAAAAGTCTTTTATTAATTTTATCGAAAATATTTAAAATTTGCCTTTTAATCTTTATTCTTGAATGGCGTGGCAGATTATTATAATGTTTTATTCTCAACAGACATTTTTTTCTTGAATCCCAATAATAATAAGTTTATGGGTTGCTGCTGTTCAACAAGGCCAGATCCTACAATAGAAAAGGGTCTTTCAAGCATGTCTACTAAATCTCTGAGGTCAGAAATCGATAGCAATACTAGCATCCCCGAAGCGCCTATAAGAAGAAAAAAAACAAAACGTATGCCTCAGCTCTCAGCAAGGCATACAAGTAATTGATCCTCGCAACCTTCATCGCCAAGAGGAAGGTCAAGATTGTCAACTTTAAAAGCAGTCTCTACCAAGACATCCCGTGCAAATTCTCCTAAAAGCCTATCCTTCAAAAACTTTTCGCAAAATTTTTTAAAAGAATCAATTAGAATTAATTACACGACAGTCAGAAAGCTGCACAAAGGATTTTATGGAGAAATTTCGCTAGCAAACGATAAAAGGACTGAGATAAAAAAAGTTATTAAAGAGTTCAAAAAATCGGTAATACCAGAAAATATACATGAAAAATTTATAATGGAAATCCAAAAATTTCAATGCCTGGTAAATATTCTAATTTACTAGAAAAGCCTATTAAGGGCATTTTTGGTTGGCTAGAGGCTTGCCAAATTTTTTGGCATACATATTTTTAGTAACGAAAATTAAAAATGGCGACCAAAAATGTTCCTTAAAGGGCTATTCTTATTAAACATGCATATAATTTAGGATCATCCAAACGTAGTTAAGTTGCTTGAAGTGTATGATACAAGAGAAAGCTGGCTTTTGGTTTATGAGTTCTTCTCCGGAAGCAGCTTGCTTGATAAGGCTAATGAAATTATAGGGAATTCGTTGGCATGCTCAATAATGCAAGATATTTTAAGCGGCTTTAAATTATTGCCATAGGAATAAAATTGTCCATTTAGGGCTAAATTTTGAAAAAATTATTTTGGATTCAAAAGATGGGAGAATTAATTGCAAAATAATTGGCTTTTCCTATCCATGAGAATTAGAAGATTTAGTGAAATTTAATGAAGTGGTAAATTTTATTTAGACATATTTTATGGCTCCTGAAATATTAAGTGGAGTTTATAATAATCCAGCTAGCGATATTTGGAGCCTAGGAGTTATTTTATATATAATGACCCAAGGAAAGCCTCCATTTCAAGGAACAAACTCAGAAGATCTTTTGGAAAAATATGGCAAAGGATTAAGTTTTAATCAAGAAAATGACATTTTAGACTCTAATGAGTTGAGAGATTTGCTTACTAAAATGCTGAATTATGACTATAATACAAGAATTACTGTTGAAGACGCGTTGAATCATCCATGAATTCAAAAAAATAGCCAGTCTTTGGTTTCACCCTCTACTAATAATGAAGCAATCACTCGCCTTGTAGAATTTACTTCTAAAGATAAAATTGCAAGAGAACTTTTTTCATTTTTCAAAGTCAACCTTACAAACCAAAATGACCATCGCAAATTTATTGATCTTTTTAAAAATTTAGATAAAAATAAAGATGGGCAAATCAGTAAGGAAGAGCTATTAGACGAAATTAAAAACCTAGATATCAAAGTACAAAATAGACTTAAGAAAATTTTAAATAGTGCCGACCTTATGGAGAAAGGCTATATAGAATTTTCAGAATTTTTAACAGCTTGCACTGACTGAAATACTGATGAAAATATAAAAAGATTCGAAAAAGCGTTTAAGCTGTGCGATAAAAGCGGAGATGGACAGTTAAGTCTTAAAGAGCTAAAAGCAAGTATTAAAGGGATAAAATCTAAAGAATGGGCTGAGTTCTTTGGGAGTGTTGATTTTGATCGGTCAGGAACAATCTCTTTTGAAGAGCTCAAGGAATTTTTGTTTGGGAAAAATCGTATTAGTCCAAAATATAGTAAAACAGTCTAATTATTTTAATTAACAATTTTGGCTATATTTTTAATATTGATTATGATTATTTTAAAATAGCTAATAAAATATCGCTAATGATGCATACTCCATAGTTTGTCAAGTATGCTAAATAAGCATCCATCTAATTAAATTGCTAATTATATATAAAAACTATTCATCGAGTTTTTAGTTAAGAAATGTGTATACCCATCAAGCCTAAATCTAGCCTCGTAAAGATAGTTTCCAACTCGGTTCTGAGATTTTTCTTTGAGTCTAGATCTGAATCCGCAAAAGACAATCATGGCTTAATTCAATCACAATATAGATAATGATTTTTAACTATTTCCTATTTTCTAAAATTTTTCAACTATAATGCGGTCATAATCTTCGGCAAGTTGCTCTGGAATGCCTGACCCATGGAGTCTAATTTCTTGAAGGTTATTGTTTTGTTATTTCTTTGTGTAGCTTTATTTTGGGGTAAAATCATAATTATTCTTGTGATATGTGCTTAAAAGACTTATTCAAGTGATGATGTTAACTCTGCGATTGTTTAAACACTTATTGAGCTACTAACCTCAGCAACTGAACATTTGAGAGCTCTGATATATATTTAGAAGCGTCTTTTCCTGTCTCGTGAGGAGTAGTAATAATTTTTCGAGGGGAATCGATATAATTCCTGGCAAATCTGATCCAATTATGAAACTCATAAAATTGAGCTTACTGCTTCCATATGTAAAAAGCAAAAAATTTGGGTGCAGGTCAAAAAATTATCTCTGAAATATGATGGTTCAATATGGAAAAGCTAATTAAAAGCGCTTAAATTACATCCATATTTATTTGGAACTCTTCTTAAGCTTCTAAAATTGACAGCTGGATATTGAGAAGCTGAAAATATAATTTAGAAGCTTTCTCCCCTACAGTGGCAATGCTAAAAAAATTGATTTTTTAATTAAATCTTTATATATTGAATTTTTATTATTAGCTATGCTAAGAAATATCATTCTTAAAAAATCCTCTAGGCTAGCAGCAGCTTCATAATTTTGATATGTTTCTTATAAATAGCAAATATAAAAAAGCTTGGGCCTATCATCACTTTATTCATCTATGAGGATTTTGAAGAAATTTACAGTCTCTCTAAAAAAAGTAGTAAAATTCCTTAAAAGTCGATGGCAGATTTTTTGACTTAATGATTTTTGCTAATGTTCAACTAAATTGAAAGATAAAGTGCCGTAGCAGGCTGAACATTTTAAAAGTGTGAAAAAATATAGCCGAATTTTAATTTAAGAAATATTAGGGAAAATACTTAGGATGATGCACTTGCATAATCTTACTATCACCCCAAACTCAATTGGGATATATAGGGTTTTCTCTTGAATAGCCCGATAATGGGCTGGATTCATCCTGTTATCGGGCTATTCAAGGGAAAGCCCTATATATCATAAGAGCATAATGATTTTATATTAATTATTAGTTAGATAAGGCTGCAATTAGCAAGATCTTTAAGATTTATTTATATGCATTTTTGTCAGCAGCATAAGTGAAGAGAAACGGCTATCAAAATAATCAGTTAATATGTCATATTGATTAGTTATTGCTTACTCACCCTTCCGTGAGCGAACAAAACCATTGGAAAAATCCATATTTTTTGCCCAAAAACCCACCCTCCATTACGAATAAAATTTTTTTTTGAAAAAATATTTTGATATATAATTGATAATTAATATAAAAAATAAATCTCTAACTAATTCTGTTTAATTTTAAACAGCTTTCATTTTAAAGCATAATGTTTAGAAATTAAATAAATTTTACAACATCTTTTAAATTTTGAAAAAAAAAATTGTTTATAAAATCTATATATATAAATTTTTTTAAAAAAAAAAAATAACCCTCCGTGAGCGAACAAAATTTTTTGTTCGCTCACAGAGGGGGGGAGTTAAAGAAATAATTATAATTATCTCGATAGGAGTATAATTAAAAATTTCTATCAATCGACTTGGCTGTTATTTTCTATAAACTTATTATTACAGCAGAAATTTCAAAAAATTAAAATTTATATTTACTCCCTATGAGCGAACAAACTGTTTTGATCGCTTAAAGATAGGTTTAACTTTATTTTTAAAAAAATTTATATAAATTTAAGTTCAAAATTCAAAAAAAATCCAAATTCGCAAAAAATGTGGACAAAATTAATTTAATTTGTAAAATTTATGTTTTAAAACAAGAGCTGTTTAAAATTGAACAGAATTAGCTAGAGATTTATTTTATTATACTAATTATCAATTATATATCAAAATATTTAGAAATTTTAGACCAAACCAATTTCAATTAGAAGAAAGATTATCATTTAAAAATTAATTTTTTATAATATAAAATTTATATTTCAAGTAAATCCTCTTCAAAAGCAATATAACTTGCTGAATTTTTTCCGCTTTTAACATTTAATAATTTCCACAATTTCAATAATTAATTATAAAAATGGGTTGCTGCGAGTCTAAAAGGTCTGATCCTATTAGTGAGAAGGGTCAACCCAAAAAGTCAACTGACTCATTGAGGTCAGAAATAGACGAGGTTGAGCTTGCTCCAAAAACTCCTCGAGTAAAACAAGACAAAAAACACAAAACTCGGACATCAAAGAAGCGCTCTGAAAGTTTCAATTTAAAACTTTCTTCAGGTGCGCTAACGAGGTCATTAACCTTAAAATCAGTTTCAACAAAGGTTCCTCATCCTGATTCACCAAATAGCCAATTTAATATAGATCCTCCTAGCATCCCCCCTCCGTGAGAAAACAAAACCATTGGAAAAAATCCCTATTTTTCCACAAAAACCCACCCTCCTTTATTGAACAAATAATTTTTTTAATATATAAGTGATAATTAGTATTATTAAATCTCGAGCTAATTCGGTTTAATCTTAAAAGCTCCCATTTTAAAACATAAATTTTACTAGTGAAATTAATATTTGGTTTACAATTTTGAAAATTGGGATTTTTTCTTAAATTTCGAAAAAAAATCTAGTATAAATTTATATATAGCGACTTAGGATGAACTGCACAAGGCCTTTTTGGCTTGCCGGCCCAGTGCAGTTCATCCTAAGTTACTATAAATTTTTTTTAGAAAAAATTATCCATTTCATGAGTGAACAAAATTTTTTGCTCGCTCGCTAGCGGAGGGGGGAGTAAGAAAATTTTAAAAGCATCTATTCATGAAAATTTTAAAATAATAAAAACATTGCATTCAGCATTTCATGGAGATACTTTACTATCAACTGATAAAAGAACAGGACTCAAAAAGGTTATAAAAGAGGTAAAAAAGTCAGCAATCGAGATAAGAGAGCAGAAAACGTTAACAATGGAAGCACAAAATTTCCAATGCTTTGTAAGAATAAATTAGGATCACCCAAACATAGTTAAACTTCACGAAGTCTATGATTCAGAAGAAAAGTTTTCCCTTGTTTATGAGTTCTTCTCAGGAAGCAATTTACTTGAATTCACCCGCAGAGAAATTATTGGTCTTAACTTAACTTACTAATTATAACGCTTAACGTCCACTACGGGGTTGGCTAAGTCCAGACCTCCGCTCGCCTTTCGTCGCATCGGGCCCACAGACCTCTGGGCCGGTCCGCTTAGTTCACCAAAGGTGCGCCTAGGGGCAAGTGTTGCCGGCTTCGACGGCTCTCATGGATGAGCTACTTGCTTGTGACATGGGTTGCCATTCCGAAAACCCAAAAAATGGATTTTCTGGTAGGCTTTCGGCAAAAAGGAAAAACACGTAGCCTGGCACGTAACGCCCAGTTTCACGCTAGGGAGTTGCCCGATGGGTCGTGTGGACTCTGCTGGGCTTCCCCTTTCCAACTGCCGTGCTTCCCTTCCCCACGAGGAAAAAACCATCTCTGAGAATAGACTAGGGCTAGGCTCTGTACTCCACCAGAATTGCTTACCTAGCATTGCCGTCCATCTCTGAAATGGCAAAACCTTGCCGGATATAATTAAAATATGAGTCGAGGCTGCATGGCCGGGAGGCTGCATGGCCGGGAGGGCTGCATGGCCGGAGGCCATGCCCAGACGAAGACGCCATATTTTAATTATGAGAAATTATTGGTCATTTGCTAACAGGTTCAATAATGCGAGATATTTTAAGCGGTTTAAGCTATTGCCACAAGAATAAAATTTTGCATTTAGGGCTAAATCTTGAAAAAATTATTTTGGATTCAAGCTATGGGAAGGTCAATTGCAAATTAATTGGTTTTTCTTATCCTTGGGAAATAAAAGGTCTAGTAAAATATAATCAAGTGGTAAATTTTATATAGACATGCTTTATGGCTCCTGAGATACTCAATGGGATTTATGATAGTCCTGCTAGTGATATTTGGAGCGTTGGAGTTATTTTATATTTAATTATCAAAGAAAAGCCTCCATTTCGAGGGAAAAAATCAAAGGATCTTCTAAGTGAGTATAAAAGAGGGCTTACTTTTGAAGGTTCAGAATGGATGCTTGACCCAATTGAATTGAAGGATTTGCTTACTCCCCTTCCTCCGTGAGCGAAAAAAAAAATTTGCTCGCTTAAGGAGGGGGATAATTTGTTTTTAAATTTAAAAAAATCCCAATTCGCAACAAAAAAAAATTGGAAAGTAAATATTAATTTAATATGTAAAATTTATATTTTAAAATGTAATTTGTTCAAAATTAGACAGATTTCCTTATATTATATGGTGTTGTGGTGTTGTGGTGCTGTGGTGTTGTGGTGCTGTGGTGTTGTGGTGTTGTGGTGTTGTGGTGTTGTGGTGTTATGTAGGGTAGGGTAATGATAAACTTTTTCTTCTTCTTATATTATATATCAAAATATTTTTTATAAAAAATTTTTGTTCGCTCACGGTGGTTTTTTGGGCAAAAATTAGGGTTTTTCAAATGGTTTTGTTCGCTCACCAGGGCGGAAATTAGCAGGATGCTTGAATTTGACTACAACAAAAGAATTTCAGTTGAGGACGCTCTAAGTCATCCATGAATAAAAAATAGCAATTATTTGCTTTCATCTCCTGCTAACAATAAAGCAATCAGTAATCTTATAGAATTTACTTCTAAAGACAAAATTGCAAGGGCAATTTTTTCATTTTTCAAGGTTAACCTTACAGGACAAAACGAAAGTCGTCAGTTTATTGAAATTTTTAAAAGCTTGGATTCTAATAAAGATGGACAAATTACTATGGACGAGCTCTTAAATGAAACAAAAAATTTAGACACTGAAATACAAATCAAGCTTCAACAGATTTTAAAAAACGCTGATCTTATGAAAAAAGGCTATATTGGATTTTCAGAATTCTTGACAGCCTGTACAGACTGGAATACTGATGAAAATATAAAAAAACTGGAAAAAGCATTTAAGCTTTGTGACGAAAGTGGAGACGGCCAATTAAGTCTTGAAGAGCTAAAAGCAAATATAGAAGGAATTGAAGATGAAGAATGAGCAGAATTCTTTGGAAATGTGGATTTTGATCAATCAGGAACAATTTCTTTTGAAGAGCTTAAGCAGTTTTTGTTTGAAAAAGATTTTATTAATGCTAATCATGCATAATTTAGCTTAAGATCATATTAATTATCATAAAGAACTTATTAAATTTTAATGGGCTTGTTTGGCAGCATTCTTGATAGGGTATTTCGTGTTATAACCGTTAAAAAAATAAAGAATATGATGAAATTGAAGTGATAAAGAATTTATGAGAATAAGTATATGATGGTGCAAATAAATAAAAATTGAAAGAAAAAATAACTGAAGAATTATCCCAGAAAAAAGTTGACTAAGTCGGGAATTGAAAATATGGTTTAATAAAAAAGAAAATACTGAAGGAGGTTTTTAGAGTAGAGCAATATCCATTAAGTATAGTAAATGTAAATACAGCTTTATTAATCAATTCTGAATGAAGTTGAAATCATTTTTAATTTATATTAGAGCATGGATGGCATTAGATTCGTTATGATATTTATTTGCATAATATGCGTCAAATTAAGAACTATTATCAGTATATGGACTGATTTACCTTATATATTGGTTTTGGAGATTATTACATATAAATAAAAGATAAAGCAATTTTTTCCTCTTTATCTAATGAAAATTCTAAAAGAGCTTAGGATTGTGAGATTTTGTACCTCCCTGAAATTCCTTACAAATGATGACATATTTTTAGCTAATAAATTTTATGAATGCAAGGCCAATTTAATTAAAAAGCCAAAGCTCATTAAAGAATCTGAATAGAGTTCAATTAGACTTAAATAATTATGAGCGTATTAGAAAAATATTAAGACTCTATCATATTCTAAAATGGTCCTTGTCTTAATACAATTTATTTATAGAAGCTAATTTAGCTGAGTAAAATCAGTTATGCAAATTAAAAGCATAAAATTAGATTTGTTAAAATTAATTATTAAGCTTAATTATAGGCATTCATTTATTTTTCGAAGCGTTATCTAAAATGTATTAAAAAATAAATGAAAGAGAATTAAAATAGATAAGTTTTCGAATGGGATATAAAATCTCCTAAAATTTAATATCAATTATAGTAATTGCCCGAGGATGGCGCAAGATAGCGCCATCCTCGGGCAATTACAATAGCTCAATTATCAATTTGTACCACTATTATAACGCAGAGGCTTCCTAAATTGCTTGCTATGAGAATATTTATAATGATTTGAGAATTTCACAGACAAAGCTATCTTAATTGGAAGGAATAGAAAATTAATTTTATTAGTTTTAGTAAAAGCCTTATAAGATATAAATTCTTTTAAAAATCACTATAAATTAATTTTATCAATTTTTCAACTGTTTTTTTTAGTAATTTCGCGAGTGGATTATTTAAAAAAATAAATGGGCTGCTGCTTCTCTAAAAGGTCAGACCCTAATGAAAAGGATCAAGCAGACAAGTCAACTAAGTCATTGAGAATGGAAATAACGTCTCCAGATGATTCTCAAGAAAAAAAAGTAAAAAAACATTTGTCCCAGCTACCAATTCAAAGAACTAAAAAATTATCTTCATCCTCTTCATCTCCAAAGACTTCATCCAGATCATCTTCAAAAACAGCTTCAATTAAAGGTTCTTATACCTTCCCACCAAGCAATGAGCTTAATAAAGATTGTTTAGGAAAAATTTTAAAAACTCCAGTTGGAGAAAACTTCACAACAATAAAAAAATTGCATTTAGGACTCTATGGAGATATTTTACTAGTAAACGATAAAAGAGTCAGCCTTAAAAGGGTTATAAAAGAAGTAAAAAAATCAGAAATTCAGCAAAAAGCGCATGAAAAATTAAATATGAAATTTCAAAAGTTTTTATGCCTTGTAAGAATAAATTAGGACCACCCAAATATATTAAAGCTTTATGAGGTCTATGAATCAGGAGAAAAATGGTCTTTAGTTTATGAGCTTCTACTTGGAAACAATTTACTAGAAAAGATTGATAATGAAAGCATTGGGAGTAAATTGGCGCAAACCATAATACGGGATATTTTAAGTGGTCTAAATTACTGCCACAGAAACCGGATTTTACATCTTGGGTTGAATCTAGAAAAAATTATTTTAGTTTCAACTGATGGGAAGCCTAATTGTAAAATTACTGGGTTTACTTTTCCTTGGGAGCTGGAAAAGCTAATTAAAATAAACGAAGCGGTAAATTTCATATAGACATGCTTTATGGCTCCTGAAATATTAAGCGGGGTTTATAACAAATTTTCTAGTGATATTTGAAGTGCTGGAGTTATTTTATATACAATAATCCAAGGAAAGCCTCCATATCAAGGAAATAATGCGAAGACTCTTCTCAAGGATTATAAAAGGCGGATTAATTTTGAAGATAATAATTGGATTTTAGAGTCAAGTGAGCTAAAAGATTTACTTAGTAAAATGCTTGAGTTTGACTGCAACAAAAGAATTTCTGCTGAGGATGCATTGAATCATCCATGAGTCAAAAACAATCAATCTTTGATTTCTACCTCAACTAATAATGGAACCATAAACAGTCCTGTAGACTTTACTTCGAAAGATAAATTGCGAAGGCTATAGAATAGACATATTAGCACACTCTTAATAATTCCCATAAGGTTTTAATATCATTTCTAATAGGCTATATTTAATAAATTGCTATAGCCAGATCTCATTTCACAATATTTAATTAAAGATTTATTTAATTGCAAATAAATACTGGACCTATTTAACTTGAAGATTGATAATTAATGCCCCATCTTGATTTGTGATTTTACTGAAAATTTAATATGGCTAAGTTTAATCGCATGAACGTGGTGAAATTGCAATTAAATGACTAAAAGTTTAGATATATTAATAATGCGTAGATTCTTGTGAAATTGCATAATAAAAATAATTTTTAATTTTCATAAACTATTTTCTTTAAAAACTAAAAATAGCTTTGGCAAAAATGTTTTTTACTTTTTATAGGAAAACTGTTATTTTAGTTATTATTTACTTCTCTGAGATATCAAGAAAACTATGGCTAAATGATTTATGCCACGATTATAAAAAGCATCCTTATGCAGCATCTTCTACTCAACAACTTTCATAAGGATAATTATAATGAATATTTCCCATAATTCCTTGCTTTAACTAAGAATACAGCATTGCAGTTGTAGATTGAATTTGCTGCCGATAATCTTATAATGCAATCATAAACAGCACTCTTAAACTAATCCAAATGGATATATTTTGAATAAAAATGCATATCCAAGAAATGTTTAGAATCAATTTTTAAATAATAATTATCCAAGTGCATTGATAAACATAATTGATAATATAGCTAAATTTTTATCTTAATCCCTTCCCCGTATGCATTTTGCATCGCAAATTCTATTAATTGATCACTTAAAACCTCTCTAGAAGGTGAAAAGATTTAAATCCTAGCTTTTCACGCTATTTCCCTAGCAATATCACTCATATTTTATACGAATTAAAAGATGAGTTGAGAATTAATGAGATAGTTGGTAAAGCATCATTTTTGAATTATTGAAAATTTATTTTCAAGTATCTATAAAAGATCAGAGCTATCTTAAAAACAACTTGAAATATCAATTCATAATTATTATCAAATAAAATGAAATATTAATTTTCAATGGGGAATAATAAAAATTCCGATAATAGATACAATTTCTCCATTTTGGTTAGCCCAGTCTTATAGTAAAATTTTCAAAATGATTTTCATGTATACTTTATTTAAAAATACAATCCAAACTAATTTCAACTATATAAGAAATATTTTTATGAAAAATATTTTCTTATTTTCTAGTAAGGATTCAGATGAATTTTTTATTTTTTGGCTTGTTCTTCTTAAGAGCCCTATAACTTTAATTTATCGAAGTTTTACTGATTTTTTTCCACATAATTTCAACAATTTCTCCATTTATAATAAAGAAATGGGCTGTTGCTGCTCGAAACGATTGGACTCAACAAGTGAAAAGAGTCAAGCAGACAAGACAGCTGAATCTTTGAAGTCGGAACTCGACAAGAAAGCATTTGCTACTCAAACACCTCGAGAAAGGCATAAAAAAAAGCACTCTCCACGACTGTTGGTTCAACGTTCTGAAGACTGATCTTCAACTTCAACGTCTCCAAAGGACAACTACAGGTCATCATCCTTAATGGTAGACACAATAAAAGTGACTGATCCCAGCCCACGAAGCTCTCGAAGTCCTCAAAGCGCTCGCAGCCCTCGAAGCCCTCGATTTGATATAGATTTTTCCAAAAAATTTTTAAAAATTCCTGTTGAAGAAAGATATACACCGATAAAAATTTTGCACTCAGCATTTCATGGAGATACTTTAATCGCAAATGATAACAGAACTAGCCTTAAAAAGGTCATAAAAGAGGTAAAAAAGTCCGCAATTCAGAAAAAAGATAAAGAAAAATTAATAATGGAAATTCAAAAGTTCCATTGCCTTGTAAGAATAAATTAGGATCACCCAAATATAGTGAAACTTCATGAAGTCTATGAATCAGAAGAAAAATGGTCTTTAATTTATGAGTTCTTTTCCGGAAGTAATTTACTTGAATTGACTCATAAAGAAAGTGTTGATAATTCGTTGGCAAGCTCAATAACACGAGATATTTTAAGTGGTTTAAACTATTGCCACAGAAACCGAGTTATACACTTGGGGTTAAATCTTGAGAAAATTATTTTGGATTCAAGAGATGGGAAAATTAATTGTAAAATAACTCGCTTTTCCTATCCTTGAGAATTAGAAGGTTTAGTAGAAATAGACGAAGTGGTAAGTTTTACTTAGACATGTTTTATGGCTCCTGAAATACTCAATAAGGTCTTTGATAATCCGGCTAGTGATATTTGGAGCGCTGGAGTTATTTTGTATTTAATGATCCAAGAAAAGCCTCCTTTTCGGGGTAAAACTGTGAAGGATCTATTAAAGGACTATGAAAGAGTACTTAATTTTGACGAAACGAATTGGGTTTTTGAATCGGCTGAGTTAAAAGATTTGCTTAGTAAAATGCTTGAGTTTGACTGCAATAAAAGAATAACGGTTGAGGAAGCATTGAACCACCCATGGGTCAAAAATTATCATTCTTTGCCTTCATCGCCTACTAATAATAGAGCAATCAACCGCCTTGTAGAGTTTACTTCAAAAGACGTCATTACTCAGGAGCTTTTAAAATATTTCAAAGTCACCCTGGCAGACCAAAATGAAAGTCGTCAGTTTATTGAGCTTTTCAAAAGTTTGGATACTAATAAAGATGGACAAATCACTAAGGAAGAGCTCTTAAATGAAACTAAGAATTTAGACATTGAAGTCCAAAACAAGCTTAAAATGATCTTAAAGAACGCTGATCTTATGAAGAAAGGATATATAGGATTTTCAGAATTTGCTACAGCTTGCACAGATTGGAATACTCAGGAAAATATTAAAAAATTCGAAAAAGCATTTAAAATTTGTGATAAAAATGGGGATGGACAATTAAGTCTTAAAGAACTAAAAGAAAAAATCGAAGGAATAAGAACTAAAGAGTGGGTTCAGTTCTTTGGAAATGTCGATTCCGATCAGTCAGGAACGATTTCTCTTGAAGAGCTCAAAGCATTTTTGTTTGGTGGAAATGTTATTAATATAAATCGTGTATAGATAAATTTATTTCAGAGAAAATGTCTTGAAAAATAATTAATAAGTTGTCTATTAATTAACAAATAACAAGTTTTTCTATACAAATTTATAGTTTCATTAGTTAATATTTGTTAATTAATTTTATGAATCTTAGTTCTCAGGCTAATTTTAATTAGGAAAGCGATTTAGTGCATAATTAAAAATCTTTAATTTTCATTTCTAATTTCATCATAATTAAGTAAGCTAATCTAATTTTTAATTTTTTTAATTCTTGAATTATTAATAATATTAAAATTACTAGGAGAGATTTAGACACTATAAATCGCAAATAATACACATCAAACATTTTTGTAAAAATGAATTAATGAAAACTTTATCTTGCTTTATTTCTGTTTTACTACGCTTTTAATAAGTTTTATTATAAATCATGACTAAAATTATTTGTTTTCACTTCGAGTTCCTCAACACTTAACAGTCTCCATTTTTATCACAAAGCTTAAACACCTTCTTAAATTTTATCATATTTTCATCATTATTTCAGTCTGCACAAGCAGTGGAAAATTCAGAAGACTTGATATAATTACAATGCTAGTATTTTTTAAAATTTTTTGACTTCAATATCTTGTCAACGTAAAATAGCCGCTCTCATATTTTCTTTTGATTTTGTGAATATTAGATATATTAAATGAACAGCGCAATTTGTATAATTTATATTTTATTAATAATCTATTTGAGACTTTATTCTTATCCCAAATATATGGAGACATTTTCAAAATAATATTGCATATCAGAGTTTATATGTAAATATTTAGAAAAGTATTTATATATTATAAATTATAAAATTACGATATAAAAGAAACTAGACAACTGTTGAAATTGAAATTAACTCATGCCTTAATATATTTCTCATACCAAGCTGATATCTGCTTTCAAGCTCTTTATTCGTTTCTCTATTGTTGCGAGATAGAATAGGATAATATCAATAATTTATAATTATGGGTAGTATCCTCAAAGATTTAAGTCAAATTTTATAATTATCATAATATTCGCAATAACTCAAAAAATTCAATAAAAATTTTTTGATACCTCAGCTTGTTATATGAACTATTTTCAATAAAAACAGAATTTTTATATTTTTATAATTTAATGCCGATTAAATAATTCTTATCATCAAAATTATTTTAAAATAGTTGCATTAATAATTTCTTTTTTGCTTAATAGAAATCCTATTCCTTATTTAACCCAAAATTTCTTTTTTTTAAACTTTACTATTATTAAATTATGCATTTTAATATTGCATATTGAACTATTTTCTTCAGAATTTACATTAAAAACTTTAATAATGTTTTCAGAGTTTATTTTAAGAAGTTTTACACTGTTTCAATATAAAAATAAAGAAATGGGTTGCTGTTCAAATAGGCCGGATCCTACCAGTGAAAAGGGTCTGCAAGAATCTACGACAAAATCTTTGAAATCTGAAATCGAATATAAAGTTGTTGCTCCAGAAACTTCTATTGCGTTTAAATTGTATATAAATAAATTTATTTTTACCATTTTATATATATTTTTCTATTTTTGCAAATTACGAGTATATCCTATTTTTTTAAATATTCAAAATAAACCAAAAAAATATAAAAAACGGCACAAAAACTCTCTAAAGTTGTCCAAAAGCCGCCGTGGGAGCTTTTCTTCAGCTGGATCATCCTCCCCAAGAAATTCAAAGCTGATATCTTTATGAACAAACAGTAATTAATATGGCGGTGGCAACGAAATATGCCCTTGGTGACGACGCACCACTTTTGAAGTATAATGAAACCGGATCCGGGCCTTTAATCCTAACCGTTAGCTTACCTAGAGTGGCTATATGGGGTAGGTAACTCTGGGAGTCAGCAGGTATTAGTTATACGGAATTTTTCGGGTACGGGTTCTTTCCGTAGGTCTGTGGTTCTTTTCCTGGGTGTCACCCTTCCTTAAGGTGGCCGACAGGAGGCATTGGGTTGACCTCTATCTTCATAGAACCCGCAATACTTGAAGAAATATGAGCCTTTCTAGCCTATCGAGACTCTAGAATACGGTACAAGCCCCAGGTCCCAGACCGCTGCTGACGGGTCTCAGGTAACTGATCTACCCCCGGCAAGCAGGATCTCTTGCTACAAGCGTGCAGAGGCATCAAATTTCGAAGACCTTAAGCCCTTTAATCTTAATATTATCAACAAACGCATCATATTCTAACTCTCCAAGAAGTCCTTCATTCAAAAATAAAGGATTTTCATTTGAGTTTCTAAAAACTCCAATAAGAGAAAAATACACAACGGTCAGAAAATTGCATTTTGGGTTCTCAGGAGAGACTTCTCTCGTAGTAGACAAAATAACAGGCTTAAAACGAGTAATTAAAGAGGTTAGAAAATTGTGTGTGCCATTAGAAATCCAAGAAATGTTTATTCTTGAGGTACAAAAATTCCTTTCCCTTGTATAACCCGAGGCTCCTTTTGGCTTACGCTATACCGATGCCTCCCCAAACATCAGAAGGGGAGCTGGCTCTACAGCTTTTGTTAGTAAAACCCACTCTCCAGATGGCAAATCTCCAAAATATAGTAAATTTTTTTTTTTCATCTGGAGAGTTAGTCTTACCAAAACTATTGTAGAACCGACTCGCCTCATAGTCCAATCCAAAAGGAAGATCGGGCTATAAAATTAAATTTAGGATCACCCAAATATAGTCAAACTTTGTGAAGTCTACGAGTCAGGAAAAAGCTGATATTTAGTTTATGAGCACGCCTCTGGAATGAATTTACTTGAGAAGCTTGATGATGAAATTATTAGCTCTTCTTTGGCATGCACAATAATTCGAGATATTTTAAGCGGCTTAAATTATTGCCATAGAAATAGGATTGTCCATCATGGGATAAATCTTTCACATGTTATTGTGGACTCAAAAGATGGGAAAACTAATTGCAAACTTGTAAGTTTTTCTTTTCCTTGGGAAATAGAAGACTCAATTAAGCTAAATGAAGTGGTAAAGTTTATTTAGACCTGCTATATTGCTCCTGAAGTACTAGATGGCAACTGCAATGAACTCGCAAGCGATGTCTGAAGTGTTGGAGTCTTGTTGTATTCAATTATTCAAAGAAAGCCTCCTTTTAGAGGAAAAACTTTAGCAGATCTTAAACTTCAGTATCAAAAAGGGATTAATTTTGAAGAAAATAATTGGATTTTCACAACTAATGAATTTAAAGATATTCTTACCTCGATATAATAATTTTTTTTTAATTAAAATATTTTTTTTTATATAAAAATTATAAAATATTTTTTATAAGGCAGAGAGTCAGCAAAATGTTTGAGATTGATTACAATAAAAGAATTGATGTACAAAATGCGCTGGAGCATCTATGGGTCAAAAATAATCAATCTCTGTTATCAACTCCTGCTAACAATGGAGCAATCAATCGCCTTGTAGAGTTTAGCTCTAAAGATAAAATCGCAAGAGCGCTTTTTTCGTTTTTCAAAGTCAACCTTGCAGACCAAAATGACAGTCGCCAGTTTATTGAAATTTTTAAAAGTTTGGACACCAATAAAGATGGGCAGCTTACTGAAGAAGAGCTATTGAACGAAACTAAAAATCTAGATATCAAAGTCCAAAAAAAGCTTAGGAAGATTATTTCAAACGCCGACCTTATGAAAAAAGGTTATATTGAATTTTCAGAATTTGTGACAGCTTGCATATAATAAAATATAAATCAGCTAAATTTTTGTAAGGCAATTTCATTATTTTTCATAGTAAGTTATCTCAGCCATGATAATAAGTAATTATAATCATAGCGTAGGATTACTTTTCTTAGGATAGGAACTCTCTTGGAGTGAGCCAAAAACCTGGCGATGGGATTGGGGATTTAGATTGCTGAAAGAATGTAGCTGGCATCTCGAGAGTGAGAAAGAACGGAATTATCAGATTCGTATGTTAGCTTACTTAACTTAGAAATTAGAAGGTGTCTGCCGTTTTGATTACGCAGTCACCAAGGACCCTAGATTTGGGTTCACCTGCTTTGCGCCGTCTTCGGATTCACCTTGTTCGAGTTGGGACAATGATTCGCTGGCCAAGCTCAGCTCTGACACTGCCCTTCCTCTTCTTCAGCTCCTGGTGGCATGGTATTCTGAAGTGAGATTTCACCTGGACGTCTACTCCTCTCCTTGCGGCTTGAGTGTTGAGTGGGCGGGCTATGGACTTCTGCGGCTGCTGCTTGGGTGACGAAGTTGACCACTCAAAAATTCCAAAAAATGGAATTTCTGGTGACCTCTCGGCAAAAAGGAAAAATTCAAGTCCTGGGGCGTAACTCCCAGTTTCACGCTAGGCACTTGCCCGATTGATCTAGGTATTCCCCTGTAGACTTAGCTGGGCTTGCCCTTTCCAAACCTGAACTCCTCCTTCCCTTCGAGGTAAAACCTAATCCTGAATTCGGACTGAGGGCTAGGCTCTGTACAGTATCAGAATTGCTTACCAAGCATTGCTGTCCATTTCTGGGTTAGTAAAACCTTGCCGGATATAATTAAAATATGTGCTCGGAAGCTGCGTGGCCGGAGGCCATGCCAGGTGGAGACGCCATATTTTTAATTATGATTCGTATGTTAGCAATACTGATTAAAATTGACTTAGATTTCTGATCGGTATACAAATTAGAATGATCAAGCTTACCCTAGGATATCACTAGGACGTCTCAGCTACTATATGGTTCCTATCCTTCAGGCTCCAGGCCCTCCTCTCCAGCAGTTGCAGACAGAATAGGCAGTCCGTGCCCTTAGAGTTCATAGATTTGGGACTTGCTCGTAACTTTCTCCTTTCTCAGCCTTTTCTTGACCCTCAGCAGGGTACCCGTGGCCAGAGCTGCGACAAGCAAAAGTCCTTTTAGACGGGCAAAACCCCACCTGCAGAGGGAAATGATATAAATTGTCAGCTCTTGTAGGCATAAAGTGATCTGTAATAAAAGACCTTAATACTTAATTTATGCAAAGCTTGCACAGACTGGAACACTGATGAAAATATAAAAAAATTCGAAAAAGCGTTTAGGCTTTGTGATAAAAGTGGAGATGGACAGCTGAGTCTTAAAGAGCTAAAGGCAAGCATAAAAGGAATAAGAACTAAAGAATGGGCTCAGTTCTTTGGAGTGGTTGATGCTGATCAGTCAGGAACAATTTCTTTCGAAGAGCTCAAGATATTTTTATTTGGTGAAAAAATAACTAAAAAGCCTGTATAGTTAAACTAATTTAGGTAATTTGATATTTTTATTCAAATTACATTTTTTTATCTGAATTATTTTTACAAGTTTTTAGCTTCTTTGAATGAGGTTTAAGCAATTCTTTGTTATTTTCATTGTTTCTAAACATCATTTTGAAAGTCAAGAAGAATATTGTTATGTTTTATTTCTGTTAAAATTTTAACTGATAATTGCTCTAATGCAGGGATAATTTCAGAGTTCCAACTAAAGCTAATATCGGTTTCGTCTTCTTGTATTTCTGAGAAGTTCTTGCTTGATCAATGCTTGTCATTTATAAAATTAGTTTTCTTTGAGTCAAAATTGTATTTCTCATAGTCTTTAATATTTTGAAAGAATTTTATTTCCGTTTCCGACTGCGTTGTCAATAAATTTGCTCTTTTCTAAGAGTTTTGTAAGCGCCTTCATTTTGTTTTATAAAATTTATGAAAAGTAAGTTTTATCTTCTTTGCTTTGAAAATACGTATTAATATAATGGTAAATTATCATGCATATGAAATTCGGTACCGATTTTTAATTTTACAATTATTATCTTTAAAAGCCAGGCTGCTTTAGCATAAGGAGCTTATTTTTAATTAGATACTTTAAAGCATTTTATTTAATTTTATTTATGCTTCCCCATTCAGTGCTCTGGAAAGCCAATCCAGTCCTTCATATAGCCCATCTCCACTAATAGCACATGCTCCCTGAATATGCCATTTCTTTCCTCTTATATCATTCAGCCCCAGTTTATCAGTTAACTAGTACGTTGAATAATCTAATTTATTCTTCTTATCAAATTAAGCCCTAATCTTTCTCTGATTTGATCAACACTCATAGCATCAGGTAAATCTTGCTTATTAGCTAATATTAATATAGGAGCACCTATAAGTTGATTTTCATAACACAAGTCCTTACCTTGCATAACAGTCTTTTGTGTCATCGCTGTAATTTGCAACAATTATTATCCCTTGAACATTTTCATAATAATGTCTTTCTCCTGATCTAAATTTTTCAGGAAAAAGATCAAAACAATAAAGGTAATATGGCTTAATATTGAATCGATTATTAGAATTTTTACTGTAAGAGAGCTTCAAGGTCTAGTCTGTAACGGATTGTGGCTTTTCAAGCATAATCACTTCCTACTGTCAATATATTGATTAGTTTGCGACCAAAAAAATTCAGCCAAAATTCAGAGATTGATGCACCATAGGATTTACTTTGCATTTTTTAAGTGTAAATATAAAAATAAAACATTTTTTACTCAGTATTAGGGCATTTTTATTTTGAAATACCACAAATAGCCTAACTCCCACCCAAGATAGAGACATTTTACAAAATGTTTCTATGGGAAGGTGGGTTTTTGAAAATTTTTTTAAAAAAAAAATCTATATAAAAATTTTTATATAATTTTTTTTTTTAAAAATTTTATATAATTTTTTTTTTTAAAAATTTTATATAATTTTTTTTTTAAAAAATTATATAACATAAATTTAAAATAAAATCCAAGAATATTGTTTTCAAATTTTATATTTAATCAAGGGGATGGTTAATGAAAATTCAATTTTAGCTGCTTGAGGCTTAACCTCCTTAATGAATTCACGCATTATATGGAAAATTTCAATATAAAATTTATATAAGAAAATTTTCAAAAATGTCTCTAATGGAAAGTGGTTTTTTTACCTAAAAAGCAGAAATTTTCCCTATTTTTTACAGTAAAAAATGTCTCTATCTTGGGGGAGGAGTAAGAATTTTAATAAGAATAAGAATTATGAGTATAACTATTTCCTTACATTCTTACCTGTTTCATTATCTAGCCACGTAAGGCCAGCTTCAAGCCCATCTCCGTTCTTAAATGATGATGCTTGAATATTCCATTTATTTCTTCTAACATTTCAAAGATATATAAAGCTTTTGATATCATCTTCAGATGCTGCACCCTGAACATCTTGTTTATTTGCAAACACCAATAAAGCGAAATCCCTCAAACACTTATCATTAATAATTTTCCAAAATTCAGTTTTTACTTCTTCAAATCGATCTCTATTAGATGAATCAATTACAAAAATGATGCCGACTGTATTTCTAAACATGTCTTTATATTTTGGCTTGTTTTCTGGTTTTGTTGCATCAGTTCCTAGATTTCAAGAGACAAAATTGCAACGTCCATTTTGAACATTCCATCAGTCAAAACCCTCAAACAGTGCGTGATGCTGCGGTTCTCCACATCCTAATTTTCCTAGAAGAGTCTTTTTGCCGGCTCCGTCTAGGCCAAGTATAAGAAATCGCCTTTCTTTTAATTTTAGTTTGCCTGAGCATGCTGATCCCATATTTTTATGTAACTGTTAAAAATTAGATTTTTGTCAATATTTTTGTATACTAGAAAATAATTAGAATTTGGATTATGCCTAAATAGCAATAAAAAATTGAGACGTTATATACAAAAATAAACATTCGTATAAATATAATTTTTATACTAATTTGGCAAGTCTACTAAGGTTATATTTTTAGTATAAGCTAAGAATGATTTGGATAAACTAGTACTCAACTTTAGAGACAGTGTAAATAATAATTTATAATAACTTGCCTGAAATTCATAGCTATAATTGAAAATTATAATTAAGAATGTATATGTGCTGAGGCTACATGGCTGGGAAGCCATACCCTGTACTCAGAAACATATTTAATTATGCCAATATGAAGTTAAAATAGAGTGATTTCAGAAATTGAGTTTTACCCCACTAATTTCTTTCTGTCATAAAACACAAAAATTGGCATCAACAAGTGCCTCAAATAAAAGCTCCCACAAAAGCTTTTTTGAAGAATTTAAAGCCTCTTCTTCCCAAGTTTTTTAGAGAAACTCAATAAGAGAAATTCGAAAATTTATGGAGGATTGAAATTTCTAGAAAATAAAATTGGACTGAAAAGTCATAAAAGAAGTTGTAGATGCTGAACTATCGTACAATTCTTTTGAAGAGCAAAAATAATTTTTCTCACTGTAAATAAAGCCTATAAAAAAACTCATTTAAAAATTTAATAAAAGAAATTAAAAATAATTTAGAAAAAATTGGTTTTGATAAAAATTAATTTTATTAATACAAATAAAGCATTTAATACTGGCAGGGCAAGTAACATTACAAATTTTACGAAATATGATTATATAATATATAATTGATATAGTTTATAAGCTTTCTTTTAATTAGGTATAAAATATCTGATTTGCACAAATTTCTTTAATCCTTAAACGAAATATTCAGCATTGCATATTCTCAATTTTTCTTAGGAAATTTCTATCCTTTATATAATTAAAATTTATAAATATTTATATCATTTTTAAACTGTCGGTTAAATTTTTATATTACTATGTATTTTTGAAAATCTGTTTGATCATTAGTTTCTTAAATTTTTTTTATGATTATTTATTTATTCTCCTAAAGCATGTTTTAAAAAATTATCCTACCGATAAGTCTCCATTTATTAAAATCTTTCCAAAAGGTAGTTAAATCTGGATGATACAATTATTTCTAAAGCAATCACGAATATAAAAAATAAATCACATAATTTTTTCGAATCATATTTTTCTTTAAAGCATTTCATTTGATATTTTTCGATTTTAAAAGTTCTTTAAAAAAATTATAAATGGGTTGTTGTTCTTCAAAGGAGATAGATTCTAATGAAAAAGAGCAAAAATCTACAACTATAGAATTTTTGAGGACAGAAATTGACGATGAAACAGAAATTAAATCAAATCCTGTAAATAAGAGAAGTCTGACTATGCCGAAGCTGCCACTGCGAAGGCGTTCGAGAAATTTTTCGTCTATTGAAAGAAAGCCAAAGAATCTTAAATTGCAAAAAGCCCAATCAGCAAACCCAAGCCCACAAAATACTTCTAGAAGCCCAAGTACACGTTTTTTTAAGAAATTTTCAAAGACTCCTTTAAGAGAGCATTTTTCAACTATTAAAAAACGGTTACTTGATTATACTGATAGCATTTCCTTAGTAATCGATAAAAGAACTGGGATAAAAAAAATTATTAAAGAAGTCAAAAAATCAGCCATTTTTCAGGAAGTGTATGATGATTTTATTAAAGAGATTCAAAAATTTCAAAGCCTTGTAAAATTAATTTAGGACCACCCAAATATCGTTAAACTTTATGATGTCTATGAACTAGGAGACAGCTTTTTTTTGGTTTATGAATATTTGTCTGGACTTAGCCTTGCTGATAAAATACATCATGAAAGCATTGGATACTCCCTAGCGAGTACAATAATGCGAGAAATTTTAAGTGGTTTAAATCATTGCCACGAAAATGGAATTCCTCACTTAGGAATCAATTTTGGGAAAATTAATATAAATACCAAAGAAGGAAACATTATTAAGCTCTTAGGCTTTTCTTATCCTTGAGAAATAAAACAAAAAGTGAAAGCTAATGAGGTGGTAAGCTTTATTTAGACGCGCTATATGGCTCCTGAAATCCTAAATGGAAACTATAATCAGTTTGCTAGTGATATCTGAAGTTTAGGAGTTATTTTATACACTATTGTTCAAGGAAAGCATCCATTTAAAGGGAAAAATCCAGAGGATTTAAAAAACGAATATAAAAAAGAAATTGACTTTGAAGGGAGTGACTGGGTCTTTACCTCAGATGAACTCAAAGATTTGCTTAGTAAAATGCTTGAATACGATTATAAGAAAAGAATTACAGCTGCAGAAGCATTGAATCATCCATGGATCAAAAATAATGTTTCTTCGCTTTTAACCCTAAAACAATAATAAAGCGACTTAATGTTGCGTTATTTAACTTCTCTTTAAAATTTTAATTCCCCTTCTGGTCAAGAAATTTGGATATTAAGTGAAAGCAAATTTTTGATGCGAAAAAACCCAAATTACAATTGATAGGTTTTAAACATCACTAATTTCTTTTATAAAGGGAGATAGGATATTAAGAATTTATTGATTGAAATATTCACGAAATTACTTAAAAAAATTAGAAAAAATATTTAAGATTGTGATTAAGCGAAAGTAGGCATTTGTCTTAGATTTTATTACCTTTTATATGCTGGCATGTCTGGGAAAATCTCTTTTGAAGAGTTTTTCTTGTTAAAAATGCGAATTACCATTTAAACATTTTATTAAAGAAACCCATTTGTAAAACTATAGAGCTTTAGGGAAAAACTTTTTAGAAATTCTTGATTATTCAAACCATATTAGAAAAGTTACGAAGTTGAAAATTTGATCAAATAATTGCATAACTGATAGTGATTTATAAAATTTGTTATAATTAAGTTATAATATTTATCTGCTGGAAATTAGACAAAATATTCAGATTTTCTCTGATATCGTTTAAAATAATAAATGGGTTGTTGCTCTTCAAAGGAGAGAGAAACAAATGAAAAAGAGCTAAAATCTCCAACGATGGAATTCTTAAGGCCAGAAATCGAAGATAAAATAGAATTAAAATCAGCTCCTATAAATAAGAGAAGCCTAACTATGACAAAACTGCCACCACGCAGACGCTCAAAAGGTTTATCATCAACTGATAGAAAGCCTAAGGGCCTTAAAATGCAAAAAGCTCAATCAGCAAATCCAAGCCCACAAAATACTTTTAGGGACTCAAGTAAAGAGTATTTTAAAAAATTCTTAAAAACTCCTTTAAGAGAGCATTTCTCAACTATCAAAAAACGGTTTCTCGATTCTAACGATAGTATTTCCTTAGTTAATGATAAAAGAACTGGTGTGAAAAAGATCATCAAAGAAATTAAAAAGTCAGCCATATTTGAAGGAGTATATGATAAATTTATTGAGGAAATTCAAAAATTTCAAAGCCTTGTAAAATTAATTTAGGACCACCCAAATGTTGTTAAAGTTTATGATGTCTATGAATTAGGAGACAGTTTTTTTTTGGTTTATGAATTCCTATATGGACCCAGTCTAGCTGATAAAGTAAATAGCGAAAGCATTGGATACTCTCTAGCGAGTACAATAATGCGAGGCATTTTAAGCGGCTTAAATTATTGCCACGATAATGATATTCCTCACTTGGGGATAGATTTTAGGAAAATTAATATAAATTTTATAAACACCAAAGAAGGAAACATTATTAAGGCTTTACTTATCCTTGAGAAATAAAACAAAAAGTGAAAGCTAATGAGGTGGTAAGCTTTATTTAGACGTGCTATATGGCTCCTGAAATCTTAAAAGGAAATTATAATCAGTTTGCTAGTGATATTTGAAGTTTAGGAGTTATTTTATACATTCTTGTCCAAGGAAAACTTCCATTTAAAGGGAAAAATGTGGCGGACCTAAAGAATGAATATAAAAAAGAAATTGCCTTTGAAGGAAGTGACTGAGACTTTACCTCAGATGAACTGAAAGATTTGCTTAGTAAAATGCTTGAATACGATTATAAGAAAAGAATTACAGCCGCAGATGCATTGAATCATCCATGGATCAGAAATAATGAATTTTCATCTTTAACCCCAAACATCAATAATGCAGTATAATGATGCATAGTTTAACTCCAACTTAAAATTTTAATTACTTTTTATCTAGATTTGGATATTAAATAAAAGATATAAAATATTATTTTATTTAATTGTTTTTGATTTTTTATCATAATGCATTTTAATTATGATATTAATAGATGGTTTATTACAAAATATTTCAGGAATATTAAGATTGTAAGAGATCCTTAATCTTAAAAACATAAATCACATAGATATTATAGAGCGTTGGAATAAAATTTGATTTTGATAAAAATCAAATTATTAATAGAAATTCCTGATTATTCAAATATATTAAAAATGTTACGTTAAAAATTTGGTGAAAAATTGCACAATGATAATAATTATTAAATTTTTTTTTAATTAGAATATAATACCTATCTACTCAAAGTGCTTAAAACCTTAAAAAAAATATTTAAATTTTATTTGATAATTCTGAAATTAATAAATGGGCTGTTGTTCTTCAAAAGAGACAGAAACGAGCAAAAAAAATCTAGAATCTACAACTACTGAACTCTTAAGGTCAGAAATCGAAGATAAAGCAGAATTAAAATCAACTCCTATACTATTTGTTATGAATTATAAAAAAAATTCTGATAGTATCTTTGCAATTATTTTATCCTATTTTAGCATATAAGTAAGAGAAGCCAAACTACGACAAAGCTTCCACCACGCAGATATTCAAGAGGTTTATCAACAGTTGATAGAAAACCTAAGAACTTTACAAAGGAAAAAGCTCAAGCAGTAAATCCAAGCCCACAAAATACTTTTAAGGACTCAACTAAGCAGTACATTAAGAAATTTTCAAAAACTCCTTTAAGACAGCATTTCTCAACTATCAAAAAAAAATTTCTTGATTTTAATGATAGTTTTTCCTTAGTCAACGATAAAAGAACTGGAGTAAAAAAGATCATTAAAGAAGTTAAAAAGTCAGATATATTTGAAGGAGTATATGATAATTTTATTAAGGAAATTCAAAACTTTCAAAGACTTGTAAAATTAATTTAGGACCACCCAAATATTGTCAAACTTTATGATATTTATGAATTAGGAGACAACTTTTTTTTGGTTTATGAATATCTCCCTGGACTTAGCCTTGCTGATAAAATACATCATGAAAGCATCGGATACTCCCTAGCGAGTACAATAATGCGAGACATTTTAAGCGGTTTAAATCATTGCCACGGTAATGATATTCCTCACTTGGGAATCAATTTTGGGAAAATTAATATAAATACCAAAGAAGGAAACATTATTAAACTCTTAATGGGAAAATCCATATTTTTTTGAGCAAAGATTTTTTAAAATATTTGATATATATAAGTGATAATTATTATAATTAAATCTCTTGCTAATTCTGTTATATTTTAAACAGTTCGCATTCTAAAACATAAATTATACATATAAATTAATTTTTACTTTTAAATCTTTATGAATCGGGATTCTTTAAATTAAAAAAAAAATTACTATAAAATTTTACCCCTTCCTTGAGCAATATTTTTACTCGCTAGAATAGGTGAGTTAGGCTTTACTTATCCTTGAGAAATAAAAAAAAAAGTGGAAGCTAATAAGGCAGTAAGCTTTATTTAGACATGCTATATGGGTCCTGAAATCCTAAATAAAAATTATAGTCTGTTTGCCAGTGATATTTGGAGTTTAGGAGTTATTTTATACACTATTGTCCAAGGAAAACTTCCGTATAAAGGGAAAAATGTGGCGGACCTAAAAAACGAATATAAGAAAGAAATTGTCTTTGAAGGGAATGACTGAGCTTTTACCTCAGATGAACTCAAAGATTTGCTTAATCCCTCTACAGTTGAGAAAGAAAAATTTTTCACCCAGAAATGGCATATCGACCAAGAGCTGCCTATTATTTAGTTAATTTTTCTCCCAAGGTGAATTTTTGGGTCAGCCCCTAGGATCGGATGGCTAGCGAGATGGGCCGGCGTCAAGGCTTGTAGGATGAAGACCGAGCAGTCTAGGCTGCTTAAGTGCCTGCATGATTTAAGGCCAGCATAGAGATGGATTGTGAGGCAAGATAGAAAATTTGCAGCTCATCGCACTCCAATTGAGAAGATGCAAATTTACTGGACGTAATCGCATTGAAGACGGGCGCTTTAGCTAAGACAACGGGTTTGAAAGTAATCGTGCTTACTCACAGAGAGGTGAGTTAGTAAAATGCTTGAATACGATTATAAGAAAAGGATTACAGCCGCAGATGCATTGAATCATCCATGGATCAAAAATAATAAACCTCCATCTTTAACCCCAAAAGATTAATAAGGCAATATAATGATGTGTGATTTACATTCCACTCGAAATTTAATTACTTTTTATCTAGATTTTGATATTAAACAAATAAGAAAAAATGAGAAAAGATGTAAAATATTATTTCATTATAATCTTTTTTAGATTTTCATTGTAAAGCATTTTAATTATGGTATTAATAAATATTAATAAAAATATTTTTACAATCTCAGAATATTGGGAAAGTAAGATATCCTTAATCTTAAAAACCCAAAATGCATATAAAAATGAGTGAAATCGATGCCATTTCGGTGCTGGGATTGCCCAGAAGTCCTGGGGCTGTAGTTAAAAGGATGATCGTAGCAATGTCTATATCATCCTGAGGAAGAAGGGGACATGTTAAACATTAATTAATATAATGCATATTTAAATAAAAAGTTAGTTAAATACAATAACAACTGAGCTAAATCAAAGCTTAACTTAACTTAAACAGACAGGCTCGTGCCTTTAATTGTAACGCAATCACCGAGGATCCCTTGTGGGATTCATCCGCTTTGCGACCTCCCTCCCACATATAATGAGAGTACTGAGGCCTCCTCCTTGCCTCTTGTAAAAGGCTCCAGTGTTGAGAGGGCAGACTACGGGTTTGTGCGGCCTCCTGAGGCTGTAGTTGACGAAGTTGGCATTCCGAAATTCCAAAAATGGAATTTCTGGTAGCCTATCAGCATAAGGGTAAAGTCCAGATCCTGGGACGTAAAGCCCAGTTTCACGCTAGGCAGTTGCCCGATTGGTCTAGGTATTACCTGTAGACTTTGCTGGGCTTGCCCTTTCCAAATCTGAACCCTCCTTTTCTTCGAGGTAAAACTAGCTTCGAAGTTGGGCTTGGGCTAGGTTCTGCGCTCCTGCAGATTAGTTGCCTAGCATTGCCGTCCATTTTAAGGCTAGAAAAACCTTTGCCGGATATATAATTAAAATATGAGTCGGAGGCTATATGAGTCGGAGGCTATATGGCCGTGAGGCCATACCTAGACGAAGACGCCATATTTTAATTATGAGCTAAATCAAAGCAACTATAGCATATAAAATATATGAAAAAATTATCCCAATTCTGCTGCATCAACTTTTAATTATCGAAAACTTCTTATCAAACATTTATTAAAAATATATATTTTCTATTTAAAATAAAACATTATTTACTTTCTCTCATCGTTGAAGATCTCTGAGAATTAATCCACTCTTGTTCAAAATGCTTACTCCCCCTCTCCATTAACGAAAGCAATCATTGGAAAAATTCTTATTTTTGTTGCACAAAAACCTAGCGAACAAAATTTTTTTAAGAAAAATACTTTGATATATAATTGATAATTATTTTAACCAAATCTATTGTTGCCTCTGCTTAATTTTAAACAATTTGCATTTTAAAACGTGAATTTTATAAATTAAATTAATATTTACTTTCCAATTGGGATTTTTTAAATTTCAAAAAAAAATTTTGGTATAAAATTTACATACAAATTTCTAAAAAAAATGAAAAAATTTTTTTATTCTCTAACAGAAGGGTGCAGTTAGTATGCTCACTCATAAGTCTCGAAATATCCTCAAAATCATTAATAACCAAGTCAACCCTCAGTTTGGCTTTTTTAGTAGAAACATCAAGTCTTTTTATCTGAGGAGTTTCCCCAGTTATAAGCTGTTTCGGTACTAATGCTCCTTTAATATTAATAGTCCCAGTTACAACCCTAAATTCTTTTGCAGCTTTGGCTATTGTATATACAGAAATATGTCTTGCCCTATCTATATAGCTCGCCGAATAATACGACTGTTGAGGTAACAAATCTTTTATTAAAGAAACGCTAATAATTCCTTTTTTCTGAGAATTTGGCAGCTGCTTAAAGTACTCCCCCAGCAGCCTGTGCCTTTCTGTCATAGCTGCTGTATTTTCTAGCACGACAGGATTTAAAGTTTTATTGTCTTCTTCTATAAATTCATTTAAAAACTCGTCAACTGAGATGTGGGACACCTGGATTTTTGATAAAATTACATGTAAATCCTTCATTAATTTTTCGTTTACAATGGCTTGGACTTTACTGATTTCGGTTTCTTCTTCGAGGTCTTGGTAATCTTTGTAGATTAGGGTCCAGAATTCTAAAAGATCTCGGAGATAGGACAGTATGACTATAATGGGACCGATTATAAGCCAGACTAAGGCTCTTCGGAAGGAAAAACCTTTGTAGACGACTACTTTTTCGTCAAAATCAGGGTCGTCATCGCTTTCGCTTTCATCTGTGTGGTCTTGAGAAGGCTTTTCGAGGATGTTGAGGACTTGTTTTTTCTTATTTCCGCGTCGCGCAAATGGCTCGATAGTTCCGATATAGACAAAAGGAACAAGAATAAGGGTAATTATAGCAAAAACTATAAATTGAGGTATTACATAAATCACATAAAATATCTTACTTCAAATAAATTATAATTTAATATAAAATTAATATTATTTTTTACCATAATTTCATTATTAAAATAATATTAATTGCAAAGTTAGAAAAAAGTGAATTTCAATAACCTGGCTTTTTCGAAATCAATAAAAACGGAGAAAGACATGCCGAAATCGCCGAAAACGGTGTGGGCAGCAATATCATTAGCCCATATCTATCATCCCAGCTTCACTTATTATATTCCAAAATAAGCACACACCTATGTTCACTTTCCGCCATCACCATCTCACTATAATAAATATTATAAAGAAAAGCTGTCGCCAAATTATACAGCAGCATAAATGAAATAATCACATAAATTTCATAAACAACAGCCCCAAAAGCCTGATACTCCGTAAACACAGTCATATCATAAAGCGCATACATTGAAAGATACATTTTCTTAAACGAATTCCCAAACGTCGAAAATTCCCCTCCTGTTGTATACTTTGAAAATAATGAGGTAAACACAGACGCTCCCAAGAAAAAATAACACCCAAAAATAAATGCAAATCTCAGCAAAATTTTTATCATTAGCATAATAATTCTCAGCATCGGGCCATAAGTTTTGCTGGTATCCCCAATACCTAATAGCCTGAGCCATATTAAAAATAGCTGTATGCTGTGCATATAAGAATTAAATTTCACTGAGGTCGTCCAATAAATTAATTTTCCTTCCCCGACGTATTTTTTATTGACTGAGGTCATAATAAAAATCATTTGAAGAAATACTAAAAAATCTAATAAAACCCAATAATCCCACAAAATGCCACGATTGGTTTTGATTCCGTATAGAAAATGCAGAAGCCTTTCTATAATAATGCCAATGATTCAGACTTGAGAAAGCCGCAAAAAGACCATTGCGGTGTAGTCTTCAGTCACATCATCCATTTCTCCTTCAAGCGTCGCAGAATGGATCATAGCTGTATAAAAAATGACTAAAAGAATAGTCGAGGCCGCTTGGCCTAGAAATCTAAGGCTGCAGCTGTCAATAAGTTGGGAATATTGGAATAAATAAGACTTATTTCGGTCCATTGTGCCAAATAGCGCTATTCTTTCTTCTGTAGACGCAGGGGCGTTATATGATCTATAAAGGGTAGAAGCTTTAAGCAGTCCTTGGTGTTTTCTAGACCCTACCCAAAGCTTAGAAATAATGCTGCCTATGTCATTATTTTCTAATAAGGAATAAAACCGGTTTTCTGCAATAATCACAATAAGCATTCTCCCATGGGAGTCTAATTGGCACATCCTATACCTCAGCTCTTCTTCTTCAAAAATATTATCCTCTATTTGTTTAGCCAAAGTAAGTAATAAATTGGAGGTTTTTGTACAGACGTGGGTATAATAAATATTTTTTGGGGCGATTTTTATCAAAAATTCTGCTAAAAGGACTAAAAATAGCAGCGGGCGGTGGCATTTGACGATTTCGTCAGTTTTTTTGATAAAAGTGTTGACAGTCATTGTAAGCTTCCTGGTCAGCTCAAAACGCCAGCAGTCTGCAGGGATATGAGACAGCATTTCCATAGCACAGTAACAATACCGCCCATCAGCCAGCCATTTCAGTATTTTTTTCTGAATTTTATAGTTTTTTAAAGACGATAAAGCTGCTTTTCATTTAAGCATCTCAATAGCAAGCCAAAGCTGCTGCTTGTCTAAACAAAATTCAAATTCTTCTATAGTGATTTGGCTTTCTCTTTTTTCCAAAATTTCTTTGGCAAGCTCTTGCTCTTCATGCTGGATAAAAACTTCAAGTACTCCAGGCTCATCAGCGGCCCCAGGCCAAGTCATAACTTTTTTGACCTCAGCAATAAGCTTTCTTTCTAATAAATAGCTGATAATAAAGGAAACTTCTAATTTTTCTGCAAGGGTCTCTTTATCTTCTTGTGAGGCTGCGTCTAAAACTTTTCATAAATCGCTGGATTTAAGCCTTTTTTTGGGTAGGCCATTTTTTTGGACCCTGATGTCGCCAGTCCAAATTTTTCTTAAAAAATCTAAATTGTGCTTGTCGAGGGCTAGCTCGATCATATCAGGGGTGAGAGCATTTGGGTTTTGGGTCAGCATTGAGGAGGCTATGTCATCAATTCCTTCAGTTAAAGCGGTTTTTATGCCAAATCTGAGGAGTCTTTGGTCTTTCAGCAAGATTTTGATATCATTATCGATTGAATATGCACTTTTCAGAGGGGTTTGGTAGTAAAGTGTTTCAGCATGGGTTATGAAGCCTCTGTAAAGGAGGTATCATATGTTTAGCTCATTTCAGGATTCATCATAAAATTTGCCTTGTAAAATGTGTTTTATTGCTTTATCGTTGTTTTCTCTTATAGCTCTGATTAAAATTCCAGGCCAGCAAGTATGCTGTATTTTATTATATTTATTTTTTAGTGTCAATTATTGTTATTTATTTTTATATATTTTAGGGTATTTATTGTTATTAATATAGATATATGGAGGCAAAATCTTATATAGCCAGCACCTAGTAATTCATTTGCAAATTCGATATGACCTTTTTCTATCGCAATGCGAACTGGCTCTCCTGAATTTAATAAATCAGGATGAGATTTAAAGAAATCAGGATTTAGGCCGATTTTTCTTGCAACAGTTAGATGGTTTAGCTCTATAGAGCTTAAAAACTTATATAAGTCTGAATTGGAGTCAGGATTTTCGCTTCGTTCTGTGTTGCTGCCGTCAAGAACAGCTACTTTTAGCAGTTTATTAGTTCCAAACTGAAGGCCACTAGTAGTATACCCTCCTGGTATTAGGTCGATCAGCGGCTTTTGATTGTTATTGTCTTCCTTCATTTTATTAGACGGTTTCTAAAATTAAATAAAATTATTTTCAATATAATAGTTAATCTTGATAACTAAAATAAAATAAATTGTTTTAGATGAATCAATCTGATATAAAAATAGAAAATTAGTGATATTTGAGGATTAGATAAAAGAATGTAACGCAGATATATTTTAAAATAGATATTTTTGGTTTATTAACTCCCTTTTTTAAATTGAACAAAATATAGTTTAAATTTCCTATTTTTTGGGAAATTAACCCCTTTCGATTGACATCAATTATATTTCTTCAATTGAAAATTTTATAATGCAATACTAATTTTTTTAAAAGCAGTTTAACCTGATTTAATGAAGATAGTGCAATTAGAATGCTATTTTAACAGTTTATCGCTAAATAGATTAGTTATATAAATTAATTATCTATAAAGGTAAATTAAAATTCCAAAACGTTGCTTTCATTTAATATAAAATTTTTTTCAAAACCGCCTTTTAAATTTTGGGCTGAATTTTTAAATGGGGAGAAAGATCTAGCTTATATTTATATAGTTAGTCTGGAAATGGAATTATTTTATTTATGAAATCGAAATTTCTGAATTTTTTCTTTTAATTATGAAATATAAATCTAATAAAATTACAATTTCTAAGCCATCTTAATTACTCTAATTATTGTTCAAAGAAAAGGAAATATTTCAAAAAATAGTGTATTGCAGAACTCTTGCCGCTATAATAATTTCATATTCTTGAAATTCTTTCCAATAAATATATACCCCAGCTGGATTAGAATTTGTTTTATCACTTCAAAATATTAAGCAAAAATTCAATAAAGATAAGCAGAATAATTTAATATTTTATATGTATTTGCAGCAAATTTTGAAGTATCTAAAAACACTCGATTACTTTTGAACTTCTTAAAGATAACAACTTAGAAAAACTCTATAGAAATTCGTTCATATTTTTATAATATTTGATTTTTGATATTGCCAAGAATTCTGGAAACACTAACTTACTATTTGGAGAAAAACAGTAAGCAAAGCTAGATCAGATATTTTTAAGCTTAAACCATTCTTTGCTTGAGCGCCTCTACAGTTCCAAACCGAATATTATATTTATTGACAAAAATATTAATAATTTAAAAATTTAGATATGCAGAGTAGCACAATCATGATAAAGTGAAATAAATTTTCATAATTTCCCCTCTATCAGATGATTTATGACATTAAAATAAAATGCAAAAAGTGTTAGAGATCAACAAAAACGTTTTGCCTAAACCCATAGGCAGTCCTGAGTTTTTCAAGATAAAAGCCCAAAATACCAAGCGTAAAATGTCAAGATCATCGTCTAGAAAAGAAATTTCTATAATATTTTTCATAGATTTAGCCAAAAAATTGCTAGTTTATCAATTGGAAAATTCGCAGAAAAGCGCTATAATATGTCCCCAAGCTTAAAATCAATTAAAAATCAGGGACCTTTAAAATCAATTCCTCAGGAAATGTCCTCAAATGAAGCCAACTCAAAAATTCCAGAGCATTTTATTGAGATTTTTAAATCAGAAAATCAGGCTATACGAGAAGAAATAAGAAAATTGACCTTAGAGCTCCGAAGCAGCCAAAACTTAAAGCAGGACTCTTCTAATATAGCAGGATGCCAAAATTTTTATAGCACAAGTGCTTCTGAAGAAAAAAAATCGCAAGAAGAAAGCAATTCTTTAAGCTCGCAATGTGATGAAATTGTGGTTGAAACGGATCCATGATTAATTATTAAGAAAAATTAAAATTTTTAGCTATTTTTTCTATTTTGAAGATGTGTAAGCTGATAGCCTATTTTGTAATCTCTCTATTTTTATATTTTTTTCAAAAAATAAATTTATTTAACAGAAAAATTTTCGAAAAAAAAATCTATGAAGCTTGAAACTGCTGATGCAAGAAATTTTCATTTAGAAAGCAAAAATAATATGAAAAATAAAGAAAGCACTTTTCCCAATATGCATGCGTTAAAAAATCTTCAAAATGAAATCGAAGATTTAAAGAGCGCTTTAGAAGAAAAAAAGCGAAAAGAAAGTATTGATGAAGTGCAGCAAAAAATAATGGATTTACAAGAACAAAATAGGAAATTAAAAGAAAAAGCTTTTGAAATTACACAGCAAAAAATTAAACCTTTTCATTAATATTATTATTAATTATTATAATAAGGCAAAAAAGATAATAATTATTATTCATCACAAATAGTATAAAAAAATCCGCAGAGAAAACGAAAAATTAAAATCCAAAATATTAACTTTGTCCCCAGTAAATAGCAACATATCAAGCCCATTAATTTCAGTCCCCGGATCTCCAGCCAAAGCAAGAACCTACAACGAAGATTCTCTCAGAAAAGGATTTTATACCCCTATATCTCGTGATTATCAACGAAAATATTCCGAAACCATCGAGCCAAGCTTAAGCCCGTCCTCAAGCTTCAAAAAGCTCCCCTCAATCTGCCAAAATTCCGATGCCTCCCCTCTACTAAGGCAAACCTATGACCGCTCCTCCTCGCTTAAACCGCTTTCAGAGGCTTCTACAGGATTTTCACAGTCCTATAACTCTCACGAAAATTCCCCAGACGAAAAAAATAAAGAATTCAGGCTAAAAGCCCATTTAATATCTAATGAAATTGGGGAAGAAAATACATGTGAAATTGAAGATTCAGCAGAAATAGAGGATAATGATAGGATACAAGTTAGAAAAGAAATCGAAAGGCTTGAATCTATTAAAAAACAAGCCCTAGAAGAAAAACTTCAGCTAGAAAAAGAAGCCAGCAAAAGAAGAGAAATTTTACGAGAAAAAAGCATAAAAGACATGATTAAAATGAAAAAATTAGAAGCAAGCAAAAAATACGAAGAAAGTCGAAGAATAAATGAGCTTTTAAGGCTAGAAGAAATAAGAAAAATTGCAGAAAAAACGAAGCAAAAATCAGAAGAAGAAAAGAAAAAGAAAGAAAATTCTGAATATTTGAAGTTTAAAAACCAAGCAATAACAAAGAAAGTACAGTATGCAGCTGGAGAATGGGCACATGTATAACCGGTAATGTAAACAGATAAATTAAAATTAATCTTCAGGGTTCCCTTTTTCGTCACTTTCTTCTTTCTCTTCTTTTTCTTCTTCTTCAGTGGCTTCAGCTTCTTCAGTTTCAGAGATTTTAGAGTCTTTTTCTTCTGGGCCGTCTTCTTTTGGCATCGTATATATATTTTTTTTTGTAATTATTATGTGTATTAATTTTTTTTAAAAACACTATTGAAAATTTTTAAAAAATAAAAATAAAAATTGTATACACTTGGGTCTTTATAAAGAGCATCTGTTAGAACTTTTTTCCAGATTTCCACAATTTCTGACAATTTTCCAAGGGCTTCCGTAAATTCTGGCTCTTCATAAAAGGTGTTCGACCACTGTTTGATTTTTGCTTCTAAATCGACTTCTTCTTGTAGCCACCTTTGTGCGAGATCTGCCATTGCATTATCGACCTTGGTTTTTCACTCCAAAATAACTTGCTTGTTTACTGTATAATTTGTATAATTAAACACTTCTTCTGTAGGAATTTGTAAAGATTGGTCAGTCTTCAATAGCTCGTACAGCTCAGTCAAAAATCCAATTATACTATTTCTTTTGATTTTTCTTATAAAAAAGCTAAGCAAGGCTTTGCCTTGGCTATTATATTCACTATCAACTGTATACATTATCCTTACTCATAAACTTTTATTAAAATCATTGAATTTCCTATTAAGAAACCTCAAATGCTGACCTCATAATTTTAATAATAAATGAACACAGAAGAGAAATTCACCCTGCGTCCTCCAAGACCACAAGGCAGCAAAAACGATCTGTACCTAGAAGGCTACGGCAAGAACTGGGGTGAAAAAATTACTTTTACTGTCGGTGTCTCATATTTCGCAGCAGCCATTGTAGGGCTTTTTGCCGGTGCTTACTATGGAAAGCAAGCTTCAGCTAAGCACAGACAGTTAAAGGGTTATCGTATTGTGAGCACTATAGCAAGGACTGCTTCACGGTATGGAAATGCAAGTGCAGCTGCCAGCTTGATGTTTTGCTTGACAGGGAAATTTGTCGATCTGGTGTTCGAAGAAGAAATCCAGGACTTTGGCCAAATGACTAGGAATATAGCGGCTGGGACTTTGACTGGAGCGCTCTATAAGTCTACGTTAGGGATTAGACCGATGATTGTGGGAGCAATAATTGGGGCTGGAGCTGTCACTACAATTGCGTATTCATTGAATGGGCTTAATGATATGGGAATAATCAAGTTTAGAATGGAAGTTTAAGTAATTTTATTGAAAATGATATTTATGGGTAATAGGCATAAAATAAGCATTTTTAAGGGATTTTTGGCTGCCAAGAGTTGAGGATGGAAGTGTAGATTGGATAGAAATTTTATTTGGGAAGAGTTTGAGATGAAGAGGATTTTCTTATATTATTCCAAAAAAATTAGGCTAGACTCATTATTTTGCATATGGGGTTAGATATAGAATATATTTATGTATGGAAAATTATTTTAGCATGCAAAAAAATTGAAAAATTAATTAATTCGATAATTCTCATATTTAACTGTTCTACTGAAATTCATAATCATATTTTTCTAATTTCGAAAAAGATTAATTCTTCTATTTTAATTAAAATTAATCTATCTATATTTCGCTATGCTGGGCTGCCATCTATATTATTATATTAAAAAATATTCACCAGAATCTTCTTAATTTCATTTACTCCCCAGCAGGAATTTAGCAAGTTTTGCCATTACATATGGTTGCAATATTTTAGATATCTATTTTTATCGTGAAAAAATAAATATAATTTCCTAATAATTGGGTGAGTTATAAAATTCATTGTAAAGATTTTTTTGCATACTGGAAACAATTTATAGGTTTTTCTTATCCTTTTCTGGTATAAAAAATTTTCCTTCAAGCCCTTTAATAATACCATATTAGGGAAAGTCCGCCTTATGTAAATAATACCTCTGACTAAATGGATGCAACTGTTCATTTTGTACATTTTGGTATGGCATGTATACCAATAAATTTAATTTAACGAGACAATGGAAAGTTTACACTCAGAAAACAAAAAATATCAGTGTAGCTACTGCAGTAAGGCCCTTTCGTCTAGCTCCAACCTTATTTTATTTTTAAAAAATATTATAATTTATATTTTTTTAAATTTCAAAACATCTTAATTAAAACAAATTTAATATTTTAAAATCAAAGCTTTAAATGAATTAATATAGATTTTAATTATAAAGGCCATAATTATTAACCAAATATTTTTATATAGAATATTATGTCCGCTAGAATTGGAGAGAAGTAAGCAAAATCTTAGAGAGCATATGTTCACCCACAGTGGTGAAAAGCCTTATGTGTGTAAAGAAAAAGGATGCGGAATTAGATTTCGTCAAGGAAGTCAACTCTCAGCACATAAGAGGATTCATAAAGCTATTCATGGGAAGACGCAAAAGGTAGACTTTTATGACATCAAAGTAAGCGTTAATTCAGCTAACTGATATCTTATACTATTTTTATTAATTTAAAACAAAGATAGCTCGGCCACTGATTTTTTCGATATAAAAAATAAAAAATCTATAGTTTTTTTTAAATAAAAATTAATTAATAAGGCATAATAAAATACCCAGATTTCTTGGGTGAAAAATTTAAAGGAAGTAGTACCCAGCCCACTTGCATGAGAATCAGTGTACCACTAATCACGAATCCGCAAGAAAATACCGTGCTTCCTTCGGTTTTTCAATAAATGCATGCCATTAATAACCAATGAGCCTTTAATTTAAGAATGTAAGCTTTAATATTGGAGAATAGAGCTCCAATTTCTTAATAAAAAAATTGTCGGGGAAGTTACAATATCAAGCTAACTTTTGAGTTTAAGCTATAAAAATTATATGCTCATTGATATTAATGCTCGATTAGAATCTGTGGAAAGGCGAGAAATTTCTAAATCTGGAATTTCATCCACATCATTAAAATGCATAAAAAGGGTTTTTTAATTAAAATTGAAAATATTTCTTTGATAATTATCGCAAAGGCTTTACGCGATATTTTTATCGAATTTTTAATTTAAACTTGCTTTATTGGAAATTAGCCTAATTTAAATTAGCCTGATTTTTTCCTTATAAATTATACAAAAAAATTGTCTTTTATTCAAATTCTAGGTTTTTGGTCTAGGAATGAATTTTTCTGACTTTTAAGCATTTTGAAGCTAAATACTTTCGATTTTAGGTTTGCTAAAATACTCCTCACAAATAATTTCGAAAAATAAGATTATAAAATATTTTTTTGTGGAATTGCTTAATTTAATTATCAAAACCTTCTAAAAAACAAAAAAAATTATCTTTGCAGTCCACTCTCAGTCTTGCCACTGTGTTTGAATTCTCATACAAGGGCATGAATTGCTTTCTGCCTAAGATATGATAAAAATTTCATAAATTAATGATCCTTAGCTGATTTTTAGAAAGAATGTCAGAAGTAATACAGTAAAATTTTAAATCACAGAAGATGATTGCTTAAACTAAATTATGACTGCAGATTCTAGAAAATTCCTTGTTATCTGCAAAATCTAACTGAATGTCCCTCGCACTTCAAATGAATACAGATTCAATAGTGTTACATAAAATAACTCTTATGCCATTTACTACTATTTTTAATCAAAAAATTAAAAATCACTTTTCTCGCTTTCGCGGTAGCAGTTGACTTTGTCAAATCCACTGAATGACTCAATAAACTTTAATCATTTTCATATAATAAAAAAGCCTGGTTGTTTATGCTGACTCAAACAATTTGCAAAGCTATCAGAGATCTTACATTTCTACTTGGGTCTAAACGTTGAAACGGGGTATATTGAAGAGTCAAGATTTTGAAATTTGAAATTAAATTTTTATTGCCTTTGCTTATTTGATTAGACATTTAATATGATTAGATTAGATTTTTATTTCAGTTTAGCATTAAATCATAAAAATATAGGGTGTTAGGGTGTTAGGGTGTTAGGGTGTTAGGGTGTTAGGGTGTTAGGGTGTTAGGGTTGTTAGGGTGTTAGGGTGTTAGGGTGTTAGGGTGTTAGGGTGTTAGGTGTTAGGGTGTTAGGGTGTTAGGGTGTTAGGGTGTTAGGGTGTTAGGGGTGTTAGGGTGTTAGGGTGTTAGGGTGTTAGGGTGTGTTAGGGTGTTAGGGTGTTAGGGTGTTAGGGTGTTAGGGTGTTAGGGTGTTAGGGTGTTAGGGTGTTAGGGTGTTAGGGTGTTAGGGTGTTTAGGGTGTTAGGGTGTTAGGGTGTTAGGGTGTTAGGGTGTTAGGGTGTTAGGGTGTTAGGGTGTTAGGGTGTTAGGGTGTTAGGGTGTTAGGGTGTTAGGGTGTTAGGGTGTTAGGGTGTTAGGGTGTTAGGGTGTTAGGGTGTTAGGGTGTTAGGGTGTTAGGGTGTTAGGGTGTTAGGGTGTTAGGGTGTTAGGGTGTTAGGGTGTTAGGGTGTTAGGGTGTGTTAGGGTGTTAGGGTGTTAGGGTGTTAGGGTGTTAGGGTGTTAGGGTGTTAGGGTGTTAGGGTGTTAGGGTGTTAGGGTGTTAGGGTGTTAGGGTGTTAGGGTGTTAGGGTGTTAGGGTGTTAGGGTGTTAGGGTGTTAGGGTGTTAGGGTGTTAGGGTGTTAGGGTGTTAGGGTGTTAGGGTGTTAGGGTGTTAGGGGTGTTAGGTGTTAGGTGTAGGGTGTTAGGGTGTTAGGGTGTTAGGGTGTTTAGGGTGTTAGGGTGTTAGGGTGTTAGGGTGTTAGGGTGTTAGGGTGTTAGGGTGTTAGGGTGTTAGGGTGTTAGGGGTGTTAGGGTGTTAGGGGTGTTAGGGTGTTAGGGTGTTAGGGTGTTAGGGTGTTAGGGTGTTAGGGTGTTAGGGTGTGTAGGGTGTTAGGGTGTTAGGGTGTTAGGGTGTTAGGGTGTTAGGGTGTTAGGGTGTTAGGGTGTTAGGGGTGTTAGGGTGTTAGGGTGTTAGGGTGTTAGGGTGTTAGGGTGTTAGGGTGTTAGGGGTGTTAGGGTGTTAGGGTGTTTAGGGTGTTAGGGTGTTAGGGTGTTAGGGTGTTAGGGTGTTAGGGTGTTAGGGTGTTAGGGTGTTAGGGTGTTAGGGTGTTAGGGTGTTAGGGGTGTTAGGGTGTTAGGGTGTTAGGGTGTTAGGGTGTTAGGGTGGTTAGGGTGTTAGGGTGTTAGGGTGTTAGGGTGTTAGGGTGTTAGGGTGTTAGGGTGTTAGGGTTGTTAGGGTGTTAGGGTGTTAGGGTGTTAGGGTGTTAGGGTGTTAGGGTGTTAGGGTGTTAGGGTGTTAGGGTGTTAGGGTGTTAGGGTGTTAGGGTGTTAGGGTGTTAGGGGTTAGGGTTAGGGTGTTAGGGTGTTAGGGTGTTAGGGTGTTAGGGTGTTAGGGTGTTAGGGTGTTAGGGTGTTAGGGTGTTAGGGTGTTAGGGTGTTAGGGTGTTAGGGTGTTAGGGTGTTAGGGGTGTTAGGGTGTTAGGGTGTTAGGGTGTTAGGGTGTTAGGGTGTTAGGGTGTTAGGGTGTTAGGGTGTTAGGGTGTTAGGTGTTAGGGTGTTAGGGTGTTAGGGTGTTAGGGTGTTAGGGGTGTTAGGGTGTTAGGGTGTTAGGGTGTTAGGGTTAGGGTGTTAGGCGTGTTAGGGTCGTTAGGGTGTTAGGGTGTTAGGGTGTTAGGGTGTTAGGGTGTTAGGGTGTGTTAGGGTGTTAGGGTGTTAGGGTGTTAGGGTGTTAGGGTGTTAGGGTGTTGGGTGTTAGGGTGTTAGGGTGTTAGGGTGTTAGGGTGTGGTTAGGGTGTTAGGGTGTAGGGTGTTAGGGTGTTAGGGTGTTAGGGTGTTAGGGTGTTAGGGTGTTAGGGTGTTAGGTGTTAGGTGTTAGGTGTTAGGGTTGTTAGGGCTGTTAGGGTGTTAGGGTGTTAGAGGGTGTTAGGGTGGTTAGGGGTGTTAGGGTGTTTGGGTGTTAGGTGTTAGGGTGTTAGGGTGTTAGGGTGTGGTTAGAGGGTGTTAGGGTGTTAGGGTGTTAGGGTGTTAGGGTGTTAGGGTGTTAGGGTGTTTAGGGTGTTAGGGTGGTTGGGGTTGGGTGTTAGGGGTGGGTTTAGGGTGTTTAGGGTGTTAGGGTGTTAGGGTGTTAGGGGGTGTTAGGGTGTTAGGGTTGGTTAGGGTGTTAGGGTGTTAGGGTGTTAGGGTGTTAGGGTGTTAGGGTGTTAGGGTGTTAGGGTGTTAGGG